CACTAACCTTCCAACCAATATGTCAAATAACTCGACCACAACGCATTTAATTCAATCTAATCAATCGGATTCTTTTTCTTCAGACGTTTCTATCTCTATTGTACAAGTTCGCGCATTATGGCCAGTGTTGCCACAAACGCCACAACGTCGCTCACGCGCTGCCGCCCTCCTCGGACGATGACTATCTTCACCCATTTCCTGTCTTGCCAGCTCATCACTATCCTTTACAGCCTGGAGACCTGTTATATTTTTAACAGAAAGTACTCCTCCTTTCACTAGAGGTTTGTTTTTTGTCCTCCGGCGTTTACTTAATAGGTGATTGGCCTCCTCTAGCTCGCGGACCCGGGAATCAACCAAAGTGACCTTGTGCATAAGACCGTATGTAGCCTTTAAAAATGAGCTCAACGCATCAACTATTGATATAGGTGAGCTTTTCTGGTGGTTTCTGACTCAATTTCGGATATAAACCGACTGGTTTACCGCTTCGTTGATGGTGGTAGGTGTCTTTAAAGTCCAAGTAGTGGGTGGCAGATTGGGGTCTGGCGACGGTGTTCGTATGACAGCGACAGCATCCAGCTTCGAAATGACACTTATTGGGTCGAAAGGAACAAGCCCAGTGGCACTGAAACCTGCTCAAAATGTTTACTGGCGTCATAGCAGCGTTGTGTGCTTCACAAAATGCTGCAAGGAAGTCCTCCTTTGAAACATGGGTTATATGACGCTGGATGAGATCCTTAATTATGCGACTGTACGCTCGTTTGAGCGGGTTAAAACAACTGATATCTAAAGGCTGGAGCCTGTGTGACGAGTGGACAGGCATACAAAGGGTAATAATACTATTGTTCTGACAATAATCCTCAAAGATCTGGGAATGGTGGCTTTTGTGACCATCTAGGATGAGGAGGCGTTTACTGGCAGTCATACACGGTCTGGTCGGCCGTATGGCGCAATGGTCAAATTCGCCTGGTTGTGTTCTCGTTTGTGCGGTGGGCGACGAGAACAAGTGGGTTCGAATCCTGCTATGGCCCCCTTCTGACCCGGGCTATGCGAGTCGACAACCAGCACACAACAGTGGAGAGGCCCCTTATCGCAGAGCCCGATAGCCAAGCAGCTTGTCTCCACAATACCCACTCCTGCGAGGTTTTTCCCCTAGTGGTTTCCCTCGCTAGCAGATAACAAACACCTATTTCACCCACCAATGCGACATATATCGAACGGCTACTGGAACGATGTATACACCAGAGGACTGAGGTTTACTGGGTTGCTTTGTCACTGGATAGGAGGTTTTTCTGACAGAATCGTGCTTGGTTATTGACTAAAACCATCTGGTCACTCCAGGTTGGTACCGCTATAGCGAGGATAGGCTCGTGCGCGGATCTGAATGTATCTAGACTGACACCTCTACAACCTTGCGATGCAATGGCTCTGGGAGGCGTGGTTTGCCCTATGGAGGGACTGCACCCACAATAAATACAATCAAATCAATCATACACGGTCTGGTATACTTGTCGAAATGCTGAATCCATTCCACCCCAATCTCGTTCGTATTCCAACCGTTATCGGACACATCCACCTTCCAATCGCGTAGTAATGTTGTATCGCGATACCATGACGCAAGGTGGGTTTTGCCCTGTAGAATGATGAGCGGCGGGACCACCCAACCATCAGCATTGACAGCAAAAATTGCTATAGACTATTCCCTGTTGCCTTGCTGAGCTTGTCTAGGCCTATCACGTCTTTCGGCGCTTATAACGACCATGCCAGACCCAATGATGCCCATCATAAACCCAGTCTCATCGAAGTTATAAATATCCGCGTCTTAGATACCATGTTTTGCGACTGCCGCTACAACTTGGCGAAATCATGCGTGATACACGTCTATATCTTCGTTCAAGACCCTCTATTAATCCATCCTCCGATGAAAACGCGTCCGGAGGCCTGGTGTGCGTTTAATGAAGTTCCGCGTCTAGTTCTTTCCAACGCGTCTATCCCCACGTGCTGCCGATAATTAATTCGCCATATTTTCAACATAACTGTGCCAGGGTGGAAATGCTCGCACATCCAGGTCAAGAATGAAGGAAAGAATGGCATTCTCTTTGGAAATCGTAAGTTTCAAAGTATTGGGTATGTTATCGCGTCGTGATGGTCGGCCGGCGATTCTAGCCTTCAAGGTATTATATGGGACATGGAAAGTCTTAGAAAGCTTGCCAATAGGGTGGCGTCACTTAGCTTGGACAGCAAGCTGTAAGTCTGATTTGCTATAACGCAATGCCATTATTGTTGGTTGATCAATTAGGAGCCTTGATTGAAAGGTTAGGTGGCTGGTGAAAAGCTGCCGTTCGCTTGTAATTGGCGCTCGCTTGTCATCCACGTTATCGTTTATACTTTTTTCTAATTCTATTTTAAGAGTTTAATACTAATATACGATAATAAACATTATTTTAACCACAAATAAATAATAAAACATTTAATTCATATTAAATATTGAATATCAGATAAATTATTTTAAATCAAAAATTACGTATTAGATTATACGGCGGATAAAGTTTATATTATTAATCCTTTATAACTTAACAATAATTATTAGCTTATTCATTTTTTCCAACTACTTATATAAATATTTGTCATTAATTATATTACTAAACTACTTATCTAATTAATATTGTCATGGTCTGGTATAGGTAGCCTATGTGGTGAGTCCTGGAGCCCGGACATGAGTACATGTACCACCGTTGAATGGCAAGCTGCCACGCTTGATATTCGACATCCTTTTGAGAGGAACAGCCGTGGCATGGTGGTTATGGTGTGCGTTCCGTCATAAATATCCTTAAAAAAGAGAAAAAAAAATTACGATATATTAATAGTAATTACTTATATTACGTTTGAATAATTTCCTTTACCCTTAAATATGCTATATATACTATTAAAAATTAAGTTCAACCCTTAATAAACCAACTTTCATTAAATAATTGGAGTACTTTAATAAGAAGGATATTTAATCACGAACGGAAAAATACTTTAAGCTTTTATAGAAGACTTTAATAATCTTTTCATATTTATTTACTTATAATAACCACTTTTAATTTATAGAATATGGGCCTTTTTAAATTAGAAATCTAAATTGTTCATTTGTGATAGATCTGACATCTATCCATCCATTCACGGTGGTACGTGCGCTCATCAGGTGATCTGGTGGGGTGGACGCGTTGCCCCGCTGCACTCACTATGGATAATTGTGGAGCGGGATTGAAGATCTAATCCCCCACCAGAATTGGCTGGTGGTTCTGATCCTTCTTCCCTCCTCACCAGTAGATTCTTATTCATCTGGAGTAATAGATGGGCATCTTCGTCCTGAGCTGCCAGCTGTTCCGTGACATCATTCTATTATCCGACACTATCATGCTATATATTTGAAACGAAATTGAATAGATTTTATATCTTATTTATTATAAAATTTTCAGTTAACGTATTTTAACTCGATTAAATCTTATATATGTATATGACTATTTAAATATAACACGTTATAAATCAAATACCGTTATTTAAATCGATATAAACGCGGTTAATAAAGGTCGCTTTTCCATGTTTTTCTTTATATAAGTATTTATATAATAATAAATGCAAGTTAATAATATTTTTAAAAACCTTAAAATTTATCTTTATATTTGTGGGGAAATCGTCTTTTTATAATTTCTTCCGTAAATAGTCTTAATAACTCGTTAGCTTGTAAAAGGTTAAAATATAAATCGGATATTTTACGTATACGACCGATCTTGTTAACACTTTTGATATATATCATATCGTTTAATAGTTTAATCATTACTTAAATTAAACAAAAAGAAACCATAAAAAAAGAATTTTAAGCATTATAGAAATAGAATAAAATAACGGCTTATCAGTAATTTGAGCGACTAATATAAATGTAGAGTCACTTTTAAGCATCAATTTAACGTTTGAAATCCGGCTTTAAATATTAAATAAAATAAATAAAAGTACGGTTATAACGTTAACGGTAAAGACAAAACCCGGACGTTAATTATAAAGGTTTTTTTTTTAGTTTTTAAAATAATAATAATAACGTTTAAACCCGAATTGTTATTTAAAAAGCATTTTACGTATTAAATAAACCCAGTTTAAATGTTATTAAAATCACGTTATAGTTATAATAAATTTAATAATCCTGTTATGAATTACGTCCTTTTAAAGCGTATTTATCATAAATCTTAAAAGATATTATACTCGTCTTCGTGTTAATAATTAGCATAAAAACAACCTACATGTATTAATAAGTAAACATTGTATAATACATATATTAAACGTAACCCCAAAAGTTTTAACCCCGATATTGTAATATAAATTACATAAATGTATAAATAACGTCATTATTAGATTTAAATAAACAGCGCAAATAAGCACTGTTATAATGAAATAAAGCTGTATAAACTTTAGCTATATTTTGTTACAGCTTCTTTAGTCAAAAATCTATAATCCGTATATATATTTACGTATACACGCTTTAAATATAATAACACTTCATTTCACTTTATTTGTTTTTATTATGTTTAGAACGAAATCATCGTAAAAGAAAAGGAAAACGTAAATAAATACTTGGTTAGGTACAAGGTGTTTTTTTATATATTTTTAAGGTACTTATATGGCTAAAAACAAGGAAACGGGTAGTAAGATTGGCCACGCGGAGAAGTGAAAAGAGTGCATAGACCTAGGCCACATTAAGATCTTAAGGGGATAAACGATCGCAACGCCAACAACGCTTGAGTGTCTGCAGATCTTGTCATGGTTCAAGGCTGGGCAATATGTTGGGGATCTTGCTATGTATTATCTATTGTGAATATTTCACTTAATTATTCTGTTGACGAAAGGAAAACACCCTACGCCGCGCTGGAAAAGAGGGTATCCAGAGACCAAACCGCAATACTGTACATGATGATATACAACCATCATCCTCCCACCGGCCCTACTGACCAGCCAGGTGTTAAACCCTACATGATCATATGCCACCCGTCGCCGAACGGCACATGGTCCATGGAAGTTATTTGCCACTGCAAACCCCTACTGCGAGCCTGTGCAATCCATTGCACAGCTGGTATTGTACGGTGCTGGGCCTCCCGCCCCTCTGTAATTTGTCGTATCACCTTCTCCATGTCCAGGCTTACCCCCGACTGGTGATCGATGTGCCGCACCTCCCCGTTCCCGAGCAGTTCGGACGTGAACGTGTCCGCCATTCGTCGCGCGAGGTCATCAACCCGGACCACGTCGAGCTTGACTTGCCAGTCGCCCGAAGCTGGCGCTGTCTGCATCTGAGACGAGAGGCCTCGGAAGTGGTCGAGGATTTCCTCTGTCTCGCCAGCTGCCCCTTGAGGTGGTACTGTCACTCGGTGGATTGCCAGAGGAAGTTCAAGCTGCGCAGCAGCTTTTGTGAGGTACTTCTCTGACGCCCGTTTGCATGCCATATAGCCCTGGGAGCCGCCCGTGGGCGGGACTGAGTCCGTCATAGCCGCGACGCTACCGCTCGAGATGAAGTGGAAGGGGATGCGTCGCGCGGCAGCCAGCTGCACGAGCGTTTTCGTCGACTCGAGGTTCGCCCCGCGGAGGAACTGGTAGGCGTCAAGTAGTGAGCGGCTCGTACCCACATGGATGATCATGTCCACCGCAGTCGAGAGGGACTGGAAGCTCTCCTCGGTGAGTCCGAGCCGCGGTGCTGCGAGATCACCTGTGTAGGCCTTGACCTTGTCCGATATGACTTGGCCCGAGGGACGTTGCTTGGGACGGACAGCGACGCAGTGGATCTCGTCCACGTCGTTCGATTCCGCAAGCCTTTGCACCAGCCGCCGTCCCAGGAAGCCGGTGGATCCAGTGACGAGGACTCTCTTCCGGCCGCTTGTGCGGACTGGGATATCTGACCCGGTGTCACCAATCTCGGCGAGGTTACGGTCAAGGGCAGTTTCCAAGTCCCAGTCGATATTGTCAGCGGGCTCCGATGTCTCAATCTTGGCGGCCATGGCGCCCAGCGTGACGGCACCGAAGAGATCAGTCAGCGATAGCTTGGCGTTGAATCGCATATTGATCATGATCTGGAGCGTGACGAGAAGCAGCGAGTTGCCGCCGAGCTCGAAGAAGCTCGTGCTGTCACTGGCTTCCAGAGCTCCCGCAACGTGGTCCGGGATGACCTCTTTCCACAGCTCGACCAGCGTGCGCTCAGTCTCGGCGAGATCCTCGGCAGTTCGCCCACCCTTGGCCTGCTGGATTTCCAGGGCCTGGACAACAGCACGATCTGCCTTGCCGTGCGGGTTGACCGGTATCTGCGCCAAGGCAACGAAAATGGCCGGGATCATCCAGACGGGCAAGGCGAAGATGAATCGCAGCGAGCGGAGGAATGCGTTTTGCTCGCCCTCGGTGTACTGGCCCGGTGCGAACTGGACGTGGGCGACGAGCAACTCGCCGCGGACCGACACCACCGCCCCGTGCAGGGCACCCTCGGCAGCCTTCAGGATTGTGTTCTCGACGTCTTCGAGTTCGACACGCATGCCGCGGATCTTGACCTGAGTGTCACCCGCGATCCGTCCATGGAACAGGAGCGCACCGTCGTCACGAAGGCGGCCGACGTCGCCAGTGCGGTACACCGTACGTCCCTCGGAGGAGGCGAGCGCCGGTGGTGCATAGGCGTTGCCGATGAACCTACTGTCACTGAGCTTCACGTTGTTGAGATAGCCTCTCGCGACACTGGGACCTCCAATGGCGATCTCGCCGGCAACCCCTTGTGGGACCAAGTTCAGGTTGCGGTCGACAATGCAGACCGAGTAGTTGGGGAGGGGAAAGCCTACGGGATGTCGTCCTCGTCAAATTCGGGTCCGTACGGGATTTCCGTCTTGGTGCAGGTGATGGACTCGGCGGGACCGTACGAGTTGTACAGCTTCAGCCCTTCGAGTCCCAGACCCTCGATGCTCTGACGTAATGATCTGGGCATTAGCTCACCACCTCCCCACGCGAATCGCCATTCAGAGGCACCCATGAGGTCAGCGGCCCCGTAGCCGATCCAGCTGGCATACTCGGAAGGGGTGGCACGGGTGTAGGTGATTTTCTCGGATTCGATCACCTTGGCGATGGCCATGGGATCACCGCGGCACTCCTTGGTTACCACGTAGACCGAACCCCCGTTGACCAGACCGCAGAGGATCTGATCAAGGGAGAAGTCAAAGGTGAATGCGCTTTGCTGTAGTACTCGCTCGGCGCCAACCTTGTACTGCGTGGTCAGGCCCTCGATGGTGTTCTTGAAAGCCGAGTGGGTTAGGACAACGCCCTTGGGCCGTCCGGTTGAGCCACTGGTGAACAAGACCGCGGCAGGAGTGTCGGCCCTGGCATGGCTCTCCGTGGTGGTGGTGGTCGTCGTCGCAGCCGGGAGAGACGAGATGTTGATCAGGGCTGCCGAGGACAAGAGATCGCCGACTTGCCCCTCGCTCTGGGCGTGATAGAGGATGGCAGCTGGCTTGGCCGCCTTGGCGACGAGTGCCAGGCGGGGGAGGGAACTGCGGAGGTCCATAGGCACGTAGGTACCACCGGCATGCCATATAGCAAGGAGAGAGCACACCCAGTCGACGCTAGGCTGCTGGAAGACGGCTACCGTGGAACCCTGTTGGACGCCCGCCCTGACGAGTGACCCGCTGATGGACTGGATGCGTTGTGCCAAGAGACCGTAGGTCAGCGAGTTGCCATTCCCATCCTTGACGGCCTCGCTCTCCGGCTTCCGGGCTGCGATATCAGAGATGCGATGGGAGACCGTCTCCGGCCACGCTGATCTCAACTCGGGCCCTGCCTGTGTGTCAGTACTCCCTATTACTTGGTCATCTGGGGGTCACTTACCGCGGCCGAGCATCCTGGCGGCGTCGATGTCCTTGGTGTCTACATTGAACGGACGGTAGTCCATCCACACCTGGAAGAGGGGGCTGTGGGTGGCCGAGCGGGGAATATCGAGCTTTTCCAGCAGAGCGTCGAAGGGGATGCTGGAGTGTGCAGGTGCCTCGTAGGCCTTGGTCCGGGCCTCTGCTGCGACTTCTCGGAAGGCCGTGTTCTTGTCCTGGTCGGTGGCCGTGAACCGCAGCGGCAGGAGGTTCAGCATGAACCCGATGGTTCTGTCGAGTGACTTACCGGTAAGATTTTAGCCTTTTCGGTTTGCAAGAGCTTATTTGTCCCTGCCCCTGTCCTTGCTGCCCTGGTATATTGCCCAGATCCATGTCCATGTCGCATCCGCCATGCTCGTGGGCGGCGGGCACGTACAAAGGTACGGTGCTGCTTCCCACCGTCGCTGGCGCATCTATACGCTGTTGGTCACAAGACTGCACCGCCGCCGTCGCCGGCTGACATACTCTCGTTAGCACTGTCAGATCTCACGTTGGGGTCAGCCCGTCCACGCTGCCATGTCAGCCATCTGGGGAAGACAAGGGTGGTTCAGCCATTGTCAGCCAGTGATGATGACTATACTATCGCGTCTTTCGGCGTCAATCTTCATCCAGAAGCTTACACATCTGTCACTATTTTGCCTTGAATCCTTTAGCCACGTGGGACAATAATAGCTATGATGTCTTTTCCGGAGCAGTGTCCGCCACGCAGAAGCCGTTGGGCCCTCTCCTGTCGTGTTGCCGTGGCGGGACATGATGCGATGGTCTACGCGAGCCGAGTCATAAAGCCTTCGAGCTCTTGATGTCGTTTTCTCAGTTGCCTGTTCCACCGTCGTACCCGGTACAGAGTCTTTGCACTACAACTCCAACCGCATTTAGTTACATCGTGTAGCAAAACCGACTTTTTCTCAAGTTGTTGCCAAAAACTCATCTGCCATCCCACAGAACGCCGAGCTTGCCCTTTTACCCGTAACATCATGCTTCGAAACGTCAGGCAACCCAGGCCCAAGAAGCCTGTGATGCTCATGCTTCACGGCTCCGGCAGCTTGTCAGCCATCTTTCGCTTTCAGACCCACGGATTGGCCAGGGAGCTTTCGAAGAGCTTCGACCTCGTCTTCCTCGATGGCCCCACGCCAAGCCCACCGGGCCCGGGTATGCTGCCCCTTTTTGCCGAGATGCCATGACAGAGCTGTTCGACGTCGCCCGTTACATTCAGACGCAGCTGGTCGACCAGGGCGTCAAGGCAGGCGACGTTGTAGCCATCCTCGGCTTCAGTCAGGGCGCGCTCACGGCCATGGCGATGCTTGACCTTCGGCTGGCCCAGCAATCGGCGTGGCAGAACCTGCGCTTCTGCGTGACCATAGGCGCCGGCACAACTGATGATTCGGCCCAGCTGGATGGCATTGAATCTATGATCAGCACCCTCTCGCACATGCTCGGCCAACCGGATGGGAAGTTCCCCTTGTACAGCGTGCAGGCTTCGGGTACGAGGGATGTGTGGTACAAAGATGGCAAAAGACTTGCCAGCATGTGTGCCAAGGACCGAACCAAGACGATGGACTACCGAGATGGACACGTGGTGCCCCGTCAAAGGGCCGATATCATGAAGTTGGTGCATCTGATCACTGCTATCGACACGGATAGCAAGGCCGTCCAGGATGTCTCAGAGGCCGTCCAACCATTGGAAGCCCGTTCTGTGCCAACAATACTCGCTGGAGAAGACACAACACGGGGCATGGCTGTATTAGCAGACAGGGGAATCAGAATATAGTGCATATGCCACTCGGGTTCATTGTATTGTTACCGTTGGATTCATGTTGTTACTCTTACTATTACGAATGTATTATTACGACGCTTATTGTGTGTGTGTCCCGCCTGCCTCGTACTGTTCGTGTTCCTTCATGCCACCACGGCTGTATTGGTAAAGCAATCAGTCTGCATGGTAAGCTTCCTAATATGTCGATGTATCAGCTTTATTGTCTGCTGTACGGGATGGTACTAGTTATAAATCGCCCTGACAGTCCCTATGGTCACTGCAGAGCCTAGAACTCGTGTAAAACGTCGCAGATGTACGGTCACTATATACTCTGCAGAACGTACAATCCGGAGTATAAATTTCTCATAAGGGTCCTATTTTCACGGGTGCAACAGTAAGAGGGCATTTACCTGAGGCGTTACGCTGCAGAATATCTCTCGAATAGGCAGGGGTCACGACGGAAGCCAGATGGGCCACGTATGAAAGTGCATGTGTATGATATAACCATAAAGATCAGTCGCTAAGTTATCTGTAACCACCCAAAAAGAAACTGCAGCTCCCGATTTCCCGCCATTCCGTATTCCTTACCCATTGGTGCATCCTGAGTCAAGCATGGGTATATACAATGGAAACGCTATATAGTAACGCACAACTCCGCAGTACGACGTCAGGCCGAAGCGGCGACTGCTCTGCGCTCTGCGGTGCGGTAGACCAACTTCCGACCGCTCACCTTGCCCTTGCGCAGCAGATTCACGCCTTCCAGCAGGCCCTCGAACCCGTCAGTTTCAGTCCGAGTCGGGTGCTCCCTGAGCTCTCCGGCCGTGAACATCTGATGGATGGTTGGGAAGAAGGACGTGGCGAATTCGCGCGCAGCTGGCATGCCCTCTGTGCCAAAGGGCCCGGGCCAGCTGCACGGCAGTCCCCTCATCCACGAGCTTAGTATCCAGTCCGGCCGAACCGTGCGGCGGTCGGCGGTACGCTCCGGGTACGGCTCCAGGCCGACATCTGGTGGCGGTTAGACCGGAACCCCGGGAAATCAGGAAGCAGTGGGGACACGTACATTTACCGGCACAACGGCCGAGAGCCTGGTAGCATATTTGTATTGTGCTCTCCTCGGTGATGCAATCAAGTGCGTAGTCGAGCACGTTGTTGGTAAAGGCGCGGATATCCGCGCCACACGCGGGCTTGTTGTAGTCGAAGCACTCATCGGCGCCGTAGGACTTGACCAGGTCGAAATTGCGCGGCGAGCATGTTGTGATGACGCGCAAACCGCAGCGCTTGAGCAACTGGATGGCCATGGTGCCAGTGGCGGTGGCACCACCGTAGACGAGCACATCGAAGGGCTCCTTGGCGGGTGTCTTGAGCAGCTGTGCTGGTATACCTAGCGAGTAGAATAAGGCCATCCCCGAGGTCGCGATGCGCAGGCCCATGCCGGCCCCGACCTCGAAGCTCATGTTGTCGGGCATCTTCAAGGCCATACCACCGTCGAGCGACACGTACTCGGCGAAGGTACCGCTCTGGGGTCGTAGGCCCTCCATGCCCTCGGTGGCACCGCACACGCGGTCTCCGATCTTCAGGCGGTTGGAGGAGGCCACGACGGCACCGATAGCCACAACTACACCCGAAGCATCGGTCTGTCACACAGTTTAGTTGGTGGGCCCGGAAGTGGGTGTTTGGATGGCACACATACACCGTAGATAGCGCCCGGCGTAACGAACGGTCCTACCATCTTGGTATCTACTGGGTTCAAGCTCACGGCCTCGGTCTTGATGATGACCGAGTCATGTCTGATAGGCGGCAGGGGTACATCCTCACGTATACAGTAGTCGAGCTTGTCGCTGGCCACGATAGCCCGCTGCGACGTGGGCAGATGGGTCGAGACGGACATGTTGAGTGAAAGGAGGATCTGACCTGGGACCAGGACAAAAGGGGACGATGCACAACCACACTACAAAGGGTCAAGTTACGAGGGATCGACTGCGGAGATATATAATGCAGGGGAACAAGAGAACAAGGGGTTAGGCGCCGGTGATCACGGTTGGCCCGTGGCCCAGGAGAGAGCGAGGTGGAAACAGAGGTCAAGACCGAGGGACTGGCTAGGTGACCCGGTGACGAACAAGACAGTGGAGTTCACAGACATGGTTGCTGAAGGCTGACGGCCTTGTTAGCGCCGTGCAAGGTGAAGGAAAGACTATACCAGGTGGCTGACACGCATATAGCTACGTGATAGGCTGATAGCATCGAGGACACGGCCGCCCCTTACGTAGGTAACATAGGTTACGTTACCTTGGATAGATAGCTCAGCCTGCATCTATTTTCCGTCGAGCCTGAAGGTGAGGTCCGAATTAGGAAACAAGGTGGTGGGAGGCTCATCGGTACGCAGCGCCCTTTCGTCATGAGGCAGCCCCGAGCGGCACAGCACTTGAGGTCAGATTACATGTGCCCAGCACATAGCACGTGCAGACGGAAGCTTACTGTAATTTATGAGAGATGCCTACCTAGGTAGGTATATATCCCCAAGCTAGGCGTGTGGTGAGCGGGGTCTGTCGTCGATCAGAGGAGTGTTTTCTCGGGGCTACGGGACCGATAGGCTGTTGCCTACCTAGTAGGTAGTAGAGGGGCACGACAGGCGAAAAGCGTGGTGCTGTCTGCCAGGATGGGATGGTCAAAGGATGGGATGATCGAGGATGGTCAAGGATGGGATGGCCAAGAGTGGTGAGAGTGGTGGGAGTGGCGATAACTAGCCCGCAAGGGGAGATGGACTGGGGAAGTTGAGACAGAAACGGTAACGGTAAGGCTGATGCCTAATTAGGAATGGTGACGGGAGCTGTACCCTAGCTATAGAGATCTTGGTAGGAAGCTACCCCTGTAAGAAGAGGTGGTAGGGATGGGCATTTTCTATATTTGGAGGTTGGAGACTTTGGAGGATTATTATACTACGGCTGAGCCCCAGCTACCAGCCCTATCCGCACCAGGCTGACCTGCACAAGGTCGAATGCAAACTGTGCCTCTCAAATACGCATACATATCTTCCTGCCGACCACCGGCTGCAGGAGTGTAGGACTATGCTTCCTACGAGCACGTGGAGGCCATGCCTCTGGCGACGTCATGGCAGACCTCGGGAGTCTCTCATCTCTTATCACTCACCAGCCTCACACCTTGCCACCAGCACGCATGTCGACTGGCCCCAGGCGCTCGACGAAACGATGGCAGGATTCCATCGTTCAGTCTATACGGTCTATTCAGTCTACTCTTCTCGGGAGATCCGTGCGGGCGTGCTAGTGATAAGCACAGTCCGTACTGTACGCTGGGCGGCAGGGCGAGAGGCCCCAGCGTTGAGCCAGTCTCGTGTGCGGACTCTGCAAGTATGACATGATGCTCACGATGCTCGTGATGCTTGCGGGGGAGGGAGCTTCGCCAAAGATCCAAGAGTCGCACGGCACAGCAAGAACGTGGAACGAGACCCAAGACCCAAGACCCGACAAGGCAAGTATTCGCGATCGGAAAGCTGACAGTTCTAAAATAGGAATAAACTTTGGAGTCTGCAGTACCATCCTTGCCCCTTTTCCCCGTGCGTATCGTGATGTATGGACTTTTGTATGGCGTCGGTACCTGCGTCGGCCAGGCTGCCGAATCTCGCCCTTACTGTACTCGGTACGCAGGATAGCCTCAGCCGCACCCGTCGGCCCGCCCTCTCATTGGTCTAGGCACCGTCATCGCGGTCCATGACGAAGGATTGCCCAGGGCCTCACCTCTGTCCGCTGTGATGTCACAGCTGAAAGGGCCATCCGCAAGTGCTGATCAGGAGCCGGCCCCCAGCCTTACCACACACACGCACATACACACACATCTATCCCGCCGAACGCCCACATGAGACGAGACAAGATGGTGTTAAACACTGCGACCAAGCAATCAACCGACCAAGACGGGACAAGACGTGACAAGACGAAATAAGCTACTCTGCCACCTGTATAGTTTAAGGCGTAAGATCGATCGATACCCATGCAGACGCCATCTGCGCCCTATATCATGATATACAACAGCTTCGTTCTCTGCCGTACTCTTCACCGCACCGCCTGGTTATAAGGTAACCCCATATTCATCATACTTGTGAATCAGAACCACCGCAAGGGGAATGTCGTCCTCCAAAGTCGAACAGCATCCAGCTTCACCGAGCCCCCCCAAGAAGTCGACCCGATCACAGAGCCCGAGAGCAAAGGAGCGGAGGAGGTGAGTCCAGCTCTTGGACTTCCATTAGTCCATGCCCGTCGCTAATCCAAACTCTCGCCAGACTGCAGAACAGGATAGCCCAGCGCAACCACCGTAAGCCGCCAACGCACGTCCAGGAGGGTCCATTACCAGCTATAGTGCTAACCTCTTTGTTTCCCAGGCCGCAAACTCAAGGAGAGGGCTGCTGGCACCGACGAGAGTGCCTCGCCCGAGGAACGGCTGTCGCGGTCTTGTTCAGCCAGTTCCGATACCTCGAGCCGCCACTCATCTCCCAGAGACTCAGGCGCCATGGAATCTACCTTCCTCGCCGAGTACATGTTGACAGGGGACTCTTCCGCCTGGGCCAATCTGGACCTGGCATTAGGTGTGTCCAGTCTCGCAGCATGTCAGTTGCTCCCGGTCGTGACTGATCACGCGTCTCTCGCAGTGTACCCTATGCCGTCCACCATGGACGCAGCAGCGTCGGCTTTCGACCCGGCCTGCTTCATGTCGCTAGCACCAGAATGTACCTGCAACGGGGTGACTGGCCCCTGCGCCCACCATCTCGATGACTTTCAAGAACGATTCGTGAACATGATGGCGGCGCCGCTACCGCCGCCTCCCCATCCTCCTTTGGCGCCTTCTCCTAGCCTGGCGCCCGTCCCGGCGGCGCCCGATGACCCCATGTTCATGCAGCCGATGTCCTTCGAAGCTGCAGGTGGTAATGAGCTGTATGACCTGCCGGTGTCGCGGGGTCCGCATCCGTCGCAGCACGGCCGGACGTTGTCAAGGTGGGTTTCAAGCAACACGGCATTCTCACCTCGCTCCCCGACGCCTTCTGACCATGTCATGCTTGAACAGACACTCACGATCACGCTCTCAGAGTGTCCAACAAGCCCGTCGTCGGAAGCGTTCCGCAACCATGGCGCTACCCCTCTCGCAGATAGCAGCAAGCGTAACACCGTCACATTCGCCAGAAGTAGCAAGAGCAGCATCATCACCCGCTCTGTCGCCCATCGACGCCGAAGCTGCGAATGCCAGTGCAGCCAATTCGGTCCGCTTCAAGGCCGTCCTCGACTTTGTGCGGAATGCCGGCTTTCAGGATTTCGACTCCATGGTGACGTCGTACTACACGACACAGTTTGAGAAGAACAGCCTCGCCGACGTGTCGCAGCGGGCCAGTCGTGGCCGCCGGCTTCATAAACTGTTGCATGATCTGCATGAGAGTAGCAACCGGTGGTCCAAGTGGGAGTCGCGAGGCTTCAAAGACAGCGTCATGCAAAGTGCCCGTGAGTGCCCGCATGCCCCCCGTGCGCCGGCCGAGGAGCTGACGGATTGTGTTGCAGGGAGGATCTGCGTAGCCGAGATGGACAAGGTGGCTCAGGACCACCCGCGAGAGCAGGAGCGGTACCCAGTGCCAGCTTTCGACGGGCTCGGCAATGACAACGAGAGCGTCATGTCGACCGACAAGGACAGGAATGCAGGCCTGTCTAGCTTGGGGTTGTCAGCGTCGTCGCATTTGACGGTGCCAGACGATATGGAGACTCTCCAAGACGAGGTTGGTGGTATTCTGATTTGTCTCCAGGTTGTCCCTATGCTAACCCCTGATCAGGCACCCAATGTCTGGTCGATATTGACGGAGATGGCCGGCCCGGATGGCCTGCAGTGCGACCAGGTCTCTCAGTCGGTTCTTGAATCTTTGGTCCAGGCTCGGCGAAGTCAGAAGACGAAGTTGAACCCATTTGTTGGCACATAATTATTGTATAACTCTTTGTATTGTATAACTCTTCGTATACCCACGCATGTCGAATAGGGGTGGGACGCGCGTCGTGTTACTGACGCTGTGGATAAAGAAAGTACGATATTGCGTTTTGTCTCGTACCTATCTAAGCACCACGAGTGGACAGCAGAAAGGCCCTGTATGGAAGTGAAGTTCCAGAACGAAGTGGAGGAACGAAACGGCACCCATTCCTCTTCCTGCGTTAAGCCCTGCGATCTGATTGGTGCGGAGGTTCTTGATCCCGCTCCGGCGCTAGGCTCTGTATGGCTAGATAAGCTGGCTGGCTGGTAACGCACGGACCACCCACGACCCTTGGTTGAGGCCAGCTGTCTCGCGTTGGGAACTTCACTTCCATCTCTTGGGTGCGGCGCCCGGTAGCTTGCGTAGGGCCGCGGCGTAGCCTCGATTTGTAATTAAGTAAATCAGCCATGTTGCAGCCATGACACGGGATGCAAAGCTGTGAGGCGTTATCAGCATCGGGAAGCTAAGTTGCACTCATGGGTTGTGTAAACGAGGAAGGAAGGTAGGTAGGTACCTAACCTTAGTTTCTTAACAGATATCAGAAAAGACCGGCACACGCACAGGATTGATTGATTCTAGGATTGATTCACCAACAGCTTCGTGTTTTGCAAAATTGCAACTGTGGGCCACATTTCGCCACCCGTAGCTGGACCGAAGTCTATCCGGCCTGCCACCCGACCAATCAGCATCGAGCCGAGTTGGGTGGGTTGGTCTCTAGGTAATTTTCTACATTTTCTACATGAGCTACTGAACCTTCACTTCGTCACCGATTCAATCCAGCACAGGCCTGGGGTAGGTTGTGAACTGACAGCCGCTATGGATCCTCAACACTGGGAGGCTTTGGCAACTCCGACTCCTATAGCAGGAGCCATGTGCCTCTTAAGGGGGTGGGTGGTGGACAGAAGACCACCTGCTTACAAAACGCTGGTCCAGTGCGCACCAAACTCTACTATAACTCTCCAAGAACTCACCCGGGCGTTTGTTTCTGTTCCTATAAGGTATCCAGGACACGCACTGACTGCGCCATCATGTCTCACAACGCTCGTGACCGAACAACGTGTCTATGGTACGGACAGATACAATATGTACTGACCTCAGTGATGTATCATGACTACCCTGAAGGCGTCGAGCGTCCGCCGCCAACTCGTGCTATTTGTACATCACCACCCTGGCACTTGGCGCGCCTTGACCTCGATGCCATGCAGAGGCTTCGAGGAAAACCCGCCACCCGATACCGCCACCTTCTTCTCATCCAGTTGAGACTCATCTGAAAGGATGAACTCGAATCGCCCAACGCAGCAGGCCAATACGCACAGCATCTCGTGCCTGGCAAAGACACGGCCAATGCAGTCGCGGGGCCCGTGGATGAAAGACATGAGGGAATACTTGCTGAGAGCACCGCCGGTAGCATCGAAGCGGACCGCGCCTGTCGTCTCGTCTCGGCTGTACCAGCGCTCTGGCCTGAACTCGGCTGCGTCGGGTCCCCAGTTCCGGGGGTCGCGGTTGAACCCGTAGATGCTGACGACGACCTTGGTCGTGGCGGGGACAAAGACCCCTGCGACCGTGGTGTCGTCGGTGGCATTCTTCAACACCTGCGGGATGGGGGGCCAGTATCGCAGGCTTTCCGAGATGAAGGCGTTGAGTAACGGCATACTGTCCACCTCGGTGCTGTAGGCCGACGGTTCGCTGTTGGTGTCGGGACTCGGCAGCTTTGCCCGGGCTTCGGCACGGAGGGCCTTCTGCCACTCGGGCCGCCGGCACAGTTCGTACAAAGTCCAGGTCAGGCCGACCACTACTGTCTCATGGCCGGCGCCGAGCATCACCATCATGTGTGTGACCAGCTCCTCGTCTTCTACAACCTTGCGGTCACGGATCAAGGCGCTGATAATGTCATGTGTCGTCAGCTCGCCCTTGGCCTGGAGAGCCTTCTTCTCGCGCACTGAGGCGGCACAAGCGTCGCGAAGCAGCTGCCGGGCCGTGTCGACATCCTTGTTTTGTCGAATAGGGATACGGTCTAGTATGCCGGCGGGGATGGCGAACTTCAGCAGAACCGCCATGGCCTGCCACAGGCGGGTTGGGTTGAAGGTGCGACGATAGTTCCGGACCAGATCCGAATCCGGGCTCTTGATGGACTCGGAAGTCAACGCCCAGGGCCGCTTTGGAAATGACGTCCAATGCGGCGTGGCCCGCATGGTAGTCAATCTCGAACGGCGTCGAGAATCCCTTCTCCGAGGCGGTCTGCTGCACCAGGGTAGTGAACTTGGCCGTCGTCTCGACGGCCTTGCTCCAGAACACGGGATACAGATCGCGAATCTGCCTCGTGGAGAACGAGGGAAGGAGGAGCCTTCGCTGGCGCTTGTGCTCTTCGCCATTGACGAGCACAAGACCCGGGCCGAGGATGCGACCCGCGATTTTGGCCAACAGCTGGGGTTGGACGAAGTCGTTCGCTCGCTGGAGCACCTCAACAACGCCTTCCACCGATGTGAAGACCAGCCGCTCGCTGTTCAAGATGCCCAGGTATCTGAAGACACCGTCGTGTTTGATCTCGCTCTGCCTGGAACAGGGTGAGTACTGTGGCCTTCGTTGGACCAGGCCGTCGAGCATCTCGGACTCACCATTGAGCAGACTCGGCGACGTTCATGCCGGAGAAGGTGCGGTGCATGTAGCCATTCCACCAACTCCTGTCGGCCTGCCGCAATCGTTAGCACTCGGTCCCACAAGCTGAGTTGATGTCCGGTATACTTACTGTAGGCTCCGGCAGATGCCGCAGGGGTGAGAGCAGTTTTGGGTATATGATGATTCGGTACAACGCCCACGCGGAGAAGTGCAGCATCCAGATCACGTAGAGAGATACGTAGAACTTGACCTCGGTGAAGACCGGGCCCCTGCTCGCACTCTCACACAGGTAGTAGGAAGCGAAGGTGATGGCGACGGATGAGGCGGTTAGCCTCCGGAGAGGCGTGGCGAAATCCATCGAGGCAGAATAGCATTGCTAAGTTCCCAAGTGCTAATGCTGCTCGCTAGTCGAGGCTGGGACTTGTCCCACTGGCCTTTATATCGGAGGCTAATGTCTCTATGACGGGATGTTGGTGACGTCTGCCTCGTGCTGACGGCTGGTCGCGCCTCATTCTAGGCGGGCCTGCTATTTCCCCTTTCCTGCAATCCTACGAACTGACCGGAGGAGCAGTGGGCGATAGGGATCGCCCATGGGCTGTGATACCGAGGGCTAAAAATAACAGCCCGCCCCGGGACGTCAGCCGCTTACTGGCTTGGAAGTTGGGGGCTGCCATGGTCCCCAGCTGGCTGACAAGCCCGCGCTGATCCCTGGGACGTTTTGACATGACGAACGAGCTGAAGTTCACAGCGCGCGGGGAGAAATGAAGAATCGATATTTGTCGATGGATAAGCTGGCCTGAGAGTTTCGGCCTTTACTATAGGCAATATTGTGGTGACCAACTTCTTCGTCTTCATCGGCATCGGCCGTTTCTGACCACTGCCATGGATGTGATTGTGCCATGGTTAGTACCTCCTACCGAGGCAATGTTCTGCCAGTATTGTCTAGTACTTTGCCTTGATGAACATGCGACCTGTGAAGAGAGCCTCCAAGCCGAATCCTCAAGGTTGAACGCTCAATCATCGGCGCCATGCCCCGGTGTGCTCGAGTGTGTTTGTGGTTTCGTTACGAGAGTTACGTACCTGTCCAAGCTGGGACGGTGGAGCGGCGCGGTCAAGATGAGAGACCTAAAGTAGTAGTTGTGAATCACGTCAAGACGAACTATCGGCAGCGAGCGCGCGGCATGTCATTTGGATCTGGTAGTGGCAACTTATCCTTCATAATAGAGTATATCTCTAACTATTCTAACCATGTGCCGGGAAGACAGCCAGCCGGATAGCTTGTGCTGATTTAAAACGAATTTCCACCCGCCAATGTACAAGACCGAATAAAGGCACTCAGCCGATGCAGTTGTGGGAATCTGTGGAAGCAGCAACCTGCCCTCAGTGGCGCGTGGGTAGGTGGATGATGGGTCGAATGGTCAGTCTATTCATCTTGGCATGTTCCTCGGTCTTAGGGAGACCTTTGTACCTGTACGGCTGCTTGTTACCAGCCCAACGTGTTCCGACCAAGGCGTGCTGGCATCGTGGCATTCGATCGATTCAAACTGTTGTACCAAGCGAACAACCACATATGCGGCCTGAGTAAGGGCGTATTGCTGCCCAACGCAGATAGGTGGCCCGCCGTTGAAGCTGGTGATGCGTCGTCAGTAACGTCTCGTGGCCGTCGAGGTGAACTTCAGGACTGCTTACGGTATACATGCCCATCCTGGGCGCAGGGTACTGTCGTCCCAGCGGTCCGGGTTGAACACGTGCGAATCGGGGCCAAAATGCTCAGGCATCCGATGCATCGACCACAAATGGTAGTTCACCAGCTGACCCGCTCGTACGAAGACCGGAGAGCGCCCATCAGGCCCGCCTCCGTGCGGCAGTGTCGTGTTCTCGGTGGCGATGCGCGAGTTCCAGGGCACCACCGGATAGAGGCGAAGGGCTAGTGTTTTTGATCAGCTCTACACCCCTGGCACTGTTCTTAACGTCAAGGTTGGCTATACACACATTCGTTGAGAAGGTTGCGGATGTACTTGACAGTTCGAAGGCCGTCGTAATCGGGTATACTGCCCTCAAACGTCTGGTCTATTTCGCTTCTCAGGCGGGCCCAAATATCCGGGCGGCGGGCAAGCACGAAGAACGTGTTGCTCAGCAGAGCAGCCGTGGTGTCACGACCCGCCAGCAACAGGTTCAACGTTTCGTGCCTCAATTGGAGGGGATCTCGCGTCTCATTGGCGATTTCGTGGAGAAAGACATACTTCTCCTTCCCACCTGGAGCTTCTTTCTCCTCTGTCAAGGGGCCATGGTGGGCTTTGCCATCCGACCGCGCGAGGAACTCGGCAATGACCCGTCGAGTGTTCTGTGGACGGTCTCGCAGGCCTCGTCAAACTTGGACTTCTTCTTGGCGGCGAAGAGAGACTGGATCCAGGCGAATGGACGTAGTGCCGGTGACTCGCGCAGGCCATGGACGTGTATTCGGCACTGGGCGTAGTCAAAAGCATGCATGAATCGCAGAGCGTTGGACCCCGGGGGTGACAAAAGCGAGCCGAATGACCGGCCCAGTAGAAGCTCTGTTGCCGAGTCCAATGTGAGACGGAAGAACAGCGGCTGGAGATCAGCCTCGACCGAGCCGGAGCGCCGGTCCGGCTGCGGCAATGCGGTTAGGAAGTCCTGGAGATGGCGCTCAAAAGCAGAGAAAGATCAGATACTTGGACCTTGGTGAAGGTAGGCCGCACGAGGGACTGCAGCGACGTGGTCAGAGATGTCTCGATGGGAATGACCTCTCATGTCTCTTGAAGGGGTTCTACTGGTTGTTGCCAGCCACTTGCGAGTGCCCACTCACCCTTGAATGCTCCCAGGACGTGCCATCGTTTGTAAAAATGCCTGGCCCGGTGAGAGGCCCCAGGATTTTCATACGCCTCGGCCCAAGGTCGAAATGCTTGAACTTGGTGGCCAGGACTGCCTTTACATTCTCAGGGTCGATGGTGAAGATGGTGGTCCGGCCCAGTGACGAAGCTTGAAAGGTAGGCCCGATGGTAGTGAAGCGGTGATACCACATTTCCAACCAGGTGTTAGCCTTCCATGCCCTGGCGGCCTCTACGACGTTCTGGACACCGAGTATTGTCTCTGGCTGCTGATAGCGAGGAGCAGGCAGGCAGCCATGGGCGGTGGCGAAGGTTTGGTTCTGCCATCTCGTCTTCAGCCAGGTGAGGGTGGCAAGTAGGAGCGCAGCAAAGATGATAAGCAACGGGGACAGCATGGCGCGTATCGTGAAGACGCCAGCAGTAAGGGTTTTCGTGGTAGGTGATTCAGTTGCACGAGCAGGCTTGGGTTTGAGTCGGTCACTGGTATGATGTGCGTCCAGGGCCAAGGGGACATGATAGATGGGTGAGGTATGTCTGATTTGGCCCTATTCCGCCGGCTATCCCAAAAATGGTCGAGACAGAAGCCCGATGAGTATGACCGAGTGCCAAAGACCTCTGAAAGGCTGAGGGTTCTCCTTCAGCTCAATTGTCAGCAAGGCGCCGTCGGCTGACATTGAACGACGTTCGAGTCCGACTCGGCGGGCCCTGACCAGGCTCTCTGATAGAGGCACAAGCACAAGTGGGGGGGAGTAGATCTCGCTCATCTTCGCGCAGGCGCATCCTAGCAATGACAGCTTCCCACGTGCAAGGTGTTCCATCACAACTGACATGGTTCTGCATGGATGGCCCTGAAAACGTGGGCCAAGGCGGCATCAATAAGCATGACTACCCTAATAATTATCAGATCGACTATGATAAAACAACAAAAGGGGGGGTCCTTCTCTTGTTACATTCAATGGTACTAGCCCCGCCACCCGGTCACCCACCACCCGGTCACCCGCCACACCTGGCAAATACTCGTAGGTGGTGGTTGTTGTGGTTGTTGTATTTAACGCCAGGAGATCAAGCCGCATAGCGGCGATCTCGAGCCTCCCAAGGGGCACCAAGGGGCATATAGGTGTGCTAGGCTAGGAAGTACCGATACGGTGTATTACAAGGAACTTTTTTCGTCGCTTAACCGATCTAGCAAATCGTCACCGCCCGACTATCTGTATCCAGGCTGCATTCGACAGCTGGGCAGCCCTATCACGCATACAAGACTACCTTCTCACCGAAGAGATGGAGGACTACCCGTGCCAACCTAGCCTAGGACCCGCCGTCGAAGTCCGGCACGCAACATTTACCTGGGACCACGGCAGTACCGAGAGTGCGGAACCAACAGACGAGGGGTCCATCGCGTACTCCCTTCCAGCAAGCGAAAAGCAGAAGGCCACGTTCACTTTACAAGACATCAACCTGTCTATCAGACGTGGAGAGCTTCTGGCCGTCATTGGAAGTATCGGCTCGGGAAAGACATCGCTGCTGTCCGCCCTGGGCTGGAGATATGCGCAAGACATCGGGCGGCGTGCTCTGGGGCGCGTCACTGGCCACCTGCCACCAGCGCCCCTGGATTCAGAATACGACGGTGCGAGAAAACATCACGTTTGGACATCCTTTTGACAAGATGTGGTACCGCACGGTGATCCAGGCGTGCTCGTTGACCCGCGACCTCGACATCCTGTCCCATGGTGATGCCACTGTGGTGGGGGAGGGTGGCGCGGTCCTCTCGGGTGGTCAGAAACAGCGCATCAGCCTAGCGCGTGCCATGTACTCTCGTGCCGACGTGGTCTTGCTCGATGACCCCCTGAGCGCCGTTGACGCCAACGTCGGGCGCACCATCCTCGACAACGCCATCTGCGGGCAGATGTCCTTCCGGACACGCGTGCTGGCGACGCGTCGCCTGCACATGCTGCATCGATGTGATCACATCCTCTGGCTTGAGGAGGGGCGAGTGCGGGCCATCGACACGCACGCCAATCTGATGGCCCATGAGCCAGAGTTCGCACGAATGGTGGAAGAGTCCCGGGGCAGCGAGAAAGTGGCCGAGCCCCAGCTCGGGCCTGGCACCCCGGAGAGTAAACGGCGCAGCGCAGTCGCCAACCGCAGGAGTGCCATTGACGACCGCAAGAGCGCTATCGACAATCGCAACAGCTGGTTTGTGCCTGACTGGATGCACACCGAGGGGGAGCAGGAGGACAAGCTGATGCAGGACGAGGACCAGGAAACCCGCTCGGTATCGTGGAATGTGTACGGCTCCTTTGTCACGTCGAGCAAGAACGGCTTCCTCGTCGCCATGTGCCTCCCCCTCCTCGTTCTCGCCCAGGGGTGTGTCGTCATGACATCCCTCTGGCTTGCGTGGTGGAGCCAGCAGAAATTCGCCCTGTCGCGTGCCGTCTACATTGGTATATATGCCTCGCTGGCCACAGGTCAATTTGTCTTCCTCTACCTCTTCAGTCTGTCCGTGGCGACTTGCTGTGTCCGGTCGAGTCGGAACATGATGAACAAGGCGATTGGCCGCGTGCTACGTGCGCCTATCTCGTTCTTCGACACGACACCGCTTGGTCGCCTCCTCAACCGGTTCTCCAACGATGTCGAGACCATGGATCTCTCCCTCCCCGAAGCGTTGAGGTTATATCTCAACTCACTCTCCGGAATACTGGCCATATTTGCCCTCGTGACAGTCTATTTCCATTGGGTGAGCGTCCCCTGCCTATGAAACTTCTTCTGGTTATGTCCATCCCAACTAATGTTCCGTCAGGCGGCCATCGCTGTCGGCGTCCTTTTGGGTATCCTGCTCATCCTAGCTCAATACTACCGCACTTCGGCTCGCGAGATCAAGCGCCATGAGTCTGTCTTCCGATCAGGTGCCTTTTCCCGCTTCGTCGAAGGGCTGTCGGGAGTGTCCACGATTCGAGCTTTTGGGATGCACGCGGGCTTTTCCAGCACAATGTGCGACTCGGTGGACGACATGAACAGCGCATATTTCCTGACATTCGTGAACCAACGGTGGCTGAGCTTGCGATTGGACCTCCTCAGCTCCCTCCTCATGGTGGTGTTGGGCATTTTGGTCTTGGTCGATCGCCAGAGCCAAAATCCTGCCATCTCGGGCCTCGTGCTGAGCTTGACACTCAACGCGGTCCAACTCCTTCAGGTCGTGATCCGCGAATGGGCCGACGTCGAGAATGCAATGAATTCGATGGAGCGTCTGTACGCATATGCGAACTCGGTCCCGCAGGAGACCGACATCTCAAACGAGCTCACCCCGGCGGAGCCCGCACCAGAATATTGGCCGTCCGATGGTGACCTCAACTTCTCCAATGTGCGCATGCGGTACCGTCCAGGTCTCCCCGAAGCACTCCAGGGGATCGACATGAACATTCACGGCGGTGAGCGTGTGGCCATCGTCGGCCGGACCGGTGCTGGCAAGTCATCCATCGTCAACGTCCTCTTCCGCATGTCGGAGCTTTCGGCTGGCTGCATAAGTATCGACGGCCAGGATATATCGCAACTACGTCTGGAGGATCTGCGCACCATGCTGTCCATTATCCCCCAGGAGACGACCCTGTTTTCAGGCACGGTGCGTACCAATCTCGACCCGTTCGATACGTACTCGGACCCGCAACTCTGGGACGCGATCCGGACGGCGGGGCTGCAAGGTGTCTTGCACCTTAGCGACGTGGTGGACGACGAAGGGGCCAACTTATCACTCGGCCAGAAGCAACTGTTGGCGTTGGCGCGAGTGCTGGTACGCCGCACTCGCATTGTAGTCTGCGACGAAGCCACGGCAGCTTTGGACACCGAGACTGACGAGCGGATACAGCGAACAATGCGTACCGCGTTCCGGGACAAGACGGTCTTGTACATAGCGCACCGCCTTCGGACCGTGCTAGCATATGACCGGATCTGTGTCATGGACCGCGGACGGGTTGCCGAGTTTGGTACGCCTTTGGAACTCTTTGGAAAGAAAGGGAGCATTTTTAGGGATATGTGCATCCGGGATGGTATCAGCGGGGGGCACATCTACGCCTCCATGAAGTCGACAGGCAAAGAACCAGTACGGACGTTCCAGCAGCCTTTTGGCGAACCGTTTGAACAGTCCTTCGAGCAGTTTTTTGCGCAATGGGTTTGAAGCTTGACTTACCACAGGATGCAATAGACTATATATTTCTACATGACATCGACAGGATGAATGACTCCTAGGCCCAGAAGTGTGGCAGTACTGGATGTATTAGGTCGTGTTGCTGTGATATACGAAGAGACTTGGCCCAAAGCCGATAGTCCGTAGAAGGTGCTGACAGCACATGGTCAGGGCACCATACCTACCTACTGAGATACATCATGTCTATCACGAACTCTGCTAATATAATGCACTACCACTTGTACTACTATGTCGACCATAACAACCCGAGCGGCGCCTCTCTTTCCGCGGGTGTTGTCAAGCGCCCGATCTCTGAGTTCGAAGCTTACTTTGCCCTTGGTATAAACCCACAAGTAGGTAGGTATGTAACGTGGCATCAACGTGGGGATCATCCACACTATACGATCAAACGCAAACCCTACAGCCAAGCTTACAGGTGAAGTACTTTGCTATCACTTCTGTTGACACAGTAAACATACCCCCAGCCAAAGGCTTTTCGTAGCCGATGTCGTAATGACATCGTATGTCGTCGGCGTACCCCAATCCCGCCACTCGTCTGGAGAAAATAGCTCCTGGTTACGGAATGGAGAATTATACGGATGGAAGACTCATGTTCGCACAATAGCATCATCCAAACCACGTCCGTTGTGGTGAAGTTGTTTCACTTTGGGAAACATGAGTCTTTTATTGACCTTGGTGGATAATCAGGGTTGCCAGGAAAGGGGCAAAGGTACATACGGGCATCGAACCTCGCCTTGATCGGCTCTGCTAAGAGCTCCCCGGGTGTTGGGGTCTCGTCCGGGAGATGAGGTTTGGGTATCGTAGATAGTTGTCGGTAGCTAGCTGCGATGCCTCCTGCTCGCCGATTTTGGTCACCATCTCCAACTCGGTGGTTTTCTCACCCGGAAAGAAAGGGGTCGACCCAGTCTTCGTAATCGTCATCGTTCACATTGATGGCCCCATGGCGGAACACGCAGGCGACACAGGCAGACAGGGTACCGTGAAGCTGCGCGTGCGGCACAGAGCGCAAGCCATTGTGACCGAGCTGAAAGGGGCCATTCATCGAATGTGGCATGTGGATGTGCTATGCCGTTGCGGCTTACGCATAAGCCACACCCACCCTCGCCCGACGCCACCCAGCAGCGACCTCAGCCCGTCAGCCGTCACACGCAAAGAGATATGTTCCTGTCCATAAGCGGCGTGGTATACCCAGTCGACCAGAGCAAATGGTAATCATGCCTTACCGCCGCGTGACCGCATGTCCAAACGAGCTGCCGCGCTTCCTACTGCCATCTACAAATAGTAGCAGACGACGTAAGAGGCTGAACAGAAACCCCGCGTGTCTTCCGCGACGCCATTCTCTGCAACAGAGCTGTTGCTGTGGTGCTGGTAATAAGCTTAATTCATCCTTCACTACCTAGTAAGCATGCTTGCCTTGATGCTGAGGGCGACAACCATCCCTGGTCAGGATTGGTAACGCACATGGTACGCTGTAGGATGCACCTGCTTAACTACCAACAACTGGGGTTGCTGCCAGCCTGGGATGCCGATTTATACAGCTGGAGCTTGACGTATCTTCTTTGATCGGCGTCCATTCAAGGGAAGCTGGAACCATGGGGGCCAATGTAGCTGATAAAACTGGTTTCATGGCTGATGTTCCGCAACTCGCATGTCTCGAAGAATGACTGCATCGTGGCGCATTCAATGACATAAGTCGACGACCATGTACCCATATTTGCTACGTCGACAGGGAATCTGATGCGAATGCTGGGGTTGATCTTCAGACTGGCAGTGGCAACTCCCATCCAGTTTGAGTTTATGAAAACAGGCCTGTCCGACGTTTGACCTCACGTCATGTCGTAGAGGGGACGTGGGAGAGGGGGCCGGCCGACTCGGCCGCGCGTTAGGAGTAGATTTTGAAGGTAAAGCCGAAGGTCATATAGGCCGTCTTCCTCAAGATGGCACCTCGGAAGAGAAGGGGAGAAACGATCCAAGGAGCTCCGACGAATGAATGCATTCTTCGAGTATTGCGTATACACAGAAGAGAGAAAGCAGTCGAGTCCACTATGCCTATCAAGCCATCAGGCGCCACGCCCCTACTGTCGGTGCTGACCTTCTGCGTACGGGAGCGGCGGCGAGAGCAAGACGTCGGTGTATGCAAGGTTAGGTAGGTACTTGAGTAGAAATACTCAACGCGTGGTGGTACACAGTGTGGGAGAGCAGCGACCGGGCGTCCCTTATACTGTACATGTAGTGGGTGTGCAGAGCTCCAGCCGATGCACTCCGACGGTCCGACGCCGATTTGGGGGGTCCACTGTGGAGGAGACTTGGCCACGCCGGCTCATCTCTGTGATCTTTGTTCTTACACGGCCATATCCAGCCACGCGGCTTCAGGACAGCATGGCCGCCGCGACTCTCAAGATCGCCGTCATACCCGGAGATGGCATCGGCACCGAGGTTATGCCCTACGGCGTCCGATGTCTTCAGGCCGCCGCCCAAGCCTTTGGCCTTGCACTGCATTTCGAGACCTTCGATTTTGCCAGCTGTGTCTTCTACCAGGAGCACGGAGAGATGCTGCCGCTCGATTGGAAGGATACTCTGCTGAAGTTCGATGCCATCTATTTCGGAGCCGTTGGCATGCCCGCTCTCGTGCCCGACCACGTCTCGTTGTGGGGGGGTTTGCTGAAGTTCCGCCGCGAATTTGATCAGGTGAATCCGCACGCCGTCGTTAGGTATTTAGAGAGGTATTGACCAACCAGTACATCAATCTTCGTCCCTGTCGGTTGATGCCCGGCGTCCGTTGCCCGCTGGCTGGACGCCAACCCGGCGATATCGACTTCTGGGTTGTTCGAGAGAACACCGAAGGGGAGTACAGCTCCAGTATGTGTACACAGCATTCAGAAGTCCTTCAGTCCCCCTTCGGACCCTGCTTTGGGCGTCTATCTGCTCCATCGGGCCTGAGCCATGGTGCCTTTACTCCGGGGACATTCATACGAGCTCATCACTCAATTGTCTACTTACAATGGATGACTGCTGACGTCTGGTCTCTCAAGTTGGCGGAAAGATATTTGAAGGCACCGACAGGGAGACTGTCATCCAGGAGACTGTCATGACCAGGACAGGCGTAGACAGGGTGCTTCGTTACGCATTCGAGCTCGCCCAGAGACGGCCGCGCAAGCACCTTACCAGTGCGACAAAGAGCAACGGTATCAGCATCACAATGCCCTACTGGGATGAACGGGTCCGTGAGATGGCGTCCAACTATCCCGACGTGGCTGTTGACAAATACCACATCGACATCTTGACTGCGCACTTCGTGCAGAAGCCAGACGGTGAGCTGATACACATCCGCACCCACACTATTGTTGGAAATTCAACATGACGCTGTGCGACCTCACTTCACGATTGCCTGCATGCTAACGTATAGTGCATGTAGTACGTTGAAACCCCTCCCCTCTCCGTCTCTCGTTCTTTACGGCTCCCTTGGGCTCATGGTTTTCGGGGCGCTGGGAAGCAGATTCGTGGAGACACGAATCTTGTATTAACAGCCGACAGATTTTCGATGTCGTCGTCGGGAGCAATCTGTTCGGTGACATCCTAAGTGACCTTGGGCCAGCATGCACTGGAACCATCGGAATCGCCCCGTCAGGTAACATCAACCCGGACAAGAAATTCCCAAGCCTTTTCGAGCCAGTACACGGAAGTGCACCGGATATTGCTGGTAAGGGTATCGCAAACCCAGTCGGCATGATTGTAAGCAACTCTGTCATCTCGTTTGAAGAAGACAAGAGCGTCGTACACCCAGGGGCCCGCTGCGACTATTCACTGACTTCGCTACAGTGGGCTGGACAGATGATGCTTCAACACTTTGGGTTCCATGATGCAGCGGGGGCGATGCTCCAGGCGATTGAGAGGGTCCTGGCAAGAGGCGAGGCAGAAGTGCTGACTGCTGACATGGGCGGCAAGGGGACAACCAAGGCTCTAGGTGAAGCTATCGAGAGCGAGATCCTGTCCTTCAAGGGCACCTGATCATACAGCGTTGCCGATGCCACTGAGATGTTTGCCAACAAGACAACGCTCGCAGGACCGCTGCCACCAAGTCGCGCCCACCGTGACCCAGATGATAGTCGGAGCTCGGGGCAAGATCAGCGTGAGTCGAGCCAAGCATCGGATATGAGGTGGACGCAAGCTTGAAGATGACTGGATTATCTTGAAGTATCTACAGTACACAGGGTAGGCATCCCATTTGAATCAAGTCATGAAGATATCGGCTCTCCTGCCCAACGCCACGTCATGTACGCCATGTCGCCCGCTCTGCACGCTCGAGAATGGACCGCGCTATCAGCACAACCCTGGAAAGCCTGCGAATATGTAGGTGCAGGGCCATGTAATATGGGTTGCGATGATTATATATCTCGTCAGCTGCGATTGGCTCCCCGCTCCGAATCACAGATTGGCCGGCTGTCGTGAAGCGCGCCATCCGGTCATCTGTGGGCGCGGAGGTCCTCAACTACCTATACATCCCAGCAATCACGCCATTCCGGTAGGCGTTCGCATCACGGACTAGTGATTCGAGCATCGGCCCCACCCCTGCCTTTCGAGCACGAACGCCGAGTTGTCTTTGAAAATATACCTTAGGTTACCTATATAGTATAACCAACCATGTTTCTCTCGGATGTCGGGTGTGAGGTTCTGGCGTCTATGCTCACTGCCGTCATTGGCTGGTTGTCGGAATCTAGGATCATGTTATTCAGCCTGAAGAAAGCGGTGCTCGCCAGCTCGTGGGCCGCGTTCCTGGTCGCAGGCAAAGCCCACGGCCACCTGGGGAGCAAGCCCAACTTCATCTTCATCATCACCGACGATCAGGACTTGCATCTAAACTCGCTAAACTATCAACCAGCCGTGCAGCGCCACTTTGCCCAGCAAGGAACATTCTTCAGCAAACACTATTGCACCATCGCGATATGCTGCCCTTCGCGGGTCTCACTTCTGACAGGACGCGCTGCACACAACACCAACGTTACGGACGTTAGTGCCCCGTATGGTAAATAGGAACCCACCGAGGTGACCCTCGAGATCACCGTTGACTTGTTGACAGGCGGCTATACCAAGTTCATTTCCGAAGGCTGGAACGAGAAATACCTGCCCGTGGTACGTGGCAGCCCCTATCCCATTCTGTGTCTCCCTCGGGGGTAGAACTAGCTTGATCGAGTACGGGACGTGTCTTGACAAGATGCACTCGCCATAACTGCAATCCGTTCACATGTGCCTTGAAATGTTATCAACGCTGGCCACTGACACGTACAACAGTGGCTTCAAGACGAAGGTTATAATACATACTACACAGGCAAACTGATGAACGGGCACTCGACGACCACCTATAACGACCCCTTTGCCAAAGGCTGGACGGCAAATGACTGTATGTATACTTCAGGCCAATTGGTGTGAGATTATGACTGACAACCCAGTCTTCCTTGACCCAAACACATACATCTACTACAATGTGACAATGCAGAAGGATCAAGATGTACCGGTGACCTACCCTGGAGAGTACTCGACAGACCTGGCTGCGGAGCGGTCTCTCGGTTTCCTCGACGATGCCATCTCCAAGGACGCGCCCTTCTTCATTGGTGTTGCTCCCATCGGACCCCGTATGTACATTTCGAGTCTCTCAATGCCCCTTCTGGCCGTGTCTCAAGAGCGAATTTCCTCTTCTAGCCTGTGTCAAGAGCCCTTGCTCCGGAGATACGCATTCCGACTCTAATTTGCTACCAGACGCGGAGACGATAAGCGGTAGCTTTAATCCACCCGTGCCAGCGAAGCGCCACAAGGATCTCTTTCCAGGCCTCAAGGTTCCCAGGACCGAAAACTTCAATCCGGACGTCGTGAGTGCGAGAGGTGAAACATCTGAGTATTGGCAGCTGACATTTCTCAGAGCAGCGGTGCCAGCTGGATCAGTCAGCTCGCGCAGCAGAACCAGACCGTCGTAGACTATAACGACGAGTTCTACCGCGCTCGCATCCAGTCGCTGCAGGCGGTTGATGACTTGATCGAGTCCATCATCAGCCGCCTCGAGAAAGACCCTCTCGTCTACGAGAACACATATCTGATCTACACCACGGATAACGGGTACCACATCGGGCAGCACCGGCTCGCGCCCGGCAAGACGTGTCCGATCGAAGAGGATTACAACGTCCCCTTCTTCATCCGAGGCCCAGGGATCGGAAAGGGCAAAGTCGTGTCTCTGCCCACCTCGCACACAGATATTGTGCCCACGCTATTCACGCTCGCCGGCATTCCGCTGCAGGCTGAATTCGATGGCGAGCCCATGCCTGTGACGGCAGAGCAACTGCAAGACACGGGGCACAGGAGCGAGCACGTCAACCTTGAGTTCTGGGGTGACTCCATTCCGGAAGGAGGTTACGGCGGTAGTAAGTTTGCCCCGGACCAGAGTATGATGGCCCTTGTAGCTAAACGCGGGCTTCAGGTTCCTCCAAGAACAATACCTACAAGTCGGTGCGGGTCATTGCCCAGAGCTATGACCTTGCCTATACAGTGTGGTGCAATAATGACCACGAGATCTACGATATGAAGGTAAGGTTATGCTCCAGAACGCCATCTCCCGCTGGTTTTTCCAGCTGCTGACCTCCGATAGTCCGACCCAGGACAGATGAATAATCTACATGGATCGGCTGGTGAAGTCTACGGATGGGATATTGAGAAGCTCACGGCACGTATTGACGGCCTTTTGTTGACGCTGAAAGCCTGCAAAGGAGCTGTGTGTACCAGGCCCTGGGCAAAGCTCCATCCTCGGGGCGACGTTCTGAGTCTCAGTGATGCCATGAAGCCAGCCTTTGACGACTTCTACGTCGAGCAGCAGCTCAAGGTCACATTTACAGCCTGCAAGGAGGGATATCTCGCCGAGTTTGAGGGAGCTCTGGAACCCGTGGCGTATGATTGACGTGAGATTTCCAAGTAGTTGGCTTTGTCCACGTCAAAGTCCTGCACGAAGCTGAATAAGAATAGAACCATCGACGGCCAGCAGGGCTCATCGAGCACTTAGTATGGTGACGAATGCCATCCGCCCTCCATCCATAAAGAATCTGGACAGCTCTCTAGAGCCAAGCAAACTGTTGCATGCTCTCATTCATGCCATTCTGATCGGTTCATACGAGGTAGACCTCCTCACCACATGAGTACGCCTGCAAGAGAGCCTGTAGGTGCCACATGCACTGTTCCCGTCATCGCAGTCAGCGACAGCACCGCTTCTGGCCCTGGCTGATGCACGTTCCGAAAACCATCTGCGTCATCGTATCCGCGATCCACTACGAGGAGGCCGAGAATAGCTGGTTCCGGCCGCAGACTCGTCCGGCACAGCCGCACTCGCACCAGGCGAGGCAGAACCGGCTGCCACGGAAATGGTGCCCTTGTCGGCTCTTGTGTCTCCAATGATTGCCTGAGAACCCGTGACAGAGGCTGTTGTTGCGTGCGGGTCGTAAGTCATTGTTTTAAGGTGAAGGTCCTTCGGGGTAGATGGTTCTGGGAAGCCATATTGGAATGGGTGCGCCTTGACGACGCCACTGGCGGAACCAACACGGGGCGAGGGCGAGGGCGAGGGCGAGGAGAAAGGAAGGCGACCTCGAGGTCAAGGCAGTAAAGTCTACCAGGACAGATGAGTGAAGGAGTGTGTTGCCAGGGCAAACGGACGGCAGTAACTTCAGATCGCAACTCTTCGGGATACAACGGTGAGAGGCAGCAGAACCACAAGTGCGGGAGTGCGGACTACTCGTGAGGTAATGCAAGCAATCGAGGTTTCCATATGACCGCCCGCTGGTAGATTGTAGTCTCGAACCCGGGAGCTGCGGTCCTGAGGACCTGGGGACCACCTCGAGAGGGTTAATGATAGCCAAACACACTCATACCGCCGTAGCCTCACAGCCTCGCAACCTCGGTTATACACTGCTCGTGTCCGGGAAACTGCAGTTCCCACGTGCCAGGATCATCATGGGTCTCGGGTGATACACTGGCAAGCAACGGCATGGAGAAATTCAAAGCAGTGCCATGGCTTGACGGCACCGTCGCCAGGCCTGTGTGTCTTCGAGGTACTCGCTATTGGAGTCTCTCTACAGGCCGTGTTTGGGAATGTGGATAATGGGCGTTGTCAGCCTGGGTTCCCTCTATTAAACTGTATATTAATAATGCCGTCCACCCCCCTCGAGAACTGTTTCCCGAACTACCTAGAACTGAGGAATGCCAAATTCCGCGGCCCTTCGTTTGTCCCAAAGCTCTGCCTCCTAGTCTGCCTTTTGTTGTTGATTTGTCGGATGGTAAAATGAGGGCGGCATTGCTGGTATGCCGAAGTCGGTGCTCGTTGTACAAGGTCACCCTCTATCGAGGCGACACGATCGATTCCAGCGTCATCGTCGAGGAGCTTGAGAGCATCTCCGAGGCCAAAGAATCCAAGGAAGCAGGCTGCGATAGATCAGTCATGCATCGATCTGATGTTCTCGATTAAGGTGCCCTCGTCATCTGTCGTGGCCCTGGCCCGCAGTCGCTCCTCGCGCGTCATGGTGTGCAATATTCGCGGCATAGGTTTTGGAAAACAGAGGTCGTAGTGCACCGATATGTTGACTTGGTAGCCGAGGGTTCCCCGACCCGCAATGACAGTTTTTGAGATGCTGCATAGAGCCTTGAGAGCACTGAGCTTCGTGCCGTAGGAGCTTTCTGGTTTAGTTCGCTGCTCGATAGCTTCAACGCATTTCCTGATTTTGGAGAAGGCATCTCCAGCCGCCGAACACTCTCCGTTTGCGTTTAGCACACGTCACGCGTCTTTTCTGTAACGGTCAAAGCTGATGGTTTGTTGCCTGTGCGTCTGTACATGTTGCTGGTGCGCCGTGGCAACGGCTGCCTGTGCCGACGGCGACACAGTCACCAGGCTGCCGATGAGGCTTCGGACCGTGTCTGTGTCCAACTGTGCCACCATATGCGCATAGTCTAGTTGGGGCGCAGCGGCTGGCGCAGCGGCTGGGGGTGTTGATCTCGTCGGCGCAGCCGGTTGAATATGGCGGCGGCACTTCGGCGGAGGCCCTTGACAGTGAGGCCCTGGACGTCGTACCCCAGCTCGTCGTCGAGCTCAGGAGGCCAGCAACAACTGCAATTGAGCTGGCCACAGCCACAGCCGCGGCAGTCGACCTCTCCCCGTCGTCTCTTGGCGGCGCGAGGCATAGAGAATGAAGAGAATGAGCCCTCGAATTAGGTAGATGGGGTTTGCGGACGGCGTTCGCAAGTCCTCGGCCGCCTCAACTTGTCAGGTGAAGCAAGACAAATTTGAACAGTGGTCCCAGGTCAACGCTCTCCCCGTCTCCCCACCGTGACTGGCGTTGAACCGTGCGCCACGCCGGACCCCATAGTACGTCACGGCTACTTCTGGGTATGAGGAAAACTCTCGGGTCTCGGATCCCGGTCTATTCTTTTACTATTGGCTCCCATCATTCTTAATATAGTATACCCAGGTTGTGTAGTAGTGAGGCTCTGCTGCGCGTGATATCAATTAAACCTTTGCCTGAAAGTAGGCGTAGACCTGGCTTCTCCTAATAAGGAAAGCTCGTATAGATCCTGTCATGTTGGCAGGTCCTCATGGGTATTGTGGATTCCCACGCATGGCCACGGCTTGAACTCCTGTCTTCTCGGGGAGACTGGAGGCGGGCTTCGATGCACTGAGCTACCCAGGGAGAACATTAGCATATAAAATACTCCGCGTGAAATGAGAATACTACATGTGGGTGTCCTATGCTTTCAATGTATCCTAAAATTCGGAACGTTATAGATTAAAAAATGAGTATCGTTAAAATGATGAACTTGTCCTTGTTATTTCATGTTTAAAGTATATATGCGTTCGAAAGACGCCGTTCTTTAAGTGAAGACTTTAAGTCGAAATATTTTATATTTAATTCGTGATATACTGCCTTAATAAACAGAATGTATAGCCTTATATCACTTTCACATACATATATATATATAACTTTAAGCTGGTATTAAATAATTAAAAGTACGTTTTTTAACGATAACGCTTTTTAACCACCGTCGTATATATCAACCGTATATATTTTAATAGGTTTAATTCGTACTTATCTTAAAAATATACTATAAACATATATAACATTAGTTTAAAAGCGTTATCGTATGATTACGTGATTAACTACGATGATAAAAATACGCCTTTTAAAGTTGCTATTACCGTTATAACGTCGTATATATTAGAGCATATATTCACTAATAGCTTTAAGCCATGCTTATGAATATATACTTAAATTAATATTTACGACGTTAATTCAAGACCGTAATAACTGTAAAGCGTACTTTCGTCGTAATTATTAAAAGATGCCGAAGTTTATTACCCTTTATACGATTAAAACATCAACCTAATAATAACGACGATAAAAATATTATAACCTTTTCAAGCTAACGTCGCATATATTATCTTATATATTCTTAGGTATCTGGTAGATTAAAACCATTTAAAAAAAATTAATACATACGGCGTTAAGTTAATAGTATAATCGAACTTAATTAACATAGGTACTACCGGTATAATATATTTGCTCCTTAAATCGTATCGCTTAATAGGTAAAGGCAAGCTTATGCAGACAAATATAACTATGAAAGGCCAATTCAGATGAGCTGTTATGCGTTTGCTTATTTGAATATTATCTAGCATCGTTAGTTGAAGGCGTCTCAATGGTTGTAACTTCATTAGGTATGTCAATCGGATCCCTCTCCCTTTCGACGTTGATAAAGCTAACGAAGAAGATGCATTCAATTCTCGAGGTCAGCATCGAGGCACCCATAGCTCCGGTAGCAAGCTCCATCCTGTGGTTCTTCCTTTCTCTTCTCGCCGTCCTGCTGTATCAATTGCCAGATCGGGTCGTCGGAGCAGGGGATATATATAAAGCATGACACTGGCTGTGCAGAGACAGAATTTGTTCGCACAAAAAGAACAAGCCTATTCGTTCTACCACGTGATCTCGAATGAACACGGAGTTTCGGAAAAGACAGGTCAGGGATTACCAAAGTGCAGAAGATTAAGCCAATTGTCAGACTATTTTAAAACTGCTTAGCCATCGCGATTGTAGGCATGATGGACGGCAGCGTTGCGAGCCCTTGGTTTTGCTTCAATGACTCGAACCGAATTTAGAAGTTGGCCCTGGGGTGAAAGCATCACTTGAAAAAAATACTGCGGGCATTTGCATTCCTAGTACATGTTTGTCAGTAACCTTCCTTTTATGGGCGCGACGAAATCAATAAGATACTAAGATATAAATATATGTCTAGGAATCTATCTCGGTGGGTTATCGATTGATCCTTTTCTCATGGGCTCGTCAAGTGTGACGTGTAGCAATCGCACTATTATTCTATTCTATCGACCATTGCCTGTTATGAGTCTACCAGGTACATTGAGCCCTTAGAGGCCTCCGGATGCCCTTCATCGATGAATACAGGTGTATATTTTATGACCGGAATAAGCACCTCGAAATAACCATTACCAGTGGGTGATTGGGTTCAAGCTGATTATGAGAGGGCATGTTTGTCAGCAATCTACATATATCAGCGATATTGAAGATATCATTGACGAATGCCGGACAGATACTTATGAGTGGCGACTGTAACAGCGGATGCTCCCTGAAACGTATACAGGGGCTCCGCTTCATCGGCACGATCGGCCACAGTCCTTGACTCATACGCATCACTGAATGAGCTGCGATTCAGGGTGACCAATGTCGAGTGGCTTACAGTCTATCTTCGAAGCGGACAATTGGCAGACAACAATTCATTAATAGTCCAGAGTCGGTCAACCCTTTCGGCGGCTCGTGAGTTGAGGGATCACCAGCGATGGCGATGGACGACACGACAGGAAGTAGCTCACAACAATGAGCTCCGACTTTACGTAGCACAACAGGGATGGGGCGGTGTCAGGATTGGCTCGAAATAATGGCGCAATATGACAAGGTACGGACGGCAAGGGGTGTTATGGCATGTGCCTCTTATGGCATTTCCCATCTATTATCTGTGCTTAGAAAGCGGGCATTCCATGCGACGTCACAGCGGTTTAGGTATCACAATTTTCAGAGCAGGTGATGTCTGCCGGTATGGCGTGCTCGTTCCTTGGGGGCAAAAGGGGGGACAGCCAAGCCGGACTAGGTCTAACGGGGCCACACTTTGAGCCATTACACGGGCCCAGCGAATCCCTCGAAGTCCCCCCTGTTCTGTCGGCTAGGGCTGACGAAACTTCGACATTAAACCCTGGCGTTCCCGATGGGTGACAGGGAACTTATCGGTCCTCTCGGTCCTGACGGTAGATCAATAACTGCAAGAGGGAGACGTGGCTTCAGGGGTCCCACAACACACTGCTAAGAATATAGAACAGCATAGCAAGTTGAGGCAACTCCGGAACTCTGCTTGTCCCTGTCCCTGGCCCTGATCCTGATGTAACGCTAGCGACTACCCCTGTCCTAGCTAAGGTACCGTAGCAATCGGCGACAGGTGTGTGCTCCGGAGCCTCATACACGAGTCGGGATCTAACGATAAAGCCCCTGAGCCGCCATGCGATCTACTATTTTGGGCAGGAATTTTGCAGTCTCTTGCTCGTCTCTGCACGCATCGCGGGTGGCAAGTCGTTGCACTCCAGGAGACTCGAGACTCGGTCACCGAGCCGACTGATCCCACTACCTGGCTACCTAGATGTCGCTATGTCTGCAGGGTCATGCCGCCCGCCACGAGTTCTGCACATCGAACAGGCAAAACAGACCTAGTTGTACGGGAAAGGTACATAGGCGGGTCTACTCTCTAGACTTCTAGACAGGTTTCCAGAAGTGCTTGTCAAGATTGGACCCTTGGTCGAATCCCTGGGTTGCCTTCCGCCGTACCACTTCTGTTGTTCCTTCGCGCGCCACCGCCCCGTATGTGGATGGCAGCCGGATTGTACGGCGGCCGTTGCGGGTCACGACGTCGGTAAAGAGAGCGGATGGTCGAAGCTACGCAGGCTACGTCAACGGCCCGGACATATCCACTTGGTAGAGGTGACGAACTTTGTGGAACCCCCCGTCGTCACCCAGTAGTCCACCATTGCCCGTTGAACGGGACGGGGGTAAGAACGGCACCAGGTAGGAGGTGGAGCTCCCGCCTCCTAGGCGACTGCAAATATATATATGTGTAATTGTCGTGTCCTTTGACTCCTTTCCCGTCTCGCAAACCTTTCTCTTCTCGATAGCCTTCCATCTTGAGTACACATCAACACAAAATGCCACTGCCAGTAACGCAAGCTCTAGCCGCAGGGATAACCCTCGGTACTGGGACGGTTCAGGCAACCACCGTCGGCACTCACTCTGTCCCGCACGCGACGCCCCGAGTCGAGGACCCTTGGACCAAGCACATGGCAGACGTCGGATACCCTGCGGACCATAAAGTATGCCAGATGGTCGCGAACCAGGCCAATGGCACATGGGCTTACAGCAAAGCTTCCGACTACTATCTCAGCTGGATGAAGGATCACGGCAACAAGCTAGGTACATTGTGCATGGCCACAGCCCTGGCGTCCTCTGCTGACTTCAAAGACAGACGACTGGGTCCAGGGAATACACAAGAATGCGACCGCCGACTCGGGGATCACGCCTTCAGACATTGACTGCACCATCCTACACACGCAGAACTGCCAACCACCTCATGATGGCGACTGCGAAAAGTTCAAGCCGGCAGCCTGTACGTTAATCGCGTCTTTCCACCGTGACCACGCGAGAATATTATACTGAAGTTTGAGACGTGAACAGTCGACCCGATGCTGACGGAAGTCGTGAATCTCTACGGCATCCTAGAGGTTATGGACATCACCAACATCAAGGAGACACTGCTGACCAACCTCGACCTCGGCACACTGGTGCGGGACTTTATCCCAGAGAGCATGATACCAACGCTCAAGAAGTATATTAGCATCACAGCAGTACGATCCCAGCTCGGATTCCCTCAGAAAGTACCTCACGTGCAGAAGATGGCTGACACGGTGGACAGGTCGTCGGGTGGTTGATCTCGGGTATTTTTGGCATTGCCGGCCTGTTGGGGCCTGCCGGCGTGGCCATCGGAAGCACCGCTCTTGTCGGGTCGCTGACGGCGCTGACTGCGGTCACGGCCGGGGGTGCCTTTGTCTTCAACACGATCGGTGCCATACTGAGTGAGCTTCCTCCCGCGTCCTCCCGCGTCCTCCCCTGCCCTTTGCGGTCCGGAAGACTGACCTTCCTGTCTCCAGGTATCACGAGCACTGCTCTGACCGACACCTCACTCGATCCCGGGCAGATGGAGGCACACCTCGGGAATGCCCTCGGGAATTTCTTCGACGCCATGAGCGCGAGAAATGCGGCGCTGACGGCCAAGATCTTTGGAGGGACGCCCGATCAAGACATCGACCTGATGGAGTTTGTCACGCGCATTGATGATCGCTACAAGAAGTTTGAGAATGCCACGGATTCCGCGGCCGTCATGTATCTGTATGTGGCCACTCGTCAACAGGTGTTGCGAGAGGAGACCCATGCTAACAGTCAGGCATGCAGACTCCAAAATGGCTGGTTCATGGAGCAGTCCAATACGGCCGATGTTATCGAGCCCATGTTCGACGCTGGATTTAAGCTGATGGTGCGTCTCCTTCACACTCATCGGGAAAGGGACTTCGACTGACTCTGATTTTAGAAAGTTGGCTTGATCGGCTACATGTTCAGCGCCCGGCGGTTCTACGTCATGCAATTTGTAAGATACCCCCTTGACCATTCCGCCTCCAGGACACCCGCTGACCACGATTCAGACGAAGCTCAACCAGACTAGTTGCCAAAATAACTTCGACGGAGCGTCTCGCTTTGTCGATGGCGTGAGTGACCCTTCCCATCTTCCGTGCCTCCATCGCCCTGTTGCCCGTCTATCTCCTGACCGATCTCTAGGGTTGCTTCGTTTTAAAGATTGGCGACAAGAAAATCGATCACAACGACAATGCGGGAACGGAGCTCAAGACGGCCGAGTCCAAGTACAACCTCGTCGTCCCCAACTTCTTCCGCAACGTCCGCGACTGTGACAACAACGCGGATCTAATGCAACACAAGAACTATACCATGGACAACATGGGGGAAATGGGAAAATGCTTCTTCGGTCTCGACTACCTGCACGTGGAGACCCCTGATGATATTTCAATGGTCAACAAGACCATTGCCGACTCCCTGGACCTGGATTACTAGGAGAACGCTCGGAGGCGCCGAGTGGCCAGGTAGATCATGAACAAGTAGCTGCACTCGCAAGCTGATTGATGTCAGGCCTCGTACTTCTCCATTGAGGGAGCTGGGGCGAGGACCCTCCAGGAGATGCCTGGATGGAATTTTCTAGAGTTGCGCTGGAGCTACGGTAGACCTTTACTGCCAAGTTATCCCCACAGGTTGGCGTTTGATTTCGCAGTATGGTTCCTTACACCGTTTTGGGCGGCTCTCATGTAGTTTAGACGTTACAAGATTAGAATGTTCAACATTTCCTCACGGACACAAGTCGGAATTCGTAGGTATCATGTTGTTTCTACTAACATGTACCCGCAGAGGCTATTCTGGTGGCTGACGGCTCATAATCCTTTAGTTCTCACTGGTGCTGCTGGTGACGGAAGCTCCAGACAAGGGTTGAACCCTTCCATGAAGGAGAAGACAACGGGGGGGATTCCAGTATGTACTGGTCGAATCTAAGCTATTCGTCGCTGTCAGAGCACAGAGATGGTCGTAGCAAAGCCATCTTGGCTGCCATGATCGGATCGGCAGCACGCCAGGTCAAGTTTATTAGCCGTATCCCTCATCGTCGCATGAACTCTTCCGCGGTTTGTTGCCATTTAGAACGGCCCCGCCTCGGTCTTGTTGCCTTCATGACCAAAGCATCCGAGAGAGCCATTTTGGTTCGAGAGGACGCGGTCTAGTCACCAGACATGAGTGTTTGGTTCTCACGATGGCCAACAACGGTGGTGATCATCTGCGATGGGCGACTTACTGAGATCATAGGTGGTCGGGGCAAGCTTGCCATCAGGTTGGTAGCATGTGCAACTGAGGATATAGTCGACGTTGCTGCCGCGAACGGAGAAGTCCCGGCACGTAGGCCAGTAGTTGCCACTGTAAGGTTGTGTTAGCAATAGCGATGCCAGAACCGCTGCAGAGGTAGAGGTAGCGTGACTCACGTATCGTAGGGAATTAGGGAGCCACCGTTGTTGATGAGGCAGAGGTTGGTGTCGAACCTACATGGCCACAGGGCGCATCAGCAACCTGGTCTTGCACCTGTCACGGAGGACAGGTGTCACTTCGCCGTAGCTCAGCACCTACCAGGTCCACTGGTAAGAGAAGTGCGCCCAGTCGTCGTTGTTGCAATACATGCCGAGAAAGCTGTCGGCCATCAGACCGGTCTGCCACGTGCAGTTGCCGACGAAGCCCTGGGCGCGGGCGTGCTGGCCGAAGCCGAGGGCCACAAGAACGATGGCGAGAATGCTGCAGGCGAACATGGCGATTGCGAGGTTAAGGGATGCTGAATGACTGTTACGCTGGTACGAGCAATCGAATCGAGTACGGGTTTGTGTCAGAAGGCTGTGCGGTGGCGAGGGTAGAGGCGGCGAAAGCAATGGATGGGCAGAGGTGAGACAGCAGGACCAGGTCGATACATCCGTGGTCAGCTGAGGAAGTAGTGTTGCTGAAGGGAGGAAAAGAGGGGAAAATGAGGTATTTGCCTGTTTGTGTGTGTGGTGGTTGTCGTGAGTGTGCACAGCAACACAAACGACGTCAAGTTCAAGCTACACCTGTGGGACGCCTTGACCATCCAGCCCTCGAGGTGGCATCAGACTGAATGGCATCGATGCAACTCTCCTGGCCCAAGCGATAGAAGTGCAGATAGATAGTCGGTGAGGATATATTGCTCGCGATGGTGCCATCCTTTCCTCTCGCCGCGTTCACTACCTCTAAGTAGACTTCGCCTCGTGTTTCAGGCTATTGTCACATCCACATCACCGTCGTGCCTTCCCTACATCAAATACCTATAACTTAGGTAACTATGCTTCAAGAGATGAGATGAGTTGGGGAAGGGCCCTGTCACACCGCCACCTGCAGTATCCATCACCAAGACGGGTCCTTCCGACGACCGAATCGACCGACAAGCTTGAGCATGATGGGCGGTATTGGCGAGCTTCTCTGCTTTGATTGGGCGTACACGTCTTCGAATGATGAGACGAGGGAAAACACCTGTCATGGCGTCTTCGCCGAGTACCACAAACAAAGCGCGAAACTAGGAATAGGGCTTCGAACATGCAGTGGTCATCGCCTAGTACTTGACGCCTTTATGGATGAAATATGTTCATAGTTGCCTAGTGCTGTGCAGGATCGAGCACAGAAGAGCAACGAAGCCGCCATGGCCGAGGCATGATTTCGCATCGAGACCTACCAGAGGATGGCCTAACTAGCCAGCCCCCACGCCTCGCACTGGCTCGATCCAGGTACGGTCTGGGACCGGTGTTTGGATTGAAGAGCTCAACTTTGTAAGAGAGCCAAGTCGGCCAAGGACTTGGGTATTCGGATAACCCTGTACTGTATTAAACCGGTTGCGGGAGTCCATGTTCATGCGCCTCCTATTCGGGTGGCGCCCCAGATTATATGCAATCCGCGAATGCACCACGCATCGCAACCCCCAGTGGGCTCAAGGCTGGCACGGCCTATGCAAACCCATCACGTCATGTACTGAACACATGCCGTTGTGCTGGCAGCTCGAGGCTTGATCGCGCCGCCTTTTCATCATACAGATGCAGGCTCTACTGGTCTAGATATGTCCAAAACCCTGGAAGTCTTCGGTGTGAAGCCTCGACGCCTGGTGGCTCGCTGATCAGTCGACCGTGTACAGGTCGGCCAGCTGTCTCGACGGACCCAGTCCATTTCCCTAAACTTCTTGCTGCCTTCTCGTCACGGATAGTCCAGGAAGCCGGCAGTCGGGCCATCTCTGTCCAACAGATACGAAAACCTGTCCGGCTCCTGGCGCAGAAGTGCAGGGATATCCTTGTTGTTATCCTGCTTCTCGTACTCCTGTCCCTCGCGGTCCCAGAGATCCTTCCCGTTCCGGACGCGGTCTGCGATACGGTCACGATCGCGGTAGACGTCCTGGTTCAGCCATATGTGCGAGAATGATGACAGCTTGGTCAAAACCTCGCCTATGGCTGAGAAGCAGGTCGAACAATGCCAGCCCGCACTCCACAGGTCGCCCTTTTCGAGCCTGATCAACGGCTGGATGCCGCCATCGGAATTGCGCAGGTTGACAGGGAGAATGGTTCGCCATCCCTGGTAGTACGTGGCCTGCGGGTGAGCCCACTGGGTGCCTTTGTGCAAGTATTGGAAGCTGTAGTAGTAGAAGTGGCTCCTCAGCGTGAGGCGGCGAGGGAAGTTGCAGGCCTTGAGGATCATCATGGTTTCCGGGCGCACAATCTCGTCGACGTCGGCCACGATGATGACATCACCGTTGACGGGGGCCAAGGGACCCTTCAAGCGCGGCAGCACCTGGTCGTACATGGCGTTGCGTTGAAGATCCTCCCAGGCCCAGGACGGATTGGACCGATCGGAATGGAAGCCGTCGGGGATCTCCAGCTCATGGTAGATGATCTTGTCGCGGTAGGCGGCGAACCTGTCCATGTTGTCGCGGATGACCAGCGGCTTGTCGTGGTTGGTGAAGGTCTTGCGCGACTCGACGATGACGAAGTAGTCGACCTCGCTGTAGCTGCCGTTGAGGCGGATCTCGAGCCAGTCCAGCTCCGTATTAACCATGATCAAATCGTAGATCTTCCTGTCGGCCATGCCCGGGAACGGCGTCCACCCATGCTGCCGGCACAAGCTCAACGCGACGGTGGGGTTGGTCAGGTCCAGCTCGCCGGGCGCGAAGCGATAGACATGATGGACGGAGCGGTCCGTCCAGTTTGGGTTCAGCCACAACAGGAGCAGCAGCAGCAGAGCGAATGCCAAACTCAAACGAGTGCATCTCCTCCGGTCTAGGCGAAAATGGAGTGCCATGGTTGGTTAAGCCATCTACGACCAAGGAACCTTGAAAGGAGGAACCTTAAAAAGGAGAAATGAGGTTAAAATGTAATGGAAGTATGTAAAGAGAGTGTGCTTTCAATGTTTCAATAAACTCAGGTACGTCCAAGGAAGACAGGCAAGGAACGGACAGCCCAGGATTGAACTCAGGGGAACATAACAAAGACTCGATTCGGAGTGAGACGGATGCTCGGGACATGGACATGGAGACTGGAGATTAGCACCGCCACAACACAATCGCCAGCCACATCTCACATCTCACATCTGTCAGTACCGGTGGCCGAGGTGTCGGCCCGATGCCAGCTGCGGGGATGAATTGCCTTACCCCTATCGCCCGATAGCATTGAACCCCTCTAGCAGTGCAGTTAATAAACCAAACAAGCTACATGTTGAATGGGAGCCGGAGATAGACACCGGAAGATCTCCAGTGGGGCAGAGACGCACAGGGCATCTGATCCACCAAGAAGACAGATCAATCTCTGCACGCAGATCAAGAACACAATCAATGGAATCAATGAACATCCGTGTATTCAACACTACACTTCTAGCTACTTCTAGCAACACTACCACCCATTACACTTAATATAACACGCATTTGCCTTTAAACTGTTTTTATTATATATATAAAAAATTAAAAGTTTTCGAGCTTATTTACGTTATTAAAAGTTAAAAAGGCTTGTAACGGTAATTAAATAACAAAATATATAATAAAATATATTTAATAAGCGATCTTTTAACCGTTAACGTTTTGAATATTTTCTTATTACTTTAATATCGAGTTAAAGTCCGCTTTTAAAGTTTTTAAGCTTAAAATACTTTAAGTATAACTTAAAACTACCTTATTATCTATTTATTTTATATTTTTAATAAGTGTATTACAAGGTTTAAAACGGTCGTTAGTCGATTATTAATTAACTTAATTTTAGGTTAAGTTTTATAGCGACTTTAAAGTTTATAATTATTAGACGTATCGCGACTTTAATAGTTTTTAACTATCCGTTATCTCGTACCTTTTTCGCGCCGTTAGTAACGATTATTATAAACTATAAATATATTTAAGGTAATTTTATACGTTTATTTACGTTTTTAAATATTTTATATTAAATAAAGCGATAAGAAAAGCTTTTTAATTTGTCTTTTAAGGGTTTTAACGGCATATATAAACATTTAACGGCTTTAACGACATATATAAATAGTAACAAAAAAGCATCTTTTGATTTTTAATATTGTGCTTTTTTCGATTAAGGCCTAAAAGTTTTTTAATGAAAATATACGTGGTTTATAATATATATTTTAGCCTAATTTATAGAAGATTTAATTTAATTAGAATTATAAAAAGACTTTAAAGTTTATTCAACTTATTAACCTTTTTACAGTTATTATTATATTTTTTAAAAGCCGTAATTATCATTATTATCTTATTAAAAGATAAAGTTATAATAGCCAACGTGCTTTTTAATATTTTTAAACATTTATTAATATAATTAATAATATAATGTTTTAGGATAACGTAGATGACAAGCGAGCAGCAATTACAAGCGAACGGCAACTTTTCACCAGCCACCTAACCTTTCAATCAAGGCTCCTAATTGATCAACCAACAATAATAGCATTGCGTTATAGCAAATCAGACTTACAGCTTGCTGTCCACGCTAAGCGACGCGACCCTCATATTACCATTGGCAAGCTTTCTAAGACTTTCCATGTCTAATATAATACCTTGAAGGCTAGAATTGCCGGCCGACCATCACGACGCGATAACATACCCAATACTTTGAACTTACGGTTTCTGAAGAGAATGCCATTCTTTCCTTCATTCTTGACCTGTATGTACGAGCATTTCTACCCTGGCACAGTTATGTTGAAGATATGGCAAATCAATTGTTGGAAGCGCATGGGGATGGACGCGTTGGAAAGAACTAGACGCGGAACTTCATTAAACGCACACCAGGCCTTCGGACGCATTTTCATCAGAGGATAGATTACCAGAGGGTCTTGAACGAAGATCCAGACACGTATCGCACGTGGTTTTGCCAAGTTGTGGCAGCAATTGTGAAACATGGTATCCAAGACGCGGATATTTATAACTTCAATGAGACTGGGTTTATGATAGGCATCATTGGGTCCGGCATGGTCGTTATAAGTGCCGAAAGACGTGGTAAGCCTAGACAAGCTCAGCAAGGCAACAGGGAATAGTCTACAGTAATTTCTACTGTCAATGCTAATGGTTGTGTAGTCCCGTCACTCATCATTCTACAGGGCAAAACACACCTCGCATTATGGTATTGCGACACGACATTACCAGGCGATTGGAAGGTGGCTGTGTGCAAGAACGGTTGGACTACAAACGAGATTGGGTTGGAATAGATTCGGCATTTCGACAAGTATACCAGACCGTGTATGACTGCCAGTAAACGCCTCCTCATCCTATATGGTCACGAAAGCCACTATTCCCAGATCTTTGAGGATTATTGCCAGAACAATAGCATTATTACCCTTTGTATGCCTGCCTACTCGTCACACAGGCTCTAGCCTTTAGATGTCAGTTGTTTTAGCCCGCTCAAATAAGCGTACGGTTGCATGATTGAGGATCTTGTCCGGCGTCATATAACCCACGTTTCGAAAGAGGACTTCCTTACAGCGTTTTGTGAAGCACACAACGCTGTTATGACGCAAGAAAATATTTGAGCAGGTTTCAGTGCCACTGGCTTGTTCCTTTCGACCCAGTAAGTGTCATTTCAAAGCTGGATGCTGTCGCTGTCATACGAATACCATCGCCAGACCCCAATCTGCCACCCACTACTTAGACTTCAAAGACACCTACCACCATCAATGAAGCAGTAAACCAGTGGGTTTATATCCGAAATCGAGTCAGAAACCACCAGGGAAGCTCACTTACATCAATAATTGATGCATTGAGCTCATTTTCAAAGACTACATACGGTCTTATGCACAAGGTCGCTTTCATTGATTCCCGGGTCCGCAAGCTAGAGGAGGCCAATCACTTATTAAGTAAATGCCGGAGGACAAAAAAAAAACGTCTAGTGAAAGGAGGAGTACTTTCCATTAAAGATGCAGTAGGTCTCCAGGCTGTAAAGGATGGTAATAAGCTGGCAAGACAGGAAATGGGTGAAGATATTCGTCGTCCGAGGAGGGCGGCAGCGCGTAAGCGACGTTGTGGCGTTTGCGGCAACACTGGCCATAATGCGCAAACTTGTACAACAGGGATAGAAACGTTTAAAGAAGAAGAATCCAATTGATTATATTGAATTAAATGCGTTGTGATCGAGTCATTTAACATGTTGGTTAGAAGGTTGGTGGAAAGTTGCCGTTTGCTTGTAATTGCCGCGCGCTGGTCATCCACGTTATTTTATTACTATTTTATGCGGCTTTTTAAGTATGAAAATATTCTATATTAATATAACGGTAAATTATAGTTATATTTAATAACAAAAATAACTCATAATAGTTTTATTTATAAACCTAAAGTCATTATTGCTGCCTTTTTATCGTTATTCTTTAATTGTATTTCTATTTAAAGCCTTTAGAACTTATTAAGCGTTATAGTTTTTTCAGCGGTGAATAACTTTTTTTAATTTTTTTACAAAGAAACTAAAATATATTTAGTTTGAAATATAACATTTGAAGTTATATCATTAATTAAAAACAAATTTATAAAAATATAAGCTTTCTTATATTAACATTATATTTAAAAAGGTGTTTAAGTTATCTTATTTAAAAGTAATATTAATAGTTATAGAATATTTAACGCTGGATTATTCTCGTAAACAAGGCTTTTTTACTTAATATTAACGTTTATAACGAAATATTATTAAAAAAGCCCAAATTTTTTGGGGGTTTAATCGTACAAAAAATAATAGGTTATAAGCTTAATATTACTTTTATTAAATAATTGCTTATAGTTTGATATCATCGTAATATAAACGTCGTTATAACGTATATAAGTGTGAAGCTTATAATAACGGATTTATTTTCAAGCTAAAGAAAATTCTCCCAATCTCGGTTTTATTTTGGCTTTAAGATATTTTAAAACTTTAATTACGTTTAACGTTATAATATTCAAAGATATAATTAAATAGGTATTAAACTTAACAATTTAAAACAAAAGTTACGATGTTTTAAACTTTTAAACAAGTAAATATATCGTAATGTTTTAATATCGCGACTAATAAGTTGAAAGTAATCAAAAGAAAAAAAACCTAAAAAAACCCAAAAAAACATCGCTAACCTATTTTTAATTTTTAATTGAATTACCGACGTCATTGTTCGATTAATTACGTTAATATTACGATGCGAAATAAAGGCCTCGTAGCGAGATTAGGTGGCATGGGGGCTGTAGTGAGGCGTTTTTTTTCTGTTTTTTTCTGTTAAGCGCGTGCCCCTGTCTGCCTTCTGTTAAGAGGGAAGGTACTTAGGGTCCGGTAAGTCGGCACGATGGACAGGTACTTGGTAAGGGTATCAGCTCGATGTGGACTGCGGATTGTGAATCGCCTTACCCACACGGGCACACAACGTCGTCCTACATGCGCGCAATATGTCACGGGCGCATCCGCTGGGCGGCGGCATCGGACCGGGACCGGGACTGTGACTGCGACTGTGAATACTACCGGTAGTACCCCGCCGCCGTCTCTCCAGCTTCATACTTCCTCCCATCTTCCTTCGATGAGCTCTCCGTCTTCATCAGCCATGGAGCAAGCACACGCACCCAACCCCGGCGCCGCGGCGCACCAGACACCAGCCAGCAGCTGGGTCGGCCACAAGGGCGCCGCCGCCTTCGACCTCAGGAGTGAGTCCCATGCGTCCATCCAGGGTCGACCACAGACAGACAAGCCTGAGCTGAGATATCTATCACATCGCAGGTGACACCATGACCACGCCGACCATGGCCATGCTGTCTGCTATCCAGACGACCACCCTGCTGGACGACGTCTTCTCTGAGGACCAGACCACCATTGACTTGGAGGCCCACGTCGCCGCCCTGACCGGCAAGGAGGCAGGCCTCTTTGTGCTATCCGGCGTATGTGAACTTGGGGAGCCTATCATCTTCCCATTCTGGTCATGTCATCATGTCACCTATTTGAAGGCAATACTGACTGCTGTCTCCGCAAGACTATGGGGAACCAGATCGCGCTGCGTTCCCTGTTGACGCAGCCGCCTCATGGCGTGCTCTGCGATGGGCGGTCGCACATCATCAAATACGAAGCGGGAGGGTCAGCACTCACACAGTTCACTTTGCTGCTTCCTTCTATCTCTCCCACACACATCGCTTCACCCGCGTCCAGTACTGACTTGGCGCATTTGCAGCGTGGCCTCGCTCTCCGGCGCCATGATCGAGGCCGTCATGCCCAGTAACGGGCGCTACCTGACATTAGAGGACATCCAAGAGCACGTGTTGCTCGGGGACAATGTGCACGCCTGCCCGACACGCGTCATCAGTCTCGAGAACTCATTGAACGGCATGGGTGAGTAGCTGTAGCCCAGCGGAACTGATAGCTGGCATGGTCTACCAAAGGGTTCCGAGCTGGGCACCAATCCCTCGCTTCGGGGGCCTCGAAGTCTTTCTCTCAGTCCGACAGTCCGTTTGTCCAGAGATTTCATGGCTGACTGACTTCTGCCGAATACTAGTCATGCCACTGGCCGAGACCCAGCGCATCGCCACCTTCGCACGCGCCCACGGCATCGCCCTCCACTGCGACGGGGCGCGTCTCTGGGAAGTCGTCGCGTCAGGCGCCGGCACCCTGCGCGACTTCGGCGCCTGCTTCGACACCATCTCGCTCTGCTTTTCCAAGGGGCTCGGCGCGCCCATCGGCAGCATCATGGTCGGCAGCAAAGCAACCGTCAAGCACGGCCGTTGGGTACGCAAGGCCATCGGGGGCGGGCTCCGCCAGTCGGGCGTCGTGACGGCGGCGGCGCGGGTGGCCGTCGACGCGACATTCGGCTCGGGGCCGAGCGGCGAGGGTGGCCTTCTAAAGGCCACGCACGCGACAGCGCGGCGGGTCGAGAAGCTGTGGACGGACCTCGGCGGTGCCATGCAGTCCCCGGTCGAGACCAACATGTTGTGGCTGGACCTTGGGTCGATGGACTGCAGTCCTGCAAGGTTCAACGAGCTGGGCCGCGAGGCGGGCCTGAAGCTCGGGGGGAATCGCCTCATTACGCACTATCAGGTGGGCGAAGAGGCCATCTCGAGGCTGACTGGCGTCTTCGAGCAGGTGGCACGGGAGAAAGCAGCAGGCGGTGTTGATGGCCAGCACGCGAACGGAAGTGGACTTTATAGCAGTGGCTCTGCAAAGAAACAGAGGATACCATGAAGTGTAGCGAGAAGCCGCACGGTAACGATGAGTTCAGAGGTCATTCAAGGTCTTATCTTCTATTGTGCCCATCTTGTTTGTAAATTCAGCTTGCCCTCGAACCTTGACCGTAATAAGCGCTGCGTCCTTGTCCTCGACCATTCCACATGTCCGTATATACAGCAACACCTTGACATGGCAAGCATGCTTTTCCCAGCGACTTTCGTACCCATATACACAGAAATTCGGAAAACCGACAAGATGTGCTGGCTTTCTTTCCAGTCCCAAGCCATCTCGGAGCCGGGCCGCTTCCTTGCTCTCCATCGTCTCGGGGGTATTTCGCTTAATGTGATGGCCGATGCAAATGACAAGCCTGGCCAAGCCCCCCTTTTAGTTGGTATGCCGCCGTCGACGCCTCTATCGAATAGATGTTCCCAGTCCCTGTCCCCATCCCCTTGCCCCGAACGCCAAAGAAACTAGAACGGATGCAGCTCGTTCTCGTTAAGTCGCAATCAACCGTGATAATGTCAAGCCGAAGTCTCCTTGGGCTTTTTGCCAAACATCCCTCTACCCCGCGACTTGCTTCGGGCCTTTTTCGACTTGATGCTGCCAGCATCATCGCTGTATTTTGGCTTGTGTATCCTGCAGAAGCCTATTAGTCAAACGATCCATATGCATGCGGAACATCAAAGGTACTGACCAGCTATTCCCGGGCATGCTCATGCCCTTCGCCTCTGCCTGGCGGTAGAATCTGGCGCTCTTTCTGAGGTCCTTCTTGCAGCCAACGCCTTGCGCATAGCAGAAACCCGCCTCTGTGAGTGCGTCAACGTCACCCCAGCCTGATGTTGCTCGTTAGAAACCTGATGCTGGTGTTGAGCTGAGCGGAGGGCTCTACTTACTTCCGGCGATCTCGAAGCATCGTACCGCGAGTGCCTTGTCCTGCTCAATGCCCCAACCGTTCATGTGGCTCACACCGAGTTCGTAGATGCTTAGAGCAAATTGAGCCTTGCGGGTCTTACGGTCCATAAAGTCCACCGTCTTGCCTCCTTTGACCTGATCCTCGTCATCGGCAATCTCAGCACTCACAGCGTCAGCAGCCTTGCGCAGCCATTCAACGCCTTCGCGCTGGTTCGGTCGCATACCCCATCCATGACGGCACGCGAGGGCATACAGTAACATTCCGGTGGGATCGCCACCTCGCGCGGCCAGACGCAGGTGATATGTGGACTCCTTGACGGAGCCATCCTCGTGACACTTGATCCCTTTGGTCAAATGCTCTTCCGCGCTCATCTCGGCCGCCGTCGGCGCGTGAGAATGTTGTGATCTTGGGGGCCTGATGGTACTAGCAGAATCACTCGTAGATAATGACATCGGTGTGTGGCCACGAGCCTGAGCCTGATCGTGAGGCGGAGAGGTAAGAGCCCGACCTCGGGGCACATCTTCCGAAGGCCTGCTCCCACCTGTGGACGGGCGACTGGGATCTAGTGACGGTCGCCCCCCACCCGCAGACATTTCAGTGGAGAGTTTGCTCCGTTCGAGGGAGGGACGAGCCGAGAGGAAACCGGAAGCGGGTGGGCCGTCTTGGTAACGGGATGATGAGCTCGAGGGCCGAGTAGGAGGCGAGGGAGGCGCGTGACCGCCTTGCGGGTAGGTCTGGACGTTGCTTAGTGGGACCATGGGCTGCTCCCAGACAAAGGCGGTCGAGGGATCGTCGTCGCGGAAGATGACCGAGTTGCGTTGTAATGACTTGCCTCGTGGCAGCGAGTACTTGGAGTATATGTAGGATGGAGCACCCTTGCCATCTTCTGCCGTACCACTCTCGGTAAAAGCATCGCTGTGCATACTGATGGGTGTATGTGCCGTATCATCTGCTAGCACGAAGGACGGGTGACTATCGGAAGACGCCTGGCGAGACGGGGCGTCGAGTGTCGGTGTTCCAGCTCGACTCAGCGGGCGGGAGAAGTTGAAAGAGGGCCGCGGCAGTTGAGCCGAGGCCTCTGAGCTGATGGAGGGCGACCTCTGGTAGTGGGCAACCGGAGACGCAAGACCCAAGCCGGAGAAGGCACTGCTGGAGGACAGCTTTCGACCTGGGTGCGAGTGAAAAGAGGCACTGAGCGCTTCGTCATTATAAGAATTGCTGGGCGCCGACATGATACTCGAAGAGCGTTTCACCGAATGAGCGTTGGGTGGCACCAATCCGGTAGCATCATGAGAATAGGCTGCGAATCTCTCGGGCGACGGAGGAAAGCGACCACGGTAGGGAGACGCTTCTCTCAGACCGGGAAACTGCTCTGTGGTGTCGCCGTCTACGGCGTGGCCGGATAGGCTCTCCAAGTCGGCAGGCGACTGCTCCCGGCGCGCACCAAACACGCCACGATTCTCGTCCAGTCTGTCCAGTCTGTCCAGCGGTCGACCGCGGTAGGCTTCTCTGAAAGGGTTCAGAGATATTGGTGTGGAATCGTCGGGAGTGGGGGGTATGCGGCTCATGCGTGGATGGGTGGAAACGGGTCGTTCCGATGGCGATTCGAGCTCGGTGGTCCAACCGAGGCCGGTGTGCTCCCGCGAGAGCTCGGGTAGCTCCTCTGCGGCCGAGTCGTGGGATAGGGAGCGGAAGTATTCGGAGCGGCCCTGGACGACCAAGGGACTCTCGACAGTCAAGGGAGGTAGGCGACTCATGCGGCTTCCGGCCTTGGAACTCTCCTCCAGCTGCTTTGCGAGCAGGCGACTCTGGGCGGCGAAGGCATCGAGGGGGGACAAGGCAGGAGGGACATCGCCTGCGACGTGCAACCGAGGCGACCTGAGGGGGCGGGAGACAGACGAAGCTCCGGTAGCGACTGAAGAGGACGAATCGGCCCTCAGGTCGATGAAGCGAGGGCGTGTCGCCATGGTGAAGCGGATCTGTGGTGATCAAAACGCAGGATGCACTGTCGACCGTGAGATACGGTGTCTATGGCTTTTCTTGGCCGTTGCTTGTTGGCAGTTCGTTGGCAGTGGGAAAAGCTGGCCTGGCGAGTGCATGGATTATGAGGTCAGGTTCGTTCTCGAGGGACGGTAGAGTGGTGCGACAGGAATGCCCGATGGACGAGAATGTGGCCGAGTGTAGGTTCGGATCGGTGGTCAGGATACGGAGGAGGTTCGGAATTCGCAGCGATGGGTTGTCGAAGAGAGCGGTGAATGAATGTGTTCGACTGGTCGGTCAAATGGCTGATTGATTGCTCGTGTTCAAATGGTGTGGTATGAGTGATGGATACATGCAATGCATCTGCGGCCCCAGGAGGATGACGGCGATGGATGAAGGAAGCGAGGCAGGAGACAGAGAGAGAGAAGGGGAAAGAAAGCCTCCTCTACTGGGCTGCGTATACTGGAAGTGTTACACGTGTGTAGGTGGTGGTGGTGATGGCGATGGTGGTAGCGATAGTAGTACTCTGTGTGTATGTTTGTGTATGTTGGGTTCATGGATGGAGGGGAGAGAACTGCCCTTAGAACATGGGTACCTCGTAGGCAAGCTGGCAAGGTTGGAGGTTGCACAGGCATACAGGCACACACCGGTGTCAGGCACAAGGCACAAGGCACAACAGGCGCAGAGTTCCGACCGTCGGTTCTAAAAATGACAGGATAACAACAGGATCCGCCTGGGAACATCTTGTTAAGGTCTTAACTACCTTAGGAAGCACTGGCCGTGCGCTCATCAACCGGTGCTCTTGGCAATGCAGCAATGGGGGTCCAAACGCCACATTGGATTGATTCACTGCCGACTGTACTCATCAGTAACAGCCTAGTTACATGTGTGTTATCCCTTATATCTGTTCTTTTGATAGCAAGGTGAGGCAGACTGAGTATCTTACTTAACCTTATGCTCGAAACATTGCGAGGAGCATGAGGATCCAACGTCATGATATATACCTTCCGACCTATAACATGGACATCATTGATGGCAGACAGGCCATGGCGGTTTGAACCCTGCATATCGAGAGGCCCAGCCCGCCGCCCGCCAGCATGCATGAAATTACCTGAACGGCCCCTGCTTCCCTTTCCCCTTGCCACTTGGATGCATCATACGGGATACCAGCCAGATGGCCAGATGGCAACTGTGTAGAAGGTCCCGAGGTCCATCTGCCTTGGCTGGCACACATGTGTCCTGACTCCGGACCGTCTTTTTACATGTAGAATAGTACCTAGACGAGCCGAGCTGACAAGACTAGGACAATTGCCCCTGGGCCAATGACATCGACATCCGGGGTATTTTATTAGGTACTATTTTAGACACATCTCTATCCAAGACTGGGTCGCATACCTTTGACTCTAGAGAGACCCCTTATTGAGCACCTCTTATTAAGACTATCACTCAAAAGACTGAGGTGAGGTAGCATCTACGGTACTCCGTCGTGTCTTTGCAAGTCTGGGGAAGGAATTTGAACCGGCTCGTCCGAACTCATCCCCTTCTCCTTTCCACTATTTTAGGTAAAAACTAGAAAGACATGCCTTGCCGGGCTGCTCCAGGTTGTACCACTACCCAAGCCATTACCTAAATGTATCATCCTAAAGCGGCCAATTGACTCGGCAGGCCCAAGTAACAACCCACATTCTGCCAGCTTCAAGACTTTGCTGTTCTTGACACTTGATCAAATCTGTTCGTTACTTAGGTAACGAGTAGAATCAGGATCAACACGTGCATGTAGTTACCTGTAGTTCGAGGACCGTGTGACCACATCACTGACCCAGGTTCCCGGCCCGCTGGAGATCACGCAGGCGGCAGGCGGGCGGGAAATCTCAATCGGCTGCAGGCAATCTGCGGAAAGCTGCTTTTTTGCTGCAGGTGACCGTCCAGTGACCAGTGACCGCTGACAGTCTGCACACTTGCGCGGAGAACCCTGTCGAATGGTCCTGGCTTGCATGGCCTACCAATGACCATTGACCAGAAGGGAGATAGATGATCTCAGCTTCCCACTGGGCTGGCCGGCTGATCCAGGACCACCGAGGTGTTGGCGTTGGCGTTGGCGTTGGCGTGCCCGCGTACCTGCGTCAGCCTTCAGGACGGCATTCGAAACTGGAGCTAACAGCTTAATTGTTGGCGCAGGACAGGTGGCCGCCGGCCCCATTGGAAGTCAGAGCTGAGGCCACAGGCTGTGGTCGGGATACCCGTAGCAGGACTGTCAATTCCATTAGAATGAAAGTGACATGAAACATTCGACACCAACAACCGATCGTCGCCCCGGATCGCGATTCAGGGCACTTGCTCATCTATCGTCATGGAGACCATGTCAATGCCATGCGGTGTGTACAGAACAGTAAATAAGTCCGTCGTGGCTCAGAGGTGACGTGAGCAAGGTCAACTATACAGTAAACAAACGCATTCAATGGCATCGTGATTCCATCTGAACATTCAGTACCACAGGCCGGAGGCCAGGACATAGTCTCATCGCTTCCTTGAGCCAGATACTGCGTGAATAGAAACAAATAAAGCATCATTTTCCAAAACTATCCGGTAACTCCACTTCCCATGCATCACAAAACGAAGGAAACGAACCGCCGCCGTCGCGCCTTAAATCTACACTGATAATCTAGTCGGGCTCCCTCTATAGGTTCTTGTTCTGCAGCTTCTTCAGCCTCGTGGCACCTTCGTATACTCCCCGATCAACAGCTGCCGCAACTGTCAAAGTACCGCCAATGACAGCACAGAGGCCGGTCAGGAAACCAGCAAACGTCTTGGCCCGCTCCTCGCGGTTGACCACCTTCATCGGTGAGATGTCCTGGAACCTGGTCAGCCATACTGCACATGGGAGCCCGGGTGAGGCAAGCAGTGCACTTACATATGAGAAAAAGACGCCGGGGATACCACCGCGGGCGTGCATGCGCTCCTGGTGGCCCTCTGCGGCGTCGTCACCGCCTGACAAGCTACGCTTATGGCTGGTAACAGAGTACTGATGAGTCTCCAAGCTGCCGTCAAAAGCACTGCCTAGGTTGCCGAGCAGCTCGTCGTCGGACGCCGACCCGCTCGATTTGGAGGACCAGCTGAGAGGCAGGTAAGCAGTGGGGACCACCTTGACGAAGTACATGAAGTTGAAGTTGGGGTCATCGGTGACCTGCTTGACCTGGTCCAGAGGGTTCAGGTGGTGGTTGGTCCAGGGGCTGTTCCTGGCCTGCTTCTTGGCTATATCCTCGGGAAGCTGAGGTCCGAAGCGAAGTTGGTGGACTTCGTGCTCGAACGAGTGCTTCACGGGGCTGTCCCAGTAGTTCTTCAGGTCGTGAACGTGCATGTTTCCGTTGCTGAAACTTCGGCCGGGCGCGAAGTGGAAATTGCCAATGACCTTGTTGACACGGATGGCGCCCTCGATACGGCAGCCCTCCTGTCTCTGCTCATCCAGTCTTTCGGCGTAGTGTTCACGGAGACACTGCTCCACGCCTTCGCCTCTACCGAAAGCCCACGATGCCTGCTGATAAGCGTCTCGAACCTCGTCACAGGTATTGCAGCAGCCGGCCTTTTCGGCATTTGGGGGCGATTGGGCGCCATAGCATACACCGCAGTAGTCGGGGTCGAGGTGGTGGGCCGTCTCCTCCTTGCTGTGTCTGCGGATGTTAGCCAGGGTATGGCAAGCCGAGTCGTAAGCTGGGCCAACTCACAGCGATAAGGCGGTGGTGTCAATGACACCGCCTCCCTGAGCGACGGACTGAAGCCTGACCTTCTTAACTCCAGCCAAAACGCTGTGTTGCTGTTCGCCAGAAACATCCATCACGTCGAGTGTCAGAAGTTCGCAGGGCAGCTTCGGGAAGGTAACGTTCATATGGATCTCCATGCGCTCGCCTGCGGTGCAATGGTAAGCATGACTGGATATGATAATAATAAGTTTGGACTGCTGCACGCACCTCGGCCCTTGTCGACAACGAGCTCCGGGTGGATTACTATCCTCGTGTAGTCAGACCACTCGCCCCAGACCAGGTAAAGAACGACGATCAGAGAGACGATGGTGACGATCCCGCCCGAGGTGGTCCGTATCCGCGCATCTTCGACGGTTTTGGTGAAGGCATCGAGCCTCGTGAATCTCGACTTGGCTGGCATGTTGCTAGTCGGGAAGTGAGGTCGCAGGCGTGGATGATGCGACTCGCGATCGACCGGACAGCTGGAGGTAGGTATCTAAGGTAAGATTTGAGGGCGACCAATTGGCAGTTCGCAATGGGCCAAACGTGGAGAATAGAAGCGCAATGAAGGCAATTTCACCGTGGGCGCTGCATTGGACAGACAATGGGGGCGGGCGTATGGATGCGAGCAATGACACGGGTAGAAGTCGAGGTCGGAGGAAGTCGTGAAGTCGGGAATATTCATCCACAGGCGAAAGGCCACCTTCACCTTTGGATGTTCGATTGCGGGTTGCGGATTGCAGACTGCAGCGCATACCAAATCAGAGTCCCTGACACCTGTCCGGACAGACCCACTGTAGCTCCGCCGGCCAATGGTTGCCAGTGGGCGGCCCCTACATTAACCGTTAGCCCGGCCTGTGCTTGTGCAGTAGTGGCGGCTCATGGTTGGCACTTCCATTTGCTAACCTCAGCTCAGATTCCATACGCCGCAAAGCTGGACAGTGGTGCTACAAGGAGGTATGCAATCTGCATCGTGAACCTACTAAGATAATCATCATCGCGACAAAAGCCAAAGCTAGCTTGTCCTATCTCTCCTATACAACATGAAACTTGATTGAGAATCTGCAGGTGTCACACATGGATGGATTGCTGGTTCGCTCGGAGCGTTTGCTCGTTCTCGTTCTCGCCATGGCCCTGTCGAACTGCTTCTGCTTCTGCTTCTGCTTCAGCTGCTGCTGACGCTCCCCGAAGTGACTCATTCTAGCCAACCCCCCACGACCTTTAATAAGACCACAACTCATCCTCGAACAGCAATCTTCTACTATCTGCTGACGTGCCATATCATTGCCAATTCACACACTTTCCTCTCAATAAAGCAGCACGCTAGAACCCGAAAGTGAACCTATTACTCCGTATCACCACCATGGCCGCCCTTCCCACCCCTATCTTCACCACCTCCAAATGCATCGTGCGTCCCTACGCGCCCTCGGACGCCGAGGCCATAGCTCTCGTGGCCAACGATCCGCGCGTGAGAGCCACCATGCGCGACCGCTTCCCGTCGCCCTACACGCTCGCCGCCGCCGAGTTCTGGATCGAGCACAGTAACTCCGCCACGCCGGTCCTCAACTTTGTTGTCTGTACCGTAAGTAGTATACGAGTTGCCCGAGTTGTCCCATTCCAGGCCGTGGTTTTCACCCGGTTTGGTTTTGCTGTTCAACTCCACACCTCTCCCGCAGGCAGGTCCTTCGGGCTCAGAGACGAGACAACTGACATGCTGGGCAGCCGGACAACGTACCCGCGGGCGCCATCGGGCTGGAGGCGGTGCCGCACGCCGACAACGACGTCGCGCGCGGCACCCTGGAACTAGGCTACTGGCTCGGAAACCGGCACTGGGGCAAAGGGATCATGGGGGACGCCGCACGGCATTTTGTGCGCTGGGCGTTCGCCCAGTTCCCGGACTTGGTGCGAATCGACGGCAGCATCGTCGAGGGGAACGCGGGTAGCGAGAAGGTGCTACTCCGTGCTGGCTTCGTGAAGGAGGGCCTCAAGCGATGTGCCATCACCAAGAATGGGAAAGTGTCTGGTGAGGTGATTTTCGGGCTGATCAGGCAGGACCTGGAGGGTGAGGGTGTGTCGGGTAGTGCATGAAAGGAGAGTCACTACATGTGACCATGGTGTTCAGGTATGTGGACCGAGGTGCGTAGATAGAAGCATGGAGCAAATCGTCAGGGTTTCGAGTGTCGTCACTACGTAACGAGTCAAGGGTGGGAACGATTTACTCAATATCCAAGGATGTCAGTAAGTACTTACACTGAACCATCAGAAGTCTCCGTACACCCCGTACTCGAAATATGGAATATTCAGGGTCAGTCTTCTGTGTGTGGAATGATGCCACTGGAATAACCATAAAGTTTTGCATATTGAAATATAACTGCTTATTCCAGGGTGCTTATTCCACCGTTTATATCCTATAAGGGAGAGAACCCCCAAGTAGCGCGGACGGGGGGGGGTCTGTATCTATCTACACGCCTTCATCAAGCAAAATCACTGCTGTCTATCCAAAAGTATATAACATTTCCTCGGTCTCCAACCTCTTACCCTCAAATAGCTCGCCGTCCGAATTTCTTAGTCCACCGCGCATCGTAAGCAGGCAACTCGACCGCTCTACGTCCCACAGAGGCTCTCTTTCTCGCCGGGTCGATATCGGCGGCTGTCAGGTTACCGCAGTCCGGACGGGTCAAGTTATTGGCAAAGGTATCAACGGCCCAGATCAACACGCCATTGGTCCAGCCGAAGCCCTCGACGACTTCGTACTCGCCTCCACCGCCAGCCACGTTGGTCGAGTTGTCTGCGTACTTTTCAAACATGATGCCCTTCTCGCTCGGGTCACTACCAGCGAGCTGCGGCGTCTCGTCCGTGGCGCCGCCCGTCGCTCGCCAGGTACAGAACGTGCTATCGAGGAACCGTTGTGCCAACCGAACAGCCAGATCTTGCGTCTCGACAAAGTATGGGTCGTCTTCTCCAAACGTCGGTGGCGTGTCAAGCAGACCCTTCATAAACACGTACATCAAGGGCGGCCAGACGTTTGGCTGATCCCATTGTTGACCAGTCTGGTAATTCGTTGCGGCAATAGCGCCAGGCTTCTCAATAAGAAGGTCCGACACGCGCTTGAACGCGTTCCTCACCGCCAGAGGGTTGTTCTTTAGCTGTGGAGGAGCAGCGCCCAGCCAAAAGGGGTAGAACTGGGCGGCGTGGAAGAGCACCTGATGTCCTTCTGGAGCATCGGCACTTTGTGCCGTGGTTGTATCGGAGTCTGGTGGGATATAGAGGTTTGGAGCTTGAGATGTCAGATTGTAGTCGAAATAGCTGCTGTACTCCTCGTTCCACATCAGATCGTACATGGCAGCAGATCGGTTCTTGGCCATGGACTCGTATTCTGCTGCCGCAGTGTCGCTTCCATTATCTCTCAGAAAGCCTGATATGGCAATCTCATTCGCGTAGAGAATCGAGTTCAAATCAACCCCTACTGTGTTGACCGTGTTGAGTGAGCGGAGCGGGAAGTATACGTCATTCGCTGCATCCGATGGATTTGCAATCCATCGCGAGCTGTAATCCCATCCAGTTTCTGCCCCTGAAGCAAGATTGGCATAAAGCGTCGCTTTCTCGTCTTCGTCTAAAGGCTTCGACTCAGGGTAGATAATACCAGACGTTGCGTAGTAAGAGTGGTTATTGGCAGTAATGTAGTCTTCAAGGTAGGACTCTGGCCGTGGTTCCGTATTCTGGACCCCGTAATGGGCCAGGGTATAGGTGCAGGCATCGGTGGTGATTTCCACCGTTCGGTTCGTCAGCCAGAAACTATGCTCTTTGATGAGCAGCGGTAGCGCATGTTCCAAAATGCTCGTGTCGTTGGTGTACTCGACGTAGGTCCTAACCATCTGTGTCAACATGGGTGGCTGAGAACGATTCAGATAGTAAAGCCGTGCGCCATTGGGAACGAAGCCAAACTGATCAACGAAGTCGAGAAAATTTTCGATGATGTTTCTACAGGTAAGTTAGCGTAAGAACTGCCACCAACTGGCAGTCTGGCTGCGAACCGAGAAATCTGTGTGAAGCTGCCGCCGGTTCGTAGTAAGCCTTGCAGTATCCAAAAAGAATCCCAATAGTAGGGCTCTCGGAAGCGGCCTCCAGCAACGACGAATGTGCGGTTCACTGGGATGAAGCTCCCGACGCAGCCGGTACAGTTGCCGGCGCCGACGTAGGTTCTCGTCAGGTCCGGCCAAATATCGATGACCTTCTGCACATATTGTTTGATGACGACGTCGTCTACCTTGTCCAGGAAGACGGCGTCAGTTTGCAGTTGGTCAGCAGGTACTTCTGCCAGCTCAGAACCAGCTTCGCCGAAATAGGTGGCCAGGAAGTCGTTCAGTTCGGTGTTATTGCTCAGAGGCTTGGCGAGCTTGTCGAAGGCAGCAATGACCTCGTCCAGAGGTACCTTGGTCGGTCTGTTGTGTTGTAAGTAAATGTGCAAGTAAATGTGCTTGCGGAGCAGAAACTTACAGATCTACAAAAGTCTTGGAGTCGGAGAAGGGCTGGGCCAGCTCGATCTGCTTGAGAATGTCGCCTTGGCAGTAGAGCGGTGAATCGCACGGCGTGAAGGTTGAGCCATTTTGGTAGAGTCCGTCAACCGGCGAGAACAAGGCGAGAGCCACAGCTATCGCGACGCCTCGGAGGACAGCCATGTTGTTTTCGTTCTCGAAGAAGTAGATTCCTCGGTCACTAAGCTATCGTGGGTTGATGGACGGTAAAGACATGAGGCGTGACTAGACCGAGTACTTTATATAGACAATGTAACAAGAGACCAAGCTGCAGCGACCGGATGTACGTATCTACCTCGTGCTGATCAGGTGCAGGTTCACCGGGGTTCACCTCCTCGAGCTGACCCGAATAGGCATACAGAACTGAGAAGCAAGAGCAAGGGCTGGCGGGGTAAGACGATGCAGTCCTACCAAGCAGTCCAGATGACGGATCTCTGACCGGCATGCTGGGCAGATGGCCTGACCATCGTCATCTCCGGATGTACGCACGCAGTCATCAGGCGGGCTTGGGAGGGGAGTCCGGTCACCTGAGTCTCAGACATCCATGATCAGACCCGAACCGAACCGAAAACGGCGAAGCGATCCATTAGTACTCAAGTCTCAAGGTAGGTAGGTATGAACGGTTGGCATGACTCGACAAGAACCCGAGCAGATGGAAGCTCTCACCGACCATCGTTGCAAGCTGCAACTCTCAAGGTTCCCCGCAAACCCGTAAGCCGTGGGGTTGGGGAAGGGGGAAGGGGGAAGTGGAAAGGGGGAATGGGGGCGTTATTACTTGATTAGGCCCGATTGCTCGGTAAGAAAGGTGCGTCTAGTTGCCGCTAGTATAGCTGCACCTCCAGTGGGAATGAAGTGCGATGCTTCCGGCTTTCGTGACGTCAAGATTATAGGTTGATACATTCCAGGTTATCTAAGGTAACCTAGGTACCTAGTTACTGTAGGTCTCGGCATGTACCATGGTTGACGATGCCAGACATGAGACCTGGCGAGCGATGAGGTACGCCCGTGTGCTAGCGAAAGACCAACTCTATCTCTACCTACATGGATGAGAGAGCCGCCAGTTCAATCATTCAACGGGCTGAACATTGCAAAACGGACCAGAGCTACATGATATATGCATAAGAAAGTTAGCCTTATCGGATCACATGGACCTGCGAATTATATAACATGGGCGAGTGTTTATATACGAGACAACTGCGATAGAGGAAAAACCTTTCGTTTACATACAGCCAATGGCCTGACATGTATGGCCATGTGGCCCGGTCCCACACCGAGCCGGTATCCGTGTGAGGCTATTGCTACGCAGTACACGTGTTGTGTCACCCCTACAAGTTGACTAATATGAGACCACTCGTAAAAGCCAGACATTGGCAAATATACTCGACTACCTCACACGCGCGCCCCAGCTTGAACTGCGGCCTTTTCATCCTATCCCTTGCGAACTGTACTGGCCACTGCCTCAACACCGAAGTGATACATACACACAGTCAACCGAGTACATCAGCATTTTCTCATCTTGCTTAGTATGTTTGAAGCCCGCTTATGTAGTCCCCCGTTCTCGGTGTAGCTTGAGCCCAGAGACCTGCAGCTCCTCGATAGCTTCGTATTGCTGGATAATGTTGGCAGGACCATGTCCTGGTGGGACAACTTTGATTCCCTCGTTGGGCAGCGCCAACAAAACTGATCACTGCTTTATGAACACAAGGTCTTCACCACATGGGCTGTAATGTATCAGCAACCGGAACTCCATCGCAACGGTTTGGCATTGAGTCTGGCACTTCAGGCCTGGTGCACACGTGAGGCGGGACTGGGACGAGTGACGTATGTAAGCAAGTACTCATTATCTGTAGTTACGCAAATCGGGTTTCCCTCCGCGAGCCCTCAACCGTCCAGGGACGTCAGGTCCGTAACCCAAATGCGCGCCATACAGCTCGTTGCTAACTCTTCATGCTACGGAGAGCATGTCGGAATGGTGAGGTACGGCCCGAGCACACAGCTCTTCGATCACGGTAGCAGAGTCCGAGCTGGCATAAGGGGTGGTCGTATTCCGTGCGCTCCCGCGGGCCGCAGAGAGATGTGCCTACGTAGTTGGAAGCTGGGTTCGTAACAGCTGATGAGTTGCAACCAAGGGAGCCCAGACAAGGAGTATCAGCGTGCACATCAACGCCTCGTATTAAACACATTCTGTTGGTATCTGTTGGTACAAGGGCCCTGCGTCTATTCCCATGCCGATAATTAGGTACTTGCCGTCTATGAGTCGACATCCATCTTCTCCCCCTCGGCCGACTCAAGCTCGTGCACGCTGACATACTTTCCAATCTCGTCCTTGGTGATGACCTTCTCGTTTAGTACCGCCGTAGTGCCCCGTGGGAACTTGTAGTTCTTCAGCTTCTGGCTGCGCTCGTTGGGCTTCACGAAGCCCCGGTGCAAGGTGGTCTTGTCGGCCGTGATGATGGCCAAATCCACATTGGAACCAGAACCCAGATCGTTGAAGATACCCGCCTGGATGGCCTGCGAGCACAGCTCCATGGCGTCCTCCTTGGTGCAGCTCGGCTTCCATTGCGTCTCGAACACGGACATGGCGGCCAGTGAGCCCGAGCCCATGGTGACATAGGGAAGCTTATCGGTGCTGCCGTGGGCGTGGACTGTGAAGAGGTGTGTTCCGGTGGGATCGACACCAGCCACTACCAGGTAGGCTCCGATGTGGCCCTGGTAGCGGAACAGGTGCTGCTTTAACAGGGTCATGCAGGTGACGACGCGAGGCTTGCGGCCGGTGGAGAGGGAGTGCAGCTCGAGCTGGGAGGAGATGAGGGCAGTGGTGAACTCTGTGTCGGCGGCGGTACCGGCACCGGCACACCAGATCTGAGGGGCGATGTAATGCAGCTTCTCGCAGTTCTTGTCGGCGACGATGGGACCGCTCGTGGCTCTCGTGTCGGCAGCGATCTAGCAGGGTTCATTCAGTCAGCACGAATACCTCCAGGGGACTGGGGACTGGGGACTGGGTACTCACCACAACACCGCCATCGTATATGCACCCGACGATGGTGGTACCCGTGCTGGTGGCCTTTGGCAAGGGCACACCCCGTGCGTGCAGAGCCGCATTGCGGTTGTAGTTGGAGAAGTCGAAGCCAGGCATGCTGGCTAGCTGTTCGGGTTACTGCTGATGATGCCGGTGTTGGTTTCACTCGCGTCTATAGTAGTAGTTCAAGGCTGGAAGGACGGCGTCGTGTTCGGAAATGGACAATGGTGGGAAAGTTGTTCGCAGGTTGCACCGGGCTGAGACTGGATGGCAATAGATGATTGTTTGCTGGACGGTGTCGAGAGCTGAGAGCTGACGCCAAAAGCTAGCTGCCTGCCACTGCCTTGCGACGCACGCGTTAGAAGCTACAGATGCACTGACCACTTTAAAGTCATATTCACCGATATATGCGCCTATACAGCCTTTGATAAGGGTATAAATGCATATACCAGGTAGATATGTACTTATCAGTACGTGCGGAAGAGCAGGGGTACGCCAGATGGCAAAATGAATCTACATTTCTCGAGGAACCTCAAGCTTTGGGCTGCTGCCTTCCATACCTGCTTTAGGTACCTAGACCAACCTGCTATCTACCTAGATCTCGACGTGCCGTGAGGTATGAAGGCAGCATTTCTTCGAATTCAAGGCCCCTGCCGTGCCTAACGCCCCTGGCACCTGCTTCTATACTCAACACCTGCCAGCACGCCAGTCTACAAGAACGCGACACCCATACCCGTCGGCCCCTACCAAACACACGACGTGCTCCCATCCCTACGAACCGGTGGTCTTCAGGAGCAGCCACGACCATTGCCCAATGCGATCAACCCCCGCATGATCGAAACCTCGCCGCCTCCAGCTACGAACGATACCGATTGAGGGCGCAATGGCCTTCAGCAGCTTTGGCAACACGGGAGGCGCCGGTGCCGGTGCAGGTGCAGGTGCTGGTGGTATCTCGCGGGGCCCTCCTCTGCCCGAGGTCCAGACTGAAGGTCTTGGCTTTTTGTCTCTGGCTGGAGATGCCAAGCTGCGTTTAACCTCGCCTTGGTCTCCCACGCCGTACCCGAACGCCTCGCTGGTTAGCATCGCCTCGCGGCAGGGACTGGTTGCTGCCGCCGGTCCCGATGCTGTCGTTATAGCTTCAACCCAAGCTGTGCGAAAGGCATTCGAAAGCCCCAAGGATGGCGATAGTGAAATACGATCTTTTGAGCCTCAGCTGAAGCTTCCTTTGCCCGTCCGGATATGCCAACTCGCCTTCACCGCCGACGAGTCCTACCTGATCTTGTCAGCAGAGCAGGGCGGCGGATTGGCTGTATACGACGTCCAGGCTCTCCAGCAGGGCTCAACAGAGAGTGCCTTCCAGCTACCCACTAATGGCGAGGCCCTCAGGGCTTTGGTACCGAATCCTCGCCCAGAGAAGGGCGAGCTTTGCGCCGTCGTCACCAACGAGGGCAAGCTCCTGATGGCGAATATGAAGGAGCGCAACTTTGTACAAGGAGGTAACGGCCAGGTCCTGAAGGAGCAGGTCAGCTGCGTTGCTTGGAGTACCAAGGGCAAGCAGCTAGTTTCCGGCCTTGGTGACGGCACCCTCCATCAGATGACACCCGAGGGGGTAGTCAAGGCTGAAATACCGAGGCCTCCTGAGCTGGATTCAACTTCTCACGGTAAGTGTGCTGCCTAGGACCCAGCCACCACCATGCTAAACATGTTATAGTCTCAACACTACTCTGGCTGGAGAACGATGTGTTCTTGGCTATTCATATATCTACGTCGGGCGGCTCACCACAGAGCATATGCCACTTGATCACAAGACAGGGGCAGAGCTTCCAGTTCCAGAAGCTGAATGACCCAGTCGAACCCTACACGGCTGACACGATGCCTCACCACACAGCTGTGCGGCTGAAGGATTTCCCCCCAAACCTACAAGATTTGCTCATATTCTCCTCGACGGCTGTCCCCGATATTGGTCTTCTTGCCCGGTCGAAAGCACCGTTATCGTCCGATGGTCCCGCAAATACATTCACCAACATCGAGCTGGCCGATGACTCCAAGCGAGCCACCTTACCCATGGATGATAGCATGGAAAGCCCTCCTCCGATTGGTACCGCCCTTGACCTGTCTAGCAAGGACAGTGTCTACAAGCCCATCCCTACCGATGAAATGGAGCAGTCTCCCGGTCCGTTGCCCGGTTATTGGGTACTCAATGGCCAGGGGATATTGTCTATCTGGTGGGTTGTGTATTCCGAGTCCATCCGGAATGGCACCATATACCCGGGGCTTGCGGCCGTCGAAGGAAATACTGCAGCTTCTGTTCCACCCACAGCACCTCAAACGACTCAGACACGCGCGTTTGGTGCATCGAGCACCCCGGCCTTTGGGGCTGCACCAGCCGCTACGACACCAGCGTTAGGGGGCAGTTCGGCCCTGGGCGCGAAAAGCTCTCCTTGGGGCGGTCAACCGACAAGTGCATCGTCAGGCGGCACGGGCGGCGCCGCGTTTGGATCGAGCAGTTTCGGCACTGCCGCCGCTTCCACGGCCCCCAAGTTTGGGGCACCTTCATTTGGCACGTCTAGCTTTGGCACACATGGTGCGGCGGCGGCGGCGCCTGCTTTTGGGCAGTCTTCGGGGCCAGGTGCCAAGTCATCGCCGTGGGCCTCTGGATCTGCCTCATCAAGCACTCCGGCCTTTGGTCAATCTGGACTCGCTAATAATTCCGGTGGTTCTGGAGGGCTCTTTGGCTCCTCTGCCCCTAACAATGCGGCGTCTAGTGGTGGCTTTGCGGGTTTCGCGAGCAAAGGTGGATTTGCCTCACTTGGATCAACGAACAGCTCGGATGCACCAAGCATATTCGCTTCCGCGAAATCAAGTGCGCCAGAAGTTTCTATGGATGCGGATTCTAGTACTTCATTCCCACCTCCAAACTCAACAGCAACTGCAGGAACTAGCAATCCATTCGGCTCACAGCCTTTCAAGTTGACCTCTAGTTTTAAGCCTGATCCGAATGCAAAAGATGAAGATGCCGCGAAAGCCGAAGGCAAACCCTCTACTGGGGAACAGTCGTTATTTGGCACAGCATTTGCCTCCTCCATGAACGAACCGACGGGAACAACATCGAATCCCTTCGGAAGTAAGACCCAGAGCGTTTTCGGTCAGCCAGCATCAACTTCCAGGGCAGAGTCTACGACGCCTACAGCAACACCTGCACCGTCCAAGTTCTTATCTCACGCAACTCAAGCACCGACGACTGGCGGACTGTTTAGTTTTCCTCCGAAAGGATCCAGCAGTCTGTTCGGATCTCCTTCCCAGACGCCGAAAGCCGAAATTCTCCAGGTCAAGATCGAGCCTCAAACTCCCAAGCCGGAGATCGTCCCAGAAGATGCACCTCTGCCCCCAGAGTCTACCAGTAAGGCCGCCTATCCATTGGGCGATTCATCATCCTCATCCGCTACCATTGCAGATACCCCAGACGCAGCCGAGGCAGAAGATGTGCCACTACCATCCGACTCCCCTGTGCCGATAGCAAAGAAGACGGAAAACGCGCAGCCAGCGAACGCGACGGCGGCGCCTGCTAATGAAGCACCACTACCCCCAGATCCTATCAGGAATAAGAGTGCCTACAATTCTCCGTTACCTGCACTACCCGGTGTTGCTGCAAAGCCTAATCCTGCCAGTGGGGCTCCTCTGCCTCCGGATCCGATTCGCAACAAGAAGGCATACGCGGGCGTACTTCCCCCACTACCTGGTGTTGCCGCGAAACCGAAACCTGCGAGTGAGGCGCCTCTGCCACCCGATCCTGTGAAGCAGTCGACAGCGTACGAGAACAAGCTACCGGCTCTCCCTATTGCGAAACCACCATCTTCTGTAGCCGGACCTGGCTTCAAGTTCCCAACGAACCCTCTTCCCGTCGAATCTGATAGTGATGACGATGACTTTTCCGACGAGGACGAAGCCACCGACGCCGCCAGCGAGGGCAGTGGTGTCGACGTTGCGAAAGACCTCAGTCTCTCCGTGACAGGTATAAATAAAACGCCTGGTTATACGCCGCAAAGCTGGTTCGATGGATTAGCAGGGAGCTACTCTACAACATCTCGGCCAGAACAGGAAAGGAGGAGCTTGTTTGGTGAACTAGGTCGTACTGCTCCCGTCTTCCCGCAACCAAATCCCATTAGTCCGCGTTCACCAAGCCCCGTGCGAGGTCCGGTGCCGGCGAGAGTGTTGGGCAAAGAACAGCCGCGATCTTTCAGTGCGCCCGGCATGGCATCCCAGATACTTGGCACTTCTAGGAGACCGCAATCACGGTTGGGAGCCTCCATCGTGGGAAAAGATGCTGCCATTGAAGGCGCTATCATCGAGCAACAGCGGAAAGCCAAAGCGAAGAAGGAAGCCGAGGAGACCCAACTGCTTGTGGATGAGGAAGACGACGCCGTCCAGAAGATACTGAGAACGGATGTTGAACCTACTGTACACCTTGACGAGTTCATTGCTCACTCAAACGTAGCACCCCCAGCTGGTGATAGTGTACCGGCGCAGGTTGAAGCTGTCTACCGCGATATCAACTCCATGATTGATACTCTCGGGCTGAACGCCCGATCGCTACGCGGATTCATCAAGGGCCACGAAGAGCTTGGCTCAGACGATCGTGCGAGACAAGATCTAGCCTCGCCCGAGGATTGGACTCTAGGCGATATCCAGTGTCTGACACATATAATTGACCAGGATCTTAGCGAAGCCTTGGACGAGGCTAGGGTTATCGATGTGGAGGAGAAGTTGGCAGAGATCCAAGATCGGCAACGAGAGCTTGCCCGTGATCGCAACAAGCAGGCCGACCTCAAGAAAATCATTGCCTCGAGGTTGGATCCAGAACAGACTGTGGCGACCCGGGCCCAGCCCTTGAGCGCAGAACAAGCAGCGCAACAGAACGACCTGCGACGGGAAGTCCGGAAGTTTCTCACGCTCCTTGCCACGGCCGAGGAAAACCTGACCTTCCTCAAGGCCAAGCTCGTTTCCGCCAACAGCGCCAATGGCAAAGGAGGGCCGACGCCCACCATCGAAGCCGTTGTGCGCACCATCACCAAGATGACCAGCATGGTCGAAAAGCGCAGCGGCGATGTTGACGTCCTCGAGAACCAGATGCGGAAGCTCCGCCTGGGATCGAGCGGGCCGGCTGGCAGTCGCGAAGGCTCGCCGTTCGCCACGCCCAAGAAGCTGGGATCCTCCCTCCTTTTCACACCCGAGCGGTCGGTGCGTGAGGGCAGCACACCTCTGCGCGGCAGTGCCATGCGGCACTCGCTCTCGGGGTCCGTCTCGAGCATCGGCGGCGGCATGTTCCGCACGCCGCCGCGTAAGAAGCTGGCCGGATTCGGAGACTTGGAAAAGACAGCCCTCAAGGAGAATCGTGAGCGGAGGACGGCTCTGTTGGGTAAGCTAAAGAGCAGCCTCCAGAAGAAGGGCCCCGGTGTCTGGGCCATGGACGATATTGAGTAGGGCAGATACCGAACGAACACTTGGGGAATCAGCTACTGCTACTGCATCTCACTGCCGCACTGATTATTGGAACCCGGGACAGAGCAGGCTGGTATATCAGTAGATAGTAATCATGTAAGACAATCCATCAGAGAACTAGAACTGCACCGGAAGGATTTTGGGCGCATGTGCTTCCGGGGAAAAGTAATACTCCCGCAGTAGGCAGTTTTAGATTCGAATTCAGATGATGGGTGATGACTAGAAGCTATCCTGATTCCCGATCGAGCTCCAGTACACACACTCCATTCTTGCCTCGGGGGTATGGGTATAAATAACATGGGTGTCTACAGACAGCCAAAAGGGCAACAAGTATGAGTGCATACCAAGCAGCCTCTCTTCCCTTCCCTCGCTGCTTGTGTGCCGTTGCCCCTGCCGCTCGATACATGTCCTAATTTACAAACGTACAACTTTTGCCAGATCTACTGCTGCTGAGTTGCGCAGCTATTGCACCACGCCCGCAGCGCCTGCGCCTACAGCTTCCAGCCGCGCAACGAGCTTCTTGACGCTGGTCCACTCGTCGCTGCGCACGGCCTCCTTGCCGCCGAGATCGGGACCGACCTCGAAGAGGCTGAGGACGGCGTCGATGCCACCGGTGGCGAGGCGCTTCCCTTCGGTGGACTCCCAGGCGACCTTGTTGAGGCTGTTGCTGAGCAGCTGGCGGCCCTCCTTGCGCGGCGTGGGGCTGATCTTGGCGACGGGGATCTCGGTCTCGACGGTGAGGTCCCAGAGCTCGAGCGAGCCGGCGCCGTCGACGAGGGCGAAGACGCCCGGGCGGACGGGCGACCACGCGGCGTCGTAGACGACGTCCTCACGCACAAATTCGAGGAGCGGTGACACGGCTGTGCCTGCGCTCTCGACGATGGTGCTCGTGGCCGCCGGGGCACGTACCTTCCAGAGCTTGACGGACCAGTCAAGCGACGACGACAGCACGAGGTCGCCGAGGTCGACGGGCCCCCTGGCCGGGTGGAAATCGACGCTCATGACGGGTGCGGCGTGTCCATTATAGGATACGCGCGAGTCGACGCCGGCCTTAGCGCCCGCGCGGTCGTACCGGTGGCACGGGTAGATGGAGCCTTCTTCCGAGCCGAGCAGGAAATAGGTCGGGTCCGCCTGCGGGAAGGCCATGGCAGTCGGCGCGAGGTCCTCAAACTTATTCGGAGGCGGTGTCGTGAGGGTGAGTGATTCCTGGGGTTGGGAGAGCATGTCGACGCTCCAGACGCAGAGTGCGCCGTCCGTCGACACTGATATGATGTTGTTTGCATTTTGGGTGCCGACGATATCGACCGAGTAGATGGGATGCGAATGGCCAGAGCCTGTCAGGGGTGTCTTTTGAACAGGTGCGGTCTTCGCACGCGTGTCCCAGAGCAGGACCTGTCCCGAGTAGGTGCCGCCGATGATGAGGTTGGGGTGGAAGGGAGAGAACTTGGCTGTGAGTATATCGGAGGGGGCGTGGAACAGGAATTCGGCTCGCTCGTGGAGGTGTTGATTCCACACTTGTACGATGCCGTCTGGATCGTGTGGCGCCGACGGGTTCTTGGTGTATGAAGCTAGCACGAGCTCTGGGAATTTAGGGGAGAAATCTATACTGCTGATCATGCGTTTCTTTGACCATCGGTCATCGTGGAACTGCACGACCTCTTTCACTCGCCGCCGACCTTTGCCCCCTGTGTTTCCGGCCTGCTCATCCTCGTCTTCGATATCATGGGCCTGGAGGGAGTAGTCGACCAGGATATCGTATTCATTACTGACGTCGAGGGCGCGCTCTATCACCTTGGTTGATCTCTCAACAAAGTCGAAAAAGTCGTCAGAGGCCGTCACTGCTGCCAGCTCCTCGCCGCTCAACGCCCTAGCGGGGAAGTTGAAGGTAGCAACAGAAGCAGGCTGGAGAAGACCATCAGTGACAAGTTCGCGAGCGGCCCGCAATTCCTCCTCGATTTCCTGTCGCAGGTTCTGGCGCAACTCTTCCTCCCTACTACGCTCCCATCTGCTCATGCGCTTGTTCGGTGTGGAAGTGTTGCCAGGCAGGTCTTCGTCTTCGAGATCGGAGAAGGCGCGTGCTCGTGAGGCGGGCGGTGTCCAGTCGTCTGCGGTCTGGACACCCTTGCTGTAGGAGAAGACTTCCCTGACGGGCGAGGGCGGGCACTCGTAGACGGTCTGGAGGGGTACGGTGGTCAAGACCTGGGGTTGCGAGGGCTGCGAGGGTGCGGCGGTCTGGCCGTTTGCTTGCGAAGCATACTCGGAGTGTTCGGCACTGAGTTCGCCGCCACTCAACACACTGGCTGGCCGACTTCCGCGGGGCCCAGGCGAGGCGGCACCGGTGGTGGATGCAGGCCTGCTCTCGCCCACCAGACTGTTGATCAGACTCTCGATCTCTTTCCGGTTGTCGGCGCGGCCGGGCGTGGGGGATATCAGCTGTTCGACGGGCGTCAGCGGGCCGGACACAGACGACACATGTGCAAATAGGGGCAAGGTACATCGCTCGGGCCGGCTATGCTCGTTCTACCGGCACTGGCCTGGTTCGCCCGCAGCTCTCGCTGTCGCTTGAGCTCGGCAAGCTTCGCCTTCTTGGCTAGAATCTCATCGCGTCGTTGCTGCATGGTGTCCTCGACCAAGGCCCATGCCGGGTCTGTGGTCAGCGTGTGCCGATTCCGAAAGCAGAGGGTCCCTGGTGATCAGCGGCAGTGGCGCTTTCAGATGCCGGTGTGCGGACAAGTTGCAGCGGTGTACTCGCGGTCGCTGTGCGAAGCTGTAGAGGTCGGCGTCGTTGTGTGTTGTTGTTTCTATACAAGACAAGATCAGCTGGTCGCTTTGTCCGCTGCTCTAATAATTAATGCCATGTCGGCGCATCGCGACCAGCCCAGTCCGACGTAGCTTCCCCAGTTTAGAAGAGCCCCGTTCCTGCTTTCCGCCCTGGCCCCGGGAACTTGGAAATACCTGCATGTACATTGTACCGAACTCATTAGGTAATCAGGGGTGCGTCCCCCACAGCTGTCTGCACCCGTCAAGTCTCCGTCAGGTCAATTGCTGGCCTTCCGGTGTGCTGCGCTGCCGGCCCGGGAAAATTATTGTATGCGAAACCTCCCGACCTCGTCCAATCCAATCCTCTCCAGTGCCGTATCACGCAACTCGATAGGACCTACCACCCTTCCACCTCTCTGCTACCAGTAGAGGGCCAATTGGCAACCCATTGCCCGTCTGCGCGCTCTTCATCAACCGTCCCTCCGCTCCGTATCCAGTTGCGCGACAAACCGGCCCAATGTCTACCACTTCGGGAGTCAACGTGCGCAGCCATCCTCGCGATGACACTGTAAGATACACAATAGCTAACGCTGTCTGTCCACTCCAGGTGCTGCGGTACTCGGCGCTCGCGTTCGGTGTCTTCTACGGCTTCACCCACCAGCGATCCATCACCGCCTCCCAAAAGGCCGCCGCCGCACAGAAGGAATATCAACACAAGCAACATTTAATAGAGCAGGCCAGGGCTGAGTACACCAAGAAGAAGAACCCGCCTTCCGCCTCCGCAGAGAAGGCCGGCCGTATGTCCCCCCCTCTCCGACAGCTACCACCGGAGATATGCGCGAAAAGGGACGTCATGAGTGCTGACCCACCACCACAGTGAAGCAAGACCCGATGGACCCCAACTTCGACCTGGAAGCCTATCTGAGCGGTTTCGAGAAGGCTTAAGTCATGCGGAGATGGATCTAATATGGAAGCAAAATGGTCACGAAATAATATTGGCCGAGAAAGCAAAGTTGCCAGACGGGAAGGCCAAGCTGGAGCGGTGGAACAAACTGGATCGATGTCGCCCCCTACCGACGACTTGGAGACAGGCGCCTTCCTCTGGGAAGGTTCGGTGTACGATTGCGACGCTCTCCAGAATACCGCCTGATAGATTTCTTTGCTGCGTTCTCCCTGTACATCTGTACAATACCATCAATTACCAAGACCGAGGAGAAACGCCAGATCTGACCCTGATGCTACCATTTCCGATCTCCTGTGCCGAATCGGCCTGAGCGAAGCCAGGCCGGACTCTGACCTGCTAAAATAACCCCTCCGACTTATGTCAAGCTTGCCATGCCCAAGACGCACGTACATCGGGTTTGATTTAGACGCTCAACTGGACAGGTGCTCTCTTTCGGAGTCCACCAATCTTAGTACGGAGTGGGCTCTTGCGGGACCCTCGGCAAGTGCTTTCTAACTCGGTAGAGATTCGACAGTACGGGACGTAGTACGCACTCTGTTCCAGGCTATTATACCGTATGAAACTCAGCGCAGCAGGTATCAATACAGCAGGAAACTAAGCCAACAGCTGGAAAAAGGGGTATGGTGACAAGCAGTTCGTTGAACCGATTGCCGTCTACACGGCCGGAAGCTTCGGTACTGCATACAAGGGCTTTGGGGTTCCCAGCCTATCCAGAGGCGCAAATTTGTACCAGTCCGAATGGAGGTAAACCGGCCCGTTTCGAACGAACGAGAGAATGAACCATTGCGCTGGGCGGAAGCCAGCCCATCTCCCGCCCTCGAACGTGAGATCGTGTGTCAGCAAACAGTAGACCATGCCTGTGGCCAACCCGGTTTCTTTCTACGACTTGTCGGATGGGCGTGAGGAGGTGGTATAACTAGGTACTGTATGTGTGCGGAGTAACTGACCAGTTTCGTCTGTGCATCTTCACCGAGAGCCTTCTGAAGGCCAGCCACTGCATCAGGTGAGGTCAGTATGTTCTTCTGTATGTAGATCGCCATTGGAGAGATCGAGTTCATGCTTGGAAGTAGAGTCTTCCGCCATAGTCACAGGAGGAACCACATAGCTCTGGAGGCTACTCACTCTTATCGGCGCCAAACCGCCTCAGCTTCATCAACGTGGGATCTCGTCGGCGAGGTGCTCGCACAGGGTGTTCCCAAAGCCATCGATCAAGGTCACAACTTTGTCGCCGTCATACGTATCGACATCGTTCAGGCAGGCCTCCAGGTATGCCTCCATAGCATGCAGGCCGTCGTGGAAGGCCTCGTGCTGCTCGACGTTGGCCGCCATGATGTCCTCCTCCCCGGCCATGGCCTCGACGGCCGGGAAGAACATGGTCTCCTCGCCGCGGTAGTGGACGTCCGTGTAGACGAGCATGGTCTGCGCGAAGTGGAGGAAGGACTTCTTGTCCTGCGGATGCACGTGAGGCGCTTGGTTGTAGACGGCGTTGAGGCCCCTGATGATGGTGTTGTGGACGCAGGCCATTTCCGACGCCGTATCGACGAAGACGTCCGACTGCGCACTTTGTCAGATATGACTTGAGTTCTGAATACCCATACTGCTGGGAACCAGAGCATAACGTTGCCTGTTGTCCTTCTGCGGGCTGCTGCGCGGGTGTGGGAATCAAGGGGAAGGGGCCGTCGGCCCAGAATGCTTTGCGATCACCCATTTTGGCCGCTGAAGTAGTCTTCCAGGTCGATGACGAGTACAGGAGAGCATATCAGGGCTTTGAAGTGGCATCATGGCCCTTGGACTGGCTCCCCATGGGATCGTTCACCCTGTTCAGATTGGCTGCGCCGTCCAACAGGATTTATCCCCAAGCTGAGGCTTTCCCATGCCATATGCTAGTAGTCTCTGACCGCGATGACGGATCAGCTGTCTGGATAGTAATAGTCGGCGGCCATAAGCGAGATAGAGAACGGAGATAGTGCTGAGTGTGTAGTTCAGGGTGGTTCAGCTCCATCAGGGTGGATGAAGAAGAGTAGTGTCATTAGATCTCAAGCAAAGTAGGGACTCTGGGGGACGAAGTAGGAGAACGTTACACACAGCACCTTGGAATTACCTACTTTCACGTGCAGGTTTACTAGGTACCTACCTATATTGCCTACCTGCTAAGATGATGGGCAAGTACCAGCTTACCCAGGGTGACTATAGCTGTTGCTTGAGCACCTAACCTTAGTTACCTCATCTCGTACAACGGAAATGCCCCCTAGGCATCAACATTGCGATTGGCTTTCCAAGTCTGGGTGTGACTTGGTATATTCACACCAGTGCCACATGCTTCCAGGAAATATGCCTTTTATAACCTTACATGACGAAGTGCACGACAGCATGGTACACACTTGCGGATAGGATATTATTGTGCCTTTGTGGTAGCGGAACCAGAACAGAGATCTATCACAAGTCTTGGTTGGGATGATCTGTATTCTGGTTGGTGCTTGGTTACGTTCGGATGGGAAGGATCCCATCCGAGAAGTATCTAAATACCTAAATTACAGTGGGTTGGTACCTGTCACCTCGGGCAGCCATCCCAGGTAACCTTATCGTAGAACGCCCTGGATGACAGGAGATCCGATAAAGTACTGGTGGCTGGATCCAGTGGCTGGGATCCACATTATTAGTACTTTGGTATGCAGGTAACCGGCCTTAGGGCTGCAATGGTGCATGCGGTTTAGGTGCACAAAGAGCCCTCAGCCAATGACAGACGCACGGGCCACGCTTACCCCTGAATTGGTGCTGCAAGTCACAAGTGAAGGTGCGAAGTACCTCCGTACCAGCTACCTCTAGCGCTTGGCACTACGGGTACAGCTGTCCTCTCACATCACCAACTCGCTTGTTGAAGCTTCAACGTTTCTTGCCCAGACACTTTTAACACTCTACAACAGACGGACAACAACACAACAGATGTGACGCACTGCACCGGTCGCATCTTCGTCGTCCAAGGGAACCTAATCTTCGACAATGGCCGTCGCCACCGACGCCAGCTCTGCCCCCATGGAGCTGCTGGTCTCGGTAGGCAAGAACCAGAGCACCAAGACCCTGCTGAGGGTCTTGATTCTCTGCTTCATTGCCGCCGCTGCCGTCGCCAGTCGCCTGTTCTCTGTCATCCGTATGCAGCATCTCCCCCTTGCTCTAAAGCTCGTTGCTAATTGACTCCTTCTCTTCCAGGTTTCGAGAGTATCATCCACGAATGTCAGTCAAGCTTCCTTCTATAGACCCTCGACCTCCTCCCCATCCTCCTCTTCTACCCAGGTGATGCGAACGCCCCTCTAACTTCCCACAGTTGACCCGTGGTTCAACTTCCGCGCAACCAAGTACCTCGTCGCCCATGGCTTCTACGATTTCTGGAATTGGTTTGACGACCGGACATGGCATCCTCTGGGAAGAGTTACGGGAGGCACCCTTTACCCGGGCCTGATGGTCACCAGCGGTGCCATCTACCACGCCCTGCGAGCCCTGACCGTCCCCGTCGATATCCGCAACATCTGTGTGCTCCTGGCACCCGCCTTCTCCGGTCTGACTGCCTTCGCCGCCTACCTTCTCACCAATGAGATGACCACCTCGTCCTCGGCCGGCCTTCTTGCCGCCGCCTTCATGGGCATCACCCCCGGCTATATCTCGCGATCCGTAGCTGGTTCCTACGATAACGAGGCTATCGCCATCTTCCTGCTCGTCTACACCTTCTACCTCTGGATCAAGGCCCTGAAGGTCGGCTCCGTCATGTGGGGTGCCCTGTGCGCTCTCTTCTACGGCTACATGGTGGCTTCCTGGGGTGGTTACGCCTTCATCACATGCCTGATCCCTCTGCACGCCTTCGTGCTTGTCTGTATGGGGAGGTTCAGCAACCGCCTCTACGTGGCATACAACACTTGGTACGCTCTTGGAACATTGGCCAGCATGCAAATTCCCTTCGTCGGTTTCGCGCCCGTCAGCACCAGTGAGCACATGCCAGCTTTAGGTGAGTGTCCATCCAGATCACAAATCCATGCGCCTTGCACAATCGGCTGACTTGGTGCAGGTATCTTCGGCTTCCTCCAGCTCGTGGCCTTCCTTGAATACGTGCGTTCTGCCGTCCCGAGCCGGCAATTCCAGACCTTCCTCTACGTAGGCTTGGGTGGTGTCTTCGGTGTTGCGCTGCTGGGTCTTGTCGGTCTCACCACCGGCGGTTACATCGCGCCATGGTCTGGTCGATTCTACTCTTTGTGGGATACGAGCTACGCCAAGATCCATATCCCCATCATTGCGTCCGTGTCTGAACATCAACCTACCGCTTGGCCCGCCTTCTTCTTCGACCTCAACATGTTGATCTGGCTATTCCCAGCCGGTGTCTACATGTGCTTCCAGAAACTGGAGGATGAGCATGTCTTCGTCATCGTATACGCTCTTTTTGGCAGTTACTTTGCCGGTGTCATGGTCCGGCTGATGCTGACTTTGACACCCGTGGTCTGTGTGGCTGCGGCTATTGCTGCATCCCAACTCCTGGACACGTACTTGGTATACAAGTCGCCGGTAGCGCCAGAAGCTAAGGAGGAAGAAGTCACAGATGGTACCGCCAAGAAGTCGAAGCAGAGTGCCTTGCGGTCGACATCGCAGCCTGTGGTCGGAATCTACACCCTGATCTCCAAGGGCTTCATCGCTGGAGCAATGACACTGTTCCTGCTCATTTTTGTGCAGCACTGTACGTGGGTCACCTCGAACGCCTACTCGTCTCCTTCCGTCGTGTTAGCTAGCAGAATGCCGGATGGTAGTCAGCACATCATCGACGATTACCGTGAGGCTTACCAGTGGCTTCGACAAAACACCAAGGAGGATGCCAAGATCATGTCATGGTGGGATTACGGCTACCAGATTGGTGGCATGGCCGACCGGCCTACCTTGGTAGATAACAACACGTGGAACAACACGCACATTGCCACGGTGGGCAAGGCGATGAGTTCGCGTGAAGAAGTCAGCTACCCCATCATGCGCCAGCACGAGGTCGACTACGTGCTGGTCGTCTTTGGTGGTCTTCTCGGCTACTCGGGTGACGACATCAACAAGTTCCTCTGGATGGTCCGAATCGCCGAGGGCATCTGGCCCGATGAGGTCAAGGAGCGCGACTACTTCACGCCCCGTGGTGAATATCGGGTAGACAGCGAGGCCTCGGAAACGATGAAGAACAGCCTGATGTGAGTACGGTGCTTCCCCTTGACACGGCGCGAGTTGCTGACAGAAAGAACAGGTACAAGATGTCTTACTACAACTACTGCTCCCTCTTCCCTCCTGGACAGGCTCAGGATCGCGTGCGTGGCGTCCGACTCCCTGACCAAGGCCCGGTCCTCAACACACTCGAGGAGGCCTACACCAGCGAGAACTGGATCATCAGAATCTATAAGGTCAAGGACCTCGACAACGTTGGTCGAGACCACGCTTTGGCGGCCTCGTTCGACCGGGGTAACAAGAAGAAGAAGGCCGGCAAGAAGCGTGGCCCAAGAGTTCTCCGCGCGGAGTAGGGATGCAAGCAAGGTCTTGCAGGATTGAAATTGAGCGGTGATTACTTCTAGAACAAGTTGGGTCACATGTGTCGCATAGACCTGCTGGGTTTCCAAGGACAGCCGCCGCAAAAGAAGAGGCTGGCAATGTACGTGTAACTAAAAGAAAGCAATGAAACTGGATGAAACTCATTGTTCGGGAACATTAGTGGCAACGATATATGCCTGTGATCGCTAGAACATCCAGACCATACATACATGTAATAAACCACAATCTTGCTTTTCACCTGGCCAAAATTATGGCAACAAGATATTCACATGAAAAACCTTCTACCAAAACATAAGTCAATCAGGTCGTATGCAAAGAAATAAAGCTGCCCACTACTGGAGTCGAACCAGTTGCCTCCTCATTTCTGCAGTTACTAGTGAGGCGCTCTACCGCTGAGCTAAGCGGGCGAAGAATAAATCAGACCGCTCGGAGGCGGCGGAATTTGATGAACATTTCCCCTCGTATCGGGTCTTCTATAGCCTGTGTGACGGGCCGTTGCTCGGCGAAGTCCGTTCTAGACACAACAGTTGAGCTCTGTGCTTGCTGCAACCTGCAGCTTACCACTTGGTCCATGGTTAAATATCTGGTACCAGTCGCCAGTGACCATAATAACGCTGAATAATTACACCAGCTTTACGCAGACCCGTCTCAGGCGTACTGAGCAAGCAACCTCAGCTTGAAGTGCCGAGACCCCACAGCAGGCTGTCTGTCACTGTCTCTAGCATCGATGATCAGGTACAGATCTCAGATGGCACTTCATTCGTATATGCACCAACACCCAACCTCGCATACGTTTGCTGCAAACATCATCTTGCAATTCATGCTATCTGCTATCTAACCTGGGATTATCACGATGATACGTGCAAGTACAAGTCTCGCCCTTTTTTTCTCTCTCTCCTCTCGGCCATTTTGCTAGCTAGTAATGTCATGTCCATCAACGTTTTGGGCTAAGCATGTGCTGCTGCTGAACTGCTAGTGATTGATTGATCGATCAGACAGCTCTGCTGGACGGCGAAGAAGGCATGTGATCCCAAGCTGACGCAAGAAGACGCATTCCGTTCTCGTAACCGTATCAACTTCGTGCTCAATCGATGGATCTCGCAGCCGCAGTGGTTCGTCTGGTACGGTCCGTCCCAGCATGAGACTGTTTGGATGATAGCAGACTGTCCACCACCATACCATCTCTCTTCATCAACAACTCTCCGTGTTCTCTTCAACTTGTTTTATTCGTTTCGTGATTTTGTTCTCTTTCTTATTCCTGATCCAACATCCTCCAAGTCTTCGGCACAGTAACAAATGGCAACGGCGAAAGTGCCAGGCATCATGCAGAAAAGTGTCGCGTGCGGAGGTAATCCAAACAAGCCCATGCCAGCCAGTGGTGGCTGCCACTAGTAACAGGTGTGTGTGTGTGTCGATGCGAGAAATGTCATCCTTGCGTCGGCCAGTAAGTGGGAGTCTGTTCATATCCTCCAACCGCCAGCCAAGACGCGAATGATCACATCTCGGCTTCTGGAAAGAGGAATGACAATGCAAACTTCAGGTAGGCCAACGCAAACGTATTCACACGCAAGCTGTCATGAATGTAGGAAATAGTACAAAGCTGATCAAGGTCAAGCTTGTTTACAGTCGCATGAAGCGACGAATGCGACGACTCTTGTCGCCGACAGTCGTTTGGCTGGAGCTCTCGTCTCCAGCTGCGGCCAGTTCTAGGTCGTCCATGGAGTGTCCCGTGTGCGCGAGCACAGAAGATCCCGAGGCCGGCGGCAGGATTTCGGACGAGACGCTTGAGTCGTTGTCATCGCAGTCGTACAGGTTTCTCGCAGGCTCGTTCGACGCACGGGACCGACCACTTCGACGTTCGGCACGAGGCATCGAGTTCGAGCCGTTGACTAGTGGCGAAACGTCCCGGTGGTGTAGATCATCATCGCTGGAGAACTCTGTGCACGTTGTGTCAGTCAGGGCGGCCATCCAGCAGACTCGGCAAGAGGCCTCGTTTCATTGATGCCAGGAGACTTACCTAGTTGCTTAACCGACTTGCGCTCGTCTTTGACAGTCTCCCCTGCGTCCGAACCTTCGGCCATCTCGTAAGCAACGTTTCTATCGTTGCGCGCCTCGTCGGATTCGCAGGACTCTATCGAGATTTCACTTCGCGTCAGAAGGCTGGAGACAGGAAATGACGAGGTGGCCGAGCCACCCCAGGAGCTGTCGAAGCCCCCGAAGAGCTTACCAGCTGCAGCCAAGTCCCGCTCGGCCATCTCTTCGGCCTCTCGCTCGATGTCCGACTTGATGTGCGCCCACGAATCGTTTCTCATGAAACAATAGAATGCATCCCTGTCGCCGAACGACGAGTCCGTAGGTATGGCTGGCTCATCCCATCTGGGAGCATGCGTAGGCGTGTTATTGAGGGTATCCAGCTCCGGCAAGGGCTCTTGTGGCCAGGCTTCAAACTGATTCGACTCCGGGAAGGGGATGAATTCGAAAGGCTCCTGGGCATCCGCAGTACTTGTAGTGGAGTGACGTCGGCCCTCGTGGGCGAGAAACCCGAAATCGGGCTGCTGATAATAGCTGCTGGCAGGCCTATCATTGTAAAAGTCAGGAAAGTTTGTTGGCATTGCTTCCGACGATTCATGGTGAACGCTGGGCTGCTCATATGCGCTAAAGGGACCCTGGTGTTCCTCGACAGGCACGGCGTCTTTCGAAGGAGAGGCGTTCGCGGCCTTTGCGGCATTCTTGGAGGAGACTTGGGAGGAGACAACTGAGGGAAGCCTAGCGGAGATGTTGGAAGGCACCCTCGAAGATGCCTTACCAGACGCCCAAGACGCGTTCGATGTGACTGGCTCTGGGGCTCCAGGGGGCTCGTTGGGCAAATCGAGCTTGGAGGAATGCGCAACGCCCTTCTTGTATGTCACGTCCGATGACCCCTTCGACAGTCGAACTTCGGATCGCATCGTATCCTCGGTGGTGTTACCTCGGTCACGCTTGGTGGTGGTCGGCGCCGCCTGCTTGCCTCGAGAACTGCCCTTCGACACGGCTGGAGTGGTATCCTTGGCAGGTGTCGTCTGGGACAACGAAGATGTGCTGATTTGGGGTAGCGGCACACTCTCTTTGGAGTTGTCTACACTGCGATACATAGATTGGCGGGTACGTCTGGAGCTTCGGAGATCAACCTTCGGTCCTCTAGCGGGTGACGAAGCTCTAGATCTCGACTCTTCGGCTGATGAGATCGACTTGGCCAGCTTCGGTCGAGACTTGGAGCCAACGCCATTCAATAGGATGTCGGATAGCAGGCTGAGTCGTCTCGACTTTTTGATCCATCGAGGAGGGCCTTGCGGATTCTTCTCGCGGACATAACTACCGTTGGCGGTGGCACGACCTTCATCCGTGCTGGGGCCGGACATAGGCGCTTCTTTGGCGTACTACATCAGGTGGTTAGCTATCATAAAGGTCTCTCACGAGCATGTCAACTTGCCTCTATAAACGAGATATCATCAGCACTATCGCTGCTGGATAGCTCGGACGAACTGTCCGCGGCATCACGTATGCATCGGTAGCAGTAGTCGGGCTCCGGTATCTCGCCCCTTTTCAGAGGGTGCGCCTTCTGGTACTCCCGGGACCGCTTCTTTCCGCACCCAGCGCAAATATGGACATGTCGAATGCGTCTGCTGATGTGCTGCTTGTTCTTTTCCTTTGTCGCTGACTTAATATTCGTGACTTCTATGCTTGTCTGAGGTCGGTCTGCAGCGTCCGCAGCTGGCACGGCATCATGCTTGTCCTTGTCGGTCTGCTTCGGGGCCAGCGCCTGTTCCTGTTGAGCAGCATTGACATGTCCCGACGCAGTACCGTGGCCCTGGGCAAGTGCCGGGGGTGCAGGAGGCGGAGGCGGCGGCGGAGGCGGAACCTGAAACGGAGCCGTATGTGTAGGCTGAACTGTAGGAGGAGGTGCCGGGGCGTGTGCAGTGGCGCCAACAGGCGGGTAAGGGGCCAAGTGCTGATGCATGTACTGATTCTGAGGAAGGGTAGGCATCGAAGTCGTCTGCGGGACGGGGAAGCCCATCGGGTTCTTGTACTGGTAATTCATTTGGGGTTGCGGCGGTGCCCATCCCGGGGGACCACCACCAGGCGTGACCTGGGGAGGACAACCTGGGCAATGCGCAGGCGGATAGGCTGTGGGACCATAACCAGGTGCCATGGGTGACGTGTAGTGGTTCATCGTGCCAGGATAGTTCCAGGGGCCAGCATGAGGATGAGGAGGTGGATGAGGCGGGTAGAAATATCCTGCCGTTGGGTACGGGTTGCTTGCGTCGTACGCACCATCAACATAGGCGTTATAGTCGGGTCTACTACCACGTCGACGCCGGGCACCCGGGGCGGGAGTGGAAGAGGAGCGTATACTGCTCGCCTTACTGACGGTCACCGGCGAGTCGTCACCAGAGTCATCGTGGACGCGATACACACGGCGGTCGTCTAGCTGGCCGTAGCTGTAGTCATCTTGTGTGTGCTTCAGGATGCCTCTGCTCTGGCGCGGGGAGTTGGGAGCCGTGATGATGCCCGAACTCTGGGAGGCCACGCTCATACGCCGAGGTTCCTGCGACTGCCGTGCTTGACGCTCAAGATCTCTGCGGGAGGGGATGCCGAGGCTCTGGCCGAGGATGTCGAAACCGTACTCCTCCAACAGCTTGTCCGGTCTTCTTCGACCAAATGCAGGCTTGCCATTCTTGGTCTGGGTGACGTAAATCTTGCCGTGGCCAGGAAGATAGATGGCCTCTTCATCGTCGGCCTCTAGTTCTAGTATGCGCTGTTTTGAGGCGGCGGAGCTGGCACCGCTACGCGACACTGTCAGCCAAAACTGTTTCATGATGATGAATGAACTGGCGAACGGGTCGTCTTCGTCTGCAAAGCTCGAAGTCCACCCCAATGAAGAACGCGTGGTAGGTATGCTGGAGCCAACACGAGGCCAGCTCAACTGGTGGGAAAGGAACAGAGGGAATGTACTTACTCTCCACGTCTGCGACCCCTTCGGAGGAAGTTCATGCTTGCAGAGCTAGCCTACAGCACAGGCATACCGTCCAGGAGGTGTGAGGCGAATGACAAGGGAAGGTTTGATGGGTGGTGTATCGAGATCCAGAGAAGGAATGGAAGCTTTGCACAAGAGTAGAGGTAGTACAGGTGCTGGGGGAGAAGGTGCACAGGAGGTGTGGTTTCCCCAAATGCAGCTGAACTGATGATAATCAATTCGTAGCTGCACTGGGGCAGCAATAACGGGTGAAGGACAAGGGAAGAGTGCGTGGTGCTCGAGGTCGTTGATGGTGAGGTGGAATTTGGGGTGGTGCGAGGAAAAGGCCAGCTGCAAGAACCAGCTGGCAAGAGGGTTGATTGCAATAATTGTTCTCACAAGGGGAAAATGTGTGATGAGGGTTGGGTTGAAATTATCTGCAGTTATTTGGTGTGGTAAATTGGTTGCAGCCTCAGTTGCCATCGGCGACCAACATTTGGAAGGCACAGGTGGTGTGCACAAGGACCTCACGGCACTGCCCGCCTACTCTGCTTTCCTAAGTGAGTGGTTGGATCTCATGGGCTATGCATACATACGCCTAGGGCCCCCGGAAAGACTACCTCGCTCACCATGTGGAAGGTCATCTACATGAAGGACTGGCCGAGGGGCATGGGAGGCCGCGCGTGGAATACTTGTCCATCCAGTCCAACTGCACGACAATGCGGTCGATGGCTCTTTGGACTGGAGTACTTTGGCTGCATGCATACATGACAAGCTTGCAGCACACCTTCCCCCAATACAGGCAGACCCAAGCATTGGCAAAACAAGCACTTGTGAACCATACTGCCCCGACGGCTATAGTGCTTGGTCTTCTGTTTTATTATATGAAGTTAATTTATGCTATATCTTTTCAGTGTGGTGCTATATGCTCCGGATGGCATCTCTACATGCGAGTTTTTTGAACATAGGCCACACCTAGGCCCAGGAAACCCATGTCAGCAACCCGGGCAGCTCCAGATACATGATGCCACAAGCCTCCGGCATAGTTATAGTACGTTCCAACTTCACCTCCTGACTGGAGCTCGTGGGGTCTCGCTGACACATCGCCACCGAACCAGCCCAGAGGCTCCTCCGTTCCAAGAAACTCCATCCGCCCTGCGGGCTAATCATGATCCCCAGCAGAGCGCTAACGATATGGGCAAGTAAGTCCAGACAGCCACACTTCTGCAACCAGGATGCGCCGGATGCTACAGATCCCGTCTGCCATTCCACACAGATGCCTCAATCACTGACGTCGACAACATAACCCGCCGGCGACGTCTGCCGGAACCGAGGCACATTCCGGGATACCAAAGGCGGAGCGCTGGCCGGCGATCCTCGGTACGTGTTATGCAGGGCAAGGACTCTAACCGCCTCTGCACGTTTTTGCTCGAAGATCCGGCTGCGCTCCTGCTCCTTCATCATGAACCGCATTCGTGTCTCCTGATCAGTATGCGCTTCAACTTTGATCCTATCATGGCTAAGCGACTTGACAGCCTTGGGCCAGAGCCGGTCTAACTTCCGTGCTTGCGTTTCAGGCACATAAGACGGAGGCTCGTCTACTGGTCTCGGTGTTGACGAGCCGCCCCAGTTGCATTCAAAAATGAGCTTCGCTTGTGCGTGCACATCGTCGTTTCCCCAGAAGGCAATCGTGTCACCATGATGTAGTTTCATCCAGTATCTGCAAGGCGCCGTGCCGTCCTTCGGTTCGTTTGCTTGTAAGGGCTTGTTGTTGATGCGTAGGCCGTTGGTGGCCTTGGTCGATATATAGAAAGCGAAAGACTCCGGCTCTGGAGACGCACGCATGGTACGGCTGGTTGCTGATCGAGCAGGCTCCCAGGGCCGGAACTCGCCAAAGGAAGCATTATAGCCGTCTCTCCACAGAACCAGTCTGAACGCATTCTTGGGGACCTTGACCTCCCTAGCTGGCTGATACACCACGGTATTACTCGGCTCTCGACCCCATGACATAACAGGATCCTTGAGAAAAATCGAAACCCCCGCGACCAAGGACCCCGGCGCTGACTCGAACTTCCCGACCACAGTCTTCGGCAACTGGACGGCTTGCAGGGCTGGCGGCAGCTGGTTCTCGGGGGGCAGAGTGTCTGGCAACGACTCGGACTCATCATCCACGGCAGGCGGGGGAGCCGTAGGGGGCAACTCCCAGTCACTGGTCTCACTTAGTGCTCGGTTGTCACGCCTGAGTCCAGCCGGCCGTAGTTCGAGGGGCCGTGCCATCTCACTGGCTTGGCGTTGGTGGGTTGGGGGGAAGTGTCTCATGGCGAAATCCCAGAGAAGTGACTTCCCCGGGCCGAATTCTTCGTTCCTCCTCTCGGCAGCAACTTCGAACGCGTGATATTGGAGATTGGTCATTTCAGGATAGTCAAGATGCCATGTATCCTTGTCCGAGCTGTCCCAGAAGGTAGTCTTTGGAAGTGGGTAGGCAATCTGCCGACCCGTCTCGTTCTGAGCCATCGGGGGTACAGAAGCGAACAAACTAAACTCGTCTTCTTCTTCATCTAAAAAGTCTACATCATCCTGTGACTTGAGCCTTTTGATGGACGGCTTGGTGTTGGCGCTGGCTGACTCGTACTCGTCACTCGTGTCGTAGGCTGGTTTCCGCTTGCTCGAGTTGAAGTCGCTCACCACCGAGGACGACAACCTAGCATTGCCATTCGCCACAGACTTCATATTCAGGTTTTCGAGGATCGAGGAAGCCCCACCCAAGCTTTGGGAACCGATGCCCAACAGAGCACTGCGGGAATTGTCGTTTGATGCTACCCTCCTGTCCGACAGCAAGCCATTGTCGCGTTGCACCTTTTGCCTCGGGGTGGAGAACTCTTCCGACTCGTCGAAGCTGTCAAGAATCTCATCAGGCTCGAGTATGTCGGTCTCACCAAAATCAGTCCCCGATATTGGAAGATTGAGACGGCCCTCTGGCATGACCTCCGAACTGCCTATAGCTGATACTTCCCCGAACAGCCTGTTCGGCTGGGGCTGCCCGAAGGTATAATTCTCCTTCTCCGACTCGTACTCGATAGAGTAGTCTGGTTCTGGCTCCTGCAGGGAACTCGCACCTGCAAGAAGAGACTGGGCTGCCTGTCGGTCATCGAGGCTTAGTTGTGATGCACTCTGGCCCAATTCGTCGTCAGATATTTGATGAAATGATTGTGTGACACTGCGAAGCCAGGGGTGAGCCTGGAGCTCCGAGATAGTCGCTCTAGTCTCTGGTCGAACGTGAATCATACGTGACAGGAAGTGAATACCGGACTGAGAAACGTTCATCTCTGTCAATGGCGTCATGTTCACCGGTATTTTGACGATGTGGTCTAGCAATTCGGTGTACGTGACCCCGTTCTTGACGGGGAACGGTGGACTGCCAGCGAGGGTATAGAACAGAACGCCGCCAAGAGACCATATGTCCACCGCGTGGTCATACCTTTCCTTGTTTGCGGCTCTTGGGATATTCCTGTTCGTGCGTCTGCCGTTGTCGTCATAGGATGAAAATTCTGTATAGACCTCGGGTGCGCAGTATAGTAGCGTCCCACAGAAAGTTTTGAGGAAGGTCTGCTCAGTTTCAATCATTTTGGACAAGCCAAAATCAGTTAATTTCACAACGAGTGGATTCGTCGACTGAATCAGGATGTTGTCTGGTTTTACATCACGATGGGTGATCTTCTGGTCATGCAGGTACCCAAGCGCATCGATCAACTGCTCGGATATGATTTTGACGTGCCCTTCGGCAATGGGCCCATTTTCCGAGATGAACCTGCCAAGATCACCTCCGGGGACATACTCCATGATGATTATGAACTGATGGGCATCCCAGTCGAAGTGCTCAATGTATTGGACAATGTTGGCCTGGACAAAGTCAGCAAACCAGGTCGTACTGTTGGAGGGGTTTGGGAGATGAGATGAAAGGGGTAGAGCTCACATGTTGGATTCTCTGCATGATCCTCATCTCGTTCTCGACCTTCTGATCCAGGACACCATTTTTCATAAACTTGCGCTTGTCAAGTTCCTTGGCGGCGTATGGAGAGCCGTCATACTTGGAGGTGACTTTGTGTACGATGGCGAAGGCTCCTTTGCCAATCTGACCCACACGAGCATATTTCTCTCCGCCGCGCCATTCACGGGGAAGGCGCTGAAAGGGTTCCTGGAGCTCCTGAGTGGTTTCCATGGGCGAGTCATGGGGCTTGCCGTTCCTCCTTGGCGCGAAAAGATTGACCTTGTCGGCGTGAGCACCATTACAAGTAAATCGAGGGGGCTGCACTTACATGGCCGCCTGGACCAGGACCGATGGTCTTATTGAGATCATCGTCGTCGCCACGGAGTCTTAGTTGATAGGCAGCCAGCTTTCGCAGGTAGGCTTCCTCGTGGTCCCCATCCCGACGAGGTATGCGTGCGAGGAAGACCAAGTCGGCGGTAGTCTCGTGCATGATGATCTTGATAGACGCCCCGCTCTCCAGTATCCTCTTGGTCGGCCCCGACGACGTTTGACTCTTTGCCTGCTTCTTGCGGAGGAGAGTGCTGTCGACGACGGTGCCGTTGGTTGACTGGTCCTCGAGCAGCACACTGCCGTGTCGGTTGACAAATATACGGAAGTGAATATTGCTAAGCCTCCTGGCCGGGTCGTTGCCAAAGCAGATGTCACATCGGCTTCGATTCCTGCCAAAAGTAAAGCCCAGACGAGGATCCTTGACGGCGGAGGACAGGCGCAGAACAATAGCATGGTCCCCGATGCCTCGAGTGCGGCCGAACTCCTTCACATCATCCTCGCGATAGAGGTCCGAGTTGATGGCGTCGGCCGAGTACCTGCCGACGGTGTGACGACTGGACTCGGGGGACACGGCGATCCTATGGACTTCGCGACTGGCAGCCTCGGAATTGGGGTATAGCAAACAGACTATATCGGAGATATCTTCGTCAGAGAAGCCCGAATTCTGCTTTCCGATCCGCCTGGGGTCCAAGGCATTCTGGGTGGCTAAAGGAGCAGGAGTCAGAGACATGAACTACTATACTACTGAAATCTAAAAGGCTGCTAACCTTGCTGCGTGGCTTGCGAGTCGTCATTGGACTCCATTGGGGAGTGTGCAAAGGGTCTACGGCAATACGTCGAGGGGCGGCACCGACTGCGAGAAACACTGTCCAGGCAGCCGGCAGACGTGACTCGGCGGGTCTTCCAGCTCGAATGTCTCGAGGGCTCATGCACCGAGAGTTGTGAGCATTCGAGCGGAGGGACGCGGTGGAAGGGCAGGCTCGGGATGGCAAGAGGTCGTGCTGCGTGGGTTCCGCTGTGGTTGCACCGGCGAGCGTGAATGCGATGGAGCGTGGACGTGGAGGGCGGTCGTTCGTTCAGTCGTGATGGTACGTGTCTAGGCAGTCGAACAGATATTGAACAGTGATAACGCTGGTGCAGACAAAGTACAGATATGCGCAGTTCGCTTTGGGTATAGGTGGAGGCAAGGCAAGACAAGACAAGCCAAAGCGGTGTTGTTGATCACAAGGCTCAACGAGGGGGCGGGCGAGGTCTGAATTATTATTGTTTGGTATGCATGCTGCAAGGTGCACGAGTAGCCCGCTGCCACCCTGGGCTGCCTGGGACGCGGAGGGGAGGACGGACCTGACGGCAGTGGAACGTTCGAACGTCATTGGGCACCTGCACTGATTGGAACGACCGCTGCCCGCTGTACGACTAATGATTAGGGAACGGATAGCCTGGCGGGTGACCTGCAGTGTTGCACCAAACCCCAGCCCCTCCTCTCCCGTCGTCCCAGTGCCCTCCTTTCCAGAAGCATGGAACGTTTGAAAACCTTAAAAGCCCCCGTTGCAACACAACATTCTATACCTATAGGCTTGCACGAGTAGACTGAGTATATTGTACCTATAGGTGCATTATACCCATGATGGGTTATTACACATAACGTGTAGCGGTGCTTACCTAACTGGCCCTTTCTCTTCAGAGTTCTTAAAAAGGCGCGATAAGTGCACCTAATCATGACGAGCTCGAGGCATCAGATGACCTCCCTAGCCGCAGAGAAAAAGCAAAACCCACGGGTCAGCTGCTCCTTTTCCTCTGTTTCCCGGCCATTACGAAGACCGCAGGGTAACTAGACGCCACTCCCATGTCCAACGCCCATGGTGGTAATTAATAAACGCAAAATGATCTCAAGGAGGTACCTAGGTAGTATACAATACTAGACTTTATATGGCTGCCACTAAACGCGGCGTAGGTATATGGAAGGGAACCCGAGGGAAGCATAACTAAGATTACCCCATGATTCTTACAATGTATGCAGTGCTGGTACAAGATTTTCTTTTCCCGCCCCTAGTAGATGCCAATGCGCGCATCAAATCCAAGCACGACGGTAGTTACATCATGCAAAAAAATCAAATCATCTCTTCTCGAGATCCATCCGTGACAAGGGGATATCATCAAGTCGTGAATCAGTCCGCTCAGAAAAGGCCCTTCTTCTTCTTGGGCTTCTCCACGCCCTTCAGGATGTCGTCGAATGTGCTGCCACCTTGAAGCGAGTCCTGCCGCGAGCTGGCACGTGAGTCGGGCGCTTGGCCCTGCACCGGAGATGCTACCGCCATACCGTGCAGGTTGCCCGACGACCGGCTGCGGCCCATCATGGCACTCGACGGGCGCCGCTGGCCGGGGGAAACCCCCCTGGCGCTATAAACGCGCGAGTGCGGCCTCTCGGGCATCATGGGCACCGGCTCCAGCCCGAAGGCGATGCTGCTCCGATACATCGACTGCCGCCCACCAGGCGAGTCCGTTCTTGGCCTGAGAGCGCCCCCCGGAGGGATCGACGACGGAGAGGCGCTGCGGCCCATGAGGGTCGGGCTGGGCGATATGCTGGGATCCATGTCTGTGAAGACGGACTGGGGCGCCTGCAGCGGTGAGAGGCTCTCGTGCGGCGCTGGTGGAGGCGCATCCTCTCCCATTTCCCAACGTTTCGCCGCCATCCAGCAGTGACTCCTGTGGTAGACACCCTCGACACTGAACTCGACAGCATCGGTCGAGAGCTCCACCAGGCCCCCTCCTCCGGCAACTTCGTACCACCTCTTGCGCACCGCCGGCGCGTCCTCTATCCACGGCGGTGAGCCCTTTGGCGGCTGGCACAGGAAGTATTCGACGCCTTCCGTGAACTTCAGACCAGGGGCGTCGACCACGAGGATGGGCAAAGACTGTATGACCACGTAGAGGAAGAGCCAATAGCCGAGGCGCTGCTCTGCCATTTCCGCCGCCGTCTTGCCCTTGGCCTCCTTGTTTTCAAAGTCTTTAAATTCCTCGAGGAACGGAATACGTAGCTTGTATGTCTCAAAGTCATACGCCTTGTTCAGGATGAGAAGCATCTGGTACTCTTGCAAACCTTTGGCCAACCGAGCCTGCTCCTTTGCAGGAAGGGCGTGGTAGTTTTCCTTGACACTCGTCATGTCCGGCAACATGGGGAGATCGAATGGTATAGGTGGCAGTACGGGCGGCGAGGACTGATCGAATTCGGTCAAGACTCTTCGCATTGCCGAAGCGTGAGGATTTGTATGATCGGTGCCGATATCATTAGCGTCCTTGTCTATCGCCCGAGTCGTCAGGTTTTTTCGGTCGACAAGCAGATCATAAAGCGCGCAGAGATCCGAATACAGTATTTTCAAAACCTGTCGGTTCAGGCCGCTCTCCGTGAAGGGGTTCTTCTTGCTACGAGCCTTCGGGGGCCAGCTTCCAAAGTTTGCTTTGTAGTAGTTGAGCACAAAATGTCTCATACGGCCGTAGGACTTCCTCCATGTGCCGAACTTGACGTCCTTGTACTCTGTGAGTGATGTCGAATTCGCAACCCCGGAGAATATGGCAGGGAAATCGAACGACTCGAGCCGATTGTTTACGCTAGCTTGACGTCCCACGAGGTCGAAATGGGCGCGTTCGAGCCGTAGGCGAGTACTCGGAAGGACTTGTTCCCATAGGGGCGATTTGAGGTCTCGCATGGCCGAGTACTTGCCCACGGCATGCGCAAAGGCCTCGTTGTACAACTCCATTGAGCGCATCCGCTCACCCATAATGAGAGACTCCAGTGTTTTTTCTCGGCTGTGTCTCACATCCGCCAGGGCCATCTGCTCCATGAAGAAGCTGAAACTCATTTCCACAGCGTCGCCAAACGTTGAGCCATCATGGTTCGTGAATTCGAATTCCTTGAGGAGAGCGGCGATGTTGATGACCACGGTGAATAGGGTGGGCTGTGCCTTGGTGGCTACTAACGGTTGCCCTGTGAGGAAGGCAAACAGGTTGCGGATGGATATCATGCGATCCAAATCGGCCTCTGACCTGTGCTCCGGCGTGGACATGGACACAGGAATGTAGAGCGGTGTTTCGACCGCGGATCGCGATTCAGGTATGGGTGGAGATAAGGGCGGCGACATGGCATCCATGGCGGACAGGTTGTCTCGGCCTGGGAAGCTGAGGGTGTGCCCTGAGCTTGTCGGTGATCCGCTCACCTCAGCTTCGATCAAGTCGGCGAACACCAGGGAGTAGTCGATAACAAAGGAGGGGACCTTGAAAGAGGGGCCCCCGCCGCTTCCCTTCGGATCGAGGTAGACAAGAATGTCGCCCATCTCGCTCCAGAGTTCGGGGACTTTCTCGCCATTGGCGAGTAAGGTAGTGTTGTAGTCGACATCCTGCCCCAAAATCCAGGCTGGCGAGGCGTGTTTTGTGTTGGTAGATTCTCGGGTTCGCGACTGAGACCTTGATCTTCCCCCCGGTAGCCAACTCCGCCTCAGTCTTCCACGCGTTTGGCTATCCCGAGTCGGACTATGGCTTTCGTTGCTCGAACTGGGCCGCGGCACGGCAGCCGCAGCGGCAGAGACCATGCGGTTTCCTGGGGCGGGCCCCGGGCCACCCGGGGGTTGCGCGGACGAACTTCGACCCCTGGGTTCCAAAGGCGGCGAGCCTTGCTGCGGCATCAACCCGGACTGGCTTCTCGTATGGCTCGTATGGATTGCGTAGGTAGCGGAAGGAGCATGGCTGTTGAAGGAGCTGCTCCTGCGTTTTGGCTGCTCTTTCCTCAAGCGCGGCGATGGCTTGGAGTCCGGCAGGTGTATCTCTGAGGGTGGTGGAGGGGTCATTATCTTGGGGGGTAAAGGGGGCGCCTGCTGCGCGGGAGCGGCCTTCCTTAACCTCCCCATGCTGGCACCGGAGACGCTGATGCTGGACGAGTTTCTGGTGTGGACTTTTTGCACATCGGCGGCGAACTGGCTGTCGGTCGGAGTGTCGAATGTCGTACCAAGGCCCGCCGAATCGGCAGCAGCCCCGGGCGGTAGAGTTGGCGCCCTGTCTGGGACAGGAGGGACGGGAGGGACAGGAGGAGGTGGAAGGGGAGTAGTGATGGGCTTTCGGTGGTCTGACGGGCCAGTGGCAGCGGAGGTAGAGGTATCTGCGGGTTGGGAACTGATCAGTGACGGGAAGAAGGAGGAGAAGCGGTCCAGTCTCGACTTTGACTTGGACTTGGTCTTTCCCATGCGCATGGACGAAGACTGTCTGGGTTGTCTGGGCTGTCTGGTGGCGTCGTCGAGGGCGCTAGCTACTGGGCTGGCGCTCTCGGACGGCGAGGCCAGCGAGTCCAGCGAGTTGGAGTGTCCAGCGTCTAGTGTTGGAGAGAGTTTGTTCGCGCTGAACGGGCCTCTAGCCTTGAACCTGGCTGCAACGTGTTCGCCTAGGCCCAAGGCGGCGGTGCCGGCGGTTTGAATAGAGAGCAAAGGAGGAGTCGAGCGGGCGCCCTCACGGCGGTGGCCAACAGGGTCCGACTTACTTGAGGAAGCCATAGTTGGCATTGGCAAACAAAAAAGCAAAGCGCCCTTTTCTGTCTCGGGCTAAAATCGATCTTTGATTCTCGGAGTCGCAGACGGGCGACGGGTTCAGCGGGTTCAGGAGGGCTGGAGGTCGCTCGCTGAACAGGGCGTTCCGCTAGCTGGGGGGGGGCAAGGGGAAACTGTTACGTTTCCCAGTCTCCGAGAAATGTAATTCGCAACTGGCAACGTGGACTCGGTACCTAGTGCGAGACGCTTTGGTCAATGGTGCCGGTGGGTGATACTAATGAAAGATGGGTATGGCCGGCTGACTGACTGACACAAAAATACACACAAACGACGTGATAAATAATAGTGAGCGGGAGGAGTTGTGCAATACAGACACACAGACCCGGGATGCAGGCTGGCCTGGCTGGCAGGCTGGCGGCGGCAGCTATGTATAAGATGTACCAGACGCGCGGTACTGGTAAGTTGTAACTGTAGCACCGAGGGGCTGACGTCGTGCGCGTTGGTGTTTTCGGCACAGCCAGCAGCAGTATTTACAATAGGCACAGTTCCAAGAAGTTGTTACCATTGATTCTAGGTGATCTGTTACCTACAATCGTGCAATAATGATACATATGTATTCACTATTTACTCCTGAATGTGCATAAGTACCTCGTTGCATAATTGATCCTCTATTCACTATTCCCTCGTTTATTTTTATTATTCGGGTGGCCCTCGGACAGTGATCCGACCTGCAAGTTGCAACCTTTAACGCCAAACCACACCAACGCCATCCATCCGACTCCTCAAATCTGATCAGTGAGAGCAACCTCGGCAACTTCGCAGGGAAAGGCCGCTTCACCCGGGGGGGGGGCTTTTGGACACGGTCAGCGGTCACATCGTGGTTCGGCCTGTCCAGTCTGCCAGTACGAGGTCTTCTCATCAGTTCCGGCTCATCTGCCAGTCTGCCAGTGCCTTGGTGTCCTGACTTCAGACTGTCAGCTACATACACCTGCATCAGCCAACCAAGTTGGAGCATCCGAGAACATGGCCATCCATGGACCATGGATGGCCAGCGATGCAGGAACCGGCCGTGGAGGACATCTGCTGTCCGGTGACGCACTCATCGCAGGGGAGTCCCTGACGGCTTGGCAGATGGCAATGCAGCATGCAGACAAACGAGACAGATGTGCAAATCCTCCGCTGAGCCCTGCTTGCATGCCAATTCTTACTTTTCAGGGTCCTGATAACTCTGTCTATGGGCAGTTGACAGTTGACTGACAGCCATGATCCATGATCCATCGCCTGCTTCACCGTCCAATCCTCTACTACAAGTCACAACACGATTCAGGCCTAAGAATACCTGTGTACCTGTGCATCTATCTACATGATGTAGGTAATAATAGTACGCAATACCGAGTGGGCGCAGACTTTCGCACCGGCCCGAAACTCTGATGTCCGATGAAAAATTGAAATGGTCTGAAGATGGTGAATTACTAGCCCTATTGGGCCTGTCTATTCTTAGCAGCAATAATAACATCAAACCTTCCGCTGCCGCCGCTCCCGGAACGGTGAACCCGTTTGTCGATTGATTATTACCGGTATGAAGTGGCAGCCTGGCGGTAGCGGCGGGTGCGCGTAATGCGTCGAACTGTAGTCTGTTGCGCGTCTTCACCGCAGATGCTGTGGAACAAGCAGACAGCCGGCCCGTATTCCATACGTACGACAACGTGGAAGGCTTTCACTTGTACGACAGAGGCCAGAGGCCAAACACGAGAAGGGCTGGTGTCTTGACATCCATCCCTACGATAATACTCTACTCGCTCAGCAGTATGCTTGCGCCACAACCGGACCACGCCATCTTGCATGCGGAGGCTGCTGACAGCTGGAGGACACGACAGTGATGGGGTCTTTTATTAGTGCTGACAAAGATGTAAATTCTATCGTCTTGTTATTACTCTTTCTCACCAGGGTCCAGAGGAGGTAATTTGTCAACAGTGGCCAGCCTTGCGTATCGTCCGGACAAGTTCAACACGCCGCATCTTTCGATGTCAGGCGTCCGCTACGAGAAACTCGGTCGGTCCAAAGATGAGATGGCTTTTCCGCCATGGGTGCAGATACGAGGGCGCTACCGTCTAGTCGAAGCTGTGAAACTGGACGTGTCGGAATCGCATGGGTTCTCCGTCGCATTGTCGCATCTTCGGTTTCGCACACCGCTCGCGGCTATACGACAGTCAAGTGAGTCAAGTCTGCCTCTCTCTTGCTCAACAACGTTGATGCAGGAGATATCTTGCTCCGGCCCACCGTTTTCTAGCCCATCTCGGTCAAAGCGAGATCTGGCTGTCATACCCAAGAGCATCATATTGCTGCCGTCATTGTGGCCAGGTCATCTATCACGTGTCTATCCCACGGCGCAATACGGCGACGTGGGCTACGGTAAGCAGGCCATGTTCGGGGTCCAGCGTCCTGAGCCTTGCACACCATGTTGTGGTCAGTCTGCCGCGCGAGTTCTCACTCGGTCTTCACCAAATCCGCATTTTGTGTTTTTGCGTGGCAGCTCTGACGCTCTGCGGGCGCCTACCTATTCCATGAAACTCGCCAGTTTGACCCTGCCCGCGAAGCGAAAGCTGAAAGAGCCTCGATGAAGTCATCGTACACGATATACATGGTCTGGTGTGCGCCTTGTTTCTTCACATGTGATATCTAAACGCTTTATGCACGCTGCTTTGCTTGTCTGGTCGACTTTGGTCCTGAAACAGGTTCATGCCTTTCAAGGGCTCCTGACAGCATAACCACGTGCCTATAACGTTGACCGGCTTGGCCATACCTCAATCCAAACTCGAAAACATATGGCCGTGTCAAACAAGACAGTAGTTCCCAAGTAGCCCGCCCCTGACCCTCACGTCCCGGCCTAAAGCTACTACTCAGAGAAACACGTCTCAAATACAGCAGTGAATGCATCTTGACACAAGCGAGCTCGATTCAGGACATTATGTGTCGAAGGGGTAGAGAACACGAAAGAAAGGCCGCGCCGTATGCTTGAGTCCGACGTGATTCAACAGTCAGTCGCCGCAACACATTTCTCCGCTGACAAGGATGACCACTTTTCTGCTCGCGCCGCATTTTTACGTGAGGCACAGAGAACTTGTTAGGACCATAAGACAAGTTGAATCCCCTCACTTCCGCCAAGCTCCCAGATTCTTTCATCGTAAGACCGTTACGGTACCTGAGACCGATAGCACCGGGCCACAGCGAAAATGTTGGTCACGTCTCGAGCCAGCCTGATCTCTTCTCTCCGCGGCAGCAACTACAGACTCGCACTCCATCGCATCTAGCAAGGCGAAGTCGGCAGCGCCGGTGGCGACGTTGTCATGCTTATTCTTCCTCAATATCTTTTGAGGACAGAGCTCCTGTATTCGTGAAGGGCAGGGCAACTACCATAAAAGGGGGCGTCTGTAGGATAAAAATGGGTCCTCGGAGGTTAGATCTGCGATTAGATAAGATTAGATCCGAGGCTCCACCAGTGACTCGTCCCAACGCTTCGCAAACACTTTTTGGAGGCAAACTATCATGATCAACGAAGCACCTCCAGCCCCTCGCCGTCTGACATGTCATGGTTCTCGCGAGCAACCAGGGCCATTATGACATCCGAAGCAAAGAAGGTGCCGATCCCGCCCAGGGGCGTCGACTACCGCGGCAAGGTCGTTCTCGCGCCCATGGTGCGCTCCGGCGAGCTGCCATCGCGGCTGCTGGCTCTGCACTATGGCGCTGATCTCGTATGGGGTATGTTCTCTACTTTCCAAGTAAGCACCATGCCGGGAGGACCTCGTACTAATAAGGTGCTCTTCATCGTAGGTCCCGAGACAGTCGACCGATCCATGATCGGCACGACGCGGCGCCACAACCCCGACACGAACACGATCGACTGGACACGGAAGCCCTCCCAGGGCGCGAAGCAGCCCCCCGCCGACGTCAAAGACAGCGTCCTCTACCGGATCCACACCGAGAAGGAAGCCGGGAAACACATCTTCCAAGTCGGGACGTCGAACCCGGACCTGGCAGTCGCAGCGGCGCGCCTCGTCGCTGCCGACGTCTCGGGCATCGACGTGAACGCGGGCTGCCCCAAGCCCTTCAGCACGCACGACGGGATGGGGGCGGCGCTGCTGCAGACGCCCGACAAGCTGTGCGCGATCCTGGCGGCGCTCGTGCAGCACATCACGCCCGAGTTCGACATCGGCATCAGCGTCAAGATCCGGATACTGGACACGGCGGCCGAGACGGAGGCGCTGGTGCGGCGGCTCGTGGCGACGGGCATCACGGGGCTGACAGTGCACTGCCGCACGACGCCCATGCGGCCGCGGGAGCGCGCCATCCGCGGCCAGCTGCGCATGATCGCCGACGTGTGCTGCGAGGCCGGCGTCGCGTGCCTCATGAACGGCGACGTGGAGACGCGCGACCAGGCGCTGGAGCTGGTGCGCGAGTTCGGCGTCGACGGCGCCATGATCGCGACGGGGGCCGAGAAGAACTCGAGCGTGTTCCGCCCGGGCGGCGCGCTGCCCTGGCGCGAGGTCGTCGAGCAGTACGTGCGCTTCGCCATGGAGGTCGAGAACAAGTTCGGCAACACCAAGTTCCTGCTGTGCCAGCTCATCCCGGGAAAGCAGCCCGCGTACCGGCAGATCAGCTCCTGCAAGAGCTATACCAAGATCTGCGAGCTGCTGGAATTCGATCACCTCGCAGAGCGCGCTAGGGAGGTCGATCTCGCGCTGGATATCGACCCGGATTTTGCAGGCACGAAGAAGGACGCCAAGCAAAACAAGAAAAAAAAGCCGAGCAAGCGGAACAATAGCGCGCTGGCTGCTGGGGGTCAGATGGCACAGGCCCGGGTCTCAAATTCGAACACCAAGAAGGGTCTTTCAGAACGTGGTGTGAATGTGCAACCAACAGAGCAGCCGGCCGAGGCGACGGCGATTCCTGCCTGAAGTAGTGATCAGCGGTGCTCCCATGGCCAATCATAGGAGAAGAGATAGCATTTCAAGGCGTTCAGCGACATATACTTCCACTCGCGGACTGGGGCGGCGCAAGCATCGCATTTGCATAGTCGTCTAAGGATATGGACGAGGTAGAGTGGTGATCAAGAAATACGAGCGATGTGTATATAGACGGTCAAAACTGGTGTCGCAAGCATTTGCAGAAGCTTCACATAAAGGCTTTCGGCAGTAGAGATGATTATGAGCTGTATTTTCTTCTGATGATTATCGACCACGATGTAGTGGTCAGACCCTCTTTCCCTGTCTAAGAAGATCAGATACTTTGGGTGGGAGCACCATGGCGCTTCTATCGTTGCGTCGGTGAAAATCCACAAGTGAGACAGCCGTCTTCTCCGGCATGTCTTCATGTATGAAATGGCCTGCTTCTGGAAATACCTGTAGTGCGTATTTCCCTAAGAATGTGTGTCAGTCGGCGAGCAACCCTGTATATCAGCACGAAAGAGTCGACACATACCTTGCATCTGGCCAATGGTCAGCTCGGTATCCAACCTGTCCGTCCCGGCAAGCATCAGGAGCTTTGCACCTCTGGCTTCCAAGAATTTCTTGCTCAGCCCCACGAACCAGTTCTCCCAATACGGCTGGGTCGCCCCTAGGTCGGTCCTCCACTTCCAGGGCCTCGCGTCGCCCGGCTGCTCGTCGAACCGCAGGAGGGACGGTACGCTGGTGCGTGCCGATATGGAGCTGCGGATCGTCCTCGATCGCGTGTGCCACTCGATGCCCGACTCGACGGACGGGAACCCCGTCGGCCTCGTCGACAGGTAGGTCTGCATGTGCTGCAGGGCGTCGATCGCGGAGCCCTCGACGACGTCCAGGACCGCATAGCCCAGCAGCGCGTTGCCCAGCTTGCCGGACTTTGCCAGCTCGGTGACGACGGCGCCGCCCATGGAGTGGCCCACCAGGATGATGGACGGCAGCTGTGCCCACTTCATCTCCTTTTCCGTGGCCACGATGGCGGACAGTAGATCGGCCGCTAGGGTCTCCAGCCGCCAGTCGAGGTCCTCGCCCTCGGGGATCGTGGTCGAGCCGTGCCCTCGGGCGTCCAGGGAGAGGATACCGGCAGCTGGAAGCCGCTTCCGGATCTCGTCGCCTACTACAGCGAACGAGAGCCCCGAGGCGCCGCCACCGTGGTGCATCACGAATAGGGGCCCCTTATCGACGGGTGAGGTGAGATAAGCATGAATAGTCGGGCTTGTCGGACTGTCCTCGTCGCGGAGGAATAGTTCCCTCTCGAAGTAGGTAATCCATGGGATAGGCTGCAGCGTCCGTCCTCGTGGTATGCTGTAGCCATTGATCAGATGTGGTGAAGTCGTAAACCCTAGGGGATGGCCAACATTACCCCTGTGGTCTGGCAAAGAGATTCTGACTCGGCGACGGGATTACGGTGCCAGTAGAAGAAGCGGACGATGCCGACGAGGAGTCGTCATCGACATGCTCTGGTAGCTCGGAGACGGTGCCGGTTTCCTCTCCCTCTTCTTCGCGCTCGTCGAAGGTCTCAAGGGGCATGGCACTAAGGCGGTTCTTGGCCCAGGCTTTCTGGAGGTCACTCATGGTGAGCAAAGAGCTGGTCGCTGAGCTCTTTCATGACCCGGCCTTGTCGCAGAGAAGGGAGGAGGCGTCTGCATGAGCTACTGGTCTGGATTGAAAAGCGTTGGCTGGGCAAGTATAAGCACATCTATTCAGACCATGATGAACTTCGGTGGTGGGCGCTGTGCTGGTGTTCCGTCGTGAGGTTGTTGGAGGAAGAGCGGCGCAGCATTTCTTTGGTGGAGTTTGACGACTGACATCACTGGCGACACCCCACTGACTGCATGTGATTGTCTCTTTCCCCTTTCAACTTCTCCTCTGCAACAAGTCGACACATTAATTGCCCTTTCACCTGTCTATACACACGTGGTCTATTTAGAGAATCCCATCCAGGTGGAGGCCAGAGTACTTCCTAGGGCGTAATTCGGTGGTTATCCAGTCAAGTGCCTCGGAATGACAGCTTCTGGGAAGTGATTGTGCAAATCGTCGTTCCAACCACTTGCCATCTATGCAATTTCAAGTACTATATAGAGAGATGTGGTACGCGATATGGGCGAGTGTTATCTTCACTCATGAAATGCCAGATGCTAATATAGGAGCACCTATCGAAGACTGGTATCGAACTCTCGTATGCGCACACACAATCTTCAAGGCCAGACCAACCCAAAAGCTTGGATGTCGGAGTTTGACCTTTCAACATTAGAAGGAAAATAGCGAGTATTCGAGAAGTGGCAGCAGTCTACTCGATCACAGGTTCTGCCTGTACTGAGATGGTTCTGGCCCACGGCTTGTCGTGTATCCTTCAAGTAGGGCCGTTTAAGGTTGACGACCAGCATGTGGGCATTTCTGGAAGAAAAACTCATCTCATGGAACGAGCAGATGGGTTCCAAAGTAACCAAGCATGAAGATGCGAGGGTGGGCTTTGCAGGAAATCTCAAAATGCCTCCAAGATTTTCCCGAGGTGGTCGCGATTCTGGTCGTCTCGACACGAAGCATGGGAAGTTAGCGGCGGCTGAGATGGTCCGCGAATTGTCTTTCGGGAAGATGTTGACATCAAGTTATATAAAGCGTTGAAAGAGGACAGGTGCACAGTTGTGCTGATACGGATGCCAGTCTTCGTCCCTAAACGGGACCAAGAGGTGCCCGTGATTACATGACGTGTTCTAGATCTGGGAGGACGAGGTCTTCTCGGAGACGACCAAGAGGGATGTTTCTTCGATGTTTGTCCAACTTCAGCCCGTAGAAGCCATCAAAGAACAGCCCAGTACACTAGTCCATATTCCTATTACATCCAGAACAGACCCTGTATGTTTCCGCGGTAGTTAAGTACAATTCTGAGGAACCCGTGATCGGGTGGCAATGCACGCATTAGGTGAGAGTATCGACTCGAAGTACTCTACGCATCCATGGCGCTACCTGCTGACTCAAAAGGACATGACGTACCAGGGAGGTCAAGTTCTGTGGCCACGATATATTTTCGATAGTCCCTATGCGGCTCCTTGTTCCTGAGAAGCCAAGTTTACTCAGGCTTTGCCATGGTTTACTTGTCTCTGACCTTCCAACTGGTGAGGTTTTGGTTATTATGCCAAGCAAGCAGTACGAGTCAGTGTTCTAACCATTGCCAGTTGCTCGTTGTATGCAGTTAAGCAGTAAGACGACCAATGGTCCGTAAGGCCCGAAGCCACCTATGATGGTGGTCTCCCTTGACTGAGGAAGAAACGTAGGTAGCGTTACGCAGCGGAGGCAGGCCAGGAGACGCGGCGGGAAGAACTGGGCCAGCTCTTGCCTTTGGTTTTGGAAGAACTAAACGGTCAGCGTAGTAGACATACTCTACTGAAGCATGGTCATATGACTTCAGCCCGACCCGAATCGACCAGAGGCTTAGCATCTGACCATCTGAGAATGACGATGTCGCCAATTTTTCCATCCATGCCTCCGTCGGAATCAGTACCGCGACCCTCGACGAGAGTGTCTGTCAGCAGGCGTATGAATACGGCAGTCTCGAGGTCTGGAGTGTCGATCATGCTGATATTGCCGGCCTGGTCGTTCAGATTCTGGAGGGACTGCGGGAAGGACGAGAGGAAGGACGACAAGTAGTGGTTGTGGAGTAAGGCCTGATGCCGTGTTGCGTATGCCTGCTCTGTTTCGGAGAGGCGAGCTCGGAGGGCGGGCGAGGACAGATAGTGCAAGGTGTGCTTATCAATCTGAACCGTCATATGTGAGTGATGAAGAGCGCGGCTTAGGGAGCCAAGCGGACAACTCACCTTGGCTATTCTCGCACGCAGGTAGCTTCGCACGAGATACTTGAAGCGCTCGAGCTCGGTCTGGATGACTATGAGGGCGAAGTTGGTCTTGGGGTCCATGTCGCCCGTCATCTCTTCGACCCTCTCGATCTGCTGCTTGATGCGGTCATTGATGCGCTCGAAGAGCCCGTCTGGCGGCCAACTGGACAATGGAGAGCCAATCAGCAGAGGAAGCATTCACGGGGGATACGGGATGAAAGCAAGTCGCTACAAACATAAAACATACTCTAGCAGTTCTGGTGCGGATCTCTCTGCCACCCACGCGCGTGTAAGAGCTTGGAGGTCGCGGGTCTCTCCGGGGACGAAGTCGAAGGTCGGGTCGACCTCGCGCAGGATGTCGTCAATATCCATTATGATGGCAATCTCGCACACGGTAGCTTAACACGGTGGTGTCTGACTAGAGGCGGTCGAGTCGCGAAAGCATGCGCGCGCTTTACCGTGCAGAATGGCAGATGTCAGACACGAAGCGCGGAACGAATTGGAGATGGCGGAATAGGAATGGCAGCTTTTGGCGGGGTAATAACGCCAAGACGCCAAGTCGCGTAAAAGACCCGATCAGCCGGCTGGGCCGCTAGCGATTTCGGATTAAGGGTTCCATGGATGGCGCTAGGTGGCGCTACAGTGGGACAGCCGGGCGGGAGATGGGGTTCCAAATTCCAAACTTCAAACTTCCAAATGCCCTGCCTGCCTCAGCCTGCCGGCCCAGCCTGCCAATGCCAAGCCTGCTGTGCCCAGGTGCCAGCCCAAATGCCCGGACTGCCAAGTTCAGTGCCAAGCCTGTTGTGCCCCGGTGCCAGGTGCCCAGGTCGTCTTCTTCCAAGCTGCCAAGGTTCCACTCTCTTGGTAAGGTAACCTCTTCTTCACCTTCTTCAGTCATACAGCACCCTCCTCGACTTTTCGACTCTTCGACTTTGTAACAACCTGCTGATCACACCCTACGCCCACAACACGAAGGTGGCAACGTCCAGACTCACCGAGACACACCGGTGACACCGCAACTTGCACGAGAGGCGGCACCTCGTTATTTCCCCATATCGTTCACCCAGAGTTTGGCTCAGAACGGTTCAGCTGCCATGAAAAAGCAAAGTGACTGGCGTCGAGTGTTTGGCTGCTGACGACCAGTCCTCCTCCTAGACCCTAGTAGGGAGCTCTACGAGCATGGAGCTACCTTGCTGCACCGTGTCAGCGCGTGTGTGTCTATCAGGTGCCGTTTATCCATTATCAACCATATATTGTCAATACGTGGTTGTCGACCCCAACGTGCCAACGTCCCGGCGGCTTCCCAAAGGGGCATCCCGAGATATCCAGCTTCACCAACCCCCGTTCCGCAGGGTACATGCCGTACCCTTGGTCCTCTCCAATATCTTGCAGGAATTATTACAGATCCCAGCCCTGGAAGTCCTGGGCCCGCAGCGTCCGGCAGGGCAAGTGACGTCTCTGGCCTGCGAGCCAAGCACATCCAGATGTGCCAGACAGCCACGACCTGCAGAGTCGAGACTTGCACCGCCTTGGCTACAGCAGCGGAATGACACCGCGGCAGGCAAAGGCTTTTGGCATCATGGACAAGGATAACACCCCGGTTACTGAGCAGCTCTACCAGAGCCGCGGAGCAGTTGGCCCTTGGCTGCTTGGCTGAACTATGTAACCACCCCGGCCATGCTTGCTCCAATGGCGCATGCCTCCCCGCTGTCAGACGCTGCCATAGACGACCCCAGACGAGGACAACAGCATCGGTCTTACACACCACTACGGATGTCAGTACCGACGTCCTTGCATCTCCCAGCGTCAAGGGCCTCTTGTCACATCCGTCCCGTCTTCATTCGTCTCTTTCAGCCCAACCTGCCGTGAACCACGCTACCCGGCCGCCTGGAGCCGAAGACGCCTACCCGTTTCGCCCTCCCCCTTTCAGGCAGCTCTACCCGGAGGCTTCATATCTACCAGACCCAGCCCCACCGCTTCACATTGTCATCCAGGGTAAGTAAGTGGTATGATGGGAGTCTCGTGAACGCTGAACAGGAACGGACAAGGGGAGAGGTAATGTTGCACTCTTGATCCCGCATACTGTATGGCGCCTATCAGTTGGAGATTGCGCCGAAGGGACCCAAACAAGCTTTGGGCCCGGGCTTTAGGTAGATGACCATGCGTCGCAATGCCTACGGCTATATGGGCGAGCGAGGTAGGGGTGAAGAACGCAACGCAACCATGGAAGCCGACAGGCCTGCCTTTCGCCAGCGGAAGATTGTCCCACGCACGGCACGGCCAACCCTTCCGACGGTTCTCTTCTCAAGGTCGGCTTCGTGGACCCCGTACTGCCGTTGCAGACATATGTACCTGTAGAGATGAGCCGCTGGTACCCTATCGATGACGTGTAAGCCTTCACGGTACAGAACACGTAGGCGTCCTACAGACGCACCACAGGGGTCGGCGAGCGCCCACGTCAGGGGGCCTTTCTTTACGAAGCAGCGCACCATACCCACGAGCAACGTACCTCGCAGGACAGGGTGACAGATATGAAGACACGCTCTGGGAGGAACCCCCCTCGCAGTCGTACGTCACTGGTTCGGTGAGAATCCCTCGGGCATTAGGGCGGCGGCAAGGAGCAAGAATATGGCCTCATCTTGCTCAAGGGAACGTATCATCAGCCCCTGAGTCTGGCGGCAAAGTCAGGTCGAGCCTGTGCGTGTTTGTATCGACAGTAGAATTCGAAGCAGTCATACAATTTGTAGTCCGTCAAGGAAATTGGGATTTTTTAGAATTAGGGGTTATGCATTCACAACGTCCCAGTTTGCGATAAAGTGAATATGGCGACAAAGTGAATAAGTAGGTACCCATCCTGGCTTGTGGGAGTCCACGACTGCGACTCTTGCAATCGTCCATCAATAACGTATAGAGTAAGTAAGAAGTATGTAAAATGTTAGGTATCAGTCCACCCCCTTCCGTTCCGTCTCGTATAACGTGAAGAAACAAACGCGAGATTCGTGAATCCGACATCGATGCTTCGTGCCGCTGCGCCCAATGTCTCCAAACCTGATATCAACACATGCTGATCCGACACTCCGTCCGTTTTGAGCCCCCTAGTGGCGTGGGCCAACCAACCCGACTTCATCCGATGAACTCCGTGCTTACCAGAGTCTCCCATGGCTTTTCCGTCTCCCAAACCTTTTGCATCAGCCGACGCGCATTATGTACCTGTATATGGTCAGTCGATGTCGCCGCCACGTGAAGAAATGTAGAAAGTAGTTACCTGAGTCATCCCGTGATTCTCCGCCGTCACAAACCTCTTCAATATCAGAGCCCGCTGACCCCAGTCCCGGGCGTCGCACCCTGCCGTGAACAAAGGAAAGAGCATGCAAGATTCGGCCGTGCCGCCGGACCGGATGCGCTGAAAACAGGAGATGATCCTCCCCACGGCCATCTGGACCTTGTCGTCTTCCGACCGCTTCCCCATGATCCTGCGGTAGAGGTGGACCAGGCCGGCCCAGTGGAACGCCCAGTTTGTCGCCTCCATCTCGTTCCTGTCCCACTTCTCAATGTCGCCTTTCTTGTGGATGTGCTGACATGGGACCGGTGGCTGAAGCATGCTCTCGGTGATGGCGTCCTCGAGCTTGCGAGCCTGCTCGAAAACCTCCTCACTCGGCTCCCAGTCCTGGCACATGTCCCCGTCATCCCCGATGCGCTCGGCGTCGCACTTCCGGGCCAGATCGGCAATCTTGGCCAGGAGGTAGATGCATCGTGTCGTGAAACCCATGATGCAGTCGATCTCGTCGTACCCATCCATCATGTCGTCCACTTCATAATCGAATATCCACGCTGAAGAGGTGTCCTTCGGGCCCCCGCTGAGACTACCGATTACATCGAGGTACGCGGCCCAGCTCCAGAGGAAAGAACACACTTGGTCCTGCCGGAAGTGGGGTTGCAGCCCGTGTAAGCCGCCCGGCCGGGCAGTTATGAGCTCCCGGGCCATGCCTAGGTGCTTTTGCCACGAGATCTCATACCCAAAGACCTTGGGGGAGATGATCTCGAGCGAGGTCAGCATGATGGCGGTGGCCAGGTTCGCATTGGAGAAGTTCCTTTCAGGGTCGTTCAGGGCTTGACGAAGGGCAGGGAATATGTCGTCTACCCAGAAGGCTATTCTGAGAGTCGGCTCGGGATGATTTAGCACGCGTGCCCTATGCGAAGCTGGCGAGGTCTTGTAAGCAACATTAGGAGCCATCGAGTCAAGAGCGTCCGTACCAGAGTATGCTAGCAACAGGGCCAGGAGATTGTCATTCTTGACAGCCATCTGAGGAAGAATTGTGCGGAATGGGTTGGCGTGTGGGTCATCGTAGGGAACAAGCACTCGTCATCTGTCAGTAAAGGAGCAATCAAAAACAACCAGACCGGAGTCTCGGATTACCTCGAGCGGTGTGGTTCAGAAAGTGATGCTGTGTCGTTTGGTAAGACGTTATATACGGCATAACTATTGCCTAGACGGTGAAACTTACGAAGTACTGAGGCTCCATTAGCTTGATATTCAGCCTTCACGGAGGGGAAGGGACTTACCAAGAGATTCATTGGGTTCTCGGTGAGCCTAGGCCAATGTCAGCACATTCATTACGATTGAGGGTTTGTCAGAGCGGACCGTACCTGGAAGGAAGTGGCTCCAAGTTTCTGGGTATGTATATCTTAACTGGCTTTGAGTAGTATCCGCCATCTTCGTCGTTGCAGTCGTTGGTCTCGACTCCGAACCCAAACTCGTTCCAGAAGATGTCTTCAGTCGGCTCTCCGATAGTGGTATCTAGAAACTCGCGCGGGAGCAGGGGCGACGAGCCGCTGATAGCGTTCATGTCATCGTTTTTGCCCAAATCACGATCTGGGAACCCTCTGTCAACGCCATAATAGGTCGGCTCGGCCGAGTTCCGCAGCCGGGTGTCTAGTGGTGAAAACATGGTTCCTGCGTAACCGCTTGAGTCGTCTCGTAATCCTCTGAGGCTGGGTGGCCCGGCGAGAAGGGAATTGACAGAAAGCCGCCGCACGTCCGGAGACGAGACTGACTGTTGGTCAGATCGACTGCTTTGGCGTCGGTCATCGTCGCTGTAGGTAGAGGACGTAGTCGGTGTCAGAGGGGATCCAACGGATACACCAGAGCTCACAGAGTACCTGTAGGTTGCTGTCGTTGAGTCGACCGTTGAGCTGTGGGAAGAGTAAGGCCTCTTGTCAGTGGGTTCGGTTGGTTGGGCTTCGGGCTTCACTTTGGCTCTTTTTCTGGGACGTTGAGAAAACTCGGCATCGCCAACTGCCATGGTTGATGCGTCAGCGAAAGTCACTGGGCCCGAGAGCGACGCTTTGCGGGCTTCATGTCTTGGCTGGTCCGTCTGACTTGGTGGATTAATAAGCGGCTCAAGTCTCCGGGCGCCCGGCGTGTCCAGGCCGTTCAGCGGGTATTGATGAACGAGCTTGAAGCCCTTGGCCGGAATCGTTGGTGAAGGAGCATCCTGTCTAAAGTCGATGACCCCAGACTCGGGCCGTTTGCCTCTTCGGCCATCCCAGTTCAGGCGTATACTATAGTCGCATGTCTCACCGGCCCCTTGGCACCTATGAGACAGTGTTAGTGCTCAGACAGCTGTGGGCTGCGTGGATGGCCTTGATTGGAGACTCAAACCGGAACGAATTGGAGACGTACTTTAAGCAAGTTGGGTGTTCCTCTCCGCACTTGACTTTGCGGTTCTTGCAAGGCCTGTGACAAGGTCAGTCCCGTGGCCAAGACGAGCGGGTGATAAGCACGGAGGCCGGCGTCACGAACCAACATCCATTTCGACTTCGTCGTTTGGGTTCAGGCGCGCCGGGCTTTTTTGGCCGTGGCATTATACGATTCTTGTAGTCGATTAGGGGTACGAGAATGCTTGAGCACGATATCCCTTGCGATGCCGTCGACCGTCGGTCATGTTCGATAAGCCAACCACCTATTGTAGTCTCTCTAGGCGAGGCACAACTCGTTTGTGTTCAAGCGCAACAACACTTGCGATAGTCGTTGGACAGTGGGACAGACCAAGCAACGACTTGACGTGATGAAGGGTTGAACCTGAAGAGCTGTGTTGCACGTGTCTGACAAATAAACGGATGGGGAAGACAAGGAGAGAGGCTGGATAAGGGAGATGAGTTGTGTATGTAGGCGTGTGTGATGTATAAGTGTAGGCGCGGATGTAGTTGGGATACGACCAAGTGAGGAGGAGCAAGAGACAAGGGATTAATTAGTAAGAGGTAGTAGCCCGACTAGTTCAACTACTACCCAGACTAGTATCCCCCGCGATAAGGCCAACCTGTGACGAGTCAAGTGTCAAGACTGGCCGGGGAATGATATAAGGCGAGGTACCTAGGTAGCCACATGCCGGTGGCAGATAGCAGAGGTAGTACTGGATAGTAGCAGGTAGCCTGGTAGCCTGGGCTGGGCTGGGCCATTTGGATGGGCCAAATTATGTGCTTGACCGGTGTGGTCACGTAGTCACGCCTGTCCTAACGTCCAACCGTCCGTAACGCATCCCCACGTGCGCCGCCCACCAACCGTGGAACTTTCCCACCCACTTCCCACACTCATGCCCACACTCGCCCTCACTCGCCCACACTCTGCTGTCCCCCCGAACAAGCCAGCAAGCCCATTCATGCGCCGTCAAGCCACCTCACCACCAAGGCCAGTCCGTGACCACCATAGCGGCCGACCCAAAGTGTGCTTGATTGGCCTGCCAGTCCCAGGCCTACGTTTCTCTTTGCTTCTTGACACCCCTCCACCCCCCCCCCCCCCCCCCCCCCCCGGCCCAGTTATGAGCCGATGTGGCGGCTTCTTAATTACCTCTCTTGGCCAGACTCTTGTCAAACTGTCACTCTCCAACGACAAGCCGGCCAACCCCAGAAAGCACAACGTCAACGACCAGGGACTTCCCTGACGGGCTTGCCTGCTGAGTCTACTACTGGTTTAATATGTAGGAGCAGGTGTCGGAAAGCACACTTCCGCCGCGCCTGACTCGTGGCTGCGGTTGATCGGCGACGCCTATGTACATCAATCATCAACTACCGACGACTACAGTCTGGTCTAATCTAGGTGATGTCGATATTGAGGATTTTGATGTCCTCCTCGGGCTTCTCCTTGTACGCGCGCGCATTTTCTATCTTGTGAACCACGTCCAATCCCTGGACGGCACGTCCGAAGATGGTGTGTTTGTTGTCCAGCCACGGCGTCTTCTCCGTCGTGATGAAGAACTGGCTGCCGTTGGTATTGGGCCCGGCATTTGCCATGCTGACCGTGTACGGCTTGTCGTGCCTGAGTGTACTGAACTCGTCCTCAAACTCCTTGCCCCATATACTCTCCCCTCCCGTTCCGTCACCCAGGGGATCGCCACCTTGTATCATGAACTTGCGGATCACTCTGTGGAAGATGGTGCTGTTATAGTAGCCACGCTTTGCGTGCGTGACAAAGTTCTCCACCGCCTTTGGTGCCGCATCGGGGAACAGTCGAATCTGGATATCGCCGTAACTTGTGTGTATCACGGCCGAGGTGCCTGTCTCGGCCGTCTTGGCCTGGACTGCTTTCTTCGGGTTCAGCAACGTTGGCTTCTCGTTTTGCACGTCTCGCTCAGACCGCGATATTTCCTCGTCATTCGTGAACATATAGAACCGCACTTTGCCCACGGCCGTCGCGAAGAGTATAGGGTCACGGGTCTCCGACTCCTGTAAAAGAGGATTGTTCGAGGCAGCCATGGCTACGGTTGTGAGGCCTTTCTTCTGAGGTTGGCCTTGGTACATAGCCAGGCTGACAGGCCGTATATGCTCATCCTTTCCATAGACCTTGACCACTTGGTTCGTGAAGGTGTTCAGGACTTTCACTCCAAGCATAGAACCGTAAAGGATAAAGTGGCCGGTCTCGTCAAAGACAACATTGACTTTGTTTCGGAGGGAGCTGGACTCGATCTCGCGTTCCGCCGCAAGCCTCCTGCCAAAGTCAACATCATCCAGCTTCTGCATCGCCGTCCCAGCTTGTTGCATCTCCTCGATAACCTGCAAGGACTCGTCATACGTCCGGTATAGCTTGGCGGACCCGAATTCGAACACTCGAATCTTGCGATCAGGCAGCGAGAAGGTCACGAACTGGTGACCTAGCGGTGAGACGGTCAATGACACTGGAACGGACTTTGCCTTTTTAAAGTCGAAGAGATTGGTAGAGCTCTTGTACTGGAAGACATTATCCGGCTTCTCGTAGTTGGCACTTGGCGACCAATACTCCAGCATGCCCTTGTCGTCTGCCGACACCACACAATCGTAGGCATCGTTGAAGGCCATAACGGATACCGGACTCCGATGCAACCCTTTTACGGAATGAATCGGTGTTTGGTTCTCGCCTCGCCCATCGTAGATGTGAATCAGTGGGGTTGACTCGTCCGAGACGGCCAAGAGGGGCAGAGAAGCGCCACGCTTGTGTACCCAGCATACACAGATTGGCGTATAGTCCAAGGGAAGCATGGCAAGAAGATCGAAGGTAACGACGTCAAAGATCTTGATGGTCTTGTCGACGCCAGCTGTCGCAAAGCTTCGTCCATCGTGGCTGGCGGACACAGATCGTATCTCGCCTTGGTGAGCTTTGAACTCCTTGACGAACTCGATCCCCTGGGCAGCTTTCTTCCAAAACTTGACGACGCCATCAACAGAGCTTGTTATGACGAAGTCGGTACTGGTCACATTGACGGAGGAGAGCTGCTCCTTGTGCATCAGGGACTTGGAGTATCGCGGTGATTTCGGTAGAGCCTCGATATATAGCTTCTCGTAGGGCAGCACGCGCCGTTTCTTCTTGGGGGCAGCGGCCGAGGGCAACTGAGGCCCCATGTCGTCGTCTGAGGAGCTGTCTGCGCAACAGTCAGTCTCAGGCTCTGTCGCAATCGTGACGGATGAATGTCCAACCAGGCTGGTGTACATACCATCGGCGCCGTTCTGCTCCGCGAACTCGCCATGACTTCTCTTATTGCTCACTTCGGCCATGTTGACCAAAGTTTGGGAGAAGTGTCGTCGTGTCGTTCTGCGGCTTCCCGTCCAAAGCTGGGATGTTTATAGCAGGCTGGGATTGGGAGGCTTGAAATTCGGGTCGCAGTGATCGCGGAGGTAAAAGTCGCCGATGCCCCGCCAAAGACGGGAAGCAGCTCCAATTCCCGCCAAGCCTGTCGGTGCACTGGGACCTGCAGAAGCTTCATGTTGAAAGCTGCTACCCATGATATTGAGTTTGATAAGTATTTTAAAACTACTATTGTCAATCATGCAACATAATTCAAAAACAGCCATGCCCTCTACAATTGCTGTTAATATATACAGTTCTGGATTTTGACCAAGAAAGTAGAGCGCGCCAGAGTCCAACGTTCGATGGTCTTCAGCCTCATCCACGACTAGGCACGCTGTCTCCACTGGTAAGGTACAGTCTCGCCAAATGATAGTGCGAATGATACGGTTAGATACATGTCGTCATTATCTCCGAATAATTATCTTCATACTTAATCATAAAATAATAACCTCCCCCTGATTTGCAACACATCAGTCGCTTTCCGGTTACGCCGGTCCTGCTAAGTCTGCTTCATCAATACCTACCAAACTCAGTCCTCTCGACTTTGCCTCACATCTGCGCCGGTCAACATGGCCCAACACCCTCTCCAGAGACTCGCCTCTCCAGCGAGGCAGCTCTCCATGGCGCTACATGTCGCAGGCATCGCGTCCTTTATAGCCTCCTTCCGATTCCTCGATACTTGGGACACGCCAATGTCAGCTGCCTACGGTGGTCATTACCAGTTCCTCACCATCATCGGGCTCGCTCTGGCGTTGTGCACCTTCGTTGTCGGTCTGCTGGCAGACCTCACCCTGTCTCCACAGCTCTTCGGAGTCAAGAACATACTCTCCGTCTGTTCAGCACCACTGGAGTTGCTGATCACCATCCTCTACTGGGGACTTTGCGCCATTGATAAAAACCTGGTGTTTCCGCCCGAGTTCCAGCTCGACTTCTTGCCGGATTTCGGCTTCCACGCGGCGCCGGGTTTATTCCTGACGTTAGACCTACTCCTTCTCAGCCCGCCGTGGACAATACATGGCTACTCGGCCATGGCACTGAGTCAAGCTTTGGCCTTCTTGTACTGGTTTTGGGTCGAGTATTGTTTTTCTCAAAACGGATGGTCGGTCTAACTACGCACCCAGCAAAGAATGGGAATAAAACAATCGTTTGGTATCTAACTGTCCTGCAGGTACCCGTATCCTATATTCGATATCTTGAGCACCTGGCAACGCGCCCTGCTGTTCACGGTCTCTGCGTTGCTGATGACTGGTAGCACGATGATGCTGAAGTGGCTCTACGGCAAGGTCAACGGCATAGAGGGCTTCAAGAAGGAGGCAGTGACTAACCCCGTCGGTGTTCGGGCCAGAGACGCTTGAATCGAATAGACAGAGACCCGAGGCTCGTCAACAACTCCGGATCTAGATTCTCAGATAGACGGTGAAAGATGGACGGTGAATGCACATGAGACAGTGGTAAAGGTAGACAGAAGCGCCGGTGACGGGCGCCGAAGAATATAAACGACGATCTCACATCAGCAGAGAACGCAATAATACCTCCGCCGCGACCTATCCGTCGGCGATGACGATGGCGACTCGGTACCTAATTAGACTCGGAAGATGGATTGGTAGGATACGGGATTCTTAAGTTGACAGGCATGGGTTCCCGAATACTATACTTTGGTACCGCGTCTCACCGCGCCACGCCACCTGCATGTGTCACAACCACTACCCCGCCATCGGAGTCTGGCGTGTCTGGGCAGGGAGCCCGCACATAAAATTTAATGGCCCGCGCTGCTCCCCCACCATGACCTCTCGACATATTTTCTTGCAACACCCACCACAGACAGCTCGTGGACTTCCGTGGTTAATTGCTTAACCGGCTGCTGTACGACGCCTGTCTTGCTGCTTGATTATTCACCCTACTTCTGATCTAGCTAGGCACCTAGTCCGAATCGCTCGGCTCGGCCCAGCATGTCTGTAAGTGCTGGGGGGCGTCTGGGAAAGGGAGTCACCGAAGTCGCTGACGTGCAGCTAGACTTTCTTCATTGAGAATAAGGATGTGGGCAAGAAGGAGAGGGGCGAAGATTGGAGAAGTCAGTAGTAATTATCATCCAGACTACGGCTGGCCACGAAGCTGACTGAGGTGCATTCTAGTCCGCGGCTACAACCCTCTGACGCCCCCCGACCTCCTCCAACATGAGATCCCCCAGACACCCAACTCGAAAAAGACGGTGCTCGAGAGCCGTGAGGAGGTCGCCGCCGTAGTCAATGGCACCGATGAGAAGCAGCGGCTCCTGGTCATCATCGGCCCGTGCTCCATACATGACCCCCAGGCCGCGCTCGACTACTGCGACATGCTGTTGAAAGAAAAGGAGAAGCACGAGGACGAACTCCTGATCGTCATGCGGTCCTACCTCGAGAAGCCGAGAACCACGGTGGGATGGAAGGGCCTGATCAACGACCCAGACATCGACAACAGCTACCAGATGAACAAGGGCTTGCGCATTTCGAGGCAGCTGTTCGTCGACCTGACGGACAAGGGGATGCCCATTGCCAGCGAGATGCTCGATACCATCTCGCCCCAGTTCTTGGCCGACGTGCTGTCTGCCGGTGCAGTTGGTGCCAGAACAACAGAGAGCCAGCTGCACCGGGAGTTGGCAAGCGGTCTCTCCTTCCCCGTAGGCTTCAAGAACGGCACGGATGGGACGTTGGGTGTGGCGATTGACGCCATTGGCGCCGTGAAACACCCCCACCACTTCCTGTCCGTCACCAAGCCCGGTGTGGTGGCCATTGTCGGCACTGTTGGTAACGAGGACTGCTTCGTCATCCTGCGGGGTGGCAAACGCGGCACCAACTACGACGCGAAGAGCATAGCAGAGGCCAAGGCAGCCCTGGAGAAGTCTGGCCTACGACCACGACTCATGGTTGACTGCAGTCACGGCAACTCGGAGAAGAACCACAAGAACCAGCCAAAGGTTGCTGCCAGTCTCGCGGAGCAGATGTCCAGCGGCGAACAGAGCATCATGGGCGTTATGATCGAGAGCAACATCAACGAAGGTAAGCTTCCACACGATTGTAGTGACACTCCTTGCTGTGTGTAATGACATGGCTGACTCCATTTTCAGGTAGCCAGAAGGTGCCGAAAGAAGGTAAGAAAGGTCTACAGTATGGTATCAGCATTACGGATGCTTGTATTGGATGGGAAGACACGGTGTCGACCCTCGATAGCCTGGCCAACTCCGTGAAGGACAGAAGAAAGGTGAGCAGCACGAACGGCCACCAGTAGCCACGACGTTCTCTTTGGACATGGGCGTATTTGGGGGTTTCGGCAGGCTTGTGGGTTACAAAACGAGGAACGGTCTTTTCAAGATGGGCAGATATCCGGGGATTTATACGCGAATATAGGGATAGCGATACTGTCGTCGCAATCAACGTTGGACATGACGTGACATGGTCCGCTAGAGTACATGACCTTCGTTTGCAACCAGTGTCTCGATTCGAAAACCGTTGGAAGGATTCATAAGGTGTAAATATTAGGTATTTTACTGGAGCACCTGGAAGACAATGGCGTTTAGTGAGCGGTTCTCTGATATCTGGCCGCTTCTGTCGTTGTCGCCAAGGGGTCATACCCCATCTGAAGTTACCAATAAGACGAGTGAAGCCTGGTAAACATCGCAGACTGCGAATGCTGCCTATGCTGCTCTGATGCTCGATGCTCGATTGGGAGGCTTGGTATGGGAAAAGACAGACTGGAGCATTCGAACGGAGGTACCAAGATTGTAGGCTGATATGGAACTCGACTCTAGAACATTCATAGTTGCAGATATGACAGCCTCCTTCTCGACATGAAGTCACGGGGTTTTTTAGAGTGCAGTTCAGGAGAAAGACCAGTCAGTTGTTGAAGAACGGGCCTTGGCAGACGGCGCGCGGGTCACGTGCTGTGGCTACCTAGGTACATGATCCGCAGAGCCGGCCGCAGCCAATGGGAGAGAGGTATTTCCAATTGCTTCAAGGCCTGAGCACTTTTTCGTTCCCGACCCGGCCTTCAATTGCTGCTTGTTGTTCGACCCAGCTCCGTACCTCCCAACGACCGACCCTTACCCTCTGCCAATCGACTTGCCAACCTGCCCGTGGCACTTCCTACACCCCGAGCAGAAGCTTGCCCGCCATGCTGGCAAGATCTTGCCTGCGCTCGACGCGCATTCTCAATGGCGCCCGAAATGGCGCGACCGCCCTGACCAAGGTACGACTTCCTGTCCCTATCCCGACCCCGATCACGATCCAGCCAACCATCGCTGGCCCAAAGGCATCGAGGATACACCTGCCTGCCCCTGCAGCGAGGCCGACCATCACGCGAGGACCGAAGAGCTAACCATGGCAACGTGTAGCGGCCCATTTCGTCGTACAGCTCCGGCGCTTCCAGCGAATCCCCTATGAAGCTCAACATGACCGCCGCGGCTTCGACAGCTCTTGCCATCGGATCCGTCGCTTGGTACTATCACCTTTACGGATCAACTGCACAGGCCATGACTCCTGCCGAGGAAGGGTGAGTGATGGATTGCAATTGGACACGCCCCTGTTTTGTCGATACTGGAAATCCTCGGGTGCTCCTGTCTTGCGGACGAATTGGTTGGCTAATCGCTGAATGCCTAGTTTACATCCTACAAAATATCCCTGGGTCCACGAGCACTGGTTGAAGACCTTCGACCACCAGGCGTAAGCTCTCCCTCCTCTCCAGACGATGGCAAGTTCTCACCAGTCATCTCTAGGCTCCGCCGAGGTTTCCAGGTCTACCGTGAAGTGTGCGCCGCCTGCCACTCTCTCAGCCGAATCCCCTACCGAAGTCTCGTCGGCACAATCTTGACGGTCGACGAGGCCAAGGCCATGGCGGAAGAGAACGAGTATGACAGCGAGCCCAACGACGAGGGCGAGATCGAGCAGAGACCCGGCAAACTGTCGGATTACCTCCCCAGCCCCTACAAGAACGACGAGGCCGCCCGGGCTGCCAACCAGGGTGCACTTCCTCCGGATTTGAGCTTGATCGTCAAGGGCCGCCATGGTGGCTGCGACTACATCTTCAGCTTGTTGACTGGTTACCCCGAGGAGCCCCCCGCAGGTGCTCAGGTCGGTGCTGGCCTGAACTTCAACCCTTACTTCCCTGGTACCGGGATTGCGATGGCCCGTGTCCTGTACAATGATCTGGTTGAGTACGAAGACGAGACACCGGCCACGACGTCGCAGATGGCCAAGGACGTGGTTGAGTTCCTCAACTGGGCCGCGGAGCCCGAGATGGATGACAGAAAGCGCATGGGTATGAAGGTACTGGCTGTGACTACCGTCCTGTTTGCTCTCAGCGTCTGGGTCAAGAGATACAAGTGGGCGTCGGTCAAGTCAAGAAAGATTGCCTACGACCCGCCTAAGGCCAGCAACAGGGTCCGCGACTAAGCGGCCGCATCCTGTATGTACTACTAGATTCCCCATCGCTCCTTTGTCATGGCAGAGGGTAAAGACTTGGAGGTTGCAAGGGGGTGAAACAACCCTAAGTCGTGACTCTAGAGTGTATATCAAATTCCTGAATTTTAGACGTTTTTCAGGCCTTCTCAGAAAGTTTGCTTGAAATGATCGCAATAGTCATAACGAACGAATCCCTAGATTGCTACCAAAATAGACTACCGCATGCAATCGCCATTCCCGGCCTCCATGCTATTTGTACTTGTTGAAAGCAGCAGACCCCAGGTACTGCATCTGCCTGACCTGTCCTGGCCTGACAGCCATAAAAAGGCCGTAGAGTGCTCAAACATGAATTCAAAGCTCATGCATACTCCACTAGCCGGCTCTTTTGCCTTGCGTGACTACAGCTAGGTACAATAGAAGCTTTCAGTACGTCCGGCAGGCGACACTCCACCACTAACAAAAGTACCCATTCGAGAATAATCACCAACCCACTACACTCAACTGCAAGGACTTGTCCAAAAAGCCAACCCTTCTTCGCACGATCCAAATCGGAGAAGCTTCTCTGATTGACTTGGAGGCAAATCACCATTTTGCTGCTCCTTAGGTCTCTCGGGCTCATACTAGGGCCTGCGACTTCTCGCGCCGTCCACGTTTGTGGGCACACAAAATACCTGATCTCTCGTTGCTGCAACGAAGGAGAGGCCTTTTTTCTCTACCCGCGACCTCAACAGAACCTCAGTTGTCAAAGCGCTCGGCAACCGCGCCGTCCACGTCAATGCCCGCCTAGTGGCGTTGCATTCGGGCCTATCGTGCAAGCTTACTTCATTCATTATTCACATCCTCACCAACAAACGACCATGGATTGCTTGGAACGCACCCACCACGCCGGCTCGGCAAGCGAACGGGAGGCCATGCTGGCCGATGACTACATGTTCGGCTTCATGGTCAAGGATGATGTCGAACGGGAGTTCTTGGGCCACATGGCCGTACACCGCGGGGCGCCCGAAGAGCACATGGAAGTATTCATTCGCCACAGTCTGCTCCGGGGCATCGAGCAATTCGAGCAGATGCTCAGATGCGCCCTGTCGTTGAAAGAGAAGGCTTCTATCGAGAACCCACTAGACGGACAGGATGTTCTCACGTATCTCGGCAAGATATTCCCACCACCTGAGACTGCCACCGAGGAGACCGTGGAGGAACCGTCATTGCCGGCTGAAGAGGGGATTCACACACAGAAGCCGAACATAGGCAGAAAGAGGAAAGCAAGCAGTAATCAGCAGCAGCCAGGCTCGAAGGCTGCAATCAAGAGATCCAAGAAGGAGAAGCAATCACCTTTCTTCCTCGAACCCCAAGCGCAGTCTCAGAGCCAGCAACCTAGCCAGGGCGAAAGTCCTGCAGACAAGCGCATGGGCAAGAAGGCAAGAAGAAGGACCAGAAAAGCCAGAGAATCCGCAGGAGCAACCGAGAATACTCCTCAAAAAAGTGAGCCCGGGCCTAGGTTTCCGGTTCTCCAAGAAGCTGCCAGTTGGTATCGAAGCGATGACAACGTCGTTGCCCCCGAGCTAGCGGAGAACGATACGTTTGTCTCTGCCTTTTCTTCAGAGGATGAAGGCGGTGGTTTAAAAGAACGCCACTCATAGACAGCCAGGGGTCTATGAGTGGACCAGACGATGGGGTCCCAGACTGTACTGCCCGTGAGCAGGTCAGTGACGGTGCCGAGTTGGATATCTCCCCAGGCGGCCCCCATCCGTCACCAATGCCTCCTGGCATGGCTAGTGCATTTTTAGATACAAGGGACGCAGCTCTATTGGCCATAAACGAAGACGAAAAGCCGGCAAGAGCAGATAAACTTTCAGAGTCTCTAGATGACGCACTTCCCCCGTCACCTATTTCCCAGCCACTGAAGCAAACACCAAAGCGTACAGCGAAGTCTCCTTACTTCAACACCCCCAGCACATCCAGCCCTCGCAAGCCGAAGAGTCCGCGCCCGCCTCGCGGTACGGTCTCCTGCCTCCCCTTTCCCCGCCTGGACGCACCGCGATTCGGTCTCTTCCAGGAGGAGCTCGCGGACGACCCCTTCCGTCTGCTGCTAGCCGTGACCTTCTTGATCCGTACCACAGGCCGGGCCGCCATCCCGGTGTTCCGCCAGGTCATGGAGAAATATCCCACCCCGCAGGACCTCGTGGACGCGGACACGGACGACATAGTGGCCACGATAAGACATCTCGGTCTCGGCGTGGTCCGCGCCGCCACGATCCAGAAATACGCCCGCATTTGGCTCGAGAACCCCCCGCGGGCTGACGTCCGGTACGGCGTGAAGAACTATCCGGCGCCCGGCGACGGCGCCTCAATGCGCGCAGGCGAGGTTGTGGTGGCAGCGGCAGCGGCAGCCCCGGAGGACCAAAACGGAGCAGGTGCCCCGCTACACCCACACCAGACTGAGGAGACCCAGGACCAGGACCCGCGCCTCTCGGCCTGGGAGATCGGCCACATGACGCAAGGTAGGTACGCGCTCGACAGCTGGCGCATCTTCTGCCGGGACGTGCTGCTGCAACGAGCCCAAGACTGGCAGGGCGCCGGGCGCGAGGGCGAGTTCCAGCCCGAGTGGATGCGTGTGCTACCCCAAGACAAAGAGTTACGAGCCTATCTGCGCTGGATGTACATGCTCGAGGGCTGGCAGTGGGACCCGCGGACCGGCGAGAAGGAGGTGTTGTCGGATCAGCTGCGGAGGGCGGTGCAGGAAGGGCGGGTGGCGTGGGATGATTCGGGCGATTTGAAGATATTGCCTGTCGGGTTGGACGTCGCTGGTTGAGGTAGTGCGTGAGAGTGAGGATGCTCGGACGAGGAAGTGTGTGTTGGTTTGTTGCGTGGTTCTCCTCGGTGGCTCTTGCGAGCCTGTTGGATACGTCTTGCCGGCCGTGGAATGTACGTTGAGTCCACCCTCTCTGGCGTTCCTGTCAGGCCGTTTGAGCAAAGGGATCTGGATGGCGGGTTCGCACTACTTAAGTCTGCATTATGGAAGATAGTCAGGCGTATCATTTGGTCTAGCAGCACTATCTTGGTTGAATAGAGCAGTCTCCCGGTGGTTTAGGGCTGGCCAAGCTCGATATACCACAGCCATGATGTATTTCTGTTATGGTTCAGGCTCCGTACATACGTACCAAGTAGCCCATTTCTCGCGTGATCCCTGGGAGAATCCCGCCTAGTTCCACCTACGCTCATCTTCATTCTCGTGACTTCTCCTCCAACAAAGCCACACCTTCCCTCCCATCACCTCCCTCCGTATCCTCCTCCAGAACGACCCCACCCGATCCCGACTCCAGACCCTGCTTGACCGTCCTATCGACAAGCAGCTGGGTCCTACGATCGTGTATCTCGTCCAGGGCGCCCGAAGCGCTCTGCCACGCGGCGATCAGGTTGCCCTGGCGGATCCAGCTGTGCCGCCACCATTCAGCGTGCAGCTGCGCCCGGCTGAGACGCTGGAAGCCGAGCCACGGGAAGTTGTACGCGAGGTGCAGCTGCATTAGCCGTGGGTGCTCTTCCAGGGCTACGAGAGCTTGGCTCAGGGACGCTAGGGGGGAGGCATGTTAGGTCAGTCGTGGGCTATGTATCATGGGATATTGCGGATATGACTTGTGGCAAACGAGATGAGGCTGTATGAACTGTGCCGTGTCGACCGAAAAGGGCAATAGCATATTCGGGAGCCAATATTTCGGTCTGTATACACAGGAGGATGGAAGGTATTCTGGAAGGTTGGCTCACCGTTGTAGTAATGGATCGACGCGCCCACGAAGCCGATGCACGAGCCGACCAGGAACCCAAAGCTACCACTCGAGAGGAGGATACCGCTTCCTACAGCAGCTCCGAGACCGAGAAGTGCCTATGGTGACTATATCAGACACGTTGATAAAAAATAAATTGAGTCAGATGGCGGGCACACGAACTGCTGTCGATGAAGCCACGATCATGGACCGGAACATGCTTTCGTGACCGTGAGTGGTTTGCTCTGGGTCCCCGTAGACAGCACTCGACTGGTGGGTGTGAGATACTCACTATAAGCCTCGTCCACTACGGATGGAATGAGTGTCAGTGTCATACTGTCAAGCACTGCGAAAGTGATGTATGAGCTCATCGAGAGACCCAACATGGTACTCACCTGGGTCGCCCCCAGCTGCCGATGGTCTGCAGCAGGTGACCGAAGTTGTTGCCTGGAGATACATCGTATTCGGCCATGTTGTAAGCTTGATCTGTCGTCTAGTTCAATGAGGTCCTTTCTGGTATACTGGGAGTGAAGTCTGGTTGATGGGTGAGATCGTCGACGGACGATGAGATGTGAGCCGAGGAGGGGAGTTGTAGGTCGTGCTGTTCCTCTGCCCTTTAGCGAATCAGGTTGTAGATCTTGGCCACTAAAGCCCCCTGTAGGCTTCCCGCGGGCCGCTGTGGCTCTCAGGAGTGGAGCCCCACCTACCTAATTATTATGGATCCGAAAGCTCTCAAGATTGACCTCAACCTTCCGACCTCAACTCAACTTCCAACTTCAAGCTTAAGTACAGTCAATACACTCAAACAATCTCTCACAGTCAAACATATGTCCGGCGATTAGAAGGGAGAGGAGCATGTCCTGTCACCGCTCATCAGAAGTTGACTCATCAATCGACACGAACTAACATGAAAGTCCGGCTTCTTCAACCCTCCACCGCTTCCCTCAAACCCTCAAGCTTTACAAATTCCCGCGGTGGCTGTGAACTATATCAAACAGAGTTTCGCGAGTGGATCTCTGGCTTGACATCTGCCTATAAAGACTGCTTCCCCCACCCCCCGAGAAAATCCAGTTCTCCTTCCAAACCCCGTTGTCTTTGACAGATCTCAACAGAGAAGTTCAGCAAGGCCCCTGCACTGAGGACGACCTGCACTAGGAAAGAGAGTCAGCTACCAACTTTTTCATTCACAACGGTTTCCTGATTCTCAGGTCTGAATCGTGTGGAAGAAGAACTCGTAGTCGTCATATTGAATATAATACTGCTTTCGTTCAATCATCCAACCTGTCTAATGTGGCTCACTGCCTAAAGAGTGCCAGATAGCTTAAATTTCCCGATACCGCCAGCGTTCATGATCCTGTCTGAATACTCCATCGACAGGGGCTGCTTGGCGTGTCACATGTAGGTCAAGCAGTAAAAGTATATGAGCATAGTCACTTTGATACTGTAATATGATGCTTTTAAAATGGTATAACGTTCAGCTTACAGTAGCATGAGTATGTCTTTAGCGACGTTGCGTTCCGTAGGTCAAAGTTGAGCATCGCCATGCATCCGACCATCAAGGTCCTCTTCCTGCTGCCTCGGCCTCTCCCGCCGTAGCTGTGCAAGAACCTCCACATACCGCGCGCAAGCAATGTTCTCGCAAGAGACGCGCCATCGGCACTTCTCGAACTCTTCATTGACGCCGATGGTGTTGTCCATCTCCCGCAGTAACGTGTCTAGCTTGGCCTCGTACTCGCCGTGGGGCCGGTCGAGTTCAGCCTCCCGTTGCTTGTCCAGCCACGCAAGACTGTAGAGTGCTGACTTCAATTGGAAGAGCAGGCGCCGGAGGCGGCATGCCGTCATCTCGCAGAGTGGACCATGCGCCGCCTTGTGCTCTGATTCAAATGGTTCCATTGCCGCAGGCTTTTCTTTCTCGCATCGGAGCCGTATGGCCGCTTCGTTGCGTTCGCGAGCTTCTTTCAGTCTGGCCCACTGGGAACCGAAGTCGTTGATGAGTAGTTCTCGGGACTATATCTTGTATCAGCTGCTGGTTCTGGGCTCCCCAGTTGCGGTGATATTTACCTTGCGCTTGTCGGCTCGCCGTTCGCACGCCCATGGGGCAGGATGCCGTGTCACAAAGACTTCGGGGCGCCATAACAGGTTGATTTCCCAGTAGCTTCTGGTGATCAGTTTGGAGAGCTAGGATGCGAGGCGATTGTGGGAGAAGAGAAGAGAAAATGCTGCAGCATAAGCTTTTCTCTCTCTCTTTATAATCCGAGGGAATTGTGTGAACTCTAATAACCGTGTGCGAAATAAGCTCAGGAAGTTTCCAGATCTGATTCGTGTATGATATCGCTGCACGGAGAAACCATTCGCGACCCAAATCTAAATTCGCTGTGGTCCGAATCTGATTCGACATAACCATCTGTGGAAGGCGATGGCACCATGGGTGAGAGCGAAAGCACGTGTGGGCATTTGCCCTGACCAACGGCCGACCTGTGGGTATGGAAGGAACATTGGCGGAAGCCGAACTGGCGTTCTTCGTTCCTGAGATTGTTGGAAGGCAATCGAAGTTGTGGGTTCTTGAAGTTGGTTTCAAGTCGACTTGCGGCCATCTTCTTCAAGTGTTCTCTATATTCTCCCTTGAGGCCGGGGCATTCTCTCAACAGGAGGCTGATCTTGTCTGCTATGCCGTCGGTGTCGACGCCACCAAGCGTCCAGGCTATCATGGCGACGATCCATTTGCGGAGACGGTAGCTTTCCTCAGGCCCACAATCAGTGTAAACATAGTTGACGAGCTTTGGATTGACATCCCAGTTACGTCGAAGGTAGACGTCTTGTATGGCGTCCATAGCGAGGTCTTGAAGAGCTTTTAGGTCGATCTGCGCCGCGAACAGGTGCAGGTTGACGAGATCCCAGTGCAGTTCCTCGCAGCATCCTGCCACTTCGGCTTCGTCAATGTATCTGTCGAAACCCTTTCGCTCATTCAGCCAGTACGAGAACAGCTCGAACATGTCCGGACATTGGCCCTCAAGCCGGATGACGAGGTTTGCCTGGCCGTCGGCGAAGTCCAGTCGAGCATTGTCGATCTGCTCGCGGAAATAGTGACACGAGGCGAGAAGCTTCCTCGGGATGAAGAAATGCTTCCGCCCTGGCCCGACTACAAGTTTGACCGTGTCTGATCCGGAAAGCCTGTGAGAGGGTTCTGTTAGCCTTCCATGCATGCGGTGGGTTTCTTCAAGGGAAGAGGTAGCTGCTTACAAGCTCAAGGAGCACCCAGAAGCTCTCTTTTTGTCAAATCTGGCCCTCATGATGTTCACGAACTTCTGACGATGTTTCACTTGGAGTATTGAAAGAGACAGATGCTACAGATGCAACAGGTGCGCATGAATGATCGCTCTCGGGATTGAGAGGAATAGCTTGGTGAAAAGTACGGACGATGATGAGAGTTCACACGGAAGCTCTCGACTGCTTTTGTGCTTCCGCGACCCCCAAGCCGTCGAGGCTGTCTATGAGATTGGATGGCGTGCCGGCGTACCACTCGGCTGCAAGCGACGCGATACCTTGGCAATGCAACGCGCCGCCTCCAAACCCCAGTCTTGTTATCGGCGACGATGTTTGACCTTCCCGAATCCCTGCACCACTGCCCCGGCACCCCCCGCAGCGCATCATGGGACGAAACACAGAGGCGTGCCTGTGCGCGGCTTGAGACTTGGGCCAGGCAGGCTGCCTTGGCTGCTGGACTCCTGAGGCAGAGCTTCGCCCATGCTGCAACACAAGTGACGAGAAAGCTGCGATGACAAGCTGCGAGCTTGGGGGCGTGTTTGATGCTCACCTAGCCCCCAAAGTGCCACTTGAGGCGAAACCCCCCCGTGAGACCCCTGAACTGGCAGGACCGTGATCGTATTGACTTCAGTCTTCATCCACGGTTGGTCTTCAGGGCGTCTTCAGGGTCTCAGGGTCCCGCGTCGCAAAACGTTCCAGAAGGTCGCAGGAACCGCTTGAGAAACAAGCTTGTGCCTCATTCCCCGAGATGGACGAAGAGCTCAAAGCTCTTGTCGCAGCGAAGGATTCCGGGTTTCATCATCGACGTCGTGCTCCATGAGCTCCCTCGTGTTGGCCTCTCAGCAATATATCCGAGTCCAGGGAAAGGCCATCTCGAGGACTACCTCGGGGAGATATTGTTCGAGTTGGAGCGTGCCTTGATTCATGAGGTAATCTGGCAACTGTCTGGTTTCGGAGAGATAAGCACTACCTTACCTACAGGTGGTATTAGGTAAGGGTAGGCTGGGGATAGCTCGGCATTCATGGATTCTCTCCGGGTTTTAAGCATAAGAAATTGTTCACTGTGGCCTTGTGGTCAACATGGCGTCATTCCCGCCGAGGCCAATTGGCAATCACTCGGTGTTTTCTTTGGATGATTCTGGTTCTTCCCCGGAGAGGTTTGGAAGACCAGACCAGACCTAATGCACGATGCGCCCTCATGACCGGGGAATTGATTTGCCATGCACGCCATGCACGCCATGATACCTCTAGTGGCCATTATTCAGCAGCAAATGCGTGCTGAATAGCGCCCTCAGAAGTGCCCGTTTAGTCATGTTTCCGGCCACTTCGCGGTCAGTTTGTGGGCGACTTCTCCATCCTGCCCGGCGACTTGCATGCAGTATAATAAGTCTTCAACATCACCACACTCGTTGACTTCACAATTACCCCTACTGCGTCTACAGTACCTTGTGCATATCGACCCCAGCCCGATTTCACCAACATCTTAGATCGCATCCTGCAGCGCCCCTCAATCATCTCGCCAAACGCACGCTCAGACTTCCCCAAATCTGACAGCCCCCAAGAGACCCCACCCACAACAGCCCAATTTACCAAGGCCTCTCTACATCTGTCATGTCGTCCCAGGAGAACAAGGGCGCCGCCAACAGCCCCTTCTACACGCCGGCCCAGGACCCTCCCGCCGGCACGGCCCTGGACCCGGCCTCGGCCCCGACGCTCTTCCAGCCGCTGCGGGTGCGCGGCCTCGAGCTGCACAACCGCTTCGTCGTCTCGCCCATGTGCCAGTACAGCGCCGACGACGGCCACCTCACCGACTGGCACTTCGCCCACCTGGCCCAGTTCATGATCCGCGGCGCCGCACTGACCATTGTTGAGGCCACCGCCGTAACCCCAAACGGCCGCATCACACCGCAGGACTCGGGGCTCTGGCAAGACTCGCAGACGGCGCCCCTGAAGCGCATCGTCGACTTTGCCCACTCGCAGGGCCAGAAGATCGGCATCCAGCTCGCGCACGCGGGGCGCAAAGCCAGCACTGTCGCGCCCTGGCTGGTTCCCAAGGGCCACACGAGCGCCGTTGCGAGCAAGGAGCATGGGGGCTGGGAGGACAACGTCTGGGCGCCCAGTGCCATCAAGTACGCCGAGGGCTATGCGACGCCCAAGGAGATGAGCCGTGATGACATTGCGGCGTTTGTGCAAGCCTGGAAGGATGCCACGCGCCGTTCCGTCGAGGCCGGCGTCGACTGCATCGAGATCCACGGCGCGCACGGATATCTGTTGACCGAGTTTCTGTCGCCGCTCAGCAACCAGCGCACCGACAAGTACGGAGGTAGCTTCGAGAACCGCACGCGTCTTCTCTTCCAGACGATTGAAGCCGTCCGCTCCGTCATCCCAGAGTCAATGCCTCTGTTCCTGCGTATCTCGGCAACCGAGTGGATGGAGCACGAGAGCAGCCCGAGCTGGACCATCGAGGACAGCATCCGCCTAGCCAAGCTGCTGCCGGCCGCCGGCGTCGACCTGCTGGACGTGAGCTCCGGCGCCAACAGCGCCAACCAGAAGATCAACCTCCACCGGTACTACCAGGTCAACCTGGCGGGTCAGATCCGCGAGAAGCTGCAGAAGGATGGACTGAAGCTGCTGATCGGCGCCGTGGGCATGATCAGCAACGCCGAGATGGCGCGCTCGATCGTGCAGGAGGGCAAGGATGCATCGGCGGAGGGGACCGGTGCCGCGACGCACGACACCGTCGAGGTCGCCGAGGAGTCGGGCCAGGTGACGCAGGCTGATCTCGTGCTCGTGGCGCGCCAGTTGCTGCGCGAGCCTGGGTTCCCGCTGCGCGTTGCTCACCAGCTTGGAGTCGAAGTCAAGTGGCCGAACCAGTATCATCGCGGTGGCTGGTCGCGGAATGCTAAGATCTAGATCTAAAGCTGGATTTGACTCTTGGTGGACGATGGAAGTGGGGAGGTTGAGGAGGTGGATAGACTAGATTGGACGATTATAGAGAAGAGACGAGCATAGCATAGTATATCATAGCAGAGTAGAGCAGAGCAGAACAGCGAGGCGCATCAGACTAGATTCGGGCAGGGGTTGATTCCTTTCTGTACATGGAGACGAGCACATAGAGAGAAATGCGTGATGAAATAATGAGATAACGGCAGTCAGCATCATCGACTACTGCCACTGCATATCAAGTTGTCCTCCCCTTGCCGTCCACAGTCAAACATCGAGATTGATCCCCGTGATTCTCAATTGCCTCAAACCACCGATCACTCGGTCCTCCGAATAACCGCAAGTTATCCAGCCTTTGGCGGGTACTTCTTCCCATTGACCTCGACCTTGGGCTCGCAGGTGCACCAGTCATCCGTCGAGACCTGGTCTAGGACGCCGGGGATGTGGCTGCCGCAGCCGAACCACGAGGTCTTGCCTGCGGACGGAACGGGTCAGTCAATCATCAGGAGTTCCTGATCTCGGCGCTTCAGGGTTGCGCTTCGAGATTCAAGATTGGGGATTGGGGATTGGGGATGATAGAGCAGACTCACTGCATTTGCTACAGGTGGCTTTCATGCACATCTTGTCTGGAGTCTTGGGGGGACTTGTAGTGGATCTGGAAGTCGGCAGAATGTGGTCTGCCTGCTCTCAATGACGAATGATGAGATTGGCGAGGGTATCGGTATGTCGCCGAGACAGGTTGATGGTGGTTGATGGTGGTTGATGGATCTCCGGAGATGTTTATATGTACCCACAATCTCTGGATCTGGCGGCGGAGAAGTGGGCATTGAATGTCCCCGAGATAGTTCCCGAGTCCATGTGGAGGTCGGAGCGAGGTCGGCGATCAGCTTCTCGGGAAAGCTGAGCTGGCCGGCGATCGTTAATAAACGGTACGGACTTCACGTTCACATAGAAGGGTCGTTCAGTTATGCTCTCATTTGATGTTTGAGAAACATGTCAATGTTCCATTTGTTATGCGACTCGGTATATGTACAGTGCATTGTGGTGACACATTCCTAACATACTCCTCACCGGAGCCTTCGTTTACATGACTTCTGGGAGCCTACTTCTTGTTACACTCGCAGCGCATCACAGCTCCGCCGACGACTTCGCCTTCTTGCTCATCTCACTCTCAACAATCGACCGTATCAGCGTAAGCACCAGCTCCCGTCCCCGTTCCAGCGACTGCCTATCCGGGTGCAGAGGCACATGCAAGAAGACCACCTTCCGAGGTCTCTGCTGCTTCCACAGGTGAGCCAGACTCGAGAAGTAGATGAAGTCGCACAGGTAATGCCCCGCGTCATCCGAGATCTGCAGATTCAGGTTCTTCTTTAAAACGAATCGCCGTATATGTCAGTCATCACGAGTCCCAAGAAACCCGGGAATGCGCTTTTCACTAGATGAGATGGATGGTGGTATGAAGAGATAGCAATACGGTACTCACCGGACTGCGCTCAACCCACCGCCGATGCACATCCTCCACATCCAGATCCGTCAGCAGTTCCTCGGGCACCCCAGCCCAGACCCAGTCGTCGCCCTGGTCCCGGCGCCTCTCCTCGTCCCCGAGGAGCCTGCCGTCGACGTCCCTCTTGTCGTAGCCGTCGCGGTGGCCGCGCCTTTCAAGCTGGTAAACAAGCTGCGGGCCAGCCATCCCGATGTGGACGACGAAGTCGGGCGTATGTTCGGCATCGTCCCAAATCGTGGGCACGATCTCGCGCGCGACGGCGTAGCTCGTGCGCACCGCCGCGGGCAACTTGGCGATCCGCACGGGCGGCAGACTGGCCGGCGACTGGTGGGCCGGGTCTTTGGGCCGATCCGCGGGCAGGTAATCAGGAAGCGAGGCCGCGATCTCGTACGATGGGTTCACGGGGTACTGCTCTTTGAAGGGCTGTGCGGTGGTGCGTAAGTATCAGTAGGCGGTACGGTCTGGAAAGCAAGCAGCACAGCTGCCGTGTATTGCGTAGCATGACTCGAACCCCGTCGGGAGGTGAGGTCATTGCTCTGGCACAGAGCTAGACAGGAAGTAAGTTTGTGTGGTATGGAGGACCTACCGAGAACCCGGTGACCAGTACGGTCAACTCATCCTTGGAGGCGGACGTGTTGAGAGAACCCATTGGGGCGGAATGTGTCTGTGACGCAGGAAGTTTGGAGGTTTAGTTGCATAGAATATGTTCTTGGAAATCTCATAGTCGGGACCTCCCATGGACCTGGACCTGGACCTTTATATCTTCTCGTACCTAATAGAAACATTATAGTGACAAAGGCTGAGCCAATTATAACCATAAACAATGCACCTAATACGACAGCGGCACGAACCGGTACTCCGGAGAAACGCTGGTGGTGATAGCTGCAAGTCGAGTGAGGGGTTCCGGAGGGGTAACCTGACGTGCCTTGAGTCCTCCACCGTCGATACAGATAGTACCATTTCTTATTAGACTCGCCGCGCCGTTGCAACCTTAAAAATGCATACAAACGTCTATTTGTCCTGTCCTTTAACTGGAATACGAACCTTGGGGTGGAAATCCGTTCAATGCTGACGTTCTGTTAGTTCGGAAATGCGCAATCACGCGATTCGGCCGCAGCCAAGATTGTCTTTTTTCGCTTTGAATCTCAAACCTTGGCCAATATGCCCTCGGCTTCTACATTAGGTTCGCCCATATCACCACCTGAGGTTAAGCTGGACTTGTCAACTGCCAAACCAAAGCAGTGGTCTGATGCATTCTATCCAAGACAGTGGTAGTATTTTGGAACGGTTGGCCTGCCTTGATTCAAGCATTCATGATCAACGCTCAGATGATTCTGAGACTACACCGATGCATTGTCGGCTATCTATCAATGTTATATCTTGTGAGGGGTAACCTCGTCCGTAACTCAAGCTGTAATTCTGCAAAAGTATCATCAATATCGTCAAGACTCTGCCTGCCGTGGCACGCGTCCAGAAACGCCAGTTTTAGGCCAGGCCAGAGCCGATACATGGCAACGTGGGCAAGGACATTTTATCAAATCGTAACTATGATCCGCACAATTAAGCCATAGTCGTCCAGTCGTTCGTCAATCGTTCATATCCTTCGTAATTTTCATGCCGCAAATGGGGGCGAAGATAATGGTTGGTAGAAAAGGGGGTAGAGAAGGGGGTGAAAAGGCGTATCCATGTCCTGGGCAAACATTTCCGGGCTGTCAATCGCCCTCTGCGAACTTGCGTCAAATTAGTCTCCAAACTGTGTCAATCCCCTGAGAAGATATGTAAGGAAATGCGAGCGTGCTGCTGTGGAGGTCATCTTCTCCAACTTTCTATGTGCGAGAAGTTGCATATGTTCAGCCTCATGTCTGACAGAGGATGTACATTATATGCCCACGTCGCGGCACTGTGTAGTGAGTGGCATGAGGATCGTTAAGGTCGTAAAACACATCAGGCCGTTGTTGTGTCGTAGTTGTACAAGGTGGAAGGTGTATAGGTAAGAGCGAGGTGGGCAAAAAGACCAGAAGCCCCCAAGTCTATGACAAGGGCGACTGAGAGCGTCTGCGATCAGTGCCGGGTTTTCGCAACTCTTTCAGTCGCTGATCCAGATAGGCTAGACGTGATGATAAGCTGGGGCGAGTAGGTGTCGTTACTTCCTCGCTTGATGGAGCGGGTTGCTGCACTGTCGCAAAGGGCCGGCGGAAGGCGGTGAGGTTGAAGCTAACCGGTGCTGAGAGCCGGTTTGGAAAACTGTGGCTCGAGCCTGAAAACGGGGATCCCAGTCGAGGTGGTCGGGCATCGCCAGACACCACAAATGGGTCTGCCTCTCGGCTTTGAAAACTTGAAGAGAGGGTAACACCCCTCGCACGTGCCGTTGAAGTGGGATTGGGCTGTTGCTGAGAGGACATGGTCTGCACTGAGCTCTCAGCGCCGCGAGAACCTTCTCGCCAGAAAGCAGCGGCGAGACTTGGTCTCTTCCGGGGCTGATCTTCAAGCCCTTTGAACGATCTGCGTTTCTGCGTCCCGGAACGTGAGCGAGTAAGGCGAACTGGCGATTTGAGCTTTCGGGGTCCTAGCGTGCTCGATTGTCGCGGTAAGCTGACGCTGGCTGCGAGGGACGACGATGAACTGGGTCCGTAACTCTTGGCCAGGAACGGGGAAGCGAGGCGGGCCTGGACAGAGTCGCGATTTACCTCGGCGATATTCATGACCGGCTCAGGTTCTAGTGCGAGTTCCGGGAAAGGCTCAGTTTCAGCTTCAGGCTCAGACAAGGAGCTGGTGAGGAGAGCCAGTGGACCTTCGGGTTGCATCGTGTCAGATGTGCTCAGGATTAGAGACATGGCCATGTCCTGGGGTGAAAAGAATGAAGGAGAACGGGCAGGCGTCGATCTCCGGTTCCAACGGCGATGGGCGGTCTTGTTGAATGGTGTAGGACTCTTGGACATATATCGACCCGGCTGGTTTGTAGCCCTGAGCTTGCATAGCTCGCGGAGGTGAGCCCGAGTAGCGGCCGCAGTATGGGGCCACTCCATGTATGGCTTCGAGGACTCGGCAGTAGGAGTGCTACTTCTGCTCTTTGGGTCGTTGGCCGACTGCGCCTTGGACCCTTTCCAGCTCCTTTGCGTCTGCCGTGCAACACGTGAACAGATCCCATTGGGGGGTATGCCGCTCTTGCCCAGGCGTATTGGCGTCACCCGAGGATCGGACATGTAGAGAGAATAGGTGGCCCACAAATGTGAGCTCATAGCTTTCGTCCACGGTGCCTTCCGTGGCCTGTGCTTGCTCAATGTGTTTGCTCCGCCGTATAGAGATGACTTTGGAAACTCGGAAACTTCCAAGTCCGGGCTAATACAGCTTCCATCGTCCGAGGCGTGCGAGTATTGACTGAAAAGTGAAGAGCTCGTCTGTGTAGAATACGCAGTCGACGGTCTACTGGATTCATATTCAGGGCTGGAATCCAGATCGGAGCTGCTCCACGCAGAGTCGATAGACCAGTCGGGATACCGCGCTGATTTCAGCGATGGCGCAAGCTCAACCGCGGGTGTCTTGGGGGGCGAGAACGCTCGTGGGCGCAGGTGTTGGTAGATGTCCATGTCATCCAAGTCCTGCACATGTAGCCCCGGGAGCGTGTCCATCATATCCATGTCCCGAGTCTCGACTTCGGCATCTTCCACACTTGGTATCGGCACATCGGCGGCGGCAACAGACGCAAGGAATTGCTGTGTAGGTGCGTGGAGCTGGGACACCTGTCGTCTTTTCAGCCGCAGGCGCGGTCGCGGAGGCGAGGGTAATCGCGTTTCTTCACGAGGTGTAGAAGATTCGGGGGTTTTGGGAATCGATTCATCATGATAGCGGAACCCTTTCGGCAAGGTAGCCGCGCCGGTTGGTTGTGACATTGTAGGTCAGTAGACGTAGTATGGACACCAAGCTCTCCAATTGCGCATGTGATTTCAAGGTCTGAGGTTCCGGATCGTCCACCACAATTTGCCAGAAAATAATCAGATAAGCGCACGCATGGCAGGTGTGACCGGTGCTTCGTATAACGGCGTGCAGCTGGTCAGACTTGCAATCGCAATGGAAGGGACTTGGTCGTTGGCGCAAAGACCCGGGCAGCTGGGAGCGCGATCCAGTGTTGTGATAGCTGGTCCGCGTCCGTCACAGATGTGGGGTCTTCCGCTCAGTAGCTGTAAATAGCGCCGAATATTAGATCTTGCGGCAGATAAGAACAAAAAGTCGTACAAGGCGTTTGGGACGTGAGGTAACGTAAGGTAAGCAAATCGTTTGAGTCGTCGAAGGCATATGTCGCCGATACAGGGAGACGGTAAGAGCAGCGACTACCGGGGGTGAAGTGGTCGCAGCCCTCGACCACTGGCGAATAAGGGAAGGAATGAACGACTGATAAAAGGTTGAAGTAAACGGGGGATCGGGCGTGTAGGAAGAAGGGGGAGGTCAAGGAACAGTCTTCATAAAGTAGCAGGGTGATGCTGCAAGGTGCAGGAGGCCAGGGCCCTGGGGGGTGGGGGGGGGGAGGGGTGGTGCAGACAGAGAGTACGCACAGGTACTCAAATAGACCAAATTGAATCGAGCAATCAGTCAATCGATTGCACAGACGACTGCGCTGTGCGGGTGGCGCGAACCTCAGCTGGCTGGCTCGAGGCCCTGGACACAGTTGACCTGCAGGTCTGCTTGGGGGTTTCGGCGTCTTGGACACAGTCGAGCGCACAGTGATGCGACACAACGACATGAGCTTGGTCGCCGCTAAGCTCGCTGGGGAAGTACCGGACAGCGGGACTGGGAACACAGCTGTAACCCCCACCACTAGGAGAAGCGAAAACTGTGGAAAGTTGAGGCGGTCAGTTGGGAATGCCCTGGCTAGTCGGCGCGTGCAGACGGGGATGGCGCCGGGGGGTTGATGCGACTCTGGGGCGATAAGAATGCACGGCACGAATTGTTGATGGAGAGGGATGAAGCTTGGGTAGAAGACGAAAACGGCATGCAGCAGGACGAGTTGAATCAAGCCGGGTGGCCCCCTGGCACTGGACTGCGCGCCGTAAGTTGCGGTCGCTCGATGCCAATAGCAGCCCTGCTTGTGCCAGCTTCTGGGCAGTCCTAGTTCGACGCACTTGCGCAGCTTGCCTCGCGCTACGACTGCTTACGCTCTCATGCTCATGCACTCCGGATGCAGTGATACAGGTGTCGTCGAGGTGTACCGTGTGGCCAGCGACGAGAAGAGGAACACGACAGGAATGCATATGCAGCGATCGGCTGGCGAGTGCGGCGAGTGGACGCTGAGACTGCTGGAGGGGACGAGGGGACTCTTGGGACGGCTCTGACGATCCGATAGGAGAATGTTTGACCACTTACTGTACGCGTCCGACGAGAAGCACGAAATCCGCGAAATCGACTGGACGGGAATGCTCGAGGCAGCGTGCAAGCAGCAAGCTGAGTGTCTGAGTGCCAACGACCGACTGTTCCTTCGTTCCTTCGCTCTTTTCGTTCGCCCTGCTAGGTATGCGTACCTTATGCAGAAGAAGATGACGATGACGATGACGACGACGACGACGACAGCAACAGGTCGACTGATTTGACTTGTTGTTTACTGGCACGTCCACTTGGGAATGGGGCTGATAGTGTTGGAGTTGGGGGAGTCGGGGCGAGGCGAAGCGCGGGAGGACGGCGCAAACGGACGCAAGATAGAGGGGCGGAAAGGAAGGGCCAAGTCGAAGTGGGCGACGGGAGCGCGGGCGGGGAGGTGGGTTATCAACTTAGGGGCTTAGGTGGTATCCGTATCAGAGGACGGACGCCGCTGCGACCTGCGACCTGCGACCTGCAACTGCAACCTACCTTTCGCTGATCGGCCTCGCTTGGTCGGCTGAAAGCGAGAGGGAGGCTGGGGGGCGACCTGTCACGACGAACACCAATGCTACGAGATAGACTTGTTGAACAGCCTTGTGACACTCTCAGAGCTGGTTACCTAAGGTGTATCAATTGACGCTTGGGTACGAAAATGACGAGTCGAAACGGGGCAATTGGGCAATGGGAAGTCGCACTCTCGTCTGGGGAAGGAGGTGGAGGAGGGGGAGGAGGGGGAGGAGGGGGAGGAGGAGACACGCGAGGTTGACGCGACCCGACGCGTCAAAAAAGCACGGACATTCCTACCCTGGAGCCTGCAAGATCAATGCAGCTTCTCATTGGTTGACACTCACTCCAATATAGCCCTGCTTGCCTTCGTGTCTTCACAGTTCACATGCACCCGTCAGATTCCCAGATTCCCAATTTCCCACCCAAGAACGTTGAACTCCAACTGATACAGTGATACCGCCGTGACAGTTCACCATTGGTCCAAGTACCACCTTGTCCTCAGGCGCTACAGCTCCGAATCACTGCGGAAGAAGCCAGGTACAGCCGAGATATCCTCGTCAATGAGCCAGTACTACCAGTACTACCAGTACTACCAGTACCTCGATATTGTACTCTTATCTCCTCCTGTCTGCCCATCGGGACCATCTCCTAACACATGCGTGACCATGAGACGAAGGGTTCCGCTGGGTCTACGGTACTGAGACATACGTGTTGTGATATCAGTACGAAGGAAGTCCTTTGGCCCAGTACCTGTAGTTCACGTTCGGGGATAGGACCGACCTACATCCAGCTTGTTGTCGGGCGGGCAGTACAGACGTACTCCGCGTGCTGCACACTTGCGTATTATTTCTGCATGCCTAGCCAAAGGACACCACGGCCAACCCGGGCCTGGCCGGCGGCTGCTCAGTGCTGCATAAACCTTCGAAACATGCAGGCCACTCGGCCTCCTGGGTCAGTCACTCCCCTGGCAGCCGCTCACTTCCCTCCCTGTTCCCGGCGCTGATCTCTTCAAACATGGCATCTTGAAGACACTGAAACAGGAAACAGAGGCATATCGCCAAATCATCCTGGTCTGCTCTCATTGTCAGGCCAGGATGCACTCGTCTCCCGAGCCCCCAAATGCCTACGTGGGTCGAATAGCTCTCTACACGTGGGCAGGCGGTAGCTACCGTACTTGGCGCGTGGAAATACTCAGGCATCTTGCCTCATCGCCCATAGCCTGTTGACACCGTACGTGTTGGCTCGGTCGCTTGATGCCGGAAAAGTAAGTCGTGGCGACGGCGATGTTCTCAATATCTCCATACAGCCTCACAGTAGGGAGGACCCTGGAGTAGGTAGGTTGTGCTGCATTCTTTTGTTGCCACGAGGCATACGCCTCCTCGGGGAGCAGGCGAGACATTGGTTTCGTTATCCCTAGGGTTCACTTTTCTTGGGAAGGTTCCCAGTCTTGCTCTAAATTCATTTTACATCCACCTAGCGAGATTGAGGGCCGATTCGTCCATCCGTGTATCCATTCAATATGCGGGATACTCTGCGTCTGTCAACACTACTGAAGGCCGTGGCAGCTTTCTCTGTCTCCCTCTGGTTTCTATCTTACCTGGGCGGCCCCTCCAGCTACCACCATATACTTCAACAGTTCAAGGGCGAGAAGGCATGGTTTTTCACCGAGTTCCTTGAGAATGAGATCGATAGAGAATTCGACGGGACAGCTATTGCCCAATTATGTGAGAGCAAGACTTGGACGAAAGGTTTACTATTCACGTGCGACCCTCCCGCGGGAGGCGTGGATGAGGTACGGAATGCGTACCTCAACTGCATCAGACTTGCCATTGAGGCTGGCGGTAAGCTCGAACTTACCCCTGCGTGATGGGACATCGATCGGGCTTGAGCTGATTTCACACATAGCTGAACTGATTGTTCCTAAAGTGGTTCAACGCAACGATCGAGACATAACCAAGGTCATTCCACGTCCCCCGCGAGGTACATCACTGGACTACTTCTACGACCGACATCATTTCAATCGGTCAATGTCAACTCTCTGCCCCCAAATGCGGCTGTACTGGTCCATCTATGAGCTATTCGACACGCCAATGGGGAACCCCGTCAAATTGTCTCTTTCGAATATGGACATCCAGCGGGTAAACGAAACTGTCCTCGAACGGCCCGGCGATTGGTCTTTGAAGTTTCAGGAATACCTCAAGATGGTGGCACCCCCCAAAATTCGTACATATCCGTTAAGGGTCGACCTCCAGCATATATTATGCGTGTGGCCTACCTCTTACGACGCCCCTGCCTTCGTGAAGAACTTTGGGCGCATTTTGCGTTTCCGTGACGACACCAGGCAGCTTGCTGCTTCTGCCTTGTATGCTATGTAGAAGAAACTCAACCTGCCCGTAAAGGGCAGTACGGGCTTCGCGGGTGTCCATCTACGCACCGGTGAGGATGTCTGGTCCAGGTTCCTAGCCTACGATGTTCAAGCTGCCGCCTATCTAAACAGCCTTGTGCAGTCCAGTTACTCCGTGGCCTTCCTGGCGTCTGGTGCCACACCCGAGAACATGACTGCATTTGCGGAGAGGGCTGTGGACTTCAACATTACCGTGGTTACCAAGGCGGATCTTTTGGAGGAGGCGGAGCTTGAATACCTCCACAGCTTGACCTGGTACCAACAGGCTCTGGTCGACTACGAGCTGCTGCTACGGGCTGGTCTCATGGTGGGGACCTGTGAAAGCAGTTTCGCCTGGAACATTGCTCTCAGAAGGGCAGCTTCTATCGATTCAATTGGTGGCGACACTGTCGTCGACGAGCAGGGACCTATTCGGTGGCAGGATAGACTTTCGACCATTATAGGCGAACAGGGGAAGAGTGGAAACCTGCAGTTGAGCATTTGGCTATGAAGGGATCCGAGGTGAAGAGGCGTGGGGTGTGGCTCGAGTAGCCGTGACCCTTCGGCGGCCTCGACTGCGGCCCTTTAGGGGCCTGCTTCATGAACCTAGGAAGGCTATTCTAGTATATGTCGGCCAGCTTCAAGGTTGCGATCCGCTCGCTGTCTCGGTCGCCGGGTTGGTCGCTGGAGGCCAGGCCTATAAGGCTTCGTTACGCGCTCAACCTACCAATTGAACCGCCGATCTAAGCGCCTTGGATCCATCGTGACGCTGATGAGCCTCATGTGACAGTTAATCTAAGTCCCTCGTAGTAGTGGAACCAGATCTGTGAAATGGGCCGCCTTACATCGTACAGCAGAAACCCCCGAGATTTGGAAACTGGCGTTTGTTGGTTCCCCTCGGCTCTTCTAAAAAGGGGCTGGCTGGCTGCGTCGGCACCTGCGCGCAGCTGGTGAAGCGGAGCCACCTCGTGACTCCAACTCCGCAGACGAGCCCCGCCCTTCGCAAATCCGTTTCATTGCCACAAACAACCAACCACAACTTTCGAGTCGACCTCCCCTTGTGACCTATGAGCACACTGGAACTCAAAAGGCCAGTTATTTCACGAGGCCAGCTATTCCCGATGAGTAGTTCAGTATGGCGACAGTCACTGATATTCTCACGCTCGACAACTTTGCGTCGAAGATGCCATCATGGGCTCCCGAACTCCCCAACCACCTCTATGCACTAGTCGATATGGGAAGGTATGTCTGTTCGCCTCCTCCGCCTCAAATCTCTCATTTCCACGCAATATACGGACAGAGTCATGGTACTCGATAGTGACCCCGGTGCGTGTAGCAATGGTATTCGATTTTCCATCTCGGATCTATCGCCGCCTGAGGCCCGCCTCCTCAAGTGTCTGTACCGCGAGCGGGCGGCCATCTCTCTGTTTGATGCCCTCAACGCCTCATCCTCGAGTGGTCCTCGGCTGTTCCCACCGGAAGTGATCACCCAGGTGTCTCAGACACTAGCTCGGTTCAAGTCCATAGCAGATGAATTTGGCGTTCCCTCGGACCACATTTCCGTCTTCGCCACAGAGGCCATGAGGACAGCCGATAACGCGGCTTCGATGTTAGATGCCATTCTTGCTGCATCTGGTCTTGGAGTACATGTGTTGGCTCCAGAAGTCGAGACCCTGTTCGGCGCCGTGGGCGCCAGGAGTGGGTTCGCCGATGTCAACGGACTGTTCCTTGACCTAGGAGGTGGATCGGTCCAGATGACTTACGTGAACTCGTCCACAAGGGACTATGCTACCAGAGCTGCCCAAACCGGGAAAAGCTTGCCCTTTGGCGCCGCAAAGTTAATGGCCATACTGGGAAGTGGCGACAAAAAGGCACAGGTATCAGCTGTGGATGACTTACAAGCAGGCATGCGCGATGCCTTCTCTAAGCTGCAGCAAGAGTTCCCGCCTCTGAAGGCCACTCAATCTAGCCCGAGCGACGGTATCGATATCTACCTTTGCGGTGGTGGCTTCCGAGGTTATGGTAGTATGTTGATGCATTGCGATCCCATCCAGCCATACCCAATCTCAGCGGTTGGTGCTTACACGGTGGACGGTTCTTTCTTCAAGAAAACCAGGGATATGCGCAGAATGAACACCGAATACGATGGGGAAATATTTGGTATGTCAAATCGTCGGCGACAACAGTTTCCCGCCATTGCAACAGTCGTCGAAGCCCTCATCGACGCTGTCCCCCGAATCCGCACGGTGACATTCTGCAGTGGAGGCAACCGGGAGGGCGCGTTGATGATGAAATTGCCGGATGAAGTCAGAGAGGCTAGCCCATTACCATTGCTACACACTGGGGACAAGCTGAGTTCCGAGATCATGCTGGCGTTGATGGACACTCTGCAGTCAGCTCTACCGACGAGCGTCGATTTCTCCAATATCTCAACTGTGTTCACTTTAGGACTTGGCCAGCTTTTTGCTAGCGAGATATGGACGCGGGCTGGCGAACCAAGTGAGGCCAACGCGGCATACGAACTGCATCAGGCGATTACTCGGAATCCAACCTTGCCTGGCTTTACACACCTAGCTCGGTCGGTGCTAGGCCTAACACTTTGCTTCAGGTGGGGGGCCAACCTCGCGCCTGTCGACCGGCAACTGTATACCAATCTACGAAGGCTTGTGAACAAGATGAATCCTGAGGCGATCTTCTGGGCCGAGTATATTGGTGCAGTGGCGAGCTTACTTGCCGAGGTGTGCCCCACGGTGCCAGAGACATCGCAGAGGCTAGCAAGTGCCGTCCAGTAAGTCATTGCCGTGAACACGTAACAGCCACCTTCCTGACTCGAATATAGCTTCAGCGCAAGAATGAAGAACGGCAAGAATAAAGTCAAGTTACAGCTGACTGTCTCTTTATCGCCGGCTCTGTGTCAGGCTTTGGATCCGCAGGATATCGCTGGCTCTTTCAAGAAGGTTTGGAAGTATCAGGACGACGCCGGGACATCTCCCCCCAAAGTCGAGATCATTGTGCAGAAGATGCAATCGTGAAGCAAGGGACCGGATGATCATGTCATCCAGAAGCGTCACAGAAAAGTTGCTTGTTACAATCCATGTGATTGCTACGGCGCCACTGCGCTTCGCGGACTTTAGGCGTTACCCCTTGACAGCAAGACCTGACCTGGAAACACCAGCAATGTACAATGAAACGGTGTCCACGCTCCAGCAAACAAAATCCGATTGGAGACGTATCGTTTCCTCGTTGCTGAACCCCACAGTGAGTGTTGCTGAACAAGCAATATTGCCCCCTAAAGCAGTCGTTGCCCTCGTTGCCACGAGGCAAAATGCAAGTTCAAATACGGTGAGTGGGTATCAGTCTTCTCCAAAACTCCTTAACCAAATCATTGACGTTGGCCTAAATCAGCCCGCAGACCATCGTCTCCTCACAAATCAGATGTTGAGGCCCCAGCCCAGGGAAAGAAATTCGCAGACGGCATACGAAGGACGTTACCGCCCGACAACAGACAGTACTCGCCTTCCTTTAGACGGACACTCTCGCTCGTTTCGCCGCCGGACCTCCTGATCGCTTCGAGCGCTTTTGTGGCTCAGCGAGAAAAGTGTTGAACAGGCGGTCGAGCGTGTTAGGGTACTCGCGAGTATAGTCGCCTAGGCCCAAAGTCAGATTCAGATCGAGATTTGATACGCCACTCGCACCTGTTTTTACTCACAAAACTCGCCGCGCCGAATTTCAACAACTTTGAATTGCCCGTTCAGTTGGTTCTTGATGGCACCCCCATCTTCAGACACTGGTTCCGGTTTATGCTTCCCGAAGTGATGAGCACACATCACGACTAGGTGGCTGAAAAGGTCGTTGGCTACATGCTGCACTTCTTGCAAGTGATACGATTCTGCCAAACGAGTCAGGACATGCCATGAGGCTGCAGGGAGAGAGATGGTTACCTCGTAACTCAAGCATACTGGAAACATCACGGTAAAGAAGTATGAGTTGCATGAAGCACGCCCAGACCGGCAAGCGCTCAGCTGGCTTCAGTTTACCGGGAAGCTTTCCGAGGTGTTCCAAGACATCGACCTCCAGGCTCTTCATCCTTGACTTCACGATGTTTCTCAGTGCCTGATGGACCGAGTTCGACAGCTCTTGCATCTCACACCCAGGATACGGCTGGCAGACGAAGAACTTTCTCTGCCGCCAGATCTTGTACATGCACCTCTGCGCATATGTCAGTATGTTGATTTCGAATCAAAACGAATGATGACGTAATGAGAGACGGCAAACGCCCGAAATGGGCTTGGGATATCGGTATGAGAGCCATATGTACGTACCAATTCGTGAACTTTCTTGGTGACCTCAAACTATCATCAGGTTAGCACTTCATCAAACGTTGGGAACTACAGGATTTACTGACGTGAGGCAGGAACAGTCGGCCTTTCCCAGCGCAATAGACGAGGAGGATATCTAGAGCTGACTGGAAGTCGATGTTGCCTTCCTTGCACATCTGAGATGATGCCCACTGAATCATGCGGCTCTCCTGGAGAGCACATGCGTCTAGGACGCATTCCTGCGTCGACTGCCCCTCGGCATATTTGACAGATATATGTAAAGGTTGGAATGTTGGAGCGACCGGTTCGAACGAGACATGCCAAGTGGACGAATGTCCCCGAGTCGCACTCGAGGACGCGTATTGTGGACGAGGCATACCCGCCTCTGTGGGAAAACAATCAGCTGTCTGAGCCCCTGGCGCAAGGTCGTCCCCACGATCAGTAGAAGGGAAAACATACTGCAGATTGCCTGAAACACAGAGCCACCCGAAGGGAGCAAATGTCGGAAGCACATTGTCTTGGCGAGATCGGGGCAATCATTGGCACAGAGCTTTGCTGCGTCGTTGACGCAACTTGAGCATGGACCTCCTTCGTTACACTGGAGAACGATTAGAGATGGGTCGTCGACCGGCCTTGGGAACTCACCGCAACCTTCCTCGCCTTACACCGGAGGCAAGCATTGGCCCTACGTACGCCGGCGACCTTCTCTGGGTTCTGCAAAGGGCTGCACCGTTTACCACGGCTTGACATCGAGTCCCTCGCCGTCGAGGTATCGAACCCGAGAGGAGCTCTACCAGAAGGCGACGAGGAGATGTAGCCGTTCCCAGCAGGGACGTGGACATCTGGCATAGTTGAGAAGCTTGGGCCTGCTGCATTGTCTAGGTGGATCTTGGACGGGTATTGTGCATCCTTGGGCCTAAGTTCGCGCTGAGGGACGGTGAAATGATCATCCTGCTGCTTTGCCTGCTTCACGGCGGCTTTGAGACGGAAGGTGTCAACGTTGGGTCCAGGAGAAGGGGCACCGTCTTCTTCTGACGAGCCAGAAGTGAGTTCTGGGGTGGAGGAGGCATCAGAGCGGCTCCGAGCGTCAGGATCCGCTCCCCGGGTCTCGCCATAGAACAGGGAAAAGTCAAAATAGAAGTCAAGCTCGAGGGAAGCGGGGTCCTGGGGTTTTCTTCTCCTGGACAGCCCGTTAATAAAGCCAGGGACCGTGGAAGCGAGCTGGGATAGGTCGTAGTCGGCCATGGTTGGCTGCGTGGGTCGTGTAAGTCGCCGGCAAGTACTCTTTTTTCTTTGTCAGACCGTGCACAACACGAATCAGCAGACGCCAGCGGGTCACTCGGGTACCTGGGTGGGGGAAATGACGATAAGTGATCTCTCGAGCACCTAGAGGCACGGATGGTGAAGTGGCAGAGAATCCTAAGACATGATGCCAGCTCAAGGACGACCAGTTCTGCAATGCGAGTGCCCACGACGGCAGTTTTGGGGCTCTCGCCGCTCATTGGCCATTCCCGCCGGCCAAGACTGGCGATTGACCTATAGGAACCCCGGTCTACACCGAAAACGACAGCTTCTCGAGCTCACGAATGCCGGCGTCGCACCCTCACCGAAGCCGTCCCAGGGATCATGTGACAACCATGGCCGGCTTACGCCTGCTCCAGACGCCGATTTGTTGCTTTTGGGGGCCGTTTCTGCCAGCGCTGTGCAAACGGGCTCTTCGTCGAGGACGACAGCTTTTATAGTCGAATTCATAGCTATCGAGGTCAGTTGAGCCTCCTCCAGCTGCGTCTCTAGGACTAGGTGTCTGGCAAGCCACAAACGCACCACGCCCAATACATCTGGACGGATTGGGAAAGCAGCCTGGGCTTCAACGAGGGTACGTGCATGGTCGTTTGCAAGGTCACCCTGCAGGTTTGCCTCCGCCAACACCCCTTGATGATGACACCAGGGGTTCACATGTACCCCAGCACCGGTGTAGTCACCGACTGGGACATGGGCAAGTCACTTGCCCTTGGTTCCAGACCTCGACTTTATAAAACCAACGTTCCCCTGTCGTGTCATTTTATGCATTTTGGTGCTCCCCCACTCGTCCCTGCTGGTGGAGGGCTCCTTGTTTATATATCACCCCGGCGTCGCTGCGAAGCACACCCTTCTGTCTGCCCTGTTCCGTCTGGACCTCCTCGTCTACGTATCTTGAAGGCGCGCTCTCGAATGATGTGCACGTGACTGCCGTCGCTATGTAACTGTCGAGTGCGAGTCTTCGGGCTCTATGAACCACATGCCCTAATAGCACGCTGCCCTGCTTCCAGATGGTATTCGCCAGGTCTCTATCATACTCCTACTCGTGACTTGCCCATTAGTTCTCGAGCAAGAGGACGAAGGACCAGTTCCACTTCGAGTGTCCATACTCCTCAGTATGCGCACCCTCTTGAGGACGAGGACGTGCCGCTGGTAGGGAAAATTGTGATGACTGGTACATGTGGACAGCAAAGTGCTCACCTCCAACTCCTACCAGGCCTCTCGAAGGCATAGCGTCTCTGAGTGCTGGAGGCATTGCCTAGTGCCCAAGTGACTCCACGGCAGTTCTTGTTATACTTCAAGCCACTCAAGTGCATCTAACCTGGCTATAGGCTGCGCAAGATGCATATGGATGGATGACGCGTATGAGGCTCTGCAGTCACACGTTAACATAATGCTGGTAGGTCCGCATCAAATGAGCGGGAAAGCACACCTCACATGGACGCGACGGAGCACGCGACGGGCTTCTGCCTTGGTCGCGGATATGTTGAGCCCATCCAAGACGACACGGTGGGGGAAGCGTCCCAGAGCTAACATGGCGCACTATAAGAAGCGGTAGATTCATGACGAGTGGCAGCTTCAGCAAGACATCATATTCTTGGAACCTGTCTTTCACATTTTCTCCACCCGTCTACGTCAAGGACATGGTTCTTCAAGGACGAAACTGTTGCAGGAGAACTGACAACGACAGCCGGAAGCTCATCTCCTATGATAATGCTTTAATAATTTATAATAAGTTAGGGTAAAACGTTAAGAACTAAAGACGTTGTTCTATTAACCGAATGTTATCTCTTATTGACCGTCGTTCTTACCGAAGCCAGTTAATTCTATCCCTTTCCCGTCGTACTTGCATCAGCTGCATTCGTTCGTCCCAAAGCCGGTTAACACTATCTTCCAAGTCATCCTGCTCACGTCATCGTCGTGGTTCTAGGGAAATGGGTTCCCCCTGGTGCTCCGGGGCCATAAGAGCTCGTTGTAGTTCCAACCGCTGCCTTCCTTCGTCCGGATCTACCAGGGTCATGACGTCCCGCCCGTGCTCCCGGGCCATAAAACCTCGTGGTACTTCTCCCATCCAATCCCGAGGACCATGATCTGCTGGGGGCATCGCTCGAAATGGCCTCTCACATGCGCAGCCTGGGTCCAGCTCGCCACATTTGTAGCAGAACTCGGTACCGCACATGCAGATCATGTGGTTGCAGCCGTCGATCTTCTCGACAAGCACACGGCATTTCGAACACTGGACCCAACCGTTGCTCTTCGCCAGTGTCTGGAGTTCCACCTCGACCGGGCATCTTTCGCCGTTACCGTGGGGTTCCTTGCGACAGTGTCGACACATCGAAGCCGAGCAGGCCGGGCAGGTCGCAAGTTCTCCTATAATCTTGTGGCTAGGTATCCATGCCCTGCAGGCATCGTGACCACAGCGCATGTCCCCGGCATTCTCGCGGGCTCGCTCCGAGTGTATGGCGAGATAAGCCGCCGCGGTCTGGCGGCCCAGTACGTCCCGAATCGTCGCGGTTACTGGCACTTCCTGACAGCAGCGCGCCGGGTTGGGGAAGTTGCTGAATAGACTACGGGTACAATCGTGGTAGGCGTAGTGCGCACAGGAGTGAAGATGAACTGCCTTGTCCTTATTAAGGTCATCCATGCAGTAGACGCATGACACCATTTCTGGACGTGGTGCGAGAGATGCCTCGACGTCGATGTGTTCGCCTTCTGTCTGCATGTCGTCGTTGTGCTGGACAGCTTCCTCGAAATGCAGCAGCCTTGCGAGCAGCCTTGCGAGCAGTGCCATGGTGTATGATATGGTGGGACGAAGTTTTTCTTGTAAGTCGTTAGGTTTTCGTGGACTTCCCGTGTGGCCGGCGGTGAAAGATGAACGTGTGCGTGTTGTAGTGGGGTTGTCAAGAAGTGAGTGTGTGACTGGTTGTTGCGTTCCTCTCCAGATTAATATACCTGTGAAAACACATCTCCTTAACCTTAAACAGGACTACATGGGCCATTTGTACTCGCCCACAGCCACCATGAACTTTGTTACCTACTAGCCTATCTCCGTATCGTATGTTGGCTGCTACACTGAACCCTCACAAGTCTCCGTGCACCCCTCATTCACCAAGCAAAAGGTGCGTTTATCATACATGGAATAAGCATTAAAGATGACTTTGTAGCTATGAGCTGCTTATCGCAGTGTGCTTATTCCAATATTTCCGGATTCCTTGCGGGAGATCTCGAATCCTATCAACAGCAAGAACTCGGGTGACCCTGGCTCCGGGCAAGTATATAAAGTAGTGGCAACCACATCGGAAACTCACACGCGCTCCAGCTCCAGAGCTACTGGTCTGGTCTCCATGATACCAGACTTGAATGGTAGGCCATGATTGCGAGCCAGCATTCATTTTCTACGGGCAGGTGTCATTGTGGACCAGGAGCTGGCCAGGTATGTTGTCTTGCGATTTCACGATTTCGATTAATTTTGTTTCTAAAGCTCTAGGGAGGAGCCAAACCCAAATACCACAAGAGACAACATAAAGCAGAGCCCTCGTGCTGTACGCTAAGTCTATCAAAATAAAACGCCACAAATCATCTCCTCTTGTGTTATCGTTTCGGTCAATAACTTTCGTGTTGGCTGCTTTACGATCCGGGGTCTGCGATACTCCCGTCACACCAGGTCAAACCCCCTACCGTTGCTGATAACCTGCAGCCTCCTGGATGGTGTTATCCAGGGGCCGTAATGGCCTAAATCCCAGCTGATACTGCTTTTTGCGGCTGAACTCTTCTCTGGTCTGCATTTAGGCTACCACATGTGCATGTTAAGTCATCAAGTGATGGTTGGGTCATCTGACCGTCCGCATGTACGTGGGGCATGTAGCAGGACAGGGGCTTTACCCCTATTGACTGTCGTCGCGCCACTTGCTTCTTCAAGGGTAGGGCATTTAGGAGTCTACCACGACGGGTCATTCAAGAGCTTCGTGGCCCGACTTGGCTAAGGACGGTGCTCTAGCCCTCGTCGATAAAACTGATAGACATGAATAGTAAGCATATTACCAGATAAACAAGGGGAAATCGACGTGTCCTCAATAGGTATCTGTCCTCTCTGCCTCATAACTACTATACTCTGCTCTGTGGATCAGTCACCTCCTGCATCGGGGTCATCACTGAGTCACATACCCCCTGCATGCCCAGCTCCAGCACCATCCGTAGTCCCAGATCCAATATTTACCCCATCCGCATCAGCTTCACTCGTATCGCTAGGTGCAATGAGATTATGACCCGTGTTGTCTGCAGCGTCTTCGTTGTCACCAGGTCCAGGGTTACCTGCATCGTTGTAGTCAGGGGACGGGTCTTCTCCGGCGCCAGCACTCCCGGCTCCGTCGCCATCTTTGTCGGGCTCGCCAGCCTCCGTGTTATCATTATCTCCGCTCGATTTCTCAAGGGAACAATTTCTCCATTCTCAGGGCTACTGCCACTCTCGTAGACGTCCTCGTCGGCGGCGGCACTGGCGGCACCTCTAGGGGTATGTTCTGCATCGCCACTACCTTCGCCACCTTCACCAGCTTCTCCGGCGCCAGCACTCCGGGCTTTGTCACCCTCATTTTCGGGCTCGGCTGCCCCCGTATCATCATGGTCTCCGCTCGCATTCTCAGGAGAAGCTTCTCCATCCTCAGCGCTACTGCCGCTCTCATCATTACCCTCATCAGCATCAGCGCCAGCACCTTTGTCGGTGGTACCATAGGCGGCACGTGTAGCGGCGCCTTCGCTGGTAATTTCTTCATTGCCATCGCGTTCATCACCTTCACCACCTTCACCACCTTCACCGGCGACAGCAGCATCCACCACACCAGCCCCAACACCGTCACCGCTAATTTGACATCAGCCATGGTGCATGGTGGAGGGCGGTGTCTGTGTCTTACGCTGCGGCCTCCCCCGCTGCCTCCTCTCCTGCTGCCTCACCCACTGCTTCTGCCTCACCCGCTGCTTCTGCCTCACCCGCTGCTTCTGCCACACCCGCTGCCGCTGCCGCTTCCTCTGCCTCTCTCACTGTCTCTCCTGCTGCCGCCGGCTCTCCCCCACCTCCACCTCCACGCTTGGAGCCTTTCGGTCCGTATTTCTCCATGATCTCCTTTACCCCAGGTTTCTTGCGCTTATTCGTTCCCAAAACTCCCATAACCATACCAGTAGCACCCGTAGGCCCCCATGCCTTTTCGAACTCGGCAAGAGCTTCCTTACGGTCCTTTGCGTAATCCTTCTGCTCCCGGTACGCTGCTTTGCGCTCGGAGACCATGCGGTGGAAGTTGGACTCCTTGGGCGGGGGGCCGGTGCCGCCGGCCATCAGCCAGAAGTGTAAAGGGATGCGCTTTGCGGGCTCGGGGTCGCTGGTCATATTCGGCATTTTGGCAATCTGGGAATGTGGGTGGTTGGAGGAACGGGGAGCTTTTGGTGGCAAAAGGGCATATGGCTAAATCGCGGTTCGCACGGGCGTCGTGTGCATATCTAGTAGTAAAGGACCTCAGCAACGAGGGTCCAAGGAGGTGTTGGGGGTGGCACTTGGGTTACAGATGAAGCTCACCAGAGCGCACCACGAGATACTAGTAGGAAGCTTCCTTGCAGGTGTGTAGCAAACATTACTAGAAAAGGGAGATCCGTGGATGCCAGTGCACCAGTGGAAAAGTCGAAGAAATAGGAAGGCTCCATTGGGTCATTGCAGTGTGCTGGATTGTACATCTGATTCATGAACATAATGGACTGAGGAGCATTTTTCACAATGATGTGTCACGATGATTCCCCGCCACTTAAGCATGACTATGCAGACAATCAGAGAAGGGAACGAAATTTGAGATATAATGACGCTACGCGTTTCCATCTCGAGTCGTAGCTTTGCTTGCATCCTGCCTCGTGCCTCATGCCTTATACTTTGTACATCATGACCAACATTTATCATGGGGGTATTTCAACGAAATCCCACCAAAGCGCAAGAAAAGAAGAAAAAAGGAAGTCCCAATCCCAATCCCGATCCCACGTCCACGCAAAATCCGTCGTACATCTGCACTGTCCATGTAGCCAGATTCCTGACTAACGATGTGGTCGAAGCGAGCGACTACAGAAGCAATTGAGCCGAAGCAATCAAGCCGAAGCAAGCGTAGCGAGGGCACGAGTATTGCCAGCCATGCTCCAATTCGGGTCCTTCTCCCACTTCGCTGAGTAACGAGGGTGAATTCGCATGTGCTGAACCTCAGGAGTTCGAATACGAGCGGCACCGACCTGAGCGCACAGCTTCGCGTTCACCATATCCAGATTCAGAGCCACAGGCACGCTCTCGACCTTTCGGTGCTTGGTCGACTCGTCGCTGTCGCTGTCGCTGTCGTCACCGCTGTCGTCATCGAGCGCAACAGCAGAATCAATAGAGATAATAGACCACTGCAGGGTACAGAGTTAGCTATCAGTGTTCTCAAAGATTTCTGGGGATTGTACAAATCTCTGTGGTGGCCTTATCTCAGTGCTCAAACCAGAGACTGGGCATTGCAGCAATAAGGGGTGATTGTGGCTGGTGTAGCTAGTATGGTTCGTTTTATGGGTGGCCAGTCCCCTATTCACCAATATCAAGCCACACCAGCCACAATCACCCCTTATTGAATGGACAGTCTCTCGCTTCAGCACTGAGATAAGGATGGGTATAGTAACAGAAATGACTTGCCTTGTCGCTGTCACAGTCAGTCTGTTCATGATTGTCACCCTCGCTCTTGAGGCTAATGACGTCGTCCTTGTCCTTTCCCATAAGCCGCTGGGGAAGATGCTGAACCATGCTTGCGCGGATGACAGGCGAGTGCACCATACCATGGCTCCGGGTGGTGCCGCTGGCGGATGCTGTACTGCAGCAACGGAATCTTATGATCTCCGGGTCCTTGAGTGCGTCGGAAGTTCGACGGCTGTTGTTCGGCACAGGTGGAACAACCGTACCAGGGGTAATGATATCCTCGAAGTCATCGCTATTGCCATCCATGTCGCTGGTCATATCCTGCCAGTCGTTCTCGATGGTTGATGCGGTGCCTCCATAGATTGACTCGTCATCATCTGATCCGATCTTATCGAAGTCGGTGTCCTCATGTGCGCCTAGCAGCTGAGTGCGTTTCTCGTAAAATTCGTACGGCTGGTCTATCCAGAAAAGTTGCGTGGTTTAAGAAGATGAAGACCCAGAGAAGCAGATCTGTGACGGTGGTATGTGGTGCCTGAGGCAATACGAGTCGGGGAAAGCTGGTGAAGATGAACAGGCGGTGGTCTGGCCGGAAGAAAGGTGGTGCGCGATGGCAGAATACCAAGAATCAAGATGGATGGATGCCTTAGGCAGCGAGACGGTCCAGAGCAGGTAGTGGAGGCCGAGACGATCGAGGTAATGTCGAGAGGCTCGTCAACATGGAAGCGAAAGTGGCCCAAGTGTAGTTCGTCGCTCGAGAAGATGTGGAAACAGAAAGTTCAGCCAAAATGAAAACGCTGGCGAAGGGATGGTTGAGAGGTGAAGGAAAGTGGGATATCGAAGATTGGATTGGTGAATACTTTGGGAGATGTACCTGAGGTGGCAGCCAGACGTAAGGTGGTCTGCGGCAATAGAATTTTGAAGTGAAATTGTGAAATTATTAAGTGTTATATATTAAAGGGAAGAAGAAGATCTCCTCTAAGATAGGGGTAAAGCCCCCTTTATATTTAATTAAGTAATCTTATATAATTCTTTAAAACAACTAGATAATTATAATAAACACTTGTTATTTAAACTAATTAAAAGCTAGTATTTATAATATTATAAGTATATTATATATGTTTTAAAGCTAACGCTTTAATATATTCAACCTTTAAAGCTACTTAAAACCTTATTTAAGCCTATTATAATTTTATTATTATTATAATATTTAATGCGCTCTTTTAAACTAAAGGTATTACTATTAATTAACAACTAGTTAAAATATTATAACACTTTAAAGCTATTATAAAGGGCCTTTTAGCGTGTAATTATACGCTAGTTAAAATGTTATAACATTTTTAGCTACTTTAATCGACCTTAATAAGCCTTAAAAGCTTAAAAAAGTGTTGAATTTTACCTTTAATATAGCCTTTATAAAACTATCTGCTAGTATTTTGTTAATATTAAAATACTTTATTTAAAATATAGCTAGTTTAGATCTTTTAATTGTGACGGTCCACAGGTGGTCCATCTGATTAGGTGACTAGTCACGTGTAGATTAGATAAGGGAGACGGGACCATATCTGCTGCAGCCCTTGGCTGTACGCACATCTGTTCCTTTTCTTTCACCTTGTTATTTTCGGAATACAACACCAGATTCCAGCACCCCGCCGCAGGCATCGTGACATTAATAAATATAATGCTTTCACACTCGTATATACTTCGTTTAATAATAAAACTTAATGTTGGAACAGGCTTGAACGATCAATCATAATACTCGAGTATGGGGTCAAGGTCATGATGTTGCTGATGGTTGGATTGGGAGGTCTAGCTGGACCTGAAGGTCTGGCTAAGTAACCTCGCAATCCGGTATCTATCTCTTATCTAATCATACATGTGGGTCTTGGTATAGATGGTTTGCAGGCTGGAATTGCATAGATCCAACACTTAATATTGTAAGTTAAATAAATAGCTTTAATATCATTAAAGCGTAATTAAAAGGCGTTAAAACTATAATTAAGTTTGTTTATTAATTTTTAAAAATAAGCAGCTTTCTTTACAGCTTCGTTGATAACTTACTATTTTTATGTTAAGTTAACTATTAATTAAGCTGTAACAGTTTAAAACTTCAAAGACTATAAGATAGCGCTTTAAATTAAATTAAATAAGTAATTAAAGATTAATTCAACGCCTTTTTAACGCTTTTAAGTAATTAATATTAATGTTATTTTTAAAAGATAAGCTTTTTAAGCGTATTAATAAGAGTTTTAATGTATTTAAAGCGTTTATAACAAATATTTAAATCTTTGCTGTTTTAAAAATAATAATAAAGTCTTTTAACCGTAATAAGTTGTACGGTTTTAAGAAAATAAAAATATCGTAAAAACACATTTATAAAGTAAAAGACATTAAAACGTACATAATACGTAAAAAAGTTCTTAAGTCTAATTAAAAATTCATACTTATAAATAACTTCCAACATATCATCGCTTTTGGCTTTATTTTAATCTATCTTTTTAATTATATAAGGTAAAATAAGAACGTTTAAGCGCTTTATATATGCTTTCAAAAGCTATAAAGAACTGGTTTTACAGTTTTTAACAATCTTAACGCCGAATAAGTATTATATAACCTTTAAAAAAAAAATTTAAGAGCTTTAAAAAACTTTCCTTTAAACTAATCAACTTTGAAATGATTTACTTCCAAAATAACAAAGTTCTTTACGTAACTAATTAAGAAAATGCCGCGTTTTATAAAGCAATAAACGGTATTATTAAAGATGAAAGGCTTAAAGTTAAACTTTCAAAACGCCTTTTAAAAACGCTTTTACCATTAATAAAAGCTCTATTTAAAGCTATATAAAGGATTTTTAAGCTTAAAAATCATTTCTAGTCATTAACTAATAGATTTTCCGTCAGGATATATCGTAAAGAGCTTTTTAAAGCCGTCAAAAGTCTCTATGTAAAAGTTTTTATTAAATGTTCTTATTAAAAACGTAGAGGCGGCGTTTATTTAATCAATCTTTTAATTTAAAATAGCTATAATAACTAAAAGGATTTTTTAAAAAGCTACTCGTATTTTAAAAGCTTAAATTTTAATATAATTAGATCTATACCGTTATATAAACTTATAAGCAATAACCTAATTTTCATAGCATTTAATAAAGCTACTAATCAGGTTGAATTCATATTTAAATATATAATATAACGTTAAAAGCTTTTAATTATAAAGTAATTTAAAGCGTAAAAAGCTAGAAAAGTTTTATTTTAAAATAGCGCGTAAATCTTAACGTTTGTTTCTTTTAAATATTAAAACGCTTTAAAAATATTATTACTTATTAGTAAACAAGAACTTTATATAGTTTAAAGTTTATGTTATTATAAAGGTTAAACAAAACCTAATTAATATATAACGTTTAAATTGTTAAAAATAATAATATTTTAAAAATAAAATTAATATCCATTAAAATGTAATAATTATAGGTTTTTTAAATACGCTTTTTGAGTAACACCTTATCAAGCTTTATCTTAGTTTATATACGCGGTATTAAAATATACTTAAAAATGAAATTAATAAAGCAGTTTTAATAAACTAATTAATAAATCGATCAAAATAGTATTAAATTTATCGTTATTAAGTATATTAAAAAAATATTATTATTATTAAATATGATAAAAAAGATAAATAAGGTCTTTAAAGTAACAATAAGGTTATTAATATGGATTTGTTTTTATGATTATTATTTAAGGTTGTAAAGCTATCTAAATAAATACCAAACTTATTTAATATATATTAAAGATCGTTTATATCTTTTGAAAAAGATAGCTTCTTTAAACTGCTTTTATTATTAATAGGTTTCTTTTAATTGTTGAATATATTATAAAAGTCGGAAAAATATAAATTAACTATTTACATATAACGTAATTATTTAAAGGCTTAAAATAAATAATAGTAGTAATAAACTTTGTTATAAGTAAGTAAACTTAATATTAATTTGGATTAATTAAGTAAAAAAATCGTTTTTTATAAACGTACAAAATAGTTTTATTACTTTAAACGCGCTTTTATTATAATAGATAAACTATGCAATATTTCTGGATCAATAATTATGAAGCGAGCAGGTATGCGGGTCAAATATATTGTTGTGCGTGGGTTGGTTATCTAGCCAGCTAGGTGAGGGCTGCCACTATATATAGTAGCAGTCCCTCTTTATCTTATCTATCTAGCCGCCACCTGATTGGCTAGGGCACTCACTTACAGTGGGTCCCCCTGGTGACGTGTGTCAAATAATTTATTTAAATCAGGCTTATATTTTTATAAATAATATCGTTATAAAAAGATTTATATGAACTTTATGAGATTCTAGAAGGGTCACAAGCCTTGGGGTGTGAGCGGTCGCTGCAAACGTTGTTGTCATTCTCAAGTATGTTTGGCAGGGCTAATCTACAGCTAAATATCATACTGCACCATGCCAGGGTGGATCCACTTGTCCTTTGGCAGCCCCCTAGCGGGTACTGCACCTAAAGGCACCATATCTGGGATCCAACATCTGACAAAGTTTTATTCTTTTACTTTAAAAACATAATTAAAGTCAAGCCGATCGTAAATAGTAAAGCGAATAATTAGTTAGAAAGGCTTTAATAACTTTGCTTATTTAATAATATTTTTAATAAACGAGTAAATTACGTTAAAACTCGTTTTAAAGTTCCGTTTTATTTAAAGGTTTATAAAGCGCTTAGCTTAAATACAATACTTTTAAACCGCTTTTATTTGATAAATTCAATATATTTTATACTATTATTTATCTAAAACTTATAAAAATATCGCTTTATTTAAAACTTTATACGTTTATAATAAGCGATATAAATATTTAACGTTCTTAACCTAAATATATTATTATTACTCATACGCTGACCCGCCGTATGGACATCTCGGAGAGTCGTCCGGCATGCAGACCTCCTACGATCTATCTCCGTGTGATAAAATCCCGCATGGGATGAAAACCTACACGCTACGGTCTAGTTCTGGCTTTGTTACGGCGCCGCCGCGGTTTGCTACAGTTGTATGTCATGACCTTCACCGTCTTGACTAACCTGATAGGGCGCGCATCCCTTGGCCCCTTGGACCTCTTCCCCTTCGTGATATTCCCCCTCCCCCTCGTGATATTCCCCCTCCCCCTCGTGATATTTCCCCTCCCCCTCGTGATATTTCCCCTCCCCCTCGTGATATTTCCCCTCCCCCTCGTGATATCCCTACTACCATATCCCCTCTCCTTCTCCATTCTATCCGGTACTGCTCTATATCCTCTGCGGTCCGGCTCTTTGGCGCCTGTTGGGCCACCTCGCCACTGCTTAGCTTCCTTGCTAGTGAGAACATCCCCAGTAGCCCTAGTCTCAAAAACCACTGTATAAATTTTGGGGTCTCGTCCGGATCTGACAGTAAGCTCTTGAAGTCTCTCCTTGACTGCAACGTTCTCGTCCCAAGAGAGGCTTGCAATCTGCCTCTTTGGGCCGCGTATAGAGGGCATTAAACCGTCACGTGGTATGCCGTCTCCTTCTTGCCGCAGTCGCAACGTGGTGTAGCCTCTCCTGGCACTCTCCTCTGGAACAGGAAAGCCCTCAAGCCGATGGTCTCTGTCCGGACCTGGTATAGGGCAGACACCTCGTGTTTCCGCAGTCCGTAGTAATATTACGGGACCGCCCCTACGAGCTCCTGTGGGAATTCTCCTTGAGCTGCCAGCGACCTCGCAGCAACTCCCGTCTGGCTGGCTCTTGTGACGGCAATTATCCATTGACTCCTCCACGACCTCTCCAGTGCCTGTTCCGGGTGGTCTTAGCCCAGCCACTTTAGGATCGCCTCCTTCCGGTCCGTTGGGTTATCCTTCTGCGAGGACGTTGTTGCGTGGGACGACCGCCGAGGCCGACCTCTCCCCCGTCTGCCGCCTTGCGTGGGTCTCCTTGCGGCTTCCATTACCGCCAACCTTGCGTCTCTTGCCCTCTCTTCCACCTTTCTTGTTTCGGCAGTAACGTGTCTACCGGCCTCTCCGTACATTCGACCTTCAAACGCCGCCACCCTCATATCTAGGTATGCGTCCAGCGGGGGACAATCGGTCTCTGTCTCCAGCAAATGTCGCGGCGTGGCTTTAAAGGCCCCTGCCACCACCCTTAAACACACCGCTTGCGTGGTGAGCATCTTCTTCGCTAGCCCTCGGGCCTGGTTGCCCTCTGATGGCGTATGCCACGCCGTTGCGCCAAAAGCGATGGCACTTCGTACCACTTTGGTGTATACCTCCCGGGCTCGCGCCGCGCTACATCCCCACGTGGAGGCCGTTATCCTGGTGAGGCCGAAGATCTGGCGTTCTATCTTTGCCTTTATCTCTTTTAGGTGCCTGTTCCACCGCAACTTTCTGTCTAAGTATACTCCAAGGAACCTAGCTGACGGTACCGGCTTTACCAGGACCATCCTGTTTCAGACCGGATCCAGGATTTCTTCCCGCTGTCGCATAAAATGTATAACCTCGCTTTTTTTCGCGTTGAACTGCATTCCGTGGCGAACCGACCACCTCTCGCATACCTGGTATGCCTCTTTAAGGGCTTCACAATTCCTCTTGGCGTCCGGGTGGACCGCCAGCATGTTGGTATCATCAGCAAAGCCCACTACCATCATGGGCAAGCCTGCTGCTTCAAGCTCTTCATACAGTGTGGCAACATATAACAGGAAGAGGATGGGGGACGCTGGGGACCCCTAGGGGACTCCAGCACTCAACTCTCGGGCTGCTGACTCTTTTCTATTAAAAAGGAGCTTAGCTGACCGTCCGTTAGTATAGCTTTTCATCTATCTGATAATCCACATGGGGTATCCCTTCTTCCACAGAATGTGGCGGAGCCGCGTAAAGATGACGGCATCGAAGGCCCCCGTGATGTCCAGCTGTATCAGCGTGGCTACCGTGCTGTAGCTCCATCCTGTATGGACTGTTTTGACTACTATACGGATCGCATGTTCTGTTGACCTATCCTTACGGTTCCCCATTTGGCCCTCAGGAAGGAGCCCGTGTGTCTCTGCTGTCTCTATCATACGGTTACCGATAACCTTTTTTATGACTTTCCCCATACAGCTAAGAAGCGCGATAGGCCGGTAGGCCCCTGTAAGGGTCTTCTCTTCTGGTGTCTTTCCGGCTTTTGGTAATACCACTATTGATGCCGTTTTGAACTGCTTCGGCCACTCGCCCAGAACGAACGAGCATTCCGCGACCTCCGCCAGGGCCACTCTCAGCGGTTTGCCGCACGCTTTAAGGAATTCTGTTGGCAGAAAGTCCCAGCCTGGGGCCTTCCAAGGCTTCATCAAGTCAAGAACTGCCTTAATGTCCGTCTCGTCTACCTTCCTGCTTATGGCAAACTTCCTTTCAAAAAGGTCTAGTCCGGTATTGAAATCTTCCGGAATATCGGACAAGTCCGTTATTGGAAAAGGGAAGAATTTCCCTGATAGGATATCTACCTGCTCGTCGAACTTAGATGTCAGGCCTCCCATTGAGCCGGGTTTCCTTAAGGGCGGGAGCGTTCCCGCCTCTCGTGGTTTGAACCCGCGCAGCTGTGCCGCCCTTTTAAGGTCCCAAAGCTTCTTATTATCTTTGGACGCTGCTGCTATGAGGTGACGCCATGTTTTTGTCTGGGCTTTATTGATGGTCTGTTTCTGTACCTGCCTCGCCTTTGTTAGGCCTTCAAAGTCTCGATCCGACCGGGAGGATTGGTAACGTTTTCTTGCCGCTTTCGTATGTGCCATCGCACGACCGACGTCCTCGTTCTATCACTTCTGTTTGAACCCGAAATTAGGCCCTTTTTTCCTTGTGGAGGCGTCTACAATGCCTTAGAGCTGCTCAAGCAGCTTGTCGATATACTCTTCCAGATCCTTGATAGATCCGGCTCCCCCTGGAGGCGTAATCTTTAAGCCTTTGACTTGGACCGTTATTTTGTCCATTGTCTTTCACGACCAACCTGGCGGGGCCGTGTTTCATTTTGGTGTCTCGGTATGAATTCGTACCATCTGTGGCAGGTGGTCTGAGCCCTCCCACTCCGGTGGGATCTCCAGCTCTGCCCTCAGGAGTGGGTGGGCCCAGATGAGGTCTATCGTGGAGTCCCTCTGATCATGCCCCATCCTTGTGGTCATTCCCCTTGGTGTCACTAGTTCTAGGTTCATCGTTTGAACAAGCGTTAAAAGTTCCTCGGTCTCTGTACCTAGCGTGGTTCTTCTGTGTGTATCCCATATCGGGTGGTGGAGGTTAATATCGCCTGTTAAGACAACCCTGCCCTCCCACCTCTTGTTAGCAATCGCCTGGAACGGGGGTGCGCGGTTCCTGCTTGATACCGGCTCATTATATAGCGATATAATGTTCAAGACACCTTGCTGCAAGCGGAACATGACCGCTGCCCAATTGTGCCCTGCGCGTGCCTGTCATGCCTCTGGGGCGAACTTCTTGTTGATGTACAGCATCGCCCTGCCATGCCCCGAGTAGATCGGTATGTACTTGCAGCTGGCCGGGCAGTGAATGGCATTCTCAGGGCCAATCCATGGCTCCTGGATTGCGATCACGTCTGCCGGTCCCTTTATCCCGTCCTCATCCTCCCCACCCCGGATTGCCAAGGCTACGTTCTGTTTCGAAGCTCCTGCGTTCCACTGTGCTAGGTGTACCGGCATTAAAGGACCGGGTGCTCGGGTGTGTCAACGCTGTTACTCTCGGCCCTATCCTGGGTGCTTGAGATCGATTGTCGGGATGTGTGACAGTCCGTTTGGTGCTGCCTTTCTTGCCGCCAAAGTGAAAGAGATTCTGGTTTGCGAGGCGCTGATGTGTGTTGACTGGCCTCTTTTGGTGTATTTCTGTTCGTGTGATAGTGGCCGCCCTGCTTCCTCTTCTGGACCACCGTGAAGCCGTCCGCTCCTGTCCGGGGCGGTGCTGGGTCTTTCTGGATCTCGAACTGCCGGGGTCGGTATTTGTATGCCTCCCGAGCCGCCTCCTCTCTCTCCCTGTATACGCGGCACCTTTTATCCCACGCCATATGGTTCTTTGTATAGTTCCTGCATTTAACTCTCTTCCAATCGGTGTTTGAAGGGCAGTTAAGTTCCTTTCTTTTGTGTGGTGCTCCGGCACACCTGCCATACCTCGGTTTATTTTAGTAGTATTTTGCCGGGTGTCTAAAGTCGTGGTACTTGTAATATTGTTCGACTCGGACGTTCTTTGTGAACGGCTCGTAAGAATAGATTGCCGCTTTCCACACCAGCCCTTGCTCGCATAGCTTTTGGGCCTCTGTTATGTCATTCACCCGTAGCACTAACGTTGCGTGTCAGTGCTCCGGGTTTCTTGGGAAGATGGGGTGCATTTTCCCGATCTTTGGTGCATACTGCTGTATCTCCCCTAGAAGCTCTTCCGGCTTTGTATGAGCCTCCCGCAAAATGCGGTGCAGAAGACCTTTCGTTATCACCGTGAATTCACGGCTCGACTATTCTGCCGTTGCCCCAAAGGCCACTCTAATCCATGCTGCTGTCCCCTCCTTGTACTTGTTTGCCGTGTTAAGGAACGTAACCGCGACGTCCCCGCTAGGAAGTTGGCGGGCTGTTACCGTTTCCTGTACGCCAATCGCCATGTTCACTGCTTGTACCGTTTCGATGGCCGTCCTCTTTGTCATTCCTGGGATGCTTCCAGAGTTTCGAATGATGACCTCCCGCTGGATCCGCCCCGGCACGAACACTTTTGGCGTGTTTGTCGCTACGGGTCTGCCTGCCGCGGCTACCTTGGCCCAGGATCGTGCTCCTGTTGTCCCCGGTACTGCTTGGGGTGTCTTTGGCATAAAGCGCCGAAATGCTGCTTTGATGGACCTGTTGAGTTTGTCTCGCGTGATCGCTTTGGTGTTTCGGTTTCCTGTCGTAATCGTTGCCGTGTTTGCGTTGGCCTCAGTGGCCTTTCGCGCCTCTATGGCTGCATACCTATGGACTATCTGGACGACCTCCTCTAGCGCGCCCTCCTTCACTAGGTTAACCAAATCTTTCTTCAACGTAGTTTGCTCCTCTGTTCCCCCATGCTGCGCCTCGCTTACTGCCGGTGCAGTTGTGTTGGTCGCGCTTCGTCTGGCGTTGGGATGGTGCAAACTCTGCTTGAGCCCCGCCCTTCCCTGATCGATGACCATTGGTTCATCCGCACCACCGTCTTGCGCCATTGCTTGGTGATCTTGAAAACCACGCTGCAAGGTCAATTCGGGAGGTAGGAATGCGAATCTTCAAATTATTTGATGTAATAGTGTGTTGTTGCAGAGTTATCCGTGTCCATTCAATCTCACCTCAGTGGCTCCGGCACTTTTTCCTAACCTAAATATAATATTTATATTTTTATAACTTATTATTATAAATGAAGTAGCGCGTTTTGATTTATCCTAGCTATAAACTATATAATATATAATATTTTAATGAACCTTATTTAAAGCTTAATTAAAATATTTTTACTTGATTTAAGATATTATTTAATAAAGATGAAACTTTAAGTAATTTTAAAAGATTAATGTTTTTAATAATCTTTATTGTTTTAATAATATCTCTAATAAATGGATGACTTATGTGACGGCCTGCACAGACCTTCCCACATGACAAGCCGATACTTCCCAATAAGGGAAGGATCTGACCAGAGGATCCCCTTAAAGGGGCAACCTCCCGCTGTACCTATCTCTCTCTCTCTTCCTTTCCTCTCTAGTCTTGATATTCTCGTCAATAGAGTAATAGCTGCTTGCTGCAGGCCATGTCCCAGCTCCCCAGTATGCTCGCCGTGACAGTTGTTGCCATCCGTCCACATTTCATAGGCACTCTCGTTCCATACGCCTGAAGAGGCCGAGACGTTCGTCTAAAAAACGCCTGCGCCGGCGGTAGCTCCGGGTGTTGTGCTTCTTGAGTCGTCTCTCGTAATACATTGGGTATCTCTAAACAATCGCGCCCGAAAATGCAATGAAAAGCAAAACCTAGTCCAAAGTCTTTGCGCCTGTGCCATCCCCTGGCCAATTTTACTACCCAAAGGGATGTGCAAAGCCGCAACCAAGTCATAGTTCCAAGCTTTTGGCGTCAAGAACAGCTAAGCGAAAGCAAACGCGTCCGGAGCGCGAGGATCGTTGTTGAATCCCCAGTTCGAGTCCTGCTCGTACTTTGCAGCGTATCGGGGATGGACGCGAGGGCCATTCCTGACTGCCCAGTTCGGATCCTGTTCGTACTTTGCAGTGTACCGGGGATGAACACGCGGGTGACGGACTGCAGGAGTAATGGCACGAGCATCGCTGATCTGAGCACGCAGCTTCGTTTGATTGATGATTGATTGATTGTATTTAACGTGGGGGGTAGCTCCTCAGTAGTGCAAACCACGCCTCCCAGAGCCTCTGTATCGCAGGGTTGTGGAGGTCTCAAGATAATAATGTTTGTTTGTTTTGTATTTAACGTGGGGGGTAGCTCCTCAGTAGTGCAAACCACGCCTCCCAGAGCCATTGCATCGCAAGGTTGTAGAGGTGTCAAATTAGATACATTCAGATCCGCGCACGAGCCTATCCTCGCTGTAGCGGTACCAATCTGTAGTGTTCAGATGGTTTTAGTCAATACCCAAACACGATTCCGTCAGAAAAACCTCCTATCTAGTGACAAAGCGACCCAGTGAACCTCAGTTCTCTGGTGTACATATCGTTCCAGTAGCCGTTCGATATATGTCGCATTGGTGAGTGGAGTAGGTGTTTGTTATCTGCTGGCGAGGGAAACCACAAGGGGGAAAACCTCGCAGGAGTGGGTATTGTGGAGACAAGCTGCTTGGCTATCGGGCTCTGCGATAAATGGGGCCTCTCCACTGTCGTGTGCTGGTTATCGACTCGCACAAGCCGGGTCAGAAAGGGGGCCATAGCAGGATTCGAACCCACTTGTTCTCGTCGCCCACCGCACAAACGAGAACACAACCAGGCGCATTTGACCATTGCGCCATACGGCCTCTCAAGATAATAAGTACAGTCAGTCCCGCTCACGGGCCCATCCCCGTTGTTGCGGCGATATGACCTTGGGGTCATCCATCTGGTCCTTCAAGAAAAGCTATCTATCGGGGGCAGATTATTGAAAAGAACTTGCTCTTCTCCACGAATTTTGCCCATTCTGTGCTCCTCTCCCCTAAGTATTGTAAACAAGCTGCCCTAGGCGAGTACCTAGACAGCAGCCAGTTTTTCCCCAGCCTCTTACAAAAGAAAATGTGTTGTGGTGTTTTCTTTTCACCACAGCTGCAGTGATCATTCAAGTCTGTATGCCCAAAGCGTTCATGGTATCTGGCAAAGTCGCCATGTCCAGATCTGGCCGCTAGAAGTCTGTGTAAAGTACTTCTCTTAAAAGATATAAGGTCTCTTTCAGTTACTGCATGTGAGTATACTTCTTGATACTTAGGTTCTGATTGGTCTTTTTACCATTGGTTGAACTCTTTCCTGCCCTTTCTTTTGAGATCTCTCTTGACCCAAGAGATTATAGGAAGGTTTGTCGTGTCTGTTTCTAGCATGGCACCCTCTTTTGCTAGTGTGTCGGCAGCTTTGTTGCCATTAATATCTCTGTGTCCAGGAATCCATTTGACGGTCACTCCAGGAGTGTGTGCTGTGGCAAGTTCTTGAAATCGTAGAAAAATGTTCTGTGATGTCTCGGGTGGAGTCCCATTGAGCCCATCTACCACTGACGTGTTGTCCAGGCAGACATATAGCTGTTTTCCGTGTCCAATTGCCCTGGCTGCTGCAAGACCACGCAGCTTCGTGTTGACCGTGTCTACGGTAGGTCCAGAACCACAGACATGTTGCCAATGTCGTCGCCAATGTCCTCGCGATCGTTGTCAACAACGACAGCTGAATCGACTGAAATAACCGACCACTGTAGTACATGGGGTTAGCTATCACTGACTTCGAAGTGTATGGCGAATGCACAGAGGCTTGCTTACTTTGTCGCTGCCACATTCTGCGCCGGTCTCCTGCTCTTCACCCTCGCTGTCAATGCTGACGACATCGCTCTCGGTAGGCGGGTAACCCATGTCTCGGGTCTGAGATCCGTTGCTCAGAGACAAAATGCCTTAGTGGCTGGAGCTGATAATCTCGAACTCGTTGGCTGCGTCCGACGCACGACGGCTATTGTGAGGGACACGCGGGACAACCGTGCTCGGGGTGACGAGGTCCTTGTCATCATCGCTATGGTTGGTAATGTCGCTCATGATGCCGGAAGCTGCGTCAGAAGTCTGGCAACTGTTATTCGGAACGCCTGGCATGATAGTGCATGCGGTGATAGGTGGCGAGCACGGACGGGCTACAGCATAAGCCTGCGGCTTCCGAGCGTAGAACGCGGATAGCTTGTCCTTAAGGCGCGCAAGGCCGTGCTTCTTCGCCAGAGTAAGAGGTGACGCGTTGTCGGTCTGAGGGATTCGTACAGAGTGGATGCGGAAAGGAGCCATCTTGTCCACGCAGCTAGCGAGATTCGGGTTGCAGAGAGTAGAGCGGCGCGTCGGATGCTGGAAAGTAGAGGGGAGGATATAGGGTCTGAAGAGTAGGGAGGCGAGAATATGGGTGTAGAGAGCGGAAAGAGGAGAGTAGATAGAGGAGAGTAGATAGAGGAGAGTAGATAGAGGAGAGTAGATAGAGGAGAGTAGATAGAGGAGAGTAGATAGAGGAGAGTAGAGAGTAAAGAAGAGAGTAGAGAGTAGAGTAGAGAGTAGAGGTGAGAGAGTCGTGTCTGGTCGGTAAAAGTTGTAGATGGTTGGGAGAATCAATCCCAAAACAGGACCGTCGATCGAAAGAAGTGAGCGATCTCTCTGAATGCAAACGAGGAGCTGCGAGAAACGATACAGGGAGGAAGTCGATCAGGTCTGGCAGAGATGAACCGAAGCGGAGGATGAATGAGGATGAAGTAGAGATGATGTGGGAGGTGAAGTTGGATATGTAGACGAGAAATCGCTACCTGAACCAGCCAGAAGGTTGCTCGGTGCACGAAAAAATTGGGAATCCGAAAGAGCAGTGGTTTTGAATGTGGTGTGCTGCGTATGGCAGTGTGCGCAGTCCGAATTGTGGGAAGCCGGCCGCGGTCATTGATACCTGAGGTATCAGCCAGAAATAGATACCTGGGGTAACAACCAGGAAAAAGATGGTTTACGGTGGCAGAATCTTGAGGTGAGGTTGAGCTGCTATAACAGCCTCTTTGGCGATCAGAAGGAAACACGACGGGTCGAGACGGCCAAGGCGAACCAGAGAGGGCTCGTAGAGGCGAGACGAGCGCGGTCTTAATAAAGCGCGCTTCCCTAGAAGACGTAAACTCGATCGAGAGGAAGTGATTATGGTTCCAAAGAGCCAATACTAACGACCAAAACTCACCACTAGCGAAGCACGACTATGAAGATGACCAGAAAAAAAAGTTGAAATTAAGTGACACTGCGTTTTCATCGCAACTCGTAATAACTTCCTTTGCCTTGCTACATGCCTCGTGCTTCGCGATCATCACTCGTGACCATGGGGTATCTCTATATGATTACAAAATAATACAGGGAAAAGCAAATCCGTATCTCAACCAAGTGCTCCTGGCTTTCGTCTTGCGCCTTGAAACCCACTCCAAAAGCCACAATCACAGCATCAACCAATGCCACAACCGATGCCAGAGTCAAAGCCAGCCAGCTATGCGAAGAGCAATCAGGCGAGAGCCAGCACAGCTAAGGCACCAAAACCGTCGGCAATTCTCCAGATTGGATCTTGGTCGTGCTTCGCAGCGTAGCGCGGATGAACTTTCATATAGGCACGGCCAGGGGTAACCGCATAAGCATCGCTAACATGAGCACATAGCTTTGCGTTGACTTGGTCCAGATCGGGAACACAAGACAACTCGTCGAGCTTCCGAAGCTTGCTCGACGGCATCACGTTGTATGTGTCGTTACCGTAATCGTCGTTGTCGTCGCTGCAGTCACTGACTGCGACAGCGGAGTCGATAGAAACGACGGACTACTGTTAAATACGAGTTAGCTATCACTGTCTTCGATCGAGGTGCCTGAAGAATGTAACAGTAGCTTACCTTGTCGCTACTATCCATGTCCTGATCGTAATCCTCTCTCTTGATGATAACGACGTCGTCAGTACTGCTGCCCTATCGTTGATCATGTCTCTGGCTGCATCTGATGGTCGGCGGCTGTTGTGTGGAACGGCCGGCACCGCAGTGTGTTCGTTTATGAGGCCATCATGGTCAGAATCATTGTCGTCAGAATCATTGTCGTCCACGTTGCTTAACGATGGAGGTAGACGCAATTCCAGGAGGGACGAAAGTCGACGAGATTTGATCGAAATGTGGCAGAGGCAATGCAACTAGGAGAATAGCTGACGAGGTGTGCCTGAGGCAAGAAAATCAATCCAAGGAAAAAAGATCGCCAGCGAGACTCGGTAGATGTGGCAGAAGGGTGGGTTCCTAGAGGGACGAAAGCCGGCAAGATTCGGTCGAGGTGGCAGAACTGATCCAAGTGGAAGAAAAGCCACGAGGTGTGCCTGAGACAGTGAGAGAGAATGCCAGCGACGTTGGCTAGAGGTTGTAGATGGAAGATGTGGTGGAGGCGAAGAGAAGAGTGTAAGGTCGGAATACCAGGTTGGAAAGTTGGCCGAGTATGTACGTAACTGCGTAAACTCCAGATACTGCGTAGGACCAGAAATCAGGAGGCAATAAAGACTCCTCCGAAAAATGAATGAAGGTCCAGTCCGCAAGGGCGTCGTCCGTGTATATCTACTACTGGTAGTAAAAGATCTGAACAACGAATAGCATTAAAAAATGTCAAAAAGTTTTCACAATAATACGGCGCGTCGATTTATCTGCAACCGAGCGTGAGTAAGTAATCAGAACAGTAAATGAGATTAGGCAACGCTACGCGCTTTCATCTGAAGTTGTGCTTCGTTTCCCTCGTGCTTCCTGCCATGCAGATCATGAATCGTGAATTAAGGGGTATCTCAACAGCTCCACACATAGAAGTAAAAAAAAAGCCAATCCCAAGTCCTCATCAACTCCGTCGCCTACCTGAACAAAGCGCCAGTACCAAAGCCACAGGCAAAACGAGCCTTGGGCTCCTCATCTTCGTTCTTGGCCTGTTTGGGCTGGTATGTGTAGTTTGGATACAGTACCTTGTGGCGGCGGTCCATCTCGTGCTTCATAGCGGTCCAAAATATGCGGCTTCAAGACCAACCAGGCCGAAAGCAGGGCAGCTGGCCAAAACCAGAGCCAAAGGAGTGTATCTAAAAACAATCAAGCCCACGACACACAGCCGGGGCCTCAGAGCTGTTGACGATTCTTCACGATGGGTCATGCTCATATTTCGCGGCATATCGAGGATGGATGTGTGCATGCTGGACGACAGGAGTAACCTGAGCATTGTCGACCCGAGCATTGCCGACCTGACCATTGTCGACCTGCGCGGACAGCTTTGCATTGACCGTGTGCATATCTGGGACCACAGACATTGCCTTAGCCTCCTGACGCTTGATCAACAGCACCTCGTCGTTGTCGATGCTGACAACGTCAGGGGTATCCATGGAAATGACAGACCACTGTGGTGTATACGGATTAGCTATCACTGTTCTCGAAGTGCCTGAGGAGTGCAAAACGAGGCTTACCTTATCGCTCTCATAGTCTGCATCGTCATCGTCATCGCTGAAGGTGTCGCTGATCGTGGTCATTGGGTATATCAATAGATACAACTGACACTCTGCGACTCTTATTTGGGACGGCCGGCACAGTAGTGCATGCGATGAGAATTTCATCGTGGTCGGTATCATCGCCCTTCATGCTGCTGATTGTGTCATTGAGCATGCCGATGGACACGGTTGACTCTCCGCGACTGTTGTTCGGGACGGCCGGTACATCAGTACACGCGAGGAGAAGTTCCTCGTGGTCGGTATCGTCGCCCTTCATGCTGCTGCTCATTGCGGCCGCTAGCTGCTCAACTACAAAAGCGCTCGCTTCCTCAGGCTCGTAATTACAGTAGAACGCAATATCCTTTGCAAACTGCTCCCAGTCGTTCGCAATAGCTGGCACAGCGTCCTGATAGGTAGAATCACCATCGTCGGACCCGATGTCATCGAAATCGGTATCGTGGTGGGCTCCGAGAAGCTCGGTGCGGCTGTTCTCGTAACATCCATCGGTCTGTCCCAGCGGAGGAGGGGGCGAGCATGGGCGCGTTTCAACATACGTGTGCTGCTTCTTCGGCTTACTGAAGACCGAGAGCTTGTTCTTCAGGCGGCTAAGGCGGTTCTTCTTCGCAAGCATGGTAGGTGGTGGGTTACCAGAACCAAGCGAGCCGACTGAAGCATCCATTAGGCTATCGAGAGTCTGCCGTAGAGAATGGGCCTGGAAATGAGCCATCTTGATCAAGGAGAGACGCAGATGCTGAAGACACGTATGTCGCGAAGAGAGGTAGCTGTCGAACAGACGCAGTGGATAGAGAGCCGTAGCTGGTAGAGAGCCGTAGCTGGTAGAGAGCCGTAGCTGGTAGAGAGACGTAGCTTGCAGAGAGACTCGAGTGGAAGAGGAATTTTCGGATAGTAGAGAGGTGCTAGAGATGGTAGAAGAGGTGCGTCGTATGGTGAAGAGTTGCGGATGGGTGCGAAGACAATGAAGGGTTCAAGTAGATTGATCTCGTCTGGCCAATAACAATGGCTCGAGGGGAATAATGCAAGGTGGAGATGGTAATTGTAGACTGAGAAGAAGCGAATCAAGATGGGAAGAGAGCAGACCATGTTCGCTAGAGGTGAGCCGTCTGTGGAGGGAGGCGGGTACGAATGGTGGGAAGATTATGTACGAGGTGCAATAACCATGCCAAACATAACAAGAAAAGATTAAGATTAGGTACTTCTGATCTAGCAGGAAGATTTGTGTGAAGAACGAAATATTTGCAAGGTGGTGGTGGGTGTAGTAGCAATCCATGTTGCAGAATCCCCGTCAAAATTCAACAGAGGTTTTCCGGCCAGGAAACAGAGGGTGGTCCAGGACGGTATAATGCTTAAGTCGAAGGGAAATCAATCCAGAAGCCCGCCAGGTGGTCTTGTGGAGGCAAAGCTCGTCATGAGGGTTGACGAAGCAGGAAGGCTCGTCAGGGAGAAGGTGAAAGCGATCTAACATTACAATGGGCTAAATTAAACTATAGCACTGATTTGTAAAGATACTAAAATGACCGCAATGGTTTACAACAATGTAACGTTATTTACATCAGCCGAATATAAGTATATAAGGAATCAAAACCGAATGACATTATGTAGCACTAGGCGCTTCTATCGGAAGCCTCGTCTCCCTTGAGCCTTGTGCCTTGTGCTTTGTAAACCACGACTCGTGGCTCACAGGGGTATCAGTATGCGACTGCGCCAAACTACAAGAAAAAGCAAACCCGGGTATCAAATCCCCATGAACTCCTACATATAAACCATCCACTTAACCAGAACCAGAACCAAAGCATCGATCAACGCCAGTGCCAACGACCAACTCCAGTGCCAACGACCAAGGCCAGAACCAAGGCCAGAGCCCATACGAGTGCCAAAGCGAGTCGTAAGTCGCAACAAGAACACTTACGCAGAAACAAGCGTATCCGGGGCAGTGGAACCGTCATCAACTCGCCAAAACGGGTCCATTCCGTATCTCGCAGCATACCGAGGGTGGACACGCGGATGCCGAGCGAGAGGTGTAGTGTCACGAGCGCCGACAACCTCAACACAAAGCTTCGCGTTAACCCTGTCCAAGTCCGGAACCAACGACTGGTTCTCGGCATCGCCACGACTGCCGAACGGCTTCCCCTCAAGGCCACCGTCATGGTCGCTGTCGATAACGACAGCGTCGTCAGTGTCGGCAGATAGGATGGACCACTGTGTTGTATAAGGGTCAGCTATCATTTAATTTAGAAGTGCCTGAAGAATGTAAATGAGCTTACCTTGTCACTGCTGCAGTCTGTGTCATCAGTACTGTTGAGGATCATGTCGTAGGCTGTATTCGACGATCGCCGGCTGTTGTCAGGGACCACAGGCATTTTAGCGTAAGTATAAACGAGATCATCGTGGTGAATATCGGTGTCCTTCATGTTGCTGGTCATCGTGGCAGCCAGTTGCTGGACGACGACGGCGTTCTCTCCGTCAGACTCCTGATTGTCGCAGGAGAATGGAAACTCGTCGAATCCCACCCAGTCATTCTCAGTCACCGATGCGCCGTCCTCGATGATTGCACCATCGTCGCCAGAACCCATCTCATAGAAATCTGTGTCCTCATCCTGGCTTGCTTCGAGAAGCTGGGTACGGTCCTCGTAGTATCCACGGGCTTGTCATAGCGGAGGGGCAGGCGAGCAAGGGCGTGCTTCAATATATGCGCGCTGCTTCGCCTTCGGGCGATTGAAGACAGATAGCTTGCCCTTGATGAGGTTACCGAAGCAGTGCTTCTTGGCAGGCTTAGGGGGTGGTGACATATTGCCAGCAACGAGCGAGCCGACGGAAGCATTCACCAGACTGCCGTGAGCGTTTCGCGCAGAGTAGACACTGAACGGAGCCAGCTGTACGTAGATGTAGCGTGACGGTCAGGAGTTGGGGTGGTACAGAGGTGTTGACTGTACAGAGGTGTTGACTGTACAGAGGTGCTGATCGTAGAGACGGTGAAGAGGTCGATGGTAGAAAGGTCGATGGTAGAAAGGTCGACGGCAGAAAGGTTGCCGGGAGGTAGAGCACAGAAGAAGGTAGGCCGATCAGGTTCGGCGAGATGGTATGTGGAGGAGAGTGAGTAGAGACTACGAATGAGGTGCAGGTGGAATCCGAGGGAAGGACAGCCGGCTGCAATGAAATGGATCTGGTTAACCCAGAGAAGTTGTGTGGTGTACTGAGGACCCAGAGGAGCTGCATCCGAAGAAGCCGAGATGCACGAGGTGGGTGGTTTAGAAGCAAACCAGACCAGGTGGCCGCACTGAAGCAGAAGGAGAAGGAAACAAATACTCCTCCGAAAGATGAATTCAGTGTGTGGTAAGGTAGTATGAAGCACCCGCAAAAGATAAGCAGATGGTGGTAGAAGGAGGTTGTCGTCGTATATATATGGGGCCTGGGAAAGGGGAGAGGGGCCGCCGGCGACAGTGAGGATCAGGAGAGGTGAATTTCCCACGCGCACAATAATTTTTCACAACCGTGCCCAGCTGCGAGCACCAGAATGTGACGGGGTAGTGAATCAGAGATGAATTGGATGTTGGGACGAATGTAGGCCTGCTGGGGCAACAGGAGGATAGATTTGACATGACCAGTAGGCATTAAACTTGAACCTCTGACTCCCAACCTCCAGCCTGCGGACTCGCCCATCACCCACCCACCCGGAAACTAACCTCTCCGGGAGGGCTGCAAACGCTGAAAGTATCAACATGCCCACCGAGATTAGGTGCCTGGGTTTCCAACTCTGGTTCACCACCCTCTCAAATCCCTCACCAGCCCATCTTCTCCCAATGAACCAGATGACCCCTCTGTCCACGAACCCAAACCGCGAGCATCGCCCAAGCGATCATCACCGTCAGAAGGCTCACTAGAGCCAGCCACCGGTACTGCTCCGTGTGCGGGAAGGCCACGGCGGAGCCCGCTCCGAGCAGCTCGAAGACGTTTACCACCGAGTTCTCGACGCCGGCGAAGCTCGACCGCTGGTTCTCGGGCACCATAGTCTGCGTCAGCTGCTGCGTCGTGAGGTCGAAGATCCATACGCCGAGCCGCGAGAATGCGAGGAAAGAGAACATGATGATGCTCCAGCCCAGGTCTGGGCTGGACGACTCGGCCTCGGGCCGAGAAGCAGGACTGGCGACACTCTCTGGCTTGCCCGTCTGGGCAGAAATTGCCCATAGGGCGAGGACGACAGGTACCTGTTCGCTATCAGCACATGATCCCCAATATTTCCAGAGCCTCACTCACCGTATTGATAGTCTGCCAGGTAAGGCCCCAGAGGCCCAGTCTCTGCAGTCCGATCAGGGTCTGGGCATCATGATTCCCTTCCGGAGTGCCGGCGATCAATCCCACGCCCGACTCATCGTTCTCGTCTGCGGATGGAATACCCTTATATCCGGCCTTGCCTAGATAGACGATACCCCTGGGCGTGATCACAGTACTGCTGATCTCGAACACAGAACCGATGGCCCTGGCGACTGTAATCGTATTGAGTGAATACCCCACGTTAATCAAATAGGTGACGAAGGTGGCTCTCCATGTCAGCATATTGTAGTGGCACAGCGCCAGGGCCACCGAGGGCAGCCACACGGAGGTACTGAAATACATCTCGAGGCCCCGGAAGTACTGTCTGGTTCGAGATATCCACGATGGGGCCCCACGCGTGTGCACGGGCTGTGACTTTGGCGGCGGCACTGGCCTTGGGACTTGTAGGAGTGCATTGCTCTTCCACACTCTCGTGGCAGAAAAGACCTCGATGGGGATGCTGAGCAGACTGGTCAGCCCCGTGAACACAACTCCGACCCGGACCGAGCCCAGGGCGGAGATGATTATGGAGATGATGATCGGCGAGATAAGCTTGCACACCAGATCGATTCGCCGTATGACAGCGTTGAGGTGAGTCAAGTCATAAGGTCTACCTGAGGGTGCCGCTACCGTAACAACCCAGTCGCGCTCCATCGATATCAGATTCCCAGATGCACTCAACCGCTCGACGATGCCCAACGTCACGGCAATAGCAAAGCCGATGCCCTTGAGGACATCGTTCCGCGGCAGCACAAAGGCCGTCTCGTCGCCGACCAGATTCTCCTGGCTAAGAATCAGCAGCCAGAAGAAGGAGCCCACAACGACGGAGCCGCGGTTGCAGACGATGGTCGAGAGCAGCGTGCGCAGGCGGTTCGGCGACTGCTCGACCCACTGGCCCACGGAGCTGGAGAAGAGGATCATGGCGAAGTATACTATAATCATCCTGCGAGATACTGTCAATATGGTGTGTCGACCGTATGTCGTAGTAAAATGGCGTTACACAGCGAGTAATGTCCGTTCCATCAGACTTACCTTAAGGCGGCTGCCACGAGCGTATCCGGGTATGCCCCAGCCGTGAACAGGATCTATCCCACCGGACCATCAGCCATGGCACCGTCCACTGCTTCAAAAAGACCAGCCGAAGTACCCCGTTGAGTAGAACTTACGGCAGCGAACTCGTACCCCCGCGCATTCCACGTTGAGAAGGCATGACTGAGGTAGAGATTGAAGGCCTGTGCCCGCGTGATGCTGGGCCGAGGCACCTCCTCGGCAGAAGCCAGTCCATCGTGGTGGTCACCCACCAGTTCAAGCTCTTCGTCGCTGACCATTGCCATATATCCCGGGGTAGCAAATCTAGGCCGTGCAACGTGAAACGAGCCAGTTGATTTATAGGTAAGTGGAGGCTGCGCCGACTATATGATTCATGATAGCCTTATGAGGCGTCGACCACACAAACAAAGCAGTGTACAAAGCGGTATAAAAACCAAGGGTGCTTCATCTGAGTCATGCGGTTGCATGTATCCATGCTCGACGGCTGTGCCGGTCTGAAGGGTCATTAGGCGGTGAGGTGAGGATTATGTTGGGGCGGAGAGCCGGTCGCCGGAGCTTACCTAATCAACCATCGGAGCGGCGGCCCACCAGGAGCTCTAATACCTCTACAGTAGCTCACGAAGACGGTCGTTTTCAAACGGCCGGTTATTAATAGTGACGGCGAGCCTCCCTCATCTGGGTGATCTTTTACCCAGGGCCTGTTCAGTGAAGAGTCAAACTCAAGAAAGGTATCACGTGGTTGCAAGCAAACAAGCAGACTGGAAAACATCAAAGTGAGTTCAAAAGTCGGCCGTCTACCCAAGGACAGACAAGCCTCGAATGTTTCCATTGTTCCCAATCGCGCAAATATTGAATGTCCAATCAAGCCTGCTCTCTTCTCGTAGCAGTAGTGTAATAAACATCCGACGCCCTCCAGCGCCAATGTCCTGTGTTCCAGCCAACCTCGTAGTCTGCGTGTCCTCCGCATGATATACCTCAAGCGTCTTCGCCTGTAATCATGGTAGAGTCCTCAATCAATAAGTCCCGTCACATCACATCGTGACCCAGTCGTCAACGAACATTCCAGGGGTCTTCCGTTTCAAAAAGTGCGATACCGCGTAGCGTAAGCTATCCCAACCCGCCTCGCGGCGTCGGTAAATAGTGTGAGAGAAGAATAAGTAGTAGTTGTGTCCAAAGCCCTCGAGAGAGTGCGACAAACAGTAGGCCATGAGTCCGCTTGACGTCGTTTCGCCTTTGGAAATGTGTCGAGATATCTCAGATGCGATGGCTTAGAGAGAACCCATTCGTTCCTCGACGCCGCCCCAGTAGACAATGGGCCTGGGCTCGAGCACGTTCAGCTCGGAGCCTGATATCTTCTTCTCATTCTCCATGTCCAGGATCGACGGCTGTCTGAACAGGACGTAGTTGATGGTGGTCACAGGCGACGACGAGTTGGAGCTGAATGAGTGGCGTGAGCTGCTTGTTTCGGAAGAGGCCGAGGAGGACCGGCGGAAGGAGGTGCGGATGTCGGTGGGAGAGAAGCGGGAGCGGATGCTCTGGAATCGTGATGACTGCATCTTGACTTATTTGGAGAGATGTGACTCGTTCTATGTTGGATTGTCCAAAGAGGGTCAGTCTGCTCGGTTGATGGTACCAGGTGGCTGAGGGAATGTGTCGTATTAGAAGGTGTGACGAAGAGGCTCAGCCTGTAAAGTTGGAAGAATGCAAGAAGCGAATGACTAGCAGCTGGCGTTGAACTTAAAGATAGGACGATCTATTCTGGCGGGATCGTGAATAGGGTCGGTTCAAGCGGTCGTGGGTCGTGACACTTGTTGGACGACGAGGTCGTGGGTGAGAGAGGGAGTCGGCGTGGGGACACTGCGAACGAGTCTGAAGAGAAAGAAGGGAACACAGACCGGAGGAGTGGACCTGATCCTTAATAAGTATACTCGAGGGCTGCAGGTCCAGGACGGCCGACTCGAGATGGAAATAGAATAGCGCACAACGGGACAGACACTGTCAGACAGGAATGGCATGGGACGATAAACACCTGTTCCACCTGTCGAGGGGTCTAGCATGAAGGAAACAGGGAGGTATAACGGCTGACGGTATTAAAGCAGGGCGATCTACGGTTCAGGGGCCGAGGATCACGGTCGCCCTCGGGTTCGGGATTATGCGATGGCGGGCACTTTGGCTGTCAATGCCTCCCTCGGCTAGCGAGTAGCGACGTAGCTGGCTACATACTTGCGCAGGCGACATGGTCCAGACAATTACCTCATGCAGAGGGGCCCGCAGACGCGTCGGGAATATGTATGAGAGAATCGAGCCTTGGAAGGGAAAGACACGGCGCTGCGATGCGGAAGCATAGCGTCTCGTCACAGCAACGGAGGGCGAAACAAGTGGCTCTCCTGCTGACTGTCCCAGGCTCAGGGTGTATGACACACTGCACCAGTGCTTGCCGTCGAGCAGACTCAGAAGTTGCTGGCACACTGCGGGACGCGTGTAACAGACTGGCAGTAGTTCGTCCGCTGCTGCGAGGGACGGAGGCATTGGCGGCCCAAACGGGTAAAGAGGCGTTCAGCAGGGCGTCCCTCTGCTGCGTATGATCGCCCGCCGGGAGCAGGGATCGAGAGGGGACGTGATTCAGGTCGTCGGCCGTCTAGGGTCTGCCCGTCCAAGGCGCCGTTTCATGATACGGCCAATCTATCAGAGACAGCACTCATAAAGTTCATAGTTCTCATACATGCCCGTACATGGAACTTCAATGGAAGGCTTTTGGAAGAACACGGTACTTACTTTTACCTGAGGGAGCTGTGTTGGAACATGGTTCAATGGGCAAGACAATCATCAATCACCCACTGACTATTGATAGATTGACCCGACCATTGATGTGTGTACAAATAAAACGTGACTGAAAACAGAAGATGTTAAAGAGATGTCTGGCCACAGCAGTCGAGACAACTTGTTTTGTTAGAGACGAGCGCACAGACATGGAATTGCTTGCTTATGTAACCCTGTCACCTGCCTGTACAGCCACTTGCTCCACGTCCCCGGCCGTGACGAGAATGCAATGATCCACTCCGACGCCAACACTGCCAACTGCAGCACCACTTATTAATATCTATCGAACAGCCGATCGATACCGCAGTCAGTGTGCGAGTGGACTCAGTGGAGGGCAATGAGAAGGCGGCGATCAAACGCCATCATCGAGACCTCGTATTACCCATCGTCGCCCATTACATAGGGGTCTCTCGTCCTCGTCCTGACGGCACCCTGCAACGTCGTAGGAGTTGGTTGCCTTCCAGTCGGAGAAGCCGCACCCACACACATCATTCAAGCCGCGCAAACCTCGTGGCTTCAGAAAGATGCTGAAAACGACCTTTTAGTAGCCATTCGTAAAGTGTCTATATGCACCATGGCCACAGGGGCCCGTTCTATGCACCCAGATAATCCGAATCTCGTCCCAGACCGTTCGTAGGCTATGCATCGGGCCTGACTGAACATAGCGCCCTCTAATGCTTTGGATCAACCCAGCTAGATCCCATCGTGTGGTGACATCCATACATGCAAAATCGGTTCCCCCTGCCTCCGCGCCCAAACGCCGTATCCCTTTTGCCTCATCCACTCATTCCACACCTCGTTCAAGCCTCCCACAGGACCTCCGGGACTCCACAATCTCTTGACATGGGAAATAATGTACATGCAGATTCCCGGCATCACACAACTTCATTATTATCATCATCCCTCTGGGCAAAATGCTGTCTCATTACGTAGTGGTGAATCCAGTCGCCATGGTGTGGCCGAGGTCAATCATTGGCGACTACTGGACCGTCCCACGGATTTGCGTACCGTCGCGCTTCGGCGGATACTCTCAGCCCAAATCGAGTCGTCCAGGAAGCTTCTGACCTGCGCCGGGCTGACCACCGCGCTGGTGCGTCGGCTGTTCTCGCCAGAGTTGGCGCCCTCTTGCACTTCAAAGCTGAAAGCCGAAGATCCCGCGCGATGGCCGGGCATCGATGGTGCTGAGCGTGGAGCGCTCAAGGGGTGCGTATAAGTGTTATCATGTGTTGATATATCGTTGCTGGAAGACCAGCTGTTGTGCTGCGGCCGCGTGGTGCTGGGCGCTGCCAGGAAATCCGACGGTCTCCGGTTTACCGGCGTAGCGGCCAATGTCGTGCGCTGTTGCACTGTTCGTTGGCGATCGGCTTCGTCATCCACGAAGATATCCGGCACGTCCAGTTGGGGGACAGCCGCCATCCGTCCAGCGCGCTTCTTGTCCATGTGTCTCTTGAATTTTCGAGCCCAGTAACTAGGACGTGTAAGCTTCCAGGTGAGATTGCCTATGGGCAAGAGGCACTTACAGTGTATCGAAAAATCCAAGAACCACCCTACGACGGACTTGCTCTTCAACTCGTTGAAGCCGCGCACGGCGCCGCAGGAACTCCTCCAGCCTAAAATTATGTTAGTCTATGTATACAAGCTTACGCGAGAGGATTGAATACTTTAGACTTTTGCTGTCGTTGATGATCTTATAAAGCGCCATGACCATCAGCACTGTCGTGAAGGAAATGCCCCTTTCAGCATCTGCAGATACTAGGACTTCCTCGTAGAAGAGGTTGAAATTGCGTCTTCTTTCCCGGACTTTTTGCACGTCAATCCGAGCTAGTCGCTGGTTTAGTTTCTGGAGGTCCACGCCATTCACCACACTCCCACCGGCTGTAGCAATAGACGCATGTCTCGTAGGCTGGTCGTCGCATCGGACGTCTTCCAGGATCTGCCGCACAGAGTCTTGCGAATCGTATACTCGCATCTCAAAAATACCCGACAGCTCGCCGAGCAGCCTTGGGAACGCTTCCTTGGTGATAAAGCCGGTACCTGCTGGATCAACACTGCGCCATGCCTCTTTAAATCTTCGAATCTCATGTCGGTCAATGTGCGCCATTCCGCTGGAGCGTTGGTACACATAACTGAAACTCTCGTATATGAGCGAGATGAACAAGTTGACGAAGATGAACATGCTGACTAGGTTCCAGGCAATGAAGAGGAATCTTGCCCAGGAGGTACTACCACAATCGCTATCGAAGAAATCCGAACTTTCAACGCAAAGCGGAGGGCCAATGTTTGCATAATCTTCCATGATCTGATTCCATCCCTCACCGACACTCATGCGGAAGAGCAAGATGAGCGCGTTCGGTACCGTCCTGAAGTTGACCTGGGTGTCTTCTGAGCCACCAAAGCGCGTCAAGCTGAACGTTTGCGTGAGGGCGATAGCAAAGACCAGAAAGAACACGAGCCACGTGGCCAGCAGGTTGATGATGGTCGTCAGACTAGCTGCCGCGGTTTTGAAAAGCTGGTCCAAGGCATCATTTCGTGGAATGAGGAGCAGAGCAATGCCGACGAGGAAGAACTTGTGGAGTTGGATGAATGTCTCTGCACCTTGCCGCGTAACCAACAGCACCGATGTTCCGAAGGCCCCGAACACGGCAATAAGCGAGTAGACGTCCCAGGAACTTCTTCTGAACCGTGTCCAGCCGTGACCAACGATTCGTACGACGATGTTGGCAATGAAGATCAGTGTAAAGATCAAGAACACAATATCTCGTGTCCGTGTCCACCAGTCCGGCTCGGGGTAAAACTCCAGCATCAGCAAGATGACTTGCAAAACGAGGACAACAGTGATCCCCGTGTACCACTTGCCTCGCTTTTCGATTGCTCGCTTGTGGCACCACTTCTTCCACTTGTTCTCTGAGTCATCGTACGAACTCCTCGATGGTGAGATCTGGCGTAGTAATTTTCGGAGCTCAAGCCACGATCTTTGTTCGGCCGTCAAGAATGCCACCCCTGTTTGTTCCGTGTAATTCCGCATGAAGACAGATATAAACAGAGTGAGGACGAACACGGTACCGAGCAAGTTGTATACTACGAAGAACATGGCATTGCCTTGTGTTGCCATGTCCTGCGGTTGGATTCCACGACCAACGATCGCCTGTGCGGCAAACGAAACATCGACCCAGCCCTCCTGTGACACAATCTGGAAGAGAGTGAACAAGGAAGATGCGAAATCGTCGAAACTGAAGTAAGGGTTACCGGCAACGCGAGGAGCAAGGAGGGGCCAGTCGGGGTTGAAAGGCGCGCTCTCAAACTCTCCGAAGCAGTCTGTGAGATTGGTCAGATCGCCATCGTTGCAGCTTTGAAGTTGCCCATTGAATAGAGTTAGAGCATAGATGGCGAACGGAATCAACAGGGACAGGGACACAAAAGCAGCCTAATAATCCAAGTTAGAGATCAACTCTGAGTCAAAGACGAAAACTCGGGAGCAAACTCACACTGAGAATCTTCCATCCAGCCACTATAATCAGAGAGTGGAATGTGTCTCTAGCGGTGTTGCTGATATTGAGTAGGCGGAGAGCTCTAAGAGCCTTGAAAGCACCCACAACTCTAGAGACATCTCCATCGTACGCGAGTAGCGTGAGAACGTTGATCCATAGGGTGACGAGCACCACGCCATCGATGATACCCCACGAGCTTCGATAATAGGCATTTGGTGTGAAGAACCAGCCATCAGCAATGATCTTGATCACGGCCTCGACCGAGAACACGACAGCGAAGCCCAGATCAACCCAGACAAACCATGTGGTGTATCGATCGTCGACCGCCACCATGTGATGTTCCGAGAGATATTCTTTCTGGTACAGTGGCGTAGTTATACAAGCGAGAAGCACCATAGCGATGATGGCGGCGTATATGAACACGGAAAAGCTATACCAGAAAATCTTGTTTGGCTCCAAGCCATCGAACCGTTCAGTGCCCCTTCCCGGCCCGACCATTCGCTGGCAGAGCCGACGAATCGGGTTTGTAGGGGTGAAGATGAAAAGTGCGTTGTTATAGGTGGGATGCCGAGCAACGTACTCTCTTTGCGCTTTACGTCGTTCGGCAGTAGCACCAACGACCTGGCGGGCCATCTGTCGCGGATCCAGGGTATCGTTAGGACCGTCGAATTGAATGTTTGAATAAAACGGGTTCGGGTCCCTGCTGGTGAATAATCTTTGCATCTTGCCCCATACCGTGGACATGAGACCAGGTCGGACTTCCAATCCCATTTCCTGGGCCCCCATAGTTTCTGTCGGCGGCGTCCGGCCGTCATTAGAACCCTGGTGTAGGGTGTCCATAGAATCGTCGAGGAATTCCCGCACAACAGCATCCTTCAATAACATTTCCATTGTGGCTGGGCCGTAGTCGAGCGGGTCCCGTCTTCGCCGTGTTTTCCCAAATGTGAAAATTTCCGAAAGAGCAACGTTGCTGCTAGCATTGCTGCCCAGCTCCTTCCGTTGCAAGAACGCCTTGACTTGCTCCAACCGCTTCTCGTCTTCAGACACGTCAAAGTTCTCCTGGATGACAGCAATGAACATGTTGACGATGATGAAGAATGAGAGGATGAACCAGCCGATCAGGAAAAGAGCGCCGTACCACGACGAATTTACCGCAGTCGTGTACGAAGTAACGTTGTAGAGGACGTCGGTCCAATTTTCGCTGGACAATATCTGATACATGCCAAGAAACGAGTTGAAGATGTTGTAGAACGAAATTCGAACCAGATCGCCGCCGTCGTCGTAAAGCGGAAGCTCCCCTCGGAAAAGCTGAACAGCGAAGATGGCCATGATAAATGTGATCAGGAACACGAAGACAATGAGATTCCCGATACCCGTTGCGTTTCCGAGGACCAACACGATCAAGTTTCTGGTAATTGGAATGGCTAACACCACACGATATGCGCGTAGGATTTGGAAAAGCGTCAACCACGCGTATGTCTGGCCACTCAGTCCAAGCGGCAGTATTATGACCGTGTTCACAATTGCGAGGAGCAGGTCAACAACATTGCGGACGTTCCGATGGAAACCTCTCCAGTTGGCCGCAATCCTGATGAGGATCTCGATGTCGAGGAGGGCAGTGACGACGATACTGCTGATGGCAATGAAGTCGGATCGAGTTTTCGACATGTCTGCGCTACGCCATGCCTGGGCAAAAAGGTCGTATGCAATGAGGACGACCCAGACCAGAGAGGTTCTGTCGTACATCTTCTGCAGGGTTGAGGCTCTCTGCGACCGCTCTTCGTGAGCGGGTATGAGTGGCTCTTGCTCTGCGGTGAAGGCGCTAGCCTTGCTCTCCTCCCGAATGACCTGGAAAGATGAAGTGATCACCGCAATGAGCAAGTTGGTCAGCCATAACATCATGATCATGATGCCAGCGCCGAAGAAGAGGGCCGCGGGTTGGAAGTCTGAGTTTATTGTATAGTACATGAGATCCGACCAAGTGTTGGCACTCATGATGACGAAAACCAGCTCCAGCGAATTGACGATATTGTCGAAATTCACAGTCTGGTTGTAAGGACTTGTTTGCTCAAGACAAATCGAATTCTGGGGGCAGATGAAGCCTTTGGGGCTGCCCGTCACTGATTTGAGACCCTCGAATGATTCAGGTACGGCGCTTCGGACCCAGGGTGTTGGATGGCCGGTGACGTTGTCAATGTGACCGCCACAGAAGGTCATGTCGTTTGTGTAAGCCGCAGTAAAGTTATCCGGTTGCAAAGGATCCCGCCACACGCACTGTCGGCTCAGACTTGACTTGAAGCTTTGCACTCCCACAATAGCGAACAACAGCCAGAAGAACCCGATCAGGAACGAGACCCGAAGAAGAAGAGGCGTTGCTGTCTTCAGGCTCTGCAGAATGATCTAGGTCGCAGGGTTAGCTCGTGTACAATACCGCCGCCAGATTGGCGTCACTCACCGCGGTTCCGTTCGTGAGAGCAAGAAGTCGCACGATTCGAAGACAGCTTAGCATGCGAAAGATGAACAGATGATGTTCCGCTTCTAGACCTGTGATGCTAAGCACAAAGGCAATCCAGAACGACACGACGGCTATAAAATCAAGTCGGTTGAAGCCGTGTCGCAGGAAAGCCCGACGGGCGAGTTGCATTCGTTGCTGCTCTTCGACGGTTTCCGGCGGGCCATGCCTCATGGTGAACGAACGACCGAATGTTGATGGCCCATACTCGTCCTCTCGAGAACCCTTGACAGACTTTTGACGCTGGGGGCGGAATACAGCGTCGTATTTGTCCGAGATGGCGCCGCGGATGCCTTTCTTGCGATCAATGGTGCTATATTCGGCAGCGTTCATGACGAAACCCGAAACAATGATACGAAAAATGATCTCAACGGAGAATATGATAAAGAGAGTAAGGAGTGCCCAATTGATAGCAGACGAAGGATCCCAAAGCCCCGGCCGTCCATTCCCGGGTTCGTAAACGTTTTTTGCCGCTTCAACCGCAAGTAAGACGGCTTGAAGAACGATCAGAACCAGCAACGTGGGCTCCAGATAAGGATTCACCAGGATATCGCACAGCTTCCTTCTGATGAAGCTATCAGGATGGAATATACCGAGGGAACGCCCCTTCAAGGGGTTAGGCATTGGACCCCCTCGGCGAGGAGGCAAAGGTGCCTCGGCGTAGGACCAGTCAAACTGCCCCCTTTTCTCGCCGGGCGAAGATGGATAGACTTGGGAGGTATATGACGTATCCATCATGCCCGTGTTGAAGGAGGCATGGCCAGGACTGACGGAGGGTCTGCGGCTGTCGACACTTGGTGATCTGGAACGCTGCCGCCGCTGGTCGATGGACTCTCCCTCGCCGCTGATGTTGACGACACGCTGGGACATGGCTCTAACAATAGACCCAGCTTTATACAGAGCACCAGCCGTACTGTTAGACCGCGACCCCCGGTGGTCGCTTGGTGCTAACGTGTTTCCATAGCCGCGATGCTTCCCAGGGCCGCCAGTCTCCAGATCGAATCCGAGCATCTGGTTAGACCGTTCCCGAGGTCTGGAAGGGCTATTGTCCAGGTCTGAGACGGTCTGAAAACTATATCTTGGTTGGGACTCATGTTGGGGCGTAGCCAAAGCACCCGATATAGGCTGTGCGGTCAACGTCAAGGGTGCGCGATCGGATTCGAAATAATCATCATGGGTCGTGTCGTCGTAGTAAGAGCCTTGGGTGATGTAGGGGTTCGTAGAGGCGGAGGCGGCTTGAGGCAAGACATGAGGGGCAGGGTCGTTGTCGCGAGGGTCGCGGTTGAAGTCGGGAGGAAGCGCGAACTGGAGAGCGGCGGCATCGAGTGGAGAGTGTGGACTCAGCTCGGGTTCGTCATGGTGTTGATGCTGCGGCTGATAGCCCTCCCAGTAGGTTGAGATGGCAGGCAGGTTGCGGTCGGCGAGGGAACCGCTCGGAAGGTTCTCTCGTGGACCGAGATCCTGCAGAGGAATGGATTGCGATGGCTGCGGCTCGACGTTCGGTTGGGACTGTCGAGGAGAGGTCGGCGACCTGGTCATATTGAATCTCGTGTCATCCAGATGACACTGAATTATAATGCTGCAGAGTCCAAGGATGAGGAAAGACGAGGCGCGCAATGCGCGAACGCACTGGCGAGGAGATTATGTTGGCGGGATCAGTGGCATTCCCAGTCAACGTCAGGTTCGTTGTTCGTTGTTCGTTCGACTCGACTGAAGGTCGTTTCGGGTATTGATTCTATCTGCGAGTACGGGTACACACAGCCCAGAGAGCAAAGAGCAGAGGCGTCGAGGGGTCAGATTCGGAACGAGTGACGGACGGACAGGAGGATCCGGCAGTTTGGCAAGCTGTCGCACGATGGAGGAAACAAACAGAAACGTAAGCAGAAAGCGAGGGTAATTGTTTCTCGGGTCGTGGTTCCAGGTTCCAGCGCTGCTCCTACACACGGGTACACTTCAAGTTAAGAGTTGCTGGCACTTCCAAGTCGCAGGTGCATGTGCAGGTGCAGGTGCGGGTGCAGGTGTGTTTGATCGGGTGGCTTCATGTTGGACCGTGGGAGTCTGGGACGAAGCTCAGCCTCTTTGATACAGCATTGAGTTGAGGCTTGCCAAGACATAAAACACACCTATAATTGGACAGATGGCCAATCAGCTGAAGAAAGTCTAACTTCATCCACTCTTGGCCAGGCCCGCGGCCACTGATAAGAGGCCGCCCACCTCCATGTTATCAAGGGGAACAGCCTTCAGCACTGACTCCTGAGCACATGGATCAAGATGCAGCCCACATGCATTCAAGAATCCCTGGCATGCACGCAAGCACTGCCTCTCTGTCACATCCAAAAAAAGATCGGAGTGGCATACATTTACCCTATTTAAACACAGTCTATTATTGATACCATCATGGATGGTGTCAAGGGCAGACTATCAGTTGACCTCATGAGCAAGATCATTGTTCGGGACGGATTTTGGGAGATGCTGCTGCTGCTGCTGCTGTTTTGGACTGAAACACTTGCCTCGGCCCAGAGTGAGGGTGGCATTTTCTTCATGGCCTGCGACAGCAAAGAGGTGCTCACAACTTGTTCAAACTTCAAAGCAGCAGTGACTGTCATCATGTCGATACATAAAATACCTAGATCAATGGGTGATAGATAACGTATCATATGTGCGGTTCACTGTTATTATTAGTCCTGAACCTGGGGTTACCTACTATACCTAATGTACTTGGGTAATGAGAGCAGCTGTGATGCTACCTTACACATTGGATATCAGTAAATGTTTCATTTCTAGTACGAGTATTATCTCAACCGACAAAGACACATAATAGGTACCTTTAGGTACACATGACAGCGGTATTCTATTCACGTGAACTACCTATGGAATACATGATTCTTGCGATCCCCTCCCCGCAGGCCAACGCGCGCAAGCAGATGAAAGGGACCTGCAGGTGAGGTATTGGCTCAGGCTTGGCATGCGGCACACGTGACAGCCCCACTATCTGCTCTGTCGGGCCAGCCAGGTAGCCAGGCGTGCCAGGGCTGCCAGGTCGATGGCGCGTTCCAAGGGGGCCGGGGTTAAAGTGGAATGGAGTGCCATTTGGCATTTGCGCGGGCTGCGGCGCGTCAACCAAGCTTGAAAAGCCCACATGCATTTCAACCTCACGTCACGTCACTTAACCTTACCAGCTGCCTCCTCGACCAGCCAACCAGCCAAAGTGAACATCCGCACCCTTCCTCCGAATTGAGCTTTGACAACACGCCATGCAACCTGCATCTTGTATCCTTCCTGCCTCTAACCTGCGCCCTTAAATTTGCATCATCGCCTTTGCACTCAACCCCCACCCCAGTTGACCACCAGCTACCGCGAGTACTTCGACGTACCGGCGCGGATCCATTTCGCCGTGTCGCAAACAGCCATGGGCTCTTCCCGGAAACGTACCCGGCGCGACACCGAAACCGACATCGCCATCGCCGACACCCCCAAGCCTTCCGGCGAGCTGCCCTTGCTTCAGCGCGTCAGAAACTCGTGGCAATTTGCCAACCTATTCCAATGGATCTACTTGTTTGGCAAGGTGGTCAAGGTTGACGAAAACCTCGACATCGATGTAAGCACCCCCCGCTGATGCTGCCACCCTACTATTTGCCATGGACCGTTGCTGATCGCGCTGCTTTGGCCATTGCAGGATCTCGAAGCCGAATGTCTGAACCCCCACTCCACCGCCTTACGCGACATCGGCCTCGCCTTGCTGAAATCCGTATCATCGCATCGCGGCCTGACGTACGTCCTGCCGATTTACATGCCAATCATCGGAATGCCACTGACATGGGAATAGCCCCGAGTTATTCGATGAATATACGCGCCGACAATATGTTGCCAAGGCGCCTGCCCGGAACCCTTTCGGCACCGACGAGACTCCTGCGAGATTTGACGATTTCGATGCTACTATGAAGGTGTGTTGGTCTCGTGTATGCTGTGGGCCATACACTGACTGGTTGTTGTGCAGATCAAAGTGCTCCAACAACTGACTCAGTGGGTCATGTTGCATCCCGAGCGTGTTCGAGAGAAGATGGACGAGCAGAAGCCCAGCGACCAGACAGAATGGGTACGTTTGCCTCCCATATGCACTTGATATGACATGTAGCTGATGAACGTACAGAGGATCGAACCTACTGGATGGGATAGTGACGACCGCACATATTACATTCTGGATGACAACCGACTCTACCGAATGACAGCTGCACCCCCTACTCCTATCACCCCCTGGAAACCAAAGAAGAATACCAAGAAAGCGAAAGCCGCCGCGAGAGCCGCCAAAAGACGTCGAGTATCGAGATCAACAGCCCACAACAACAATGATGATGATGATGACGACGACGATGCAGCATCTGACACCGAAGAAGCCCCCGAGCCAGAAGATGATGGTCTTGGTGGCGCGAAATGGGAATGCATTGGGACCACTTTGGAGGAGATCCAGGATTTCATAGGCACCATCCGGAAGACCCGCGATGAGAACGAGAAGATCCTGAGGGGTGCCGTGGAGGAGCACCTGCTACCCATCCTGGAGAAGCAAGAAGAGTCGCGGAAGCGTAAAGCTTTGCAAAGGGAAAAGGAGATGCTGAGCCTCGAGAAGATGGCTCATGCCAAAAGATCTAGTCGTCTTGCGGGCAAAATTGAACAGCAAAAACAACAAGAGCAAGCCAAAGAAGAGGAACAGAGGCGTCGCATCGAAGAAGCGGCCGCCCGAAAGGAAGAACAGAAACGCCTGAAGATAGAGAAGGAACGCGATCACCGCATGATGTCCCGAGAGCAACGGCTCAAGGAGCGAGAGACCAAGCGTCTGCAACACGAGGAGGAACTCGCTCAGCTTTCTGAAGACAGTAAGAATATGAGTAGTGGGACTGGTCGACTCTCAGAACGGCGTCTAAAGGTTGAGATGGAGAAGAACAAGCAAGCTTTACAGGAGCTTGAGGAGGAAGAGGAAGACTGGATATTCGACTGCATCTGCGGTGTTTATGGCCAAGTCGATGACGGCACTCACAGCGTGGCTTGCGAAAGATGTAATATCTGGCAACACAGCAAGTGCGTTGGCATCAGTGAGGAGGATGCGGACCGGGAAGATTTCCACTTCATCTGCAAGTCTTGCAAACAACAACAATCGTCACGTCCGGGAGGCCCCAAGCCAACTGTCATCAAGTTGAAGGTCAACCAAGGCAATGCTGCCTCTTCGGCTTCTGACAGAGATAAGACCGACTCTCCAGTCCAGCAGCAGGCCGAACCTGAAGCGCGCTCCGATATCGTTGTCGAGATACCCAGCAAGACTCAAGGGGCTTCCGAACTGTCGCAGGCACACCCGAACCATGTTGCAGACAACAAATCTCAGTTTCCACCGACTATTCAGCCCCTAGGCCAATCGAGTATTCCCATCAAACCCGCAGGTCAGGCAACAGTACTGCCGCCTCCTTCGCCTTACACGAATGGAGACAGCGCTCATCCATTCTCGTCACCACATCCAATGCTATCGCCGCCAGAGCAGTCGCCAAACAAATCCAGAGCCTACTCGACACTGTTTAACCCATCTTCCCCCGTTCCTATAGGTCAGCACTCCAAAGGCGAGGGTCGAGCGCCTCAAAAGGGGGTTTTCCATGTTTCACCAAGAACCAATGGCAGTTCACAAGCACCCCAAAGCATTGTACCACCTCACGCAGACGCGTATGTACCGCCAGTGACGGCTACTTCGGAGTCACCTCTGAAGCAGCCTTTTGACGCTACAAGCAGCAATCTAACGGTGCTGTCACCGTCAGCTGCATCATCGGTGTCGTTTACTGCTTCGGCGCAAACACCCAGCTCCCACAACGGCCAAACTAATGCGCTCTCAACTCCGCAAATCGATCAGTCAGGACGGCGGCGAGTGGATGTCACTCCGACACTCCCACCCACTCGGAATGGACTTTCACCATTGAAACGCTCGCCGCCGCCCCTTGAAAAAGCGAGTAATGGTGTCCACTCATCACCAACACCTTCGATCTTGCCCCCTTCTACGGCTTTGCCACCTTCGCCCTCGCAGCAAATATTGACACCGCCAGTCAAGTCGGCCGACCCTGCGCGCCCGCCATCTCAGCAATCCAGCGGTCTTGTCCAGGATGCTTGATCTGGCGTGTGCTAAGACGCAGCGACATCGCAGGTGTACCCGTTCTCGTGGTCAGAACAGCATTGGTCGCCAGTGCGAGACTTGTCGGATGCGTGAATCGTGAGCGATAGGTCACATTTCGGTGAACTTGCGGCGAATGGATCGGATATTACGCGGTAGAGCATGCCATAGAGTGTCGGTCTGGAAAGCGGGTATCCTGTTGTTTCGGCATGCCGACACGGCATGGATGCAGCACGGTGTCTCCGCCGAATGGTGCGTTCTCCCAGCCTTTGAAAGGATGGTCATGTTATTACAGATGTCAGATATGACATGCGTCAGCTGTCCTGGTGTGGACACGAAGGAACCGGGTAGCGCGGGAGATTTCCTACAATTGCATGAGTAATGATGCATCTTATGGCGTTGCAGGCGGGCTTCGATATGTACTAGACTAGAGGGAGGTACGTCCTTACCTACCTACTGAATGTGTAGTTTCTTTTCTGCCAGTTGTTGAGTTTGCACAGTGATGCTCATATAAGCAGCCTTGCTCAAAAACCAGCAGACGCTGAGGCTGTGGTAGATGAGGGAGCTATTGTTTCTATGCCTTGAGATCTTTAGCAGACACCAGACGATCAACGTCGCCATGGGCTAGGTAGTAGGTAGCGTCCGTCCAGGCGCAAACTGATAGACTTCCAAGTTTGCAAGAACGAAGCGATATCCGCGGAAGGAAAGTGCCTTACACCGCCTTACGTGGGCCAATCGTTAGGCTTGCTGGCTGAGGGCACCTCCACCCATCTTCACCTCTATCTCGACTGCCGCCCGCTCTGCCATCTTCTCGCTCGGCCTTCCGTAAGAGCATCTGCTATTTTCAATGTGTCACCACGAGCGAATCCAATCTCGATAGAATGAGGATGGAAATGAGAAAAGTGTATGATAACGAAGTAGTAGCGAGGAGCCCTCGTCAAGATGTCACGACCCCAAGATCCGCCATGGCCACCAACCAGACGTGACGTGTCCGTCCGTCAAGCCCGATGACCCCAAGCCACGGCCAGCATCCTGGGCTTTCGCCTGTTCTGTCGTCTGATCTGATCTAGGGCTCACTCGACGGGAAGCGACACACCGACTCCCAATTTGCGCCCCCCAGCCCCACGTGTCTCGCCGGCGGACGAGCGACAGGAGTTCGCAGCAGCTCTGCAGACGTGCGTGTCCGTCGGAGTCCACCTGGCATACATATGTACATGCACCACTAATGCCCAGTTGCCCAATATGGCAGCGAGCGGCCAGGATGGACAGAGTACCATACTTCCTTGCCCGCGGTCTGGTCGCGGAGGGGAAATGTCGCTGGCTACCAAGTGTTCGCAGCGTATCCCCTGTCGACCCACGTGTTGATTGGTCCGGCAACGGAGAAACAGCAAGTCAAAGGGACGAGATGGAGATGAAGATGCAGGTGAACCGAAGTTGAGCTGTCACACGAGGTCCCGACCGCCCGCACGAACAGCTGGCCTGAGCGCCGAGACAGGATGAGCGACGAGCCGGGAATGGCTGCAGTTTGGTGTGGGTGGGGACAGAGAGACGCGATGAACACTGAGCAGGTCCAGAAACAAATTACATGAAGCGCAAGCACCAAGGCGGTGACGGCGTTGCCATGGGCATCAGGCTGGCCAACAGAGAAGAAGAAGCAAAGAACATGGAAGGCGGTCGGTCAGGCAATCGGCCGGGTTCCTACCTACCCATTCTGGCTGACTGACTAGTGGAACAGTTGCTCTCAGTTGAGATTGGACCATCAGAGACTACGAGACAACAAAACAGAGTCCCGTATTGTCGCTTCCTTTGGACTCGGTTTCGTTGTTGTTGGTCAGGTACCTGCCAACCAACCTTACTCTGCCACATGCAGCAGAGGACAACTGGACTGGACTGGAATTTGACAGGAGAAAGGGCTGAGCATAGGGTTGGTACACGATAGCTTCAAAGACAGCATTGAGGCCAAAGAAACAGGAAAGGAAAGGAAGACTCAAAGTCGCAACACAAATGCGTCTTTCAGGGCAGCCGCTGGCATATATGCACGCTCACACTTGCAAGCTGCCTCTACTCCTGCTGCTGAGTGCTGCTTCACAACAGCATTCCCTGCTGTCCATCTGCCATGCCCAAACCGTCCTGACAGAAAGACCAACAAGCACTTCGCCTGTGAGCTTTCGAAATGCGGTTAGCAACCTGTCACTGTCACGATTTCCACTACGATACTGTCGTGCTGTATGTATGTAGGTAGAGGTATGTATGTATGGCACTCATCCCCCTTTACAGTAGAGCCGGGCCAAGGATTGACGTTCAAACAGCCAACGGCACTAATGCAGGCAGCCATCGTTCGTACAGGGATGGCACTGCAAACGGCTGCGTAACCACCTGGGCCAGTTCTCATCCAACGGCTATTGCGGATCGATTGGCAGGGCTGATCAGCCAGGCTCAGCCAGATCTGCCAGGGCTGCCCTGACGCGAGATCCAACACCAGCAGTCCAGGTACGAGAGAACGAAGGGGGAGGTGTATGTCTAGCGACACCACCGAGAAACGACACGAAGCCGGGGGGATGTGGAGGTCCTGCCCTCCCCTGCAGCTCAAAGCAGCCGCCTGAGTTCCCAACGTCCAATCTGCGTGGTCATGAGGCCGCATCCAAGCAACAGCTGGTCAGTGATCACAGAGAAAGACCAGAAGAAAGAATTCGACGGCAATGGCTGCTTTTGGAAGGCTTCTCCAGCAGGGTGTCAAAGGAATGCGGGAGGGGCGTGACCTGGGGACCCTGGGTGTCAGACGCACGTTTTCGGCGTCTTTCAGGAACCAGCATTCCAGAGCCAGTCAACAGCCACAGCAACCAGAGCGAACCTCCAGAAAACCGCAACAGGCCGAACGGGATCCCGCCCTTCTATTTTTTGAAGAGCCCCAATACCCCCAAGGAGAGGTAGCTGTGGGGACCAGTCGGGTTGATGCGCGAACTGTCCGGCAGTGGAACTGGACCCCTGAACACACCCTGCCTTGCATCTCCCAGGCATCTCCCACGCATATCTCACACCCGTTGGGATATGCTGTCATCGCCTTGATGTGGGGGACGGCTGCAGTATTTCTTCATGTCTTGCCCCAGTGGGCAGTAGTCGGGATCAGGCCCCAGAGACAACCCCCCTAGCTTAGCACACAGGGCCATATGCCCGCCAGTATACCTCAAGCGGCATGGCATGGCAGCATGGCATTACGGCAGCAGAAGCAGCAGCAGCTTGCTCAGGGCCGGAATGCTCCGTCCCCAGTAGTAGGCCTGGCCCAGTCAGACGGGCGTAGATTGCCCCCCGAACACGTCCAGACGTGGTTCCGTAAGTGATCTAGAGTGAGCACGCCTTGTCCAGCGTTCGCGTGCCGGCTCATGTCCTTTTGCTTTCCGAAAGCGGTAATGCGCAACCCAACGCCAAAGGAGAAGGAAAACCACCTACAAATAACTGCAGTCCCAAGAATTCTCTTTCTCAGCCCGTGTTGGGGAGACGAAGTCCTAATTCTTTTTGTTGCCTGTTGCTGCTGCAGTTGTTGGTTCCAACCGTCCGACAAAGAACGCATCCAGCAGAGTCCCGTCTCACCATCCATCCCGTCCTGCCACCTATACCCACCATTACACAGCATCACCACTAGTAGTTGCAACTCGACACGGGGAAAGGAGGGCTTACACACACACCACTTACCACCAACCAACACTGTTATACTAATCCAACCACCAACCACCACGCTTTCCACCGGTTCAGTCCTCGAAGCTCGCGTATTACGTTACTCAAAGATCTCATCGCTTCGCTACTAGTCCTGCACCACCAACAACCGGCCTGTTGATCTGGTGCTGCAGCACACAACGTATGTTCCGAAATAAGGAAGCGGAGACAAAGAAGGCGAAAGAAAGCTCGTGCGGACTGTAGGTCAGGGGTCAACTGCACCACATCAATCAGCAAATCTTGTGGCTGCCACCGTACTGTACCTGTACCATACATACATACCATACCGTACCTTGTCTTCAGCCGACCACCAGCCATAGTAAAGGGGGGCGTGCACTCATCAAGCCCCAGCTCACGCACCACCATCTCGTCGACCAGGGGGGGAGTCCCTACAGATAGACGCCTGTTTCCCACGGTCAGTTCTGTACCAACCAAAGTACATACAACATCCCCAGTCCCCGATACCTGCCAGAAGGCAGCGACTTCGGTACGATCGCATCGCGCAGAGTATCGGCACGGTGGCGTTGGCATTGGGTATCTCTCTGCCACCCGCATACTCGCGCACACACGCACACCCACACGAGTGCCGTCCTGTAAGGCCGACGTTCTGCAATAGGTTCGTGCTAGAAATTCATTATTCCCTCTTAACTCACCTGACTGGCAGGTCCTCCAGGCATCCACCCCTTTCCCAGCCTGTCCTGTCCTGTCCTGTACTGCCCTGCCCCGTCCTGTCTCCTGCATAGCTGTGTCAGAGACAAACCCAGTTTCTGACAGAACTAATGCTGTGGCTGTTTTCCTCCTACCGGCTTCTGGGCTGAGGCCCTCCGCGTACGCTGCTGTGCCAGTCAGTCGACCAGCCAACACCAGCTGGTTGGCAACAGTCACGGAGAGAGCGTGAGCGTGCCGTGCGTGAATCGATCGGGGTGATGGACGGATAGATAGCTGGGCGAACTGACCGGATGACACTGAGGACTGATACACTGACACAACTTCAGACGATTGCACTGCGCCGCTCCGGTACCTGCCACAAGTACTGCCCGGCTGCCCCGACTAATACGACCCGTCAACTTCTTCCCTCCCAGCTGTCCGCCCCGAAGTGTGCTACTCCCTGCCTCTGGGGTTCCTCCTCCACTCTCTCTTTCTGCCGCCCTCTCTCGCCTTGCCGTCCTTACTCGTGATCCCGTACGACACCACTGCGGCTGCCGGGAAAAGGGCTTGCTTGGCTTTGGCCTGAGCCGATCTTAGGAGCCAGAGAGACTGCCGAAGAGACAGGTCACTTGAGAAACAGTGAAGCTGTCAACCCATCTGCAGAAGCAGCGTCCGTCACGTCACCGCCATTGTGCCGACGGACCGTCTCGCGTAGCTTCGTGGCTCTTCATTTTGTCGTTGCAGAGCACGACATCACCGAACATATACCTCGTCGTCGCTCGCTTTAGAATATAAACAACTCACCGACTGAACTCGCCCCCGATTCCAACTGATCTTTTTGGAAGGTGGCGGCGAGTCCGTGCCCCTGGCCACGGTTAATCTATTGTTGTGCATGTGGGCCTTGCGGTAGAGGTATTCACATCACCTTCGTTGTGGACGAGGCAGGACCTAGTTAGGAGGGCGCTCTCTCTGCCTCTCTCTCACAGCCCTGCTGCAGCAAAGAAAGCAATCGACTTGCTTTGAAGGAACTACTTTACCTTTATCTTACCATTGCCATCCCACCCACCTCAGCTCTCCCCCAGCAAGATCTCAGCCAACCGACTCCTCTCCAGCTGTGCTACTACTCCAACTCCCAGCTTCAAGCAACCATCACCGCCGATCCAACCCCCTTTTTCCTGCAAAAGGAGATATCTCATGCAATGGAGAAAGTCAAGCCAGGATCGCCTACCCCGTCGGCGCACGGCAACAACCCCGAAGACGACCAGTACCACGGCCTCGAACAACTAAACTCATACAATGCCGCCGCAGCGACGTACCCGCAAGATTACCAGCCGCAACAGCCGCAGCAACAACTCCACCCGTCCGACCTGCACAGCCAGATGGGCGGCTCCAACCCGCAATCGCGGTACTCGAGCCCGGCGCCGCAGCAGATGATGGGATACGACCACACACACACGCCCATCCCCCACGGCTCGCCCTACGCCGTGCCTTCCTACCCATACCAACCGCAACAGCAGGGCTACGCGCTGGATCGGAGTCACTACCCCGAGATCCCCGACATGGGAACCTCAACCGTAAGTCCTGCAAGCTCAAACCCTTCCCCCATTGGAAAATCCGCATGAGAGATGGGCTGAACTGACCATGTGAATTTTCCCCTCTAAAGACTCCTCATAACGGCGGCGGCTACAGCACACCCGCGACGTCACCACCGACGCCCATGCAGAACACCAACAACCTCAAGACGCGCAGCGGGCGGACGATCGTACGCAGCCACGGTGCGCCGACGCTGGGCCCGCGCCCGACGGGCGTGAAGAAGGCGTCGGCGTCGCCGGCGCCCAAGCGGGCCCCCACCAAGGCGAAGCGCAAGAAGGCGACCGACGAAAAGCCCAAAGTAATACTGCCGGCGCCGCTCAGCGTGCTCGTCAAGGACCTCACGCACATCCACGACACCGACATCGAGGCGTACGTGTCGCGGTCGCCCGAGGACCGGCGGCGCGAGGTGGCCACCTCGAAAGACGGCAAGATCAAGCGGCCCATGAACGCCTTCATGCTGTACCGCAAGGCCTTCCAGAACCGCACGAAGGAGTGGAAGAAGCACGACAACCACCAGGTCATCAGCCAGGTCTGCGGCGCCGGCTGGAAGATGGAGGCGCCCGAGTTCAAGCAGCGCTTCGTCGGCTGGTCCCTGGTCGAGCGCAATAACCACACCCTCGCCTTCCCGGACTACAAGTTCGCGCCCTCGAAGGCCAAGGACGGCGCCAAGAAACCCGCCGCGGGGTCCAAGTCGGGGTCGGGCGGGCGCAAGCGCCACGACGACGAGGACGATGACGACGGCTCGGATCTCGACAACTATGAGTGGGAAGCCAACCTGCCGTCACGCAACGGGTCGCGCAGCGTAGGGCCCTACATGTTAGATCCGGATTCGGAGTATTACCCCAACGCGCCAGGCTACGGCCCAGCGTACCCGAGCCCGGCCCACCACCCTCAATACCTCGCACGGAACCGGCAGGCGCAGGCGGCGCAGCAGGCGGCGGCGGCGGCCCAGCACGCCGCGTACCAGTCGTCGTTCCAGTACACCAACCCGGGCAAGCCGCGGCCGGCCGACTACGGCTCCGGCATGGGGCAGGGGCAGGGGCAGTACCTGCAGCAGACGAGTCTGTACGCGCCGCAGCATCAGGTGGGCGCGTATTCCGGAGGCGGCGGCCTGATGGCGCCGCCGCACCCCTACGTCGAGGAGGTGTACGCGCACAAGACGCAGTCGCCCGCGTACGGCGGATCGCCGTCAATCACCCATGACCAATACGGGTTGTACCAGCCACCGCCGTCTTCGCACCACCCTCATATGCAACAGCAGCAACAACAACAACAACAACAACAACATCAACATCAACCGCAATACCAACCACACCCACAACAATATCAACCACATCCCCTTGAAACGCACCATAACCTAGTCGATCCCTCGCTCATGCAACCCCCGCCGCAGCAGCAGCAACAGCCACAGCAGCCGCAGCCGCAGCCGCAGCCGCCAAGCGACGCATACGACGGCACGACGGGAATCGATGGCCTAGACGCAGACTCCTTCGGGCAGGACGGCGCGGGCATAGGAGCATACGCGCTGGAGCAGCACCAGGCGCTGGACAACCACGCAAGCAATAGCGGCACGCCACAGTTCGACCAGGCGTACCACACGCCGACGCCGCCGGTGAACGCGAACGGGGCAGACGTGTTGACGGGGAGCGAGACGGCGACGTGGCAGGACGACCCGGCGAGCGCGTCGATGCACGAGGCCGGCCTGAATTCCAACGAGTGGGAAGTCTCCAACGAGTGGGAAGTTACTACCGACTTTTCCCAGCTCGACAAGCTACTGGATGAGACGAGTACCCTCAAAGAATAAGGTGATCATCTGGCGTCTGTATGTTCACCGTGTGAGTGTGAGCGTTTCCCGGAGAGTGGAACGAAAGGAAGAAGAATAGGACATACATACCCTGAAGGCACCGAAGATCCGGGCAGCACAGATACCCCCCCTGGATGGGCTGGCAGCCAGGGATGGATGGACTGCCCACCCACCCATATGAGAAAGATGGGCAGAGAGGGAAAGTCAGCAAGTAAGGGAGAGGAGAGGAGGGGAATACCTTGTATTTAACGTGTCATCATTTTTTTCTTGAACTTCTTTTTTCAAATGTCTGTGTTGTGTTGTGTTGTGTTGCGCAACCGCCCAACCATCAAAAAATTCCCCTTCGTTGTGTTACTATGCATGCTCAAAAAAGCATCAAGAGCATAGAAAGGAGATCCATCAATCCAGGAGGGAGCATCAAGGGAGAAGATGGGTGGATGATGAGACTGGGCTTGCATGCATGCTTTGCTTGAGCTTGGGCTTGGTTGGCTTTGGTCGGCTTGGTTGAATGTTGATAGAACACATGATACCCCGGGACTCCCGGTCCTTATTAAACCGGTGTTTGGGTTTTCTCTGTCAGAATAAGGCGAGAGAGAGTGTGTGTGAGAAAAGACATTAGAGAAGAAACTTTTCTTGCTTGGTTTTGACTGAGTCAGAGAAACTTTATACAGATTCAGAAAGACAACAGAGAGTGTGAGTGCAAGACTTGCCTTAGTAGTAGTGGTAGAGAATCAACGGGCGGAGACCCGTTGTTGTGGGTTTTCCCGGGACCTGAGATGATATGATCACTTACGTGGCTACCTACTCCGGTAAGTTCATTGTCTTCTTGTCCGATCGTCGCTCGAGCCTCCCCCCTCCGGCCCAAGGACAAAGAACATTCAGCTCTGCCCGGCTCCCACTGTGGTACTTCACTTGAAAGAAACCCAGATTCGTGGGACGTGATAGGGTCGCGCTATGGGTCGTCGAAACAGACAGATAACTAGGTTACGCCGCCTGCTGAGGAACAGTTGGGATGATAAAGAAGTGGTGATACAGCATGAATAAATCTTATTCCTGACACCCTACAGCTCATCCCTGACTCTTTGATCGCTTTCTGGACGGGTGCCACCAGGTTCCTCTTCCATCATTCTCTTCTTCGGGTTGGGCAGTTCCTCGGCGTTTCGCTCTCTCAGCACTGTATCCTTCTCCTTGGCATCCGACTCTAGAACTGCCTGGTCTTCGTGTAAAGGGTTATCGCTGTTAAACGCGTCAATGACCTTGCCGACCTGCTCCACCATAGAGTCCTCATCCTTGGATCCCTGAGATTGCACCGGTGGTTGATCTCCAACTTGAATCGTAGGAACGCCTTCGTTGTTCATTTGAACTTGATGTAGCCCCGACTGGTCTAAAGCAGAGCTCGACTCGGGGTTTCCTCGTGGACCACTCAGCCCAACTGCATTGGATATCCCAACAGCGCTCCGGAAAAGAAGCTTCAGTGGAAGCCATACCATCCACCACGTCGGACCCCAGAGAAGGCGTCTCCAGGCAAGCCAGGCTATGGTGACAACCAGGAGGTAGAAGGCAGACCGCAGATACCAGGTGTCGCTTTTCTGGCTCTTGAATAACGTGGTCACGAGAGATTTGGAGTTGGAGAGCATCGTGTCGAGATTCGAATAGTTGTCAGATAGCTGCGCGAGAGCCGCCGTAGAGTCTTTCAGTGCGTTGTGTGCGTAGTCGCTCTTGGCCAGCTCAGTCGACATCATTTCATGTGTCCTCCTCATCGACTGCGTCACATCGTTGCCAGCGCTGATCATCTGCTCTTCCTTTGACATCTCGTGGTGGACCTGCTGTTTCCGTCGCTGCAGAGGCGCTGCGGGTATTGGGGAAGAAGCGCCAGACCGTGGACTGGCGAAAGAGGCGTAGAGAAGCTCTCGCTCCTGTCGCTGGGCAAGTTGGAGGTTGCGCTTCGCCGATATTTGGGCTTTTCGGAAAGACTTTCGACAACTACAACGGAGTCAGATGCGGCTGTCCTTTCTGGGAACTTTCGCTATGCTTACCTCGCCAATTCCTGCTCCAGTCTTTGCGCGCCATCCTTGAGGCGGTCCTTGTCGTGCTGCACTTCGCTGCCAGATTTGCCAAGCCTGATGTCGATGATCTCCTCGTGCAATAGCTCAAGTTCCTCCTCTTGCTCGCGCAAGATTTGGTTGATCTCGCTGCTCAGCTCTGTGCCGACATTGTCGTCCTCGCTAGCGCCCAGTGGGACTGATCCCGGCTGGAAGTTGAAGTTGGCAAGGCGCTCGATCAAGTCCTTGAGCTGATTCGTCGCATCTTGCAAGACCGTAAGACGATCTTGTAGGTCTGTGAAGCGCTTCTCTAGACCCTCGAGAGACATTGTTCTGCGAGTGAGGCGAGGTTACGATTCATTGCATCGCAGACTAGAACGGGAAAGCTGTCCTCGAAACTCAAGTTCAAGGTTAAGTGGGAGTCATCTACAGACTACAGTGAGTGACGTTGCAAGTGCATGTCGGTACCGTGGCCCCTGCCGCAGGTCAGACCTGCAGCACTTGTCATGTTGCAAAGCTCAGTGTGGCTCAAGCTCCGTGCACTGCCACACCACATCCATTGAGATAGAAGCAACAGCCACACCCACGCAGGCGGCAGGACCCGAAAATCTCCAGGCCCGTACCCGTTGGCGCATTCGACATCGCCTTTGCGCTGCAATTGGAAGACAACTCAGGCGGAAGCAAATGCGCAGGTAAGTGCACGGCATGGAATTGGGAGACCAGGAACCGACTGACTGACTGACTGACTGACATGCAATCCAGTCAACCGCCACGATGATAACGCGATTCATCACCGAGGTGAACACCAAGTTCAACCCCTTCTCGATGCGCTCGCGAGCCACGAGGCTATTCCTCAGCAGCCTGCCGCCCAAGGCCCGACAGCAAGGCATGGCCATAACGACCAGTCTTCTGCCCCGAACCTCGACCGAAGCCAGCAGTTTGAAGATCAAATTCAGTATGTGTTCCACCTCTTGTGCCATGGGGTCTCCCCGGGGCACCTAGTCGAAATAGGAGGGAGTGGGCTTTGGCTGATTCGACAACGCAGAGGATGGGAAAGAGATGAGCCTCGACGGCGAGAAACTGGGCATCAAGGGTATAATCGAGGAGGTGGACCGACACTCCAGAGCTCTGCAGAAGCAGGCAGACTTAACCGACGGTTAAACAAGCCTCTTCATCGAAACTATATGTACTTATCTACGAGCATCGGCCGGCGTTGGGACCATTGGCGATCTGGTTTGACTTGATGTACCTGTATAATCTTTTCGCCGTTTCGAATGGCACGAGGTTGAACCTTTTATGACTGAGTTCATTCGCGTCGTCCACCATACTTTGATCGCTGAGGGGTCTCCAGCATCTACGAGGAATATACCACACATATTACGGTGCGCTACCCGCCCAGGATTCCAAGAATTACTCGGTCAGAAGGACCCAAGATAGGGAGATAGGCAACCACAGTGTATTTGTTACTGTCATCATACTTCTACATCTGGCGAGCACGTTGATCAGCTGTCACTATGATTTCACCTGTCTGAACACTTTAGCTGGAGAGTGTGACGCCTAGCAAGTAAAGCTTCTACAATACGCTGGGCTTCACATCAATACCAGGCATGATAAAGTATAAAGTGACTGAATGTGTGTATTGATGTACCCTGCGAGAAGGTCGTCCTCTTTCGACCTCGAGGCACTTTTTTGGTATGTTCTGCCGGGAACCGTCTATTTGCTGTGAACTGGAAATTCGCAGGAGGAAGTGGCGTTGTGAGATATGGTTTCACATGGGACTCTATGATTCTTCGCGCAATATGCAGGGAACTATTGTCTTCCAGATCTAACATCCCCCACGCTTATGCGGCGGCACCGCTGATGAAGAACCACTTGTCAATCGAGCTGTCGATCTTGGCAGGGGCCACCTCCTGGTGGTTCGGTAGAGGCGGCAGTTGTTCCGGAGCGACGCGGCTCGACGAGTGGGCAACGGTCAAGTTGGTGCTGGAGCTTCAGTCAGTGCTGCGGGTAGCTGAAGGATGTCCGCTGTGTACGTACGTGGAGATTCCACCAGGCTTGGTCTTGCCAGTGATCAGCTTCTCCCAGGCCTCGGCGCATTCTCGAATGACGTCCATGGCATAGCTGCGTCCCAAGTTAGCATTGGCGCGGGTTGAGACTGGGCGCTGATACACACTTCTTGTTCTTGCATTCGCCGGTGAAAGCGAACTGGTTCTCGGGCTTTCCATCGGGGATTTTGTAGATACGGAACCACTCGTTGGTGGCACGGAGGAGACCAGGAAGGTGTCGCTCAACGTCCTCGACGTCGTTGAGCTTGGAAGCCAGAGGGTCGTTTACGTCGACAACAATGACCTTCCAGTCGGTCTCCTCCTCGTCGAGCAGAGCCATGACACCGAGCACCTTGACCTGCTTGACTTGGCCAGGGTAGCCGACGAGCTCACCAATCTCACAGACATCGAGCGGGTCGTCGTCTCCCTTGGCCTTGGTCTCCGGGTGGATGGAGTTGGGGTCCTCCCAAGTCTAAAAGAGGGCGAGTCCGGTCAGCGAGGGCTCGTAGGGACAATGACAAAAGCGCTGTGTCGTAGGGTCGTGTTACCTGAGGGAAGGCACCGTAGTTCCATAGGTAACCCTTGTGGGGGAAGCAGTTGCGGACGTATCGAAGCTTGCCCTTCTTGATGTCCTGCTTGATGGGGTTGAGGAGCTCGTCCTTGGAGATCTGAAGGGTAGGTGGTCAGTCAAGCACGTTTCAACAGACATCATGAGACATTTGTAAGGTGAGTACCTCGAGCTTGGCATTGGTCCATCGGGGGATCTCGACGACCATGTTCAGGATGGTCTGCTCCTCATTGGCGAAGAGGGGGATGTCGTGGAAGGGCGAGACGGGAACGCCATCTTTCTCGATGTACACGCGGTGCTCGAGGGTGTTGGGCGCAGCGACCTTGCGGACGGTAAAGGGGGAAGCCATGGCGGAATGGGGTACCGGCTTGTGCAGTTTCTGGTCAGAGGACAATGAGGCCGAGCTCGATAGATGTCGAGCTATCTGGGCAGATCGCTGGGACGCAATGTTGGCTGTGGGGAGAGGCCGACCAGACGAGGGTGATGCGGAGGAGTGGGAGCAGGAGTAGGAAGAGGATTGCGTGTGTACTTGTCCATAAAAATTGGTTGAGGACGGCGTGGTGCAGGTGGTGGAGCGGGCAGTAGAAGGAGGGGGAGGGGTCCTCGGGCTGTTACCGCGCTGCCCCGCCAGTCTGACGGAGAGGGCGTGATTGGCCCGCTGTGTAACTAGCGACTGACGTTGAGGCCCCGGCCGTCTCGTCGTCGCCAGAAGAAGCCTCTGCAAAGTCTTCTGGGCAGGTCGCGAGGGCAACATACAGGCAGACTAGTAATGGTGACAGAGAACAGAGAACCAATGAAGAAGGTGCAAACACCTTATCGTACACGCCAAAGTCAAGTTAGCCAGGAGTTTCAGTCAATTCAACGATCCGACCGGCGGTTATGGCTACACAAGTGCATGAGTTTCTTGCTCTCCCCTTTTGCCGTGGCAGTTTGGAAACGACGATAAATCCAAGTAAGGGACCCGAGTGGAGTAACTGGATCGGGGCGCTGTGGCTTGCACTCTCAGCCACTTCCGCTCAGTCGGGGCCGCGTGTATTTGTCAACTAGATAGGTAGATGCCTTATTCTTTGATTACTATCATTGCGTTGAGAATACAAATCATCCGCGTGTGTATGTCGGGTTCGTGAGTCTGGTCCTTGTCACTTCTTCAGTTTCCCAACATCTTTGACCAGGTACCCATTGTGGTTGGAAGGTATTCCTAGCTGTAGGACAGGACCGTCTCAGCTTACATGTGAAGATAATCTGAGGCCCCCAATTCGAAAACAACTGTATGCCAGCAGGTCCTCATGGAGGACAAGAGAGGTTACGGACAATCAGCACTAATTCCAGTGGCAAAATAAGAAAGTCAACCAACCGCTGGCACAATGACCTCAATACTGCATGGACAATTGCACTGGGGATGTCGTGACTGGGGCAGTTCTTGATCCCGGAAAGGTGATACAGACTGCATGAGGAACTCCACTATTCATCAATGCAATGGAGTTTTATTCCCAACACAGGTCCATGTTCTAGACCAACAACAGCTTTAAAGACATAATATGTACAGTGCAATCCCCAACTACGCCACTTGATCGAGCCCTATGTGCTACTACCTCAAAGCTCAGCAAAGCGATCAGGCATGTGGCATGCGCGACCTTCCCAGACGAGGGGAAAGTCAGCCTAGCAGCTAAGGAGCCAGCTCACGAGCGTGAGCTGGCACTCCAGTAGAAATAGGTGCGATCATGGAAATTTTGTGAATCAAGACGAGACGCCGCTCTCCATATACGCCTAACTCCCATTGCCTAGACGCCACGGGCCGCCGTCCACAGCGAGACAAGATGAGGAGGAATATAGAGATGCATCAACAATGCAGTAGCCACAAACTACCGGGTAATGGAAAATGCCGGATGAGGGTGGTGGTGGACCGCTCTTGTCAAACACCGAACCAGGGCCTCGGGCGAACAAAACACCTGAGGCATGAGATGAATGCGACTTTTGTGGCGGTAGACCGGCTGAAGAGTTCATGAGAGTCGTCGACGGGGAACGTCGTGCAGGTGTGATCGTGAGGCCATCCAATTGGTGCCATCGGTATCCTGACAGGCTGAACAAGACTCCAAACGTATGGATATCATAATGGGCTGAATGCAATCAGGGTGCAATGCAGAAACCATCTCAAGATGAGATGTCATCCAACGACAACCCCGTATCTGTGATGCCGAAGATGGCAGCGCTCTTCTTGGCCCATGTTCGGGTCAGGAGAGATGCTACACCGTGTTAGTAGGGAGAAGCAGAGTTGGCGCAGAGGGGAAGCTTACCTTTCATGAACTTCTTGCTAGCATACTTCTTGTAGAATGCCTCGTGAATGACAGGACGGGCGAGGTAGTCAACCATGAGCTCGAAGACGGGCTCGATCTCTTCCTCGGTGTATCCAGCATAGTAAGCGATAGTCTCGTCCTAGGTAATGTTAGTGGGCAACTTGATCACGTTGGAACTCATGTGACTTACCCATTCACCTCGGTCGAGAATCAAGCGTGCCAGGTACATTGAAGCGGCAGCGATGTGGCTGGGGCGAAAGGCCATGAACCGGTGGTCAAGGAGGCTGATCTCCATCAAGTACTTGCCGATAGTCCGAGACTGGATATCATAGTTGTCCGCTTTGGAAATTCGGCGAAGGAAGTTCATGGGGTTGGGGTAGCTGAGATCGAAGTTCAATGTACCGAGAATAAAGCGCTCAGCGCTGAGAATCTCGGTTTCAGTGAAGCCATCGTCGGCAACGTGAACGAAGTTGCCAACGTGGGGTGACAGAACTTCCTCATACTTGGATGCAATGAACATGGCAGTGATGCCAACAAGCTGCAGTCGATCAAGCTGGACCACCTTCTCAGACAGGAACCGATCGATAATGTTGATGGCAAGAAACAGGGTCTCGGGCAGAAGGTGAAATCGCGTGTGGACCTCGATCAACCAATCGATGAGAATACCTCGCGTCTTCCACTCCAGGTCATCCTGGTGCGTCATGTACTGCGGGTTGGGAACCGATCTGCACTCGAGGTCGCGTAGGTACTCGAAAATCTCGGTGGCATACTCTGCAGCCATCAAAGGATCATCCATGTCCTCGCTGTCCAGATCCTTGACACCCTCGGGGTACTCGTGCGGCAAGAGTCCAGGTTCCTCCACGATCTGTTCAGCAACGTCTTCCAGCTTGACCTTGGACTCAACCCGCGCTTGCTTCTTCTGCTCGCTCTCCAGGGTGTGGGCCTTCTTGCGGGACGGTTCGCCCTCCTCAGCGATAATCTCTTGCTTGATGGTCGACGTTGTGGATGTGACCTTTCTCTTCTGCGTGGCACCGATAGCACCAGACCCAGAGCCAGTTCGCTTGACCTCAGACTTCTTGGTCTCTTTGGCACCCAAGACGGTCCGAGCAGCATTGCCCTTGGCACCGGGCTTCTGGATTCCAGTGGGTTGGGCAGCCTTTGAGACCAGGCCGACCTTGGCTCCGCCGAGGAGCTTCTTGCCCTCGACAACTTCCGACTTTCCAACATTGCTGACATCGCCTAGGGCAGCGCGTTTTCGGGCGGCGGCCGGGTTCGCGTTGACTGCGGACTTCTTGGACTGGAGGGGCTGCTTGGCGAGGACATCGACATCGAGGGCAGCGGCCTTAGCGCGTGTCATTCGCGTGGAGTTGCTGTTCTCATCGTTTTCGTTCGAGACGACGCGTGCTCTAGCAGGGCGTCCCTGTAGACACGTGTAAGCAGGCATGCAGCTACGCAAGAGGTCGTAGGTCGGTGGGAATAGACATTGGCTTGGCCGCTGTATTGATCATTGGGAGTGCGGAAGGGTAGGAAAGCTTACCACAGGCATGTTGCTGACTGGCGCACGAAACGCGCAATTGGCAAACTGATTATGAAGATGAGATGCTACCAGGCGTTAGTGCGCGTGTCCGGGTTGTGTGTTTGACGTGCCTTCGCCTCGAGAACGCGGGGGTGTTGCAATGCCCTGCGCCCAAACACGTCTGGAGACAAGCCAGTTCGAGACGCGAAGAATTGGCAGAACACGGAAGCAAGTACAAAATAAAATTGATCAGACGAACGGCGAAGGGAAGAGGGAATATAAACATACCTTGAGAGTTATCTCTACGGCGTTGGAGTTGTCGATATTGCACGATATCAACAAGCTGGTTCCTGGGTCAGCTGGCTGCCGTCTCGTCCCAAGGCGATATGGTGGCGGATGGACTGGAATAAGACGCGGAGGAAGACGCGTAGAGGAGAATATGGATCGTTGGTAGAAGGAGGCAATTGTCTCCAAGAGGAGTCGGAGGATGCTGGAGGTGGTGAAGAGACAGGACAGTGCAGGTGGTCATGGGGGAGGAGCAGTGATGTTTTTGAGAGAGGTGCAATGTTTGGCAATTGGGAGACGGGCGTGTGTTGGCGGAGGAGGCACCATACCTTGCTTGAAAGTTGACGTGAGGAAGTGGATGTGTTTGTCCTACTCTGTCTCCTAGCGCGGTTAGCCACCCCTGTCGTTGGATGGAGCCGTTCCTATGGAAATCGGCAGGTTGGCGGCTGGGCGACAGATGGAGCCGGGCTGCTAAGACCTGGCTCGACACTGGTTGGTTGGTTGCAGGTCAATGTGCACGCGAGGCGGGAGTCTCAGGTAAGAGTATGCCCAGACGCGTTTTGCACAGGTTGAAGGGCGTTTTGTAGGTTGAAGGACGGGTAGACTGTAGATGCAGCAGTAGAAAGTAGGAGGAGGAAGACCGACGGCCACAATAACACACAACGACCACGAGAGGTATGAGATGTGCGCCGTTGTTCTCAATTGCAGCAGGCACTCAGTCAATGAACGGAGGAGGATCAGACTGATCGAAGATAAGATGAGGTTGTGAACTTGTGGGTGCAAACGGCGTTTGCAGTGCGTGTGACCGGAGACGCGCTGGTACTTGGTGGTTGTGCAAGACAGGCCGTGTGGTCCGTGGTCCCGCTTCCTGCTTTTTCGAGGTCCACCCGCACCCGCAATCAACAGAGGCAACTCGTGGCAACGACCAGCCAACGACGCTAATTCCCAGTCGACCAATCAGTGATGCGATCCCGCGCTGGTGGGTTCCGTGGCGGCGGGGTGTGGCTTGAACCTTAGTCAGCCCGTCAACGTATGTTCCATTGCCGCACAGCTGGGTCATGCCTGGCAGGCTAGCATGGCAGAAATCCGGTGGATTATTCCCATTGGGAGACCCGACGCCTGCAGGTGCCAAGCCCCGGTCGCCGCGATCGACGTCGGAAGAACCTGAGCTCCAATAGTCCGGGACAGCTTCAATCTCAAGAATTTTGGACTGCACCCAGAGCACTCCGACAAAGGGGATTACCACACCTCCGACTTCCTCCCAGATCCCCTCGTGGTGGAGACTGCATCAATTGGCACAAGCGCGACAGCCGGTCGCAAAGTGTCACGATGCTGCAGCCACGAATATTGTCTCTTTCCTCTCGGAGAGCGCTGGCTAGTTGCCAGTGCTCTTCAACGTTCGCCCGGCGCGCCTATGCGACAGTCCAACGATCAGCACCACCGCCCCCCGACCCAGCGAAAGACTATGTACCCTCGATTCCCAGGGGTGACAGAGCACCTCCCAGACCTGCGAGGGACTACATGCCATCCGTAGCCAAGACGGAAAGGGAGTCGACCGTCATGATGCGCACCTACAAGCCCCGAACGCCCGGTGTACGGCATCTGAAGCGACCGATCAACGACCATCTGTGGAAGGGCAGACCGTTCTTGCCCCTGACTTTCCCAAAGAAGGGTATGGCCAAGGGTGGACGCAACAACCTTGGCAAAATCACCGTCAGACATCGAGGAGGTGGCGTCAAGCGGAGGATAAGGACAGTCGACTTCCACCGTTGGCTAGCCGGTCCCCATCTCGTCGAGCGCATTGAGTACGACCCGGGCCGCAGTGCACATATCGCCCTGTTGACTGAGGAGGCAACCAACAAGAAGACATACATCGTAGCGCCCGAAGGTACGAGAGCCGGAGACGTTGTCCAGAGCTATCGGGCTGGCATCCCGCAGGACCTTCTCGAAAGTATGGGTGGAGTCATAGATCCGGGTATTCTGGCTGCCAAAACAGCGCACCGAGGCAACTGTCTACCGTTGCACTTGATTCCTGTCGGTACGCCCGTGTTCAATGTCGGGTCGCACCCCAAAGGAGGTGCCGTGTTCTGCCGAAGTGCCGGTACCTTCGCAGTCGTGGAAAGCAAGGACGAGGAGGTGAGAGAGGATGGTGTGAAGGTCGTGACTGGCAAGTATGTCACAGTCCGGCTGCAGTCTGGAGAAATCAGAAGAGTCAGCAAGGATGCTTGTGCCACTATAGGTGTTGCAAGCAATCCTCACCACCATTATCGACAACTCGGAAAGGCAGGCAGAAGTCGCTTGTTGAACATCAGACCGACGGTGCGCGGTGTCGCCATGAACAAAGGTATGCCTCAGGCCCTATGCAAGATTCCGTCGCCAGGCTAACAAGCTCTTCACAGTCGATCATCCTCACGGTGGTGGTCGTGGTAAATCCAAGGGTAACCGACACCCTACCAGTCCTTGGGGCACACCGGTATGGCCTGACCAACTCTCCTACTTTGACCTTCACACACTGACTGATGATACCAGGCGAAAGGTGGTTACAAAACGCGCAGGAAGAGCAACCCCAACAAGTGGGTTGTGGTGCCTCGTGCAAGAAATCACGGCAAGCGGCGGGACAAGAAGGGCAAGAAAGCTTAGAGAGACGAGAAGGGTAAGAGAGCTTAAAGCCTGTCCTTTGTTCGACCCTGTGTACTTTGACCACGTGTACATTCTCCAGTCCAGGCATTTAGAACGAGACTTGTGTATAGATATGTATAACATCAACCCAAATCTAGCTTTCCCTGGAACTAGATGTGTCGACGTAGTTCAGAGTGACACATTCAAATTGCTTCTAGCTCTGATAGCTGTGACTTTTTGCACCACAAGTGTTATCAAATTGACCAAAGATTAGAGTTCGGACAACGGTGTCCAATCACTGAATATCCTACCTAGGTAATCTAGCTGGCTTTGACACAGCCTTGCCACTTTGGCAGAGAGTTTCCGACACAGCCTTGCGACCGTGGGAGAGAGATTGAGCCAGTTTCCGACCCTAGTTACTTGTGCAATACAAGAATGTCTGCCACATGCCCACCCCTCGGCCATACATTGGTAAAGTAACCCCTATGTACAGAACACAGATGAGGCTCCGTTACTGCCTTGATAAAAGTTGGAGTTCTAGGAGCTGATTCATACGGCGTATGCACGGAGATTCCAACTGGCTACCCCTTAGAACGATCGATCTGGAAAACATACCTTACCATGGAATGGCCGATGGTCCGGATCAACAGCGTAGGTGGACAGGACCTTGACTTCTTGAGATCTTCGACTTGCAACCAATCAATCGCCCACGAACCATGCATTTAATGAAGCCGGGCTGGCTCCTATGGCCTCGCAGTCCCTTTCTGTTAGAATACGTGCTCAGTGGCGTATCTAGCCTGAGCTTTATATTGGTCATCCCCTGGGATTACCTGATTAAATAGCCGTCGGAAGTTACTTTTACTTCAGTTCTCCTTTGTCTGTTATTAATTCACATCATTCTTAAATAAATAATAATAATAATAATAATAATAATAATAATAATAATAATAATAATAATAATAATAATAATAATAATAATAATAATAATAATAATAATAATAATAATAATAATAATAATAATAATAAATCCTTTTTCGTCACTGCTCACACGTGCCATCAAAGCCGTCACATGCTTACACATGCCGTCAAAGCCCTTACAAAAACACATCAAGAAGCTTCACCCATCGCTGAAATCTGACACTTTCGGCGGTTTATCGAGTAAAGATCATTTGATTTAAGTACACGTCTTGCCGCCCTCGGCGATATCACCGACCTCCTGTCATAGACATCACATCTCCGTCTTCCCTACTCAGCAACCTCCGCCTTCTTCTTCTTCTTCGCGTCCTTCTTGTTGCACTTGTTGCTTTCGCCGCCACGGCTGGGGTTCTTTCTTCTCCATTTCGCTTCGAACTTGATACCGGGGGAGAGAGTAGGTGAGCCTTGAGTTTTCTTATCAGAGTTCCTACTAGAGGGACGCCGTCAGGGGCACAGCCCTTTCTGATCTCGCAGGGCACAATGTGGGTTGCTGTGCGCTGCCCGTTAATCTAGTTGATGGGACACTCGCATGGCATCCCGCATCTGTCCTCTATATAGGACGATGTCTGCATCTAAAGCGATCGGATCAGCCTCGAAGCTAATGTTGATGTTGATGGCTTTGAGCTTCTTCCCGGACGCTGTCCGGGGAAGGGTTATATTGGGCACAGCGGTTCGGTTCCTTTAGCGGCTGGATTTTCTTCTTCTTTTCTAGCCCCCCTCGCCCAAACTTTCTTCCCCTTTTCCTTCGTGTTAAGTTAAGCCACCTTACGCACTTTCTGCACATGTCCACTCGTTCCTCTCTACCCCCACCACAGTACAGGATATACATACGAGTTTGGAAGGGTTTGTCTGGTAGCCGGGTTGGTACGGCCTAGCGAAATATTCTTACAAAGTATTCTTATAAGGTATTCTTAGGCACAGCGGTTCGATTCCCCTGGCGGCTGGTTTCTTTTTCTTTTTCTTTTTACACCTAACTTGGATACATACACTGAACTTCAAGGCGTGGCGGTGGCAGAGGGAACCACGCCAGCATCGCCCTGCCTGTACCAGTTCTCAGCCGCATCGCCGAGACACTCGCCCACAGTGACAGCGCGGTAGCCGCGACTCTGGATCCCCAGCAGCATGTACTCAGTCAGATTATGGACAGTCTGCTCGATGATGTCGTGGCCAATGACCAGGGCGTTGTCCGCAACCGGCGACTTGCCCTCGAAGAAGGCGTCGAAGTTGGTCTTGGCGTTCTGGATCTGGCTCGGGCTGGGGTTCAGGTAGTCGGCGGTGTCCAGGTCGAAGTATGTCACGTGGTAGCGCAGCTCGGCCATGTCGGCCTCGCAGCCGCTGTCGGTCGTGCAGGACGAGTAGGGCGGACGCATGTAGGTCGGTATGGGGCAGAGGATGTTGCGGAAGGCCATTTCGTTCTTGTGCATCTCGTCCCTTCTACGGGCTGAGGTCACGGCGCTCAGGTTGGCGTGTGACCATGTGTGTGAGGCGATCTGGTGGTTCTCGGCATGCATGCGCCTGATTCGCGTTGTTAGTCTTGGAGAGCAGTAGTAAGTGATTATCCCCAGAACTCACTTGATGATACCCGGCCATGCAATGCTGGTGTCGTCAATCTGGCCCTTGGCGTTGTTGACACCGGTGATGAAGAACGTAGCACTCGCGTTGTACTTTGCCAGCAGATCCGGGAGATCGGCGGTGTATTCGTCGGGGCCATCGTCATACGTCAAGGTAACGTCGCCATCATTCTCGCAGTGGTATAGACCCGCTCCGACCACCAGAATATCACCAAGAGTGGCTCTGGTCAGTGTGGAGGTGTTGGTTCCGGCGGGAACTTTGTTGGCATCACAAGCTGGCCCGAACTCCCAGAGACAGTCTGGTGCTCCACAGTAGTCCTCGTTGGTACCGCAGAAACTATAGACGATTTATTAGAGGGAAACTCTTCAAGACTCAAGGGATAACGAGGCTTACCCTGCCGAAGAGCAGCATTCTGTAGGACCACACGATATGTTGCCGTGGTCGGGACCGCATCCTTCATCAGTGGAACCTGTATCATTGCTGCTGGCTGTCAAGCAGGTCCCAAATGCAGACTTGCAACCAGTACCGCAGTAGCCCGTCGAATTACCACAATATCCGCTGCACCAGCGTTATTTAGTTTAGCACATTCGTCTCGCAAGGAAGCTTTCCTAATTAGAGAAACTCACTTCACGGAGCAACACAAGCCTGTCGGACAAATGTACCCCTTATTGCCAGCACCCTCATTACCGCATGTCATATCAGGGGAGACGCTCCCCTCGCCACCCGAGCTGCCACAAACACCAAAGGCCGACTGACAGCCATCGGAGCAGTTGGAGGTTGAGTTGCCACAATAGCCATTGGAAGAGCAATACATGCCATCCGCGCAAGTGTAGCCATGTACCACCACAGGTATTGTCTGGAGAGACGTCACGCAGGCTGAGGCACGTAGGGAGCGTCGGAGCAGAGGCAACAGCAAAGCTGCCTGCAAGAGTCAAATACATTACAATAAAAGACCACATCATGAGCAGGTCTATAGGTATAATCCAACGAGTGTTCTTAAAGAGCGTACTAGCTGGGCATGGCCAATGGTCGTACGGAAAGGGTCTGACCACCGAGGACACGAGAGAACAACCGCCTACTATATAGATAAGAGTCCCCCGAGTGTCAGATGATAGCTCCGTCAAGCAGGGACATGGCGAAGCCATTCACCATCCCTTCGGACACTACGGGGAGCGGCGTGGAACAAGGGCAGCCCCTGGCGCTTCAATACCGCCTTTTCTAAGCAAACCTTTACTATACCACACGGACTACCTGCTGCATCATATCATTGCCAGCGAGTGGTCGAGGTGGGATACTAAAGGTTTGCTTAAAAAAGGCGGTATGGATGCTCAAGCCTCCATAGGTAGCGAGTTCCGATGCGGTCGGAATTCGAATATCATGCACAAGTGCAGATCCACGAAAACCACGTACAGTCCCATTCACCGTACACGATCAATGATGAAGTAGTGCAGGTCGACGTTTTCCACCAATCGGCTTGGACGAAGACAATCGATGCCCAGCCAAAGCGCACTGAATGATCCTCGAGGACCGCCGCGAGATGAGGGACGACTCCTGCTTTCGACGGTCCTCATCCCATCGTGAAAGAACAATTTGCCGGACGATACGTAGAACGAAGGATTATAAGGGATACTCGTCCATCATTCAAGAGTAGAGTGAATGTGTGAATCGGGATTTCGAGCAAGGGGTATGCTAGTCGACTTCCATCTGGGGTTTCGAGGGTGTGTTCTCGGCCGCACCAGTACTGCCAGTACATATTGGGGAAGGACGTGTACCTGTTTGGACTTGCCCAACTTTGATGATGGTCACTTGGAGATATCATGAAAGACGGCTGCTATTTAACTAAAGTACTCTGCATATCGTCAGCTAATGTGCTGCTCAATGATTCAGTGAGAAGTTGAGAAGGACGCCAGGCACCCTACCTTAGGGCGCGGGGGGGTTGTTTGAAAGGGATAGCAGCAAACCTTTTAGTGGGCCGTATCCATTTCGGCTAGAAGTGGTAACATACTAGATTCTGATTAAGTAAGCCGATTTCACTTGCTAAGCTTTTTGACACGAAGATTGATTCCACGTCTTAATTTTATTTTTAAAACAAAAAGTAATCTTAATTAAAACCCTCCTTATAATTAAATTAAAATTAAGTTATAACAAGCCTTATATCAAGGGATTTAAAGCTTAAAACCTTAGTAATAGGCCTTTAAAAATGATATTTACCCTTTTAAATATAAAAGGGTAAAAGAGTAATAGCGTTAGGGTTTAAACAGCGAACCTTTTAAAAAATCAAATAAATCAAATATTATACTCGTGTAGCTACTTCGCTACGTTATTTAATTGATAATAATATTTACGAATTTTAAATATATATTTCTAGCTCGTTAATAAGCTAACAACCTGCTATCCTAATATTAATGCCTTATTAAATTGGGCAATATTCAAATACACGCTTACTAGTATTAAACTAGGCTTATTGATACTTTAATAACACTTACTTTATTTTAAATATATTTTAAAATATTAAGCCTATTATGAAGTTCAGGTGTTCAGATAGGTGTGGATCCCACCCACTGGAGCCAGCCACCAGTACCTTATCGGAGCTCCTGTCATTTAGGGCGTTCTACGATAAGGTTACCTGGGATGGCTGCCCAAGGTGACAGGTACCAACCCATTATAATTTATGTATTTAGATACTTCTCGGATGGGATCCTTCCCATCCGAACTTAACCAAGCACCAACCAGAATACAGATCATCCCAACTGATACTTGTGATAGATCTCTGTTCTGGTTCCGCTACCACAAAGGCACAATCCCGAAGCCAAACAGCACCTTGAAGTACTCTACTGTTGCTGATATCCTCGATTTAGTGAGAGCTGCTGGCCGCGGTTGTCACCTGATCAAGAAGGATCTTAAAGATGCGTTTTGGCTCATACCAGTGGCACCTTATCACAGGTGGCTACTAGGATTCAGCTGGAAGGGCAGATCCTATCTGTTGGATTAAAGGTATGCCTAGAAGGCATCTTGACAGGTAGATAACGGAACCTAGTTGTTCCGTCCCGATCCAGCCCCCTCTGGCACAAAACTGCCACGGTCGCACAAGGACACTCTAGACAGGGAGAATACACACACACACTTCACTCTGACGATTGGCTCAAATCTGACACGTACAGAGATTGATCATCTGTCTTCTTGGTGGGTCAGATGCCCTGTGCGTCTCTGCCCCACTGGAGATCTTCCGGTGTCTATTTCCGGCTCCCATTCAACAGCTGCAAGCCTTTTTTTTATCCCCCCCCCCCCCCGCGCCGTAAGGTAGTAACGGTAATAAGATCTCCGCATGAGGTCGGTACTTGACCCAAATGGGTGCGTGTGGCACTGTAGTAGCGAGGAGATCTACCCGTCGAGCCCGGAATGCCAGTGGAGCCCGTGCCTGCCCGTGCCTGCCCGGGCATGTGGGAGAGCAGTTGATGTGGATTCAACATTCATGTTGCACAACTTGCAGCCACACTCTTCGTCAAAAAGACAGCCGACGCCACCCAGAGTGGATCGGTGGATCGCGTTCTATTCTTGGAGTCTGGGCTCGTTTCATTACGTAATTTCTACACTCCAGCCACAGCGACATCTCCTTTTCTGACTTGGAGCACACGCACACCAAACCTACGCATCTCTACTCCGCTTGAACTAACCCTACGTTCGGGGGACCTGGGGCAAGTCTGGAGTCTATCGCCGCGACAACAGAGGCTGAGTAGTCCTAGTGTGGCGGCACATGTCAAGTGAAATAGGCCAAGAAGCAAAAAGCAAGACCCACCCAACCCCTATATCATTGGGCTTCCTCGTGCCAAATTGCGCATCACGGCGGGCGCAGCATACGACCATCACCATTGGCATTCGCTAGCACCGCGAGTCCGCGACGCCTCTCTGGGCGCTGGGCAGTGGTGGCAGTGGCAGAGTGAGAGAGATTCTTCTGCATCACATTGTCTTGGATCACCCTGAGCCACTGGGCTAAAACCGAATCCAACATAGTTGCGCTTCGCTTGTCCCTTTGGCATTTGCTGCCAACTCCTTTATTATTATTATTGAAATGCCTGACGACGGACGCCGCATTCCACCTCAAAACATCTTTTCGCGCCTGCTCTCCTCCCTCTCCAATCCTTCCTACACCGAAATGAGGGACCACGATGTTCTCAGGCCCAAGATGCACCCAAAGAATATCACTCTCGTCGTTATTTTATCCTATGTGTTCGACTGGGCGATTCTGATCATTGTCGCCGCTGTCGGTTATATTCTGGGTAACATCACACCGAACAAGAGGCCTTTCAGCCTGCAGGACCCTAACATATCGTACGTCCTAGCTTGTTATGCTTTTCCTTTTGGCAGCCCGACTAATAGTAGACTAACTGACTGACCATCCCTACCTATTAATAGTTTTCCCGTCACTGAACACGAGACCGTCACCTCGGCACTCCTCCTCGTCTGCAACGCCGTTATCCCCATCGCCGTTATCCTGGTTGTCACCCTCGTCTTCGTGCCTGGTCCCACGGTCCCTGAGGGAACGCCCAAGAGCTTGATATGGAAGCGCAAACTGTGGGAGCTTCACATTGGATGGCTAGGACTCGCGCTGTCACTGGCTGCAGCCTGGTTCATCACTTCGGGCATGAAGAACCTCTTCGGCAAACCACGACCTGATCTACTCATCAGATGCCAGCCCGATGTTGCAAACGTGGCCAAATACATTGTCGGCTTTGCGACGCCGGCCGACGATGGCACATTGAACGGGGGCATATACAATGGTCAGCTGGTCAGTGGTGATATCTGCAAGAACCCGGATACAGCCTTTCTCAACGATGGCTTCCGTAGCTACCCTTCCGGCCATTCGAGCTCTTCCGCCGCAGGCTTGATTTATCTATCACTCTTCCTGGCAAGCAAGTTTGCGATCACGCTCCCATTCGTACCATCAGGCGCGTCGTCGAACGACACTAGCGCGGTCACGGCCTTCCCTTCGCGACTGCCCAACCGTGCTGTCGACACCCCCTACGAAGCTGTACGACACGACCGAGATCGGGACTTGGACGAGCCGTCTTCCCCGGTCGACCCTACCGTGGCCAAGGAGATAGGAGTCCAGAATTCGAAAGTGCTTGCCGTACGAAGACAAGCAGCCGCGCCGCCCATCTACCTTCTTGTCATCACCGTGCTGCCTTTCTTTTTGGCTATATTCGTCGCCAGCTCCCGGTGGTTCGACTTCAGACATCACGGATTCGACATCTTGTTTGGATTTATAATAGGCACTATCACCGCATTTTTCGCCTTCCGGTACTACCATTTACCGATCAGTTCAGGAGCTGGATGGGCATGGGGACCCCGAAGTCACGACAAGGCGTTCTGGGCGGGTCTTGGATCGTGGAGCTACGCTACAGAAAAGAAGCACTGGATTAGACCTGGTGACGAAGACGAGCGGATGTCCGGACATCAGGCAGACGACATCGAACTCGGCGTGAGGCAAAGATCACCCCAGACAGCAAACCCCTTCCGCGAACGCTCAAATACGACCGAGAACCCCTTCCGAGCACGCTCAGACAGCTCGGGGGCTATCGTTCATGACGGCAATCACAGCTAGAGGCTTGGATATGTCGAATTTATAGGAACGGACGAAGCATGAGCGAGCGATTGGCTATCAAAATAATGGGAGGCGCATCCTCTGGTGGCGATTTCTGGACATATAGTCTGGATCGGTTTGCTTGCTAGCACCTAATACTGAAGAGGGCATAGACGCCCATCAAGAACCAAATTCCGCCCCTGATAAATGTGATAGCAGCTTTGATCCCCCAGCCACTCATTGCCTACGGCACACGCTTTGCTTAGCCGGCCAATAAGGCATGCATGTGCTGCTGCACACTTCCCGCTTACATCCAACACATAGCACGACCTCGTCACGTTGACGACTGGGGGCTGCAGAAAAGTCCAGCCGCAAGGCACCCCTCCCTGGTCGACCAGTAGTCGGGCACGACTACCCTGGTACTTACCTACGTATCATAAGAAATATGATCAACATGCTACACGAAACGAGGCTGGGTACTAGGTTCACCAGACGGACTGCGGCCGTATCTCCCGTCTCACAGCCTACCTTAACCTTAGTCTTGAAACTCCGGAATCAGTCGCGTAGCACGCAGCCTGCCCATCGGAGGCAGGCAGCGTGTACGGTCTGTTATCCTGACACAGGGACTTAGAACGTGTTGCGTCTTCCTCGCCCATAGTATAGGCTCTACGTAGATCTTTGGGATGCTACTGAAGAGCTCGTATATACACTCTGCCAAGGAGAGCCCCAGACAGAGACCGAAGAGGGTAAATATGCAAAGCAAAAGCACTTTATTCATCATTTGTATCCTAGGACAAGACCTGGGTTGGAACAATGGGGGAATCTCGCCAACGCCATTGCAATACCACCGCCAGCAACTCTCTCAAAACGCCAGCACTGTGCAAAGTTTGTGTCCGTCATTATGAATGCCCTGTACTCATGTCCATTGGCTGTAGCATTCCCTTTCCCTTTGCCTGTAGTTAAGTTCTTCGGGTGTTCATCAAGCCAGAGTACGTCTCATCCCACAACGTGCATTGCATCGCCCTCGGCGGGATCTAGCGCTTCGGGGTCGACGTCCTCGTCCTCCTCGTCTTCGTCCAAATCTTCGTCGCCGTTTACGTCGTCCTTAAATCCGCTCTCGACCTCCATCTTTCTCAGCCGTCTGAGCATGTCTGCACGCTGGCTGTTCTGCCAGCGTATCAGGGCCGCCGGCGCATGCACCTTGAATCCGTAGACACGGGGGATGTAGCGTTCCGCGATCTTGGGCGGGACCAGAGCCGGGTAGACCTGGAACATGATATTGTGAAACGAGGTGCCAAAGTAGGCACCGTCGATAGCAGCATGTCGGGAAGATTTAGGGTTGTACACGTCCTCACAGCGTACGCAGTAAAGCTTCACAGGCTTCTGATGGGCGGCGTCGGTCTGGCCCATGGGGAGGAGAGGATGGGAATGGCAGAAGACACGGGGGCATTTGCCGAAATCAGCCTTCTTATACTTGTCAAGCTGTAGGCGATGGGTCAGTTTGGAAGAGACACATCGCTTAGTTCTGGTGTCATACCATCTTAGCCAGGCCACGCGTAGTAACAATATATCGTGCATGTATCAAGCCATAGAGGTGGCGCGCGGACTTCTCGATGGTTTCTCGCATATCATCGTCGCAATCAAGGTCGAAGACATCGGTGATGAGGTCGAGGGCATATTGGTAGTACTGGACTTCGGTATTCAGGCCCGTCAGGTTGAAGCGATCGGTCAGATAGTCCTCGTCGATTTCGCAGAAGTATTCGTTGCCGCGCGAGGAGATGAACTAAAAAGGAACATAGCATTAGCAAAAGGATACTTGGTAATCCTGAAGAGCAATGTTTCCGAACTCGATCATGCCAATTCTAGCGGCGATCCATCCAGGCTGGAAGACCAATTAGAGCCGGAGGTCGAGTACCAAAGCCTTCTTCAGACGGATCCATCTTTCTCGTAAGAAAATGGTGTGTATTTAAGGCTGCTTTATAAAGCAGAGAAGGGCCTTCTCCAGACGAATCCATCTCGCTCGCAAGAAGACTGCGCTTTCTCTTCATATGACACGACACACGACTAGCTGTATGCTCGAGGTAACGTTCGACGGGTATACCGATGCTTCGTAATATGTGGATGTTGCTGTGATCTCATGGCTATGGGCTTCGCCGACGGGAGACAGACTTGATATTGTTTGCATCCAAGACGTGAATATAATAGAATGGTCAAGCAGGAGCGTCTACCACGGGAATCGGATCGAGGAAGGTAGGAGAGGGAGGTATCGTCATGAAGCTCCCCGAAGGATCCAATCGCACCGTCCAAAAGGCCCCAACCCAAAGATTACAGAAGGAGTCGCTAGGTCTGCAAGGCGAGAGGGCAACAGGACGGGAAGGAAATATGTGTGGTGCACTCACCCAGTCCCGCCAATAGCTGGTGTAGTCGCTATCGGACTCGGAGGCGAACTCGTCCATCATAGGTGCGGAGAACGGCGGTCGCAGGGCCGTTCGTTCGATGTCGACGTGGTAGACAGACAGTTGGTGATGTCGGGTGCCGGCAAGAGGCACGGGAGGCGCTGGGCGGAGGTCAGTGACGTGGTGGTGGTGAAAGGGAGAGCACCTCGATACAGTAATGATAAATGGGAGATGGAGGGGTTGAGGCGCACACGGGTACGCGATGCGATGCTGTTGCTTGCTTGGTGGGGTCAAAAATGATAAATCCCAGGCGGCTGCCCTGATTGAGCCTCAATCCAATTCCGGGGTCAGGGGGTGCGGGGATTGGGAACTTGATATCCAAGCGCCTTCCCACGTCCGAGACCATCAAGGTGCACACATCTACCAAGTACCTTTACCTTAGGTAAGGACATAATCTATGTTACCTGGATGCGTGCATACACATACGATATTGCCTTATTGAGTTACTATCAAGTCACCATATAAAGCCCCGTTTTCAGATATGTACTCGTCCGATGTGGGATACATCGTGCTTGTCATTTTTATACCACTTTATGGGCAGCGTAAGATATGTACTTGAAGGGCCGAGGCTGTCAAAACCTAGGCAGATATATATGCGTTTTGAACGCAACCCGGGATAATTATGCTCTGTCTACACTGGACCGTTCTGTACGACCTCTCCGCTCCACGAGCCATCGCTCTGGTATGAGTTGTACTGACCACCCACGCAGATCAAATACGCGACAAGGTTGACCTGTCGTTAGGGTTCGTCGCTGGAGCATGAGGAAAGAAACTGACTGTGGTCGAAGGCGAGACTCATATGGGGCTGGCGGTGCCGATACTACTAGCATCGCTCGTCGACTGCGCATCGGAGCCCGTGCTAGAGTTTTGTCGCAGCAGTCCCGAGTTACCGTTAGTTTTGCGCGACGGTACTTCCAGCCGCGTCATGATGTCTGTATCATCCGAATCTTTCTTGACGCGGATGTTGACCAGCTCCATCGCCTCCCTGAGAGTCTCGCCACTCTCGTCCATTGCTGCCAGGAACCGCGCCAGCTCTTTACAGAGCTCCCAGTCCTCTTCCCTGATGGCCCGGGAAAAGAGTCGGACTGACTGCTCCGACGCAGCCTCCAGCTCTTCAAAGGTATGTAATATCAATAAATAACCGCCAGCTGTCTTCAATGAGCCGCGCTGGAGCGATTCCTCGAACAACTCCTGCGGTGGTGGTAGGTATGCAAACAATGTTCGCCAGGACCTGACCTCGGTCTTCCTCGTGCACTGCACCACAATGTCCAGATACTGCTTGAAGGACGATAGGAGGGAGAGAACTCTCGGTAGGATTGCATCTTCTGGCCGCGGGGCAGAGTCAACTTCTTCGTCGAGGACATGGTGAAGCAGTATCTCCAAGCCGTGAGCAAAATATTCCAGGTCTTGATATTGTCGAGCTAGTTTCAGCGCTGCAATGCCGTTGTTCAACTTCAGGTGGAACTGGAGGATCTCGGGGAGGAACAGGTGAGTCTGTCGTGACGTTTAGCAGCAATTCGACCTCGAGAATCTGATCCACTTACTCTGATGGAGAAACGAAAGAAGGAGAAGCTGACGTCCCTCCGCTGAACCAAATCAGGCTCTACACCCAAGACAATGCCCTTGCCCAGCAGGATAGACAGTGGGTAGAAGTCAATGGGCATCGAGACCATTGGGGGCAACTCCTTTGTAGACTCGCCCGAAGTGGCATCCAAGACATCTTGTACGTCAGGCCACAGCTTCAGTTCGTGACCCTCGAACACCCACAATGAATTGCGCAGATTGCCTTCCTCAGCCTCCAAAGAGAAGTGGCTGCTAACCTGACTGACCATATTGACAGAGGACTGATCCCTCATACTGGTGTAGTATTCCACGTTGTGGGATATAACACGCATATCATATTTTAGCTGCCCCTCGTGGTTCATCGATGGTTGAAGCAGGACAAGCTTCCCATCGACCAGGAAGAGCACCGACGCACATCTGACATCTTGTGACGGGTCGCCGTTCAGCATCTGGGTCTCGGGCAAGATCCAGCTGAGACCCCTCACCCTCGCGGGAGACCTGACGATTCCATGAAAGGCGATCTGACCGACCTGTATGGGCCGTATGACGCCATCGACAGGTGTCAATATATAGTGGTAAAGGAGATTGTCATGGGTGTAGACCAATAGGGAGTCGTCTCCCGAGGGAGTGATCAAGACTATTGACGCAGGCATCTGCTGCGTGAACATGACAGTTGCATTGTCGAGGGCAGCTTCTCGAGAGTAGAGGCGGAGCTCGTACGACCTGTTGACTTCGACGGCCGCGACAAGGACATGCTGATACCAGCACATTCCACCTTTAACTTGAAATTCATTCTCCATCGCTTCATTAGTAAAGGTCTTCCACCTGCCGCTCTTGACGCTATAGTGAGCCAGACCGCGTTTTCCAGCAACGGCGACATATCTGCCGTCAGAAGAGACAACAGTGCACTTGATCGGCCACTGGTTGAGGAGATAATTGGATGGAATTCTGGCTGTGTGCCAAAGAAATGGTTCTGCAGAGATACTAGTAAGGTCTGGGAGATCGTACCCCCTGTAAACCATGACACTAGTTGAGCTCTGGAGTACCGTCCGGAAGAGGTTGGGCGGACTATAGCAACCAGTCACTGCACTTCGCGCCAGTTCGAGTGACCAGACAGCCTGGTCCTGGTGGCCGACGAGCAGAATTTCGCAGCCGCCGCCGATCCAGCAGGCCTCTGTGATACCTGCCAGCCACTCCTCTTTGTTGGCAGTAATAATCGAAGAGCTGGCACCGAAACTTTGGCTGGCAGACTTGCCAAACACACTCCACGTTGCCCATCCATGTTCGTAGCCGGCGAAGAGACAATATCCGTCAGGAGAATAGCTCAGGGTCGTGAGTGAGCCGGAAGAACTGTGGGAGACTGAAAGTGTGTGGACGTGGGAATGGGGGATGTTGCCAGCATAATCTCTAGCCGAGTAGACATGAATACCACCATCGGCGCACCCTACGGCAATGAGTGAAAACCGGGCATTCACGACAGCCCTGGTGGCGTAGTCCTCTTGTTTTTGAGGCGTGTGAAAACAGTAGCCTTTGAATAACTTCTTGGGGTCGACCGCGGGGCCGGTATTCGACTGACTGGCCGAGATGCGCTGAACGGCATAAGCCTTGCCATCGTTTGTGATCCAGGTAGAGAGGTTCATAGGACGGTCATGGGTCATTTCCGTGATATAGGTCTTCTTTTCGAGCCAGCCCATGCGGCTGACAAGCTCTGTGCTTGTCTGGCTGCCAGTGCTGTCTGGAGTCCATCTGATACATTGGACTGCAGCGGGTCTCTGGGTAGCCACGACTAGCTCATCGTCGAGAGCGAGGGCGTACTCAATACCCGCGTCCACCTTGATTACTCTTCTAAAACGAACGCTGATATCACGAACGCCGGCGCCTTCACCCGGTCCTAATAGAATCTGATCAGGGGCACTATTGTCAGGTCCGCCAAAATGGCTTTGGCGTCGGCGATGAATATTTGTATGATCTGCAAAATGAGGTTTATAGACTCGCGATTCGGCATCGGTTGCTAGGGAGTACGTGATCAAGTATCCCAAGCTCGTCTGGACAACGAAAATGGCCGCGTCTGGTCTGAGGAGGAGTGCAACGTTGGTGCCATAAGATTTGGTGGACGCTTCGGATCGGACAACGAGGGCTTGGACTACAGTAGGCTACAGAATGGCAAGCACATCAGTCAAGAGATATCTAGGATCCAGTAGTAGCAGGGGGCGCAAACCTTGGTCTGCCAAATAGTCATGCTAGAGGTTGTGATGACTGCAAACAGGTTGCCGGATCTGGATACCTTCAACCCGACGACCGGCTCCCCGGACGGAATTGTAGTTTCTTCAGACCTCGCAAAGTATGACTGCGGACCGTGGGAGCTGCCCTCGTATTGCTCCACGGAGTTGATACCCGGCGTGCCTGGCGTCCTAACGCTTGGTGTACTGGGTACGTGGGCTTCAAGGGTGTTCAAGTCATTCGCCTCTTGATCTCTGGGAGCTGTCGACTCGGTGCTCGATAACGAGACGCCGTCGGCACCGGGACTGGGGGAAAGCCCATCGTGGGATACGGTGAGGTTCGGCTTGTTAGACGGCGGGGTGGTAGTGGTGGCGTATATTCTGGGGGTTCCAATGGGCCAGTACATGGCTATTGCAGGCGCTTGGAAGCTTCATTCGGGAAGCCCCAGTGCCGGCGGACCATGTGTTTCACTCGAGTTGGATTCTGAGAGCAGGCGACTGCATGCTGCTAGCTCAACCTTCGTTCGGCTTGAAGCATGACGAGAGACAATTGGCGGTGCAATGTGCTGGGCAAGGCTGGTGGTAGCTGGAGGTGGTAGATCATTGGGGGCTCAACTGGAAGGCACGCTGCATCAATGATTGGCTGTGAGTTCCAGGACCATGCTGGAAGTGCACGGCCAATGGAAAGCAGCTGGGGCAGGATAGGTACCTAAGTATGTAGGTAGCTCTTGCAGCGATAACCCCGCCTGTTGCAGCACATTCGTTGCGCTGTACGCATGCACGCGACAGGTAAGCACTGTACCTAGGTACCTAAGGTTAAGGTTTAATGCGGCGCCAGGATCCAACCTTGGGAAGCCTTGAACCATCCTTCGGACATTCCACCTCTTTGTTCTTTAAGGGCAGCGCGGCGAGGTTTCTCAACCACGCATTTTCTCTCGACCCTTGGTATGCAAGCACATGCACGGCACCACAGATAATAAAGCATGGCGCATTTGGTGACGAGAACTTCGGTGGCCCCGGAAAGGTTCAAGACTCTGCTTCCTTCACTGAGGCCCACCATTTACCACGATCCGAGTGCAAGCAAGGCTGCAAATAAGTAAGTCGAGACCCTCCCCTCCCCTTCAGTCACCTCTGTCCACCATGGGCCCTTTAGCCCGGCCTTATATAGCTCGCTGGGTCGAGCTCTCACAACATGAGTCCCGAGAGACTACAGCTGTGTGAACATGTGCTAACTGATTTGCTGGTAGTATCCGCACCATTGCTTGGAACCCCTTGGGCAATTATATTGCAACTGGTTGCGTGGACAAAACCTTGCGTGTTTGTGAGTTTAATTGCAGCGCCCGCGGGTGCTCGGAGCACAAAACTAGAAACGTGAACTGACTGGCGCGCTGCTCAAGGGAACATAGAAAAGCCCAACGTTCGCATGACAACGGAGCTGAAAGGGCATGCAGCTTCTATCGAGAAGGTCGCCTTCAACCCCGCAAGCGAACTGGAACTGTGTAGCGTCAGCAGCGATGGCGTGGTGAGGTTCTGGGATGTCAAGACGAAGACCATCTTGAATGAAGTCAAGGGTCTTGGCGAGACCTTCACCCTGGCCTGGGCTCCACGCGGAGAGTGTGTCGTCGTTGGTAACAAGGTAGGCAGCGATGCACATATATTCCCATGCTCACAGCTGCTCACCGCGAAACAGGATGACAAGTTGTTCGTGCTGTCACCCACTCAGAGCACGCCCCTTTCAGAACATCAACAGCCTGTAGCAACGAACAATACCACGTTCTGCTGGAGTGGTCAGAGGTTGTTCACCACCACGGGGGAGGGAAAGACGAGGATCCTCTCTTTTCCCAGCTTCGAGCCGGCTTTCGAGTTTGACTACAAAGACGAGGAACACAAGGAGTTCCAGCTGACGGGCCACACCTCGTCGTGCATTCTAGCCGAGCTACATCCGTTCAACAGATACCTCGCCACAGGAGGTACTGACTCGACCATTGCCCTCTGGGAAACGGCGGAATGGAACTGCGTCCGGACAGTTAGCAAGATGACTGGCCCAGTCCGCAGTCTCAGTACGACTCTCTTCAAATACATGATCGTCCCGACTGACATTTGGGTACAGGCTTCTCTTGGGATGGTCTCTATATCGTTGGCGGAAGCGATGAAGGTCAGTGTTGGAACCAACTTGCTTCATGGTTGATTGCCTGACACGGAGCTAACATGATCTACAGGGGCCGGTCTGGAAGTTGCCAACGCAGAAACAGGCGAACACCTCTGCACCTACAAGACCAAGGACCCTTCTCCAGTTGTAGCTTGGGCGCCCAACCGCTATGCACTTGCGTACACTGATGCAGGGACCCTTCGGATAATAGGAGCTACGCCGGGTGGAAAATAGGAACCTCTCTCGGCAAGTCCTCTTGGTGCAGCTCGACGCTCTCAACCGGACAAAAAGTCACCTACTGCAACGCACAACAGTCCACATGCTAAGAGTAGCAAGCTCCCTAGCGCTTCTGAAGGCAGTCCATATGCTGTCCAGGGCTATATGGGAAATGGGGACTTGATTGTGGGTTGAGCTGCTGCACATGTTGCTCGTGGTAAGCTGTGGAATGTCAGCGCGGAGGAATCAGATACCGCCGCCCTGAGCGGCATGGAATGGTCCTCGGAATCATCTGCAATCTAGGCGATTGGCGTCTCTATCTGGATCAGCTGATACAGGCATTGGACAGTTCTATGCCGGGATCTCAGCGCGTGCGAAAGGGCTTCTGCTGCTGCACGCAGCAACAGCTGGGATCATTTCAGGAGAGCAGTTATGTAGGACAAGATGTCAATGCGACGACGTTGCAATGAACAGAGGTGCCAGCACGAAAGTTGAAAGTCTGTGAAAGGTGACAAGGCGGGAAGCCATGCCCATTTTGAGCTGCCTTACACTACCTAAGTATGTAGGAATTCTTCTTACATCTGTATAGCTCCGAATCCAGATCTCCGAGCCGGAGGCAACCTGGCATGGTCTAGATATCCGGGTATCTCAGATGAACAGTCGGTTCACTTCTAGTCATCTAGTTGTACTAGTATGACATTCCGTGCTATGCAGTGCCAGATCAGTAGAGTTTCTTATCTGGTATGCGACCCAGGTGGCATATCATATCATGGTTCAACCTCGTTAAAGAGCTGTAACAAGCCGCTGACAAGACCATGCGTACGAAGGGGAGACGTTGGAACAGAGTGGAAGCAGACGAAGCAGGACTGTGTCTACTCAGGGGTTAGTAATAATCGATCGCCTTCCCTTCAGCCAAGGACCATGTGCACGCAAGACATACGGAGCTTGTTCGCCAAACAGAATGGCGATGATGTCGCCTTCCCGTGAAGTCTGAGGGCCTATGCCAAGGTGCCCACTCGATGTAACGAAGAGACGACGGTTGCGGCAAGTGTTCCAGAAATCTTGGACGACCGCCCAGCAGCCTACGCTCATACTCCTGCCTCCTTCATCACTCTCCGTGGCATACATCTCTTGGACGCCCAGGAAAGTCAGTAGCTCCTCGCGAATACGCGATCCTGGCTGCAGAACCGCTTCGTGGGCCGCTTCGTGACCCGGTTGTCTCCTGCAGCTCATGGTTGCAAGGACGTCGTGCATCTTCGATGGGCTCGTAAGATGGGCTTCGGCGAATGAGTTGCCCAGCGCAAAGAAATTAGCATAGTCGTCAGCAGCATGTGCCAATACTTCGTCGTGGACTGCCGTTATGGACTCAGCAACGATACCATCCAAGCGCAACACGCAACCGGTGCCGTATTCACACTTCATAGGGCGCAGCGTGTCTGCCTTGTAGACCCAATTCATGAATTTCGTGTCACCAGCTTCGTAATCGGGCCGGCGGTCCCACCGAGGCACCCATGACGGGAATATATCATCCTCTGAGCTCTGGGACTCCATAAGCCTTGCATTCTTGTGCCTCAACGTCACTAGGTCTCCTCTCTGCAAGCAGGCCCCGGCAGTCGCAATGGCATATACTTCGCGAAGCGGCTTGGTGTAGTATACGGCCAGCACAACTGGTACGTTTCGCTGATCATGCTGCGCACGGTATGCGAGGCCCAGCATACCGTAAACCTTGTCTTTCGGATCTGTGGCATTGAGAAACCCTGCCTCGCGTAGTAATACCAGAAGTTCGTGACCGCGATCGCGTCGCCCTTCTAATGCAATTCTGGATATTCGCAAACCCAATCTGCACTCCGGCGTCAGTAGCCAGCCAGATATCATTTTGCACTGGATCCAGAAAGCTACCCTGGTGATGTTCGACCAGGAGATTTGCCAAGCGCCCCAATGGCAGAGCGTGGAGGGCGGCAGTATAGCTTCTTGAACTACCTGTGTTTTCGGGATACTGAAGTCAGCGATGCGTGCTCCGAGCAGTAAACAGATGATGCTTCGATCCACGTAGAATCAAGCGCTTCCGTTGCTGTGCATGAACACTTCCGGCCACAGTCTACGTCTGTACCACAGAATGGAAAGGAACGTCTCAACGTACCCAGACCCTGGTGAACCAGGGTTGGTAGAACAAGTGCTGGAGTGACCGTCTGGTACCTGCATCGAAGTCTGGCGGCAACGGTCTCGAATTATGAGTAATATTAGTTCGACCCTTCCTTTTCCAGGTTTCCAGGTTTCCAGGTTGCTTTGAAAGCTTTCCGTATTTGCATCTATATCAGAGAGAGCCATACCGAACGCGCGCATGGCCATGTCAGTGTATTGGTCACTCTCTCCAAGCCATACTAACGTCTGCTCGGTAGACGAGTAGATATCTCCCATTATGGCCACTTAGATATCACGCTCGAGCAGGTCATTCTGGTTGATACATATGGCGTCGAGCCACAGTATCCGAGGCTCCTTCGCGTTGCGGAAACGACGGAGGACATTGGCGGCGCTTGCAGGGGCTTCCGTAAGGATGCCATTGACAGAGATTGGTTGTAATCCGGAATGTTCGCCCCAGCAGTAGGATATCGCCTCATACTTAAGGGTATAGCGGTGCTCATCGTTTGGGTCGCCATCCTCGACGGTGCCATGTTCGCCGGGTTCTAGGAACGTCGTCAATAGCTCGCAGCTGACGATCTCATCTTTTTTGTCAGCAGGGAGCAGCCGAATCAGGCGTATCGCTTTCCGAGCTGGATCCAATGCGCTGTAGATCCGGGCCGACATGTCCCTTCCCGAAGCCGGAGAGGAGTCTTCAGTCCCCGACCCGCCAGCTTCAGACGGCGGCATTGGAGCGTGGAGGTCCTACACATAGGAAGGCGACCGTTCTTGCTAAGATTGAAGTCGAGAGGGAAAAGTGATTCGCCCAATTGCCAATGTCATGGCATCAGATCAGGCTATATGCATCGCAGCCTTCAAGCTTTCTCGACTGCGCCTCACATGCAGGCTCATTAACGAGCTGAGCCTGCAGCCACTGACGAAGACCATGCCGGCCATGCGTACGAAGCGAAGACGTGGAACAGAGTGGAAGCAGGTGAGGCATCTACCCATAGTGTTGATTAGTAATAATCGATCGCCCTCCTTCAGCCAAGGACCAGGCGTGCCAGGGGCCCAAGCTGAAGAACCAAGTGGTTGACTGTGGGGTATCCATTCCGTTGCCCGAGCTCTCCAACGGAGGTCGTCCTCCTGCTGCTGCCTCGATATCGTAACAATCGTGGCTGCGTGGGCGCTCGACCAACATACCATTCTATCAACATATCAGCTTACGCGGTCTGGCCTTTGGGTTCAAACAAACAAGTGTGACAAGCGTTAATTTCTAAAGCCCGCCACACCCCTACGAGATCACACGGGCCATATTTGCGTTCCTCTTGGTCAAATGACCGTCACTGTCCATGTCTACAAATAGGACCCCTACTTGCCCCTTTCAGCCCTAGCCTTCCCACCGTCGCAGTAGCGGCAGCTGTGAAGCTGCTCTTATGCTGGAGTGGCTGGCTGCGCCGTTATTCCCCACCTGATAGTGATAACGGTATCCTAACTTCCCATGCCTCTTTCACTTGACTCAGTTCAGCCCTATCTTACGTACTTCGCCGTTCATATACCGACCGGTTGACTTGAGTACCTCCTATTGAACGACTCGAAACTCTATTCCGCTGCCTGCTTCTGGGATATTGCATGCCCATGCGCAACTTACGCGGCCCAACTGGCTGCCCATCGGACTTGTCTCACAGAGACCCGATATAAGCATCAGACACTCCAAGCCCAGAGACGAACATACACGTTCGACCTAGTTGTGCCATCTATTAGGTTTCCGCCTTCCCGAGTCCGGCATACGTATTTGATTGTGCTCTCCGACAATGTCACCGGCAAGCGCCGATCCCTTTGGGGCTGCCGAGTCAGGGTCGCAAGGCAACAGCCCTTCCGCCGACGCTCCCCCGTCCGACACGCCGCGGAACAATAGCGATATACCCAAACCGAAGAGACTTGCGTGCATGATATGCCGCAAAAGGAAACTACGATGCGATGGCTCGAAACCAAGCTGCAGCACCTGCACAAGACTCGGCCATACTTGCGCTTACGATGAAGTGAGGAAAAAGAGTGGCCCGAAAAGGGGCTACGTGAAGGCTTTGGAGGAGAGACTGAGTGAGTGGCACTGCTCGAGCGCCTACTCTCATTGCCGAGCTGAACTTGGATATGCTGACCATATACAGAGCAAGTGGAAACGCTGCTGAAGACTCAAGATCCGTCCACCACTGCCAGCCCCGAAGCAACAAAGACGCCCAACGTCACCCTCGAACAGACCCGAATCCAACAAGCATCTGCGACCCCCAATTTCACCGTTACGAATCCCGCCATAGCTATCGCAAATGACCGCGATGCAGATCGATGGCATATCAATGGGGAATCACCGCAAGCCGCTACAGGCAGCGGCGGTTTGGACGACTTCAACTTCGCGGGCAACATGTCGATGGGTATGGACAGCTTAGATCCAAGTTTTACCTGGGAGATGATCGGTCTGGGTCTGGAGGAGCCCCTTCCGCCGCAGGAGACAATAGATGAGTTGTACGCAGCATCGTTTCTCTACCCGGTACGACATTACTCACACGCCATAGGCACCAGATATACTTCGAGAAGATCCACCCGTCTTTACCGATGATTCACAAATTCAGATACCTGACGGCAATGAACTTGTATGTTTCGCTCAATTCAAAGCTTCTAGAGCAGCCCCACCCAGGCAAACCTCCTCGTCACTCATTTGCTCCTCGTTTGATAGCTCTTGGCTCACGTGTCCACCAGGGCCCCAAACCAGAGACCGCCAGTGGCACTACGCTACGCGATTTGGACTCTGGCCTGCTCAGTAACAGAGAAGTACACTGATCTCAAAGATCTCTTTTATCGACGCGCTCGCAAGTATGTTGAGGGGGACTACATCAAAGGCTATGGCGAGCACTTCATCTCCGTTGCTCACTGCCAGACCCACGTACTGCTTGGTTCGTATGAGTTCAAGATGATGTACTTCCCCAGAGCCTGGATGAGTACTGGCTCAGCCGTACGCCTGAGTCAGATGTAGGTCAAAGAGCCGCCCTGGCAGCGTGTAGGCAATACTGACGGCATATAGGATCGGATTGCACCGGCTTGACGGCAATGGCTTGGATGTCAAACAATGCCTCCCAGCCCCCCGTGACTGGACTGAGACGGAAGAGAGGCGGCGTACCTTCTGGATGGCCTTCTGTCAAGACCGGTATGCTAGTATTGGAACAGGGTGGCCCATGATGGTTGACGAACGGGATATTTCGAGCAATCTTCCTTCCTCGGAAGAAGCTTTCAACATGAGCCGCCCAGAGCAAATGCAGACACTCACCGAGTCCATGAGCCCAGCTGGGGCGGGCAAGCTGTCATCATTTGGGGGTATTGTGCTGATGGCGTGCCTATTTGGTCGCAATCTCACTCATCTTCACCGTCCGGATGCAGACGACCGCGATCACGACATGAATGGCGAGTTTTGGAAGCGTCACAGGAATATGGATAATATTCTTCTGAACACCTCCCTCTGCCTGCCAAGCCACCTCAAGCTTCCGGACGGCCTTGGAAATCCGAACATTGTCTTCACAAATATGAACATTCATACATCGACCATCTGTCTCCATCAAGCAGCCATCTTCAAAGCGGATAGAAACAGACTCCCGCCCACAGTCAGTGCGGAAAGTAAGGTCCGTTGCATCACAGCAGCGAACGAGATTGCGAGTATCATGAGGATGGTCTCTCATCTCGACCTATCTGCTGTAAGTACCCGCCCGCGAGTCTATGAAGCAAATAGGTCTAATAAATTCTAGATGAACCCCTTTATCTCTTTCTGCTTGTATGTGGCTGCGCGAGTCTTCGTCCAATTCCTCAAAAGTCGTCCAGACGATAGCCAGACAGCAGACGCCCTACGATTCCTTCTCTCAGCCATGAATGCGTTGAAGAGGAAGAACCCCCTGACGGAATCCTTCCTGGTCCAGCTCGACGTCGACTTGGAGGCGCTAGGCTTGAGGATTCCGAAATTGAAGTCTGCATTCCCACGAAGTACAGCCAGTGTAGGTCCCTCATCTACGTCGAAAGTGAAGATGATGGTTACTGATGATGTTGTTAGCCTGGACCGCACCCCAGCTTAACCAAGATGCAAAAGAATGCGGATGTAAATGGACAGCCCAGGTCAGGCAATGCCGGTACCATGAACTTCCACGACACGGATTGCAACTTCCTGAGGACTCCGGGGGATGACGGCAATCCGCTCAACGCCCCCAACCTAGTCGAGTCGGAGACGCATAACCCGAACCAGATGCCGCAGGGTTGGTATCCAGGAGAGCAGTTGATGTCAGGGCGTGGACGCGAATCTGGAGCTGGTCACGGCAAGGGCGCTGTTTCCTCGATGCTTTTCGAGGCGGGCGGATTCGGCGAGAGTCAGAGTAGCGAAACGAATGACATATCCGGCTCGTCGAACCAAGACGGGCAATCGAACAGGCCAACACCGAACTCGAGTAGCGCGTCAGACCACCGGCAGAGTACGACGGGGACAGGTGCAATGACGAACTCGGATAGGCCATCTTTCGACGCGAGTCCAAATGGGTCTCGAGCGATGGAAGTAGCAGCAGCAGCTTACTTTCCCAGCGCAGGCTTTGGCATGTCCGGCACGGGGCTGTCCCCCGGCGGGACCTTCTCCATACCAGATCTTTCCGGGCATGACTTTTCGGTTCCCGGTGGGTGGGATAGCGAACAGGCGGGCATGACGCCAAGGACAGCAGAGGGGATCATGCAGGGCATCATGAACATGCCAATGGAGGAGATGAATTGGGACTCTGGTGTGTAGACTTGCACGGGCTATGGAAGTGTAGGCGTTCATTTCTCTTGAGCCATGTATTATGAGGCGAGGCTCGAATCTCTCCAAGGTGTAGAGGGAATTTGGAGGGGCTCAAAGAGAGGGAATAACAGGAGGTGACTTGTTGGATACTTTCTGGCATCCCTGGCGTTTTGGGCGTCGGCGAGCCTTGAATGATATTGGTACCGAGGCAGGCCATAGGAAGGCTCTGGGACTGTAATTATATGAATATCTGGGAGATGATGTTGGAATTCCACTCCGAGCGTATACACTCTGTCGATTGCAATGATATCTGCCTACCTTTGTCTAGGATAAATGATTGTACAGGATTCTCTTTGGTCATTACAAGGAGATAACGGAGAACGGAGAGAAATTAATGACCAAGACTGCAGCCCGCAACTATATACATGTACCCTAACAGCTTTGTAGCTGCCGTTATCGGCCTCTATACCTACCACGGGTACTATACTAACTGTATAGAGACCACAAAGCACCCGTGGCGCTTGATATAACAAAAGACACTTGTAGTTCACATCAAACAGCCTCTATCATCGCAGTATGGCAGATGTATACCTTATAGATGCATCTACCTATTAGCGTGAGGGGCGGATGATCGTCAGGGTCCATTCCCCCCTATCAACTATCGATAAACTCCGCGGTGGCGGCATGAGCGCATGGGGTTACCGGCAAGATCCACAGGGCGCCCTGTCACAGGCTGTCAGGTCCGTTCGCGGGCCATGGATAGGGGTCCAGACCGTTCGAACAGCAGTTCAGCTGCCTGCCTGGCAGTTGCTCCTGATGATCTCTCGCGCATGGAATGGGTGCAACTGCCAACAGCGAGGCGGGGCAGCGCCATGTGAGTTGCCTTTTCGGCTTCCAGGTTCCTATCGGCTGCTCTCCACCCGACAACATCTCTGTCTGATGTGACTGTTTCCATCCCTCCACGTTGCCGAGGCCGTCCGATTCGACCAGCTCCAGCCAGGGATACACGTAGTAAGCTAGGGGGGTAGCTGCCAGGCTGCCCAACATTGAAGCTACCCGTGGACCTTGCGCTAGGTATCAGATGACGGCGGCAACGGCGACCTCTCTGCCTCTCCACCTTATGACTGTCTCCAGCGCCATCACCGTCGACACCATTATAGAGTACTGCGACATGAGCGATGGGGGTATACACGGGCGAGCTGCGTATGATCAAAGGCGGCATCATTGGCAGCAGCACTCCTGACACCGACGCCCACCATGGACCCGGCCTCGCTTCCCTTTCCATCGCCACATCCCCGCCTTCATGGCCAGCCCACGCCGCACCACTTTCGCATTCCGACCCTACCATCGCAATCGAATCTCGACCTCGGCCCGCTCGACGCGACTGAAGCGACCCTCGAACACCATCTCCAGCGTCTTCAAGCCATTCCGAACATGCCCATCGGTCCCTCCGACTTTGGTCAACACCACCAACACCATCCACTCCAACACCAGCCCCTTCCTCCCCTTCCTCAGTCCACATCCGATCTCCAAGGGGTGCCTCACCATCGTGCGCTGCCGCCACCACCACCACTTCCTCCGCCTGCTCACTCCGCGCCTCCAACCCATAGTCAATTCGCCATCTTGACGCCGAACCTTTCCAGTTCCCAGCCAGCTGCTATACCCCAGATTCTGGCAGATGAGGACGTGTTTGCGCCGCCGCCCCACGTCCCTTCCTCGGCCCTCGAGTCCTCGGAACATAAGGCACATGGACAGTTAGTCAATAGGATAGTTACCAACCCGCCAGACCTCAAAGCGTGGCGCGAAAGGCTGTTCAATGTCGACGACACCATCACTTTGACCAATGACCAGTGCGCCAGATTCCCCTTGCTTATAAGTGACCTTCCCCGCTGATACACCGACAGATTCGAGACTTATTTCCCCCATATTGACAACGTGTACTCTCATCGCTCTACTCAGAAGTACAAGCGCAAGCCCTTCATCTCCCACTACTGGGACTGTCGCATGAAAGGACGCCCGCCAGGTACACCCAAGTCAGAAGACCCCTCCAAGAAGAAGCGGAAACGCTTCGCGCGCGAGAGGGATCTTTGCGATGTCAAGATCAAGATTACCGAGCACTTCCCAGGTTCTGCATTTTCTCCAGACGGAGAAAGCATCCCCGGGGGTCCTCAGTCGAGTCCATATCAGCCACCACCCCAGGCTTTCTCTGACGGCTTGTCTAGACCACCAAATGGTTACGTACAGGGCGAGAAGTACTGGACCATACAAAGAGTCAATGGCAATGGCGGGAACGGGAAGGCTGATGGTGTAGCCGGCCCGCATAAACACACTTTGGAGAAGAGCGATGAGATCAAGAAGTCCAGTGTGCAGAGGTTTGTTGCCACGCAGGGAAAGGAGTCCAAGAAAATACAGGTGAGTTGTGGCTCCTGTCCCCATGTCCAATTCCTTCAAGTATGTTTCGAGCAAAGGCACGGCTAGAGAGGTGACTCAACTATCATTATTTGCCCCGTCTGCATCGTGCCACAGCCCAAAGAAAGGGTTTACCTTTACAATGCCATGTTCGGTCGTATCTTACTTGGGCGCACGAACCTGAAAAGACCTGCCTCGAGAGATACTAACATACCTAAGAAACCCACACCAAAGAGGCCCTCTGGTGATGCACTGGCCACGGCAAGGAAGCATTTGAGGGATCACGAATTAAAGCTCTATGCGGCTAGTTTCTGGTAAGCAGTTTTCGTATTGATTGTAGACTCCACCGGCTGACCATAGCCGATACAGCCCCTTCTCTCAGCGAGTATGGATTGCGCTCGAGGCAAAGGGCATGCAATATCAGTATTGTGAGATTGATCCTTTCACGCGACCAACTCAACTGCTGGAGGCAAATCCCCGAGGATTGGTCCCAGCGATACGTCAAGGCGATTGGGCTAGCGGTGAAAGTACTATCATCCTGGAATATGTGAGTTATCAGTCTTCGGCTCGCATGGCTTTCCCTGGCGGTGACTCACGAGTAATAGCTTGAGGATCACGATCAGAGGGTGCCCCTTTTCCCCACGGATCCCAGATTAAAAGCGAATTGCAGGCTGTGGATAGACCATGTATGTACCCTCGACTGTCGATGGTGTCTCACAACCCAAACTGACTGTCCAGATCAATGCAAAAATAGTGCCAGCATTTTTTGCACTCGTGAGAGCTGCCGACTTCCCTACGCAAGCTGAATGTGGGGAGAAGCTACAAAGCGATATAGCAGCATTGGTCCAAGCTGCTGATGAACGGGTTTGTCTAACCTCATGTCGTGCGACGCAGCTATTTTCTGACATGGCACTCAGGGACCGTACTTTTTAGGAGCAGACTTATGTCTTGTAGACATTCACCTGGCTCCTTTCGTGCTACGATTTCCTCGCATACTCCGAGAGCTCCGCAACTGGCGTGATCCTACACCGGGCTCGCGCTGGCATCATTGGGCTAGTGCCATTGAGCGAAACCCTCACATACAGGCTACGACCAGCGAAGACGACTTATATCTTGACACATCCGAGCTCTTTCTGAAATGCCGTCGGACCAGCCGTCAGCCTACTGTGAATCATGAGCCGAGTCATACTTGAAGCTTGCTCATTCTTGTCACTCATCGGGAGCATGACTTCCTTACTTGACAGCTTATACATAGAAAGCGGGGCGGGGGTGTTGGCGCGCATAGATACAAGGGTACACCATAGACTCACGTTGGGTTCGGCTTTGGATACGGGGTTGTATGTCAGCGTGGGGATCTATACCCGAAGTGACCAGACCGGAGTTGTGATATCTGGGATCTTTCCCCCAAAAGTACCCGAGGAGAGTCGATGGATATACACTATATCAGTACCAGCTATATGTATCAAATTGATTCTTTTAGTCTCAGTGCAACTCATTGCCTACCTACATGACGGACAGCGACGTTGCTGGATGTACTCATTGTTTTATAATATCGTATTCGTATTTAGTAAGAGGGTATGCTTCGGCCAGTGATAGCTGTAGGCATGCACACCACGACGTTATGAAAATATTTACATGCAATGTATCGAATCTGGCTAATACCGCGTTATTTACACGTCGTTGAGCAAGGTTACCTTGAAAGCCTTCTAGTTTAAGACCTGGGACCTCATCGCTGCTGCCATGATTATAGGCCTGACTTTACTCTCGATTCTGTCCCACTATCAAGCATCTTCATTTATCCAAGAATCTCTCTGTATGAGCTGATACTCTCTCAACACCACTTGACCATACGGATGGTTGGTTGGTTGCAGTGCTTACGTCTAGTAAGTGGCCTCAGGGGCGATAGGACGTGAGAGGCAGCCCACCCTTACATACATACATGCATACAAGTGGCTTCTGATGCCAACCCAAGTCTGCATAAGGGCGAGGGTATCGGGCCACGCGTTCACCCTTTTTAGAACGTCGTGTCTGGTATTTCGGGGCTCCGAAAAAGAGCTGACACGAAGCTTCCAACCTTCCATCTGCTAATAGGTCGCCGTCTCAACGACAACCGTACCACAAGCTCCTCCCACCGTAGCGGTTCACCGGCGATGTAAACGGTCGCGTGCGTATCTTCAGCCCCTTCTATCGACGTATGTTCGGCGCCGGGACTCTCTCGTATCGTGCTTGACCATACCGACCATGTGTTGGAGACTGATATAATTTCCTCTGTCCACGCTTCTCAGGCTGAGTGCTGTTCGTCGGGGTCTCGCTACTTGGAGCTCTCCGGCGTGAACATAGTGCTGTTCGCTTGCTCTCGTCACTGCTATCTCTGTCTCTCTTATTCTCCCCTATGAGGGATTTATTGAGTGAAGATCTACTAAGCCAAGTACACACCTTACCGCTCTCGGCGATGTCGCTGACCTCCTGCCGCAGACATCACCATCTCTCCTCATCACGTAAAGTAGCTATGTCCGCAGGACCTTCAGCTCGCCTGTTTTACGGCTCTTCTAAGCTAGCCGGCGAGTCTATAACGGGCACACCGGAGAGACGGATACTGGTACTGGTATGAGGGATGCAAAGCCCGCTTGCCTGGAGACGACTTGGATAGGTGCTTCTCTGGTTACTGCGAGATAGCTGGCTTGGAAGATGTTTAAACAGAGGAGTGTTGTGTCACGTTCTCTGACTTAAATGCGATCAACAGAGCCGATCATGTTATTGCCGTTGTGAGTTTGGTGTAGGAGTCGAACCAACTCAAGTGGTGGGGAGATAGATATATATCAACGGATATCAACCATGCTCACTTCCACTGCAATAAGCGGCAATAATAGTTGAGATGAGGGCCGTGGTCTGCTCGACTCTATACTGTGGCGGCCTGTCCACCTTAGAGATACTTGTTCCGACATTGTGTGTTGAAGACGATAGTAATCTTCTCTTGAAGTTTTCATCTTTCGATTTTTACTATACTAAAAAGAAGAGCTTACGCGCATGCTATGGTTGTGTTGAACTTTCCCCTGGTACAGCAGATACTCGTGTCTCAGGGGTTAAAATGCGATAGCGTTATCCTCGTCTTCCTCACTCAGACGGATGGGCAATCCTCCAAAAACATTTGAGCATACCTATGTGAAGTCTAGACCGCGGTAGTTAGGAGCCCGAGTAGACTCCTTCGCATGGACAACAGGTGAAGTGATGATCACGAAATGCCCCCCTTTAATCAGCTGCCCCCTTAATCAGCTCTTCTTGTTACCTACCCCATAAAATAGGCGTGGCCCGTGCTCGACCCACTTCTACCTACATGCAGGTGTCGAGACTTAGAGGTATCCACCTTTCTTTTCCAGATCATCATTGCGAAGCGCGAAGCGACTGCAAAAGACTTCTTCGATCGCGACACTCACAGCCCGACAATACACAACTACTTGTGCTGCGCCTGATACACCCGAACCTCCTAGTATCTTCGTCGAGCTGAGCTGCTCGCCCCGATCAGTCGAAGATGTCTACCTTAGCAGACGAGCTTCTGCAGGACTTCGAGGACTCGGGATCCGAGAACGAGAATGGCGACGAACAGGCCAACGAGGGTGGTCTTTACTCCATCGACGGCCCAGCCGTGGGCGCGCCCGAGAACCACCAAGATGGCGATATGATGCTTGATGGCGACGAGGAAGAAGAGCCTGCCGAAGACGAGGAGATGGGCGGCATGAACGGGGCGGCTGCTGATCCCATGGAAGACGAAGAAGCGGCCAAAGCCAGGATCGAGAAGATGCAACTCGGCGGCGTGAAGGACGTACGCAAGGTCTCCAGCGTCATGGACAGACTGGAACCTCTGCTCAAGGTTAGTGAGAACACTCCTCCCCCCTCCAACTCCCAAAGTGGCGGCAAAGCGTTTACATCTCTCGGCTGGAACAATAGACCTGACGGATTGGCTACGGTTTTGCAGGATATCGCACACTACCAGTCGAAACCCCTCACGAATAAGACGAACATCGGCAACATCGAGGACAACCCCGAGTACAAGGTTCTCACCGAATCGAACACGCTCTCCACACAGCTAGATGGCGAGATCATGAAGGTCCACAAGTTCATCCGAGACCACTACTCGAGAGTGTTCCCCGAGCTGGAGACGTTGATCCAGAACCCTATAGAATATGCCAAGGTAGTGATGATCCTGGGCAACGGGCCTATGGACTCGGGAAGCATCAAGGCCGTTCAAGACTCGACCAATAACCCCCTGGGCGAGACCTTGAAGTCGGTTCTGGATGGTCCTTCGCTCATGATTGTAACCGTCGAAGCTACGACGACCAAGGGACACGAGATAAGTCAAGAGGACATCGATCGTATTCTCCGAGCTTGTGACATGATCATCACCATGGACAAAGCCAAGAAGACCCTCACCGAATATGTCCAGTCTCGGATGAACGTCTTCGCTCCCAACCTGACGGCCATCGTAGGATCGTTGACGGCGGCGCAAATGATCAACACCGCTGGTGGCTTGACGAATCTGTCTAGAACTCCTGCCTGTAACATTGCCGCATGGGGCTCTAACAAACAGAGAAATGCAGCGTTCGCCACCAATGTTGCGATCAGACAGCAAGGTTACCTGTTCCACTCACCGATCATCCGTGGCATACCGATCGACCTAAAGAAGAAGGCCATGAAGGCCGTGTCGGCAAAGCTCGTGCTGGCTGCTCGAGCTGATACAGGCCACACCCACCCTGACGGCGCATACGGAGAAGAGCTCAGAGGTCAATGCTTAGAGCGTTTGGACAAAATGACGGAGCCGCCTCCCAACAAGGGACAGCGAGCGTTACCAGCGCCGGACGACAAACCGTCCAGAAAGCGAGGTGGTCGCCGAGCCCGCAAGGCAAAGGAGGCAACGGCGATGACCGACCTGCGGAAGGCCCAGAACCGCATGGCCTTCGGCAAGGAGGAGAAAGAGGCTGGCTACGGCACAGGCGACTCTACGGCAGGCATGGGCATGATCGGCCAGGGCAACGACGGACGGGTCCGAGGCCTGCAGATCGACAACCGCACACGAGCCCAGCTCAGCAAGAAGAACAAGGGCTGGGGAGGAGCCTCGTCTATCGGCGGCTCAGCGTCGTCGCTACGCGGCTTCGGCCAGTCGGGGAACAACATCGATCTCCGCGGCAAGGGTCTGCGAACGTCGGGAGTCGGCTCGACCATCGGCGGCGGGGGTACGGCGTCGTCCCTGGCCTTTACCCCTGTTCAGGGTCTTGAGCTGGTGGACCCCAAGGTTCAGCAGGAGCTCAGTCGCAAGCGGAAGGCTGAGGAGGACCGTTACTTCAATGGTGGCACGTTCACGCAGGTCGGTGGTGGTAGCGGCGGCGCGAGCAGTGTCAATGGTGGCTTCAAGGTTCCTCCGAACAAGAAGGTCGACACGGGAGCAGGCAAGATGGCACCGCCCTCTCTGCCAGCCAAGCAGTAGATCAGACTGTACGAATAATTCGACATACCCGAAGATAAGGTTCAGTGCGACGGCATGGCGTTCAACGGATAGGGCGGAAAGGGGTCGCATCGCAACGGCGTTTCTCAAGGGGCGCATACAGTAGGCTGGCTAGCGCCTAGACGGCCTGCTTTCTGATAATACTATATACACTCTAAAATCCATACCGAGGTCTACTTATATCCAAGAACCGTCCGCGCAAACTCAATTGCGAACTAGACCTGCGAACCCCTCATGCCGGGGAGAGAAAGGGTCTCGCCCGATTCGATAGTTGTGTCCTGCCTCGTGGCTCTGGTCACGCCGTTGTCCGGCATTGACTCCAGCTAAGGGCCTCTCGAAGTCAGAAGGTGAGTTTCGTCACCGGTCACTGTGAACCCCGCGCAAACCTCGGTGGCGGCCAATATCAACCTGTCGGTACAGGAGTGTATGTATGTGCCGGAACAAGGCCTCAGACTGAGGATGGTCCAAGGATACAAGTATTCGTGGTTCGTGCCGATAAACCCTAGTACAAGTGCAGGTAGGTAGTTTGTGTCGAGGGAAGCCTGGTCTGATGTCACACAGCATTCTTCAAAGTGAGCTGCGCACGTGAATAGGGGGGAGAATTTAATACCACCCTAATAACATGCAGGAGGAAACGAAGGTGGCAAATTGCAGGGCCAAGTGAAAAAGGAGTAAACCCCCCGGGGAAGATGAAGACAGGGAAACGGAGGAAGATCGGGTTCTGGATGGGATTTCCGTCGGACTAGCATCATTTCAGGATGGGAAAAAACAGGAATCCCATCATCTTGCGACCCTGCATCATCTACCGCAGTAGGCCGCCGCCAGTGTCCACCTCCAAAAACCAAGGGCGGTCTCTAGCTCGTTATGACTTGTCGCTCTCCTCTATGGCTCGCATGGGCGATTCATTGGAAGAAGGGGATGGAGCACACTCCGTCGTTACGTATGGTACTTGCTTCTGCCGATCTCTCTCGAACAAGCCGCGCCGAAAACAGGTTTCTGTTACACGTTATTAGATCATTGTCTACATGCACCATAAAACGTGATAAGGGATCTTGGGAAATGCGGGGTATACTCAAGATCTGTATCCCGAGGTAGAGTCGGTGGTACTGCATGTCTCTTTTCAGACCCCTAAAAACGCCATAGCCGTAGTCATCCGCCAGTCGAACTCTGCCTGCCTAGGTGACAATCTCTGTCCTGTTACTGGTGGACTAGAGTCCTAGGGCTGGTACCTGTATGCTAGACCGGAGCGAAGCTCATAGTCGACTTTCAACGGGCAGCTTTTCGCGCGGCTTGACCTCAAACCGGAAGGCGGGATCTCTCTGAGTTCAATGGATATTGGTGTAGGTTTCGGTGTCACGCAACCTTTCAGACGTGTGTACGTCTAGCAGAGCTAGCTGGGTGGTACCCCTCGAGTATCGTCCCAGGGTCCAAGCTCTTGCGCTGCGCTGCGACAGCGTAACGTGGATGCAAGGTAAAGTTGACACCAGGACATTCGTACCGAGTCTGTCGTGTGGCATGCGTCCATGTCTGTCGGCCGATGCTCGCATGTTCGCAATTGGGTGTTCCCGCTGTACCCTTGACCTGATTATGGGCCGATGAGGAATTGCATATGAGAAGTAGGGAACCTCCAGGGCGACCTACAAGTCCTGCCTGCATCAAAGTTGTGACGGCACGAAATCACCGGACGAACACATGATCATCGCATCGTACAAGCGATAAAAGATCATACCAGACGTGACCGGGTTGCAATCAGCGGATGGACGGCGAATAGGTGAATAAGTGGTTTGGAGCAAAGCTGCAAGGGTCGACCTCAGAACAACAGGCCGGATGCTCGGGCGAGTCTCGAGCTCATAAATGAGTCGCGATGTCGGGCTTCTCACGAAATAGGGACCTTAACCTCCGGCAAGCACTACGTAGATGTGGCTGTCGGTGTGGCCCTGGTCGGTGTGGCTCGTGTGTTGCATCGATGATCTCAATTTGCAATGGCAGAATGTGCATGCAGACATGGAGAAGATCAAGAAACGGATCAACCGGGCAGCAATCTTTTGCAGTGCTTCTTGGAAACACCGGCGATGGAAACTATCGCTTTCCCAGACGGAACAGGCAATGCTGGGATCGCTGTTCGCCCTCACCGACTGCTTTGGGCCAAGTTTGGCTAGAGATGCTTCACCAGACACTAATCCGGCTTGCTGGGTGCGATACAAGACCCTGCTAGAGAAGATACGATACCCGTAGCAGATCGGATCGCAGGCACGCTCTCTCAGATCAGTGGTGTTTTCAGCGCCAGCGATTAGGTAGGAAACGTAGTGTCGGTATCGACTACCGCAATGAGTGCCAAGTGGTGAACCAATCTTGGAGGGCACGTTCAGGAGTCGGTGGGGCCCAGTGCTGTCAGCGGGAGTGAAAAAACAGGTGGGCAGGATGAGATAGTGCGCCGTGCGCGTGTCGTCGGCAAAGTGGGTTCCATTTGCGCTCTGCTGATCGGGGTGCAATCGACGATTGTCCAACATTGCGTCGATCCCCCGAGTCCAGCCAGTGGCCCAGTTCCAGCCCTGTGCTCCTCTGGACTAGGATCCCTCAACTCCCTTCTGCTGCCACTCTGCCACTCTGCCACTCTGCCACTGTCAGCGCAATAGTGTAGGATAGACACTCCAAATTCTTGTTAACTAGGACCACAGGTAATTGTATAGGCTCGTCTTGACCGATATTGTAGAGATGCAGGAAGAAGAGGAAGAGAAGAAGCCCGCTTTGGTGGTGAAGAGTTCTGTCTGTTCGGCTGATGTCAACAAGCCTGAATCGTCATAAGGGACCCCATTTACCGTTACATCCTAGTAGGTAGCTTAGTTTGAACATAACATCATGGGCGTGGGCTTATTAATAGAGACCCTGGATTGGAGAACCCAAGGCAGAATACGTAGGATGGGTGGACCCTAAGACCCTAGACAGTAGACCCCTACTGTAGAAGCAGGAGACAACCAGCCCGTACTGGTCGGTCCTGGCCGACTTCTGATCAGGACAGAGCACGTCAAAAGGCGCTCCATTGAAGAGTCGGGAGTCTCGGGTCTCTTTCATCGACCTGGCTTCACTTTCACGCGGTTCTTTCGGGGTTGAGTTGTCGATGAGGTGTCTCACGATAGTCCAGGTACGGGCACTGCCCCACGCGCGTCAAAGTTGGAAAGTTCCCCTGTGCGCGGGCCAGGTGGGTGCAGGTGGACAGCTGGTGGACCGTGCCAGTGGGTGCAGGACCCAGGTGGCCCGTGGGACAGGGGACAGGGCTGCTGGTAGGTAGGTATCAAGGTTCCAGTGGGGCAGTGGGTCGGAGGGACAGCCGCTTGTCGTCAGCTTGCGATCACCTTACGATTTCTCGATCTGCCCAGACAAAAGCTCTGCTTTGCAAACTCAGGTTTGGCGCTGTCAAGCCTGTCATCGCAAACGTCGCACACAGGATCTGTCCGATCCCTTCCACGCTTGACGAGCTCAATTTCGCTATTCCGCCAGCAGAGTCAATTGACCCGTCTGATCTTATTACCGAGGAGTCAGCCCAGGACTCAGGACCTTTTGCTCCCATGAGACCATGACGTCATTCTGTCGAACCCGTTTCTTCCAAAGCGAGGGTATCGTCGATTGCGCTGCCCAGTGCTGAACAGGAACCCGGCAACCTTCGGCGGTCGGCGCCGGCGACATCACCTCCCCCTCAACACCTCTCCACCCTCGAAGTATCCAGTCCTAACTTTCACTTTCACTTTCACCTTCATCGTCGCTTGACGTCTTGAGGACAAAGAGGCGGTACAGTCAGGAGGTGGTGCATTGAGAGATGCCCAAACCAAATGTTGGACAGGGACGGATGCGTTGGCCGGTGGAAGCCGTGAGAATGTGGCGCGGTGGCTCGTGGCCAGTGGCCAGTGGCTAGTGCACACACCATTCAACTCGTGCGACAGAAGAAGAATTGGCAACAATATTAGTTGGGGATCGAGATCTGCGGAGAGAGAGGCATGCAATTTTGAAAAGCTGCATTGCGAAGGAACAATTGCCATGGCTGGTCCGTGTGCCACGCGAAGTTCACACCAAGTACCCCCGCTAGTCGCGGTGGAGTAGCCGGTACTCCCTAGTCCTGTGGGGACTGGAGCTATCACGAGGCTACCTACCTTACTTCATCTGCAACAAGGACGCAGGATCCATGGATAAGGTACCTAGGTAGGGCTCTTCGACCAGCTACGTGACGACCAACCCTGGAATCGCCAATTCACCTTCGTGACTGCAGGGTCGATGAAGGATATCGCTGCCTGGTTGCGCCAGGAACTTCGTCAGCATCAGCACGCTTCCAATATGTAGACTTTTGATCCTTGGGAGGATTTCCGAGGTGAAGCTTACCTACGATGGCAGCCCCCGAGATATTTTAGTCCCAGACGAACGTGGCTGCTGAGTACTTGCCGGCCATACTCATGTGCTGTTGAAGGGACCTGAAGCCACCGACGTCACCCTAAAGTATGCCACCCATGGACGCAAAGGGGTCCTTCTGGGCTTAGTCCATCTGCAAGCAACGTCAAGGTGTAAGGTATAATGCGTTTGGCTTCAGCCAAGATTTGGCTGCCTGGGCGGTCCCTTTCATGGACGCAGTTTTCTGTATGCAGTATCACTACACAGGGAGCCATCGATCCTCAAACCTTCCACTCTATCAAATAGGATTGTCAGCAGGATCCTCTGTCGAACCGCAGTTCTACATTGGTAAGTGTGCCTGCTGATCACCGACATGCACCAACACACGGACCATTTCTTGGGAGTATCGATGCGAGGCTCATATAGGCCAAAACCAGGACGGGAGTCAATGGACCAAACAAAGGCATCGGATGGTTGGCTGGTTGGATGGTTGGATGGTTGAAGGTTTGGCTCTTTAACAGCCAATATACCCTCAACTATAATGCTCGACGTGACCGTTGCGTCCTATGTCTTACCGAGAATTCAAGGGCACGTATCGATTCATGAACCTGAACGGAATCTTATGACACACAAGCACCTGAATCATACTATGAGATCAGTAATGTGTTCCTGAAATAAACATGGACTCGGGGATTATACCGAATTGCGACTCCCAAGAGGCGTAGCAGATCGCAAGTGGTTTAGCCTTGGCTGAGGACGTGATCGATGGATCAATCTGATTCTGAAGTGATGTCGCGACTCGCAAGTAGCGAGCATGGGTGATGGACCCCAAAGTTGATCGGGGAGTACTTCCCAGATACTCAGCCCGCTAAGGACTCCACGGTGGTGGCCACGCGCTACGTGCCCCGCCTCTAGCTCTAACGATGAGGGCGCCGGCGAGGTACTTGTCTCTGTGCCGCGCTACCGGTCAGGTACCTGTCGGCCGTCGCTTCCTCGCGCCCGAACAAACATGTACCCGACCCACTGGCCGGGGCTTTCGTCCCTGGCAACTGGGGCGGTACGGAAGTACTTCTCTCGGCAGGGGTCAAGCTTGGAAACTGGACTCGATGGGATTTCATGCTTTCCCATGCCTGCCGTGTTCCCTTTCTTTAATCCACGCGCTCCCGTCGCAGCTGACATGGACATTCAAATACCCATGAAGCTGCCCTCCTTTCCCCTCCAGCCTCGACCATACTTCACACTACGCCTCTCACCCACCCACCACCCACCCACCACCACACCACCAACGGCATCACCACCCATTGTCACTGTTCGTCACTATCGTCAGTCACCCCTCGACCCTGACCCTGCAGATCTGGCCTCGACAACCATCCATCACACGACGCTTCACCTCACCACGCTGGGATCAGACCAAAACTTGGCCTATAGCATACCTATACCATACTTCGCTCCTCACTGCTGTCATTGTGTTTAACAAAACGTGACTACGTGACACACTGCTCAGGCAAGCATATAATTCTTCAAAATGCATGCTCGCGACGCCACAGGCCGTCAGGTCTCCCTGCTCAATGACGACCCATCCGCCAGTCCATCCTACCACCACTCGCCAAGCCAATACCGATCTGGAGGCGACCAGTCACCCTTACCTCCCACTCCGGAGCTCCTCCGTTCCAACTCCTACGACTCTAACACCAGTAACGATGCCATAATCCCATTGACACCGGGTATCTTTGACTATGCGTCGCGGCCTCTGTTCGAGGAGTATTCCTCTGACAAGCAGGCTACTGTGAAGCGCCCAGCCTATGTCGGGAAGAGTCGCTCAAATTCATATGAGGACGACAGCTGCAGCGGCTCTGGCTCTGGCTCTGGCTCGCATGACAAGCCAGGCAAGCGGTACCCTTGTCGGTATCGTGATACTCACGGCTGCGAGAAAACATTCACCACATCTGGCCATGCGTCGCGTCATTCCAAAATCCACACTGCCGAGAAGGCGGTTCAGTGCACGTACCCCGCCTGCCACAAGAAATTCACCCGGGCAGACAACATGAAGCAGCATCTCGAGACCCACTTCAAGGACAAGTCGAGATCCTCAGGGTGTTCCAAACCCAAGAGCTCCTCACTATCTTCCTCGAAACGCCGTTCTGTCTCTCCAAAATCATCTTCGTCTCCGCAAAGCCATCAAACATCTGTCGATGTGGAAATGTGGGATGCTGATCAGTTTGGCTCCGAAACCCCGCTGCCATCGCCTGGTCATGCGTGGGATATGCGAGGCTTCAATCTTCCTTTCATGAGCCGTCCGAATGCTATGAGGACAAGCAGCGGTCTGGACGCTTTGGCTATGATCGCGTGCCAGGAAGGTGCCTGATCGTATAGCTACCGGATCCAAACACACTTCGACTTACCACTCGCATCTTCCGAAACGATTGCGCCTCCAACGGGCGCGACACAAGCATCGAGCTGGGGATACCGGACATGACAGGATGTCCGATTCCTAATTACAACGGATGGTTTTTCATTTTTTGGTACGGCGTTGTTGGAATATCCTGGGTTCTTCCGGACCAATTCTCGATACCACGGGTGGCAAGCATATGAGAACATCCCTTTCAATTTTGCATTCTAGGAGACGGCTTGGGAAGCCACTGAGCAATCGGGAGAAGGGAAGGCTCCATGTATGAACGTCCGTGGATGAGGTCAAGATGTCATACCATCCCGCTTGCAGGCAAACACTTGTTGGTTGTGCCCCAGCAGGTAGCATGAAAAGTTGAGTACCTCGTGAGCATGTCATTTAGATGTACATGACTTTTTGAAGTTTGGCTTTAGATACCAACGTCCGCCCTGCAATGATGGGGCGGATGGCATACGAAATCAAGAAGCCATGTCTGATGATTACAATTTGATACCCGATGATTCATGTGATCACTGTGCTGCTGTGTTCACTGATCGCTTCCCGAAGCCTGTGGCTTTTAGTCAATCTTGCGATGAACCTTGTATCACTTGAAGACATAGGTGGTGCGCGGTGATTGTCACCCTACGATACTCACTAGGCCGAAGCTGATGCCCGATAGAGCGCGCGTCTACAAGGCGATGAGCACGCATACCATCCGACCTCTCGACCATCAAGATCTACATCCCAAGAACAGGTTTCATATGCATGTTGGTCCTGTCGGGACTGGCCAGGCTCCCTCTGGCCAGAGACCCTGATGATCTTCTACCGAACTGTTCGCCCACCCTGTATTGGGCTCGAGCCTTTGTGCGCCAGATCTCCATGCCGGTGTCTTACCGTACACACCTGGATGCCAAGTAACTGTACAGCGGCGGACGCAGGGTCAGCAGACAGACAGGCTGACAGGATACCAGTGCTACTCCGACTGGGTGTATGATAGATCGTCGTTGGGTGCTTGCTGCAATGCATGGCCCTTCTCGCCCTTCGGCGTCGTAAATTTAGGTGGACTGGCTGACCCTTCAGGGCCAGCCAGCCCATCAGCCCTTGCGTGAATCCTTCCTTCCAAGCCAGGCACTCCGACAAATCCGAATCCAGGCGTGGCCGGCAGGGATCGGAATCCTATGGACCTTTTTTTCTCTGCGATAAGCTCTTGGCTTCCTCCTTCGCTTCCACTTCCCATGTTTTCTTCCCCATCCGACCGAACCGCCGCGCCCTGCGCGTCTGCGTCTGCAGCGTTCTGCTTCCTTCGCCGACAAACTTCGCGTGGGATGGGATCCTGGACATGAATCAAGTCCCTGCGGGAAAACTTCAAACATAGGATTCCCACCACGTGGGAACAAATATCATATGATCCTACCTACTACTGTACAGTACCTTACCTTATATTCCGGGGTCCGTTGCCGTCGGGCCCGAACTCCAGGTCTCTATTTTAAAGGAGGAGCCGCGCTCCGCGCCGGCGTGAGTCGCGACAGTGGGTAAAGAGGGCGAGACGAGCCCACCGTACATTCTGGAACCCGAGCCAGCGCGAAACCCGTTTGAACGCGAACGCGAACGCGATGCGCGAGTGTCGCCTACTTTTGGGAACATGAGTTATCGGCCTGATAATGTGTGATAAAGGGCGCGATGCTCGGGCAGCTCGGATAATCACTGACCTCCCCATCGGGTTCCCGACGTCACATTGCGTCGTGGATGGGGATACTGGACATACCTGATCCCCATCGCCAGACTTTATCTTCGTATATCCACTCCTTCCTCCTGGGACTTTTCATGAATCTTCCTCCGCCGTCTCTCTTGTTCCTTCGGAGGGCTGGGTGGGCTGTGGGGGTTGAAGTGGACTTCAACGGGTAAGGGTTCGTGCCGTCTGGCCGTGTAGCTCTATTATTAAACTTAATTGATGCGGCCCCACTGTCACGCGGCGTTGGGACTTGGAATCCTTCTGCCCGGCTTAATAATGTTGCTCTTTTGTATCTCATGATGTATCTATGTATCTTTCGTGGAACAGTAGGGATGGTCGGGATGGGTTGCGTGCCTGGCGATCTGTCGATCTGTCGACTTGGCTTTCTGGGAGCAGTTAGCAGCGCATCGCGAACCGCAGGGCTTGCTCCTACTGTATGATTCGCGCGTTAAGACGCCAGCAGGGTCCGCGATGTCTGTTGTAAAAAAGAGACATGTTATCTGGTGGGCGCGTTCACATGAGATATGTGCTGTTGCAAGTGTGTTGATGTATACGTCAATACATTATCCCTTTCCGAGTACCTCACTTCCCCTGTTATCTATCCCCAGAGCTCCCCATCCTCCGCGCACCCCCGAGCCATCTCAAACTGCTCGTCCGTCTGGCACACCAGCGTGCGGTGCCGCGCGCCCTCCTTCCCCACATCCTGCACCACGCCCTCGACGGCCCGGGCGTTCGCCTCCTCGTCCACCGCGAACCCGAGACACGCCGCCTGCGCGACGACGCTCGCCCGCAACCGGTCGCTCTTCTCGCCGATGCCGCCCGCGAAGACCAGCGCGTCGACGCGCCCCTGCAGCGCCACGTAGTAGGACCCCACGAACCCGCAGATGCGGTCCACGAACAGGTCGAAGGCCAGCTTGTGCCGCGGGTCCGCGGACGACGACGACGCGATGGTGCCGAAGTTGGTCGTGCCCGTCAGCGCCGCCCACCCGCTGCGCTTGTTGAGGATCTCCTCGGCCTGCGAGATGTGCAGGTCCTTGGTCGAGGCCGGCGAGAGCTTGCCCACGTCGCTGGCGTAGTGGAAGACGAGGCTTTTGTTTGTTTGGTTCTCTTAGCTCGTTTGTTTTAAAAGGGGCAGGGAGAGTCTGGGGGTTAAGGTATAATAAAAATAGGGGGTTTGGAGGCGTACCTGGGGTCTACGCTGCCGCTCCGCGTCGCGCCCGGCAGTCCGGCGAGCGGCGTCAGGCCCATGCTCGTGTCGTAGCTCTTCCCGTTCTTGATGGCACAGGCGCTGGCCCCGCTGCCGAGATGCAGCGCGATGATGTTGAGGTCGGCCGGGTCCTTCTTGAGGAACTCGGCAACGGACCTGGTGATGAAGGCGTAGCTGATCCCGTGAAAGCCGTACTTTCGCAGCTGGTTCTTCTTCGCGATCTCCGGGTTGATGGGGTAGGTATAGATGTGCTCCGGGATCGTGGAGTGGAACTGCGAGTCGAAGCAGGCCACGTTGGTTGCGCCCGGAAGCTCATCCACACATGACTTGACGATCTGCAGGGCGCTGGCGTTGTGTAAGGGGGCCAGATCGGTCAGCTTCTCCAGGTGGTGGTAGGTATCCCGTGTGATGATCTTTGAGGTCGTATAGTCTCCGCCATGGACAATTCGGTGACACGCGATGGCGATGTCGCTCTTCTGGCCTATTTCCGGCAACTCCGGGTCCTCCGTCAAGGTCTTGAGCAGGACCTTGAATGCATCGTCCTGGTTCTCGACCTTCTCGCCCACGTCATTGCCTTTGGCCGCTTCGGCGCCGTGGCGGGAATAGGTGAGTTGTGCCGGCGGCGCCGTGAGACCGCTTAGCTGGGCCTCGGCGATCTGCTTCGGGGCCTGGTTCTGCTCGGCGGAGTACACGGATATCTTGACGGAGCTCGAGCCGGCGTTGATCGACAGGATGATCTTCATTGTTGCTCCTCCTGATTGATGACGGCTAGTTTTCGAGTTCAACGGGTTGCTGATGCTTTGATAATACTGCTAGATAATAATGCTGCGTGAGCTGGACTTATCAATCGACCATTCCCCTTCGTCCTCTAATCAAGGCCAGCGCATTCCGGTGTTGGTCTCCAAGTGTCGTATTGTATGCTGGTCGCTGAGAAAGCAGTCTCATCGGGAACCCCACCGCAGCTTGTGGCATGATCGTGTGATGACGTCGATGGCCTGACTAGCTATTAGCCTTGGTTGACAGCGGGAACACACATTCATACTCCCCCATGTATCCTCGTAGTCGACAGTATGCCCAGCCTCAATCGCTGTCAACTGGGTCTCACAACTATAGCTATGTTTTGCTCGCGACTTTTGTTTCAATCTGCTGGTGACATGCGTCCATGTGGCAACCTCTATCTACCTTCGACCCCAAACCACCACAGCCACAGGCAGAGGTATGTCAGCCGCCGCCACTACGAATTCAAGTCTATTTTGAAGGCGGGTCCCTTTATACATTTCTGGCCCTAGATATCATGCCAGTCTAGTAGGACCGCACCAAACCGGGGCAGCTATCTCTCCGGGCTCCCCGGTGTAAGCCACACGGCAGTATCAAAGCTCTTGGGTAGGCTGGCCGGACTATAGTCTGACGCATTCAGGGGCGCAGATTTGGAAGGGACTTGATAGAAACTCAGATAACCTGGATTCCAGGTTACGTCGTTTAGACTTTTACTTGCAGCAAGAACGAATTCTTCTCCGCTCAAGTGACCCTGTCTTCCGAGGAGAAACTCCTGATCAAAGCCCCATGATCAGTGTTTGGAGGAGGGTACTTTTGATCCTCTATCCTAGTATTCCTGTCCGCTCTGGGTAGTAGGTCTCGGAACGTGGGGGACGGTCTTTGGCATGAGTTCTCCCACATCAATGGCCTAGTCTCTGGCTAAGAGTCGAGAAGTTCATGGAAGGGTGAAATCATTAGATGAATAGGGTTCGCGTACGTCCTTGGATAAAACGAGTACCTAGATAAGGGCTTATCAGCTTGGTGATCGTTTAGCAGAAAACCCCCCTATTCCACTCGAGGGGGGGGTCGTGCAGTCTAGTCAAGATAATCATGAGAACTCTGCGGCCTTACGCATAAGTACTTCGCCAATGGTCGCTTCAGTATCGTGCTAAAGGCAGCGGCGAAGCCAGAGCGGTGAGAACCCATTCACTGAGGCTGGTACTGATACGTTCATCCCTTAGGTTTGGGCTGCCTCATGTTGTACGAACACTCAACTAAGGTGGGATTGCACATAAATCTCCTGCTCCATGTCAACAATACCTCCGCGCTTCATTCCCAAAGCAGCGTCAGTCCTGAAACAAAATTATAAGCGAGGGTTGAGCTTTCAACCCCTTCGACCACAGGGAAAGAGCTATCCCCAAGTCCACATACTCAAACAAAAGGGAGAGCCCCGTCCTGAAGCCCGGCTGTGAATACGGCTATGAACCATTCCGCTCTCTGCACGATGTCGGACTGATTGTTCGAGGGAAGGGGGCGGGGGGTGTTTACTCTGCAACAAGACAATCTGCACCGAGTTACAAAACTGCGCGTCTGACTATGTATTTATTTCCATGGATCGTAAAGGTTCTGTCGGTCCCGATGGACATGGCCAAAACATTGTTGATAGTACCGCCACCCAGGTTGGTTTCGCAAATGCCCCAACTCATCCAGCGAAGTCCAAGTCTCCGACTCCTGTATCCTTTTCATTAAGTAGAACAGTTTCGAGAGCCTCTCCATCGATACTAATACTCGAGCAAGCTGACATTTGCCGCTTTGGAAAGAACTTACTCGTGTCTCAGGCGAACCCCGAGGACGATCTCAATGCTAGGAATAGAGGGGGGTTATATTTCTCTAGCCTGCCGATAGCCCCTGCACTGGGAGCTCCCAGTTCATTTTACGTGTCGGGATCGGGCAAGAAGCCACAGAGAGGTCCCAACGCAAAATGCCTCGCAAGAAACGTAGATATCAATCCATCACTGACATCCGGCAGGGGGCTTATAACCGACATGAGCAGCCTCGTCCACCACGTCTCACCACCTCGTACCGGGTCAAGAAGCCCGAGAGCGTCACAGTCAGTTCGGCACGAGGCCGCTCTTTCTCTCGAACCTGGTGAACACTCCCATGATATCTTCGGTGCTGGGCGCTGGAGTCTCCAGGAGAAAATCTGTTAATTCGTTCACAAACTGACAGACGCCTTCAACATGAGCATTTCGCCAAGGCGGGGGTTGATCGTTGCCTGCGCGAATGTATGAGCCTGCGTTCTGCTTCATCATATGACAAGGCAGCGTCCGGAAAACATATACCTTGGATGCGAAGTTTCCCAACAGCACGATCTTGCCTCGAATGTTCCATGGGCCTTCGAGTACACCCTCCTCCATTGGGAACATGGCGGCCTTGACATTTCTGTTCCACAAATCGCGAAGAATGTACCCAGCGCCGAGGCTATTCCATTGTTGCTTTCTTATCGTTCTCGGAATACTTCGGGCATTTTGGCGTATGGGAAGGCCTCTTATATTTCACGAATAGGTGAAGCAGAAACTCTCGAGGCGCCCCTGTCATATGCGATATTCACTGTAACCTTGGGCATGTGAGGTCTCAATGTGTTTTTGTTGAGGTTCTTTGATGTGGTAAATATGGTCTGTAGTTCGCTGTAAACACTTTCAGTCACCTACCAGCAAAGAGACGTACTCTATTACCGCTTCCAGCTGCGTGGTAAACACGTCGTGTCAGGTTTGGAACCCTTATGGGATTTCTGTCAGTGACCTCCTCGGACATTAACCGCCGCACGGTGCTTTAGACACCATCTGCTCCAACGAGTATACTTGTCAAGTCGCGCGGTCAGTAAGCACTCGGATACATGGCGACGAAGCTCTGTAAGGTTCCATGTCACGGATCACGATAGCAGCAGTACGCCACTCTATGTATAGCCGCGGTCTTATTGGTACCGGTACGTACCGGTCATATCGTCCCTAAAGTTGAAGCAGTGCAGAGGGACGATAGTTCTTCTGGTCTTCGCTCCAGGTAGGTATGCTTAAGCCTGAAAACATTCTCTTTCACATCACAGTAGCTTGAGCTGATGCGGGTTTGAATAAGAGCCATAATCGCTGTATCGCGCCACTGCGATTTCAAAGTCTCGACTATTCAACTGAGGATGCCGACATAACATGTGAGATCAACATCAGGGAGGAGCCCAGACCACTGGACAGCTGCTAACCTGCAATCCAACTCAGACGATAGTGCTCCAGCTCTCTACCGGCAACGCGTGGAGTATAGCTTGGGAATGATCGCAGGTTCCCTGGGCTCTCTCCAGCCCCTATTTAGGAACGTCATTCTACTTGCGTATAAGGAATAGTCGAACTATAAACCCCGACTTCTTTCCATCGTACCGGTTAGAATACGCCAGCAAATACCAGCGCGCCAGCCGTAAGGGTGTTGGGATTCGTGTGCAGGGTGACGGCGTGCTGGACACAGTGCTGACTACGCGCCAGTTCGATGGCGGAGACTCTAATGGTCAGTCAACCAGGGGCTCAGGAAGCACATCAACTTGTATAATTAGAGCCCTGTTCAGGTACAACAAGACGGCTTTTTCTGAGTACATTGATAAGTAGCGGCTTATAAAGACGGACTTGACAATATAATTGAAGACTCATTTCTAGCTGCACCCGGCCATAAGTGTCAGGGCAAGTCCCAGCCGTGCCTTCCCATTTTAGGGCACCAGCCACCTCTACGAGCCACGGCCCGCCAGCCACCAAGACCCACATTACATGCAGCTTCAAGTTTCTCAAGCCTGCGCGAACCTTTCTGCAGTAACAAACATCTCGCGATACTGCCACACAACCAACTGTCCGACGAAGCTGCGTTGCGACAAGCTGCTCAGTCATCCCGGCCGGTCTACCCAGGATATACTTGCCCGACTTGCGGCCTACACACCAACGTCATCTCAAGATGGAGTCCTCACGCGGCCCGCCGAGGGTCAAGAACAAGGCCGCTGCGCCTGTTCAGATTTCCGCCGAACAGCTGCTTCGAGAAGCTGTCGACCGCCAGGAGACGTCCCTGCAAGCCCCCACCCAGCGTTTCGCCGACCTCGAGGAGCTCCATGAGTTCCAGGGTAGGAAGCGCAAGGGGTTCGAGGACTATGTCAGGCGGAACAGGATTAACATGAACAACTGGACGCGATAGTCAGTAGCACCCCAGAATCCTAGCCATGCGCTCGTTACCCCGTAGCCAAGGCGGCCTGCCTCTATCTATCGCGCGTGTGCGCTCTCATAATGTATCTCAACTAACCCGTATACTATAGTGCCGCATGGGAACTTGAGCAGAAGGAATACAAGCGCGCGCGCTCCATTTTCGAGCGAGCTCTCGATGTCGACCCGACTTCCGTGATATTATGGATTCGATATATCGAGGCTGAGATGAAGGAGAGGAACATCAATCATGCCAGAAACCTACTCGATCGCGCCGTTACAATTCTTCCCAGAGTCGACAAGCTATGGTATAAATATGTCTACATGGAGGAGATGTTGGGCAACATCCCGGGAACGAGGCAGGTTTTTGAGCGATGGATGTCGTGGGAACCCGACGAGGCGGCGTGGAGTGCCTACATCAAGTTGGAAAAGAGATATGGCGAGATACAACGAGCCCGCGAGATTTTTGAACGCTTCACCATTGTGCACCCGGAACCACGCAATTGGATCAAGTGGGCCAAGTTCGAGGAAGAGTTCGGGACCAGCGACCTTGTCAGAGAAGTTTTTGGCGCCGCGGTGGAGGCTCTCGGCGACGAATTCGTGGACGAGAGACTCTTCGTTGCGTACGCGCGATTCGAGGCCAAGTTGAAGGAGCTGGAGCGAGCGCGCGCAATATACAAATATGCTCTCGACCGGCTACCACGGTCTAAGTCGATGGGTTTACACAAGGCGTACACCACTTTCGAGAAGCAGTTCGGCGACAGAGAAGGCGTCGAAGACGTTATCCTGTCCAAAAGGAGGCGGCACTACGAGGACCAGATCAAGGAGAACCCCAAGAACTACGATATATGGTTCGATTACGCCCGCCTTGAAGAGACGTTAGGCGACCTAGACCGAGTGAGGGATGTATACGAGCGAGCCGTGGCGCAGATTCCCCCAACACAGGAGAAGCGGCATTGGCGGCGATACATCTACTTGTGGGTTTTCTACGCGATTTGGGAAGAGATGGAGGCGAAAGACATCGACCGAGCTCGCCAGATATACAAACTGTGTTTGGACCTAATACCCCACAAGAAGTTCACTTTTGCGAAGGTCTGGCTGATGAAGGCACAATTCGAACTTCGTCAAGGCGAGTTGACAGCTGCGCGGAAGTCACTTGGGCAAGCCATTGGCATGTGCCCGAAAGACAAGTTATTCAAGGGCTACATCGAGCTTGAACTGAAGCTTTTCGAGTTTCTGCGTTGCCGGACACTCTACGAGAAGCACATTGAATGGAATCCGGCCAACTGCCAGACGTGGATCAAGTTCGCAGAGTTGGAGCGGGGGTTGGACGACCTGGAACGGACGAGAGCGATATTCGAGCTCGCAATCAACCAGGCGGCTCTGGATATGCCCGAGCTGCTATGGAAAGCGTACATCGATTTCGAGGAAGAGGAGGGCGAGTACGACAGGACTCGAGAGCTGTACGAAAGGCTGCTTGAGAAGACGGATCACGTCAAGGTGTGGATCAGCTACGCGCACTTCGAAATCAACATCCCCGACGAGGACGAAGAGGAGGCAGAAGACGGGGCGGAGGAGCGGTCAGTCAGCGAAGAGGCCAAGGCAAGAGCGCGCAAGGTGTTCGACCGGGCCTACAAGAGCATGAAAGAGAAGGAACTCAAAGACGAGAGAGTCTCGCTCCTCAACGCCTGGCTGTCGTTCGAGCGAGCGCACGGGTCTGCGGAAGACATCGACAAGGTGCAGAAGCAGATGCCGCGCAAGACGAAGCGCAGGCGCAGACTCGAGGACGACACTTTCGAGGAGTACATCGACTACATCTTCCCGGCAGACGACGAGCAGAAGATGGAGATGTCGAAGATGCTCGCGATGGCATCGGCTTGGAAACAAGGTGGTGGAGGCCTTACTGGATCTAGCTGATTACCTCTTCAAGCGTGGCAATGGGAAAGCTCTAGAGGTGTACGTCGTGTACAGTAGATGAAATGAACAATAAGAGCAATGCGAACTGCGTCCCAGTCAACCGATCTGTCCTTTGTCATTCACATTTTATGCACGTGACCCCGGGAGATTCTCTAGACAAACCTCCAAGACTGAACGGGGAACCGACGTCAGTGCAGCTCGGGCCTTCACCCACCTTTTGGAGACGGGCTGGTGACGTTGATCAAACACCGTCTCTTCGACTATCAAAACCCAGTCTCTAGGATATGGGCATTGACTGGTGCTATTCAAAGTTCACATGCGCTCACAGCATCGTTTCCTACCTACATGGGGCTTGAGCCTAACCACCACCACCGCCACCGCCAGCCCAGCGAACCACTCAAGAAAGCCGTCTCACGCCACAAGCGAGGGGACAGGACACCACATTGCACAAACACGCGGGTCTGCTACACAGTAGTAACAACAACTAACTTACCGAGGTACTACTCAATGCCCACCGAAGCGTGGGCATTGAGATTTGAGACGCGGATTGAGGCATGATGCCCTAAATATAGTAGAAATTCCCCCTAAGTTCCCGCAGGAGCCGGATTCATCTCCTTCAGCCAGCCCAATCCAAATCCCAAGCCGATTCCAATCCCAAGTCCAAGTCCGAGTCCAAGCCCATCAGCCATTCGAGAGTGAGCAGGAGAAAGTTACTGGAGCAAGTGAGTGCGGGCGTGAGTGCGTGAGTTTAGAGTGAGCGTCCTGGCGGTCAGCAAAAGCACGATGACATCATGAGCTCGGTACTGGATGCAGTTGGAAGTTGGAACGTGGACATGGGAAAGTCCGTGATACGGACTGCCGAGGTGGTCCTTAAAGCCCGCAGCGGGGAATTTGGGCTCACGGTCTAGCACGGTATCCTCCTATCTGATATAATGCCCGCAAACTGACAAGACCGTCCAACCACCAACCATCTACCCAACGAGGGGGAGCCGAAATCCTATGTCGCGTGATCAAATACATAGTGAAACGTTGGGCAGAGTGTCAAGAATTCGATGGCGAGTATGATGGGATTGAGAGATGTGGCATTTCAGCGCGGGAAAAGATCAGCGGTACATAAAGAAAACGTCAAAAAGTCGTGGCTTCGTTTGGACCAATCCCCTGGCCCGAAATTAAAAAAGGAAAATCGTAAGCCGCCACCCCGTTCATGCATGAAACATCGTCCCCTTACACCGCCTGATCATCCAACGAAGGAAAGCAACCTCCGTTGGTCGTAGCCAACCGAAGACCGTCCACAGTTCCAACCCAGCCCACGAACCCTTTGATTATTTCCATCCCATGTCCAATTTGTAGGGCCCTAAAATCGTCGCGCTGATCCTGCCTGCTCTTTGCCCCTCCGGATCCCTGCAGATGCATCCGTCCACCCCCGTCAAGCCCGTCGGAGGAGAAAGGACAGCAGCCCAAGCCACGGCATCTTCGGGACTGAGACAGGGGCCCCGGGAATGTTGCCATTTGTCTCGTGGCACGTGGAGCCTCGATAGTTCCTGGTAGCGAATGGCGTCGTCGTGCCATTCGCGATAGCTGCACTCGATGCTCAGCAGCTCTTTGCTTCTTTGGTGACACGAGACAGACATTGTGTGGCGCAATCCCCGGTGATGCATTTATCCACTAGTCGTGGCGGCGGCGGCGACGCCCATCTGTCACAAACACAACGGTATCAGTGAGGGGCTCTTCGTTATTCAAAATCATAAAATTGTGCTGTATGCAAAGCTCGAAAGAAATGTAGGGGTGGTGAATTCGCGTGTCTATCTGGAATGACAGGCGGGGCAAGTTCAGCAGAGGCACAAGGCAGATAGGCGTCGATCCATTTCATAACACCTCTCCCACATATCCCATTGTCTGCAGCCCAGAAGAATATTTCGTCATGATATGTCGTTGCGTCGTAAAAGAAGATTATATCGTCTTGTAGCGAGCGTCCTGAGCGCCCGACGAATGGATGGGACAGCTGGTGTTGGGGTCCCGCTGGTGCTCTTCAAGCCGGCAGGAAGACATGAAATACAGGAAACCTCAGTCTCTACGCCTGTCGTAGCCCATAGGAGGCGCAGGCAGAGCAGCCGAGTATGGATTCCCATCTGTATAACGGGTGGGCCCATCGTCATACCGATTGGCCTGCGGAGAGGCTGAAGAATTCCAATTGTCAGCTCTGGATCTGCCGTAGTGGTCGGAGTTTGCCCGCTTGAGCCGCTCAATACGTCTCTCGTGACGTCTTTGCTTCTCCTCTTTCCATTCACGGACTTCCTTGGCTTGCGCCCGTGCCTCCTTAAGCTCAGAGACGGCACCCTGGATGCCGAGCGCTGCTACACCGACTGACGCCGCATCTTGCAAGATTGCCTTTGTCTTCAGCTTTCTGGCCTCCTGTGGGCTCAGTTTACCCTCCGCCACTGCCTTGTGCCTTGCCTCGCGCGCGTTCATGCTCGAGTATACGCCATGCGCTGCATGAACCGTGGCGGCAGCTGCCAGCCCTGCCGTGATGAGTTGCTTACGCCGCATCTTGCCCGTCTTTTTCGTATCTTCGTCCGAATCACCAAGATCGCTGCTGGAAACGGAACTAGACCTACCTCCTCGTGAACGGCTGCGGGATCGCCCACCGGCAGAACGATCATCATCATAGTAACCATCGTCCTCCGGACTCTTCCCTCCCCTCATGTAGCCCCGAGCTGCGTAGTCATCGTCATACCGGTCATCCGGGCTTCGACCCCGAGCCCTCCGGGGTGAGCGGTCGTCGTAGTCGTCCTCTCGCCTATCGTCCGGTCCACTGCCAAGACCAATCTTGGCCAGGCTGCGTCGTGCGCCATCGACAATGCTACGGCTGCGGCTGCGGCGTCTGCGTGGAGAAGGGTCCCGGCTATCATAAGAGTCATAGCTTCGGCGGCGCGAGCGGGACCGGCTTCGAGCTTCGACAAGCTTCTTGGCGCCCAAAGCGCCCAAGCCAGCCGTGGCCAGTGCCGCAAGGCCACTGCCACCACCGCCGCGACTACCAGAGCGAGCACGAGATCGAGAGCGACTCCTGCCCGTTCGATAATCCTCCTCTATGTCCTTCTTGGTACCGTTCAACACGCGGTTGCCGACAAGGCCACCGATGACGGACTCGACAAGGTGGCGCTTGCTATCCTTGGAAGGATCGTGGGCGGCATCGATGGCGGCAGCGCCAGCAGCAGCGGTGATGACGCGCTTCATCTTCTCTCCCTGCCAGCCACCTGGTTCTCTAGCCACTCGAAAGGCTTCGGCGGCGCCAGCAACAAGAGATGCCTTGGCAGCCTTCTGCATTCTGGCGGATGGATTGTCCCGCGACCGGTGCGAGTCGGGACTACCACGGCGACTTCGCGAGTCGTGGCGGTCATCCCTGTCGGAGCCACCGCCAGTCAGGGCCTTGATGGCACCTCCCAACCCCGCGGCAGAAAGGGCACTCTCCAGGAAGGACTTGTTGCCCTTCCGGTGCCGGGGGTCCTCTTCGTCATCGGAGTAGTATTCGTTGACGCGGCCATCTCGGCCCTTGTGTACGATGTAGGTGGACTTCTTGTCTTCCTTGATGGCGTGCTTGTTGTAGATGTCGGCGCCTTGGTAGCCTGCAAAGGCACCGGCGGCGCCCAGAGCGGCTGTACCGGCGATGTTGCGATGAACTTCATAGCCCTCCTTTTCGGCCTCCCTCCGGTCCCAAACCTCCTTGGCGCCGGCGGCGATGATTCCGCCAGCAACGGCGGCGATAATCTTCTCTTGCTTGGACAGAACGCGCTTGCGTGTCCTCTCCTCTTCCTCGTAGTAGACACTGGCGGCTTTCTTGCTGCGGCGGGGATCTCGGGAGGAAGGTGCATCGTAGGAGCGGCGCGGCTCGCGATAGTAGTCGTCGTCATAGCCATGCTCGACCGAACGGGCTCTGCGGATGTCTCTTGCGGCGTATCCGGGCGGGGGGAAGTCGCGGCGAACCTCCTCGATGGCGAGGTCGCTGTCCTCCCTCGCGCGCGGGACCAGGGCGGTGCGGCTGGCTGGATTTACTCTGTAGTAAGTCTCCTGGGTTTCGGTGTAGCGTGGGTCGACTCTCTCCCTCCGGTCGTCGTAGTATCGGCGTCCATGTTCACGCGGAGGAGCGTCGTAGTCGTAGGCGGACATGGCAGCGCTTACGCTTCCGAGGAAGTGATATGTTGATATGGGTGTCGAGCTGAGTCAGGCAAACTCTATTGATTGACAGACTGATGGAGTGAATGAATCAAGGCGGCTCTTCGAGTCAAGTGACAAAGTTCGACTACGACGTAGGTATGAACGAGTAAGGTGGCAAGTGTCGGGTCGGGGTAAGGCGGGGGCGAAGAAGAAGTCGGACGGGAAAAGCACCTGGGCAGCCAAAGACAGGGCAAAGGGCAGACAGGGCAGACAGGTGGTCACTGCAGGTGGTGGGTGGGCAGGATGGATGCTTGGATGCTGCAAGTGAGACGGGGCAATCAGGTTGCGATGACAGCCAACCCAGCCAAACCTCGCCAGGCTAGAGGCTGCCCAACGACATGACGTGTGACGTCAGGCCCGGTTTTCCAAATAAGAACCAGGACTTAGCTACGGTACGATAACAAGACATACACTGTATGGAGCAGCCGATGCCTAATACCGAATGCTTTGGCTTTCCTCGAATATCAGCAGAACCACTTAACGCTTAGGCTAATAGCCTTATTTTTAACGTTCTTTTATAACAACTTAGTAATAAATACTATTAAAACTGTTATTATTTTCCGACATAATTAAATATCACGCTTTACTTTAATAATAACTATAAATATCGAAATCGCTTTAATTTATAAGTATTATTATTATTATTATTATTGTTATTTATGAATTCGAATAAATTAACCTCTTCTAAGCGTATATATATTATCATTACAGTTTTTTATTAATATATTTACTACCTTTATATTATATTTAATACTTATTGTACGGGTAAGAAAGTTTCAGGTTTAAATAAATTAGCTCTTTTTATTATTAATTAAGTAATTCGGCTTTTTGACTACTTTTTTTAATGCGTTTTATTAACTATTTATTACCATAAATATTCTATATAATTTCAATTTTAAGAATTAAATTATAATTAAAGAAACTTATTTCTTTCGATTCTATATATTTTAAATATTTAATAAGTTTTAGGGGAAAAAACTATAACTATTTAAATATATAATGTAGCTAATTACATAAATATATAAATAATATAATCTTTAAATAATAAAATAATATTTGAATATAATTTAAAATGTAATATTATTATTTATATAATTAGTTATTTAAATAATAAATAAACGGACTGAAATAATGGGCTATTAATTAGATAATCTTTCTAAAAGAAATCTACTTGAATTTTTTAACAAGCCTAGTTATAATTATTTAACTACTTTTTAATATTTATTATAGCTTTTTATTAATCTTATTAAATAAAAGGTTTTTAAAAAGGTTTTTTTTAATTATCTCGTTTTCAACCATTTTTAAAATATTAAGTTTCATTATAAATAAAACAGCAATTAATATAATATTCGTAATACCTTTAAAAGATTATTTCTTAAAGATTTTACAAGATTGTTAATATTATTATTTATTTAATCCTTTAATCTTTAATTTATTGGTTTTTTTAGCTTTAAGTTTTAAAATATGTATTATTTATTAAAATCCTATAATAATTAACCGTTAATAATACAGCTTTTTTATTTAATTCATTATATATCTAATGATCAAAGAGTCTAAACCTTTATCTAAAAGTTAAAAACTATTATAAAACCCTTTATTTTATTTCACATACTGCCGTAATCTTTTTGTTTAAATGTTTGAATGTTCCTTTAATGATAGTTTTTTTACCTTAGTAACATAAATATTTAAGTTTTGAAACTGACTTGTCATTCTTTTAAATATAAAAAATATAAATTTATTAAAATTTATTAACCCATAAAAATATCTTTAATTTTATGAAGACTTATTATATTTAAAAATTAAAATATTAACTCATTAAAGGTATATTAATATAATTCTTTTTATACATATTAATAAAATAAGTCTTCGTCATTATAGCCTCTTTTGTTAAACTTTATGATAACCAATTTTAAAAAGGGTATTAAGAGAAATTCTCCTTAAAAATCTTATTATAAAAGCCATAAAAAATAACCTTAAATAGTTAAATAGTTTTATTTATAAAAATATGATAAATCTAAAAAACTTAACGCTTATTTTAACCACTCTTTGGCCTTTATAACTATGATAATAACCCTTATAAAGTAATATAAAATATCGTTATTAAACTAGAATAATATAAGGGTTTTATTTACGTTAATAATACAGCATCTTAAAAACCAATGAAACGATATAACGTAGGTCACAAGCGAGCGGCAATTACAAGCGAACGGCAACTTTTCACCAATCTTCTAACCAACATGTCAAATAACTCAACCACAACGCATTTAATTCAATCTAATCAATCGGATTCTTCTTCTTCAGACGTTTCTATCTCTATTGTACAAGTTCGCGCATTATGGCCAGTGTTGCCGCAAACGCCACAATGTCGCTCACGCGCTGCCGCCCTCCTCGGACGACGACTACCTTCACCCATTTCCTGTCTTGCCAGCTCACCACCATCCTTTACAGCCTGGAGACCTACTGCATCTTCAACGGAAAGTACTCCTCCTTTCACTAGACGTTTGTTTTTTGTCCTCCGGCGTTTACTTAGTAGGTGATTGGCCTCCTCTAGCTCACGGACCCGGGAATCAACCAAAGCGACCTTGTGCATAAGACCGTATGTAGCCTTTGAAAACGAGCTCAACGCATCAATTATTGATGTAGGTGAGCTTCCCTAGTGGTTTCTGACTCGATTTCGGATATGAACCAATTGGTTGACCGCTTCGTTGATGGTGGTAGGCGTCTTTGAAGTCCAAGTAGTGGGTGGCAGATTGGGGTCTGGCGACGGTGTTCGTACGACAGCGACAGCATCCAGTTTCGAAATGACACTTTCTGGGTCAAAAGGAACAAGCCCAGTGGCACTGAAACCTGCTCGAATGTTCCCTGGCGTCATAGCAGCGTTGTGTGCTTCACAAAACGCTGCAAGGAAGTCCTCTTTCGAAATATGGGTTATATGACGCCGCATGAGATCCTCAATCATGCGACCGTACGCTCGTTTGAGCGGGCTAAAACAACTGACATCTAAAGGCTAGAGCCTGTGTGACGAGTGGGCAGGCATACAAAGGGTAATAATGCTGTTGTTCTGGCAATATCTCTCAAAGATCTGGGAATGGTGGCTTTTGTGACCATCTAGGATGAGGAGGCATTTACCGGCAGTCATACGCGGTCTGGTATACTTGTCGAAATGCCGAATCCATTCCAACCCAATCTCGTTCGTAGTCCACCTATTATCGGACACGACCACCTTCCAATCGTGTGGTAATGTCGTGTCGCGATACCATGACGCGAGGTGGGTTTTGCCCTGTAGAATGATGAACGGCGGGACCACCCAACCATCAGCATTGACAGCAGAAATTGCTGTAGACCATTCCCTGTTGCCTTGCTGGGCTTGTCTAGGCCTACCACGTCTTTCGGCGCTTGTAATGACCATGCCGGACCCAATAATGCCCATCATAAACCCAGTCTCGTCGAAGTTGTAAATATCCGCGTCTTGGATACCATATTTCGCGATTGCCGCTGCAACTTGACAAAACCACCCGCGATACGCGTCTGGATCTTCGTTCAAGACCCTCTCGTAGTCCATCCTCCGATGAAAACGCGTCCGGAGGCCTGGTGTACGTTTGATGAAGTTCGCCGTCCAGTTCTTTCCAACGCGTCCAGCCCCGCGCGCTGCCAACAATTGATTTGCCATATCTTTAACATAAGTGTACCGGGGCGGAAATGCTCGCGCATCCAGGTCGATTATGAAGGAACAAATGGCATTCTCTTCAGAAACCGTAAGTTTCAAAGAATTAGGCATGCTATCGCGTCGTGATGGTCGGCCGGCGATTCTAGCCTTCAAGGTATTGTATGGGACATGGAAAGTCTTAGAAAGCTTGCCAATGGTAATATGAGGGTCGCGTCGCTTAGCTTGGACAGCAAGCTGTAAGTCTGATTCGCTATAACGCAATGCCATTATTGTTGGTTGATCAATTAGGAGCCTTGATTGAAAGGTTGGGTGGCTGGTGAAAAGTTGCCGCTCGCTTGTAATTGCCGCTCGCTTGTGACCTACGTTAATACCTTTTAATAATAAGCTTAATAATACTTATACGATAATAAGCCGCTACTTATTACCGTTTATAAACTTTAAAAACTTATAATATATAATGAAAGGTTTTTTATAACTATAAATATATTTATAAATATCTTAACAACGTACTTAATAATTTATTATTATACAAAGTAATACTTATTTACAGAATAGCTTATCGAAAAAGTAAAAGCATTTCGAAGTCATATAACATACACCTCTATAAAGATCTTAATAATTTAATATTTAAATTATATTTGGAGAACTAATTTAAGAAATAATTTAATTATTACGAAGTTAATAAATAACTTATCTTTTAAATCTAGCTATTTTGAATAAATATTCTTATAAATATAATAATCTTTAATAAAAATAATATCTTTTAAATACTACTACTTTTATATTATATTGCTTAAAATATCCAAAAACGCTACGGCCTTATTATACTTAAACCTTTTAAACCTTTTATTAAAATTAAGTAAACAAACCAATGATATTCGTTTAATTTATAAAAAACATATAATACTTACTAGTATTATAAATACGGGTGTTTATATTTTGAAGCTAGTTAATTAAACTAATACTTCGATTTTTTGGGTTTAATTATAAAAAGTGAATAACTGTTTGTAAATATTTAAACGCTTGATTTTTTATATTAAAAGTACTTTAAGCTTTTTGGCTTTTTTTGATAAAAAAGTGGTAATAAGCTTAAAAACAGAGAGATTTTAAATATTTGAAAGAATATTCTCAAACATTTTAATAAAAGTAATAATAATAGTAATAATAATAGTAGTAGTAATTAAACCGGTTGTAAAAATCTACGTAAGTAGTATTTAAAGATATTTGGTTGATATTTAACTGCGTAAAGCCTTATCAATACTTAACCAGATTAGGGATAACGGTCGATATTCCTAGGAAAAGTGGTTCTGCCAATATTCGGGGAAAGCCAAAGCATTCGGTACTATTCATAGGTAGCCCGTGCTACCGTGTTATGCGGTCAAGAGACGGTATCATACGGTATCAGATCCCCTTAAGACACTGTACTGACTACGCTGGAATCGACCCCAGGGGAGGCAAACTACCTAGGTAGTCGAAAATAGTCTCCTTTACTATCGTGAAGGTGCGCCCGAGGACTGTAATCATTCACCACACTGCATGGAACATGGCGGCAGGCTGGGCTCAGCTGGGCATCAACGTGCAGCAACTACCTCCGGTAGGTCACACACACCAAGTTCGGGCGGATGTGGTCCAACCTCAGCCCTCCCATCTTCAGTACTGGCATAGCGCCGGCTACGTGCGAGGTCACTTGGGCGTCGGGCAACACCAAGGGAGCAAGAGAATGAGAACCCAATTATCAAATTAAAACTGACCCGTAGCCGACAAATAAGTACGGTGTGGTATATCCTTCTGGCTAATAATAATACTATTGTAATCCAGGTGGTGCTCCTTTCATCCTGAAGACCTTCCCAAAGCTCCAGGTTCCTTCTTTAAAATAAGGAATCGGTTCTAGTAGAGGATCCTCGGGAAGGAGTAGACGTACTGCATCCTAAACCTATACATCCCCGCTATGGATTCGGGCCAGGCCTGTAAATAGAGCCTATCTACGTCGTTGTAGGCGTGGTCCGTCCGAAGTGAATCAACTATACATGAAGCGCATAGGTATCCCAACTCCTCTACAGATAATCCTCTATCAGAAGTGTATTCGAATGAAGTGATCAGCTGGACGTACGCCACGAACTGGAAGAGTCGGGCGGTCGCAAGCAAATCGAGACACGCTCGCGAGTTTCACGTCATGGTTCGCCTTCTAGATTGGGCCACTGTGGTCAACCAACTTATGGCTCGCCTTGAGCGCCGTCGCCTTTATAATCCCAGGCCCAGAGCGAAACGGACCTGAACGCGGCTTCGGGGGCGGCATAGCATTGCGGGACGACAAGTTGAGCCTGGGCGCCAAGGCCGCTCTCCAGGACGATGCGACCTATGAACACGTTTCGAGAGACGAGCTCAGCTGCTTCGCTGACGACGTTGATGACAACAAGGCGGAGGACGCTGTGGAATCTACCGCCGACATCATCACCAGATCTCCCGGCGACTATACTTACCGGATAGTCAAGCGTTCGAAACTCGCGACCTACCCCTTCTCCGCAGTGGGAATCATTGAAACCCCAAAGCGTAAGAACGGTATATACAACAGGTGCACTGCATCGCTGGTAGGGCCGCGCCACGTCCTGACCGGCAGACACTGCCCAGTGAACAAGGATACGGTGTTCTATTTAGCATGGTATGATAATTCCTTCACTGCATCGGCGCATGTTGTGGAGAGATTCCGCACGCCGAGTGGCTGCAACGACGACGACGGTGGTCAATGCGTAGCGAAAACGGACATCGCTATTTTGGTCATTGATCAGAGGCTGGGAGACACGCACGGCGGGTTGTAAGTTCTGATCCCTTTACAGGCGTACCGCTCTTCCGCATCCACAGGCATATTCATCTACTGACACATCTCATAGTTACCCGACTGAGACTATACTCAAGTCCTACGCCGGCGACAAGATCTTTAAACACATATCATACCCCGAGTCAGTTGCCAATGGAGCTCGATCAGTCTACCAAACGGACATCTCCATTACCCGAGGGAACTGCGGCCGCGGGCCCTTGAAGTCCAGCAGCATGCTCTCGGCCCCGGGGGCTAGCGGAGGCCCTCTCTGGAAATGGGCCGACGACGACAAGACGACAGCGATCGTGGTCGGTCCGCTCTATGGCTACAAGGAAGACGGTATGCTCAGCAAGTTGTTCGGGGCGTCCAAAAACAGAAGCTTTTCAGCAATCAGTTTGGGACGTCCCTGATCGGAGAACTATATAAGACGGTTATTGAAAAGTACCCGTAGCGCCGTGAGTCGTAGGGTTCAAGCAGTGAGAGGGAAAGAAGATCTCTGGGAGACCAACAATTTCAGAGGATATCTCGGGGAGTCCGTCCATTGCACTACAATGTTTATGCAAAGTCCCGGCTTGTCCTTGGGCCTCACACACATCTATAAACTCGAACGTTTCGGCAGGGCGTTTGATCACGGCCTCAATATCGACCAGGCCATGTAGGGTCCAATGATGGTTTCCCATGTGGCTTTTCTCCTCAAAGGACCATTCCCGGCCTTGCAGCCTGACGGCTAGACTTTCTTCCATGCTTGCAATCTTCACCGGGCGCTCACCGAGCACCATCGTTCGCGATAAAGACGCCTGCGCACAGCCTCGTTCGGGCGACGACAGCCGAGGACAGCAGGGCATCAGCCAAGGAATCGAAGGCTCCTCGACACGCAGTGTAGCTGGCGAGCCCCATTGGCTGGTTTCCGCCTCATCGCCTCCCCTTCGGAAAGCATATGCGACATCTGTGAGCAACTAGCTGGCAGGTGTGCTTATCCGAAGCCACACTACACCCGTCGAGCAGGACATCAACGCATCAGACACTCATCCGTTTTTTGGGGTAGTACAGTACACGTGGGCCTCACTTACCATGGCAGGGTATGATTTATGCATATTGGCTTGGTGTTGTGCGGCCCTCCTATCTTCCAGACCCTTGGGACCGAGAAGACACTGTGTTGGACTTGTCCTACCATGAACGGAGACACCACCAGAGCATCGGATAACGACCACTCCGTAAGCGACACCGAATAAGGCGTCATTTGAATGCCATGCTCACCAGGACACTTCCCAGCAGAGCTTTTATATCAACTTTTGGCTGCCTGAACGAGCCTGACAAGCTGCATCCCATCCCAGTTGCACCGTCCGCGGCTCCAGCATCGCACTTTGGCTTCAAGGGCCTCCGATCCCTTCAGTGACTAGAAGGGTTACCGATGATGATCAATTAGGAACTGGAAAGACAACAAGAAAGTGGATGGGGATGCTACATGTAACGAACTCACGCTGCGCGACCCGCCTCACTGGAAATCTTCTGGCCCCCGAAATCCGCAGGCAGCGCAATCTCACTCGCTCACGAATGCTCCAATGTGGCTCTTTACGATAACTCGTCATGGAAAAGAAATGAGCTCCTAGATCTGTCGGATAATATTACCGCACGAAAGCACCATAACGTTATCTAGATAACCCTGAGCGACGGGGGCCGTGAGGAGGACGAGCGGAAAAGCATCGCCACATTGCGTTGTCTAAAGACTAGTGGCAGAGGCAGCAAGCTGTGCCTCGATACCAGCCGGGCGACTCATCCGGTCATTGTCTTGTTCAGGGGCTGAATGGCTGAGTCCCTTGCACATCCGTCGCTGCACATATTTGATGGTCGGCAGGTGCGCGGTGAGTGATGAGGCTGAGCTGCTTGAAGCATGGCCAACTCTAGCTGAGCCGGGATGGACGTTTGCAACAGCAGATGCGCTGGTTCAGCCATGACCAGACCATGGCCTAGTTATAAAATCAGATAATTCATGAATTTTCCCTCGATGAGTGTAACAAGCAACCCCTTTGTGCCCCCCTTGACAACGTGAGCCTCACCAGCGCGTATCCTGAAACTGATTTACAGCCCGCTGACCCAGCACAGAGTTCCTAAAATCACATGATATATGACCGATTCCAGTCAGTGAACGTGTGAAGCATGAACTCGGCGAACCTGACATTGCCATTGCAGACTTTGCGAGTCGTACACCAAGGCCAGCAGTACTACTGATAATATGCCCCGGGTGGGCACATGACCACTAGTCAATGATGATGGTGTTCCTCGAGATCAGGACGTGCTCAACAACACAGCGACCACATGTATCCGGCTGGCAGACGAACACCTGCTGGTCCCTCACCTTGCTGTGTTGTGTCAACACCGCCGCTAGGGCGAGGCGAGCAACCCAGTTCATGTGGGATTTGGTGATCAGGATGCCCTCGGGAGTATCGATAACCTGACCCCACGTCTCGAGAGCCATGCACTTACCAAAGGACCTATTCGAGTCTTCATGGGTGCATGGGGGCAAGTCGGAGGGGCGTTGGATGAGGGGGCCGTTGAGTGCCTTTAAAATGTCGACGTCCGCGGCCCAATCTCCCCCGTCCCGGACCTGGACGGCAGCCTCCAAGATCACGGCATATACACCCCTCTGGACGACTGCTCCGTCGTGCATTAGAGGAGACTCCCACTCAGTGAATGAGAGGTGCATTGATGTACGCCCAAAACAATCTTCCGGGCGCTCGTCAAAGGGAGATAAAGCCTGTATCGAGGTTCCAGGTGATAGATAGCTCACGTATTTCGGGCGAGGATGGCGAGGCTAAGACAGTGAGCCCAGGACGGCCAAGGTTTCCCGATAACCTAGTGAACTGGTAGTAGGGGTACCTCATAGCTGGGTCGTACACTATCTGATATCATCTTAATACCTGTTTGTAGTATACGGCTGAGGCCACTTACCCTTCGCGGTACGTACAGGGAATCACCGGCCGACAATCCTACAACGTCCTTGAAATCGAGGTTTCCGAGGAAATCCTGTCCTGTTTCGAAGTAGCCGATAACGGACAACGCGCAACCATAGTCAGCGAAAAGCTGCCTGGCGTTCGGTTCAGTGAAGCCGCGATACCCCCAACCAGGGGGGACCGCCTGCCCCTTGACAACGGTTGATACCGCTGGACTGCTAGAGGTCTCTCCAAGATGCGAGACGAGATGGTAGCACCCTCGGTGGAAAGACTCGCATATGTTTTTCCAGCAAAAGACATCCAGAAGAAAGCAAGGTAAGCGGGGTCTGACATAACACACATATGTTGCTTCAACTTGTCACCTCGTTGGTAGCCTGGCCGAGGGCAGCTTGCATCCGCCCGATAGCCAGTGAACCAGCCATGGTGTCGGCGCAAAAAGACGAGCTGCTGAGGCACTTCGGAATGCTTTGCCTCGAAAAGAGAGGAGAGAAGTTGAATTCTGCAAAGAGAGATGAGCGCCGAGAGCTGAGGACTGCCGTACTCTTTCACAAGCAGCCCTGGCCATCTTGTAAGATCGTGGTTGCCTGCCCGTGGCGTCCCTCAGCCTGCATGACAAGCCGTTGGATTTCACCTCCGGCAAATCAAACCAATGTGGAATATGCACTTTCAATGTGACTCTGCACATGTACTCGAGACTGCTGTGCAACTCCACAATCCCAGGTCGGCCCAATGGCAAACATTCGGATATCGAGGTATCGCCAGATTGGCCGGGCTTACTGTCTCGACAGGGTTAATCAGGACCTCAAGCCCCAAAGAGAGATAAGTCGATTGTGTCGACCAGGGCGAAACTCGAGCGTGACCTCTGAGTGCCATGTAGGCAAGCCAATGTGCAGAAGCACTGCCAAAGACAGATATTTGGATCTTCTGGGCTGCTTCGAGTACGGTACCTCTCGTGCTTCAGTCTCTGGGAGTCAAGTCGCTACCGTTGCATACTGTGGAAAGTTCAGTGATTCTCCCATACTGTTAGAAATGTGAAGGGTACGTGAATACCTACTTCGATCCGAGGCGGAGATGTCTCTGTTGCTGTAGGTATACCGTTATCCCCAAGCCATACTTCCTGATTGCCCAACCTGTCAATACCCGTCTGAGGCGTCGAGAACATGCTTCGCCACACGGCCGGTAAGGCCGCGTGTCGTCGCAAACATCCCATGGTCGATGAAGGTCTCACGGCAAGGCTGCGCTGAAGGCACAAACAAGTGGGGCTCGCTCAGTATAGCTCGAAATCGCTTCTAATCCCCGAGCTGAGACATAATGGTCAATCCGCGTCCCAGGGTCTGACTTCTTCCACAGCGGCTTCTCAGCCTCCTTTAAGCGAATCCGCGCTGTTATCAATCAGGCCGTTGGAAGCCGCAGAACGGGAACCACAACGCGCGCTACATCTCAGCACGTGTGGTCAGATTCGCCAGATGGGCACACGGATTCAAAGCACGAGTCCTTCGAGATTCTGGGACATTTCAGCTGTTGACAAAAATGGACCGAATGATCGCGGCTTACACTCAGTTTCATATCGCTGCGTGATCCCGCACGTGGGCGGTGCTGGATTGAAGTCGGAAAATGCTAGCGAATATGACAAACAACCTTCACAAGCAACATAAACATGCCCAATGTTATATCTGTATAATGACGACTCTGGAATCTCTTCGGATGGGGTCTGAGAGCTTAGTTCAAATAGCTTATAGCTTATAGCAGAACATCACGAACCGAAAACCACCAGCCCCAAAGCCCCTGACAGGATCAGAATCCCCAAGTGAAGATCACAGCTACCATGACGGAGTTCAGGCAAGACCGCTTATCACCATTACCACCACCATCGTCCGGACCACCGAGCTACACAGAGCGGGCACGCCCACGCCCACGCCCCCCAGCTCTCCCACCGAGACCAGCAAGCCAGACACAACAAGGTTTACCATCACACTCGCAGCAGTCACGCCCGCCAGCCCTTCCACCAAGACCACCGCCGCCGTCATACACCCTACTCGCACCAACGCACGCCAAACCACCACCACCACCGCTCCCACCACGCCCCTCACAACCCCCCTGACAACCCATTTTTCAGACCCACTAACAACCCACCGCCGCCTGACCCGCGCCCTAACGCGCGACACGTTAGGCTCCCTGATATCGACCTCGCGCGCAATCTTCGACGACCTGGGCGTCGTGGGCAACGCGACGGACGGCTGGCTGGACCACGCGGGGGAGTGGATCGCGGAGCAGATTGGAGCCAGCGTGCTCGGGGACGTGGTGGTGGAGGTGCCGAGCCTGCTGAGCCTCGTGATCGAGGACGCGACAGGGCGCGCCGCGATCGGGGCCGTGGAGTTTGCGTCGGGGATCGCAAGCGCGCCGACCGATTTCCTGGCACAGGAGGTGCTGGGCCTGCTGACGACGGATGACGTGGCGGCGGCCGGCACCGAGAGGCTGGTCGACGCCATGCTGGAGCGGCTGATCGATGGCGGTCTCGATCGGTATGTGCGCTGGAATGCAAGCGAGGACGGGGAAAAGAAGAGGAAGATCAAGAGTCACTAGTGGAAGAAAGAAGACCAGTCGGGTAGTAGGACATGACATATATCAGAAGTTTCGAGCCGTCTTTTGTATGTCGTGAAGGATTAGGAACAGTTTTCGACAAGTACCACGGGGGCCGATGCGCTTCCTAACCGGTCAATCTACTCACCTGCATACGGAGTAAGCAAGGACGATTCCTAGAATATAAACTGGGCTCCGACCTACCAGTCAAGCTGCTAGCCAGCCCGCGAGGTCATTTTTGGGCTTCCTCGTCGTGGACAACGTCCATATGCGTTGCGGCGGTGGAAGAGCCAGCAAATTATAAAGAGCACCAGGCAAATCCAAGTTGGGAGGAATAGGTCCGCTTCGTTCAGTTTTTTCTTATTCGTACATAAAACACCACAATCACTCTGCTTTTGTTTCTCCTTTTAGCGAGAAAGTCTAGTCGAGGTGAAAAGATCGCCTTTCCGAGGCGCCTTCACCATTCATCCCACTCCCGGAGACATGCAAATGAGAAAGACCTTGAGCCTAATCCTTTTGTCTAGCAAAGAAGAAAATGCCAACGTCATCGAGCTTGCAGAGCGCGCAGGGTCAGTGGGTATTGCTATGCCTAGCATCCAGGCAGACCAAATGAAGCGTAGTAAAACCACGCAAACTGTATATGGCGACTCATATTCTGCCCTCGTAGATCCCCGCATCTCCTGCCGTAAGCACAGGAAGAATTGGCGACCATTGTTCTCCCCTCGCGGAGGAACACCGTTGTGTGTAGAGATTAGCGTCCCAGGTATGACGAGTCCAAGATCTCCATTCAAGAGCCGTGGCGAAAATCGATGAAATCAAATAGCCATCCATGGTCATGCATGGCAAGTAGTGTGCAAGGTATTTTGTTTCGCGCCGAGATCGTGCGAGACAGGAGTTCAGGTACGCAGACCTGATTTCCGAGCCATCCGGTAATGGCTTTGGCTTGGAAGTTGACGAATGGGGACCAGATCCATGCGTCAATTGTAGCCACTCTGAGGTCCCTCAGCTCGCCGGTATAAAGGTTCAAGAGTGGACGTTTGAGAATGATTTGTGTGAGATGTGCCATACAGAGAACACATGTCCCGTGGCTTGAATACACAAGTACCGAGAGTGAGGGTTTGTGGGTATGACCAGTATGAGTCTGGGCAGCACATGAGTGAAGACCCCGTATCCCCACAGGGCGACAGCGAACTTCGTAACGTGATCGATGGTACTGATGTGGAGTATTTCTCATGAAGGTGAAGTAGCATATCAGAATAATTGCAGGAAGAGTAGGATCCTTGGAGGCCTGCCAACACCTTGGAATATTGGAGGTCATGCGCTATTACCACTGACCATCTGTGGTAAGCCTCTCACGCTTGACCTTGTCTTGGACGAACACCATGACATATGGCATGCATGAGGCGAGTAACAGGGCAGACCTAATGGCCTTCATTGCCTTCGCGGACACCGTTCGTCACTGCAAGGTCAGGTTGCGAGACGTCATTGTCCATGTGTGCAGTACCATTCGGCAGAGACGCAGTGTCTCGATCGTGCGAAGAGCCCCACCCATTCTGCAAGTGGGTAGTCGAGGCATCTGGAGCTTGATCTGGGAATCCGAAGCCTCCTCCCGGAGAGAACTCAGGTACGGTGGCAGACAGCTGGGACTGGGATGGCCGAACGTGACCATTGAAACCGTTGCTCGTGGGGGATGACATAGAGTTACCGTTTGTATAAGGAACAAACGTAGAGTTCATTGCAGCTGGTGAGAACATGTGACCATCAGTGGCATATGGCGGTGGCATCGTTGGGCGGTTGAAGCGGTCGTAGTATTGCCAACTTGAAGGTCCGTCATTCTGGGCAGAGACATCTCTCTCCTCAATTGGGTTGACCCATTTATCCCATCCGTCCCGACGTCGCACTCGTTCTACATTGTCCAGTCCGATGACAATATCGACGACTGGTGAGTCTTGACAGGCCGCGCGGATGAGATCGTAGTTGCCGCCCAGTTCTCGCATTCGTTTGAACCCAGCAATGATGCGTAAGAGAACAAAGCCCTGAGAGTCCATGTGTTTTCTCAGGAAAATGTCCTTGAGGAGGTTATCGAGTGAGAAGTAATATTCAATCTGCGCCTGAACGAGCTGGTAGGTAGGGGCATCCGGATAAGGCGAAGTCCCGGGCGGAAGATACATTGCAGGGTCATAGGCCGGCGGCATGCTCATTGGCGGCAGGGTGGGCAGTCTTCCATTTGGCTGCCTCTGTGACTGCTGTGAGCGACTTCCCATTGAACCATGCTTGCGACCATGATTGCCCGAGGGCTGGGGCGGAAACTGGCCGTTATAAGGCACCTGGTACCCAGGCGAGAAGGACTGGACAGCTTGTCGAGGTGGGAGATTTGTCGGGTACTGGGCCATAGGAAGACCTGGCGTATAAGAGGAGGACGGCGCGTGGTGAGAGAAGCCGTTGGTGTTGCCCGAGTTGGGGTAACCTCCACGACCTCGGCCGCCTCCTCTAGGGCGATCGCTCTGTCTGTGGTTGACACCATTCTGTCCCTGACTGATGCTCTGGCCTCGGATGTCCCTTTGCCCCTCGGCAAACTTTGCACCATCCTCAAGAGGTTGGTTGGCGTTGGTGTTGGCATTAGCATTGCGAGGTGGGTGCTGGTTATTCAGACCGTTGACCATGCCCGCCTGGTTGTGCTTCGACCATTCTGCCTTTTGAGATTCCTGAAAGTACCAGTCAGCAACATGATCATGCTGTATGGGTTGATCAACAAGCCAAAAACTCACCGTGGATACTTCTCTAGAAGTCTTGGAGCTGTCCGGCTGTCCGGCATGCTTCCGTGCGTCTCGAGGCACTGCAGAATCGACCGAGCCGCGCTTAGCAACAGGGTTGGTTTGGGAGCTAGTTCCGTTATCTCGAATACGGTCTGGAAAATGGTCAGTGTCCGTAGCTGATGGATGAGGTTGTCCTCGCTCACCAGTCGAGTTGCCCGCGTTGTAGTGTCCTCCGGTCGCAGCATCTCTTCCGCCACGGGAACCACCAGTACGTCCGCCACGTCCGCCTCTGAGAGGCATAGGAGTCTCCCAGTTAACAGTGGGAGTGAAGTCAACTTTTTCCCACTTCTTGTTCTGGCGTGGCTTATTAGGGCCGGACTCATCCTTTTCCTCCTTCTCGGAGTTTTCGGACTGAGTTGAGGTCTTCATTCCAACTGCTGCTGTTTCTGGGGTTGGCCATGCAGATGAGTTGTTTTCCAGGGATGTCATGGCCGGGAAGGTAGGTTGTCCGTCCTTCTCGCTAGCCCTTCCACCTCTTGGTGCAGCTCGTCGAGGCCCTTGACTGCCATTGGTTCTAGTCATGTCAGTCTCCTTCTTCGGACCCTTGGCTGCATTGGATGAGGGCTTGCTATGTACGGCGCCCATCTCTGATCCGCCATTGAGGGTGAAGCCTTGTCTTGATTCAGCGTAGACGGGGGCAGGGCCGCTAGCCAGGGAATCACCGTTTGTCATGCCCGTGGGCCGAAGCTGCCGGGCCGGCGAAGATGCCGTCTTGGACTTGGCTTGGGCTCTCTGTGTCCATGGGTTGACCACCGGTATGGGTGCTTCGGACAGCTCGACTTTCGGGGGCACAATTTCTTTCTTGTCTGCGGCCTCATCCGCATCTGAGTCTTTCTCAGCGACGTGCTTGCCCTTCTTCCCTTTTCTGCCTTTCTTGCTATCGCTGCTATCTGCTGCATGCGAGTTGGCATTTAGGCCTCGTCCTCGCTTCTCATTGGGTTGCGGTACGACGTCATCCGAAGGCTTCTCTCCAGGCTTCGAGGAGTGTATGGATCCAGCGACAGAGCTCGAGGCAGTCGCTTCATCATTCGTTGACTTCGATTCTGTACCGTTGGTCAGGGGCATACCATCTGGCTTGGCAGACGTGTCTCGAGTGCTGTTCGCAGCATCAGCATCATTCGATGCAGCGACGGACGGGGCTCGCGTGCTTGTTGCAGTCGGATCGTGATTCTGGGTACTGGTTGTCGAAGCTGCTTGGCTTGAGCTGGATTGAATACCAGCAACTTGAGTGGCTGATTGGCCTTTTGCGGCCTGGGCATATGAAAAGGTCGCAGGGCCCGACATTGCTTCCGAATTGGCACTGGCAGTGACTGAAGACATGCTTTGTGACTGAACTGACGGCAGCCTAGGGAAGTGAGGTGGTCTGCCGTGTACCTCGGAAAGTACTCTGACCACTTCCACCAACACACCAAGGGACTCAACCGCCCTAGAGCACCTCAGCTGCAAAGGGTTGCCTGGCGCACAAGTCGCAGAAGCTGGTCGCGCGTCGGGTGGTGGGAGAGGCTCCTCGGTCCAAGAGACCAGGCCGTTGGGGTGGATGGTCAACGACTATGTCGTTAACAGGTCGAGGCCGTTGTTGGGACTCGAAAGAGTCAAGCGGCAGAGTCTGATGATGGTGGTGCGGGATAGGTGACAGAAAAGGAATTGCAGGAGGAAGCGTACAGCAACGGCAATCAATCCTCGAAGGGGATGCGGGGTGCAATCAGTGTTGCTTGACGCACCTCAGCCGGTGAAGTCGCGGAAAAGATGGTGCACGATGGGACCGGTGGAGGGCAGAGAGGGTGCAGTAGACGACTGCTGCCAGCAACGGGAACGATGAGGTCTGTGTTGGCTGAACGGTGGTGGTGTGTCTGGTGGGAGAGGTAGGAGGATTGAAAGTGTGCGAGAGATGTGAAAAAAATTATGGACTGGAGAAACGTGCCAGCTATCCGAAGATGACTGTGCTAAAGTTAGGTGGTCCAGGTGGTCCAGGTGGTCCAGGTACCGCAGTAACTGAGGCGCGGACGTTGTTTGGTAGGTACACAAGTACTCTTGGTAGGTCCTGTAGGCTGTAGCAGGCAGCTGGAGCGGACCGAACAAGATGGGGCCCAAGGTACAGGTAGAACCGAGTGACCTGCTCGCGGTGCGTGTTGTGTACGCTGCGTTGTGTTTGAGTCCGACCGAGGAAGAGTGATTAAGAGTTCATCCAGTGCAGAATGTCGACGAGGTAGCAAACAGGGTGTCGCGTAGGGTACGCAGAGGCAGATGCCGACCTGGAGGCACACGGAAGATGAATGTGAGGACCGGAACGAACAATGACACCGGAGAGGGCAAGTAGGGAGGAGGTAGGAGGTAGTAGCTTGTCAGAGCAAGAGGCGATGACTAGTCACGCCAATTGTTCGTCTTTCTTGCCCACGACCGCTAAATATTGTTGTGCGTGTGCTGCACAGTCAGGTCAGGGTGCTCTGCAGGATGCGAGAATTGCAGGTAGTGAGGTGAGAGAGTGCAATTGAAGGTTTGTGTGCGCCGCATGAAGGGTTTTCGCTGCGCTGCATAAGGTCAGGCAGCGTTGGGAAAAAATAAGTTTTTTTTTCCTTTGGTCCCTGGCGGCTCCGGTGAAGCAGGCGTCACTCGAATTGCATATTAATTTAGACGTTGGGTCCGTGGTGGAAACCTCCGCCGCTACAGGACATAGTGCGTGCATCCAATTTTCAATATATGGGGAAATTCGGATGAAGTAGGCCTGATACTGCTGCCATAGGAACCCCCAGCCTGCGTTACCAAGGTCAAAGGAATAGTAATACTGATAAGTTGTGACCTCATTAGTCGTGAGCATGTCACATCACCGTTGGACTCATCAGTGCAAACAAGCCGCGGCATGGACGTTAGTGGCGATTTAACAGTGCTTTTAGGGAGGTGCCAGGGCGCCCTTTCCACCCCGCCATTGATACATATAGGTACTGCCTGTTACTCTGTTACTGCTTTCCATACTTGTACCTATTCCCAACTTACGACTCCATGAAAGTCATCAATGCACTCTCACGTGTGTATGATACACAGCTTCACCAAAGGCAAGTAAGTCTAGGTGATCAGCCATGAGCTGATTCATTGATGGTGAAAGGGCTCTGCTCACAGGAACTCTGACGATGTAGTGGGCCTGGAATCACTGGTAACACGGAAACACATCAGGTAACAACGGCCTTGTGCCAGTCAACATTACCCAGCAGTGAGTGAAGCATCGAGGATACAGATGAGAATGTCACTTGACAGAGGGTCATGGCCTATTGCAAGCCCAAGATCGTACACATGATGATACAGTTGCAGAGCTGATTATCTGAAGGCTCCTGTCCCACTTCATCCAACACTGACTCTAGGTGGTCGATCCTTTAGTCACTGGCAATCACCGTTCAGAGCTTCCATTCATAATACACGTAACCTAGGTAGCTACCTAATTGTCAGCCATCGCTTGGTCCAGACAGGCAGGCAGTCTATCACAAGGGAAGAAGCCCGTGCAGGCTTCGTATTATTACTACCCTGTGCCCATCCAAACGCGCCGGGGCCCCGTGGGAACCGGACAGCTTGCCAGTTCGCATCACAGCTTGTGGCAGTTGATGATGACTCCAGTGACGAATCCCCAGCCTGGTGTCATCTCACGATGAGCAATTTACGTGCTACCAGAACATACCTAGAACACCCGCGAGTGGCAGCGTCCGGGGATTGAGGTAGTTTTGTGTAAGTCTCAATCGGCAGGTGTTTCCGTCCAATGTTGTGATCCATGGGGGGTAGATGCGTCTTTAGGTAATTGTGTAAGTCGAGGCGAGCGCAGTCCGGCCCCTACCTGGAAGCCATCCCAACCCATCCTTTCCGGAGTCTTGTCCCTGATTCCTCGCGGACTGCGTAGAACACTTATTAAATATGCTCCATGTTCCTTGATCTCATCAAGGTAGGTATCCTCCGCGCGGGGAAAGTGTGGTCTTGACATCCGGTAGACAAATGTCAAGGAAGAGAGCTCCTCCGGCAGCCAATCATATTTGCCCATTTTTACCCCTCCAACCACTCTGGAGCCCCGCCCCTGAACATCGCGAGCAGGAGAACCGATTTCCAACATTATAGTCCGCAAGGGTGTCTCGCGTCTGCAAAGGCCAAATGGGAAGATAGGGCAATGAACCTAGCCATTTCTCGTCTATCTCATCATTGCCAATCAAGCTCGTGCTACCTCAGGGCGTATCCCACTCTATTCTTCCGGATGGCCTCGCGGGGCCAGACTTCCAGTGGCATGTCTCCATCCGGCGCGAGGCGCGAGCCGACAGAGCAAATGAACAGGCCGTATTGGGCCGAGGCAGATGGCAGAAGCTGACTGATAGACTCAAGCGTTGAACAGAATCCATCATTTTCATAGGAGCTCTTGCTTTGTTTCGGAGAGCGCGTTATATCCCTGTTCCTTGAGTGCCCAGGTCGATTGTTCCTGACAGAGGGGCATCTCGGTAGGTCCTCCTTGGCTGAGACATGCCCAGCAATGACGTCGATCCGGGGTATTTTAGAGACGCACAGCGTACCTGTGTAGAACTATTTGTAGTCCATGTGTTTGTCCGTGGACAAATAGACCATATGTGCCTGAATATCCACAGATCTCTACTGTTGGAGCGCACAGATGGGCACTACCCAGGAGAGCTCACCATTCTTTGAGGGCGCCGCAGTCATAGCCGAATTCGTCTGCGGTATAGTTCTACAAGAGTCCTCATTGGAGCGACGGAAGAGGCGGGTCCGATGTCTTGGCAAACGGATTTGACGTCGACGGGACGAGATCAGGACGGGACGGGAGCATTGTACTGGAACGGCGAGGTTACGAGCACGTGCTACCCTAATCTGTGTTTCACAGTCACGTTCAGTACCGCGATGACCAGACTAATATGGGGGGAAATAAAAGGTACGGTAATAATAATAGATCCTCTTCTGTCACATGCTCATCACATGCCGCCAAAAAGCCCGCACAAAATCACATCAAGAAGCTTAACCCATCGCTTCATTTGACACAAGATAATTTAATGACATCACTGATACCATGACGACTGGGCGCCAGTTCCATTACTGATGAATACGGTGGAGTTTACAGGCATGTTCCTCTTGAGCGAACACGTGAGCTTCTAATGACGGATAAGAGGATCCTAGATAGACGCGATCAGCAAGGCAGAAGTGTCTCCCGGGAATGAAGTTGTGAGATCAGACCACAAGCGAGCCGCACATGACTACGTGGTCTGGTGTGGCGCTAGGCTGTCTCACTCAAGCAGCGGAAGTCTCCGAGTACACTCAGTTATATAGGCATATCTTCTTTTTTGATTCAGATGACTTCGTGTTTGTGTTAGCTTCTGCCCAGCGGCCAACCGAAGGGCGATAGCCGGAGATCGAAGCAAGGCGCCTTCCAAATGCTATAGTGTTACAAGTCCGTGGTACAATTTGTCTGCAGTCTAGCCGGTCACCCAAGCAGCAGCACGCCGGCCGCCAAAAGATGCCGCGAGGCGAAGGCCACTCGAGCCCATTGGGAAGTAACTGACCAAGTACCATGTAAGGCATGCAATCTGGATGATGGCAGAGATCAGGGTAAGGATTGTACTTTGAAGCTGCGGCCGTTAACAACCATTCGAGACGAGTATCGGGACGGCCATGACTTACACCGATCGAGAAGTATATAGTCAACGCAATTGATCCAAAATATGCCGCAGTGAAGGGTAATCGAGTCCCAGAGGTCAGATGCTTCGCATACGCCATAGGTCCCATCATGGCCGCAAAGGAGGAGAGGAAGAGGACTGAGCCGAATGACCATCTGCAGAAGCAATGTGTTAGCACTTCGCCCAAACAGAAACTAGAGCCAGCAAGGAGAAGGGTATATAGGACGACGCTAGGACATAAGGCAGCTGGTGGTCCAAAGAAGGTTGGTTCCGGATGGCTGATCACTCGCGCCAGGATGCACGACATATATGCAACAGCGGCTTCTTGCAGAGACCACCCCTATCCGACCAATATCCGGTGAAGGCCACACGACAGGCTAATAATAAGAATAGGAAGGCGAGTAGGAGGGAGAAAGCTGAAATATCCTTGGCTTACAGGATTACGAATTTCCGGGGCTTGGCCATAAGAATCGGCCAGAGGGCGAAGCAGAGAACGAAGCAGGCGAGAGCGCCCAGGTTGCAGGCACCGAATATCAGCAGACGGTCCCAACGACTCACTAAATAAAAGAAGTAGATCTCGAGTCAGCGTGTACTTGACTGTGGTGGGTAGCTTGACCATGTGCGACTGTGAAACATATCGTGCGGAAGATGCACATGTCCGCCAGCAGGGCATTACTGCAGGGGAACCCATATATGACTATGGGGTCCTATGGGAGGAAGAAAGCCAAGACTCACGGACAAACCAGCCTTCCTCTTCATCACGACGGTTGCTCGCCGGCAGGGGAGCGCCGGGGCCCTCGGTCGTGGGTAGTTGCACATATCCACGGTCTCCAAAGGGATTAAGCGATTTCATTGACGACAGCAATCCGGTCGACTGTGACGTGGTTGCCGGATAGTCGGATTCACGACGCGACCACCCCAACGAGTTCATCGAGTCTCTAAAGGATGTCGAGGCCATTGCGTCTGATATCTGATGTTCGCCTTCCGCCCCTCGCTTTTCGAGTGTGCCCTATCGAGTTCGCAGGACTTGGCTCTGGTGGCCCGAATGTAAGTCGACGTAGGGTGTCGGAGTGGCGATATGGAATATATGGGGCCGTCCCCTATGCGCGGGCAGGTGGCTGCGTGATGGCTGCAATCAGTTATGTCGAATGACCCCCCTCTTTGTGGTTGGAGTCGGGAGTTGATAGGAGGCTGTGGTTGTCGATGGAGGATACGTCGTCGTGACAGTCGCGTTAAGGAGGGCGATGGATAGTGTGGTGGAGTAGAGAAGGGAGAGTTGCCCGTTTCATTGGTAAGGTAGCAGTTATTCTGGGCAGTGGGTATCAGCAGTCAGCCACACGCGGATGGGGTCAGTGCCGGTGGGGCTGGTAAGACCTGTCGCGCCACGCCTATTGGCTGGTCTCTGGGGCATGTGGCTTCTCCCAACCAGCTAAGAAATGACACTATCAGCCTGGCAGCCTGGTAGGGACAAAGGTGACAATCCGATGGACACCACCAGCAATGTGACTGAGCATCAGGTATCCGAGTGTGGGTGGTGTGATTCCCGTGTATGGGGCAAAGCCTGGCAATGGTGTCTCTCGCTTTCAGGAGGTAGTGCTATCAGATGAACCTCGATCCTGAATAATGAGTCAGTGACGTCTGGAGTTTACGAGGTAAGCTGTCTCTCGTCAGTCCTTCTAATGCCTAGGTACGTAAGATAAAGTGATTCCTAGGATATGGTGTCAAGTTGTGTACACTCATGCTGCGATGGCCACGCGGCATACACTCACACACGGCTGCCTGGTCCATGTCTACGCAATCGTCCAGTCATACCAAAGGGCGGATTCCGTACTTCACTCTGAGACTCTTGTAAGTTACCTTGTCTCCTTGTTTAGACATCGATCGTATTGGGCGTCTAACTTGGCTCATGGGGCATCATCGCTTATCCCACAACCTTGAATGTTGATTCTACTACTTGTTCTGTTTGACTATCAGCATCTACGGTACACCCAAGGGAGGTAAGGTAGTAGGCAGTCTCAGATCATGTTCTACCTGCCAATAGCAACGTTGAATTTGTAAAGCTCAAGCGAACGTGAGGATGTGTGGCCTCTGATTGGTGGGGTTCGTCAAAAGAACTTGGACTTACCAACTCCAAGTCATGTCATGGCTGCAAACATATTTGAACGTTGCAGTGCCTGTTGCTTCGTCGAGGTTGACGAGCAGCGGCAAACGCGGTAATGTCACCACTTATCTTGCCGCAACCAGGGTTCTAACGGGCTTCGATATACAGTGCGAAGAGTACGAAGAGCACGCATGCAAGCCACAACCCTCACCCTGCAGTTGGTTCCCCTCGAGAGGGGATTTCCCATGGACCTAGCGAATCTGGTCAATCTGGTCGGTGGTGGTCCGAACCGAGCACCGTGCCGAACGGGCACTAAGGTAGAATCCCCTCGTCAAAGTCACTGACACTGGGCACGCCGAGTGATGATTGGCCCGCCACAATACTGATGCCAGTCGGAGCTGCATATTGGCCATACTCAACTTGGGGGATCGTCGTCGGCAAGCGGCAGTCAACATGAAAGACCTGCAGCTATGCATCGCAACCATAAAACCTCCGGTGCGTTACATCGAGCAGCCAGTAAGTATCACACGCTTCACCAACCTTACGAGCCAACCCTCGCCTCCTAGAGGGCAGCATGCCCCGACGATCCCCCCAACGATGCCCCCCTTCCTCAGATCTGGGTCATATCTACGAGTTCTTTGCGGCTAGATGTATGATGATGATGAGCTTGATCTTTATTTTGATAAAGTCCCTGGAAGCGCTGCACCCGAGTGCGCCGCTGCCGCGAATAATACAACACGAGTCCTCCCAGACGATGTGAAGCTAACCAGCTTATCTTTCCAACTAGCGAAGTGGTTGCGCGCCCAATCCCCAAGGTGGCCAACATCAAGACTGCGGGCAGGTTGATAGATAACAGGTTTGATGATTTCTTCCAGGCAGGTTCGGTGAGCATTCCAGACAGCCTCCTAGGGCGGCTCTCTCAACTCCAGTCCACATAAGGCGAGCGCAGATAAGGGGAGACAGTCGTCATCGGGTCCTGCCTTGTCTCAACCCATGGCTTAGATGGCCTCGCGCCGAGCTGTCATAAGAGAATAGCATGGACCCTGAATCTGGGACGGGTGCCTTGCACAAGCGAGCGACTACGCCTTCTCTTAGCCATGGGTTCGTGATTTGTAAACCAGCATTGCCCGAGGGGGGCCCTCGTGTGAGTCAGATGGGAAGATAACCGGCTGAAATCAGACACTTCCCAGGGTTGACGTGGGAGGTTGGGCGTTCGTATTGTTCAAAATCCATCCTGCTTTTCTACGCATTCCCATGGCAGCTCTCCAAGGTACCAGCCTAGGCGGAAAGGGGTGGCATCGTGTCTTAGCCAGGATGGTTGGCTGACTTTGATCGTGTCACGAGTCTAGTTGCCGCCCCCCTTCACCTCCCGAGAACCCACCTTGATTACGGGAGCTCGCCGATAAGATAGAGCTTGGTTGTGAGCAGGAGGCGTCACACTAGCCCGGCGAGGGCAAAAGCAGACACCTTCACTGCCTCCCTCCCTACACCATCAATCACATCACCACACCACACCATCAACCGTTGGAATCTGTCCAAGTTGTCGAGTGTCAGGAGACGCACCCAACGCATTCCCGGATAGAGTGGAAGAAGGGGCCACCGGCTTGCTATCGCTGCTGGTCGTATCTTTAGAGGGGCTGCTAACACTTGAATATAAAAGCACCTGCAACCCCACGGCGCCGATCCAATGAGGGAATGTTCTTTTCTTCTGATGCTCGCCAAAACAAGTTGATGTGCTTGATCGGGATTGACTTTCTCGAATCCGAAGACTGCCCTAACCAGAGATAATACCATCACTGCCAAAGAAGCAGATCCAAATCATCAGCTATCGCATACCTTTAGTCAGCCGCCTGTCACGATCACAGCAAACCACGTCGCAGACGGTCACAGAAGGACAGGAGAAGGACGAGACACAGCTGAAGCCAAGAAACCAAGTTGCCCTCGTAAGCCTCGACTCCAACACACCTTCTGGTTGTGTGACGAAGACATACCTATAGTCTATCGCATCCAATAGCGACATGCAGTCGGTTGACTGACCCGATCTTATTCTCCTAGACTCTAGCTGCAGTCGTGAGGCTATGGAAACGTTGATCGACATTGCGGAGGATCTGATCAAGGATTAGATCGTTACTTATCAATCATCATCATCGTCACCGTTACTACGGTAGTTCGAGCGAAGGCACCTGCATCGACACACACACAGTGTATCCCAGAGATTGAGAGATACTCAATTTACATGGACCCCATCGCCTGCCCCTCTTGGATCGAACCGGCCTCTTATCGGAGTCGCAGAAGAACATATCGAGTCTTTCAGCACCTGCACCGTTGTCAAGGTCGGCTTGTGCGACATCGACTGAATCAGCCGTTCAACGGTTGCGATAGTTTTGGGAGAACGACTTGAACCGCATCCTGCAATACCTTCACGGAGCACATTGGAGCGGTCATCGGAAAGTCTCGCTGCACATTAGGCCGTCAAGCCCGCTAAGCCCCGCCAGGATTTTAGTGCATGTGGCTTATCCCATCCAGCCAACCAGCAAACAGCCGCGCAGCTCAGCCAAGCCGCACGGAAGGCGACCAATCACTTGCCACCTACACACACAGTGCCCGAGCTACCTGAGCCTAAAGGTAGCGGCTTACAGGGCTTCCAGTGCTTAGAGCGCCCCCATACAGACCGGGACAGCAGCCACACCGCACCCTCTCGTCACCTTGACCTCTTTTTGTCCATCCCTGTTCACCATCTGCAGCTGCAGCTAAATTTGCATTTCTCGACGGCCCCCTCGACAAGGACCCTGCCTGCCTGCCCAGCGCTCTCACCGCGATTCCTTTGAGCACGCCCGACCCTCGTCATACCGTCAAATCGCCATACCCAGACCAGGCAATACAATCAACCCTTCCGAGACCGCAACGGCATTGTCAGATTGCATTCCATTGTCGCCGAGCAAGCACCCTCTCTCTCGTATAGGACTACAAGGACAGGCAGCCCTCATTCTTCGTCCTTTGCCCACCTGCAAGGAAGGCTCCGCCGCGCCAAGCAAGAGGCGAAGGTACAAGTCGCTCGGGTACTGGTGCGCCCGCTTTCAGGTCCTCTGGAAGTATTGAAAGTACATTTGTGGGCAGCCTTCGTCGTTGCTCCCGCCCAAGTACACTTCTCCAGTCCGCGCTTCGATACATTGGGTGTACCTTTACCGCCTCAACTTCTGGAAATCCTGGGGAACTAATACTTTTAGTCCTTGACCATCCCAGGATCCAACCACCTTCGCCCCTCCACCACTTTCTCCAGATTCATTCATAATCGATCCGCAACCCCCCTTTACTCTTTGCGATTCTGATATACGACCCGTCAACTATCGACTCTTCGGTGCGACAACGAATGCGCGAGCCGACTCAACCCGCCCTTCCTCTGGACTCACCTCGCAATCTGACGAGTCTCATCGTATTACACCGAGTAGTCGCTGTGTCTTTCCTGACCTAAGAAGCACCCAAGATCAGTCACAGTCACCATTCGCCGCAGGCTTACTTCTCGGACGCTGAGCTTATTCCGCCTTTATCTTCGGGTGCAAAATCTGCCCAAGCCACTCCATTCGCACCAACCTGACTCTTCTTTCCTTTCTTCCGTTGATTCCGCGACCGCAGGAACAAAACCAGTCGCCTAGCCACAGGACAGCTTCTGGTTGGTTGCGCCCTTTCAGCCAACGAGGCAGCTCGCGTACACCATTGTGCGCAACGAATCACCAATCCTCCGACTCGGACACCCGCATCGATTCAGCGACGAGGCACAGACAAGTCGCTCTCGATTTGCTGCCCTAACACTCTACCCCTGCCAACAGCCCAACCGACACACCGATAACGCCTTTCAACCCATCCGTCTGAGTTGTATATATTGTATACCGACGACGTCTTCTTGATCAGTCGGCATCCTCCTGCGACAGCGGCCCCCCACTTGCATGGATCTACACCCTATCGGCTACCGTCAGTACCCACGCAAGACAGCGCATCGCAACCAAGGTTAGTGACAGGCTCACATTTTCTCCATTTCTCCCCGGGCCATTATCTCAAGTTTCGCGGCATGTCGTTTCTCCTTCCCTTCACATTGTATTACGTCGTCTTGCCCCGTCCTGCCCGTCGCACAATACCACTCCCCCACCTTCGCACTCAAAGCCCATCCTTGACCATGGTGCGGGGCTGACTCAGTTGTTATTGTACAGTAGAAACTTCGACGTGTGACGAAATACCAGAATAATCTGGTCGCCCATCGTGGTGCGACGTCCGCACTCCGGCGCAAGCTAGACTTCACCCACCCGACCCTGCTTCCGATCCTAAAAACGACACAATGGCACAACACGGCTTCAGTCAGTTTGGAGGAGCCCAGAGCCACGGTGGCAGCGTTGACCCGAACGATTTGGCCATGTCGGGAACATTTGGAGCATCCTACTCTAACAACTTCAACGGCGGCGGTAACAACGGCGGCGGTAACTTCTTCGACGATGACGAGCTGCTCGACGGTTTAGGCAGCCCGACCGATCCGATGTCCAACCAGGCGGGCATGCATAACCAACCCCGAGACTTTAGAGGAATGAATGACTTAAACATGGGTTATCCCCAGGGGATGTATACCTCACATCAGAGCAACCCTGGTCTGCAAATGGACCAGTCGCATATGAACGGCTACTCCAATACTCCGGACGGCGATCCGATTCAAAGCCCGTTCATCCACAACAGCTTCAACCAGGCGCAGTTCCGACAAATGCAACACCCCCAGCAGTTTGGCAACTCCTTGCAGTCTCCCGTATCCTATTCTGGCTCTCCTCTGGCAGGCTCCGACTTGAATAACGACGGCAATGATCCCAACTACCTCAACGCCAAATCCCGCGCTCAGCTATCTCAGACGATGCAACGCAAAGCTTCAAACACGAGAAGCCCGTTAACACCCAAAACAGCCGCAGCTATGTCCACCTTGACCATGAATCCACGTGAATCCCCAGGATATGGCACTCAACCGATTCGAACACCGGGCGGCCATCAAGAAAAGTCCCCTTCTGGCCAGTGGATGCATACGCCCAATAGCCTGTCGTCGTTTCCTGGATCTGGGTTCTCGTCACCGCCCATTCAACACGGTATGCAGAACCAGCAAATCGCTGACGTCCTGCTGAAAGGGGGCACATCAATGCCAGCCAAACTTAACGGCCCGAGTACTGTTTCGTCCCAGGAAATGAAGAGAAAGAGGCGTCGCGAGTCCCACAACTTGGTCGAGCGAAGACGCCGGGATAATATCAACGAACGGATCCAGGACCTCAGCAAACTTGTTCCCACTCACCGGCTCGAAGACGAGAAGATCCGCAAACTCATACAGAACGGAACGCCTCTGTCGCCCAGCTTGACAGCAATCACCAGTCCAACTCAGGCGACATCGGGCTTGGCTGGTCCAGGTGCGAAGCGAGCTACAGGTGCGGGCAACATAACCACAGGGCTTCCACTCGACGACAAGGACAAAGGCCCGAATAAGGGTGACATACTCAACGGGTCTGTGAGCTGGACTAGAGATCTCATGTGGATGTTGCATCTCAAGCTTCAACAACAAGAAGAAATGATCAACATCATTGCCGACCTCGGCGGCAATGTCCCATTCGAGCTGACAGACGACGAGAAGCGCATGCAGACGGAGTTGATGGAGGCATTGTCCAAGAATGGGCCGCATACGTTTGCGTACACGCGCTTCGCTGGCTCAGGTCTCCGCGTACCTCAGCATACCGACTACAAAGGAGACTCCTTAAACGGCACGGAGAGTGCTATGGTCTCTGCCAGCCCTGATGATAACGATGTACTGGACCTCAACGGCGATATGGGCGATGCTGGTCAATTTTGGAATGACCCTGACGACGATGGTAGCGGTCCTGCGTCCATCAACTTCAAGGAGGAGGATGAATACGGTATGGACCTCGTCCACGACTGAACGATCGCAACCATCATGATCAAGAACACGACAGCTTGCCTACCTTGGGTTAGCATCTTCCGTCCTTCTTCTTATCTCCTTTTTTCATACGGCCTGTTCCTGCATATATCAAGTCGAGGGACTTTCGGGCATTTCCACGGGCGAGGTATATCTATAGCATTAACGCGGTCGTTCGGGGAGTGGACCTGGCGTTTCATCCATCAGACCGCGAGACTGGCACATGGATTCCCGTATGGGTTGTTAACAGCATTTTTAATCATCAGAGCAGGCTACTATGCCGAGGATCTCCTTAACTGATTTTGTTTTGCATTTTCGTCTGGCAGATGGGATGGGTTTGCTTTTCAATGATACCTGGTAAATCACGGAGTTACGGTATACCACCACCCCAGAGGGCAGGGTTGATTTCGCACTGCATGAGTCAATCATCACACACAGCGCCTGTAGCCATTCACATATTCGAGTTGGCATCTTAATTCTATGTATCCACGTCCCCCTCAGACTCAAGGGCCTCAGCCCAGATATATACATTTACCAATCAGTCTGTCTCTCTGCCTACTGTGACATACATGTACATATTCAATTCCTGTGAAGCGGTTGTGAAGACGTAGCATGTATTAGTAGTTCACCGACCACAGCTTCAAGCCAGATAGATGTTCATTACCTCGTGCTTCCGTCTCACTCAACATCGTATAGACTGCGTCACCCGGCGAGGTGGACACCACTCTCTAAACCAATGCAGGTGTATATACACCCCCATCAACGAACGACCCTACGACTCCGACAACCCCTCGCTCGCCAGCTCGATAGCCTTAGCAGCCGCCTCGTCAAAGTCGTCAAACGCGAACAGCGGCAGTCCGCTCTCGGCGATGATCCGCTGGCCCTCCTGCTCGTTGGTGCCGCGGATCCGCACCACGACGGGCACCGACATGCGCAGGTCCCGGAACGCGAGCACGACGCCCCGCGCGATCATGTCGCCGAGCGTTAGGCCGCCGAAGATGTTGACGAATATGCACTGCGTAAGGGAGTTTGTTAGCTGGTTGATCTTGGTTTTTGAACTTTCTCTGGTCATGTCTTTGAGAAGGCGAACGAAACAGATGGGAGATGCCGGGGGTCTTGCCTGGAAGTGAGTGGAAGTGGATGAGACAGGCAGAACAGGGGATATTCAGAAACAGTAAACAGCAAGAAAGGGGGAAGGGGGAAAAGGGGGAAGGGGGGAAAGGGGGAAGGGGGGAAAGGGGGCAAGCATACCTTAACCCTCGCATCCGTCAAAACAAGCTCAAAACTCCGCTTGACCGTCTCGCTCGTCGCCTTGCCCCCGGTATCCAGAAAGTTGGCCGCGCGCCCGCCCGCGTCCGCCAGCGCGTCCACCGTGTTCATCGCCAGCCCGGCCCCGTTGACGAGCGTGCCGATGTTGCCGCGCGGGTCCGGCAGCCTGATGTAGACGATGCCCTCCCGCGCGGCAGCGGCCTCGTGGGTTTCCTCCGCGCTGGGGCTGGGGCTGGCGTCCCGCAGCGCTTGGATGTCGGACTGTCGCCCGCTGCTGCTGAAGGCGGCGTCGTCGAAGCCGGGGTGGGCGTCTGCGATCGCCAGTGCGGATTGCTCGTTGTTGTTGCCGCTGTCGTCTCTGGTCGAGGAGACGATATGCGTCGAGAGGAGGAAGGCTTCCTTTTCTGTGAACAGGTCTATCAGCCCGCTGATGATCGGGCGGAGCGAGTCGGTGCTGTTTGCGTCGAGGCCGAGATGGGCCGCTATGGCGGGCAGGGGCAGGTCCTGCCCCCTGGTGCCGTAGTCGAAGTCGAACTTCTTGGACGCGACGGCGTCCGTGGATGGGGAGGCGATGATGCAGGGGTTTCGCGTGGAGCGGTTCACGGTCACCGCTAGCAGGCGGCGCGGGCCGGTGAGGGAGTCGAGGTCGTCGATGACGGGGATGCCGCGCTGACGGAGGAGGTCGAGGGCTGTGCTTTGAGTCAAGTAGATGCTTCGCTTTTGGGTTCTGGGCTTCACATGTCGGAAGGCTTCACGTGTTGAAAGGGGTCGATGAGCCGCCATGGTGTGCATACCCCTTCGTTGGTTCGGGCTGCCGGGTGGCGAGACACCACCGCCGGAGGGCTTCGAGCCCTCAAGCATGGCCTTCAACACTGGCCCGAACCTCGAGGGGTGGTTTATTATGGTTGCTCCGGCTGCCTTTAGGGCTTCGACCTTGGCTAGGGCGGAGGGTTCGCCGGGTAAGGTGAAGGCGCCGGCGTGGCCCATGATGCGGCCGGGGACGGCGTTGATGCCTCCTATTATGGCGGCGATAGGTCTGTTAGGGAGATTAGCATCAGTCCAAACACTCTAGCATTGTGGTGGCCAACTTCGGCTTCTCAGTTCTCGACCTGTATACCATGATCCAGTCGGCGGCTTCGATCTCGGCGTCACCGCCAATTTCGCCAATAAGGGCAATCGCTTCTGTGTCCTTATCCTCGACGAGGATCTGTAAACCATCTTTCAGAGTCGTGCCTGGGAGCACGTCGCCTCCTACTCCGATGGACATGCTTTGACCCAGGCCGGATCTGAGCGTAGATGCAGCAGCTAAACACGGTCAGGTTACTCCCCTGAAGTGAAGGATTCGGGTCTGGCAAGCTTACTTTCATAGCTTAGAGTCCCCGATCGAGCCACAATGCCTATACGTCCAGGCTCGAAACAAGGCAACGGCTGGAAACCTGCGGGAGGCACGTTCAGCCATTACACGCCTAAAGGGGGCATGTGACCATTACCGACCTATCCTGCATTTTCCCACCGAGGATATAATTCCTGGTGAATTTGCGCCCACTAACCTTGAAGCAGACTGCGTCTTCAGAACGGAGTGTATCTACGTATAAATTAGCTCCCGGCCAGGTGTTTCATAGGTCCAGACGCCAGTGTCACTTACCCGAAGCAGGTCATGCAATGGGATATGCTCCGCGACAGCGACGATGAGCGGCACCTCGGCCTCGATGGCCTCTTCAATGGCCGCGGTGGCCTGGTGTGCAGCGACGTATATGCCCGTCGCATCGGGCTTGAGGACTTCCATCGCCTAGTTGGGGCGTTATTAGCTTCCATGCTCCATCTGTCCCGGCCGTGGAATACCAATTCACCTTGCGAACTGTGGGCAGAACGGGCAAGCCCAGATGCTCGCCTTCGCGGCCGGGCCTCACGCCACCGACAATGTTGGTGCCCCATGCTATGGACTCTTTGGCGTTGGCAGTTGCCTGAGTTGGTCAGCTGGGGAGAGCTGCTGGACTGCCTGTGATGCAAGTGACTTGCCTGTCTCCCTGTATCGCATTATCAACGGGTGTTTCGGCGTATAGGAATGAAAGGAAAACCGAACCTGTGAAGCCTTGGAATATCACGCGTGTATGGCTACCGATCTTCAAGTTCTTCAGTGTTGAGTCGTAGTTTCGGACAATAGCGGTGTTGTGGAAGCTCCGTCCTGCAGCAAGGCTATAGCTATACCTCGGCAATAATGTGCCTTTAGCTCTGCTGATCCTAGGAACTCTCGATAACATCTTGTCTCAAATAGGGATAACACAATTGTCTTGACTAGGTGATGATATGGAACTCGTTAGGAATCATTCAAGACCTGGAAGGCTACGATAATCGATTGTCTTATATGATGTAAGGTTGGTAGGACACACTTGAGAGACGTTCTCCGGTCCACCCCACGGCCCGGTGTAGGTCGGAGGACGTTGGTTCCCTATGAACGGATATAAGCCGGTTATAACCTGCATTGATGTGAAATATGTGAAGCAGACATGCAAGTTCAACGAGACAAGTATGAGGAAAGCAAGCCATAGCCAGAAGGTCCAGAGCTCCCTTTTACAGCTGTGACCTATAGAACTGGGCCAGTCAGATATGAGCTTCAGGCTGTAGTAGCCTGATTGTAGAGCCGCGAAGTTGTATATCACTCAACAGCTGAAGCACCAAGGTCCAAGTATGAAGGGTGATAGCTTGCCTGTAGGTTGCCCAGGAGGCGCCGAGTAGGAATCGAGCACCATATCTGAAGAAGGAAATCACCACCACACGCTCGGTAACTCTGGGTATTCTAACGGGTATAAGTACAGAAACTATCGTACAGAGCGGTTCAGGAATTCCCCAGAATGAACAGCTGGCCTTGCGCATTGGTCAAGACTGAAGACATCTGTCCAAGTTCCGTGCAGAACGGCATAGTGGTCATAGGGGCACTCCCCTCTCCAGTCGCTCTGAGGTTCAGTCCCATGATGGGAACATCGTGCCCGGCCGTCCATCTCGCCACAAGTACTCCCCACAGAAGTCTCAAAATCCCCTTGGGCAGCTAGCAGTGTTAGTGCAAATGGTTTGCTTGTCCCTCGCATGCGAATGTAGACGAATGCTCACGAAGCCTGCGGTCTCTTATCCGATGCTTGCCTCCCTACAGCAAGACGCAGGCAGAAAATAGACCACGCAACCTGGGCCGAGCGTGTCCATACTACGACTGGGAACCTTTCGTGTCCTCCTTTCTAGGAGCCGGAGCCGTTGATGCATCTGTGTTCGACTGCTCTTGGAATCCCAAGTTCTTGAAGTCGTCCTTGGCCATTAGGTTCCTTTTCATTGGAGACCTGGTCAGCATATAGAGCAGTAATGTTGGGACTAGTGAGTGCTTACCGGTCCATCCGACATCCAAGATACGACTTCGCCAGGCCGCGGCACTCTTCATCATTCATCCCCTTGACCCTCTTAATGCATGAGAGGTAGCGCGTCATGACATCTTTGCATTCGCCTATCGACAATCAGCATAAGTCAGTGATTGGGGGTATCAACGCATACCATCATGATCTAGAGGAAAGCTACCACGTTGCGGCCTGTGATGAGTGTAGGTAAGCGTCAGAGTTCCGGGAAAGGGGCAGATCAAGATGGAGAGCTTACGGGGTAGGCTTCCCGGTGTACGGGCCGGAGCCTGGGCTGCCGAAAGAACTCATAGAGAATTTGGCAGTGGTTGCAAGTATGAACGAATGTTGATTACTGTAGACTTTGATCTATCGTTTCGTCATTGGGTACGCCGAGTGTCGATTGCTGTTGAGTGATGTGCAACTGGATAGCCACTCAGGAGAGTCGTGCAGTGGACAGTTGGAATTCAGTGAAAACTCACGACGCTTACAGTACGCGTAGACACTGTACACGACCGTGCCCATTAGCGAAGTGCTAGGCGGGCAGGTGCCACTATGCAGGTGGGCATCACTGCATCGGCCAAAAGTGATCACCCCCGTGTGGACCGTGCGAATGCTTCTAGTACAGCTCTATGCGAGCTCCTGGAATTAACGCCCAACTACCATGATCTCAAAAAATACGATTCGTATTCGTACTTAGTATCGTATCTATATAATTTTAATATTATATAGTTTAATAAAATTTATTTATTTTATTTAAAATATGTTTTAAAGCTAGTAATAAATAGTTATATTTAATTGGTTTAACTTTATAAACATATTCATATATATTTCAAGAATAAGCTATAATGATACTTATATATAATATATAAATTTTATATATAACAGTGTTAGGTCATATAATATAAGTAGTATGGTTATAAGTAGTTTATACGCGAAATTAGTAAATTTAAAGTAGCTTTAATGCCTTAAAAACGGTCAATTAATAAGCGTTGTGACGGCCTGCACAGACCTTCCTACATGACAAGCGGATACTTCCCAATAGGGGAAGGATCTGACCAGAGGATCCCCTTAAAGGGGCAACCTCCCATTGTACCTATCTCTCTCTCTCTCTTCCTTTCCTCTCTAGTCTTGATATTCTCGTTAATAGAGTAATAGCTGCTTGCTGCCGGCCATGTCCCAGCTCCTCAGTACGCTCGCCGTGACAAGCGTTGCTTTTTATAACTTTAACGTTACGTTAATTAAACGCGTTATAACTATATTTAAATATGAATCTATTTATAATAAATAATTATAAAACTATAAACGAACGTACTACTAATATTCTTACATATAAATTCTTATATAATAACATTTCTTATTACGACGTAATAAGACCTTAAATATATTTAAAAAGTTATACTTATATATGTAATAATAACTTTTTTCCGTTATAAACTTAACAGCACACGTTATAATTATTAAGCTTATTTACTACGTTATTATAAAAGAGTTAATGAAATATAAAATCGACTATATAGTATAAAGTCGTTATTATTTTCCTCGTAAAGATCTTAAACGCTGATAGTATTATAAATAACGCAAATAATTATACAGATAGCACGAAATTATTAACTATTAACGATAAAAAGCCCGTTAACTATAAAAGGCTATACCTTGCGAAAAAAGCCGAGAATGAATTTCTGTTTGAAAAATTGGAACTTTTAATAAATATATTATAAAAAAGCGACTCCTTTAAATATTGAATTACTCAATATGGCAATTAAAAATGTGAATAATATCAAGTAACCTTTAACTTAATAAAAGGATTAAAAAGTATGAAAAGTTTTTTTTAGAAGGCGCTTTATTAAGAAAGAACTTTAAAACTTCGATCAAAATAAATCAAACACTATTAAAGCAGTTACAAAAACCAAACAGTCTTTTAACACGATCAAAAAAAATGATAAGAATATAAAAACATAAAAATATAAAAACACGCGAGAAATTACGCTTTAAATCGGGGTTAAATCTTATAAGGAACGGCTTTTTTAATAACCTTAAAGATTTAATAATTTATTTAAGATAAATAGGGGTAGCTTTGAAGATAACTTTTATCCTTTTTGGTTAATTTTGATTTTAATAATAAGGTATTTTTAAGCGCAAGGTTAAGCTTAATGAATATTGCAATATTTACAATATAAAGGCATTTATATAGCTGATAATGGAAGCCAAATTTAAAGATTTTTTTTTTTATATATAATCGGATATTATTTCTTTTTTTAAAAATCAGTACAAAAAAGACCTTACTATTACCAAAGCTATTATTAATATCACGTTTAAAAAACTAACCGACATTAGTTTAAGCTTTTAATTAAGCGTAAAAATAATCAAAGCTTTTGATAAAATATAAGTAATAAAGAATAAAGTTTATTAATACATATTTTAAAAAGAGCTTACTAGCTTAAAATACGAAAGAAATGCCACGATGCCTGTTGCGTTATGTGGAATCTGGTGTTGTATTTCCAAAATAACAAGATGGGAGAAAAGGAACAGATGTGCGTACAGCTGAGGCTGCAGCACATATAGTAGTCCTGGTCTTCTTATTCCACATCCACATGTGACTTGATGACTTAGCATCCAACTAGGTGGATACAGGTGCTAGACCGTCACAAGAAATGCCTTATTAAATTTACCTTTAAACTTAGTAGTAATTAATTGGTTATGATATCTTTAATCTTTATAAAAATTAAAATAACTATTTAAACAAAGTAAGTCAAAAAGCTATTATAATATACAAAAAAGCCAAGGTTTTAATATTAATAAATAATTTTTGTAACAAGTTTTAAAATTCAATGGTGTAAACTTTTAAACTTAATAATGATAAGTATAAAAACAATAATATAAAAAAGCAAATTATATACCGTTAAAAATAACGACAAAGTCGATAATAAAATTAAAGATTAAGGTTAAGGTTAAAAGAGATTTAATAAAAAAAAGGTTTTTTACCGATGAATAAGATAATTAGAGCAATTTTAAATATTAAAAGTATAAAAAATAAGATTATTTTTTTGAAAGACTGCTTTAATCATAACGGTAATAAACGATAAACTTATTATTTTTGAAATATTTTTAAAAAGCATAAAGCTTTTTAAAAGGCTTGAAAACCTAAAAGACTTAAATTTAAATGACTTTTTTGCGGCAAACGTTAACCTTAGCTAATTAAAAAATCTTTAAAGTATTATAATTTTTTAATAAATATTTAAAATAAAAAAGAACGTGCTATAATATATTAGTTTAAATATATAATTATATGCTTTGTTTTATTAAAGATATTATACCATATTAATTTAAATACGAGACTGACTTTTTATATAGAAACATTTCAAAATAGTCATTGCATACTTTATATTTATATCTAATGTTAAAAGTAAGGTTAATACTTGAAGCTAATTATTAAATTTTTTTAACATTTTATAAGATTAAAATTTTAAAAAAGGCAATTAAAAAAAAAACCCTATATATTATAAACTAATCGGCATAAAAACAATAAGGTTTCTATATAGTTTAAATACGGGCTATATATAAAGGAGTTTTCTATATAGATCTTTTTCAACAAACGATTGTATTAAAACGGAAGTTATATTACTAGAGACATATTTTCTAAACCTAAAGAAAAACCTCTTACTATTTTTAACGTCGTTAGGAAAGGTTTACCTTTTAAAAACATAGATAATCTAAGAAAAATACCCATTAAAGTTTATTTAATAACTAATAAAAGTGCACACTAGATATTAATAATTATAAATATTATTTTTTAAGATTATTAATAGGAACGTAATGATTATAAATAAAGATATAAGCAAGATGATTCTTTCATGCTAATTATTATACTAAATTTTTTTATTAATTTAAATATTTATTTTTTAAAATAAAAATAAAAATAAAAATAACTATAAGTATCGATTTTTACTTTTAAAACATCATAAATAGCTTTCATAAGGATTGTAATTAAGCAAAAGTGTATTAAAACAAATTAAAACCCTTTTAAAAAATAAATTAATAAATTAATAAATTATTAAATTATTAAATTATTAAATTATTAAATTATTAAATTATTAAATTATTAAATTATTAAATTATTAAATTATTAAATTATTAAATTATTAAATTATTAAATTATTAAATTATTAAATTATTAAATTATTAAATTATTAAATTATTAAATTATTAAATTATTAAATTATTAAATTATTAAATTATTAAATTATTAAATTATTAAATTATTAAATTATTAAATTATTAAATTATTAAATTATTAAATTATTAAATTATTAAATTATTAAATTATTAAATTATTAAATTATTAAATTATTAAATTATTAAATTATTAAATTATTAAATTATTAAATTATTAAATTATTAAATTATTAAATAATTAAATTATTAAATTATTAAATTATTAAATTATTAAATTATTAAATTATTAAATTATTAAATTATTAAATTATTAAATAATTAAATAATTAAATTATTAAATAATTAAATAATTAAATTATTAAATTATTAAATTATTAAATAATTAAATTATTAAATGATTAAATTATTAAATTATTAAATTATTAAATGATTAAATTATTAAATTATTAAATGATTAAATTATTAAATTATTAAATTATTAAATTATTAAATTATTAAATTATTAAATTATTAAATTATTAAATTATTAAATTATTAAATTATTAAATTATTAAATTATTAAATTATTAAATTATTAAATTATTAAATTATTAAATTATTAAATTATTAAATTATTAAATTATTAAATTATTAAATTATTAAATTATTAAATTATTAAATTATTAAAATTCTTTTTTAAAAAGGGTTTTACCTATTAAAATTAAACAATACCGTATATATTAATTTAAAAACAAGCATTATTAATATTAATTATGTTAACCATTAATTATTATTTAAAAACAATAAATAAATATTAAAAGCTTTTATAAAAAGCTTTAAAAACGTATTCATAATTAATCCTAAAAACGTTAACTGATTTTTTGACGCTTAAGTGGTACGAAATATTCTTATAAAGAACATAATATTTAATTTATAATAGTATAATAAAACCTTTTAAAGTAAAAGAAATTAAATAAATTACAACTATTTTTAACGTTAATAAACTTTTTAAGCTTAAAGGGTATAATTGAAACATTAAAAAAAGCCATACACAAAAACATATTTGATTACATTTCGGCAATTAAAGAATAAAAGTTTTTTATTTATATTATAAAGTGTCGGATATGGTGCTATCTCAGGGTGTGTCCCAAGGTGGTCTGTGCGCTGTGAGTGGGATAGTTGCCCCACCGCTCTATTACCATCATGGATAGATGCGCTGCACACGTATTTAGATGCCAATCTGTTCGTATCAGGTAAACTTAAAACAACAAACAAACACGCACTTCTGAAGCGAATATTCCGCACGACGAATTCTCATATAAACCTTAATATTTTATACGTTATTTTGATTTAAGCTTAATTCATAACTAATTGAGGTTAAAAACAATAAATTATAAAAGAGGCTTAAAAAGCCGATAATTCTTATATTTTATATTAATAGGTCGATAAATACTATAAATATTATGAATATAATAAGTTAAAATTATTTAAAGTAATTATTGGTAATTTTATTATTCATCACGTATTTCTGTAATGAAAGCATTTATTTTATAATATTTAAAGTTATGAAGTATAATATACCATATTTATTGAAGCTGCTAACTGTTACGAATCAACGAACGGTGCGGCCTGATAGCAGACCTAGAAGGGACGATTGGTGTTGAATACACGGATGATGATTGATTCTATTGATTGTTGTGCTCTGTGTGCAGAGATTGATTATCTGTCTTCTTGGTGGGTCAGATGCCCTGTGCGTCTCTGCCCCACTGGAGATCTTCCGGTGTCTATCTCCGGCTCCCATTCAACACATTCGTGCTAGTATCTAACAGTATTGGAACGGATGCTCTTGCAACGAAGCGACATGAAGATGGATTCGGGTACGTACCGATTGACCCCTCCACCCCACCCCACCTTCAGCTATCCCGGGTCAGATCGGACATTTTAGCTCCTGCCACCCCTGTCACACCGTTGCCAACTTGAGGCCCAAGGGACGGGAGTCTCAGACAATGGCCGGCCGGTTGCTGGGCGAACAAACCTGACATCACTCCCGTCCATACGGTAAGCACAAAGTCGGTGTTCCCAGCCCAACCTCACTGGCCAGTGGCCGGCCACGATGAATGGGGACGTGCAGGTGAGAGAGACCCTATCCGTTACACCGCCGGAAATCTAGATCCTCTCTGAAACCCGCATGCATTTGGCTTTTGACAAATCTCTCGACTTCCCTATTGTGCATTACATACCAACCCAATCTTTGCCTCGACTTGCATACGCCTGCCAACGTTCATCTCCAATACTCCAATTCTTCAAGCTTGGCTCAAAAGCTGGCAAGCTACATGCTCGAGACCACTCCCGCGTAACAAGAGCTCCCTCAAAGCCTCGACGACCATGCGGATCAAACATTACCAGCAAGCCGCGCTCTTCTCGATAGCGGCCTCAACCCTGTCGTTGGCCGATCCCATCAACCCGCTCCTATACTCAGACTTCTCCAACTACTCTCCCATACACAGGAGAGAACTCGAGTGTCCGGCCGATTTCTTCAGTTGCGAGAACCAAGGTGCGGTCTTTAAGGGTACCTGTTGCGAAAATGGGCAAGTGTGTTCCGTGGACGCCCACAGCTCGGCAGCTTGCTGTCCAACCACGTGAGTTCTCCTCGCTGCTTCTTCCACCGTAGAGTTACTGTCAAAGACTGACCGAAACTTCCCCGAAATAGAGCGACCTGTACCGGAGTGGCACCTGCGGGCACGACAACGGCGGTTTCGTACGTGAGCAATTCGTACTTCTCGTTCCCATACATACCGACATCGTACTCGAACCCAGTCGCATGCACATCAGCCATGAACGCCTGCTCGAGGAATTATGACGCGTGCCTGACACAGTTGGGTGGCGGCGCTGGAGGAGGATACGGCGTTACGATAGCGGTGCCGGGAGGAGGCGGGACGACTGTAGCAGCCACACAACCAGCGGTCGCGTCGGCAACGGCAACGTCGGTCTGCTCAAGTCTGTCGTCGAAAGCTTGCCACAACTTGAATGCAGCCGAATGCTCTCAGACAGGCACAATGTCGGGCATTATAGTCGGAAGCGGAAACGTAGCGCCAAGGCCGACAGCTGCGTGCATGGTGGGCGTCATCGCTGGTGTAGGTCTGGGACTCGTGGGTGGGCAGCTCTGATGGCTGATGGGGGTGCTATATACCGAGGCGAAGCTGCGAGCTAAAATAAGTAATGGAGAGGAGATAAAGCCATCAGGGGGAACGACATCACGAAGATCATGAGCCACAGCGGACTGTTTAGATGGGCATCCGTACATACGCCCTCAAGATGGAATACTGCGAGAGAACACATATAGATAGACTGGGACGAGTGAAGTCCTGAACTTGCGTTATTGATGGAGACTTATCGGAATGTCTGGAATGAGGAGAGATGACGTTCGAATTCCAACACCCAAAAGAAAAGATGCGACACGTGACCCTTGTTACGACGAAACTAGAGGTGAAAGAGCTTCGACAACAAACTGATGCTAATATACATCAATAACCAATTCGGTAATGACAAAAACGTGTTGGAAACGAAGGCGCCGTCTTGATATGGATGGCCGTCCCTGGCAAGGTCCTAAAGCTTAGCTGATGATCGGCCTCTCATAACTGGAATTCCTTCAACCTCGACCTCAATCGACATTGCTTCCGCTCTGTTCTAGCGAAGCGAGGCCTGTGTTTCAACACGTCAAAATGCTCAGTCTGAGAGGTCGGCGTTACTATTTTGATTAGGAGCTAGTCAATTTGGGTCTTGACGACGGTCGCATCTTGACCCCTCGGCGCGTTGGAGCAAGCCAACGGCAAACGGCATCATGGGCTCACCGATTCTCCCGAACGCGTCCAACTTCCTGGGAGTGGCATTGGTAGTCAACCGGTCTCGGGACGGGCCCCGGTTCGTCTTCCACTATCCGCCGCAGATCTTGCCCTGCAACAAGAATGCTTCTGCGAATGGGCCGAGCGATGGACTGGAAGACGATGACGACGTGCTGCTCAACCAGACGGCCCGCGCGCCCTTCGAGGCAGCGAATGAGTCCCTGCCGAACTCAGTCGACTTGCAGCGCTGGAATCACGATGACCATCTCGAGACGGACAGTGGATCCCAGATAGTACCCTGGGAGCACGTGGCCGGCTATCCCACGAAGGACCTCGAGAGCCTTCTCACGCCCGCACGGGCATACCACAAGAAGCTCTTCCAGGTCTCTCTAGATCAGCTCTGCTTTGTCTCGTATCCCATATACGTACCGGAGAACGGCATATGGCGGAAGAAGCAACCCAAGTTCCAACCTCCCAAGTCGCCCGAGACTGGTGACTTGTCGACCAAGGACGGCCAGACGTACATCTCTGCAAGCGATGTGTCCCAGATAGAAACGAGGGACATGGCAGATGATGCGATACCTGGTAACCCGGCGGAAGAGGCCGACGAGAAGAAGAGCGGGATGACCATGTTCAACCTCGTCTTCATACTGAACCCCAAGAAGCACGAGGTGAAGGAACTGGCCGACACACTGTACTTCCACATCATCAAGAAGATCAACAAGCCGTTCAGATATAGCCAGCAGAAAAGCGACTTTGTCTGGAAGGAATCCAAGCGGATCCTTACCTTGAAGGACAAGAACCGCGAGGCGAGTACGTACTCCTAAGAGATATAGATACCTATCTATGCGCAGCCAAGCTTACAACGCCCAGAAACCAAGATGAGCACGCTATGGAAAGAGATCCTCGAGACCTCGTCGCTAGCAGCGTGCATGCAAGATGTCTACGAGGCCGTCTCGCACAACAAGATCGCAGCTCTGCAGCTAGAAACACCCGAGGGAACCATCACGCACTCGGTCCAGATTCCCATGCCCTTCTACCTCACAGACCTGCCGCCCGACGACGAGGCAGGCTCACGGGGCCTCTGGATCACAACGGCGAACTACTTCGTCGACGAGGACAGCCTTCACGACCCAGCGTTCCTAGATAAGAACTTTGCGCTGCTCCTGATGAGCGACGAGAAGAAGATCATCGCAGAGCTCCAGGCGGACCCGGACGAGACGACAGCCGCTATGGTCGAGTTTGTGCGGCTTTCCAAGCCGACCATGTCGTACGTGCATGTGACCCTGTCTATCTCCAGCTTCCCCCTTTCTCATATGAATTTCTGGTGAGACATGCAGTACAACTCACACACCACGCAGGTTCCACCAAATCGGCCAAGGCACCGCGCTCTCGCCAGCCCAGGTGCGCGAATACGCACAACACTTCATCTTCTGGCGGCGCGCCATCGCCACGCCGCCCCTGCACGCGCGGGACGTGTACATCCTGTCGCCGAACAGCGACTTCACGCTCCTGCCGCAGGCCAGCCGCGCATGGTCGCGGGCCTTCCCCGTAGCGCCCGCGCTCCCGGACTTCCTGGCTGAGCTGTCGGTCGCGCCGCGGCCGTACAAGTGGTTCTGCCCGTCCAAGAACCACCGCCCGACATACCTGCAGATGCTGGCGTGGCTGATGCGCGGCGGCTGGGTCACGCAGCTGTGCACCTTCGCCTACGTCGTCGTCTGGCCGGAAATTCTGTACGAGGTCGAGTACAGCCTCGAGGCCGAGGAGCTGCGCGCGGCGGCGGCTGCAGCCGATGCGCCGCGGAATGGAAATGGGGAGGGATCTGAGGATGATGCTGCGGATTCTGATGAGTCACTCGAGGAACCTGTTTCTACCATGGCATCCCCTTCCCCTGGTGAAGGCACACAGCAATTCGACCCCATGACGTCCTCGAACCCATCACTGGGATCACCGTTTCCCGCCTTCGACCCAACAGCGGCACACTCCCCCCTATCCGCATCCGAACCTGCCAAATCCCTCTCCCTATCCCTATCCCTCCCCTCTCCAGCTCAAGGCCCCATCTCCCCCTCCTCTGCCTCCCCCTCCGCATCAACACCAACGACCCGCACCCCACCAACAACCAACGAGCGCGTGGCTGAGAAAGCGCGCCTCGAGCGCATCGCAGACAAGGAGTCCCGGCTAGCAGCCGAGCGCGCCGCCGCCTTCGCGCGCAAGCCCGTGCCCAGACAAACAGACCACCCGTCCCTCAACAGCGCCGCACACCTCGCGCACCTGTCGCCCTACGTCATCGTCGACGCGCGCCGCGCCAGCGCCGCCGGCAAGGACTCCTTGTATCTGTCGGCCATCGGGCGGCGGCTTCGCGACCCGGCCGTCCGCGCCGCCTGGCCCGTGTTCTGGAAGCATTTTAATGGCCGCTCGGCCCTCGAGCGCGTCGCGCTGCTGCAGGATGTTAAGCGCAAGGAGGCTTGGGCGCTGCTGGGCGGCATGAGCGAGTTTCTGGTTTGTGTGAGGCATTGGTGAGGGGAGTTGAGGTGTGCCCGTGCGGAGGATGAGAGATGGAAGAAAGGGGCCCCGGTGGCGCGATGTGGGTTGAGCGGGAAGGAGAATGGAACGTATGTGTATAAATGGGCAAGCGAGTTGACAGGCGGGTGGTCCAGTGAACCACTACTGTGCCTGCCGTTGAGCCACACTCGTCGGGAATGGTAATGTTGTGGACGTTAGAATGGCAAAAGACATTTCTGGTCGTTGTCATATAGCATGTTTGTATGTACTATATATCATGTCTGCGTCACTAAACACGCTGTACGGACCAAAGTCCCCTGAGTTTCAAAACGCGCTGCCGAACGGTAGGCGTCCGACTAACATGTCTCTCAAGGTCAGCCGTCCCCACAACACCGTCGTCACGTATAGCGAGTTCTCGCTCCTCCTTGTCCAGCCGTATCTGCTCCAGCTCCCAGACTTTCCAGGCTCGGAGACCCCAGCCTATTGAGCTGAATCAGCGATATTCCAAAAGAAAAGCATGTATGCTCGACGTGCTGTGGAATCAACGGAGGAGTAAGTAATCAGACATAACGTACCGAAAATGAACGCTCCTATATACATGAACCCAGTGAATATCTGGGCGTGGAGGTAACCCCACGATCCGGGCTGCCGTAGACTCAGGCCAATGACCTCGGCAAAAGTAGCCGGTATGACGAGCACGAGCCAAGTCATTGCTAAAGCTATTGACGGTCAGCAGGGTCTGATAAGAGGAGGATCATATTGAGCTGAGCAAGATGGGGCAGCGAGACTTACCAGACGGAATTATGGCTAGGCCGACCACCTCGGCAGCTATGGGGGCAATAGTCGCCCACATGGCTCCAGCTACGCTCCCGCTTAGGAGAGCGAACACGATACATGAGGCCAGGCTCCTGGCCCCGAATGTCCAAAAGAATAAGCATAGAAGGCCGCATAGCAAAGTGCTGAAATTAGCGACATTGAGACGCCCTACGTAGTCGCTGGACAACCCTATGACGGGACGTCCAATGCCTTGGGCAACTTTATACAGCGTCAGTTTGGTATATGCCTTTGATTGGAGCTGAGACCTACGATTGAACATTGCTCCCACCAAAGACGCTTGGGAGGATGAGAGGCCAACTTCTTGGCAGTAGGCGACGATGCTGAAGACGAGAATGGTATAGCCAAGTATAGACAGGACCATCCAAGCCTCGAGCATCAGAAAGGATGGTCGCTTGAAGAGTTGCCAGTTGAAAGGGACGTGGACGGAACCGATAGCCTTGTTCCTATCGCGTATGAAGAAGCTGGCTGCCCCGTTCACTACGAAACAGATGATGGCGATGACACGGAAGGTCCATGGCAGGCCGATTCTCGCAATCATGGCGTTCGAGGCTAGGGAGTAGCAGAGGCCGCCGAACCCTGATCCAGAAGCTGCGATGGCATTGGCGAAAGACCGGCGCTTGGTAAACCATTGAGGGGGCACGGCGGCGGAGGCAACGAAGCAGAGGCCCATTCCGAGGCCGAAGGAGACGCCCTGGCTTAGTAGGATGTGCCATAATTGCGAGGCGAAAGACGAACCGATGAAACCAATACTGCTCGCCGTCAGTCATTAAGTCGTGTAGCCAAAGATCCAAGCTAGACATGGTACAAGCCTGTTCACTTACGTCTCAAACACAGCTCCAAGAAAAATCGTCCATCTGGTGCCAAATCGTTTCCAGCCAGCAAGAAAGGTCGTAAGTGGAGAAGCTAGGAGGGCTAGATTTGTGTCAGCATTCGATGGACCGTCCAACATTGCAAGGCTACTTCTCGTCATCCTGACGGCGAGTGGCGTTTAGGAAGATAAAGCTGTGGGTGAGGTAGTAAGTAAATGGGGCCATACCTATAGAAATGGAGAGTCCACCGACGAATGCATATCCCAGCGGCGTCGTGTCAAAAGCGTTCGTCTTCAGATAGTATGCCAAGAACACAGCAAAGGTCTAATCGGTCCATCAAGTTAGAGGTTTCGAGTGTGTCACGTCTGACGACTCTGGGTGTACGCACCGAGTTCAATCCCCACGTGTGGAAATTGAGTAGAAAGACGGCGAAAATGACAACCCTTCGTGCAGAGAGAGATGTCAGCAAACCAAGTCTGTGCGTATAGAGAGTATATTTCAGAAACCGACCATCCAGAGCCACCCTCTTTGAAGTCCTCTGCTGATTGAGATGTTGACTGGGCGGGATTTTCAATGGAAGAGTCATTGCCGTTGTTCTCATTTCCGGACAACTTCTCGGAGTCGGACATCATCGTAAGGGCTCTGGTAATACAAAGTATTGGGACTGTGGAGCGAGTTACACGAATGCGTTTCACAGAATGCCCATAACTATATAAGGCCTTGCAGTGTCTTCGTGTGTGACGTTGAGCAAACCATGTCCAACGGTGCCACTGAGGATGGAAACTTTGATGCTGTCCTTGTCAGCCTGCTCGGGAGGCGAGTCTGAGGGTTCGCCGGGAATAAGGTGGAAACGAGAGATAGTTCGCCGTCAGGTGCGGCTCGCCTCTCTCGGGTAGTAACCGCGCTTACTTGCCGCTTGCAGGTGGGCGAGCTGGGGTCTTCGCGTTGACAAATCCACCCGCTATAGTACAGGGTAGGTAGTTAGGGAGTAGTAGTAATCAAAGAGGTTCCGACATCGCACGGCATGATCAGAAAGCAACTTGCGAGAATGAAATAGTCATCATCAGTGAGCAGTTGTGATACTGATCTGGAAGTAGATGTCGCGATATGAGTGTGCGAAGTTTTCGGTTCATTAGCCACACTGGCCTCACCCTGTGAGTCGTGAGAAGAATGTGAGAACATTACATCGGATCAACCAACACGTGGCGGTGACGAAAGTGCTGCCAGAGAAACACGTTTACAACGTAATGGACTGACTGACTGAGGATTTTGGACTCACTACCAGGTAGTGGGAGAAGCAGTTGGACGTGCGAAAGAAGAGATGACAGTGACAGAGGACTGTCGTGCCGATAGACAAACTGTTTGATTGATGATGCACTCTCTTGTTTGCCATGTACGGATCAGAGGCAACCTTCAAGGAACATGCAACTGGAAGAGGAGCCATGATCGACTCCGGGGAATGCTCAGACACACCAGATGCCATCGTCGCCGTCGTCGTCGTTGGTAGCCAATAGATATTGAAAATGCAGCCGTGGACGTGGCAGGCCCCATCTGCACGCACTCAATATTGCATCGCATGGACGGACTTTCCAGTGGTGGACGCCGGCATCTGGTGGGGTTCCAATTGGTGGTGTCTGGCGGTGGAACCAGACGAGAGCCCACTGTATTAACTAGGGTATCCACTCTAAGCAAACGGCGACGGGGATCAGGGATCGCCAGTTGCACCCGGCTGCCCTGGCAACAGCGCAGCAACAACATTACTGCCCAAGAGGACCTGAATTTCCCACCACTGCCAGCATTTTACCAGAGAGACCCACCCCCGGCCCAGACCCGACCCAAGAAATGACCTGCCTGGCCAGCCCGACACCTCATCATGCGTCCCAAGTTTGTCGGCTGTGATTCACGGTGAAACCCTGACCTACACCTAGAAAAACAAATCCTCTTTTCCCTGGCAACCTCAAGCGCCGTCGCTTGTAAACAGTATCTTCTACCAATACAGCCCTATCTGATCTAAAGCTTCCCGCCCTTCTCCTCTCTGTCAACGATCAACCCTCGTACTCACTCGCTCACTCGGCCGATTGCAAACCTGGTTGCTCGGCGCCAGCTTCCGTTGACAGGACTTCTACTCACACTCAAGACCTCCAAACAGCAATACTAACAAGATGCTACTCCGTGGCAAGTCCAAGGACCGCTCCTCACCGAGAAAGGTGACACCGCCGTTACCCTCATACATGAACAGTGGTCAGTTCGGTACGCGTTTTCCGCCAGAATACATCTACACTGGTGCGTGAGTGCTGATAGTTGCTATAGCATCATACCTAGCGGGCCTCCGAGATAGTCGTGCAAACCGTCCTGGAGGGGCGCGACCACAACCGCCATCGACGAAATCGCACCAGGATTCCTCAGATCGCTTTACGACAGGGCGTCCGTCCCTTGGCGGCAGATCTGTTCAGTCGGAAACATCCACCAGCCACCACATAACAAACTCCGATACCGCGAAGCCACGAAGCAGCCGGCCTAGTATTGCCGGGAGCGTGGCCTCTCGCTATTCTACCAACACCATTGCTTCTGGAAGGGACTACTACCCGGCGAGATCAGCAGCTTCCCCTTTGAAGCCGTCCGAAGTTGTACCAAGCGCCACATACATCGAGCGCGGTCAGAGATGGATGGAGAAAGAAGAAGCCTTCTCGCTTCATCACGCGATGGATGCTATGGGAATCAAGGACGACGACAAGGACAACAAAGACAAAGTCGCGGATGGACAGGAAGACGAAGACGATTCGCGCCTCTACAATGCTGCCTTGAACGAGGCTTCAGAACTGGTATGGCAGCATCAGCATGGTGTTGAACCACGCGAACCCGGTGCCCCTTACCAGTACAAGCCACACATGCGGAAGGACAGCTACGCCCATGCTCGTACCGCTAGCGCCGGACGATATGGCAATGATATCGGTGCCACCGGGCTTGCGAGGGACTCAATTCGTTCTTTCTCTGGCAGCTCCTCTGGTAGCGACGGGGCTTCTCCTACAGCCAGCGCCCGTGGCAGCATGGAACAACAGCAACGAAACTCTTCGGCAGGGTCTGGCAAGTCCAAATCCTACGCTGGAATCAGTGGAGGTGTCCGTGTCAGTTCTGGTGGCCGTCGCCGCAGCAGCATGAAACGCAACATCAGTGGAGAAATCAAGAGGCCATTTTCGGGGGATCAGATCTGGGAGGAACCCGAAAGCAGTACCCCCGAACTGAACGCAAGACAACCTCGGAAACCAGGCCCACCGCAACCACTGAGTAGTCTCAAGACCAAGAATGCTCCCAGCAAAGTAGAGTTCGCTGTTGAACCTGCTTCCGAGCCCACCACATCTCCAATCACAGCACCAACACAGCCCCTGTCTCGATTTGACATCCACAAGAACCCACCATCGCAGTCTCGCAACCCAACATACACATCCAACAGCCCCTTTAACCGCCCACGACCCTCAAAAGACGTCCCCACGAAACATGGAATGGAGATACGCGGTGATGACATCCGGCAGGCCACGAGCATGCGGATTAGGGACCGCAGCCCGAAGCTCCCTACTCCGTCTGCGGTCAGTGACAGTCCTGGGCGTCCAATCGTAAGCTTTGAGAAACACTGGAAGGCCCCGGAAGAGGCGACTGATCCAGAGCCAGAAGAGTCCCGCCGAGTCCCTCCCAGGGTCAAACAAGAGCGGACGGGCCAAGCCCCGCAATCGCCTATCCCTACTTTCACATTTACGCCGGATGTTCCGTCCCCGGCGCCGTCATCGCGGTCCTCTCGCACACCGGCCATCCCAAGTATTCAGATAGATGGAGATGATGGGCCCCAGGTGCCTGTCATTGCCGTCTCGGACCATAGCCCGGCAATCCCGACCATTGTATTGCCAGGCGATGATAGTAACAGCAATGAGAACAACATGCCAAACATACCAATCATTGTAACACCGGACGATGACGAGCAGCCTTCCGTCAGGCCACTGCCAACACCCAACATCCCAGTCATAGTGACACCCGATGGCAACAATAACCCTTCAGCCAGGCCGTTGCCAGACCCAAAGTCGGTTCAGCCGAGCCACCTCCGCAACGCTCGAGGAGGACGACCCCAGGGTCACTGGTCCCCTGCGCCAGGGGCATCACGTCGCGCAACAGCAACCTGCCACGAGTGCAGACTTCCCATCGAGGGTCGCTTCGTCGCTCTAGGTGGCGCCTCAGAGCGATTCCACCCCCAGTGCTTCAGCTGCTACGCGTGCGGGACCGGCCTCGAGGCGCTCGAGATCAGCCCGGAGCCCGACAGCTTCCGCAGCGAGCGGCTCGACCGGATCCGCCGGCGGGCCGCGGGCGAGGTACTCGACGAGCAGCCCGGGCAGACGATGGCCGAGGACGGCGACGAGCGGCTGCGCTTCTACTGCCACCTGGACTGGCACGAGCTGTTCGCCCCCCGCTGCAAGCACTGCAAGACCCCCATCCTGGGCGAGCACGTGGTGGCGCTGGGCGCGCACTGGCACTACGGGCACTTCTTCTGCGCCGAGTGCGGCGACCCGTTCGAGCGCGGCACCACGCACATCGAGAAGGACGGCTACGCCTGGTGCGTCGGGTGCCAGACGCGGCGCACGGAGCGGCGCGCGCCCAAGTGTAAAGCCTGCCGTGTTGCGGTTATCGGGCAGTATGTCGTTGCCCTTGGCGGCGAGTGGCATGACGAGTGTTTCCGCTGTGCTGGGTGCCGCGGCGGCTTTGATGATGGCCAGATCTTCCCTGTTGAGGATTACCAGGGCCGCGGGCTTAGTGTGGTGCTTTGTACTGGGTGTCGGGCTGCGGAGCTGAAGATGTGAAGATGGCTTGGTGGCTGGTGGTGGTGGTCGGTGACTCAGATTCAGGCCGCTCTCCTCGCTCTGCAGGTCTTGGAGGGAGAGGGATGGATGGGGGTTCGCGCCTGCTTGCGAGCTGCCTTCTGCCTGCAAGCTCAGGCAGGCATATGCTATGTTATGAGGAAAGGGGTTGAAGGCTTTGTTTGGAGTTATGTTCACATGGCGTGCTTTGCTTGGCTTGGAGTTCCTTGATTTGCTTGGAGTCTGATCATGGATGTGTATTGGGTTTCTGCAATTGCTGATGCTCTTGGGCTTGGGACTTGTGTTCTAGGGCTTGCTACTTGTGCCTGTACCTCTAATTGCCCTGGTTTATGTTCTTCATGGCTTCAAGTCAGATGCCATGAATGATATTGACTTGAACTGCTACATGCGTCTTCATCTTGACTAGGTGCCGGGTCACACGCCCTCTACGTGATTTGGTCGTGATCAAGACCTAGGTAGAGTTGTCATATAGGATGTGCCACCGGGCAGTTTTGCAATCATGACACATTATAATTACCTTCTGTGTATGCCTTTCCAACTCATTATCCTTTGTGGTCGAGTATATCCTGTTGGAGAGGCTTCCAAGTAAGCCATACGAACATAATGGGTAGTTACGTTCAAAGACACGTTCTGAGAATATGAAGAGGTCCAAGTGGAATTGGAAGTGATTTCAGCAGTCAGACGCAGCTAAATCAGCCGCCTTAGTGAGACTAAGTATTATTAACGCCTGAACTTCCACAGAGCCCATCGAAAATGCCAACCAACGCCGAGGCAAGTTGTCTGGTGGTACGAAAAATCTCGCAGAGTATCCATGAGGCCTTCCTTCCCTCCATACACGCCATGTGCCCAAATTTTCCTTGATTCACCACCAGCGGTGGCTACTGATTGAGAATCCTGTCGCCAATGCTGAGAACCCTGAGGCATAACCGATACCGATGGCATTGTGGTTGCTCAGGTTGCCGAGTTCGCTTGCGTAGGATCAGCAGCAGTGAGAGCTACCACCGACCTGCTCCTGGTGGACCTCGAGGGTATCACCATCGTTCATCTCGAGCTGCATTGGAAGAAGGCAAAGACATTAGCAAGTCTGTCCAAATGGGGGAATACGTGGGAGCATCTATTAAGGTAGGCTTGTTCAATATGTACTTACGGAGTCGGGCGTGTCGCCGGCCTGGACGCGCTGGCCCTCGAACAGGAAGCGCACCGACGCGACGTTCTTGCCTTGTCGCTCGCAGAAGGCGGTCATCAGCTTCTCGAGCTTGGTGGAACGCTTAATCTTGAAGAAGACCTCGTTGTTGTTATCGGTGACCTTGATGTTCAGGTGCTCGCCACCGGCAGGGGCCTCGGGCTGCTCAGGGCCGGGGCTACCAGAGTTGTTCTCGCCAGACATGTTGGGCGGTGGTGCGTGGAAGTAATATCGGAGTTGATCTGCTTTTGTGACGGCGAGGCAATGTCAGTAAATCAATGCGCGAAGTAATGGAGCGGTTCTACTGGAGAGTGCAAGCTCACAGATTGACAGGGCACGTTGAAGAAAGGTGGCCGCGAAGAGTCACAAATATTGGCGTGTGGGTGAATGAGTGAGTAGGGGCGTGGGCGGTGGTTGTCAAGGTGAAGGCGGCGCTCGCACGGAGGGGTTGTTGCGTCGTCTGGGGGTAGCCAGGCAACGTCAGAGACAGTGGTGGTGGGGGAGAGGGAGGGACGGCTGCGTGCCAGGCGGCGATGGATGCGACAGAGAACTTATGGAAAGGACCGGGACTTACAAAGGGTGCGATGTGCGAGATGTGCGAGATGTGCGAGATGTGCGACTGCTGTGCTTAGATCCGTAGATCGAGGAGGATTGTATTTGCAGTTGGTAGGTTTGCAGGACTGTGAAAAGATGATCGAATCGGCGTGGAATTTATCTGCTGCACGAGATCTGGGTGATGCTCTTGAGGTCGAGGTTGGAGCCAGGGCAACGCGAAAGACGAGGACGGCAGACGGGCGTGATTTAATTAGTACAAACTCCTTGCAGGTGCGGGGCGACGACGGCCAAGGGAACCAAGCAGCGCCAATCAACATTCACTAATTCGTCCACCGCTAATAATGGCCGCGATGCCTGAGGCGACTGACTGCATGTGAGCGCCGCTTTCGGGTTTGATGAGGTTCACTTTTCTTTCAAGAAGCAGATCTAGAGACATCCAGCACGTCCTCTCCTCAGCAAACAGCACCTTCTGCTTTTTTCTTTTCTGCTTCTTCTCACAGCCAGCTCCCTTCAAGGTTCTGGCTTCTTCTGGAAGCCGATGCATCAGCCACGAGGTCACCCACCACCTCCATGATCAGGTTGCACATGATTGCCTCTCATATACCTAGATGACCTGAGAAAGGAGCAGTCGCCTCTCAGGTTCAGATGCAGAGGAGCTATCTACAAGGTACACATACCTATGTAAGGTACATTCACCTCTCAACTATCCATTGATGCAGTGACTCCTATCTTGGTAGACTGTAATGTTTTGTAAAAGTCACTGGTCTTCAAGGCAAAGTGATCTAGCCTCGTGGAGGTACCATCCATATTACATCATTTTTGACAGGGTTACCAAGCAGATAGCTGCAACATTTATTATATCAAGCTCTACATCCCAAGCAACACCATTATCTGCTAGACTGCGTTCTTTCGCTTTGGTTGACCACGAGTTGGCAGCTTCTTCATAATTTGCCTACCTACCTGACTTGCCTTGGGTCTTCAATCCTTTACTACCAGCACCATCGCGTCTTTCTTGCTGGGGATCCAGCTTCGTGTTGCTTGCTGTGAAGATGGTTCGTCACAATCCAGACAATGCCCAGTATCGAGAACTCTTCGTACTGATGTCAGTCACATCACAGGGTCTACAAGAAGATCTCCAGACAAAGCCTCCATGCCACCCGCGAGCAGTAAGCAGTATTCCACCAGCTGAGCCCCCCAAGGTTATCTGCTGGTGCCCCCATCGACTGACCTCCTCGCCTTCCCTCTGTAGTGCGCCATTCAAGGTAATCAATCCAAAGTAGTCACGATCTGAAGTTCCACTGACTCTGACACTCGTAGACTGCCTGACAAAGAACAATTATAATCAAGCAAAATGCGAAAACCTGGTTGATGCCTTATACGAATGTTGCAATGCATTCTACCAGAAGAACGGCGACAATGCAACCACTGCCAGCTGTCCCAGTCCAGACCTGTTACGACTCAAGCTAAAACAGAGGCAAGACGAGAAGCACAAGTGATCACTTTTCAGTTGTGGTTAGATTGATGGCAATATGGATACCCATTGGAGGAAATAAGTTGGGTTTCGCTCTTTAGAGACTGTAGTTGGCCAGAGATTCGGAAGCATCGCCCTCGCAATAGTATGTACCATAACCACTTATTCACGTCAACCCAAACCATAACAGTCAGGCAACTTGTACGCGGTATGGAGTTTTTCTAGGCGATCATTGAGCGCGCAAGAGGCCCGCATGGGACCTGGATAAGCACTGAAGGCATTGGTAGCTTATCCCGAGACTCTAATATGAATGCCGTGACATTATGATTGAAGAGAAGAAGGAAGAGGAAATGTGCGGCAGAGATTTCTCTGAAATAGTACCGGCCTGCACCAGCCACATGTGCACTGCAATCAAGTGAGGCTGGTAGCTGAGGCGCAGTAATCATTCCAGCACATGCAAGCCTAGCATTTGGCGCCGAAAGAAGGCGCTTGAAGAATCCAATCACAGCGCTGCAAATCCCCTACAAAGCACCCATCCAGCACCCGTCCTTGTACACCCGTACCCGGACCCCAGCTTGCACCTGCCACCGTGGACATCGGGCGGTAGCTAGACGCGCCTATCCTACCCAGCAATCGCGTTCGCATCATTTTCCCTGGGCCCGAGCTTGGTGATAGCTTCGACCTCACGGAAAACAACAGGACTCAGACTTGACACCCCGCGCCCACGACTCGCCCTTGGCAGACCGCATCGGAAGCGAGCCGACGAAGCAATACCTGCGTCGTAACATCCTCGAAACGTTGCATGACAGCAGGCAATAATTGACGCCCAAAAAGATGCTGGCGAGCGAACAGCTACTCTCCCAGGGATCATCATAAGGATACCTTTCCGCTGGCACAATGCTGGCCCAACGACCGCAGCGCATGAGCGGGCTGCGAATGGACAGAACAGGCAGCGAATCGGAGTTGAGCGACGTGGGTATGTCAAACCCAGCAGTTCTCTGTCCTAACCTGGTAGTCTAACCTCAAGTCTCCTACGTAGCCGTCTCTGAGAACGAACCTGTGCAGGAATTTGTTCACGATGCCGAGCACTTCGCCAAAGCCCTCGACATTCTCTCTGTTCCCCGAGACACTGCAGCCGGAAGACGGGAACAGGTCTTCCGACTCGTCGATATTTATTACCACTATGCCGCCGACAAAGTTGATGAAAAACTGCGCGAGTCACAGAGACAAAACTTGAGCACCGCTCTGCGCCGCCTAGACGATGCTTCTAGCCAGGATTCCATGGATCTCGACGAAGCAGATAACGGGGCGGCTTCACCTGCCTCGGCTGAGAGTCTACAGCATTGGGAACAGGAAGCACAGACATGGGATATGCTGAATCGCCTACTACCGTTGCGCTATGCGAACCGAAATACCATCAAGCCTGCTCGTCGCGAAATCTCTAGATTCCAGTCATGCGTTGAGCTCTGGGACGAGTTTTTGCAATCGGATTCGACTGCGCAGGAGCGCAAAGCTATACTTGAATGTCTACAGACCAGCGCAGATGACGCCCGCACCGACATCGATGAGCTGGTACGGGAGTACCAACAGCGGGCGGAGCGCGGTGATATTATTGCCTATGGATGGCTACATACACGATCTGCCATCAAAATGCAGAAGAACTTGAACGGCTGGTCTGGGGCTCTAGACCCAAACAGCTCCGACGCCGGTCAGATGCTTGTAGATGCAAACGGATCGAACCCTCTTGTCACGCAGCTCGACCCCGACGTAGCAACAAGACAAGGTCGAAAGCTTCAGCCGCAAGATGAGTACTTCGAGCGGGCCATCTGGATTGGCTGCTACGAATCGCTGCGGCGAGGCAGGAGCCCGGCCGAGATTCGAGATTGGTGCGTTGAGAGAACTGAGGTTTGGAGAGCGGTCAGCATGTCGGCCATGCCCTTGTCCAGGAATGAAACCATGTCCAAGGATGAAAGAGCACAAGCGGCGTGTGATCCGCTGTCGACCCTCCTTTGGCGCCGCACCTGCTTTGCCCTAGCACGTCAGGGAGGCACCGACGACTTCGAGCGTGCGGTCTATGGCATCCTCTCAGGCGATATCCCAAGTGTAGAAAAGGTCTGCGAGGATTGGGACGACTTTGTCTTTACTCACTATAATGCTCTGTTGCGAACCCAGTTCGACGCATACTTGATGAAGCGGACTTCGCCAGATGCCACCGCCGCCATCCAGCAGTCATTTGGCGCATTCAATGCGCTCCAATTTCATGGAGACGGCTCTTCGGTGGGGGAACGTCTTGTCAGTTCTCTAGAATCGAACCCGAAAACCTCTGCGGAAGCGAAGACGCCTATGAAGGCTCTTCAAGCAGCTATCATCTCCAACAGCGTCGGCCAATACATAGAGGAGCTTGGCGGTGTGCTCGGAAAACGGGCAAATCAGAAAGCAGAGTCCGCCTTAATACCCAATGTCGACGATGCCAACCTTGACGCCAACAACACCAAATATTTCCAACTGGACGATCACAAGGGTTTGCGTGTGGCCGTTCATGCGTATCTGCTCATTTCAATTCTCGATGAGCTTCAGGGTAACGGACTTGCCGACTCCAAGCGGCGACGGAAGGCACAAGAGAATGTCATTTCCACCTACGTCAGCACACTGCGGTTGATGAGGATGACTGATCTGATGCCATTGTACTGTTCCAAACTGCAGGGTGATCGATCCTTCTTCACACTCAGTCGGAACGTCAGCGGTGTAGTTGAGCAACATGAACGAGAGATACTGCTGAGGATCATGGAGAAGCTTGGAATGGATATCGCCAAATTCGTCGTGTTTCAGCCACGGTCCCTTTTGCAACAGTACCCAAGTGTCGAGGATCGTCCTCCGGCATTTGGTGGATTCACCCTCCTCTCCAATGATCCGCCCAATCTGAAGACAGGCCGCCCTCTCAAACCGGACTTCTTTGGAGAGGAACCAGAAAAGCTAGATCCCGTGGATGAGGCCTTGATACAGTCTCTCGAATGGTTCTTGCTGGTTGATGGGCTATGGATTGAATTCTTTCAAGCCGGCATTTCTATCTACAAACGGTTCCTCAGTAAGCTTATATCCCTTCACCGTTTAGAAGAGTCGCAACTAATCATACATCAGAGCAATTCAATCTTCATGCTGCTCGGGCATTGTCCGAACGGATTCACTGCTCGGAGATCTTTAGGAGAAAAGCCGGCATCGCCATCCCCGACGATGCAGACATTTCATGGTTTGACGAAGTCCGCTCAGGTGTGGCTAGCGGCTCCTTTGAGGATAACGGCCTCGGGCTGGGCGAAACAGCTGCAGCGAAGAACTACTTCGAGCTGGAATGCCTAGTGCGGGCCCTAGACTCGATGGAAACAATTGCCTCGAGTCAATCCTTGGCCCATGAGTATGCTCCCTTTGCTGACATAATCCGACTGATGGTAAATGAAGCTAATCCTGGAAACAGTCCTACCGAAAAAATGAATAGAGAGTTCTGGAGTCACGTCGGGAGCGAAGTGAAGCTGGTCAGAAGCTGCATGCGACCCCTCCTACACAACTGGCTCCTGGAGAGCATAGAAGGTTGGTCTTACATGATATATCAACCAGGGAACCCTATACTGACTGGCGAGACAGAGGACGAAGACTTCGTCTACCTGCGTGACGCATACCTTCCTGAGACCATCATCGGATATGTCTGCGTTCTACACTTTGCTGGAACGAGCTTGTCACGAGAAAACCTGCTCGAATGCATGGAGCTTGCGTCGATTGTTGCGAAGAAAGATGCAGACGTGGCTCCGGTGTTGATGAAGTCGGGTCGTATGAAGGAACTCATCCAGGGCTTTGCCAACTGCAGCAAAGCACTCGCTATTAGTGGTAGTGACAAGAAGGGCTCCGGCGGCAGCAGCAAGAAGATGCGAGAGCTCGGGTGGACGCGAGAGTTGTGGTCCGTCAAGAGATGAAAGTGAGTTCATGTTTGACAGCTGATGGGTTCGATGGCTGTGGCCTTGCATCTGCATTTCACGCGAAGTCTCCGCGGGCGTTCTGAAATCTGGAAGGAAAAAACGTGGTCGTTTTGGAGGCGTTCCTGGGCCAGGTAATGCTACTTCCCGATGTATACCATGGATCACTCGTATGAGGTGGCAGCCAATCTGAATAATTTTCTCAGCTCGGCCAAGATCTGTCTGCATGCCTCACACAGCGAAATTCTGGAGGCGAACGAGCAGCTTTAATGTACGATATTGACGGCTTGAGAGGTCTTGCGACTCCTTTTTGTGAATATAACCGTAAGAATGACACGATTATCAAGACGGCGGTCATTTGCTGCGAGTGCGTAGCAAGCCCTTTACCCCTGAGTCTCTTGCGGGAGGGTGCTTTTTGTGGCTGATAAGATAAGCTCCAGCTGACATCAATGTCATAGCTCCTCCCTCCAATACCTCTCACTAATAAGCCATCAACCACACACATCCAACACCTCGCGCAACGCTCGGGAAGGGCCAGATAACCCCTCGAACGACGTGGTCTATCTTGAAAATCATCCTGGTCTCCCTTTCGAAACAACACACCGTATTCCCCACGAGCAGAATGTACAGACCAACCCCACCCCCGCCGGTACCACCGCCGAAGCCCAGCAGTCACGACACCAGCCGCCTCGGCACGCCAGCGATCACGAACTCTCCTCGACCACCGCCGCCCATACCGGACCATGGCTTCAATTGCATGGAATCCAAAGGGAAGGCTCCGGCTACAGATGCTTCGGGCTTGATCCCAGCGCCGATGGGGCATGCGCAGACGCAGCCCATACCAGACCCTGGCGAGCAGTGGCTGCCGAAGGTATTGGAGGACAAGTCGTGAGTGTCTCCGATTTCACGTTTGCATGTGGCCAACACCATGAGGGCTTGGTATCATACATCACGGGACGGGTCATGTGTATCACGCCTCATCTGTTGGGGATGTGCCTATCCAGATTTCTGTCTACGTGACTAACCGGCGGCACACCACACAGAAAGCAAGACCTCGCCGAGATCCTCAGCAACCCCGAGCTCCTCAACGCGCTGACGGTCTCGCCGTCGACGATCCACCCGTCGCTCGCCGCGACGCAGGACGCGCTTCTCGCGGCGCTGAACGACAACGTGGGACTGGCCTCGCACCTGACGGAGCTGGAGACGCGGCTGGCGCACCAGCGCGCCGCGACACAGGCGCAGCTGCTGTCGACGCACGCGCTCGAGCGGCAGTGGCGCGCCAAGCAGTCCGAGATGGACCGCGCGCTGGCGCCCTTCAGCCCCGCCGCGCTGTACCAGCGCCTCGGCCGCGGCCTGCAGGAGCAGGAGATGATGTGCGTGGCGCTCGAGGAGAGCTTCCTCGAGGGCGACGGCGCGGACGAGAACGGCGCCACGGAGCGCGAGACCCTTGAGTGGGTGCGTCGGTACCGCGAGGCCAAGAGGCTGTACTACTTGCGTGCTGAGCGCAGGGAGCGGTGGAATGAGCGCCGGGTTGGGGGGTGGCGGTGAGCGAGAGAGAGTGAGAGTGATCAACGAGTTTGTACTCGGATTACTATGGATGGCTCGACGGACGCGTAGAGTATGTGATGTGCTGTGCTGCATCTTGTCAGACTTCACGACATCGGACTTTGTCTGACGCCATGGCAGTCATGCGAGGCATAGCGGTGCGGGTGGGTGTACGTTGAGACCCTTCCGGCGCTGCTTCCACCCTCCCGATCTCGTGCGTGTGGCGCGGATACAGCTTCATCAGTTCTGCGCCCCTATCCCCATTCAGTCTTCTGCAGTCGCATTACCGCACAGATTGGGGGCAAGAGAGATCATAGACCTGCCTCTCTTGGTCCGAATGAAAACCTACCGACTTTCCCAAGATCCCGCATTGGCGGTCAAGGCTGTGCGGCGAATCACGACGCGGACGCATGGTGTGTCTCACCTGCAATGCGACGATGGGTGCCGAGGGTATTCGGACCGATCACATTCCACAGATACTGGACGGGGATCCAGTCCGGAAGCACAACATCCACGACTCAGTACCACCTACACACTACCACACCCACCTCCCTCAAAAGAACTTGGGCGGCAGAGCAGCCCATGCGGCCTGGCAGAGACGCCCGCCGGAGTCTCCGAATGTGGTATAGTCCAGCAAGATACGAGGTGGCATCCCGATTCGTTCAGATCCGCGGCTCCCGTCTGTTGGAATACTACCTACCTACCGCGTTCTGCGTCTACCTACTTGGACTGTTAGACATGGGGATGTAAGTGGACATGAGCGGACATAGGGTAGTATAGATGGTCATTATATATGCCGCTCCGCTATGATGGCATATCAACAAACATCCCCTGGCTTTCCGCCCCCACCGGCCAACCAGCGAGGCCTAGTTGCCGCTCTCATACTCTGCGATCCCATGTGACCGTGATATGATATACAACATTAAGATAGAACCCCCCGTCGGTCCTGGGCTGACTCCCAAGCAGCTACAGGGGACGTATGCAGGTTGTCCAAAGTATGTTTGTATGTCCAAAATACGCACCTGACGCACATTGTTTCCCACCCAGCCCAGACCGTCCCCCGTCCTGTAACATGGCATCCAGGCGGATCGGCAGATCACTGCTTCCGTCCTCCCCAATACTCGAGCCCGACGATCTTGGGGTCCAAATTCCCAATGACTTATCCCGTCATTTTGTACTTTTCTCCCTGAACTCTCCTTGTTGGGCCCCTAGCCACTCGCAAGCAACCCTCCCACTTGTGAACGGCGGAAGCAGTCTCACTTCAAGAAGCTAAACGGACTCGTCTTCATCTCGGGACTGCGCGGGCTCATCGGCAGCGCGAACAGCTCGTCCTCGGTCTCCTTCACGGGCGCGGACGCCGGCTGCTGCTTACTACCGGTGCCATCCATCACGGCGGCGAGGGATGCTACCCCTCCACCCCCACCACCACCACCAGGCACCACCGGCACTGCTGTCCGCGGCACGGCGGTGTGGGATGTGTCGGGCGATAGGGACTGGTAGGGGTGCTGCTGGCGCATGTTGGCGTTTGTCGTGCCTGTGATTGTCATGTCAGGGGAGATCAAAGCGTAAGGAGCGGAGGCATGATGTAAAGTGGAATCAACAGGAGTTTGCTTACCAGCAGTGCTACTCGCCAACTCGGCCAGCGACGTCGACAGCCTCAGCCCCCTCAATTTCTCGCCCAGGCGTCCCCCAACCGGGGACCGCGGGCTCTGCGGCGGCGCGCCCGCGCCCCCGGGTCCCGCGTTGTTCCTCTTTCTCCGCTGCTCGTCGACGCCGTCGGCCAGGGGGTCGACGCCCACGAGCCCGAAGTGGTCGATGATCCACTCGCGCTCCTGGACGGCCATCTCGAGCCCGACGCCCTCGGCGTTGTCGGCCAGCTCGGCGCGGACCTCGTCCTCGAGCTGCGCGAGCCGCTTTTTCGCCCAGATGGTGTGCAGCACGCCGCGCTTGCCGGCGTCGCGCTGGCTGACGCCGAGGCCCGGCGCGAAGATGGCAGGCATACACTTCGTGTTTAGTACGCGGCTGGTCGCCGCGTGCGTTATCGTCACCACGGGCGGGATGGGCGCGTCGGAGGGCAGGAGGAAGTAGACGCGCTGTGTAGGCCCTGCGGCTGCGGCTGTGGTTAAGAAGCTTGCTGCGCCGGAGGCGTCGCGCTCGCTGAGGGAGAAGGTCGTGGTCTTGCCTTCCCAGGAGACGACCCAGCCCGTGGTGGTAGTAGTGGCCACCCTAGGAGGTTCGAGCCCGCTGTCGGGTTTCCATTCTACCATCAGTATCTTTGTCCCCTCGTTCCCGCGCCCCAGCTCGAACTCGAAGCGCGCCAGGGCGTTGGTCGAGGACGGGGACGCGGGGGAGTCCACGACCGTTTCCGGTCCGGCGCCGGCCTTGGTGGTAGTGGTGGTGTTGTTTGAAGCAGAAGTGGTCGCGGGGATGCGGAGCCTAGACCCGGGCCCGGAGGGCGGTGGCTGGCTCGGCGTCATACTAGTCGCCATGCTGTGACCTGCTTGGCAGAGCGGCGGTAGGTAGGCAGGGTAGGGTAGGGTAGGATGGGTTTGAAAGGGAGCCCACCAAGGCAGGTGAGGTAGTGCGAGCGCGTGTATATCGCGTTGAAAAATAAGACCGGGCCTGTGACCTAGAGGCGCATTCCCGGTGCCCCTCCCCGTAGTAGGAGTTGGAGATGGCCGAGTGGGCGACCACGGGTCGACGAGCGCGCGTCTGGCGCAAGTGGCAGAGCTCGACGGGCCGATACAGTCTCACTTGGGAGCTCGACTGTCTTCACTTCAAGTGCACTTTGAGATAGGACGCGCAGCTGGACTGGCTTGGACACACGCGCGCGCGCGTGCGGAGCTTGCTTCGGGAAATTCTGGATGCTGCCGAGTGAATCTACTGGGTAATATTATCGAGCGGCAGGTCGTTCGTTCGTTAGCACAAGGTGGTATAAGCTTGTCTGTCGCAGCGGGTGTTATTGCTTGCTTGCTTGCTTGCTTGCTTGTGGCTGTCACTACTACTCGTCCAGCCGCGCTTCATATGACGATCTCTCATCGGCAGTTGACAGTGACAGAGCTTTGTGGCAGGCCCGCTTGCGTGCTTTCTCGCTCGCAGAATGCAAATGGTCGTGGGTGCGAGATGCGTCACGGCGTGTAAGCAGCGAAGGAGGAGAAGTCGAGAACTTCCAAAGGGAGAATGTGATGTTGTGACAGCCTCGCAGCAGTGCTTGTTAAGAAGAGCGAGCGAGCGAGCCAGGTAGAGATCGGAGGCGCGAAGCTAGGTTACCAACGAAGATGGACACATTGGCAGCTCCTCTGGCCTGGCTTGACTGATCCCATCCACCCGGCAAGCACTTTCACTTGACCTACGTAGCAGTCTTGGATCAGGAGAGATGAGGGCCATGCGGGGGGAAAGGAACAGAAGGAAGAACAGATCTTTTCCCTTTAGGTGCATGAATGATGACGGTCCTGGCTGAAATGGGAACGCTCAACATATTGGCAATGGCGATGGACGGTACGCAGCAAGGACATGACCAGCTGGTTCAGAGGGCAGCTCTGAGCAGTCAGCCTTCAGCTTCAACCATGTAGCTCGGATGTACCGGGCGGCGGGATGGACCATGGAAGTGACGCGATACTGGGGATAGGACGTCGTCCCAAAAAGTCCACGCCGCATGCGGATCTAAAAATAGAACGACGACCACCCATGCAACCGTTAGGTCGGGCTTATCAGGTGTCGAAATCTGCATATCTCGTGCTTCTTATGGCTCTTGTGAGACATTGGCCACGCCGTCTAGACGGTTGTCAACTTTGGCTAATAAGATAAAGACAAAGGTTGAACACCTTCTTGAGTGGACGTCCTTGCCTGGTTGGCTCCTTATGGCTTCCCTGGGGAGATACGTCGTGCCATGGATATAAGGTAGAAGCTGAAACTGAGCACGCTCCCCGTGCGCGTGCGGTGCCACTGATAGAATTCCATTAGCGATAACATCATAGGCTCCGAGCCCCGACATCGAAGACAGGGTCGAGTTATATTACACACCTGGGAAACGCAATATCAGGGTGACATATGATTAACAATCACACTCTACGGGTTTGGGATCCTCCGGGTACGTGAAGGCAGCTTACCACCGCTCCACACTGCCAGAGGGGCAGAGAGTCCAGACGTGACCATCGATGATCGGTATCGGGTGTTACTGTCAGGTCTCCGAGCCGTAGGGGAAGGAGAGGGGAGGCTAAAGTCGTCGCCTTGCTCTCTTCATTGGCTGTCTCCCCAATGAAGGTTGCATCACACATCACACAGTGGAGATATAAATTGGAAAGAGAGACACCAATGGACGGTAACCGAAGAGATGTGCGCGATGTTTGGTTTTACTGCGACCACGCAGTGCCACGAGCGGATGGCACGGGTAATAAGAGCAATCACTTGGCTCCTCGCCCTGTAGATGAGGCAAACTTCCTCATACAGGTACGTACAAGGCCAAAATGAGGCCAGAGGTAGTGATTTGCGACTGAGTCGATGGAGGACCAAGAGGCAGGTGACTGACTGCGCAAGGTTAATAAGGCGCTATTTGTCGAGCATATTCGTGCGTCGTAGGGTGAATACCTACTTACCCAGATCTCTCGACATCCGCGGCACAGAAGGCCTCTGACACTTTTAGTCAGCCGAGGTCGAGCTGGTATTCTATACCGTAGGTAGCTATGATGCGCTGCTGCTTCTATTCGTGTATTCACAGGTTGAACCGGGGTAAGCTATGGTGCTAGCTCGCCGCCTGGAGGATCTGCTCGCTGCCAATGGTCGATGGTGGCCATCAGGCAGCCACAGTACCAAAATGGGCATCATGAGTCTGTCGGTCGGGAACCCAACTGAATGGATCGCATGCGACAGGGCTAAAATAGCCCGATGAAAAGATGGCAGTCAGTACCTGAAGTTGTGGTCCCGCGTTCCCCATGGAGAGCACGCCTTTCAGCAGGATCAGAGCAGTCCAACTACATCCCGCAAACCCGTCCGCAGTCGAGAAGGATTGTCCGGGGATGTTTGACATACTGTCCTTCGAGTTGGAGATAAGCAGAATGCATCGGGCGGAGAGTCTAGAGACCCAGACCCTGCCAAACCCCGAGGGCCGAGGCAGTGTGTGAGGACACGGCTTCACATAAAGACTCACCGAGTCAGGGGAGACATTCATTATGACAACCCCACGTTTGTGAATGATTCAGGTGTCAATGTACGTCACACAAGGACCGCGCGATTGCCTTGGCTGGAGGCTCCCGCTATTTCTAGCTTGGTGCACACAAAGAAATTCTTGACGTTCGCCAAGTGGGCGGTGGGGCTCTCCCGAGAACTTCGGCTTGAATTCCACCGAAGGAAATCCACTTGGCGTTGTCCGGGGACTTGGCGTGGTCCGGGGATGGCGAGCCGTGGAGTCGGGGACACTTGTTGGTGACTTGGATCATGATGACCACCCTCCAAGCACGACATCATAGCAGGGCTCTCGATATTGAGACGATGTTCGCGATAGGCATACCAGGCCGAAAGACCAACCGGTGCCATCCGCGCGAGCAGTGGTTAGCGATCCACGCATGCCCCAAAGAAGCAGGATGGACTGTTATCGATGGACAGGCTTGGAGACGGGCCGGCCGTAGCACGTTTACCAAGCATGCAAGGCGTGAAGAAGCACGTGCGGTCGCGCTGACAATCCCTGAAAAGCCACGAAGCGCCTCCCTGACACCATGAGACCTGCATTGCGGCGCGAGGCCCTTGTGACGGATACCTAGCGGTAAAGTGGATTTCAGGTCCCGAGGGACTGGAGTCTGGACTCTCTCGAAACGAAACCGGGTCTTCGCCGGAAAGGGGGAAGGTAAAGAATGGAGAATGTGTAGATTGACCGCGGTAAGGCCGTGGCGGCCCACGTTGGCGGGCTTTTCCTGATAAAGCCGGCGGCTCTATCGCGGGGATTTCCCAAGCCCTTTTGTTTCTGATGGCCCATGAGACTTGAGTGTGTCCCTGTGTTGTGGTCGCGACTATGCACTTCCTGCCTGCACAATACCTTGATGATGGACCGTACAAGATTATTAGTAGATATAATCGGTGTGTGAAGAAAGTCGGGCAGCTTGGAGCAGGAAGATGTGACCAGCTTGTGAATTCCCCGTACAAAGTGTGCTCGACGTGGTGAGCACCTGTATTTGTGTCTGGCAGGATCCCAATTCCATGCGCATCAATGCACATCGTATGAGTGCTGCAGTTGACTTGCAGTCCGTCGTGCAGGTTGTTTCCGCAACTGTATCTCCAGAGTGTCGAGCGGCAACTTCACGGGCTTTGGACTGAACCAATTGCAAAAGGGGCACTGCCTGCAAGCTCGTCGACTGATGGTAGCGTTACACCGAGAGGCCGAAATGAGAGAAGCAAAGAGAAGTGCCGAAAACGAACGCTGATGTTTCTGAAAAAGACACAAGGTGGGTCGCCACTGGTGATGAATCGCGGTGGGTGGTCAGTGTGGTTGGCTGACACAAGCGAGTATCGTCTTTATCGTCTCTCCTCTGCAATTGTGACCACTGGTCAGTCAAAAGCTGTCAGACGGTGAGGACAGCTGGGAGTGCCGTAACCCGTTGGCAGTTGGTCGGATTGACACCAAGCTTCGAGAATCGAGGCTCCGTAGAGATGCTGAGGCTGTCGTCAGAGAGCGGTAAGCGTAAGGGTTCGGTTGCTCGGCCAGATGCCACATGTCAAGTCCCATGGTTATCACGATGATTGTGTGCAGTACCTTAGTTGAGTGACCATGCACGCCACGATGCAAGCGCAACGTCCCCAGCCTGGGCTCTTGAGCTCAATATCGGCGTGTTTCTCGGCACTCGGTCACAATTACGAATAACCACGAGACGACCAGACAGATGTCAGACCGAGCGTCGTGGAGCTCCCATGGCTGACATCCCATAACCATACCGACATGCCATCGGGCATGACAACAGGCTAAATGGAGGGCCGACTGTTGCGTGGGTGGGCAATTGGACAGCCAAGAGCGACAACCTATTCAAACAGGCATACGCAGACTGGAAACTTGCACCAAGTGCGAGTTTAGCACAAGAAGAGGACCGAAAGCCATTTCTTTCGATCGACGGCTGACGATGGTATCGTGACGAGATCCGTTTGAAGAGGCCGACCTCGAACAGCTCGAGGTCCAAGAAACCTTAAAAGATGTCGCGGAAAGCATGGCTGATTCGCGGGCGGATAAGGTGGCGTCGAAGATGGGCTCGGGTACCTGGTTCAGGATGCCTGTTCAGGATGCCTGGATGCTACCTCTTCCCAATCAAGATTCAAAGCTGCGAGGAAGCCATACACCTACAGTCGTGGTAGTATCCGAGGTCGTTGCAGTCTGCCAGTCCATGCAGTGCAGTACGAGAAGGATGACCTGACCTGGTAGCTTATTATCAACTCAACATGGCGAGGCGATATTGAGTTGACGCTCATAAGTCGGGAGAAGTCCAATGGGCCAAAAGCAAGTTCGCCGGTTTAACCGTCGTCCACACGCTAACGGAAGGGCAAAGCCTACGGCCTGACAGTAGTGGCTGCTCATTGTCTCTCATAGCGAGGATCGTAGTCTGGGGAGTGACAACCATGATCTTTGCAGCACACCAAAACGTACGGGTGTACATCGTGAGATGATAGATCCGTACGTGGGCTGGAGCTTTTTGAGTTTCCCGGCGAATGCTGCTGTGTGGATCTCCAGGGTCAGGAAGGATCTGAATCTCACCGAGCAGACGAAAGAGTTCTTCGGTGCAGCCAGATAGGTTGGCCGGCAAAAGAAGAGCGAGTTGTGAGTTGTAACTCGTGAGGCTTCTCACGATGGGCACGATGGGCGAGACGGCGGCTTCTCACTCGCTGGCGAATGGTCGGCAGCACTCCACTATTAAGCCGGCCAAAGCGCCGTAAGCAGCAGCATGTACCGATTATAGCCCCATCCCACCACAACAACCGGCGACCATCGGGCGGGACCCGGACCCCCCTGTAGCCTCCAGCTTCACAGTCCAGCCACTTCAGCGCACTACAGCGCACCACAGCGTCCACTACCTGCCTGTGTACCGCTCGCTGCAGGGCATCGTCCACCCGCGGGCGCCTCCACTTTCCTCCCACACTGCAGTGCAGGTGGCAGTGGGTGCACCTCCAGCTCATCAGTCCCACCCACACGCAACCTGCAACCTGCAACCTCGATTGCCCGTCGTTTTTCCTTGATGGACGCGGGTCGTCGGCTGTCCCCAATCATCGACTCTGTCTCTGTCTCGCCTCGCCTGTGCCAGTCTCCCCCCAAGTGTCCACCTCTCGCCCTCGCAACTACCTTTAACTCTAGTTCCCACTTGGCCCTCTCTGCCGCCCTTCAAGTCTCGGCCTCATTTTCTACTCTAGTCGTCTCCATTCGTCTCCGGTTATCTCCTGTCTCCAGGCCCTCCTCCTCTGCTTGTCTGGGCTGCCTATCCACTTCCGCCGACCGAGACGTCGTACGGACCCTTCTAATGCGGGTGGTCGTCTCGTCCCTTCCATCGCCTGAATCCTAGGGCCCCTTTGCTCTCCTTCCAAGCTGAAGGCTTTCATTTCCTGATTTGGCCCCCAATCTGCCAAAACGCCAGAAATTGACCGCAATACTCGAGACATCATCGCCCGCGACGCCCGACCACCTTCGACGAACCCGACCGCGGTAGGCGCCTGCCGAAACGTCGAATCGATCTTGTCGGCTATAACATCGGTCCGACAACTTTCGCTAATTGACCGGCATCGTTCATCGTACGGGATTGACGAGACTTGACATTCCACTCATCTACCTACGGCCGAGACACCGAACAGAATCAGGGACCGATCGCAGGGCGGTCGCAGGACACGGTTGTCGTATCCGACGTCGCTCGCTTTCGGATTCCGTTGCTACAATTGCCGCTGCCACTCATTCATTCGCTTTCGCTGACGGATCGAATTCGTGCTGGGATCGCCAACTACGCCCGGTTCACATCTTCGAGATTCCGCCCGCTCACCTGTTCCAAATGTATCAATATGTGTGATTTGCGTCCGATCAACGTCGATACCGTCAAGTCGATTATCGCCACCTTCCCTGCCTCGTCGAGGACAAGCGTGCACTAATCCGCATTGCCTGTTCTCTACTTCGCTTCGGACACGCCCGTACATCGACTGCATCATTTCATCATGGACCCTCCACACATCACTGAATTCGCTTCGCAGCGATACTTCGACAAACTTCGACAACTAAGCGAGTCCAAGGACCAGCCCCAAGATGCTGTTGCTATTCCCCAAGACGGGCCTGCCGCCGCCCAGTCGTCCACCTTTATATTGCCCTTGGTCGGGCAAAGGTCCTCCGAAGCACTTCCTCACGATGCCTTGAGGACGGAGAAGCGCCGAGCCAACTTCAGCTTTCGAACTATCCTACCATCGCGTGCTTCTGTTGAACACGACTCCCGCAGACTTTCCACCGAATCTGCCCCAAAGAAGAGGTATGCCTTGAACTGAAGCCGTAGAACTTGTGCCTTGCTTCATACTAACTCGCTCAATTTACAGTACCCCTTTTGACCAGCTTTTCTTAGCCCTCCCCAACGAGCTCAAGATTCAGATCATTGCCTCACTACCACTCTCCGACATACTGAGTATCCGGTTGGCATCGCGCTCTTGGCACGCCATGATAACCATCAACGAGTTTCCTATCGCCCGATATCACCTCGATCACCACGTCCCAGCCTATGCGAGACGGTTATGGCCCGCTCCTGATCCTCCCGCTATCAGGTTACATTATCTATGCGGGATATGGCATCGTTTACACGTTGCCGCGAAACTCTCGTACTTGATATGTGAGAGAGTCACGAAGGAAATGTTTCTCCGGACAACCGACACCGCGCGACTCCAATTTGCTCCCCAACACGAGCGCATGCGACGACGACTCATCCCCTTGATATTCACCTTGTTTCATTTCTTTGAGACGTACCGAACATTACATGTCGAGTACTTGAAGAAGCACGGGCACGGCTTGTCTCAAACACCATATACCTTCAACCCTATCGAATTGCAGGTCATGAACATGTATGATAATCAGACCTTGCTGCGCGTTCACCAGATCGTTCCCTTGGTGGTGTCCTCTTTCACTCGGCGATTACGACCCCCTTCGTACGTTGGACGGTTTGAACGTTCTATAAGGGGTTACTTAAAGGACCCCCCGCCCGACGAAGTCTATGCTACTGCCTTGATGGTTGGTGGGCTCAGACAGGTTGAGAAGTTTTGGGAGATCAAAGGTTATAATTCGAGGAGAGGGGTTGTCGACTCGTGGTATCATTCTATCACGAAGGAACCAGTTGAAGTAACCTCGAAGCCACGCCGAGGGTTCATGGGGCTGAGTCGGAAGAGATCTACCGTCAACGGGAGTGACCAAGGGAGAAGTACTGCGGATTACTCAGCAACTGGTAATGGTCGGAGAGGCTCGGAGAGCGGCCGACGAGGTAGCGATGCGTCGACAGCAACGAATGCCTTTTGGGAGAACTTCGTGTTCGATACGAGTCTGGCAGAAGGCATGCCAATGGGCCCACTCCCCCGGGAAGATGTCCGACTTCTCCTTGCCGATCTGCCAGCACTAAATCAGATATGGTCTCCCACTGCCGAGGCCCTGATCCTCGAACGCGGGATAGTACAGCGGCCGCAAGATATCAAGCGTAATGCAGCGGTCTTGCTTGACCTGATTCACGAGGGTGGCGCTGCCGAGGAAGACGAGTGGTGGTATGGCCGAACCGCGCCGGAGTCGGTGCGGCCACCACTTGAAGCTATCGAAGAGGACACCATCGAATAGAATGGTTGGGTACCCGGGCCACTAGATTTCAATTAAAGCCGTGTCATGTCAGCATTTATGGGCGTTCAGGGCTTATTTGGATATCCACTCTGGTTGATTAAGGAGATAGGGTGCATTTATGACAGCGAAAGGGACCCGGCGAACCTATAGGAGTTCAAACCTTTTGTCTTACCAGACATTGAGATATCTTTTTATTTTGTCACCATGAGCGGACGCTTTTTTCCAAGCATTTGAAACAAACCCCCTGTGGAATCATGGGGAAAGGAGGAGGCGCTTTACGGAGCTGGTTGTGTTCAAAGTGCCTTTCGGGGAAATAGACACCATAGCATCCATCTACCATTAGTATCATCATCTTCACATAAAAGCCCACTCATATCTCTGATATATCATGGGAGAAATCAAAGCCAAAGCCAATGGTATATTCGAGACAAGGCACCCTTCCTAAGGTATCATCCGACAGTGCTACGCGCTCATGAAAACCATATACAAAAATTGGCGAAGCGTAGAAAACCAGCACATCCGCAGGATGAGAAGAAGATTATCACCGATCCCTTTCCATCCATCCATCCCCATTCCCATTTTCACGTCGCCCATTCCTGTCCACGATGCTGGTGGAGACTTCTACCCGCTTAGACGCCATAAAGATCTCTGCAATTGCAAACGGACTTCGTAAGATAAACATGAGCCGCTTTCCCTTTCCGTACGCCCACGCATCCAAGACATAAATTCGTGATATCGTTTTCATCAAGGCCAGCGGTTATGGTTATGGCTCGCACGGCCTATGCTCGAAGGCCCCATGTAGCTATTATTCAGCCCCGTTACCGGGGAATAGAGAGGTGCAGTACTCGAGCTGGTTGTTCGCTGCTGCTGAGGCACGCTTCCGCTTCCGAGACCGTAGGCTCCTGTTCCTAGCCCGAGACTGCTGTGACTGGTGCCTGAGTCCAAACTCTGTATGTCCAAGAAAGAGGAATCGGCGAAAGAGGGGAATGTAGAGGATAGGCCCGAATGCGACGTGTTATGCGTGCTTGTCGTCGTCGTCGGGGTCTGCCGCGTACCGAAGTGCGGCGAGTGGCTTGGGACACCGTGGTTCGTTGTACTCGTTGGGCGATATGGGTTTCTTTCGAGGGGCGACGCCGTCGGTGTTCGACGCGGTACAAAAGCTGTGCTGCCGTGTATCAACGATGGCGACCCACGGTAGCTATTATCTGGCTGCATGAGGGGCGAGTTGGACTGAGCACTGAACTGAGGAGAATTAGTGACGTGTTGCACAAGCCCCGTGTTTGGCGAGCCACTGGCCATATGCTGTTGCTGTCGTTGACTTGTCGAATACGATGGCTGTTGTGTGCTGAACGGCGCAAGCACTTGAGACTGAGGATAGTAGCTTTGAGGAGCCCTTGCTTGCTGCTGTGACGCCAGTGTAGCGGGCATTTGTGGAGTCTTCGAGGTCTGTGCTGGTATTGGCGACGCCCTTTGGGTTGTTTGCTGTTGCGGCTTCTGGGGCCGAGTAGAAGTCGACCTCGTGGTGTCCGAATAGTTCTGGAGAGCAGCAAAACGTTCATAGTGTGCTTCTAAGCCTTCAGCGGTGGTCGCTACTGAAGCAGTGGTAGGCGACGCTGAGGTTCCCATCGAGGCCGGAGGTTGTTGTTGCATCTTATTTTGTGGGTGATTGTTATAACTCTGCATGGCGGCGTAGTGAGCTTCAAGGCCCTGGGCTGCAGTATGATCCTGAGTAGTGGAGGGTATTTGATTGGGCTGCTGGACATGCTCCGTAGCAACATGGGGAGATGGGATGGTGCCGTTTTGTCCTATGACGTTCGGTGTAGGTCGTGTTGCTTGTGTTGTTAACTCCTGGGACTTGCGCGCACGCTTGGCAGGTGGTGCAGGAGAGATGCTAGGCACGGCTTGTTGGATGGGTTGACTTTGCGTCGAAGGCGCTTGCAACCCCTGAGGAATACTTGGTTGGCCTTCTAGGGAGAGCGGTTCATTGCCCCCAGTTGGAACAGAACCGTTGTCTTTTGAGGCAGAGGCACCGTCTTTAGCTGTCTGCCGTTTCCGCTTCTTTGCAGTCACAGACGATGGTTTGACCTGTTGCGCCGGTACTTGACCACTAGACGTTGCATCTTGGGCACGTGTTTGACCTGGCCCAACGTGGGAGGCACCACCGTTGATAGTAGAAGGCACAAAGCCGTCCGTCAACGAGAGGGCATCCCCGGAGCCTGTATTTGTCACATTAGTGCTCGAGCTGCTGTTCAAACCTGCAGGTTGTTGCGGCTGCAGGGTACTGTTTTTGACTGTCACGTCCTTGGTGGCTTTGGAGCGATTCCTCGGGGCCTTTGGTTTTGTTGCAGAGCTCTTCTTCTTCGATTGTGTGTCCAGCATCGGAACTGGCACTGGGACCGGTGTCACCTTTGGCGGCGGCGGCGGCAATATGGGAGTGCTGGCCGGAGGAGCGGAAGAATTGGCATTTGCGGTTGCTGGCTGGACTGATTGACTAGCCTGTTGCAAAACAGAGGTATCTTTGGAGCGGTTTTTAGACCCTTTCGGTCGCCCACGTCGTTTCGCGCTGGACGCGGGGGCATTGTTGGCATGGTTGATAGACCGGAATCCGCCATTGGATCCTGTTGCAGGCGCAGCCGTAGCGGATTCGCCATCGAGTGTTAGTGAAGGGGTCCCGAGAGCATCCCTCAATGCTCCTTCAGCATTGGCTAGATCCCCAGCTCCGTTGAGCTGCAAGACACTCTCTTCCACATCGACCCAGCTCTCATCGGCTGGGTCTGCTGGTTGATTATCAGCCCCTTCAAGAGCCTTCTGCGGGCCTTTCTTGAGTGGGCCTTTCTTAAATCCCTTGTCACTTCGAGCCTTGCTGGCTTTGCTGCCCTTGGGCCTCCCCCTTGGACGTCTCAGGCCCGTGGTCTGGGTGGGCGTTGATCGTGCCGGTCTCGGCGGACGATCGAGGTCTGGGAATATCTCGGCTATCCAGCCCACAAAGAGAGAACCTGAGCCATTTGACCCGGCGCTTTCGGGGAAGTTCCCGTCTACAGGAGGTGGCGCATCGGGTATGCCACCAAAGAAAGCGAGAGCCTTACAGAGTTGATCAACAACAGTGTGATGAGGCAAGGTTCGCAGGAGCGTAAGCAAACGAGCCTGCTCAGCTTTGGTATCTTCAACCGCTAGGGGTAGCCGCGGGCCAGGCTTAGCAACTGGTTCGGTGCCTGGTTCTGTAGACTTGCTGGGAGGGGTGAATTGCTTCAACCCGGGTGGTCGTGGATAGTTTGCTCTCCGTTGGTGTGACACGTAAGTGTCTGTCTGGGCCATCTTGGCCTGCAAAGCTGTACTCTCGCTCGTTCGTTTTGCTGCGGCGTCTCTCCCTTCGCTGGCGCGGTGACTGGTGACATCCATATGCATAACACCAAAATTGCCCTTCATCTGTTCGGCCACGTCTTTCAACTTGCTTGGTACCGGGTTTCGAACGCGTCCATCTCGAGGATAGAGTCTGAGGTCGACGGTTGTAGGCCCGTCATTCGACGTAGCAGTAGGAACAAAGTAGCCATTGGTGCCGCCATTCGGAGCAGCGGCGGCCAGTGACGGTGACGGGCCGGGGATGCTGGGCGATTCGGAGGGTGCTGGGAGGCTGGTACTCGAGGCTCTGGCGGCTCCAATGGTTGGTGTGTTTGCGGCATTGGCCGAGGGTTGACCTAATGGGCTGTGTTAGCCCATTGCAGCAGTCTGGCAGTCTGGACGGGAGCAGTCATACTGGAAGTTGTAGCCATTGGTCTGAGCGATGATGATCATGACTTTGGCCAGATGCAATTAAAATTGTTCGCTACGAGACACAGCAGCTTGTTCTGGGTGTACACAGCTGGGCGTCCACCAGTTTGGCAGGATTCCATGCTCGTCAGCGGCCGAAGAGGACAGTCGCGAGCATTACATCCGTATCACGACACCGGTCTCGCGAAACGGCACTGGCCTGAGGACGCCGATTGTGCGGTTAAAGATGTATCGGACGATGGACTCGATGGTTCGCTTTCTCGCGACTGAGATGTGTTCGGGGCGCGCTTCACAGTGGTGCGATCAGGTTGGCTCTGGCCTTCAGCCGCGGTCAGATGGACCAAAGAGAGTCGTCACTGTCTGCTTCAAGGCGGGAGACTGGACGGCATGCGTTGGTTGGTGCAACGCGCATGCGACAGAGTCTGGACTGCGGAGAGGGTGTGTGTTGACGCTGATTGAGGCGTCGGCGAAAAGGTGGTGGCAGCGGTCATTCCTGTCCCCTTCGGCGGGCGGTTAATGGATTTACACGTCGACGCTTCAAGTTTTGGGGTTGCACTCTCACGCTGCAAGATAATAGGGCGACAGGACGATAATGGCGTAAATGGCGTAAATGGCGTAAATGGCGTAAATAGACAAGTTCGCAGGCTGGCTGGCTGGCAGGGACGATGACACCAAATTGGGGATAGCTGAGCACCGAGAAATCCAAAATGGCTTTAGCTCAGAGCGCTACGGACACCAGTCGAAACGCTGTTCATTCTGTGACTGTCATCCCACGCGCCAGCGTCACAGGAACGAATCTTACCTAATACATGCATATGCATGTCTCGACAACTCCTCCCTAAGGTTGCTCATTCACAATGAGTCCTGCTTTACTTCATGTTTATTAAAACTCGTCAACTATGCTCGAGTGTCAAGGGCAAAATGCATGCAGCAAGGCATCACGATCCGCTCTCTGGGCATGTGAACGAAGAGTCGAAGACAAACCCAAAGTATTCGAGCGGATACTGCCACAGGCGTTGGCGCTCTGGCTAATAAGCATCTCGAGACCCGAGTTACCGGTAAACCGACGGGAGGCAATGGCATATATGTCGGTTGTTACCGTAGTTTTGTTTCCTCCGTCAATGGTGCAAGATCAAAACTCGCAATTTGATGCGCTCTATTCGGTCAGACTTATACTGAACGTGCAAAGGTCTCCGTACGCCCCTCGTTCAGCAAAGCGCGGAGTATGTTTTCTTAAATGGAATTTGCTCTCTGGCATAAGGATTGAAGGGATGTCTTATTAGATCAACTTATTCCATTATTCAGGTATGGATATATCATTTACGTACTGAATTCAAGGCAGTAGCTGGGAAGAGCAAATATGCAGTAGGCCTGTCGTGATAATAATGCATGTTTTCAGCATTTACAGTCTTGAATAGCGCTTTGCTATGTAAGTAAGCTTTTGTATTCCGGCAGATCGAAACGCTCGACTCTCAGGCTCTGGAGAACCGTACTACACTTGGTTCTCCTATTCGATTCGCACGCTGGACTTATCCTGTAGATTATCTGCTTGATAACATGCCAGAGCTGGAAGACACTGGATTGGCACATTGAGAAGACAGTGAGGCAGGCAAAGACCGGTGTCTTGCACTCAGACTTGTTCATCGTAAAACTGAGTCCGGGGTCTCTTTCGGGTTGTGAAGTCGAATCCGAAGCGGCAGCATATAATAATGATCTGTAGCGGAACCATCAGTCCAGCTGGGGGTGGTTATGCCAGTTAGCTGAATGGAGGTTGAAGGTTGAAGGAAGCTTCCCCACTTTAGTCTTTGAAGCTCGGGGCAGTCTGGACTCTGGCAGCTCCCGCAACAACACTGACGTTGACCTACCACGTTCCCATTCTGCGACTAGGAAGCGCCCTGCCTATTCGCCCACCTCACTCACTCCTCCAACGACCACCGTCGCCGCCGCCCCCCCCGTCCTCCCCTCGGATGATAGAGCATCGAATATCCCTCCTCTAGCAACTACGTCACCATGGCCCCGGCTGCGGCGAAGTACGCCCTCGTGTCGCTCCCTCTGAGCACCTTCGACACGGGCGACAAGGAGGAGGCACTAGACGCCGTCAAGTCGACCATAACCTCCGAGAATGGCACCGTCCTGCCCTTCCCCGTCCCGAACTTCAAGATCGGGACTCTGGATGCGCTAGTCCAGCAGGCGGACGACCTGGCAAAGCTGGACGCGGCTTGCGAGGGGCTGGTTGGCAAGATTGGCGACTCCTTGCGCACGTTATACGATGGCGACGAGGAGAAGACGGCTCAGCAGCAGACGGTTAATGACAGTACGCTCCCACCCATTCGCCGCAGTACTGGCGCGCAGCAGCTGTTGACCACAATATGCAGAGCCGACCGACCAGTACCTCCGCTCCTTCGCCTGGAACAAGGTCCGCTACAGAGCCGACAAGCCCGTCGGTGAGCTCGTCGATAACCTGCAAAAGGAGCTGGCCACGATCGACAACGACGTCAAGGGCAAGCTGAACCAGTACAACCAAGTGAAGACGAACCTCGCTACCCTGCAAAGAAAACAAACGTACGGACCCCAGCAGACCACCTGCCCTTTCAGTTGACAGTACCAGAGAGCTGACTGCTGCTTGCTCGGTATTCTAGCGGAAACCTCGCGACCAAGTCGCTCACGCCGATCGTCGACCCCAAACTCCTAGTAAACGACTCGGAATACCTCGACACGCACCTGATCGCCGTCCCCTCGAACCTCAAGAAGGACTTCCTCAAGAGCTACGAGACGCTGGCGCCCATGGTGGTGCCGCGGTCATCAACACAAGTAGCACAGGACGACGAGTTCATCCTCTTCGCCGTGACCACGTTCAAGAAGCACGCCGCCGAGTTCCAGCAGAAGTGCCGCGAGCAGAAGTGGACGCCCCGGCAGTATAAGTACGTCGAGGGCGGCAGGGAGGAGGAACAAAAAGAACTCGACCGTGTTCAGCGCGAGGAGAAGAAGGTCTGGGGCGAGGCGCTGCGCCTGAGCCGCACCGGCTGGAGCGAGAGCGTCATGATATGGGCCCATGTCATGGCCCTCCGCGTGTTTGTGGAATCCGTGCTGCGCTACGGCCTGCCCCTCGAGTTTGTGTCTGCGCTTGTAATGGTAAGAAGACCTACACCCTCTGGCCTTTATAAACTCCGAGTTGTCTCGTCTATTATTAATACTGACTATCACTGCAACAGACAAATCCTAAGTTGGTTAAGAAGGTCAAGTCAGCACTGGACTCGGCCTACTCATACCTGGGCGGCAACGCATTCGGGAGGGACAAGCGCGGTAAGATCACCAAGGACGACGCGTCATTAACGTCTGAGATGCAGGCCGCCGGCCTAGGCGGGCACGGCGGCGAGGGGAACGAGTACACGGCTTACGTGTACTACGAGTTTGAATTGTAGAAGCATGCTGCTAAAATTCATCAGGGTGGCCGGCGTTATGTGTGGACGGACTCTTCATCAGTTCAATGGCTAGCATCACCGAAGAGGCTTCTTCTCTTGTTATAGCATAGATCAATGGACTGTACCCTGTGTACAGAATCAATGGAAAGAAAGTCTATATTGCGGAGGGAGGCTCTATGCTACGCCTCTATGCACACACACAAGCCGCTCTAGGTCGCTGTCAGATCTGATTGCGTTTTATTCACCCCTTCCGTGCTTTCACTCCCTTCCCTATCTCACTCTCACTCCTTTACCTCTTTCTTCTCCACGATAAGGCAGGAAGAAGGCCTAGGTAGTCTTGGTAGGAATGAGGTCCTTGGCCTCGAGCCAAGCAACAATATCAGCAACGCACTCCTCGACGCTGCGCTCGTGGGTCCTGATGACGATTTCAGGGGAATCGGGGGCCTCGTACGGCGAGCTGATGCCGGTGAACTCCTTGATCTCGCCCGCGCGCGCCTTCTTGTACAGGCCCTTGGGGTCGCGTTGCTCGGCCACGGCCACGGGCACGTCGACGTAGACCTCGACGAACGGGATCGGGTCCTTGTCGGTGGCCGTGGTGGCGTTGTGCAGGTCGCGCGCCAGCTGTCGGTCCGCCTTGAAGGGCGAGATGAAGGAGGTCAGGGCGATAGTGGAGGAGTCGGCGAAGAGCTTGGCGACCTGTTGTTTTGCGGAAAGGGGGTGGGTTAGTTTGGTTGGTTTGGGGGTAAGCTTGGGGGGGGGGGGGGGGGGGGGGGGGGGGGGGGGGGGGTAGGCAGGATAGGGAAGGTGTGCTGTGGTGTATGCCCTTTTCTCAGCCTCTCCATCTTCATCTCGCGTCCCTAGCTCTCCCATCCCCCGTCCCCGCCTCCAAAACAACGAAAGGATTCTCAGGAGAGCCGATCACGCATAACTTACCTCGCCGATCCTCCGTATGTTCTCAGTGCGGTCCTTGTCGGAGAAGCCCAGGTCCTTGTTGAGCCCGAAGCGGACGTTGTCGCCGTCGAGGCGGTAGGCGGCCAGCCCCAGGTGCAGCAGGTGCTGCTCGAGCGCCGTGGCCACCGTCGACTTGCCCGATGCCGACAGGCCCGTGAACCACAGCGTGAAGCCCTTCTGCTTGCGGAACCCCTCGCGCTCGGCGCGCGACAGCGACGGGTGCCAGGTGATGTTGCTGTTTTCCCTCCCCCGCGCGGGGGGTTTGTGTTAGCTTTCTGTGCTTCGGGAGGCTATTCCAGTCTTATCGTCTTCAATGGGGGTTTTGTTAGGGCCCGCCCATTGGTTTCTGAGGGCGCAATGGCTCGCCCCCGTGAAGCCATCGTTGTCTTCGCCGGGAGCTGGCCGCAAAAGGAGAGACATCGCGGCCGGCAGCCGCAGCCATGGCGGGGGAGGGGTAAAATTGGAAGACCACCACCATGGGGGAAAAGCAATTGAAGACAATCAAGGGTCCAGTGACGACAGGATGTTACTCACGTTGCCATATTTACTTTGGTATAATTCAAACGAACCCCCGGATTTACCTGTCAAAACAGTTACAACAGCGAAAAGTAATAAGAAGATGAAGAGGGCTTGCGACTATTTTAATTGTCTTTACGCGCGGTCTCGCTGGGTCTTGAAGTGTTCGAGGTAAGGCGAAACGCGCGGAGCACCGGCAGTTCATAGTTACCGCTTAAGCGGTTCGAGGCCCGCATCGGATGGCGTGCTCTGGTAAAACTCCGATTCGCGGGCCGCTCCCATATTCATCGACCTCTTTTATGTGCATGTTATCATCCTGTGCAGGAGCTCAGCACCGGAGCTGAATGTTCAGCTGAGCCGTGCCTCCGTGTGTGAGCTGTAACCTCGCCTTACTGTCCCGGACTTTTCAACGTTTAGTTGTTGTCCGTTCCTGAGGTCAACAAAGCCTTCAAGATATGGACAGGCAGCCTTGGTACTTGGTCAAGCGGTTGAACAGTTAATCTGCATAGAATAAGCAGCGGTTTGGTGTCTACATGTAACTCCAGCCAATTGCCCCTGAAATAACTGCTTATGCAATGTTTTATTTCAACCACTTGGTAGTCATTGTTTTCTCGATTGATTTTACTGATGTCTTCAATGTTGAATTTCCGTGTTGGATCCCATTTCGTGACCAAAATCAGGTTGCACATCTCCGGTATATATCGCGAGGTGAAACCCTTCCAATCCACTTCCGTCTATACCGATGTTTATAGCGTTCAACAAATCTATCGTCTATCTCTATTCCGCTCCGGGTCTAGCTCCCATTGTAGATGGATCTTGTGTCGTCTCATGTCGTAGGAAATATGTTTGTCATCACCTAGAGGAAGTCAGCAAATATGTGACGGACTCATCTGGAGTTGGAAATGTAGCAATACTTACGGCAGCATGTTTCGGCGAGACGAACAACGCCGTCGCCTCAGCCAACACCACAGGGGTCTCGCCCTCGCCAACCAAAGTCTCAATGCGACCCTCAACCCACGCCTTGCGCCCTTCCACCTTGGTGGTCGTCGCCCGAAGAACCACATACGTATTCGCCTTGGCCGGGGCGCGGTAGTTGATGTTGAGATTGGCCGTCATGCCCATCTTATGCGGCAACGCGGCAAAACAGCACCGTGCCAGGCCCTCGTCAAGCATAGTGGCCAGCAGCCCGCCATGGACAATGCCGGGGTGACCACACAGCTCGCCGCCCAGGTACGATATCGCGACCATAGACTTCCCCCCCTCCTCCGCGAACGAGACCGGCGGCACCACGATCCGACCCGGACCCAGCAACGTCCCGCCCGTGAGGTTGTGGGCGCGGTATGCCTCCGGGATCTTCAGGTGCGGTCTCGCTTCCGAGAACCCCGCTTTGCTGCGCATCTCTTTCGTCAGGGGGTGGTTGTTGATGAAGTCCTCGACGGCGCGTTCTTCGTCGTGCTCCGGCTGGAACATGGCGAGCGTCTGCTCGTCGGATGGCGGGTTCATGATCGCGTTGATCGTCGGCATTGCGGGGGAAGCCGCCATTGTGAAGCCGAGGGAGGTGAACACGAAGCCGAGAGCTAGGACGGAGACGGAGCGGCGGAATAGAGAGGGCTTGCGCGGTTGCAGATCTAGTAATTCACACAAAAGTAGGAGTCAGTAACTTGGGTCAGGGGTCGGGTTGCTAAAGCCGGCACAACATACCTGTGGCGGTGAATGAGCTGGCGAAACGCTGCAGTCGAAGTCGAGACGTCTCCGGGCCAAGGGCATGATATGTAGCCCTCGCAGCGAGGGTGCTGCCTCGGATGCGCAAGGCGGCGGCGGGCATGGCGTGCCGGAGATTCGAGGCCGAGTGGGCCCTCGTGACGATTCGCTAATCAACTAGACCCAGGGATCAGGAGTATCTCTAGCCGCATTGTCACGATGCCTCGGACGCGTGGAGTTCCTGTTGAGACGCATAAGACTCGGCGCTGCGGCGCAGATCCTGCGTCTTCTCAACGCTTTTTCCCGATGTGGCTGCCATGAAGGATTCAAGACGCTGGTTTCCGGCGGGCTCTAACCGCAATAGGAAAATACCTCGGTTGCTGACTGATCCTTCCGGCCGCTCAGGGGCTACATAGGGGTAAATACCATTTGATGGCCTGGGCCTGACTCGTCAGTGCAAGATAGGGTACTACCAGGGGACTAGTTCGAAGCGAGCAGCTTAGCAAGTGGATTTGATCTTGTCTTTGCAATAGTCACGACGTCTCGTAGAATACGGCTGTACTCTGCTGCAGATAACCCGGGACGAGGATTGGGCGCGCTTCGCTAGTCTCAATAGGCACAAACCCCTGAGTGTGTCACTCTTCATCAACACTCCTGCAACACTGTTGTCATGAACCGCACTAACGCTGTCCGAAACATGCTGTAATACCATGTTAGTAAGTTCGCAGCTGACATATCACTCCACGGCAGAATCTCCAAAATTTATAGCACTGAATTAGTTTAGAAGTGGAAGGACAGTCCAAAGATCTCACGTGTACGAAGCTGTAGAACTATATCGTGGAATTTGACATGCCGGAGCATCTTTTTAGTATATGGTTACGATCCAATATCTATCCAATTAGTACGTTGAAGTCCATTCACAACATATCTCTCCTAACCGTCTGGCATGTGGTAACGTCTTTCGTAATTGACTGAAATAGACCACTGAGTTGCAGCTTGTTCCAGCTCAGACCAAGTCTCGCACTTCTGTTTCGTCTGCGCTGTATCGGCCCGCCGGAGATGGCGTCCGAGCGTATCTCTGCCCGTTCCACTGGCTCTGTGACGTCGATCGAGACCTGCCTTGGTAGGGCTTAGCCATGAGGTGGTCCCTCGCTTCATCTGAAGGAGGGCCAGCGGGCGGCTGATACATCTGCTGGGCATTCATAGAAGTCGTGGTATATTGCCCAGTGGGATATTGCCCAGAATCAGACGTTCCAGACGCCGTCCGTGAGTGAGACTCCCACGGCTGCTGCAGATGCTCCAGCCCTTCATCAAGCTGCTGGTATCGGCTGTTCTTCCCAGCCTTCCTGTTCGTGTACTTCTTGGCACCCTTTCGAACAGCACCGGTAATGCCTCGGTTTTTCGCTTCGGCGCGCCAAAGCTTCCAGTCTCCGCTACGGTGCACCTCGCCAAACAGTGGGAAAATGCGCCAAATTCCAAGTATGAAATCAGTCGGGTTCATCGCGTCCAGTACTGCTCGCCACAGCGGTAGTGGTCGATCTTGCGGCTTCGCAGATGAGCCGTACTCAGTTGAGCTGAGTGCGTACCAGAAGCCAAGAGAGAAGAGCGCCATCTCTGCGCAGGTCGCAACACCCGGAATACCCCAGAGGATGTCGTTGTACGAGAATGCCGGGCTGGTCTTGACCACGTTGCGCTCCAAAAGGATGCTGAATACCCAGGCCTGAGCAAAGCGGATGAAAACGATGATCTTGAAGCAAACAATCTTGGCGAGGCCGCGCCGGACCTTCATCAGCTTCTTCATCCGGTTGCGGAAGCTGATGATGGCGATGACGCAAGCACCGATGCTGATTGACTGCAAGATTTCGACCCAGAAATGGCCGAATTGGGGCCGAAGACTGTTGACGCAGTAGCGGCCTGCTGCTTCAGTGACTTCGATAATGAAGACGCACAACACCTCGACGGTTGGGAACTGGAAGACGAATATCCATCCGATTCGAGGCCAATCGAACGTGCTCTGTTCCTCCTCCGCTGACTTGACTGCTGCGAAGAGCTCATCGCCGAATGACCGTGACGGAGCAGCATACTCGACAAAGAGCAGGTAGAGGGCACTGAAAGCTGTCAACGATGCGCAAAGCGGGCAAGCCCTTCTCGAGTGACATACCATAGTCCAAAAGCTTCATACAGATCGCCGAGAGGATTGATGTATTGCGCCACCTCGTAGCTGTAGACCTCGAAGAATGCCAGAACTGCGTAGATGTTGACGCTGAAGATGATCCTTATGATCTGACGCTGTTCCTTCGGAGCTCTGTATCGACGCAGGTGCAAGGTGATAAGTGAGAGGGAGATGGCAAGGGTTACGCAAGTGCAGGCCGCTGCAGTCCATACAATGCGTGGACAAAAGTCTCCGCCCGATCCCCAATTTTACCCCTTCCATCTACTATACCCTCCAATTCAATTGAACCATAACGCATCCAATTCTGGTGATAGAATTCTCAAATAAATTGTATTTAATAACTAAGTCAATAGTGTGTATACCAACCACCGGCGCGCCTCACTACAGCTATTCGGTCCTCCAGTGACTCCATCAAGGCCCGAACCTGCTCCGGATCGATCTCTGACCACGCCTGCTCAATTAACTCGTGTGCGTAGCAATAATGGGGGATATTATCCTTTAATTCAGAAAATTCAGGCTCAATTTTATGTATGTTCTTCTTCAGAAGTCGCCAAATGTGCTCGATTGGGTTCATATCGGGGCTGTGAGGAGGCCAGTCGATACAGTGGATGCCGTGCTCCTCCATCCACTCCAGAACACCGCCAGTGAGGTGAATTTTCGCATTATCTTGAACAAAAGGATCTCCAGTTTCGTAGAACGGAAGCAGGCCTTCCTCAAGAACCCATTTGTATGACTCTGTGGATACTCCTCCGCGCGGAGCATCCGGATCGAGTGGGCAGAAGACCAACTTGTCTAGTCCTCCTTCTCCGCCGCGTAGCCAGATCATAGACCACACCATTATCGAAATATGAGATTTGCCGTGATCTGTCTCGTTCACGAGATCATAACGGTACCGCTCTGAAGAGAATTGGATGGCCTAATCGCCTGGATTATCGGATGAGTTTTGGACCGTACATTCGTCTGAGAACATAGCTCGCAACAACTCCTCCAGGCGCTCTGGTGTGCTATAATAATTGGCAAAAGCGAGCCTCTTCTGAGCGTCCTCATCTGTGAGCTTGATTCGCTTCGCTGCGCGCCACTTCTGGAGGCCGTGTGCGTGACATATCCTCTTGATAGTCTTAGGAGAGCACAAAACGCAGGCTTCGTTTCGAATCTTCTGCCACGTCGCCCTGGGGAGCTCTTTCGCCTTTTTGATCACATGAGTGCGTTCGCGAGTATTCAAAACAGGTAGGCGACCGCTCCTTGGGGCAGATTTTGGTGTAGAAGTGGCCTCAAAGTTGGTGGTAATATCGGAGATGGTTTTTAGGCGCTTCGTTTTAAACGCGGTTGCAACATCCCTACGCGTTCTGCTGTTGATTCGCGCCGCCACGATTGCCAAGCGAGCTTCTGAAGTGAATTCGTTATTAGCGACACAATTACCGCTTAATTCGTCCCCAAAAGATCGTAAATCCATTATCAATTGCGGTGTTGAGAGAGTGGTGAAGTCGAAGGGTGATTGACGCGTTGTTTTGATCTGAAGGAGATTGTGGTGGGTTGGGCGGAGACTTTTGTCCACCCAGTTTACCATTGGATGCCACGAGGAACCTCGAACATCGTACCCGTGCCCCGCACCACTTTCCACCTCGCTAGGGCTCACCACGTAAAGTGGTGCTCACCACAGTAGCACACCAACCACAATAATACACCAGTCTTCCAAAATAACCACCCTCCAGCCAAAACCACACCAAAGTCATTATCTCTTTGGACAGACGACTTTTTTGCGATGGAATCCTGTATTTACGAAGCCGTAGAATATGCCGACAAGTATCCGGATGCCTCCAAACGCGGTATCTGCCGCCAATTTAGGGTTCCAAGAGAGCGCTTCCGCAACCGCCTGCAAGGCATCCCTTCCAAAAAAGGACCACGAGAACCACACACCAAGCTGAATGTGATACAAGAAAAAGCCGTCTGTGCTTATATCGACCGCCTAGATGCCATTAATCTCTCCGTAAGGCCAGAATTCATCACAGAGGCTGCCAACTTACTGCTCCAGGAGTCAGCGAGTACCGCGGTCACGGAACTACCTACAGTTGGCAAGAATTGGGCCTCCCGCTTCATCAAGCGCCACGGATACTTCAAGCAGCCTCAGAAGGTCCTTTCACAAGATCGGCAAGCTGCTGAAGACTCGAAACGCACTGAAGAGTACTTCCAGAAGCTGGGGAGGGTCATCAGGGAAGAGGGCATCCTCCCTGACGACCTGTGGAACATAGACGAGACTGGCTTTCGATTAGGGGTTGAAAAGGACCAGATGGTCGTTACCAAGCGAAAAAGAGCCCATTATTTCGGAATACCAGAAAATAGGGAGTCTGCTACTGGCATAGAAGCTATCTCTGCCGCCGGCGAGGTTATCCCAGGCTTCCTTATCCTCTCTGGCACCCTCCACATGTCTCCATGATACAAGGTACCCGAATTAGACCCCAGGATGGCGATTGCAACCGCGGAGAGTGGTTATTCAAACGACGAGATCAGCTTAGAGTGGATTAAGCACTTCAATAAGCACTCTAAGACCTCTCAAGTTGGTATAAAGAGGCTCCTAATCATCGACGGTCACGGTAGCCACCACACGATACAATTCATTAGATATTGTGATGACAACGGCATTATCCCTTTTGGTCTTCCTCCAAAGATGACGCATTTACTGCAGCCGCTCGATGTGGTAGTTTTCCAGCCCTTTAAGTACTACCATGTTAAAGCCCTGGATATTATGGTGCGTGATGGTCTCACACACATCGGGAAGATCGAGTTCCTATCGTGTATTAAAGGGGTTCGCCAGCAAGCTTTTAAGAAGACCACTATCCTCTCTGCCTTCAAGAAAACGGGCATCCATCCTTTTAAACCGTCCGTTGTGATTAATCAGTTGAAGGAACGCGAAGCTCGCGCGAGGACCCCGTCACCCCCCCTAACCAGCCTGGTTCCTCTCCAGTTACCACCCCAGTTACAATGCGGCAGATTCACAAGGTCGCATATCAAATAGACGAGGCCTTGAACAACCTGGACGATGGCGAGGATCTTACTCCTGAAGATATTGAGAGGATCAGGCTCCTATCCAAGGGGGCGCGCTTCCACGCCTCCCAGCTAGTCCAGACCAAAAGGGACCTTGGAAGGACCGAATTAGCCTCTCGAGTTAACAAACAGCGCAAGTCTGCAAAGAACACTCCTCTCCAATCAGGAGGAGTCCTCATAGTTGAAATCGGGCGTCAGATGGCGAGGAAAAAGGAGCAGGAGACCGCGGCAGGCCTCCAGAAGAAGGCGGATGCCCTGGCGAAGAAGGAGCTCCAACCACAAAAAACCCTCACTAAGGAGGCAGCAAAGTTGGCCAGGCATTGGAGGATTACTAAGAGACTACCTGCTGCTGATATCTACGAATCTGGCAAGAAGATGCGGTCGCTACGTAAATTTTAATGCTAAATAACCTCATATTGGTGTGTTATTGTGGTTGGTGTGCTACTGTGGTGAGCACCACTTTACGTGGTGAGCCCTAGCGAGGTGGAAAGTGGTGCGGGGCACGAGTAGTCCTTCGAGTGCAGAAGCTTCCATTGGCTGCCTTGGCGCGATACCGGTACCGCGCTGCCTTCCGAAATAACGTTATGACGTGTGCGGCATGCCGGGGTGCCGGGGTGCCGGGGTGCACTGTCGAGGTGTCGGCGCGATAGGTCCCTGTTCAGAGTTGGGTGAAAGATGCGAACATCCGAAGAGCGCAGCCACCATAGCCCTTTGCAACCAACATTTACACATAACACTCAATAGCAACACTGGGGTTTGAAGTTGGGAAGTCTGCGGGGCCATGGTCATTTTGGATTACAGCGCCTGCCAAGGACGCAGTCTGCTTCGGCCGATACCGTACTGCCCTAAAGATAGGTACCTTAGCGTGTATGAGGAATCCGCCCAGCCGCCAAACACAGCTTCATCACCCTTTTCAACTACAGCCCACGGGCTGGTGAGTCCTGGACTCCTGTTATCTCAGGCCTGCGATGTTCTCGCAGGTGCTGTAGACTCGTTCGGCCGTGGCTCAGACGCTCTGCAGAAGACCAGCAAGTGCTCACACCCAAATCTTACGAGATCGCACGCCGCTCAGTCACCCCTCGTCCACTGCGAAGTAAATAATGATTCCAGTGCTGCATGCGAGGTACGGGCGTTGCGAAGTCCGGCAGCATCAATCTGTTGGAGACACAGTCGGGACCCTCATGCTCGCATCGACAACACCCCGAGACTTGTGCCCAGGAACTCGCCCGAGGACGCGAGCGCCCAACGCCAGCTGCCCGACCCTGCTGTCATCACTCCTTGAGTCCTTGTTTGCGGCACATGGTTATCGCTTCAGGTGCATCTTTCGCTTACAGCGACGTTCAGAGGAAGTGGAAGAGGCAGTCTTCTCCCGTAGCATGTCAGCGTCCTCGCCGTCTCCCCTTCTTCCGACACGCTTTCTCCGTTGTAACAAAGCTACACTTGGCCCAGTGGCCAAGACATCAAGGGACCTCAAATACTGGATGTCAAGTCTTCTCAGTTGCGAGTGACTTGCTGAAAGCTCGGATGCTCTTAAATTCCCACTTGGCGTTGCAGTTATTTCTGAGGCCAGCCCATTGGATGACAGGAAATTCCGGCCTCAAAGCATATTTCCGACGTACTGTTGAGCTTACGGCTATGTTGCAGCTTGCTCACGGTACACTGGACAGCGTTCCACACGACTGGGAACTCTTGCCTCAGTCCAAACACTGAGGATGTGTTCGCCAACTTACCCTCTGAGTGAGATTTTCAATATTACTTGGCCATATTTCTAACAGTCCGCTGCCTGCTTCTCGAGTCTAATGACCTGAACCCCCTCGTCAGTGAAGTCGCATGGAGTCACGATAATGCAAGCCAAGCGGCTGGAATAGTACCCTGCATAACAACCTGAGGTGAGCGTTGATTCCACGTGCAACTAGTTGTCTCGTACTACCACCAAAAACCTGCTCGTTCCGCCTGTTTCTTCTTCTGTTCCAACCAACTAAGGTCATAGATCGGCCTTGTCTATGCCGTGAGGTTGGTGAGGCTTTGGCATAGATACCTTCTAAAGCTCGCGAGCTTATTAACTCGAATGGCTAACATTGCCACTGCGGGAAGGGATATTGAGGCTATCCATATATACCAAGAGAACATTAAAATACGCTGATAGGTTCGCTAGGTTCTCTAGACGCTTTTCGCAAGAAGAATTGATTTACAGTCCTATGGAAACCTAAATATCATAGCCAATAAAGTCGCTACGGCAAGAGAGGACGGTGGTCGGCAACAGTGTTCGTTACTATCAATAATGATGAAGAGGAGATAAACAATATCTTGCTCAACTTGCCACGAGCCACTCCTAATGCAAACCTTGTCTTGTGGCCGCCAGACTTCGAAGTCTATTTGACCGAAAAGGGGGTTTTAAGTTGCAAGCAAGACTCACACCAATGTATCGGAGATAGTCGCACCTCGCAAATAAAAGACTCGTCAACTGCAGATTTCCAACTCATAAGGGTATACTCTTTCAATATCCTGCAGTTATCTTACCTCTAACCACGACATCGGAACCGCTCAACTCGACCGCCAGACCACATTATTCACGCCTCGACTGTGTCTCGACCAACCTTTTCCACTCAAGACCAGACACTCGTCAAGATGGCAGACAATCCCAGGGAGGTTACCATGCTTGGCAACATGGACTACGACGTCGAATCCCTCTACGACGACGAGTACCGCACATTTGCAGTTCATTCAGTCCGCCCACCGCCGCGCCGGAGATGTGACGATTCGTTGCCCTCCCTGTGCTTCCGAGGCGGCATCTTCCTCATCGTTGTCGGCATCTTTCTCGTCGTTGTCGGCATCTGTGGTTTGACCGGAGCGTTCGACGGAGGCGCGACCACCCCAACGACCGCATGACATACCGACCACGAAGCCATCACCGGCACGATCAGCGACCTCAATCTGTCCAGGGCCAATTCGATCTACGGCACCAGTACCAGCGCCGGTCTGACCAACATCACAATGCCGCTCAACTCCACATCACCTCTGGTCTCGAATATGGCATGGGAATTGGCCTACGGTGCCGCGACGAGAATGCAGCCGGCGACGTCTTTGTTGGTGGGGATGGTACTCAGGTGTTTCTGTTCGTATTTTCCGACTCTGGCTTTGGCTTGGTGGTAGAGCTTGATGGGCCGAATTGACACTCATCAGTGTCGACTTGCATCACCAGCAACCGGCGACTGTCTAGATAGGGGCTCGGACTTTTGTGCATCGCATTATCGTTACACCGATCTCCGCATTCCATCCATATAGATAAATATCCACTCAGTACCAAACGAACGTTGCGTCATGGGTCAAGATGGGGTTGCATTGATCTGCAAGGAACACGAACCTAAAACTCACCAACGAGAAGGCATCTTCTCACGATCTGCCGTTGTTCTCGTGTGCCAACCTGTGACCTGTGCCGAATCCCGTAGATATCCTGTACACGGCAGCTTCAGGTTTGCTGTCCACTGATCCCATCCGTCCCACGAACCATACCGAGCAAACAACCTCGAAAGTGCAACCCGAGCTACGTAAGCAACCTGTGACCGGCTGACACACGCCAACTCGGGGCGATCCGCAAACCATGATTTGACAGCGGCTCCTGAAGCGCGACCCCTCACCGTCAAACCTGCTTCTGTCAGGCGGCTTCATGCAGATTCCCTGGTCGGGAGCTAGATGACACAGCGGCCGCTATGCATCGCACAGCACAGACAGACAGCCTTGGCGAGCTTGTCACGACTACAAAACCAAGCTCAGCTGTCGCGTGAGAACATGTTCGTATCGTAGTTATTGCTTGAAGCTATACCGAGGTAATACATCCATAGCTATCTACTTGAATCCCTTAGTATACCACCCAACAACCAAACAATCAGACACAATACCGTCATCATGGTCAGTCTAGTATACCCAACATGCCAACCTCACGATGTCTAACAAACCCCGCCACAGGCCACCGCCGAGACCGTCGACCTAGGCCCACCCCACGCGCCCAAGGACGAATCCCTCAAAGCCTTCGGCGAGTTCGAGTCGGAACTCAAGCACAAGGTGCTGCATCTAAAGCACACATACCTAAGTATATCCCCCCTTTCTCCTCATTTCCGTTCCCCACCCCTATCAAGCACATAACTGACCGCCCGCCCCAACAGAGCACGAGCCCGAGTACTTCGCCGCCGTGCAGCACCTCTCCGACGCGGACCTGACGTCCTTCACATCGTCCGACTTCGAGAGCGTGCGCGTCGCCGTGAGCGCCTACGGCATCATAATGTTCGGCAAGCTGAGAATCCCCGCCATGCCCGACTCGGGCCCGGCCTACATCCACTTCCGCGCCTTCACGGCGGGGCCCGACGAGACCGCCAGTCTGCACAGCATCCACACCGAGGAGAGGGAGGAGCCCAATGGCGGGAAGAAGTACCGCGCCATCTTCACGAAAGATGACGCGCTCGAGTGGTTTGACACCTAGGGGTAGGTGTTGTTGGTTTTTAGTTGCATATGAGGTGTCAGAGCCTGGTATTTAGCTGTATGAATCAAAAGCGGTACCGGGTCGGGTATCTTTCAATTCATGTCTACTTTTATGCTCCTAGTTCACCGCTGAGAGTTGATCTGTGGACACAACACTGTGCGCCATTACATGCCATCCTCGTCCTGGGCTAGCATCTCCGCATAATCCTCGGCAGAGGCAAAGGTAGGGAGATTCTTCATCGCCTTCTTTCTCGCTCTGCGTTCGGCATTTGTCTTCTTATCCTCAGCCTTGCCCGCAGCCGGCTGCAGTTCCTCATCCTCATCCTCCTCATCTTCGCCTGAATCAAGATCAGACTCGTCCAAGAAGTCCAGTTCGTCGTCTTCAGACACCTCCTCGCCATCCTCTTGGGCGACATCGTCGTCGAGGTCATCGTCAGAGCCGTCGAGGTCCATAAGGTCTTCGAAGCCAGAGTCGCTATCCGATTCTTCCTGTATCTCAGGGTGTGAGTTCACCAACGCATCCCAGATCTCTTCCTCGTCCGCCTCCTCTGCTTCAGCCTCCTCGCCTGTCTCCTTCTTGGCCTTCATCTTCTTTTCACGCTCAACCTGTTCTTGCTTTCCTATCCGACTGAAGTACTCATGGAAGAAGACATCGTCCACCGCCACATCCTCGCTCTTCTTGTTCCAGAAAGACGCCGAGTTCAGGGAGCTTCCAGCTTCCTTCGCCGACGGCTTGCTGGATAGTAGTATGTGGCTCTGGCCGCTCGCAACTACAGGTTGCATGATGGACACACCCTTTGTTGTGTCTGTTGCCTTCGCGTTCTTGTACACAAACTTATCCAGGAAAGCTATTAGTGTGTGGCTAGCCAACTCGGGCTTTTGAGCTGCCTTCTGTCCACTCAGCAGAGTTGATGCGAAGACATCGACTGACGGGTGGAAGTGCCTCAAGAATGGGACCAGCTCCCAGAGACAGCTGAGATGTGCGTTGCTGTATTCTGGCGCTCGCTTTCGACCATCGTATGTTTTGTCATTCCTGAATATTTGTGTATCTGGACCATCCACAGCGGTGGTGACAGGTGCGTCTGAAGCGGTTGGCATGCCTGTCTCTTCGGCGTCGTGCTCCTCAGGCTCACTGAGCAGTGTCTTGATATCGGGAAAGGCGCCGCACAGCTCTGTGGCGAGGTAGAGTATGCCACACACGAAGGAGGGTTGATGCAGGTTCAGCACCTGCAGCATTCGCTTGACAAAAGCCTTCACGCGGCGAACATCAATATCCGCCTTCAGACTTCGGTACAAGAGATTGAGGTACAGATACTGTTTCGAAGAAGTTACGAGTCGTGGATCTAGCAAAGACTCATACAACGTCCGGTAGAATCTTTCTGTAGCAAGATGTCGGTTCGCTGAGAGCTGTTGTATCAACATGAGAGCTTGGATGCTCGTGTTAAAATTGGAAGAATGTGTGATGCGGAATAGTGTGTCCAAGTGTGACTCGAGTCTGTTGTGAATTAGTATTGATAGGAAAGATATTGATCATAGGAATGAGTGATGGGTTGTCACTTACGTGGACTGGTCTGCCTGAGAGAAGGGTACTGCTCGGTTGACACCAGTGAGAACTGCTGACACGAGTTTTTCCGCAGCGTCTCCATCGCCGGGGGCGGTTTGGCTCTTGTCGTCACCCCCCTTGGGTTGATCAGGCTTCCTCCGATCATGCTTCCGTTTGCTCGGCTTGGAGACTTCAGGATCAGCATTGAATTGACTGAGTTCTCCACTTTTGAGCAGAGAGACAAACATGCCAAAGTAGATACGCAGCAGAGAATCAGCAATCTCAGGCTCCTTCGTGCTGAGGATGGTCTGGTTCAAAGTATTGACGGCATAGTACTTGGCACGGATGTTCTGTCCTGGTCGAAAAATAACATCCTGCTCGACGGAACGCACAACGACTGGTTTCATTGCGGGATGTGTATTCAGCAGCTGAAGAAGAAGGTAGGAAGCTCTTGAGGCGATCTTGCGGTCGCGATCGCCGAGCTTGTTGACTAGGAGACGCAGGAGGTTGGACTCCTGCTCAGGCTTGTCTCGTAGCAAGGCAAACACCAAGTCGACAGCTTTTGTTCGAGCATACTCGACTTCGTCATCGCACCAGGTTTCAAGACTTTGAATCATTTTGAAGTAGGCGTCTTTCAGCCAGTCCTCGAACACCCAAGCTATCAGCTGTTCTTTGGTGATCTTACCGGGCAGTCCTTTCCCAGCGGTCCAGGACTTGACGGAAAACTTCTGCAAGGTTCCAATAAGTCCAGGCTGCGTAGCGAAGATGCGCAGTCGTCTGTCAGAAGGTAGGATCATTCCTGGTCCGAGAAGATCTACCAGGGCAGCCAGAGCGGACAGAGCGGGACCACGACTTCTTTTCGCACCAAGGCTCAAAAGATTCTCAAAAGCTTTGGTACTATGTACCGGGGACTCCTGGATGGCAAGCGTCAAAGCCGACACTTTGTCTGACATTGTACCAGAAGACATGATAGTAGACATGAATTTGCGAGAAGACGAGGCAGCAAAGGTTGTGCCATATGCGTCGGTGTCCTCATTGAGGATCGTCGTCGCATAATCTTTCAAGCTAGCAATTGCTGCGGTGTAGGGTGCTACTTGGTCGGATGTTGGCTCAGGTAGTGGTCTTAAGCTGACGGCATGCCAGTCAGGACGAGGCTCGAAGATCTTCAGGGTTCTGATTTAGCTATCTATGCTCAGTGGTTTTGTGAATGGCAAGGCTTACTGACCGTTTTCCGTTTCGGGTCTGGAATAGGCTTCTCGTCTACTTCCTGACCCGACTCGGCACCGTCGGATACAACCTCGTCCATGTTGGCATCAGACTCTTCATCGGCGGATGCTGGGGTCACATCATCGAACCCAAGCCCTGACGCAAACTTGGCGAGCTCGGCACGGAGGTCCTTGTCTGTACTCTTCTTTCCGTCTTGGTCGTTGGGTACTTCATCATCAGAGTCAACATCCTCCAACAGCTTGTAGTCCTCCTCGTCCCCACCAAGCGCTCTGATTTCGTCGAGAAGTGTGTTGGAGTCACTTGGCTGTAAGTCGGGTTGTTCCTTGGCAGCTGGTTTGGGACGATGATCGCTTGGCTTCCCGGGCTGTTTTTCATGGCGCTTTCCATTCGGCTTCTCACTGTATTTTCCATGCGGCTTCTCGTTGTACTTCTCCTTTCGCTTGTCGTTGTACTTGTCCTTCGGCTTGTCGTTGAATTTCCCCTTCGACTCGTCGTTGTACTTCCCATTCGGCTTGTCAGTTTGTTTCCCCGGCGACTTCGCAGTGGGCTTCGCAGTTGGCTTCCCAGTCTGCTTCTCAAAAGGCTTCCCGTCCTCTTTTACTGTTTGACTTCTCTTCTTGGATGGAGGCTGGAAAGCATCCGCGGATTGATCCAGTTTCCTCTTGGGCTTGGCATTGCCATTTTTGTCGTCGGTGGTCTTCTTGGAATTAGCCAGCCCGCTGTCAATCTTAGCTGTCAATTTGGACAGGGCCGCATCGTCGAAGGTCGCCATATCGGATGTATCCTTCTCGAGATCTGAAGCTGTCACAAGACACAATTCGCAAAGGGATTGGCGAGATGCGTGCGGTAGACAGGTGGACGTCTGGGCCCTGCGTGAGGCAAGCTTATCGATCGACTCGAGCGACGAGATTTTAGGACGACTGGGAAAGAAAAAGTTTTGGCGGGGCAAGGCTGCCAAGCCCGGCGGCACATGGCTGGCGCACCAATCAGTGGGAAGCGTGGCGCTTTTAGCGGCCTGTAGCGCTCCACTTAGTATGCAAGGCTGCCGAGCTCCATCTGAACCTCTTGAAGCGTCGCTCAGAACTGCTCACAGCTCATAGGCATCAGTACCCCTGAACTTATAATCGCAACCGACATGGACACAACGCCGTAACACGAAACTTCTTCCTCATCCGCTTGTTCCTCATCTTGGCGCAGGCCCATAGTACCAATGACGAGACGATCCAGGGGGTGGTTGAACAGATATGCAGTGGTCAAGATGTTCTCATTATCCAGATCGCACATAAGGGGTGTACCTATACGCCACTCGCGCACCCAAACAAGCCGATGTCTAAGCAGTTTGGCCTCCTCGAGCGACGCTCTAGTTCGTAGATCGGCCCTCAAGTTTTTTTTCGTTTATTCCTGACAGTTGTCTAGTCGGTACCGCCTCCAGAAAGTCGTTATGCCCGGCTTTCCAGGTTTTGGCTGGCTTCTGGTGGCCTCACCGCGACCGAAGGCGAGGGTATGAATCACGCGTTTCACGTACTACCAGATAGACTACCTTCTTTGATGCTGACAGAAGCTCAGATTCCCATGAGAAGCTGATTCGGGCCGGCTACCTTCGCCAGGTCAGTCGTTATTCGAGAGTCTCCATTGCCAATGAGGCCTCTGACTGAAACGGGACAAAGTCTCAAGCAGGGATATTTCACATGCTTCCACTTGGCCAAAGGGTACAAGAAAAGCTGGAAAATCTGATCGACAAGCACATGCTGCAGCTGGGTATGCTATGCGGGGTTCACTCCATCCTCTTCACTTATACTCGTCCTGTGCTTATTCACCCCAAGGTGCCTCCAAGGTCTCACTTTCAGCCATCTCTTCCCAGGCGCTATGGCAACAGACCAATAGGCTTGAAGGCTACGGCCCAGAGGTGCGAGTCTAGTACTTCAACTACCGGACGATCAAATTGCTCACTAACCATGGATGTAGTTGTTCCGTTTCGTTGACCGAAAGGACGTACCGCACCTATTAGCCCCAACGCACGAAGAGGAGATCACTTCTTTGGTGGCCAAGACAGTCAGGTCTTATAAAGGTCTTCCCCTGCGACTTTACCAGATTGGTGTGTCGTCCTGCGCCACATGTTTGCGGGCTTAACTAATCGTCAGGCCGCAAATATCGGGATGAGATTCGCCCACGCCACGGTGTGCTGCGTTCAAGGGAATTCATCATGAAGGACCTCTACACCTTTGACTATTCGACTCAGACGGCTCTTTCGACCTATAAACAAGTACGCGAGGCTTATTCTCGCCTCTTTGACGAGTTGAAATTGCCGTATGTGGTTGCAGAAGCCAGCTCCGGCGACATTGGGGGCGACTTAAGTCACGAGTACCATCTTCCAACTGCGATTGGAGAGGACAATGTGATCAGCTGCGACAGCTGTGAGTACGTCGCGAACGAGGAAATCGCCGTTGCACGTACCATTTCTTCGGATAGCCACGCTCCCACGGGAAGCGAGACAGTACCTCCTGCCTTTCGCGTATGGCGTGGTATATCCAAAGACAGGACAACACTCGTCAACGTTTGGTATCCAGCTGCCTTCTCCGATGCCGAAATCAATACGTACGCTATCAAATCGATATTGCCAGAGTTGGACTCTAGCTTGGAAGACCCGGCAACATGCTGGGAGTCCGCGCTTGCTTCGGCCAAACCCGCCGAGTCTGGACAACGACTCCAATTGTTGAATGTCATTGACGGCAGGCTTGGTCCTCGTTTCGCAGATACCACGAGGGATGACATGGATCGTCAAATGTTCCCACCACAAATCAATAGCAATCCGGCTGAAGTCACGAGCAAACTCATAACATCGTCGGATGACGGCGGCCTTCTCAACGTGCTCCGTATTCGTGACGGCGACTATTGCCCCCGATGTTCATCTGGCACGCTCAAGGTGCAGAAAGCGATTGAACTTGGGCATACTTTTCACTTGGGTACACGATATTCGGATCCGCTTGACGCACGTGTTCAAGTCCCTTCCAACTTGGTCGACGGGCAACTCACCGCGAGCAACCCCGAATCCATGGTGAATGTGTCCATGCAGATGGGTTGCCATGGCATCGGCGTCTCTCGAATTATAGGCGCCGTCGCGGATCATCTAGCAGACGACAAGGGGCTCAGTTGGCCACGAGCCATCGCGCCTTTCGAGGTTGTCGTCATCCCTGGAAGGAAACTGGAAGAAGAAGCTACAAAGGTGGCTGACTACTTGACGAACTCCATGGGGCCTTTCTCGACGATGGACTTGGCGCTCGATGACCGTTCGGTGTCCTTTCCATGGAAGATGAACGACGCCGACTTGATCGGCTACCCCGTCATCGTCGTTCTGGGGAGGAAATGGAACTCTGATCGGCTTTGCGAGGTCCAGTGCCGGAGACTTGCCACTACTTCGCACGTCGCACTGGAGGACCTGCCAATGCACATCAACAAGCTTCTCTCCCAACTCTAGGATGACCTGTGTATTATAATTGGCTGGATGTATCTGAAACCATTTTAGAGGATGTCGGGATCGTGTACATCAAGCGTTGTTCTTTGGTTGAAGCAATCCACGGCGGCTACACTCATAGCATTGTATCAACAGACCTAAAATGTACACCACTTTGTCCGCCATTCACTATACGATTGCCAAAGCGCCTTGATATCTTAACACATCGGGAGAAGAGGGAGTTCGGCAAGATCAGAAAGCCCTTCTAGATCCATGCAGGTCAAGTAGCTTGGCTAGGAGACTCGCTGAACCGAGTCATACAGTTACACAGACCATAATGCCTTGCCGCCAAGGGACGAAGCTGATCACAGCAATGATGCGCTGCATACCACATGGTTGCCGGAATTGAGCACGGCGTCGCGATTGACCAGGATGACTGAACTAGAAGAGGCTCATCTCCTCTGCTAATCGACACAGCCACCTTTACGTACATAAGTAGGCATAATATAAACACCACATCAAAGTCGCAAAGGGGGAAAATAACCGTACTGACAGATCTCAGCAGCTTCATTAATACACATCACTGAACCACGGTGCACGTCGACGACCTCGAGGGCCCCAGCCGGCTCGTCACAGGCAAGGCGGAGAGCCGTTGGCACTCGGAGTAGTACTTTTGGTCGAAGCTTGCTCATCTCATTCGATATATCATGTCATGAGAAAACGTATTACCCACACATTCATCAGTACCACTCACACATGCCTCCTCCGCGCCCACCGAGTCAAGTACTCCCGTCCAGCAAGCCGATACACATCCTCCTCCGCATACGCTCCCCCCTGAGCCTCAGCCTGCAACACCAGATTCCATCCACTCGCACTCGAACTATAAACAGGCCAATCCGGCAGCCCCTCCCCATTCGGATCACCACCATACGCAAAGTGTGTCCACTGGCTGCTCATCTGCGCGCTCAGCGCCTCGTACTGCGGCCACGGCCCCGCCGTCGTCGGGTTGTTGAACACGAATGCCACCTCGCTGAAGTGCTCGACGCCCTTGTACGCCGGCGCGAGCTGGTCCTCCGGATCCGGATCCGTGTCACTGGAGTTAGACGTGGGCGAGGATGTGGCGGTGGTAGTCGAGTTCTCCCAGGGCCGCGTGTTGAACCGGTAGTTGTACGTCAGCGCGTGTTCGGCGTAGTGCCGCACGTACTGCCGACCCTTGTCGGCGAAGCGCTCTGGTCCCGTGTTCAGCGGTATGCCTTGGCTTGGGTCGTCTGTATGATGCGGGAGACGGCTGCGTTGGGGAAGTTGAAGCCTGTGTCGTGGAGCAGAAAGTTGCGTAGGTCTTCGTTGGTGTTGATTACGCCTACTGGGGCGTTGTCGGTGCTTTCGTCGAAGTTCGTCCCGTAGAGATGTGGCACGTGGGCGAAGCGGCCGGAGTGCAGGAGTTCGGTCGGGTAGTCGGGTATGATATTACCGTCTGTGAGTTCAGTCAACCTAAACGAGCAACGAAACAACGGAAAAGATTTATATAGGTATGTAACCACTTACCGACGGTAGGGTAGAAACCGGGACCAGCAACAACGAATGTGTTCAAGAAGGGGTGAAGCACGTCATACTCAACCGTTCGAAGGCATTCCAGAGTATCTGCAGCCGCAGTACAGTTCACCTGACCGACAATCTTGTCGTAGATGGGTTGGTACCAGTCTGTGCCGTTATACCAAGCAGTTGCTGCACTGCCGCTCTCCTGAATAGAGCGGTGGAAGAGCCCGTCAGTACGCCCACCGTAGCTCATGAGAAGCTGGCCCTAGGAGCGGGTTAGTCTACAATGCCGCAAGTCTTCACCAGCAATATCGGTGGGGATCGTATCATCTTACCACTGCGAACGAGCCCGCCGAAGTTTTCGATGTTCTCCTGGGTCCATGCCAGACCCTTACGCATATCTCGAAGAGCTAGATTCGTATTTCCAGACCCCTGAATTTTTCGGTCAGCGCAACGTGGTATCATGGTTGGGGAGGGAGTCCTCCTTACTTGGATCTCCACCGAATACATATTCCCCCAACCCCCTTTCCGATAGTTGATACTTGCACCAACGATAGGCTTGCCGATCTCCACGGACTTCTCGACCAGATACGTAAGGTTGTAGTTGGACAGCCCGCTCGTGCCGACCTGATAGCTCCCGCCATTAATCCACAGCATCGCAGGTAGCCTCACATCATCATCATCCAGCCCAGCAGGACGCACGATGTTGATGCTCAGACAGTCCTCGCTCATGCCATAGACGGAGTCCGCGGGCACATTCTGGTCCGGACAAGCGTGGCCGTAGATCTTGGCGTCGCGCGTGCCGTTCCAGGTTTCTTCAAGGGCTTGCGGAATGCGAAAACGGTTCGCTCCCCCTGTGTCCTGAGCATATGGTATGCCGAGAAATAGATCTTGCTGGAAGGCGGGGAGATGTAGGCTCTCGTAGCTGCCGTTGAGGATGGATACTACAGGTTGGGCTTTGATAAGTGGTGCGTTGGCGATGAGCGCCAGGGCGCCTAGAATCCGTGTGCCTGCCATAAAATATGTCTCGTGGGAAATTTATCGATGATGAGGAATGCTGCGTTGACTTGACGGGTGGGCGATACCGGAAGGTGATGTCACACCGCTTTGATTCCACGGGTGCACCCCAAGCTGCATGTTTTATCCGCATTGGGTACTAACTTGGGCCTCGTGAACCGGGTATAGCACCGACGATCGGTAAGAGCGCCTTTTGCTGGAGTTGGAGATCTGGGGAGCACTTGTCAATGCAGATCAAGCACCGGGAGCCCTGCTTCGACGCCGAGGTTGGCGCCCTAACTACATATCGCTGCCGTGGGCATGGAACAGCGTCTGGGATTACGATCATTATTCGAACTTGGCCACAGAATAGATATCAGCTCAAGGCTCGCTATATGAGTTCATTATGGTATATAAGTATCAGATACAGCAGGACGTCCGACAGAAAAACTCAAATGGCCTTGTTGCTCAATTGATACCCAACTGCACAGGCTACGAGTAATCCGGACGTCTCCGCTAATGACTATGATATCTCATGGCACCACCCCCCAAAATCCATGCATATCCTCAGTACTTCGGTTTGAACGGGATAGTTGACATGAAGCGTCGCACATCCCCCTCTATCTCAAGCAGCTTGAAGATCCAAGGAAGAATGATGAAGAACGACGTCGGCTCGCCCATGTGCTTCGTGCCAGGTACGAAACTATCACGAGGGTGGATTAGATCATTGACTCATCCCAGAGACAGGGACTGGAAGCTGAATTCTCACGTACCGGGCTTCCTTCGGCTCACCATGCTGGAGACATAGGTAATAGTCATCAATAGGGAAGATCTCGTCATCGGTTCCGTTCACTAGCAGGAGGCGCGCACATGGCTTGTCAAGAATGCCGGAGTCGAGTAGCGAGAACCTCTCCCGTGCCTCTTTCTTGAAGCGATCGAAGTCAGTTCCGTAGCCGAACTTGTAGCAGAGCGTCTGAGCCAAGCTGTGATGCTAGTCAGTTCATCCACGTTCATGAAGCCCAAGCTCCTCAGGACCAATTCTAGAGAAGAAAGACTTACTCGAAGGGGTATTCCAAGAGATCCACAGCATCCAGCCACTCAGGGTCGAACATGTGATGGCAGCCACCGCCGAGCGCAACCACCCCTTTCAACTTATCGGCATGCGTATGCGCGATGCGGATCGAGTAATACCCTCCCGTGCTAAAGCCCCAGTTGACGATCCGGCTCTGGTCGATGCCCGCTTGTTCGCCAATCCAGTCAAACATGCTAGTCCAGACGCGATCCGGGCTGTCCGGATCGGACGGGTTTCCAGGATTATCGCCAGTGCCGGGAATCTCGACAATCAGCACGGCGACACCCAATTGCGCCCAGCCTTCCTTCCAGACGGCCAGCTCGGTGCGGTAGCCGTCGAGGCCGGTGAAGATGATTATTAGAGGCGCCTTGCGCGACTCCGAGGCAGCCCGCGGGAGGTGGAAGTACGCAGGTAGAACCGGTGCGTCTCCGTTGTGGGCGTGTTTGTGCGGTATCGCGACCTCTACCATGGGGTAGTCCTGTAGACCGAGACCCTTGGTGGCAGCCTCTTTCCCCTTCGCCCATGCGTATCTCTGCTTCTCTGACCGCGGTGCCGGGAAGCGCGCGATGCGATAGAGAGCCGAGCCTCTCCTGTGTGGTCGTCAGTCTACACTCATGATCCATCCACCTCAGCTAGACCTTCCACACGCCGTGCCACGTACAGGTACAACTCGGAAGCCTTCTCCTTGTCGCCTTCATTCTCTGCAGCCTCTGCACTGGATACAAGCTCCTCGGCCTTCGGGAAGAAGCACTGCGCATACTCGTCCCAGTCGTAGGGCTCCTTGAGACCCTTCGCGACGATGCTGTCGACGACGGGCTGGAAGTCCTTCGTGGCGCCGAACATGAACGGGTACACGCCCATTTCGCACTGCGCAGGTCAGCGCGAGCGCAAGGCCGAGGATGTCCGGCACGCCGCTCCCGGTGGTGTAGCATACCAGGGGCTTCCATTTCGTCTCCCACAGAGCCTCGAAGCTCGCGTGGTGCGGTGCCGACTGGCCTAGCCTGTGCTGGATGAAGAACTTATTCCCCGGTGCTGCCATGGTGTAGGTAGGTACCTAGTCGTGTTGAGAGGAGGTGATAGTGATCTCCGGTGGCAGCCGCTCAAGGAGTCTTAAGTAGTCCGGAACGATCGGCAATGCAACCCGCAGGCCCCTCTCGGAACTCGCACCGGACTTCAAAGCTGTGGCTTTCACTGTTATACGGCGAGCACTCCTGCGTCTCAGCCGCAATCGAAAATCATTCGCGAAGGAAGGAGTTCTTAGGTAAGTAGCTGGACTTTGTGGCGGACTGGCTCTGGGGTCGGTCCGGACATGACGTGGGGACCGGCGTGGGGACCCCGCGAGACGACGCCTATATTCCTATGTCTTCCATAGGAAATCAACCATCCCGGTGTCTATTGGTGAGTCCCTCCGTCTGTTGACGATTCGCGTCTCTGCTGACCTAATGAACAACACCACCTTGTTAAGGGGAAAGAATAACCCATAGCGTAGAGTTGACCATGTCAATGAGCTGCCATGAATGGCAACTTTCTGAGCACACTCGATGGCTAAGTGACATCAAACACAAAGTTTCGGCATGCCGTCAATCGAGATCTGTCAAGATGGTCCCCAAGTATTCCCACGGCGACTATGACATCTGACTCCTATTTTTACTCGTCATCCTTATGGCCACCATCATACGACCATGGACACACCCTGGGGATTTCTCTCGGTTGTCGTACACCGACGCTGGATCTCATAAGGCGCAGCAATATTTGAAAGTTCTCTACCTAAATTCTATGAGGTGGTGCGCAATAACACTCAACGGGATACAGTCATCAGTTAGTATCAGTGTGGATGTTTGTTTCGGTAAAGTGAACGGGTGCAAAGAACACCGGGACACAAAAGTTCCTCGGCGGTGGCCAGGGCAAGCCCGCGAGTGCAAGGATTACCATCCTGAATGTCTATTGGGAGAGGTACATACAGCACAGCACGGTTGGCGATCCTTCGAACCGCAACCTTCGGTCAAGCCAAGATCAGAAGATTTTCCACAAAAACAGAGCTATAGTTCGTCTATTCTCATCTTTATATGAACTTTTAAGGAACTTTTACCTTCCGGTGTCTAAGATAGTAATGTTTAGCGATTTCAAGTGCTGGGGGGTATGGGCTCATACATGATGATAACTACCATGCTAATCAAAGTTCCATACCTACACCATCGCGTGATGTTCTACACAGCGTCGTACACGATTATAGATTAGGATAGTTAGTAATGTATATGCGTCTTTTTAACAAGCAAAGTGCAGACCTGAAAAGTCCCTGTCATATGGAACTGCCACTCATTACTATCCTAAACAGTTGTGATTTAAGGACAAATCCTATACAGGTGTGCTAGATGGTAACCAGTAGCGCCCTTTATACCCCTAATTATCTTGATAAGTAGATACCAACGTACCTGATTTGCAACAAAGAATACATCCGTGTATTACTGACTAGTGAGGAGATGGTGGCGATGATGATGACCCAAAATCGTAAGAGCATGATAGACTCTTAAAAACTGGACCATCCGGGGCCCCGTGGCACGGTACCGGATACCATCCTGGACACCTGTACTTATTATAATTATAGATGATGAGGCATAGTCAATCCATAGTGGCGATGGTGCACACGGCACAGGCTCGGTCACGGCCGTCTGGCTGGCGAAATCGACATCATGGCTCGTCACGAGAACACCATAAAAGTATATTAATACCCGTCCACGACTTGCTCGATATTTCCGATTGCAACACAGTCCGACACACTCATCTATCTTCTTACATATTCTTTCTCGTGCGAAAACCATCTTTGTCGAATCCTTGTCATCCATCTCAACTCCAACTTGAGCATCTGCCATAAGCCCTTCAGTCCGCTGCCAACCTTGCCCTTCAGCGAAACCAGACCCCTATCACTCCAGAGTCCAAACGCCATCATGCGGTGCACCTACCTTATCGCCCTGGGCCTGCCGCTCCTGGGAAGCCTGGGTGTTCTGGCGACGCCCGTCGGAAGCAGTGGCGCGACCCAGCTGGCACAGCGAGACGACTCCGAAAGTTACCCTGGCGCAAAAGGCGAGGAACTTGCCGAGAATAGTAAGGTCTCTACCCGTACTGGCGGCATCGGCCAGTGGGTCGACAACACGAATGTGGCAAATGCCCAGGGTGCGTTCAGCTCGCCGGGAGTGAGCATCACGAATACCTTGGATTTATTCGGCGATTGGTACTCTCACAAGAGAAGCGGCGAAAAGGAGAAGGCGTTCGAACAGAAGCTCGGGGCTTTCGGCAAGGCTATCAAAAATGGGCAGGGGTTCGTGGCCGAAGGCGACGCTCAGAAAGTCGCCAGGGAACTGAGGGATGTCTTGTGCCAGGGGGTGGACAAGAACTTGGACAAGGTCCAACACGTGGCGGATAATTTCAAGGAGTGGTACAAGAACCCCAAGGAGTTCGCAGACAAATGGGGCGAGGCTATCGGCCAAACCGAGGATATCACGAAGGTGATGTGGTACATGCTTGCACCGAAGGAATAAGGGTCATGAGACAATATTCGCAACATGTAGTCCAACGGGACAAACTGGTTTGGAAAGCATTGGAGAAAATGGCGAGATGGGTGGCTTTTTAGAATGTTAGACTTTGTGTACGGTACGGGGCTCGATCTTTTGTTGAATTTCAGGGCGTTTCGGTTTCGCTTTTCGCTTGTGGTTGAAACTTAATAACAAACACGAATCGAGATTATCACCTAGTCCCTCCCCGTTCCGACTTTAAAGTCCTAGTGTACGTGTAAGGCGATCCTTGTGTACCTTCAGAGGTTGCTCGTCCGGAGGAGTAGCACCAGCGTAACACGGGAAATAAACCTGACCCCAACGAGCCGTGCAAAAGGGGCTCTAGAACCTAACAAGAGATATCAAACAAGCAATCCTCAACTTCTATCCAAAACCTCACCTCTCCAAGCCAACCGAAGAATCCACAAAGTATACGTATGTCCTACTCACCCCCCACCATGAGACACACCACAACATCCTGGCCCACATCAAGCATCACTCCCTCATCAACATCCCAGAACTCGCGGAAGACAGCCCCGTCGCCAAGCGCCGACTAAAAAGTCGACCGCGAATCGGTCGGCGTGCCGTCCTCGGCACCACCCTGGTTCGTCAGAACTTCTTCGGCCGCAAGCGCATCCCAGAGACATTCGGTCTGCGCGCTATCGATTCGCAGGCTATTCGTAGGATACGTAGCCGCACGCCCGTCCGAGAGCTCGTGGAGATGCCCCCTAAACCTAAGGTCGAGGGGCGTCATGCTGGGATCGGCGCCGAGATCCACGAGCCGTTTGATCAAGGGGCGCTGCCTGCTCCCTCGCAGTCGGGACGCGTAGTGAGGGGCGTGTCCCCGGGCGCATCCTGGATATTGATGTGCAGCCCGGCGCCCCGTCCTTGCTCTAGCACGTACTCGAGGATTCCCGTCTCTGGCAGGAAAGGGTGGTAGGCGAGCAAGTGTAGGACTGTCTGCTTGGTATCCGGTACGGTGTAGAAGTGCGGCAATCTGCTGCTGCCGCTGCACAGCAGTTTGAGAAGCTGCAGCAGGTCCTTGGGGATTAACAGGTCCAAATAGTGCAGGAGGATTCCCACGGCGGTGAGGCCTGTGACGGAGACGACAGGTCTGTCCCTATATTCGATGCCCAGGTAATTCGACTCGGTTTGCTTGGATCTGTCAATGTTGGACCAAATAGCCAAATATGGCCTTTTTCTTATACAGTATCGCAGAGTGGAGGGGCGTGAGGCCTGGGCTTCGAAGGTCAATGTTGAGTTGTCGCTGCCGTAGCCGCCAAGATCATGTCGGACGCGAGGGTAGAAATGGCTGCCGAGGTCGGTGAATTTTACCAGCAGGCTGTTATTCGATGTCTGGAGGGCCTGCGCGATGTCAGGAAGGAGTGGCTTAAGCCCACGATCCAAGATGTCCAGGAGCAGAAGTTGTATGAGGGCGAGTACGCGGGCGAGGATTCGCAGTATGGTCTTGAAACGGAACTACTGTGGAAAGTGGTAAGAGAGATAGAGAATGCACTGTTTGAAGAATTTATGAAGGGGTCGTCCAAGTATGAACGAAAGCTTCTGCATCCAGCCGCGGACATTCGCGCGAAGCCAACCTGCGTAAGTCGATTTAATGCTACCATCCCGTACAGTCTACCGCCATTCGCCAGTCATGAATCTTGTACCAATCAAGCACTCACTCCTCGTCGTCTTCCTCACCCTCCTCAACGGCCCAGGCCTGAAACCTCGTCTGGCTGTATCTGATCGCGACGAAGTCGCTCTCCTTCTCCGGCTTGTCCTGTTCTTCCTCGGGCTCCTCATCGGCAGCCGTGGATCTCTGGAAGTAGCGCTGCGAGGAGTAGTTCTCTCCTAGTCGCTTGGCCACGTCGTTTGCTTCGTTAAGGCTGACGAGCCGACGTTTCCCATCAACCTTGGCCAGGTATTCATAGACGACCTCCCATGTCCGCTCCTTTCGTTTCGCGCCCGACGTCTCCGCGTGTTCGTCCTGGACGAACATTTCTGGGCTCCTTTCGACCAGACTGGTTGCATGGCTGACTTGTCTGCTGATTTCGATTGGTTCTAGTCCCTCCACCTTCGAGTTGATGTAGATGTCGTAGGCGATCTCACCGGGTATGCGGCCCACCGTGTTTTCCCGATACAGAAGGTTGGGATCCTGTTGGAGGAGTACACGGGAATGATCGGGGAGATGACGAAGTACAGCACTGTGCAGCACCGTATCGCCGCGACCGTTGAGACTGTCGAGCTCGGCTCCCTTGGAGAACTCGAGGAGAAGAGTTAAGAGTTTGACGTTATCAGCGTTCTCGCTTCTCAGTATGCGCCGACTTCTGTCAAAGTCCCCTGTATTGTCCCAGGTGTACTCAAGCACATTAGCTTTGTTGAGCCAGAAGTGGAGGGGCGTGTCACCACCGTGGGTGAGGTGATTCCGCTGGCGAAACAGGTGAGGCCGCAGCTCAGGGTCAAGGATTCCCAGCATCCGACGGAGCTGTTTGATATTGGGGTTGTTCGTCAAAGCGGCATGGATGATGTTGTTGTTCTCTTTGTCTTTCACTGATTGATCCGCACCGGCATTGATCAACGTCTTAGCGAACTGAACCTCCCCGAGAAGAGCGGCCAGGTACAGGGGCGTATATCCTTGCTCTGATTTTGCCTCGAAGGACGATGGGCAAACCTTGATCAGGTACTCGATGAGTTTGTTGGTATTGTCCCCGAGTGGGCCCAACACGGCGCAATGGATGACGAGATCGTCTTAAGAGCGTTAGCGAGATCACATGTACAACACTACTGAACTCACTTTGCACTCCTAGCCACTTCATGATGGCTCGGTCGAATCCTCCAGGCGCTTCGTTCAGGTGTCTCAGGCGGGGATCTTCTTTGGCGATCTTGGACTTGCCAAACTCCAGATAGTGTCTCATCGGTGCATCGCTGATGAACCATTCAACAGACTCGAGGGATCCTTCGACCGCAGCAGTCAGAAATGGAGGAATGTTGCTTCCAGTGGGCTTGAGCATCAAGTTACGACTAGCGTTGGCCCAGTCTGCCCTCTTCTTGCCATAGACGGTCAGCCCCTGGTAGCATCGAGGTTTGACCTTCAATTCCACTCCGCTCTTCTTCACGAGATGCTCAAGCGGTATACCGGCACCGGTCTTTCGAATGACCTCCGCTAGCATATGGGTTCGTCCCGGTTGGATGGCCTTGTTGAAGTCGACATCGGGAAATACGAAGAACCTATCCGAGCCGTCTTCTTCTTGAGGCTTCTGACTGGTGAATTGAATACCCAAGTCAACCAAGTAGTTGAACCGTTGCGTGTCGCCCTGGGTGACCGAGAAGGCAAATAGGTCTTGTCTTCCCATTGTCTTGACGACTTCTCCTTCGTGCGAGACAAACGCTGGTGCTGTCCAGCTGAGCATGGTGATTGGTAATGTGTTGCTCTTGACCTGCATTGAGACCTGGCCGATATTGTCGATGGTGAAACGATCATCGATGACCTCCTTGTAGATTTGTGGCTCATCGTCGGTTCCTGCATCCGGCTCTGCATGTGTGTCATCATCGTCCTCTTCGTTGCTAACCATCGTGAAGCGCGCTTTCTTCTCTTCTTTGGGCGCCCATTGGGCCTGGGCAATCTCTAGGATAGCCTTAGCGACCTTCAAATGTCCCTTCAGGAATGCCAGAGAGAAGGGGTTGTTTCCTTTGGCGTCGTAGACTGCTATTTGCAAGGGCGGCTCCTGCTGTTCTGTGACCCATGGCGCAAGGGAAAGTGACTTGATCTTGTCCAGATTACCAGACCATGCAGCTTCGAAGCTTGATCAATGTCAGTGAAATGACGTTCCGATGAAAATACAGTGGTGACTTACAGCTGGAGGTATGCCACCTTTCGTGACTCGGTGACATCGGTGCTGTTGTAGAATATGAAGTCGAGCTTGTATGGTTCTTGGACAGCGTCCGCTCGGGCTGGGGTCCGGAGGGGCCCGGGATCCTCAACCTCTGGGTGCAGCTCCTTGAAAGTCTTTGCTCCTTTGGTCTCGAGGGCTTTCTCGACCTTCTCAAGTTCCGAAACCACGTCTGCGATAGCTTCCTTCTTCTCAGCCAGTCCTCTGAGACCCTTATTCTTCTCTTCTTGCTTCTTCAACTCTTTCATGTGATGCTTGTAGGAATCCATTCGCTCATCAATGTCCGTAGAGACGAGCCAGTGCTGATATGTACCTTCAGTGAAATTCGCGAGGAAATCGTTAGTACCCTGAGGTTCGTCTGGACGCTCATTGGAGAACCGCTTGGACGTCAACATAAATCGTGCTCCGAGTTCATGTCGCCTGGCTCCCGACTGTTGGGTAGGCTCATCTGGTTCACCCTCGTACTTGCGTAACTGCATGAGCAGTTCTCGGACGAGATCCAAAGCAGTCTGTCCCTGCTGATTTCGGCGAGCATAAGCGTTCCGAATGATGTTGTGGCTCGCTTTGGTGAGGGTGTTGGGGTCGGCCCCCTTCTTCAACAGTTCGATTGCAATGGCTGGGTGCGGAGACTGGATCGCTACCAGAAGCGGCTGCTCTGTCCCATCCATAAAGCGCTCCTGGTTCCTTTCATAATTCTGTAGATGAAATATTAGATACGGCAAATGATGAAAAGGGTTGGACTTTGTGATAAGATGAAGAAGAAAGTGTCCACCAAGGCCTCGCCCACAGGTTGGCATCGAATCCATCCGACATAATAGCATCCGGAATCTGACTTTGTCCAGACCACTTACACCAAGTTGATTCTCATAGGAGAACTTTGCGCCTTTAAGCCAAGTGTCGAAATCGATGACTGGATTCGCCCCCGCCTCGAGCAGTTTGAGCACGAAAATCGGATTGGACTCGTCTATCGCCGTCATCAGAGGACTTGTAGCGCTCGATCTCCACGCGTAGCCTGTGACGGCCACGTGATTAATGGCAGTCTTCAGTCCCAGCTTGTCGTGTGCCCACAGAGTCTCGACGAGTTTCGGTATGCCGTTCTTTCCAACAGTAAGTTTGTACCCCGTTCTCCAAATTGATCTGATACCAGTCTAGGTGATTTGAGACTGCTTACCTGAACATAGCGATGTAACCCAGTCACACCATTGACGTCGGCTTGCGACGAAGTTGCACCCAAGCTGAGCAGCGTCTCACTCATTTGAACTGCCTTCTCGACTGGCAGAGCGATGGCCAGTACTAGTGTGAGAATAGCGGCACGGGGACTGGAATCGTCACCGATCTTGACAGGAATCAACTAGATATATGCGTTAGTAATAATGTTACAATCCACGAAGGTTCGTCTCAGAAATGAACAGGAGCGGCAGAGCCCACGCCACCAACCAAATGCTTAGGTATCGGAATTGAAGCGGGTCATACGTACCACATCAGCCCCAAACTCTTGACAGAGGATATTGACGACACCACAGTGGCCTCCGAGAATGGCCAAGTGTAATGCAGAGCATTTCGAGTCCCATGCAACGGTGTCGATCTTGTAATAGTCTGGACTATTCTGGTCATCGTCGAGCGGGATGGCCTCGTCCTTCTTCGAGCTTGTGTCGTGTGCGCGAACTTTGACGAATAACCCCGTGGCCATCGAATGCCCGTCATCGTCAGCACTCGAATTTTCGATCAGCTCCCCATCGGATTCGCTGCCCTCGTCATCTTCGTCAGTGTCGTGGTCGGACACCCCAGCATTGGCTTCTTCATGGCGCTGCCCGTCTTGACTGTCTTGGGGTGTGTCTTCTTCAGTCTTCCGGCGCTGAGCCTGCTTCTGTTCTTCCTCTTCCTCGTTAGCGCTGCTTTTTTCGAGAAGTATCTTGACCATAGCAGCATTGCCACACCCCGCAGCAAGATGCAGTGCCGTGCGGCCATCAGCGATGCGAGCAACCAAGCGTGCGCCCCGCTCCACCAGACATTTGACGACAGCTGGAGTGGAGCTTGTGACAGCAAGATGCAAGGGAGTCCTTCCGGTATAGTCTCTTTTGTTAGGATCGGCTCCCTCTTGAGAGAGCCAATCCTCAACATGCTCGAGGTCACCGTCAACAATGGCCTGGCAAAGGCGAGCGGTGTTGCCAACATAGGCCATTTCCGTCCAATCATCTTCGGTAAGAGGATTGAAGGAGCCAATTTGCTTTGAAAGATGTCAGTGTATCGATCAAACAAGGATTCTCTGGACTGGCTTGCCTGTCTGCCTGGGTCATCAATGCGGAACGAAACCTTGCCCGAGACGTAAATCTCACTCTCCTTTTCCGCGACCTCAATTTCCTCGGTGGACACCGGTTTTGGGCAAGTGCCACAGCAGTCACTAATGACCTAGAGACACAGTATTAGTGAACGTGGCAGCAAAAGGGGACGTGATGACTTACATCTTCGACTCACCCAAAGAAAGCAGGGTGCCTGTGAAGATAGACCTCCCTTTCCTCAGGCTGATTCCATTCTGCATTCAACACTGTTCTCCGTTAGTTGTATGGTACTATGATGCACTAGTTAACCTTGGCCTGCCAGCTGATGTTTCCAAAGCCATATGATACATCTTTGGTTGTCGTGGCATAGAGCACGGGGCGTGTGGGCAGTGGGCTAGGATGAAGCAAGACCGAGATCTCTGAAATGAACTTACGCAAGTCCTTGGTGTAGCAGAGTTTCTCGATCTTTTTGGCGTGAAACTTGACACCATAGGGGATCGTGAAGGTATGATAGTTGGACACCTCGTCCTCATCAACCCAATCAGCAACCTCGTCTTCGTGGACCTGAGATGTTATAAGTCAGTCTCATAATCGATTCGCGTAGCCACACTCAGAACTATAACTGACATGTTTGATGTTTCCAAAGAGACGATGCTGGTAGCGAACCTGGAGCGCTGGGCGCCCTCGCTCTTCTCGGCGCTTCTTTAGATATTGCTCCCGTGCGGTTGTGGTCGGCAGTCGCTCAAGGACAAGAAGGCGAGCAAGACCTAGGGTCCTCTGGAAACTACGCTCGTAGATGGTAGGGTCGATACGAGAGCGATCCAGCTCTGGCCAGTAGACCTCAAAATTTCGGTGGGAGTATTTTGATAGTCGGTTCTCGTAAGATGGGCTTCTCCGGCTCAGATCAATCGGGTTGATCTGTGTGATGTACGAGGCCAGGGCTCTCGGAGTGCAGTATACCTGCTTCCCATCATAGGCGGCAGTAGAGCAGTCAATATCGAATCCAGTAAGGATTTCCGAGACCGACTTGTAGACGCGGAGAACAATCTAGTAAATAGGTGAGCAGCATATTGAGCGAATGGAATAAACAAAACCATACCTGTACGTGGCGAGTGGGGTACTGGCTGCCTAGTGAAGAGTTCAGACACAGTACTATATCAAAGAGGAATCACGAACTCACAGATGGTGATGGCGTTCTTGGTCCGGACGACAGTGACTTCTGAGAGGATCGCATCGCGAATGCGGGACTCGATATCTTTGATCTTCTCAATAGCCTGATCTTCATCGAGACCGTACAGGAAGAGATCGACATCAGAGGCCGGACAGAACTTCTCGTCTGTTACGGAGTCAGTAAATGGTCGTTGTGTGGCTTTGGGGTGCCTCCATGTGTTGACGGGGGGTTGCGAGTTGCAACGAGTGAGGAGGTCACCACTCACGGTAGTACTGACGCAAGGCTCTCTTGGACTTCTTGTATACAGGGGGGACAGGAAGCAGACAGTTGACAACAGATGACCCGGCAGCGATGACATTGTCCCAGTCCATGTCTGCCATGGAGGATTCGGAGAAGACGCTGAAATTGTGGCGAAACTCCTTGAGGGACTCGACGACAGCAGGCGAGCCACTCGGCCGGCGTTTGTCATCGGGCAGAGGCATGACATACTTGTCTCTCTCCTCTTGGGATTCGGCCTCCGGGTTGCGGGCGCGTGCCTGGATCTTTGGCGTATTCTTAGTGAACAGTGGTAGGGCATTGAGGTATGGATCATCTAGGGCTGGGTGGGTGCGTTCCTGAGCGTAGACCTCGCGTAGTTGGGCTTCAAACTTGCGGTAAGGTTCCATCAACTGGGGCATTGCAGTCTCGGGATGCTTTGCAATGTAGTCGGCCAGCCCATCAAGGGGAACGGGCAGCTGAGGGAGACTTGTGACGCCCATTGTTGCTGTTGCTGTTGCTGTTGCTAGTGATGGGGATGGAAAACCGACGGTGCAGAAAGGAGACGTGGGGACAAGACCGGGACGATGATATTTGATATATAGGTAGTTGACTGATCAAGCTCGAATAAAGGGGTTGCAAAGACAGTTGCGCATGAGGAAAACGGTGGATTGCATTCGCATACAAACACGAACAGTGCTGGACATATGTTTTTATATTGTTGGATCTCAATCATCGATGCAGATTGGGGGTTTGGTAACAGTCAGGCAGAAGTAACAAGTGGCTCACCTTCAGGACCCGGGCATAAGCTCGGCGATGAAGCCGGTTGCTTGGTTCATGTTGGTTCATGTCGCTACGACTGGTCTGCCTGCTTGGCGTCGTCGGGAAGCTAGTGGCTGTCGCGCGTAGGTAGAGATCGAGACGGCAAGTCCAGTCGCGCCAGACAACCCACTGCAGAGCGCTGGAGCCTGGCAATTACAGGGGTTGTTGGCGATATGGGCTGTGGGCTAACGCGTGGTCTCGTGACCTGGCGTCACCGCTGCTTGGCACAGTAGGTAGGCAGACGGGCATCCACCTTCAACTTCAACTGCAACGTCTCTCCATCTAATGCTGAACGGTTGGTTACCGACGGTCGCGGTGCCTGGCGATGACTCTTGCTGCCTGCTCCACGTGACGCCACATCGTGATAACGGCTTCGATCGGCCATCGCTGAGTAGCACTAGCCTTCTGCTGCCTTCTCTTGTAACACCCTTTGATGCATGCCATCTAGATTATGATGATATGCTACCAGAACCACCGAGTCGGTGTTCTGGCCAACAACGCTCAATGCCGTGGCTTGGTCGAATTCACTTGAAGGCCACAGTAGAGCGTTTCAATACATCGTCACAGCCACTGTCTTCGTCCATTGCATCATATCTATCCTCCAATCCAGTTCTGCATCGTGGAACTGGCCAAAACGCCGTTTACCATAGCCAGTCATCATTCTGGGGCGAGGGGGATGATGCTCGATACAATCGCCTCCTCCAGATCAAGCGAGGGTATGATCCGTACGATGTGCTCTGGTGTACGCCTCATGTCGACAACAAAAGATGGACAGAGCGAGACTTGAGGTTACCTATGTCGTGTGTAGTCGAGGAAGATGGAACTGTATTTGCAGTAGGCGTGATCATGGTCTCTGCTTGGATGATTGGTCTCAGCAACAGCTAGAACCACGCAAGACGTGAGTGATACTCTGACCCGAGCTCGTCATGCGTTTTGCTCTCTCCAGGAAGGGAATGACAAGCCATTCTGGGGTCCTGGAGTTCACGGCCAATGAGGGAGCCTCGACTATGCCGAAAAGGGCAATGCGAAGCATATATCATGCTCTTCATCGAGCTGGCTGCTTGCTCTGGTGCCCCCCTCTTGGCTGCTGACCTACGGGTGCCTGGGTTAGGTGAGTACTGGTCACTCGTTACATGAACAAGGGGTAGTTGGCTGCCTTGGAACAAATATGTGTGATGCTGTAATTATGCCTAGGTAGTGAAGGTGATGAGGACCCAGGAGGTTCACGAGTCCACATAAACATCCGAGCCGGCCAAAGGCTATATCGTCAGTCGGGACTCTGAAGGAAAGATGGAAGCTCCATACTGTCTCGGATCTGATATTCCTCGCTTACGCTGCTTTCCGTGCGGGGATGACAAGGTCCTGTTGTGTGATGGTGACAAGAGTAGAGCACCCTTTGGGAACATCTCTTGAGATCAGCAGAGGTGGAGGTAATATCCAGACGGAATATCATGGCAGGAGTGTCATGGCCCGCGTGTGGATTGGGGGTTGGGGAGCAGTGACACTTATCATTGCCACTATTGCCAAACTTGAGATTGGCACTCTGCACCATGGTCTGTGGTCTCGCCTCTAACCTCTCACCTCAACGTTCAAAACCTATGAGGTGTGCGAATAGCCCTGACGAGATTAGATAGCTGACACAAGTTTCAATCGCATGAAAGGTGCCTTGGGATTTGTGATGAGGAAAGCAGTCCATCCAGATTTGCGAAGATAGCCTGGCTTTTTCTATACATTCTATCGAGATAGACACATGGGGAGTACTGATCTGTATCTGATGGTGTATGAACATGATGGCATGGTCGAAGGGATCACAGGTTCAGTCCTGTGAATTCGTTCGACAGCACTGTCTACTAAATTTGTTTCATTTACTGAAGCACGCTGTGGTATGTCGCGCAGGAGGGTGGGCGTCAATTCTGGCATGGCGCTTCAACCGTCCACGAAAGCCTCACTCTTAGCTTTCGCCGTGCTCTCATCTGCTGATCCATCTGCTTTGGTTGAAGGACGGTTCGCAATTAGGCGCTGGAATATGTCAGTCATGCACAAGACCCCATAGGAGCCAGCCAGACAGGGAACTCACCACTATGTTCCTGAGTAGAACGGCAATTGTGACCTTTCCTACTGAAGGCACGTATATCGATGCCTTCTCTTTCACCGCGGGACCATCAAAATTCCGGTACGAAGAGAAGTTGATGCACACAGCTCCATCCCGGATGAGCTCTGTCGGAATCTTATACTTCTCCGAGGGCACACCTCCAATGATAACATCGCTGACGGGAACACACTGTTCCAAGCCCCACCCTTCTTTATCCTGGACTTGGTGCCGAGGTTGACGGATGCCCTGGCCGCGGGTGAATATTTGCGTTCCACTTAAGTCGACAGAATAGACCGTGGCTCCATCATTAGCCAATAAAGCAGCCAGCGGGCGGCCATTGACCTCAGAACGGTTGATGACGGTGATGGTCTTGCCGAACAGGCGGTTGCCAGAGGGCAGGATGGAGTTGTAGATCTGAAGGTGTTCCAAGATCTTGACCACGGCCAGCGGGGTGCACGGAAGGATGGACTTCTTCAGGTTGTGTGGAGGGTCCAGGTATCTCACGTTGTGATACATGTTGTAGATGTGCTTGTGGCAAAGTCCCTCGACGTCTTTGGAGAGCGAGACGATCTCTTGGAGATATTTGTCATGGGCAGGGTTGCCAGGGAAGATGGGGTAGTAGACGATGATGCCGTCGACTTTGCTGTCTTCATTGGCGGCCATGATCCCTTCTTCCAGATTGTCCTTGTCTACTTGACGCAAGTCGAAGTCGAAACCGCTACATAAATCGTGAGTCCTGTGTCCGCAACATTGCAACGTACCAGTGCTGCATCGGCCATTTTGGGTAGTGGAGATATCTTACTTCTCCTCACAGGTTTTCTTGGACCATTCGGCGTACTTGACTGCTGCGGGATCACCGTTTGCTAGGAAAGCGACCAGAGTAGGCTGACCTTCAGTCCCTTGCTGAATGGACTTCAGGGTTTCCTTGACCTCTGCCAGCAGACCTTTGGCAATCGTTTCTGCCATTATGACCTTGCAGGTCTTGGGTACATCTTGCGAAGCCATGGCTCTTAACCCGACAGACTACAAACTTGTCAGCGCCGGAATTCCGCATGTTGCTCAAAGATGCACATATCAACCGTAGGCAGTGGCAGTTGCAAAGATGTAAGTCGAGCAGAGGGTGTCTATCTAACATACCTGCCCCGCTATAGGTACCCCGCGATGCAGAGACGACAACGACTGCAAGCCACAACGAAATCCCAACGAGGCTCTCGGGGGAGGCGAAAAACACCGACGAAGAGGCTGGACGGCTGATGAAGTTGAGTGCCGAGACAACAATGGCAAAGACTTGCAAGAAGAGTACAATGGGGAATGAATGACTAGACGTCCAGATGAGTGAATAAGAATTCTCATGTCGGAGCCAACCAGAGAACACATCCACGCGACTACGCGCACAGCATCTGCCGTGCGGTATGGGGAATTATATTATTTTTGAGTGGCTCGCTCACTCAGACCGTGGGAAAGTGGGGGCCGGATAGTGCAAATCGTGCTAATAACGAAAGCAGCTAAGCCTAAGAGAGTAAGAGGGTTGCGCACCTGTGCGCACAGCAATCAGGTCGTGAGGGGCAGTTTGCACAATAACTCCTTTTATGTCAGGGAGCTTATGCCAAATATTTGGTTTCCCCACTCATAAACTTAATTGACCTTGCGGCACTTGAGATGTGCAGATGCTACAAAGTCAAGATTCCTGCCCTTTACTGCATACATATCATTCTCCGTACTGCCGCTACATGATATGACGGACTCCAAGTTTGGCGAGCTTGCCTTGCAATATGTCCTCACGGACGAGAACGAGCAGGCTCGCGAAATCCCGGAAAAAGCAGCTTCGGGTCAGTTCAGAATCACACCCATGAATGATGGTCTTTGCTGACGGAGGATACCAGTCATTCAAGAATCGGCCAATACCAGAATCGCCATTGGACAATGGGTTCAATCCATAAATCGATGGATCCACACGGGGGACTCGAATGAAGATGATGGCTTCATTGAACGTGCCAAGGCCCTGGACTTCCTTGCCAGCACTCTCGAAGTCCTTCTGCGCAGAGACTTCGCTCTCAAGGCCGACCAGATAAAGCTATTGGCCACCTTCTTTGGCAGCCTTTTCTCTAGTGATCACAGAGCCGGAGTCACAGCGTCTGCCAAGGCTCTACGGTGTGTTACGAGCATGAAGGCCTTTCAGCCGTCGCTGGGTCATGATATCATCGAGAACGTCTGCAAGCTGGGTGACGGCTTCAACCTGCAAACTCCAGCAACCCGCCTGGAACTATACGAGCTCTTTCTAAGACTGATCAAAGATCCCGCTGTTGCGAATGACTTGGAGTATCGAGACGGCAACACCTGCGGATTCATTACGGACCTCTTGGGGCTTTGCCGCTACGAGAAAGACCCCTTGAACTTGATGAAGTGGTTTGAGATATTGAGGACGTTCTTGCAGAACTTCTTCCCGTCAGCCGACGTCACATCGGCGGTCTTCGAAAGATTTTCGAACTACTTCCCTATCACATTGCGTAACGCAACACCAAACTCTGGAGTCACCCCGGGTGATCTCAAGGCTGCTCTCCGCTCTTGCTTCGCTGCTCACTACCGCGTCGCTGGTCTTGCCATACCTTATCTAATGAACAAGTTGGATAATGGAGATGCAGTGACGGCTGCTGTCAAAACCGACATCCTGCAAACCCTCAATGCATGCGTATCGCAATACGACCATCCAAAGCAAAGTGTTGCCCCATACGTCGACCAAGTTTGGACCTCACTGAAGTACGAGGTCCGAAATGGGGAGGTTCCAGACACCATCCAGGCGACCTTGAAGGTATTAGGCTCTCTCACGAAACGTCTTGATGCTGAGGAGCTCTCAACGTTCCTGAGCGAATCATGGAAAGATCTGGCAGAGGACTTATCGAGCCCGGAATACAGTGCCCAAGCTGGCCAGCTGCTTGTTGCAGTATCGGGTTCCACCGTTCAGTCCTTTGCTTCGATAACTCCCCGAGCCCTCGCTCACGTCCAGAACACCATAAAACATGCGGAATCGTCAGCATATAAACAGAAGCTCTTAGTCGTACTGAACAATATCCTTTCTTTACGATGGCACCTAACCGATAGTCTCGCAACATCCTCGGCATCACAGCCCGCCAGCAGCTCAGGCTTATTGAACGACGAAATATTCGGCGAGTCTCTATTCCAGACTACGTACCTACCTCTGTGGCAGAATTTGTCGGCCAGCTCGACCTCAGCTGATCACGTCGGCATTCTGAAAGAGACGATGAACGGGTTTGCTACCCTTGTGGGCCAAAGGTCCAGTGGTCATGATTCCCCTCGTCAGCTGTGTTCGGATTCTACGTGCACACAGATCTTCAATCTGCTCGCGAAGCCAGTTATTGTCGAGCCCATCGAAGGTCGGAACTTCCTCGACGCGGGGCTTGATGCCAGATTACACGAGGAGGTATATGACGCTGCCGCTGCTTCACTGAAAAAAGCTGTGCCTGCGTATCCCGCTGCGTTTCGGAACCTCCTGTTCCAGTTCCTTGCTTCAATAAAAACGGCGTACGGGTCAGATCCCGCTCGAGAAGATCTTGCCGCACACATTCAACTGGCTGCAAAGACGCTGTACGAGGTCGGCGGTGCAGATGCAACGAATTTGCTAGACTCCAAGCTACTCTTGTCCAACCCATTTTCTGTTGTCAACGCATTACTGGAAGGACTGCTTTGGATGCTATCGCAGCATGCACCAGCTAAAGTTTGGACTGCGTTCATAATGTCGATGCGGTACGCTTTTGACCACACTCTGCCGTCTGCCTCAAGTCAACACCCAGGATCCCAGATTACCAGAGACTGGTACTTAAACTTTGCACAGCAAATCGTGAGTCAGGGTGCTCCCCAACTTGATCTGGATCAACCAGGAGATCCCGAGCGAATGGCCAAAGCTTTCGAGGGACTGAGCATCAGTGAGTTGGACGCCTCCCGTCACCGAAAGGCCTATTGCCTGTGGGTTGTGAAACAACTCTATCGTCGATTCACTGTCGCTCATTGCACAGAGGACGAGACCAACGGGAAACGCTGGGTAATAGGACTCAGCAAGGATTTTCAAGAAACTAGTTCTGATCTGGTCATGCAACAAGACATATGTCTACACCAACTTGTCCGACTGGCTACGTCGACAGTGCGAGTTCTGAGCGCTGACGAACAGAAGGCCTTGCAACTAGACCAGGATGCATTCGCTCTGTTCAACACGTGTGATGGCGATAGCACCAATCCTGCGGACGGGGAGTTCACTGGACCTTCGGCTCTAAGCTCCGCCGATGGCTTTCGCACAGCACCATTGTCCTTAGGTATTCTTCAGGGTCTCCATCCCGGTGCCATTAGACCAGAGGTAAGTCGTATTATCGTTCGGAATCATATATTTCAATCTAACGGAGCTTATAGTTCTATACCACCCTGGACGACCTGTGTCTAACATTGACCTCCGTGCCGTCGCCTTGTTCAGACGTAACGAGGACCACACTCGACACGATCCTGATCGTGTTGTCGAACAAGCTATATTTCCGAGGTAACATCGATCTCAATGGAAAGAGGGCGGCGACTAAACAACATCTCGAAAATACATTCACCGGGATTTCCACGGGGTGTATGAATCCGATCGAGCCCCGTCCAGATACCCATACTGTTCTCCTTATCCACCGCAGCATCTTCTCTTATCTGGCCGGTGACGTGCCACGGCATCAGCACGAGCCTGCCCAGGCTTCATTGCTAGCCAACGTTGTTAAGTCTGCACCGGATGACGCAGAGTTGGGGCTCCAGCTTTCTCAGTACTTTGAGATCCTAGTGAGCCCAAAGGAGTGCCTAGCGGCCGAAAATCATGCTTTTCGAAGCAAGTTGGACGGCACTTGGCTGTATTCGAAAGCCGTGCAGCCATGGCTCGCGTTCTGCTTCAGTGGGAATTTGGGTGATGAAATCCCTGACGGCTTGGAGAGAGAGAGGAGAACCATTAACCGCGCAGTGGCGACGTTTGCTCTTCTTAAGCACCTGAAGTACAACCAGTACTCAGCCGATGTTGCAGAGATTGTAAAAATCGGACTTCGCTCACTCTCCACCTTCAATCTCGGCGCAGAAATGGTGTCCTGCATGAGTGTATTGCTCGCCGTCCTGAACAACGACCCAGGCGAACTGCAGGAACACATTGCGGGCCTGATCTCGGGCACTATCACCATGTACGAGAAGGCAAAGAAAGCTGCCGAGGCTGCGACGTACCGCACCTTGCGCCCAAGCCAGAAACGGGACCTGAGCACATGCCGCAGAAACGCCCTCGAGTTCCTGCAACTAATGACGGGAAAGTTTGCAGCGCGCTATCTGTTGCCTCATCGACAGCAGCTGCTTCGCCAGTTGGCGTGGGCTTGTGGAGATCCGATGAGAAGTATCAGACCAGTCGCGATTGCGGCCAGAAAGGCTTGGGATGACTTGGACAAGTGAAGGGGCATGGATAGCAGCGAATTGTAGTAAATTGGTACAAGCAGCATTCTGGCGCTTATTTCCCTCGAGAAACTCAAAAATGATTGCTTCGTCCAGGTGCTTTATGCGAGTTATTATTTCCATCGATTGACACCCTCGACACCTGGCCTCTTACCGAGGAAGGAACGTTCAGTAAAGAGCTGAACTTGTCAGGCAGTCATCGTTTCAATGGCAAGTCACATGCCGACACAGAATGGCTTTTTAAGGAGTGACCTCTCAGAAAGCGTGATATGATTACAGAAGCGCGAGAGCCAGTATATACAAGTATTCACGCCTTCCTGCGCTTCGACTTCTTGCCCGCGCCTCCCGCATCAGCACCCGTAGCATCGGCCGCCAGTATAGCATCCAGAACATCGGAGCCGGCGTTCACCAGCTCCTCTGACCGCGCCACAGCCCCCGCGGCCGCCCTCATGGGGTCCGCCTGCGCGATCAGGGGTACGGTCGTGGCGAGCATGGTCTGGAAGGGCCGCGCGATGAAGTGGCCCTGGCTGTCGAACCACTCGGTGAAGGAACGCGCGAGCTCGATCGTCTGCGGGGACCCCTTCTTGGGCGTCGTGGTGACCTTGACGTGGTAGGTTGGCACGAGCTTCTTGGTCGAGGTCGCGATGGAGATCTGTGGTTTTGGGGTTTCTGGTCAGCTTCTATGATCCCTGGGTTACACTCTCTTGCGCTCTCTTTCCTCTCCGTCTCCGTTTCCCGTGCTCTATCTATTATCTACCGGCGAGTTCAAGCTCGAAAGGGGGAAGAGAACCGGGGAGAGGCGGATCGCATCATCATTCGCAGGTAGGTATGTGGGAAGAAACGCACCTTTGACCCGTCAGCCGCCACGCCCTGGTACACGGTGCCCTTCTCGACGGAGCCGATCCAGAAGGTCAGCAGGCCGTTGAGTACCGAGTAGAGCGCGACGGCGGCCGCCGTGTAGTACTTGGTGTCCTCGAAGCCGAGCTTGTAGTCCCACAGGAAGCAGGTGGCCGCGACGGCGAAGGCGCCGTACCCCAGCGCCAGCCGCGTGTCCAGCAGGCTGTTGTCCTGCCGGAACTTGAGGGAGTTGAGGTAGTTCGGGATCGCGTCGTCGGACGTGTTCTTGAGGTCTGTTTGGTTGGGAGGGTTGGTCAGTCTGCTGGTAGCTTGGAGCTGGGGAGCTTGCAGGTCGCTTGCGTTGGAGGGGAGCCGGGAGGGGAGGGGAGCTGGGCTTACCTGCTATGTTGTGGACGGTGATCTTCTCTTGCGACGCCATGGTGACTTGCTTGCTCTTCTCCTGGTCGAAAGTGTAGAAAGGGTATGGGCGGTATCTCGGAGTTGTTGGACATGGAAGGGCAAGACACCCGTGGCAGCTCGTGGTCGTAAGTCAGCTCCCGCCAACGCTGGAAACGTGGCTTCCATTCACTGTGGAGCGCTTTAACGTTCGGCCATTCAGCCGACATCAGGGGGTCGATCCAGCGGCGGCTCCAGCCTCAGCCAGTGCAACCACAATTGTCAGCCCGAGCCAGCATCCCGAGCTCTGGACAATCAACGTCAACTCCCCTTTTTGGACATTCAAGTTGCAGCATAACGAGCCGAGTCGCACGACTTTGTCCAATCATGGCTCGATTACCGGTGCAGACGATCCAGCGGGATCCCCAGCTGTTGTGAGTAGTGTATCCGATGTAGACAGAAAGAAATCAAGCTGATCCCTTCCAAGTTACTGGATCCTGTTCCCGATTACCGTCGTGATGGTAGGCAGCTCCGCCCTGTTCCTCGTCTAGGTTATCGAAGTACTCACGCGAGGACAGGTCTTGACGGGTATACTGCGACACTACGCGACCGTCCTGATGGCCACGTCGCCGAAGAAGCTGGACCAGAAGACCATGCGGGAACAGCGGTCGATGCTGCACGGCGTCGCAACGCGCAGCAACTTCCACGTCCTCTCGGGCCCGTCCTTCCGCGCGCGCCGCGACTACCTCACCAACGCCTACGAGACGGGCGCCTTTCTCAAGAGCCCCGACCAGCGCGGCCAGCCCCCGCCGAACCCCATGACCGACCCGGGCGCCATGGACGGCATGATGGGCATGATGAAGAACAACATGGCCATGATGATCCCCAACACCTTGATCATGAGCTGGATCAACGCCTTCTTCAGCGGCTTTGTCATCATCAAGCTGCCGTTCCCCATCACCGTCAAGTTCAAGAGCATGTTGCAGGCCGGCGTCGCGACCAGGGAGATGGACCCTAGGTGGATGTCCAGCATCAGCTGGTACTTCCTGTGTATCTTTGGGCTGCAGTCCGTCTTCAACTTCCTGCTGGGAAGCGATAATGGTGAGAATACTCGACCCACGCCACTTGGCATATAGACGACTGACGAGAGAGTAGCCGCCAGTCAGATGGCCCAGCAGATGGGCGGCATGGGTCCTCAAGCCGGTGCTCAGATGTTTGGCCCTGGCGTCGACCCAGACAAGCAGTTCAAGATAGAGACGGAGAATCTCGCAGTGGTCGAGCATTACTCGGTCCTCGATGGTGTGGAGGATAGATTGCTCGAGGGTATCATGTCTAAATAGAGCAAGGCCAGCTGTTTCGCTATACCTACTACCCAGGTCCGAAGGAAGCCCCCAAACGCCCCAAGCCATGTGTCTATACAGCATGCAAGATGCAGCCAACAGCGCAATGAATATACTCAGTCCCACCACAGGCACACCCCGAGTCCTTCTTTCATCATGGTGCCTTGGATGCTGTAGGGAGAAACCTTTTTAGCGTTCTCCATATCCTCATCTTCCACAGTCTCGGGCATCTGATCATTCCACACCTCGTCGATGACTTGGAAGCGAACCATTTCGTTCTTATCATAATGCATTCTCTCATCATCCTCCAGTACCCAGATCCAGGACTGTTCGTTATGGTCGCTAGAAGCAGTTAGCACATAAGTTCTCTGATGTATGTACCTGCAATACTCACAACTCGGTGCTCTCGGGCAGCTCTTTGTAGGGGACGAAGATATCTTCAAAGAACTCGGTGCGAACTGGTGCCGTGTCAGAGACCCTGCAGGCTTTCCTGGCGGGTTTTAAGGGACATACTGTTGAGGCCTTCCGGGGTAGAGCTGCTGATGCGGCCGAACAGTGTCTCGCCCTTGAAAGGTCTGAAGACAATCATGCGAAACTCGACTGTGGGCATGTCAGCCACCGTCTATCATAGCCGACAACTTTTTCAAGCTCTATGCAGAGGCAGAGACTGAGACCGACATACCATTGACATTCACAAGGCCCGTGCCATGACCGATCAGTCCCTCAGACGCCCACAGCAGGTCGAACATGCAGATGCAAAGGCCGATCTTCTGGATGACTCTGTTGGAGTACTTGGCGTTGATGTTGTTCTCGATGGCGATGCGACTGTGCTGCTCGAACTGCGACGGTGGGATTTGCACCAGATCCGCGATTTTTGTCTAAAAGAGTAGTTAGCGTCTCATCCTGTATTGAGTTACAAGTAGCTTACTCACTAGGATGAACATGTTCGTCAGCTCTAGTCGTGATATCTCATGGTGGTTTTCTTCGTCTGAGTCTTGCGACCCCGTAGCTTAATCTGCCTGCAGCTCTGATCGCGAGTGAGTGAGGCCGTGCCCCACCATTCAAAGAAAGTGGCATGTGGGGTCCTATTTATTAGGTACCTCGGTAGCTAAGTTTATGCACAGTCACCGCCCGATAAGCTCATTGGATTAATGCCAATACGGGAGCTAGCACACACACGATTTAGCGTGATGCATTAAATCCACCTCCAGCTGCAAGCTTCCCGTCAACCCTGTACCTGGTCAAACCAGAACACCACCAGAAACTTCACAACGTGGGAATCTGGCACTGTCTGGGTCAGTCTGGTTCATCTTCAGACCAATCCTGCGACGCCAACCTTGCCTGGCATCTACTTCACGCTGGGCTCTTTGCAACAGGCGATGATAGCCTGATACGTTTCTCCCATCTTTTGACTGTTCGGTCGAAAGCATCATTCAACAACCCTCCTTCAAGGTGCCAGCTCGACAAGTTCACGCGCCTCAAGAGCTGATACGCGCTCGGACCGCATCACTTTGCCCTCAACTCGTGGTGCATCGGTCACCTTGACTTTTCTACACAGTAGTTCAAGCAAGGTGCACTTCCTCTGGTTCCTCTCTTCTTTCCAACCACTTCAGCTTCGGTATCATCTTGACACGGCAGCTTGACGCAAAACGAATTCTACGCATCAATTCTGGGTATAGTCACCTACTCAACACTTCTCCTGGACTGTATGGCACACCCCCAAGCATCTACCAATTTCCACTCCCTGAGCGCGCCTTCTTCTGCGCTTCCTCAGTGCCTCACCATTACCCTCACCTCTGCATCACTCCACCTCACTACTTTCCAAGTGTGGTTCTAACAGTTGGGGACCCAGGTTTTTCGTCGTCGTTCTCGTGGCAGCCTTTGCGATTACCCCTCCTCCGTCTTACTCTTCTGTCAGGTATACCAGTCTCCATCGGCAGACAAGATGGCTTATCCTTACGCACCCCCTCCGCCTGCACCTTCAACCGCGTCGCCTAGTCCGTATCCAGCGTATGCACAAGGTCAAGGTCAAGGCTCAGCCTACAATCATACCTCTCGTGGCGGCCATAGTCAGCACGCCAACGGCGGCAGAGCGCGTGGTCACCCAGGCCACCAACACCAAGGCCCTGGTCGCAGTGAGTACGGCGCGCCGTACTACCAGCAGCAGGAATATGCATCACCTGTCAATCAGCCTTACAGCTCTCCGCAATCCACTGCTTACTGGGAGCAGAGCGCACCACATATGAATCACCACCATCCGCCAGCATCCCCTCTCCCTCCCGCGGGTTACTCTCCCACCCCCAACTATCCTACCCAGGGCTATGCCCATTCGCCGGCTCAAGGCTACCAGGCGCAATACCCAGCCCAGTCCCCTCGTCCCTCGTACGGTGCTGCGTATGGCCAACCGCCCAATGATTATCCTCAACGGTGGGCTGAGCAAGGACCTACCTATGCATCCTATCCCAGTCGTGGAGGTCGGGCAGGTTACCAGACTGACCGAGGTGGTCACAAGTCTGACCACGCAATGGGAACGCCTCTACGCATGGGATTTGACCAGCGGCATGACCACTCTACAAGCACAAGCGCTGCCTATGGTCAACCATACCCTCACAGCAATCATCAGCCTACCCCTTACCAGCAACCCGCGTACAGTTACCCTCCTGTTCCTGCACCCCCCTTTGCGGGATCCTCGCATGCCACTCACGCACCCAGTAACAGAGGTGGCCATGACTATGGCCGTGGCCGTGGCCGTGGCGATGGCGCCGGCCATTCTCACAGAGGTGGTCGTTTCGGCGGAAACGGTGATCGGGGCGATAAGTTTCGCAACCGCGATCACCGTCCCCAGCAGGGACCGAACAACCATCAGAAGTCTGACGCAGCTTCCTCGAAGAAAAAGAAGCGGAAGACCAACACTCTTGGATTGACACCTGGAGATGGTGACTCAGAAGACGGGCTTGTTGACGAAGAAAAACGTCTGGAGGAGCTGCTCGGTCCGCTCCCGAGGTAGGTTCAGCTTACTTCCCTACTCTGTCGCCGTGTGAGCATTGTGTGTTAACCTCGATGATTTGCAGTATTGCCAACATGTCAGCCTACATTGCCGAGCGTAGAGCCAACTACCCTACGAAGGCCCGCGCCCAGGCCCGACTCCAAGCCAAGAAGGATGCTGGCCCGGCCAATAGTGGCAATTCCGCAACTACCGAGGTCGATAGAGACTTGGCAGAGGCTGACAGATTGCGCAAAAAACTAGCCAAGGTGGAACGCAAGCTGGAAAAGCGCAAAAGAGCCACCAACGACGAGGGGGACGACATGAGAGCAAGCTCTGGCTCATCTGATGAGGATTCCGAAGATGAAAAACCTGAGACCATGGGCACTGGAAAGACCAGCAATGCGTTCTTGCCCCCTCCGCCTATCTCACGAGCGGATCCAACCAACCACTGCAAGTACTACGTTACTGGCGGTAGTTGTGGCAAAAAGAGCAAGTGCCGATTCGTACACGATCCTGCTCGCCGCGAGATTGCCTTGCAAGCCCGTACCAGAAATGGTGGCAAAATGACTCTCAAGCAGCGCCTTATGCTCAATGAGGCGGAGAATAGTGAAGTGGAAGTAGTAAAGGCGATCATAGAGCTGCGGGAGAAGGGTCGTTTGGAGGATCCCGAGAATCCTCCGACTCCGACCAGTATCCAGCATCCACATGAGCATGCACCTTCGGCCGGCGTAACTACTTTGCCCACCACCCCTGGTGCAGCCAATCTGCCACCCAACCCCTATTCGGGGGCCAAGAAGACGGACCCAACCCACAAAGTGAAGTCCGAGAGTCAGCAACCTTATAAGAATTGGTATCTTGGCGGCTTCTCTAACAAGAACCAGGATCTGCAGCCTAGGCAGCTGCCCTGATCGGTCGAGTAGCGCACCATGCGTACGTCCGCACTACAAGCAACGGAAGTCTCTCATTATAGTGGTGAGAGATGAGACAAGTGCCATGTGGCACGGTCTTCTACTTCTTGCTGTTACTGGACGGCCTGCCTACCTTTACTTGAAGTTGTGAGCTGTTCTGTGCGTACTTGCACTGCACACATCTTCCGGCATTCCCATCGCGTAATTCACCTGTCCCGCAAACACTCCAACAGGAAAGGCGCTTTTCAATCAACTTCTCGCATTTGCAACCGTTCGTCATCTCACATTGCGTTGTCTATACGAGACACAGTTGCAGGCCGCATAGGTCGGCGATGCAAACACATACCAATACTCACTCATAACCTTGCAATGACGTTCGAGGTTTGGTGTGGTTACAGAGCATTTGTTCTCGCAGAAATCTTTCACACTGCATCTTTAATGGTTCAGTTCAATACTTAGTTCCTCCCAACCACATAAAACTACTGGCCTCCACGACCACAACCACAACCACAACGACGATCACGGTGAGCTACACTCTCACAAGATTCCAGTACCTTTCACCAGCTCTCCCGGAGAAACTCCATTTGCTTGATTGCTCTTGCTACTCAGGATCTTCAGGGTTCAAGGAAGGGATGGTTCCTGCTTGCAAGGTCAAGCACGGTGGATCAGAAACTCGGTATGGCGAGAACGGTATCATTGGATGGCGTTCGGGGTGGGACTGGAAAGGAACTTCTCTGGACTCTCCGGAGCGGGTGGATGCATTGCATATGCATATGCACCCAGATACCGACGCGTGGGTATGCTTGCCCGCGTGTCTTGTTCTGAATAGTAATAGAGATGATCTCTACCCAACCAGGTCTTTGTCTTCGCATTGTCGCTAGAACAGTTGGATGTGAATGTGATATGTTTGATGCAGGTGGGTAGCCCGTTGTCGAGGCTGTCAGAACAAGGACAGGACATGCGAGAAAGTGTGGCCGTGACGAGTATTTGAATGTATAGCACAATGCCATTATCGGCATGTAGTGGTTCAGACATGCGAGCATCTGACTCGCTGGGCAGGGGTCAATGTCCATCCAAACTAAGCAGAATCTCCTTGGCAGATGAGACTGAAGCCCGTATCAGCCCCTGACAGTAAGGTCGATAGGGCAGCACCACTCGAGTCACGTTCCAAGATTAACAGGGTCTTTTATTGCCCATCAAGATCTTATTCTTTCTAATTTCAACTTGCCTGACATCTGAGTCTTCGTTCATTTTCCCCACCGCAGGTCCTGATCGAGCAACTACTCGCAAATGCCATGTCTCCGATGCCAGTATCCGTGGCACTGAACGCCGACAACGCCATCGAATGCATGAAATCGACTCTGCCCCGTTTCCCGCTGTTCGAGAGATCGCTCCTATACAAGCAGAACGGCGTTGACGCAGCCGTCCATCTCCGGGTTGTTTGTGATTTGGGCATACCGACCCCACCTATGAGCAAATTAGAGTCAGTAACTACTCCTATTGGATGTATCGAGAGGAAAAGAGTCGTAATGCGTGTCTCGGGAGTAAAGCTCTTGTCACAGACTAGAAGAGGGAAATCGCCCTTGAGACACGGCCAGAAGGGGCAATAGGAGACTCATGTACGTACACTACCTTTCCTCCAGCTGTCGTTAAGCCGAGATCCGACACGTCTACCTCCAGGACAGTACCTTTCGTGAGGACGCCTAACTGAGTATGGAGAGGCTGCCTATTGGGAAATTAAAGTCAGTAATTACTCCTGAGATATTTTGCCAAGAAAACTAAAGTCCTACGTGTCTCGGGAGCAAAGGCTCTCGACACAGGCTAGAAGAGGAAATTCGCGCCCAGGACATGACCATATGGGGTAATAGGAGACTCGAAAATTTACATACTGCGGACTTTTCTTGACCGAAAGGATCTTGAGTTGTACTGTTACGTTGAGTCTTGAGAGAAATTAGTACTGGCCCATATCGACAGGATGCTTGAAGATGAGACTTACTCTGGATGAGTCGTGTGACATCGCTTGTAACTACTATCCGTTAATCGCATGCTCTCTCTAGAAATCGAACGTCCCTGAGAGTTGGCTGGGATGCCTGAGTTCCATGGTTGACTAACCGTAAGCCCATCGGTCTGATGAACCGCTCGTCTGGGAGGTGATTGTCAGCAGAAGTTACTCATATAAAGGTCTGACGCCCTCGAGCTACTCACACTTGACAGGTCTGCGCGTAAAGTCGGGTCCGACAAAGGTCGGCTTTGTGATCATCCTCTTCCAGGACTTGGTGGCCTTCTTGCCGGTACTGAAAGTTCGGGGTCAGTGGTTGCTCCCGTCATAGGGTCTGGACGTCACTCACTGAATGACCTTGAAAGTTTCCTATAGCGACGAAGCTCATGTCAGCTTCTGTTCCAACGGAGTAACACACCAGGCACTACATTATCAGGGGACCATACCTCGTCGGCGATTCCTCGAACTTTGGGCAGGGGCACAGCGAAGCGCGCCGCCTTCTCGGACCGTCTGTTCTTGATGGCGCTGGACAAGCTCTTGGCCTCGTTCGAGTTTCGGTCGAGCAGGTAGTTGGGCAGGGGCGTGGAGGGGTCCTTGTCGGAGGCGGACTGGACGTTCTTCTCCTCCATGGCCTTGATCTGCTTGCGCATCTGGATCTTCTCCTTGTGGCGCTTCTGGGCGTACTGCTTCGCGGCCAGGCCCCTCAGGTTCTGCGCCTTCTCGCTGGCGTCGTGGCCCTTTCTGGCCTCGCGCTTGCGCGTGCGCTCCTCATGATCCAGGCGCCGACCATGCTGCTTGGTGAATCGTTCCATGTACCTTGGGTTCCGGTCAGTACATCGTCGAGGATCAACATGCTACACGCGGGTGGTTCAGCATACTCATTTTGAGGCATGATGGATGATTCGCCCTCGAGAGGGTCTGGGGTTTGCGGTCGGGTGAATTGGTCTCGGTAATTCGTGTGTTGTCGTCGTTGGAGGTGCAATGTTCAACCTCTCTAGAAAACGTAGTTGTTATCAGACGCCCCGCCACTATCGAAATTTCGAAGCTGCAGATACCGGGGTAGGTACCAGCTCGACAGCCCTGACAGCTGCCAGCGGGCGGAAAAACTGCAGAGCTTCGAGACCCACTTTAACTTTTCTCGGACCGGGGGACCCTTATGATAGAGCTTCAAGTTCAACCTCGACCATTCCGAGCTTTAGGACCTCCGTCGAATCAATTGGGGATAGGGCGACGAGAACCAGCCAAACCGATAGTCCACGCGAGAGAAACCATCGCAAATATGAGTCGCTCACTGCTCCGCTCCGTGCTGGAGCTGCGCACCCCCATGACGCGCCTCCCGCCGTCCTTCCTCCTGCCCATCCGCTCGCGCGCCCTCACGACGACGACGCAACACGTCGACCCATCGATCCCCCCGACCAACACCCCGACACAAACAAGCATCCCGCCCAGAGCGCCCTCGCCACCAACCCCCAACACACTGAGCCGGCCGCAACATCAAACCCCCCCGGCACCGCCCTCCGCAGCCGCAGCCGCCACAGCCCCCTCAACCGCCCAATTCCTCCCGCTCCTACGCGCGCAGCCCAACCACTACATCACCATCCTAATCCACGGCCGCCCCTACCTAGTAACCGAAGGCGACCAGATCCGGCTGCCGTTCCTGATGCACGGGGTGCTGCCGGGGGACGTGCTGCGGCTGACGCGGGCATCGGTGCTGGGCTCGCGCGACTACACGCTGCGGGGCGCGCCGCTGGTCGACGAGCGCTTGTTCGAGTGCCGTGCCACCGTCACGGGCGTCGAGAGCGAGCCGCTGCGCGTCAAGGTCAAGACGAAGCGCCGCAACCGCCGCAGCCAGCGCGTCGCTAGCAAGCACCGCTATACCATCTTACGGGTTAGCGAGCTTAAGGTCTTGGGGCCTGCGGCGTGATGATGATGGGGGTTGAGTAGGGAGGGTTTGATGGAGGAGGCGGGGTTAGGAAGAAGCTGGTGAGACGAGTGGCTGAGAGTCCCTGGAGGGACTGGAGGGGAGGATAGTGAGATGGTCGTGGCGTATAGGGGGACCTCACGCTGCGTAGGAGGCAACTGACTCTACTTGGATGGCCGTTTCGCTTCAAGGAATGCCACTAATCGATGCCAGGGCATATGCAGAGAAGTTCGAAATCTCGACTGTATAAAGGGGCAAGAGATTCTACGACAGGTGTAAGAGTAGCAGAGCATCTAACTCATTCCACACGCCAGCATCCAAAGAGGCGATGGAAGATGGTCGGATCTGCTTGTATCATATGTTCAATTAACAGATTACAAACAAACACTTATTCAAGATAAGGTGAATCAATCATTAAGGTTGATCAAAAGATCGAAGGGTGATCTGAATTAGAAATACGGTATTCTGAGAAAACAGAAAGGGGAAAAGGGGGTGTTTCAGTTCGCTAATCGAAGTTCTCTTCATCAAGGCTGGTCATGCCTGTTCTATGTGCCAAAGCTCCAAGCCAATCAACCAACAACACCGTAGCTATGATAGCAGAAAAGAGATGGGGAATTCAAACGGATGACAATAAGTAGTCCAACAAAGTAGTAGGTTGTAGAATGATCCAACAACAATCCTGACACGGCAGCTGGTGTGGGCGGTTTCCAGCTCAGGCTTTGAGCTCCCTCTTCCTCTTTTCGTCTCTTCCTCTCTCTCGTCCCTCATGAATAAGTTTCATCAGTTTCTGTCTTTCCAACAAAATACGTCTCTAACGCCGCCCCTTCACCTCCCTTGTGAAGATCTCAGGTCCTTCCCAACGGCCTTGGCTACGCTACCCCAGTACGCCTGAGGCCAAATACTCAGCGTCTCCGCCTCGGTGGGCATCCTTTCCCTGCACCGTGTGACGACGCTCTGGATGATTCTGCCGAGGAGTTCCTCGGTGATGGGCAGCGAGCCCTCGGGCGTCTCGACCGGGAACAGGAAGGGGTCGGTAGCGGAAAGCAGCTCTTCACACGTCGGACGAAGGTGCTGATCACGGCTCAGACATCGCTTCATCGTCCTGATCAGGCTTGCCGGCACGTGTACATCCCCCATGCCCCTGTCGCGGAAGTCGATGTCGTACTGCCAGTTTATGATGGCTTGACAGCGCGGCATTGGATTGGGGATATGCCCGAATGGTGGTGTGCCGTAGACCATCTGGTAAAGAATACAGCCGAGACTCCAGATATCGCTCGGCTTTCCCAGCTTCATGAGTTTTGGTCGTGTAGGGTTCGTACTGATCCTGCGGCTATTGGGATCGCCGGCATTGGAATCGAGCAAGCTCTCGGGGCTCATATAGTTGGGCGTGCCTATTTGTGTCTCCCTGTGAACGTTGACAGTCTCATCAGTTTGGATTGCATTCGCTATGCCGAAGTCGATGAGTTTGAGGCGACCTTGGACCAGCACGAAGTTGGCTGGTTTCAAATCAGAGTGTACGATGTCGTAGGCGTGGACCGCCGAGAGACATTCTAGCATTTCTTGCCAGTAGTAACGGACGAAGACGGGGTCAAACTTCGCGTTCTCGGGAGAAGTGCGCATCCGAAGAAGCGTGTTGAAATCCAACTCGCCCATTTCCATAAGCTGGATACCATGTCAGTCAATCAACTGTCTGTCAAGTAGGAAAACTAACACTTACGAGGCTAAGAATCTGTTTCTCCTCGTTCATCTCGTAGTCGTATAGGGTAACGACGCGCTCGACGCTGCTGAGCTTTCTCAACAGGTCGATCTCGCCCTTGTAGCCTCGCACGGTGTTCTCATCTGTGCCTTCAATAGAGACCCTTTTCAATGCGAACATCTTGCCGTTGTCGGCGGCGACACGGTAGACCTTACCGCTACCTCCACGACCGAGCGAGTCGATTCGGGTGTAACATTTTCCGTTGACCTTCATGTAGTTTCGTCGTCTCGAGCCTTGCGCCGTTGTTGCCGCTCCAGCGGTCGAAGTAGCAGCGTCTAAAATCGACATCTTGGGAGGAGGCGCTGGGGCTGCCCGACGGGGTGTGTTCTGGCTCAGAGATGCTAATGCTTTGCGCTCAGGGGAGCTGGGACGAACACTGGCGCTCAGCGGTTGAGCAGAGATTTTGACCATATCCTTTTCCATGAAAGAGCTGGCCAAGGCCTTGTTCCTCCTGAAGGTAGGCGGTGCCTCGTTTTCCTGATCGTGCCTCGAAGGCACATCTGGTCGCGGCGGTGGGAGTTTGTAGTGCGGGATGGGAATTTCGTCGCGGTCCGGGGATGTCTGGCAAAGCTGTGATTCCTGACCTCTCTCTACAACCGGCGATTCCCTCTTACGCCCAGGTCTCGAGGAGTTTTTGGCGCTAACAGGACTCCCCGAGGCAAGGCGATCAGGCACGTAGTAAGACGAAGCAAGGTTGTCTATCGGCTCTAGGTCGATGAGATCCGCCTGCTGGCCATCGGGGTCCTGGCTAGACGGCAAGAGCTCTCCGTTGTTTTCAGCATCTTCCTCACTCTGCCTCCTGCGCCCTCGACGAGCTGGCCCGCTCAAAAAGCTGCCGGGCACTTTGCCTACTCGTTTGAAGCGGCTTTGCAATAGTTGGTTTTCGTCATTACGGTTTCTGGAACCGTGAGAGCCGGGTCGGGAGATGCTGCCCTGGTTAATCTCTGCCTGTTGACGAGCTACTGTCTGTGGCTCCTCGGGTATGTCCTGTTCATCAAACTGAGAGGCATGGGAGCGGCGAGATGCAGCAGAGTCCGCTCTCCTAGAGGAAGACACTGCGACGGAGCCGGCGGATTGGCCTCTATTGCCCGACGACCCGAGCGCAATCCTGACAAGACGGCCCTGCTGGCCTGGTGTGTTGATATCCTTCTCCTTCAATTCTGAAGCATTGCCCCTTTCATCCGCAGCTCCATCCCTACTAGGAGGTCGGTTCTTGCTCTGCGATGCTGATAACGATGTTGACCTTCTCTTGGCCGGCTTGAACTGGGCGGCGGCGGCAGCAGACCCGGCAGCAGCCGTTCCTTGCGACGTGGTGCTCAGTCGGACAACTCTTTTTCTGAGAGGGCTACTCTCTTTGCTGGGTTGGCTCAGAACCGGCGAGGCAGCCCGCGAAGATAGCTGCGCACTATTAGCGCGGGTGTGCCTCCTCTCTTCACCAATTGAAGCGATCGATGCGTTCAGGACACTACGTCTCTTGACGGGCTTTTCCTGCTCGGGCTGGACTGGCGACGATGGGCGATGACTTTGAGCTCGAGTTGTTCGCGCGCGGTTGTAGTCCTTCTCCACCACGTTCCCCCCATCGTTCAGGAGTGCTTTGGTCAGAGCACTGAGCTTCATAGGCACAGGTATCTCGTCATCGGAGCTGTCGTGGGCGGCATATTGGGCTTGAGACGAGTTGGCGGTCGGCCCGGGGTTGGATTCGGCGCGGTTGAGCTGTGGCCTCGAGGGACCTCTCCGTAAGCCCGACCGCAGAGACGATTTCCGTGTTGGCGCCGAGGAATGGCTCGGCCCGGCGGGCGTCGGCGACGCGGTCGTCATCGAGGAGGTCTAATGTGTCTCGGTCTGTTTTGGTGTTGAATATGTCGGATTCGAAAACAAGGAAGCGGCTAGCTAGAGCGTGTCGGGGGCGGCGATTGGCGATTGGCGATTGGCGATTGGGATTGCGTGTGGGCCAAAAGTAAGCGATGTTTTACGCGTCGATGAAGGCCATGGCCCCCGAAGAGTAGAAAAATTGATAGCGAGAATGCCAACAATGCAGGGTAATGCGAGGTGCGAAGTATTTGTCGCGTTCATGCCGGTCGAGGATGTCCCCGGCTCCCTGTCGCCTGTCTTAGCTTGGCAGTTTACGTTCCCCCGTCGGTTGTCCTGGGCAACGGCTGGGTCGCAGTAGCTATCTGCCAATCAGACGCCATTCGCTAATTGACTGCTTTCTTTATGCGATGTACATGGTATTGCATAAAGTTGTTCACTCTATTTAAATTGATCATACAACTGCCCCTCCAGCCCTCCAAATCCGACGTTGTCTGTCCCAACTAAAACACTTCTACGGAGTAGAAGTGTGTCGTCACCTTTGATGATAATTGTCTATTGTGAGACTCATCCCATACCAATATACTTCTCGAATCATGACCGGGCAAATTCCAGGGCAATCCACGTACTCGCCTTATGTAACTATACATACCGTACTTCATCTCTTACCATCTGGGCCGATGGGGTTATTGTAGGCGTCAAGAGTCAGCATGTCAATCAAGCAAATGTCACACGAGGTTCAAGATATCGCCATGTGGAGAAGCAGGACTATATTCGCCTTAATCGCCTGTGATTGCCATGGCTGAGTCCGGGTTTGCAGATATCGATCAGATACAGGTCCTTCCACGCCAGATGTCATGCAAGACCAACACAGCCCTTTTCCGTGCAGATTCCCCGATTTTTTTAAGCTTCGTGTGCGACGTTCGCTTAGTCGAAAAGACCGAAGCCCATGTCGTCGTCGGACTCTTCCTTCTCTGTCATACATGTCAGTATATACAGGACTACATCGTGAACGATGCTCCAGCCGAGCAGCGCAGGAAATCAACGTACCCTCCTCCTTCTTCTCCTCGGCAGCCGGCTCGGCACCGCCGCCGGAAGCAGCAGCACCACCGGCAGCAGGGGCGCCACCAGCACCACCGCTGGGAACGGAGGCAAGCTTGGAGGAACCCTCGGAGATGAGCTGAGGTATAATTGTCAGTGGCGTCTCTTTTCTCCTCGTCATGAGCCGCGTGGTCGTATCGTACCTGGTTGACGTCCTTGCCCTTGAGCTCAGAGAGCAGCTTGTTCAGGCGGTCGCTGTCGGCCTCGATACCGACGGACTCGAGGACGGACTTGATGTCCTTGGCCGAGGGGGACTCGTTGCCGCCCAGGGTGAGGAGGAGGTAAGCTGCGAGGTGCTTCATTTTGGTAGTTGTTCTGTTTGCGAAGTACCTGTCAGACTGCGGGTTGCGATATTCAGGGAGCGGACGGGCGGGCGGGCAGCTGACTCTGCGATGTGGCGATTCACGAGGTGGTGGGTGATGTGGTGGATGTAGCAGCGACTTACGATGTGTGTGATGGTAGAGAACACGAGTGATCAATCGATTTAACCGCGAATTGGGCGGAGACTGAGACTTCGAGTCCTGTGAGGTTTTTCGGTGTGACGAAGTCGAAGTGGGATTGGTGAAGGCTGCGGCGAGGAAAAAGTAACCACGATTAAATTTCCTAGACCAGGGTTGATTTTGCGCATTCATTTTCTGGTGTGGTGGAGCCCTGGTGCAAGCACGTGCGTTGCGCGGGTGGGCCCATGTCAATTAATCACCTGATTAGGGCCGTTGCTGGGTTGAAGGCCAGGCCTCTAGCACGGCCTTCAGCTGATGAGCATTGAGGCTTGCGCTCTCGTGGCTTCAATACATTTCGCCTGTGGCACTGCCTGCCACCTGCCTCTCCCTGCCAGCGAATGAGATCACTGGGAACATGACGTGCATCCAAGCCACAGCCGGCGCGCCTCCGACGGGACAAGGCTACCTTAATTAATCGGAGATAGCTGGAGGTGCCCTTCGTGCCATGTCAACTTTTGGCTCCAGGTGTTTTCTTTGTCCCGTTTGAATTCTTGGATCGACCGCAAACGCTGCTGTACATCCCTCCAGGACTCGCCGGACACCTCCCAAGTATTTAAACTCACTGCGCTCAACCGACTCCCCACTGTCGCAAAACATTCCAGATCGCAGCAAATCGCAAACGAGAAGAGTCACACATGACACAGCCCGCCAACTTATGACGCCCTAGGCACACGACAAACCGTGACAGCCAACGGACCCCACACCCACCTCTCTTTCCTGTCGTCTAGACCCCGCCATATTCGTCAAAATGCCGGTATGTATCCTGAGTCACGGTGTATGAGATGGGTCGTGGACTTGCTCCTAACACCGCAGCGCAACAGATCAGTGATCTCCTCGCTGAGATATCCGGCGGGCAGTCGTCGGCTGCGCCATCCGCCAAACCCACCACATCATCAGCCCGCAAGCGAAAGGCAGAAGATGATTCGAGTACCGCTACATCGACGAAGCTTACCAAGGCACGGCAGTCTGATGGCTCCTACGCGTCAAGTAAGATCACCCGTAACGAGCAAGGTGATGTGACTGAGCGGTCATACTCAATGTCTCGACCAGTAAAAACTGCAGCCTCAACAAATTCCATCCCGGCGAAGTCACTAGGTCTCCCTCACCGCACGAACTCACCATCGATAAACGGTCGATACGAATCTCCCACGACGAGCAGTCAACGACTTCCGCCCTCTTCAAATGGCAAGCCGCTGGTTGGATCGTCCAGCGGATCTCGGGGAAAGCCATCCACAGATTCTGCTACCCATCCGAAACTGAATTCGACTACCATGGCTACCTCAAGAGTGCCACCCGCGAAGCCATCTCCCACGACGCCAATCCCTTCGGATCCATCGCGGCCTCCCAAGAAAGGATCATTCGCGGAAATCATGGCACGTGGCGCAAAGGCTCAGCAAACCATGGGTAAAGTCGGTATGATTCAGCACAAGGCGATCGATAAGAAGAAAGAGCGAGAAGTCGTCAGGGCAGAGCAGAAGCCCGGTATCAAAGGAAAGCCAGGAGCACCAGGAACACCAGGAAGGCCATACGTTGGGAATGCCGGGCGTCCCGGAGCGCGTGAACCACTTCGCAACGGCTCGACGAAGGATCTGAAAGCGGGTGGAAAGCAGATATCAACCACGGCGGCTGAGGACGTCCAGGAGAAGAAGATCAAGAAATCTGCCGTGGCCACAACGGGGTACACCGGAACTGCACGGCCTCGTCCCGGGGCTGCGAAGAGCAAGGCGTCCACCTCTCGTGAGAGCCAGCGTGCGAGGCCTTCTCAACCTGGCGGAATCCTTGCACCGCCTCGGCCAAGCCGACGGGATCGTTATGAGGAGGAGGAGGACGAAGAACTTGATGATTTCATCGAATACGACGACGAAGACGAACCAGGCCCCCGCGGAAATGGTTATGGCTATGACTCTGATGCTTCCAGTGACATGGAAGCTGGACTGTCCGATATCGATGTGGAGGAACAAAGAGCCGCAGCTGCGGCGCGGGAAGAAGATCGACGAGAACAGCTCCTAGAGGCAAAACTCAAGCGAGAGAAGGAAGAGCGCAAGCGACGGTTCGCACAGAGTGGACGATGAAAACGATGTCATTCTCGGCATATGACTAACGATAAATGTGGTCTTGAATCGTTGTAGGAGTCGATGTCGGCAATAGCACGACAGCTGCTGTTAAAGCCTATAGGGCTTGATCCACCTCATGTTAGACCGCATCAGCATAGGAGGACGGCGTTTGTGAGAACTTCATTGGGCAACCACTATACCTGGATATGCATGGAGTTCTTGATTCGTGTCCATTTCACGGCGTTGACACAGAAAGCGAAAGTCTGACTAAGCATTGTTACTGAGCATTGTTGGTAGATAAGATTGTCTGTTACATGAAAATACACCAGTATGCACCCAAGAATGTGACTGTTGGCGTGCTCGACCATCGTGTGGTTAGGAGGTTTAACAGAAACCTGCAGCCACACAACTATCATCCCGAGACCAACGGGGCCTAGATACCATTGAAGGATTTCTCCACTGGCAAGTTAGACTTCAAGAACTGGTCTTCGGGTACCTCGCTCACAATCAGCGAGCTTTCACGGCTAGTTGTCTCAGATGTCAGACTTTCTCCTCTGCGTCGAGCATAGATGATGAGACCTACTCATGCTTACAGAGGTTTCAAAACGCTTAGATGAACAGTCAAAGACCTACAGATCTGTCAGCACTCGTCTCGTGTCGAAAAGTGGAGGGTACCTGAGCGGAACCGCACAGTCATGTCTCAACGACAGTTCCAACTCGGGCTTTGGTCAAAGGCTTGCTGACTTTCTGACAACACAAAAAACGACACAGAGTTCCGTTCCTGGATTCTGGGTCTTCCACGCTGGTAATGATGGCCGAGCCTCGGGACACAGTCATTCACGATGCGAAACTGGAGCTATGTTGGTCTCGCGAGTTCATGCAACCAAACGAGACGACCGAGGCCGGCCCTCTCACCGACTATTTCCTTTGGTATCTCTGGTGTACGGTTTAGACTGAGTGAGGAAGCTGTTGCATGTATTTATCTATTCAATAACTTCAGAGACACAGTCCGAGAAGGGAAGCTGTGTGTCCACTCCGGCTAGAGTCCCTGACCCCTGATCAAGCCAGGACTGGACAGGTAACGAATACAACCAAATTCGCTCGCTCTATCAAAGATCCTCGCAAGGAGAGACCGTACAGCGAACCATTGCTTCCCGTCATTAAAAGGTCTCCAGGGGGCTACGATGTCTACCACCTTCACCCATCCCATCACAACTCCCACACCGCGCGCGACCATTCACCACCAGCAAGTCCATATCCTTCGAAGTCAACGACTCATCATCATTGTCAAGCGTAACCAGCATTAGATGTAACACCCACGAGTACGAAGCTGACCACCCTACCAGACCGAAGAGAGAACACGCCAAGGCGCTTCTCACCGTCTTGAGCGTGCCAGATGATAGCTTCTGATGATCCAGACCATGTCAGAGCCCCGAAGAAGAATAGGAGAGTAGTACAGCACTGCGCCATACCGAGGTCAACCGAATCAGCCCTCTCCCTACCTGGTCATGCCAGAATCCGGCGCAGGGGTGTATTCAGACTGTCTGTCTGCATGATGGCGTTTCATGAATTCGGCTGTCCTCATTCACCCAACTCCCTGATGACAAGACACGACTGTGGTCCTCAGCTGCGTCGAAGCGGATCTGCGTCCAGAACATACGCAAGTGGGAAAGGACATCGAGACGGCCTCTTACGGCAGGTATCAACTTATCCTAGACCAACCAAACCGTTCTTGCAAGGCAATGAGGAAGGCTTCCGTAGGATATACGCATTCAATTGAAAGCACCAAAGCACCTTTCGGGAGTGTCTGATATACCACAACCCCCTTCGTGTGGATAACTGCTTCAGCAGCTTGAAATCAGGAGGTGATCTTAGAGACAATCACGGCCAGTTGTTACGTGCGGGCAGCCGTTCACTTGCGAATATAAGTAGTATCTGTAAGACAGGTATAATAGCCACGCCCTAGATTAGGTAGAGTTTGCCCCGGACAAGAGCAGATACATCCGCAGGTAAACTATCATATGATCTCCACGTTTAAATTACCTCTTTCCATGTATCTTTCAAATAACTCAGAGTGAATGATGCACTGCCGGTAAGTTTCTTCATAGACATGCGAATCTTCTGCAAGCTTTCCAACATGACTGGGTCCATGGTGATCGGTCAGGTAGCACGTCCAGGATCGTAGCAAAGCGAAGAGTGCTGCTAGTATTGGGAGTTCGGCAGTTCTCTGAAGAGTTATAGCCGTTCACAAGGGCTGAAGGTCCTACATTCTAACCCGAAGGAGGTATCGCAGGCGAACCTGGGAAATATCGTAGCAGATGTACTCATTGTACTGGAGGTATGCATTCGGCACGCCCGTGTTGCCGGGCTTGACGGTTGTATCGGGCACTGTGGTATGTAACGTCAGTACATAAAGGGGCTTGAGCAGGCAATGAGCAAGATATCATGGACTGTAGCCACGCGACACTTCTGAGACGGGATTGAACCATGACAACTTGCTTGCAATCCGATATGGGGATGCTTACTTTTGACGCCCTTGAGCGAAGGATGGACACACTCTGCATCTTTCCACTTGCTTGGGCCAGTCATTCCCTGGCCCCAGGTAGACAGTAAGCCCTTCGCCTTGGCATCTTCGTCGGCGCTATAGGAAGCGCCCGTCATAGTCTGCAAAGGTTCACCGAGTTCAGCTTCACACAACAGAAGCAGCGCGTGGCCATTGGTGATGTATGAGGCACAATAGTTTGCAGACTAAACGTCGTCAGCCCTTCCTGCCCTTCACAGTTCACTCGAAGAGAGATTACTCACCTTGGAAGACATGTCTGCCAAGTAGATGCCTTTGCCGAACATGTATCCCGACACTGGAGCTTCAGGCGGTGCAATGCTGCGTATACGTTAACATCCCGTCTTGACACCCGGGTAGCAGATCTCTAGATGAAGAAGGAAGGGTGACACCAAAGCTTAACCTCGAAAACAAGGCTCAGGGTCTTGTGATGGGATGTTTCTATACGTACCGAAGTCCCTGGCTTAGGATACCTCCGAAATTGGTGGCACGCGACCCGTGCCAGAGCAGGCGTCTATCGCGAGGTGTTCCATGTGCGGCCTCGAAACGTTTCAACTCATCTTGTCGCTCGATTCGGAAGATTTGCGAGACTTGGTAGTTGGCATTGTGCGTAGCTCCCCTGGTCTCCATCAAATACTCCCTCAGCTGCAAGAATTCCTGGCTGTTGTTGCTAAGGGGAGTCATCTCGTTCATTCCCAGGCCCTTGAATTGCCGGTCGAGCATGTTGACGACATCTTTCTGCTCCGTCTTCATCAAAAGCGCTGCGTCCTTCATGTCTCCCAAGCTCTCTAGAAGTTCTATTTCTTGCTTGAGCATCGATTGATTCTGCATGACGGGTGGTCGGTTGCGGCCGAAAGCATGGGGAATCAGAGTGTAGAAGAGATTGGACAATTCCTCAGTCGCCTGAGGGTAAGTGGTTTGGTGCTCGGAGGTAGCCAGCGATGGGTTGTTGAAAAGAGCCGAGAGATCCTTCAGCGCCTGATATCCTTTCAGGATGGTCGATTTGCTGAGTTTGCCCAGCGGGAGTTTGGCCGAGTCATAGTTGAGTGCTTCCATCGTCGCAGTGAAGTACTGTTGGTTGAAGATCAACTGCATCAACTCCTGCGTTGGCTTGGGAAGAGTTGAATCAGGTACGTCCTCCTTCTTGACTTCCGACTTGGCAGCCTTTGTGTCGTCGCCACCATCGTCTTCCGAGTCAGGCTCGTAGGATCTTTCAACGAAGGCATATTTGCCCTTTCTGGGTGCATCTGTGCGATTTGCCCACGACAAGCCTGACTTGCCCCGGAACTTGCTATCAAACTCTCGGAGAGCATCGGCCAAACTTCCATCGCCAAGGGTCTTGGATTGACCACCCTCACCAACCCGACCCCACCTGGTCCAAGTTCGGTAGTCACCTGCGACGGAGCGCAGAAGCTGGAATGGTCAGCTGATGAGCTCCTAGAGTCACCCAGGGAGCATTCTGGCAAGGGTCATGTATTCAACAGACAAAGTACATACCTGAATGCGATAGAACTTGTTGTTGTTATTGCTCGCATTGGTCTGGTTCAGAGCAGCGTCGTAAATGACACCAGCGTCATCGATGTACACCTCATAGTTGACAAGCTCTCGCGTAGATGCCTCGTCAACCGGAATTCTGACATCTAGTGACTTCGCAATCTGGCCATCGGCAATCTTGGCTTCTTCCTTCTTGAGCACATTGCTCGAAGCCTTGCTCTTCTTCTTGGGCTGCGACTTCACGTTATCCTCTGCTTCTTCATCTTCGTCTTCATCTGCAGCCACCTTGGCAGCAGGTCGCTTTCGAGAGCCGTTGGTCTGAGACTGGGCTTGTGCTTGGGGCTGGGGTTGGGCTTGAGAAGAAGGGGTCAAGCTAGAGCCAAAGGCGTATGCGTTCTCGTTCTGGCGGACCAATTTGTCAAGAGTGTCCTGCAGCCAAGTGAAGGAGACAATGGGCACATTGTGTGCCTGGGCTGACTTGACCTTGGCCGAGGGCTTCTCGAAGTCAGCCTCAGTGGTGACGAGGTGAGTCGTGGCGGCAGTGACTGATTTGGCCAGAGTGGCACCGAGAACATTGATATAGTCCCGTTCAATGGAGGCCTGGGTCCGGCCAGCAATGGTACCGCTGATGGCAATGCTGCAGCCGTCCAGAGGAGGCGTGCTAGGTGCAGCAGCGGCGGCGGCCTTCTTTCGTGGGGGCATCCTCACAGTCCTTGCATGGATCAGTGGACCGGGGTAGTGATGGCGCGGACGGAGATCAATCGGAACGGGACGTAATTGCACTGACAGAACCTGGGGCAATGGCTATCCCATGTGAAGAACTACCTTAGGGGACCAGGAAAGCTGGCATGAAGGTGAGGGCGTATGGGAAAGTGAACGGAAAGGCAAGATTGGCTGACATTCAGGTCGGCATTTGAATTAAATATTTGGGAAAGACCTGACGCGTTGCGGCGTGGACGATTCTCAGGCAACCGCGGCGCTAGGACCCGGAGAAGTGAGGAAGGGACGCCTCTGGGTCGCGAAAGCACGTGCGTGGTTGGCGCAGCAGGCAGTTGGCACTTGCCCAGGTTTGACTCTTGAGGCCTGGAAAGGGGGCGCCTTGGCAAGCGGGCGGAAGGGATGCAGAGGCCCGCCACGATTAGGTAGGCAGCAGCACTTGCCCCTGCCTCCAATCGTGGCAGTCGTGCTGAGAACATTGAATGGTTGGAAGAGCGACTGTTTCTCATCTGTCGCCTGAACTAACAGTGACAGGTGTCTTTTGATCATTATGTGCTGCGTCTGCAGATGGTGCAGCTGGCGGGCACCTGAATAATTACCTAATGTAGGTACAGTCAAGCCCTGTTGGCAGTGTACTGAACCGATGGCCAGCCTGCTACAAAAAATGTGATGAGTGGAATGGAAGTCGTGGAACGAAACATTCCACCCATGCACAACTGGAGCTGATTACCGCCATCACCAAGGACCTACAGAATGATTCCAACTGCTATCGATATCCCCGAACTGACAACGAACGGAACGAAGACTTGCAGTCGTGTGGTCTGTGCCTCGTGTGGTCTGGAGGAAGTGACAAAGAGTCAAGGACCCTACGAGTGGGGGCACGTTGAAGCTCTCGGATAGCCTCATCGCGGGGCTCCGCTTCGCTTGAGATTGATGAATCTCCCCAGACTTTGTCCATTAGGCGAACCGTAGGGACAAAACTTCTTATCAACGCCACTGCTTCTATTCGACGCCTCGTCATGCAGCACCTGTGTCAGGTCGCCTGCCAGACTTGTCGTGTGAGACCTGCGGAAACCTGACTCGAAATCGTTGCTCGATGAGATCACATAATGAGATACAGTATCTGAGCAGTATGATAAGCGGGCGCAAGCTGCAGCTTGTTTTGCGGGCCTCAGCACACCTCCCCTTGTCTGTTCCCATCGACTACGACCGAAATGGCATCCTGCAAACTCTCCCATGCGCGGATCGTGGTGTGCCAGCCAATGAGCGTCCGCTCTCCCGCTGCTATCAGCAACGGCGACACCGAGCGACCAAGGCGGCTGCCAAGCTCCTGTGCATCTCGGACCGGGATGATAACCACAGAAGCAGAGGAGCAGAGTCAGATAGTGTGGGGGAACTGCCATGCGTTCGATCAGCCAGCTCGAGCTCGTCCAATCATGGCAACGTACGATGGTGAAGGACCATGTTTCGTCCTTCTCCTCGTTGCAGCCATCTTTGTTGATAACCATCTCATATTCCCCCATTCAATGTTACCAGTGAGGGGTGTCGTGAAGCATCCCCAGAACTGACCACCTCTATCAGATCAGAGTTCTCGACACGCCGTGGTGACATCTCTGCATCACAAAGCTCAACCTTAATCCTTTCTCTACGTCTTCCACCTTGCTATTCCGCTGTCGTGGGCTTAGGGATTTACCTCAACTAGGATTACTATTAGTAACCTTAGAAAGTGTTACTCGAGAGAAACTCCCCAAGCGTCGGACCCCAGCCCCAATTGGGCGGCGCATAGTCGAACACTCACACCATGGAGAAGCTGTACGGCTCCAAGCTCAGCCTATGGGCCAATAAGCTTACCGTTGACCATGAGGATGGGTTGACAACGGCCCAGCTGATGGTAAGGCTGCCTCTACCAGCTACACCAGCATCCAAACATGCATCTAATGCAGTGACTCGTCGGAGCAATCTCACGAAGCCATCCAGAACTGACGGCAGTGTAGTTGACAAACCATGATCTCAAACCAGTCGAGCCCGCGCGCCGGCAGTGGGGGTCGTGGAACTTCGTTGCCTTTTGGATTGCCGACTCGTTTAATATCAACACGTGGATGATCAGCTCCAGTATGATCGTCGCCGGCCTCTCGTGGTGGCAGTCATGGCTCTGTGTCTGGATCGGCTACGCCATCGCCGGATGTTTTATATCCGCCACGGGCCGTATCGGTGCCGTGTATCACATCGGCTTCCCGGTACTCAACCGGGCGAGCTTCGGTATTTGGGGTAGCTTGTGGCCTATATTCAACCGTGCGGCCATGGCTTGCATCTGGTACGGCGTACAGTCGTATATTGGCGGGCATTGTGTGTACCTCATGATCCGCTCCATATGGCTGAGTTGGGTGAGTTGTGTGATGGAGTGAGAACTTATAGGTATAAGGCTAATCGTTGTTGTCACTCCAGGATCGTGAGAAGATCCCCAACACCTTCGCAGCAGACTCGGGGACTAGCACAGCGGACTACGCGTCTTTTTTCCTTTTCTGGTTATGCTCGCTGCCGGCTATCTGGTTCCCCGTGCACCAGATCCGGCATTTGTTCACCGTTAAAGCTTATTTCGTGCCTTGCGCCGGCATCGCCTTCTTCATCTGGGCCCTCGTCCGCGCTGGCGGTGCCGGTCCCATCATCCGTCAGCCCGCCTCCCTCTCTGGCAGCGCTCTGGCGTGGGAGTTCATTAAGGGGGTCATGAGTTCTATCGCCAATTTCGCGACACTGATCGTCAACGACCCGGATTTCTCGCGTTTCGCCGGCAAGCCGCGCGACGCATTATGGTCCCAGCTATTCACTATCCCCATCGGCTTCGCCGTCACGTCCTTCATCGGCATCTTCGTGTCGAGCAGCTCCATCATCATCTACCCGGGCACGGAGCCGATCTGGGATCCTCTTGACCTGCTCGAGCGCTTCATCGACGACGGCGGCTCGGCACAGCGCTTCGGCGTCTTCGTCATCGCGCTGGCCTTCGCGCTCGCCCAGCTCGGCACCAACATCGCAGCCAACTCCGTCTCAGCCGGCACGGACCTGACGGCGCTCATGCCCCGGTTCATCAACATCCGGCGCGGCGGGTACATCTGCGCCATCGTAGGGTTAGCCATGTGTCCCTACACGCTCCTGACGTCGTCGAACCAGTTCACCACGTACCTCTCGTCGTACGCCGTGTTCCTAAGTTCCATCGCCGGCGTCATGTGCAGCGACTACTACCTCGTGCGGCGGGGCTACCTCGAGGTGCGGGAGCTGTACGACGCGCGCCGCTCGGGGCCATATTACTACACCTACGGGTTCCACTGGCGCGCCTACGCGTCCTACATCGCTGGCATCCTGATCAACGTCGTCGGCTTCGCGGGCGCCGTCAACGGCCCCGGCAGTGTGCCCGTCGGCGCCACCTACATCTACAACCTCAACTTCTTCGCCGGCTTCATCGTCTCGAGCGTCATGTACTGGGCGCTGTGCCGCCTGTTTCCCGTGCCCGCCTGCGCGGATACGTGGACGGAGGTTGGTGACCAGATTGATGATGTGCGGCTGGCGTACGATGGCGGCGGCCATGGCTTTGAGCACGGTCGACACAGCACGAGTGGCGGCAGCCAGCCGGAGTTCGATGAGGAGGCTGTGCTGGGGAATAAGTATGGCGAGGCGCACCAGAAGTCGGTGTAGTGTGGTGCTGGGAAGACAGTGGAGAGGAGAAGCTGGTATAGCTAGCTATGGCTGGCTGACACGGGAGCGACATCGGGGAGCGCCAGATGGTCGATCTATGATTCGTAGATCATAATTCGCCTTTGTTTTTGGATATAGGGCGCTCTGTTTTGGACAGTTGAATGATACCTTCGCCGTCTACAGTGAATCCTCATAAGTCTCTCGGTCTCCGTACACCATTCATTCACCAAGCGAAAGGTGCGTTCGCTATAAATGGAATAAGCACGCTGGAATAAGCATCAAAGATGACTTTATATATATAAGCTGCTTATTCCAGTGTGCTCAGTCCACGGATATTAATATTCTGTCGATGTCTAACTACATGCGGCACGCAGGACGGAGACTCATCATCATCTTATGGGGGTAACTGTACCGCTGAATCGAGTTTTTCGAGAGATGTTCTTGACATGTAGGTGGACTACGGTTTCACTGTGAAGATGGAGATGGAGCTTGAGTGAAGACGTCAAAGCCGTATGTCAGTCAGTCGATAAGGTAAGTACTCTTGCCTACCAACGTTCGTGCAGTTGGCAAAGTGTTTGGTTTGTCTGGGAGAAAATGCTGTAGAAGACGGGATCCTTGCATCTGATCTCCACGAACCGTTCCAGCACCAGGGATGTCCGATGGAGGACCTATGTATGTCTTCCAAAGCATTGGTGCACTGAATTGGCAATCTTCTAAGCGGTGTTGTGGAATGATGGGCGCATCTTAGTATCTACTCAGCGGCTCTATCGGGAAGTCAACGCACCCATAAAGAAGGACCAGCATGGCGGCAAAGAGGTTGACAATATAACGCGTTGAAAATCGGAACAGACTGTCAAAGAGTCGGGAAAAAGAGTTGCATAATCACCTGAACTAAGAGATTGATTGATTGATTGATTGTATTTATCGTGGGTGCAGTCCCTCAACAGGACAAACCACGCCTCCCAGAGCCATTGCATCGCAAGGTTGTAGAGGTGTCAGTCTAGATACATTCAGATCCGCGCACGAGCCTATCCTCGCTGTAGCGGTACTAATCTGGAGTGTCCAGATGGTTTTAGTCAATACCCAAGCACGATTCCGTCAGAAAAACCTCCTGTCCAGTGACAAAGCGACCCAGTGAACCTCAGTCCTCTGGTGTACACATCGTTCCAGTAGCCGTTCGATATATGTCGCATTGGTGGGTGAAATAGGTGTTTGTTATCTGCTGGCGAGGGAAACCACAAGGGGAAAAATCTCGCAGGAGTGGGTGTTATGGAGACAAGCTGCTTAGCTATCGGGCTCTGCGATAATGGCTCTGCGATAATGGGGCCTCTCCACTGTCGTGTGCTGGTTGTCGACTCGCACAAGCCGGGTCAGAAGGGGGCCATAACAGGATTCGAACCCACTTGTTCTCGTCACCCACCGCACAAACGAGAACACAACCAGGCACATTTGACCATTGCGCCATACGGCCCTGAACTAAGAGATGGTTCTCCGGAAATCAAGCGGAATAATCATCCAAAAGGCTGGTTATACCACAACTGCAAAATGGAACAATGCATTGCTCATGTGTCAAGTCAGGGGAATGTGTTGTCTTGTTGCCAACTCTAATATCTACAAAGGTGCGTAGCTCTCACCACGACCCTCGTCGAGGTCTCATGCACCACCGTAGGAAGATACAGTGGATTTCCCGCCCCAGAGGCAGGGCACCAATATCAACGCCAACAACCTTTTTGTCATCAGTCTTCGTCACTTTCGCTTTCGTCACTGTCGTCGTCTGGGTCGCTCGAGTCGCTTTGACTCGTATCGCCGCCGTCTGTGTCATTGGTCGGAGGCCAAGTTACGAACGAAGACTTGGCGTAATCTTTCAACGCGTGGCTCAATGAGTGCGCACTTCCTGACCACGACTTGAGCTCCGGGCTCCTGGGGCCCCCCGAAAACCCAACCTTGCATACGTGGTATGGAACCTGGCATGTCTGGCTGACGTTGGAGAGCAAGATTCTTGACAGCTGCAAATCAAGTTCCGCCAACTGGTCAAAGAACTTTGCCCATATATTGACCTTCTCGGTGGCCTGGTGAGGACCGCGGAGCGCGACTTTGTGCAAGGCAGTGGTTCGGAGCGTCTTGCTGTATCGCTTGTACAAACTGAGAAGCAGCTTGGGCTCCAGCGGGTCTGCTTCAGTGAATCCAATCTCCAGGTGCTTCAGTGAGAAGTCCGGTGCCGGTACTGGTTTCAGCAAGTGTTTCAGCAAGTCACCTTGCGTTGGCAATACGTTTGCAGCCTGCAGGCCGTCAGCTTCTAAGAAGAAAACAGAAGGGATATATCTGGACGTCTATTGTTTTCTTACTTGCGGAGTTTGAGAAAGCCACGAGAGGATGTCCTTGGTTCCATCTTGATGGCACCCCTGAAAATTCAAACGCAGGTGCTCGAGCGGCTGTGCTCTCAGGAGGAATTGCGAGAGCATATAGCCATGGTGAGTCATCACGTTTGTCTCGGCCATGGGAAATATTGAATTGAGGTCCAAGAAGATAGCCTTGAGGTTTGCGAGTACCGAGGAGATGCTCGCCTCAAGGTGGGGAGGGATGTCGAAGGCACCATCGGAAAGCTGGGCGTGGCGTAAAATGACTTCAAGACGTTGGGGCTTTGCACAATCTGCAGTGGTGTCAACGCGCTGAAGGACGTGGTAGATGGAATAATTGTGAAACGAGAGGTGCAGTGACTCCTCTTCTCATCTGTACACCCAATTCCGAGTTTTTGAGATAAGGACACTGGAATAAGCAGTGATGAAACCATAAGTCTCATGCGATGCTTATTCCAGGGTGCTGCCATAAACATGAATACCTGTTGGTATCATGAAGCCTCATCGACATATGCGGATGGAGACTCATGAGGGATGATTGTAGGGGTGGAGGTCTCACCTGTATGACCGTTCATTCTCCCCAGGGCTGTCAAGATGGCGAGAAAGACATGCCGAATGTAACTGGCACTCTCGCTGTCGGGCGCACGCTCGCCAGGCGTGCCACTCGGTCGCTCGAAGCGAAAAGTCGTCTCGGTTTGGGTCCCATAACTATGCCAAACAGTGCCATCACGATAACGGGTCCTTGAGTTGAAATCTCGCATTCCAACGGTTTCAAGGTTTGGCAGCTTCTGCAGTGCCTCAGCCAGTAGGTCAACGTGACGGAGGGTGTCGATGAGGTTTTTGTGGCCCCCTGTGTGTATGTTAGTGCCTTGCTGTTGAGATCAAATAATGAAATGGTTTGGGTTAGGGTCTCCGAATGGAATAATATACGTACGCCACACTGCAATGTGCTGATTCTTGCGGGCAGCTAACTCAGAGGGGGGGAGGCCTGGTAGTATCCATTGATCGACGAACTTCAGTGTCGGCCGCTCCAAGTTGATGACGAGGTAGGTGAGGCTGGGACCGAAGCGCGACTGTGCAATATCCACCAAGGCCTGCAAGCTGAATTCAGCGATGCAGAACTGTCTCTTAGAGAAGAATTCTCTGGCAAAGTCCTTGAACAGAGAAGCCTCGATGTGTTTGCAGGTGCGACGGAGAGCACAGTACTCGGGAGTGGTGAGGTAAGAGGTGATATGGGTGAGGACCTCCAACGGCATTGGCAGGAGGGGGCTCTGAATCGAATCCATTGCGATGGCGGCGTGGGCAGATTGCCGTGGTGAAGGAGGTAAAGAGAGTGAGGTTGTGAGTGAGTTTGTGAGTGAGGGCGCAGGTGGCGGCGGGATGAAGACGGTGATGTTGACTCCAGGCAGAACCTAGGCAGCGGTGGTTCCCAGGTCGTTGTGTTAGGAGAGGCGAAAGAGTAGGTCACCTGGGATTCAAAGTACCGGTCGCCGGTCGGGCCATTGATGAAAATATTTACAACGGAGTAGGCACCAGTCTGGTAGTTATTCCACTGGATCACGGCGTAATTGACTGATTAGCTTAGGTGCTTGTACGAATTATTATTTGGGGGTACAGAGTGTGCCAACAGGCAGAATAGGTATGTGGTCCGTGCGCGTCTAAATATGCAGGGATATGGATCTGAGCTGACGATGTGCGGGCACGACGCGCTTCCCAGACACGTTCCAGTCCGCGTTCCAGTCTGCGTTCCAGTCTTCCTGTCACAAACCCCATCAAGAATAACGTTGATTTAAACAAGTGCTCCAGTAGCCCACCAATCCGAATGATGATGAACTAAAAGATTCATGATAACGGTTCTTAATGTCTGTTTGCTGCTATGTACACAAGTCCCCAAAGCCCTCGTGAAGAGTGCGCATTCACCAATCAGACCGTCTTATCAAAGAAGTCCAGGATTGCTGCGTAGGTTGTCGGCCAGGAGTATTGCTATGTGCTTATTAGTAACAACTCTTCAAAAGCACGTCTCCTTTGGCATGCAAGACTCACAAGGTTCAACCCGTGGCCAGTCGCAGGCACAATCACAGTCTCAAAGTCCGATGTATTACCGAAGTATTGCTTGGAAGAGGAAGGCGATGGGTCGGCAGCCAGGCAGTTGCCGCCGCAGAATGGGATATCGCGGTCTGTATCAGAAACGTCAGCTCTACCCCTATAACACGTGGTCTTCGCTCTAGCACGATTGAAACAGAGGAGCAGAGAGCAGCACTCACCTCCGGTAATCACAAGCACCGGTCCTCCAAACGAGTTATTGCTAGCCGCAGGCCCTGAGAGTGTTAGCAGCTCCCCCACAGTGACAGGCTGGCCTGTCATATACGCCTCCGCCAGTACTGCCGGATCAAATTCGCCCAAAGCGAAAAAGTTCGTCTGGACGCCCGACGCGTCTCCAGCTGCCAGGTAACCGTTGGGGTAGTCCTTGAGTGCATAGGCCGCCCCGTTCGCTTCAACGAAGTTGCCCCCGAGCAGGAAGTATGCCGCGTACATGGGCGCCTGGCTGAAGCCCGTGAGCGCAATGCCGTCCGAGATGGTCGGGTCCATGGCCGTGAGTCCATACGTCTGGATCGAGCCGAAGCTGTGGCCCACATGCACGATCTTGTCATAATGGGTCGTGACGCCGGGCAGAGTCGCTTGCCTCAACATGGCTGTCAGTGACCGGAGAGCTGCGATCTCGAGCCATGACTGGATCTCGTTCACAGGCTCTCCGTGCGAGGATTGGTGGATGCCGAGGCGGTCAAAGGCGAAGGTGCTGTATCCCTTGGCGATGGCTGCGTTCACATAGCTGTAGTTGTAGTTGTTGAGCGGGAAGTCCCAGTACGATCTGTCGAAGCCGATGCCGTGGGTGAGGACCTGCAGAGTCTTACCGGGTCCGGCGGTTGGCTCGCAGTAGGTCGCCGCAATGGAGTAGTTGCCCTGGACGGTCGCGTACTGATCATGTTAGAGCCGTCGTCTCCAACTTCCCAGACATTTGGGGTAAAGGGGGGAGAGTTCTGCTTACGCCCTCTAGCACTGCTTCAGTGTAGTTCTTGCCCGGCTGTGCTTGGTTGAGGATGAAGTCGGTGACCTCAATGTTATTCGATGGCGCTGTCAGATTGAAGAGTCCATTGCGAGCTGATATCGAGACGGGAATTGTGAGATTATGGCATTGGCGGGCTGGGTTCGCTGCGTCTGTGACAACGCCAGGAGCGCATGGACTGGCCGAGGCTCTGGCCGTGAGAACTCCTAGGAGGGTAAGGAGAGATGACTTGGCCATCGAGTTACTCGTGCCAGTGATAAGGAGAGATATGGTATACTTGAACGTTAGATGTACAATCGCAGGCAAACAGTGAAACATGTAGATGAGACAGCAATGTTCGCGACCTCGGGCTCACCTTATACTCCAGCCCAAGGGCCATGTGACAGTGTGAGTTGCTACGGAAGGCTCAACTCCATTCGCTCATTCCTCCAGTCACCGAGACATGCACCGTTCTATGATGGCATTCCTTCGGCAGTTGCGGGGGCTCTAAACATTAGTTGCTCCCAACACGGAAATGGTTCATGTTCGGGCTGTTCGGGTAGCAAGGATGGTAGTAGATAGCGCGACGCTATACCGGGGGGTTTCTCGGTCCGTACTAGAAAGAGCCTTATTCTTATGCTTCAGTACTGTTGATCACGTTGTTGATCATAATAGAAGTCCCACTTCACGTATATCCCCCTTATCTTCTGGCGGAGAGTACGGACCCATAGCGTCGGGCTACCTACTACCATCCTTGCTACCTTGGCTGCTTGGTTCATGTTGAAGGTGCGGACACTGCGCGAAATCAACCCGCAGCATGCAGGTACATGTGTAATGCGATTGGCTACCTATGTGAGGCCGAGGCTGCCGGGCTGCCGGGGTTAAGCTATAGCTGCATATTGGGGTAGCTCGGGGTATTTGGTGATTCCCGTAGCTTGATGACGGTCCACGGATAGCATCAAGCCGCCCAGCCGAATACCTGCTTGGGCCAAAACTAGCGTCCAACTGAATTCCGATAACATAGACATCGCACCACAGAGAGACGGGCTCGAGACGGGATAGTGGCCCCCGAGCGGTGAGAATCCCTGTATGCTGCAGTGGTTCAATAACAGCCCCCTCGGATAGTCGGATAGTCGGTGAGCCTGTGCATCCGAGTATCGGTGACTGAATACGATATGTAGCTCGGCTATACGAGCCGTGGTGAAGGTTAATTAAAGTACTGAACTCTAGAATATGAAGTTCTCAGCGCCTTCGTGAGGTGTGGCACTCTGGAGAGGGTGTGAGATTTCTAAATGTTCTGTATTAGAAGAATAGCCGAATGGCTTGATTCACCAGGCAAGTGATTTTGATTGATTGATTTTATTTATCGTGGGTGCAGTCCCTCAACAGGGCAAACCACGCCTCCCAGAGCCATTGTATCGCAAGGTTGTAGAGGTAGGTGTCAGTCTAGATACATTCAGATCCGCGCACGACCCCATCCTCGCTGTGACGGTACCAACCTGGAGTGACGAGATGGTTTTAGTCAATACCCAAGCACAATTCCGTCAGAAAAACATCCTGTCTAGTGACAAAGCGACCCAGTAGACCTCAGTCCTCTGGTGTACATATCGTTCCAATAGCCGTTCAATATATGTCGTATTGGTGGATGAAACAGGTATTTGTTATCTGCTGACGAGGGAAACCACAAGGAGAAAAATCTCGCAGGAGTGGGTGTTATGGAGACAAGCTGCTTAGCTATCGGGCTCTGCGATAATGGCTCTGCGATAATGGGACCTCTCCACTGTCGTGTGCTGGTTGTTGACTCGCACAAGTCGGGTCAGAAAGGGAGCCGTAACAGGATTCGAACCCACTTGTTCTCGTCGCCCACCGCACAAACGAGAACACAACCAGGCGCATTTGACCATTGCGCCATACGGCCCACCAGGCAAGTGACCTCCGATGTCTATCTAGTCAGGTGATCCCACAGGATAACCAATATATGTGCTCAGGCTAGGTACGCCACTGAGCGCATGGGATCTCGAGGTCAACGCGACCAACCAACATCCGCCTTTTCTTGAGACCTTCTGCGTCAAGCGGCTCCGCATACCCTCGTGTGGTTTTCCACGCCATCGGGTCATGTTTCTTGATAAGCTGACGGAAGGCGTTTTGACATGAGTCCTGCTATTTGCACCTTGTGAGAATTTCTTATTTGCGCCTTGTCTCCCTATCCCACCTGCCAGCCAGCTGCTAGCCCCCTATTCCAGCACAACTGTACCAACAACTGCGACGACAACTGTACCAACAGCTAGAACGACAACTGCGCCGACAACCTTAATTTAATGGTAAGCTGTAAGCTTAGCGGGTAGCTGTAGCTGCCTGGGTAGGTAGAAGTGGAGGCAAGGTGCAAATAAGGAGTACTGGCAAGGTGCAAATAGCAGGACTCTTTGAGATGCCAGTTATGGTGGTGGTGGCCTCAGTCGGTAGATTGTCTGGATATTACCTAATGCCTTCCGCGTAGTGGCCACGTACTCGCTATATGTGAGGTTCATTGCCTTGCACCAAGGCTCGGCATCCAGTTCGGCCTCAGGAAATCTGTCATTCTCTGTGCTCATCACCGCGCCTGGCATGAAAACACCAACCTGCTTTGGCTTCAGGTTAGAGATGGACTCCAGCGAAATGCTTGGCGAGCTCGGCGAGCACCTACAAGGACAACGACAACCTCCGATCTATTATTGCAGTCGCCCGCTGCAGATGGCAGTCTTCGCCCACTGTGGGTGTACCGATGTCCTCAATTAAGCGTTTTCCATCTGCCGAGAGTGGCATTATTAGTCGCGGTGCAAGGTCCAGATCACTGACAAATTTCGTTTCCAGTACGTTTAGATCTGCATCGTCAAAGAAGGGTGACGAGTACACAGTCAAGCCTTTCCGTCGTGCTCCTCAACAGCCTAATCATCTACCATGACAGTAAATAGTAGATACTTCGAGGGAGGCATCAATAAGAGGGTTGGTTGTATTAGTAGAAACTGCATGAACAGGGGGTGTGTGGGATGAAATATATATTAAGGGAAAGACCACCCAGGGGAAGCCCAGAAGAGTGCTACCTATGTGAATATCATAAGCAATGATGGAGTGATCTGTCTAGGCGGTTAAAAGAAAGTCTTACACAACCACCTGGTTTAAGGGGCTACTCTATGGGCAGTCATGATTGACTGATTGATTGTATTTAACGTGGGGGGTAGCTCCTCAGTAGTGCAAACCACGCCTCCCAGAGCCTCTGTATCGCAGGGTTGTGGAGGTCTCAAGATAATAAGTACAGTCAGTCCCGCTCACGGGCCCATCCCCGTTGTTGCGGCGGTATGACCTTGGGGTCATCCATCTGGTCCTTCAAGAAAAGCTATCAACTCTACGGGCAGTCATGATGATGATGATGATGATGATGATTGTATTTAACGTGGGGGATCGCTCCTCAGTAGTGCAAACCACGCCTCCCAGAGCCTCTGCATCGCAGGGTTGTGGAGGTATTAAGATAATAATGATTGATTGATTGTATTTAACGTGGGGGATCGCTCCTCAGTAGTGCAAACCACGCCTCCCAGAGCCTCTGCATCGAATATTAAGATAATAAGTACAGTCAGTCCCGCTCACGAGCCCATCCCTGTTGTTGCGGCTGTATGACTTTGGGGTCATCCATCTGGTCCTTCAAGAAAAGCTATCTATCAGGGACAGATTGATGAAAAGAACTTGCTCTTCTTAACAAATTTGCCCATTCCGCGCTCCTCTCCTCCAAGTATTGTAAACAGGCTGCCCTAGGCGAGTGCCTCGGCAGCAGTCAATTTTTCCCAAGCCTCTTACAAAAGAAAATATGTTGTGGTGTTTTCTTCTTACCACAGTTGCAGTGGTCATTCGAGTCTATATGCCCAAAACGTTCGTGATATCTAGCAAAGTCGCCATGTCCAGATCTGGCCGCTAGAAGTCTGTGTAGAGTGCTCTTTTCAAAAGATATAAGGTCCTTTTTAGTTATTATATGTGAGTATACTTCTTGATATCTAGGTTCTGATTGGTCTTTCTGTTATTGATAGAATTCTTTCTTGCCCTTTCTTTTAAGATCTTTTTTTACCTAAGAGATTATGGAAAGGTTTGTCATGTCTGATTCTAGTATGGCACCCTCTTTTGTTAGTATGTCAGTAGCTTCGTTGCTATTGATATCTCTGTGTCCAGGAGTCCACATGACGGTCACTCCAGGAGTATGTGCTGTGGCAAGTTCTTAAAATCGTAGAAAAATATTCTGTGATGTCTCGGGTGGAGTCCCATTGAGCCTATCTACCACTGATGTGTTGTTCAGGCAGATATATAGCTGTTTTCTGCGTTCAATTGCCCTGACTGTTACAAGCCCTTAGAGAGCGCTATGGACTTCAGCATCTATTACTTCTGTTTAGAGAAGTCTATCCTTTCCCCGGTATACTTCTTGTGTAGTGTTGCCTTTTCTGATGATGTAGCCCCATCCAGTGCGGGTTGTGCCTTTGTCGTCCAATTGTGATCCATCTGAGTAGATGACAAGGTCAGTATTCACATTTCTCTCTTATAATTATTCCTTGAAGAGCTCTGTCTTTTTGTCTTTGTCCTTTCGGATTGGGGGCGTTTTTTATGATGGCTTGGTGAGTATTGGTCTCTAGAAGTTAGGGACTAGCTGGAAGTTCCTTTGTAGCCTTATTGGTTCCTTGCGAGCTTGTATTTGGAGCCTGCCAATAAGAGGGTATCTTTGGTCTAAATGTCCGAGTCATAGGCCATGATGCCGTCTTATTGCCTCTGCAAGAACTTCTGCTAGAAGTATCTGTGATTCAAAGTGTAGGATATGTCCAGGATGTGTTTTCCAGACCGGCAGGATAACCCTGATTGCTGTTCGTAATACAGTATCTATCGTTCCAAGAAGCCCCTTAATGCGACATGCTGATGTCTCACCTGAGCTCCTGATTTTTTTGATTCCTGGGTACCAGGCCTCTAAGCCATGTGTAAGAATAGGAATAACACAAACTTTTACAGCCCTCCCGGTTGACTTTACTGGGAGTCCTTTAACTGTGTTGTATAGTCCTCAAAAGTGATTTGCTACCTTACTAGCTTTCTTGGCCCAGTAAGAAACATGATCTTTGAAGTTTAGTTTTCTATCTAGAAGGACACCTAGCCATCACATGGAAACCTTTGTTATTTTGTTCATTGTCCCGTGGCGGACTGGAGGGTTGTCTGAGTTCTTTTTCCTTGAGAAGTGCATGATCTCAGTTCTGTCAGGGTTAAATTTAATAGCATTATTATGTCCCTATTGACTGAGCAAATAAAGATTTTTAGAAGCCTCTGTAGCTATTTCTTCAAGGTTCTTTCCAATGCAGAGAGTCGCTAGGTCGTCTATATATCCAAAGCGTCTCTTTCTCATACCAAGTCGGGCACAAATTGGCTTTATATATAGCATGTAAAGGATTGGAGAGGCTGGTGAGCCTTGTGGTAACCCATAAGTGAGAGCTTTAATATCGGTCACAATACCTTCAAATCGAACCCTTGTGGACCGCTCGGACATGAATGACTGGACCCATCTTATGAGAAAGCCCGGCCAGCCCTGTTCTCTCATGCGAACCACCAGCTGTCCCATTAGGGCAGCATCAAAGGCCCCTTTCACATCTGACGTGACTACTGTTGTAATGAGGCCTTGGTCGAGGGCCTGCTCAATATTGTGTATGAGTGCAGCTACCAGGTCAGTGGCAGAGCGCTTTGGTAGAGCTTCAAAATGTTGTGGAGCTAGAATTCCAAGTTTGATAACAAACCAGGTAATTGTTTTTGCGATGAGTCGTTCTAGGCCTTTGCCAAGACACGACAATAGCGATATTGGTCTGTAGGCCCTGGGATTGGAGTAGTCTTTCTTTCCTGGTTTTGGGATCATCACTACCTCAGCTACTTTGAATGGTTTAGGGTGGTGTCCAATCTGTAGACAGGTCTGGAAAAGGGCTCTGATATGTTCCCCAATGAATGGCCAGCAAGCTTTCAGAATCCGTACTGTGAGGGTATCTATTCCCGGGGAGTTGCTCTTGGTCCCTAAAGTGCACCTTTTAGCCTCTTCCAGTCCGACATGGTATTCAAGGGGGATATATGGCTTGGGTTGTGTGATCTGAGCGGACCAGGGGTCAATGATATCGTTGTCTGAGGTACTTCGTTCAAGCGTGGCTAAGCGTAATGCATTTGCCTTGCTCTCTTGTGACTCGAATATTTGGTCTCCTATGATGATTGCAGGGGAACGCAATCCTGTTGATAGCTTGTGCTAAGAGACGATTCTGTATAGGTCCTTTGGATCAGTTGCTGAATCAATTAAAGTCTGCCAGTACTCTCTCCTAGCTTTCCAAACCACGCGGCGAAATTCCTGTCGGGCTGAATTCCGCCCTTCTTGGCTTGTAGTCTGTTTAGAAAGGGCCCTATATGTCTGAACAGCTGCTTTGCAGTCATCATTCCACCAAGCAGTGGGCCTAGATTGACGGGGCTTCTTGCCCACTGTCCTGATACAGCCTTGGATCATGTTGATCAAGCTTTGTGTAAAGGCATCTACCTGGCCAGGGGATACACCCAGCCGGGGGAGTTCATAAATCCTGGTTTGGACATTGTCTGCCAGCTCTTGTAGTTTATCGTCCGGTACTATTTACTGATCAGCCTTAGGGACACGGTCCAGGTCTCCTTGAATTGGGAAAACTATTCGTAATGTCTCATAATCTGAAGTGCACTGGAGTGCATTATTCACTGAGGCTTTGGCCATGGGGACATCTGAGAAAACCAGATCTAGTACATTCCTGTCATCATGTGTTGGGACATCTGGTTCAGAAATCAGATCCAGTCCATGGTCTGCCATAGTCTGTGCAAGTATAGCACCACTATGATATCCTGGATTGCTTGAGTCCCAGGATGTATCGCTAGCATTGAAATTTCCAGCTATGACACAGCCAAAGGGTAGAGTCCATACTTCCAGAATATCATCCACTTCCTGTGGGTTATGGCATAGTCAGTAGACGCTGGCAAATGTAATACCTCGTACCTTGACCCAAGTGATGTCTCGTATAGCGTAAGGCCGAAGTTGATCCGTTTAAAGATATCTTCTTATATAAATGAGAGATCTGGGCTGTGTACTATCACTGTCCCAAGAATCCATTGGGGAGTATATATCGTAATTAGGGTATGTCTTTACTCCCATTCTTCTGCCTGGTGGAATGCCAACCCAGGGCTCTTGTATCAGAATGATGTTTGCTTGTTCTCCTTTATAGTCAGCCAGGTTAATGACTAACTCTGTAGGGCCTGCACTCTTTTGTCCTCCTGCTGTATTCATAGAGTGGATGACTAGATGCCCGTGTTAATATGTTTCATTTGATGTACCTAGCATTGACTGATAATAATAGTGTCGGCATCTCTGGGATGAGCTGTATCTGTTGTATCGATTTGCATTGTGGTGTCTTTGTTATTGTTGCTAAGTGTTGACCCAGCTTGGTTTCTGCCTGTTTCATTGAAGACCCTAGATCTGGCTCTTTCTCCGGCCAGTCTTATTTCCTGGATTTGCTCCCATATGTGCTTATGGATGATACCTTTCATGACCTTGGGGCGTGCAGGGCATTTGTCGAAGTCAGCAGCATGAGGCCCCTTGCAGTTGACGCATTTTGGGATCAATTTTTCACAATCCCCCTGGTGTACTGCGCTGGCACAACGTGCACATACTTGCTTTTCGCATCAGTAGTTCCTACCATGGTATCTGAAGCAGCTGGCACACTGGTGAACCTTGGGGGAGTATTGAATGTGCCTCGAGGTCATTAAGTGAGCAAAAAGCGTAAATGGTTTCTTTGCTGCACAGGGTAGAGAGATCACCTATGTAGTCTCCGCATCAGAATCAACTGTGTTCCTTAAGAGTATGCACCTTAAAGGTCTGTCACCTGTTTGGGCTTCAACTTTATCAGTAATAGCAATATCAGTAATGTCGATTATCAACCCTTCCACACTGATGATCTTTCTTGGGCATCTATTGACCTTATAGTGATACCAGACCGTGTGGGTCTTGATCTTTTGTGCCTTAAGAATGTCGGTGATTTCTTCTTAAAAGGCCAGAAGCTTGGCCTGAGTTGGCTTGTCCCTTGGGTATAAGGTAAATCCGGAGGGGCACCGGGTTACTTCTCTAAGCTCTTGAGGGTGGAGCTTAAGTCTTTTGTTCAGTGTAGACTTTATTCTGTAAGGCTCTAGGTGGCTATTATCCATGCGGACAAAGACCCAGAGATCATCCTGTTTTTTTTTCAATTGATTGGTAGTGATAAGGGCGCCAGGCTGTATTTTCTTTATGGTAGTGTTGACTGTCCGTGGATGCTGTTGTTGGCTAGAGAAGACAGCTTGGGCAAAGGTCATGGTGGGCTTCACCATCCTTATTCCCCCAAGAATGGTCTTTCTTTTGGGCGGATCTCGGGTTTCCAGCCACTCGCTTAGGCATTTAGAGAAGAAAGCGCTGAACTCCTTGGCATAAGAGTATAATTCAGTTCCAGCTTTCTTAAGTGTCTTATCAACTGCTGCAGCACACTCCTGAAACATTGTCATCCTGGCTTTATAGAGGTGCTTGTCTTTAGCCAGTATTTTGGCAACTTGGTTCTGGCACTTTAAGGAAGAGGCTTTATTCCCTATATCGCGTGTAATGGCTTGGTTTGTAGAGATTTTGTTTAATTGAGGTCGTTTCATTCCAGTGGTGCTGTTGTTATTAATATTTCGGGATTTTCCTTTCAGAGGGGAAATAACGGTAAAGTCAGCCTCGGAGACCTGTGACGGGCTGCTGCTGATATCGTCGAGCAGCGCCTGACGGAGCCTGCTCGGAGTTGCCGGGCCGTATGTCTTTTTAGGGGCGGGGGATTTGAGCACGCCGCCGGTGGTCGTCTTCGGGACGGCCACGGGCGTGTTTGGGGGCCGTCGTGAAAGGGTGCCATCCGGCTTGTGAGAAAAAATTTGTTGTGCCTTGGCGCTACGGGCAGTCAACTCGGATTATAAATGCATCACGGCTCATTCCATTGTTAGGTGACTGCATTCGATAATAAATCACTGCTTGTTCCACAGCAAACCATCTCGCCGCGCACCTCCCACTCTTCCGCTGCATATGTTTGGATGAGGAGGGCTCATAGTGAAGGCCGGGATTCATTGCCGTTGTGCGCAGCGAAAGGTAAGTTGGTACTGGCAGTGCAGGTGATGTAGGTGAGTCAGATAGGTGCTTGCCGACCAACTGTTATCAACTGTATTAAGCACAAGCATGATTGAAACAACATTAGCAATTGTTTCACGAGCGAACGAAGGGCGAAAAGCTTTAGTTAGTATGGAATGCTTCTTCCTTTCTCCGGGCTGACCAACCGTCGTCCATGTTGGCTCTATGAGTCTCGTGGTGAAGTGCCTTACGATGTAGCTACTGCATGGTGGTTTCATGATGATGGCCCGGCATAGCAGTACCTTTGACAGTATATATAATTCGTGGAAAAGGGGGAAAATAAGAGAATAGAGTGATATGCCTTATGGAGCATTACTATTTAGGTAATGCAAGTCATTAAGGAAAACATTCAACTAGCAAACATCGGACGGTAGTAACCACGAACTTCCCAAGAAGCACATATGACCATGAAATTTATCCAAGAGAGGTGTAGGAAGCAGAGGAAACAAACGAGGTGCAACTAAATGACTTGAAATCCAGAACCCACGAAAAGATACTATATAATAACATACACGGCACCACCGTTTTGGAAATCCAACTGCCACTACATATTTCCGGGTTTTCTGTCCCAGAGATACGGTGCTGGTCACCTAGGAGGTAGCTAAGGAGAGGGATGAAGCACCCTGCATGGAAGCTCGACTTGTAATTCAAATACATACATATGCCTTGCAGAGCCATCAGGCATCTACACACACCGTCCGCTGTACTCTGTTACCCCAGCGTCCACTTGAGTTCTTTTCCACGCGCTTTTTCCCCCATCGCCACTGCTTTCGCTGCACCACGCAGTCAGCCGGCCCATCTTCACCTTTGTCAAGCTGAGTTAACCAGCTTGCCATCATATTCATCGTCCGTATTTCGCCTCTAATCTCAGCATCGCACACGAATATTTCCTCAAGATCAACACACTGTGTCAACAACATGGGTCGATCTAGTAAGGCTCTCCGAGCGAAAAAGCGAATCATCGCAGCCGGCGAGGATAACTCTGCGGGCCCTTCTGCTGCGCTCCTCGCCCCAGGTCGTCAACCACACACGCTCGCCGGCGCAAACCTCTCCGAGTTCAAGTACGAATTCCCTGGTTTCTACTTCGGCCCCGGTCAATCCAGCCTGCTGGTACGTATAAAACAGGTCCCTCTCACGCCTACAGTCCTCACTGCTGTGACTATGCACCTCCTTTCACTTTGGTCCTGTACTAACACTTGATAGTAAGTAAATCTGCCGAACTCTACCCATCCCCTCTCCGAACCCAAACGCAGACCATAGGAACTAACCAAGACCTCTTCGACAACAGCAAGAATGAGGAGCTACGAGGTCTGCTCGCCACAATGGGAGTGCGTTTTATGTACCAGGCCACACCGCACCTCCTTTCGCTGCTTTCCGCCATCTTCCGCTTCGCGTCCCAACAGCGAGAACACTACGACGTCAACAACGAAACCGACGCCATGAAGAACGCATTCTACGCGCGCGTCGTAGCCGCTGGTAGCGCCGACACAGGCCCGCAGTCGAAAGTGCCCCCCAACATGGGCCAGCTCGAAGCTGTCAGTGTCCGCAAGCTCACCGACCTCTATGTCGACAAGAGAAAGAGCTTCCAGAAGCGCCAGATGCGAAAGGGCACGTCCGAGCAGGACGAGGGCAAGGGAAATGACAGAAACGACGACGAGAACGACGACGAGGATGAGGTCCAGATCGAGGACAATAACAAGGACAAGGCTGCCGGGGACAAGTACACGAAGAAGCAGACGGTTCTGCTGAAGTACATCGACCAATGGATCGACTGGGTGGAGGTTCAAAAGGACCTCCTCCGATTCCTCGATGCACATGAGAAAGCATGAATAGGATGGATGCTGTGTCCGTTCTGCCGCCTGGTTCTGTTGTCTCTTCCCTGGCTTCTCTCTGGTCACAGGCAAGGTAAACGCCCCTAACCTATTCCGATTGAACTGCGCTGAATCGCCTAGAGCAGCAACATGAAGGGTTCGACTCCCTAGACTTCGGTATTTTTTTCTCTTGTTGTCTGTCTCTTCGCAGCTCGCCGCTGAAGGACTACGGGTCCACGATCGCCTGGCGCGGTTGGGTTCGAATCCCTCTGCTTTTGTTCTTGTTTCTTGCTCGGCTTGTAGGCTACGAAGTATGACGCCGCCCGACAGGTCAAGAAGGAAAACCTTCTGGTGAAGTTCGTGGATCGCTGGATTCAGTGGCTGGAGGTAGAGAGGGAAAGGCCGTCGACTCGGGCTTCTTCGAGGCCTGTTGGCGTCAATTCGGTGTTTGCTCTTAAGCGGCGCCTCAATTGCGTTCGTCATATTGACGAGACTTCAGCCGGTCGCCCTGCGGACTTCATAGTTTGGTACCAAAAAGTGAAATTTAACAGACTGCAACTGAGTAAATGCATAACTACAGAGTTTCCGATCCGTCCCATTTACTGCGTATTTTTCAATGGCATTCTGGCAGATCTTCCTTAGAACTTGAACCCCCGATAGATGAAACCGCCTCTTAGCTTGCTAGCGGTTAACATGGCAAAACACCCTGACTCGGTGATTATGCCAGGGACTCCATTCCAGCTTCCGAGGGCATACTCGCCCTCGGAGTAGAAACCATCAGACGAGACATCAGACGAGACATCAGACGAGACATCAGACGAATCGTCATCGTTGGAGGAATCCCCATGTCCTCCAACTGACCTCCGCGGCGAGGACCGGAAATCTTCGATCGGGACGCTCGTGTCTGACTCGAGCTCACCGATATTCAGCGTTCTTCCCTCCGTCGACGTGATCTGGCAAGGACAGCATAACGTTACGCTCTGCAGAGATATCCAAGGTTAGCGGTGTAGTTTTAGTGTTGGAATAGGCACGTCCTGCTTGATTATACGAGCGGAGACCCCTTTTCACAAGCACCTGAGTGGCCTGCTTAGGTATGCAAGTAAATTTGAACGGTTACTGACCTTGATTACCCTTTCTACCCTTTTGTCTCCCCGCGAGCTCTATCCATAGTGGCGTACCGGGATCGGTCAATAGTAGCTTCACCACAGGGTCCGCTTGATTCACAGTGTCGAGAAGCTTGATAATTATATCTACACCGCCCTGAAGGGACCCATGTAAGCGCGAGACTGAATCGACGACGATGAATATGGCGTTCCCGTCGTTATCCTCGGACAGTTCATTCAGAAGGCGGGCCAGCATCCTAGCAAGTCTCGATAGAGTGGTCAGAGGCTTCCGATTGGAGGTCTCCCTCAGGAACGCTAGGTCGATAGCTGGTCTGTGTTTTGTGATATACAATACCAGCTGGCCAACGAGAGACTTCATCATCGCCAGTGGACCAGAGGCTTCGTCGTCAGGATTTTCGATCGTCCTGATGGCGCTCATATAGGCGAGAACTGGAAACCCGGAAACCGCGGAGATGCTGTTAGCCAGGAAAGCAGACGCTGCTGTGAGCGGGTTGACCAGCTCCTGAGGGTGTGTCTCCGCATCAATGACCAGGGTGCTAGATTCTGACGAAGTCAGCCATGACTCGACTTCTTCTGACCCTATGATCCATTGCAATTGATCTTTCTCACCAAGGCCCAAGGAGTTTATGTTTTCAAGGCAGTCGTCTGTGTCCTTCTGATGCTCCGGGATGGGTACGCGAACTGCACGAAGCCGTTTCTGTGCTTGGGACCAGCGCTTATCGCTGGTATTAACAACAGAAGGACCGGCAGTGAGCTTCGTTCTTCGAGCTTGATTATTGTCAACTTGTAATAAGCATCTTTGTTAGCTCAGCGCGGGAAGAGGGTAAGCTTCAGGCCGAACTGACTTGTCCCAGGTTTGCTGTTGAAGTCGGCGTTGCTTGCCAGGACTCGATAAAGCGTATTGCACACCCTGGATGGAAGCTGCTCCATGATTTGTCCGATAAGATACGCGTCTTTCTCATGTCGTTCGTTGAAAATTGATGATGAGCTGCTCAGTGGACGTGCTTGGCAGCGAATAGGGGGGCAACAATACCGTCAAGCCTCATGTTCATTCCTGTCACGTGCTCCTCAATGCGTCCTAGTCTCTTCGAATCACATATCCGAGCCTCTTGACTGAAAGCTTTGACGGCCGTTTCTAAATTCTCAGTGGCTGTTGTGATGTTCGCGCCATACTGCTCCCCCTTGAGGGTAATTGAGATGCTCTTCCCTGGATGGAGTAAGCCTTTGGTTCATCCATCCATGATGCTGGATAGAGTTCGCGAAGGAGAAAACGATGTGCGGCGGCATAAGCACTGATTTGGTTATTACTCCGTCGAGAAACTCATGGAGTAACCCATGGGGGTAAGTGTTTATGCTGTTGAACGCCAGCAAAAGTGGAGTTCTGGCCTCTCTGCCAGTAGCCTATTTAACATATGCCGGGTTGTTATACCGTCAGGATATCAACCGCCGGGAGTAGAACTTACTCTTGAAGCTCTTTGCGAGCCCTTTCACTATGGCCTCTAAAAGCTCGAATATCGCGACGAACACCCCATCAGCAAACGATTTCAGCTTTCGTGACTGCTTGTGAACGTCGATGACTGCGCTAGTCTGCTCTAGCCGGGCGGGGATCTGTCCCAAAGCTCCGTAGATCTCTTCTCGCAGGTCCTCCGCCCTGTCTAGAGCCCCCAGGATGACTGTAAAGCCACCACAGATGGGTGAGCCATATGTGTCGCTCGGTATGAAGCTCAGTAGGTTGTTCAAAGCGCCCCTGTGCTCGATCACTCGACGGAAACACTGCCGGATTTTGCCAAGGCATCCCGGGGCTTTCGAGGCGTTCTGGTGGGTCGACTGCAGAGTCTTGGCAATCTGCAGAACATCTTGCATCTGGTAGTCATCTGGCTTCTTGATCTCGATGTTGAGTTTCTTGTCAAGCTTGCGTTCCTTTAGGGTCTTGCAGAATGCCGATAGCGTCTCGTTGAACCGCGTCATTCGCAGCTCCGACTCCTTGAAATAGTCTTGTCTGTAGCGCTTCAGTCCAGCTCCGGCCCGAATGATGAAAACACCGAATGATGAAAACACCGAATGATGAAAACACCGAATGATGAAAACACCGAATGATGAAAACACCGAATGATGAACACCAAAGGGTGACTGCAGATAGGGCGTTACTCACTCTGAGAATTCCGATGGTGCTACAAACTTGTCGATTTCCGGGGCATACTGAGGGGCTTGTGGTGTCGCAATCATCTCGGCCAGCTCAGAGCCGAATGCCTCCTCGGGCCGGTTCTCGATGAACTCGACGGCGCTATTCGACAGTGTACGAGACCTCAGCAATGCTGGCCATGTCTGCGCCGCCATGGTGTCATTCCTGAAGGGCAGGAGGCCCAAGCCGTAAACTAATCGTGTAGGGCAGATCGGTGGTGAAGAGGATGGCGGGAGACCCGATCATCTGTGGTCGAATAGGTAGGTAGGTACGCAGCGGCTCCGTGGTTATACCGTCCAGATACGACTAGTACATTGCTTATGCCAGGTGGTTATGCCAGTCGTTTTCTCAACCACTTGGAAGGAAGGCATCACGCCAGACTGTTCGAGGTTGCCTCATGTCGTTCTGTGCAACAAGGAACTCCGCTCCACCATCCATGTCCCACATGCAGCCTCTGAAGACGCCCACGTCGCAACGAGGCGTTCCATATGCACGAGGTGTGCATTGTGCATATGTGACATGCCATCCTGGAGGTCTGAATGGTCGCCTCGTGCCATGCCATCCAACTGCTCTGCAACCCGTTCCGTTGGCCCAAACTCCTTCCACAGCGGGCTCTGGTCGTCTCTGCTACCTCCATAACTGAGCCCGCTCGTGAATCACAATCCATTCACGTTGTCGTCGGTCGGTCAACGCCACACTCACACTGCACAAGCGGTATGGACCATAGGTGCAATTGAGAGCAACAACACTGCTACCACAGGCATGTCGACAGACGAAGCCCCCGCCGGGCAAACACACGAGAGCACGGAACATGCTGAGTCACACTCAGCCAACGACGGCATCAACAAGGCATTGTCCGAAACAACCCCTAGCGATGGAGCGGTACACATAGACGGCACTTCTAGCAGCAAACCCGTCGAGGGTCGTTCTTCTCCGCCGACACCCATGCAGGCGGAGACGAGAGATGTCGATGTTGAAGAGGAAGGAGATTCCTCGTCAGTGACAGCTCTTCCGATGGCGAGGTCGAAAGGGCTAGCCGTTTGGGAGTTGACAAGCTTTTCCATGCTTATGTCCGCAGAACAGTGAAGGATAACAGATGATTCCCAATTTTGGACAAGGCTAAGGGCCTCGGTTGGTTGAGAGCCTCGTCGACTACGTTCATGGTCTGGAATCCCGTGTCGGTGACCTGGAGTCAAAACTGGAAATCAAAAGGGGGCAAATACCCGCCCAATCAACACCACAGCCGCCAGCCGTCGGATTTGAGGTGAAGTTTTTTCCTATAGCAGAGGAAATTGACAATCGTGGTTACTTCAAGCAAGACCGGGAAACGATTTCAAACATCTATCGATCGTATGTCGATCGCAGTCACTTCATTCGAGCAGCTTATCGATGGAAAAAGGAAGCACCCGTACAGTTACCTGAGACAGAAGGGGTTGAACCAAATCCAGCAGACGTCGAGATTGTCGGCATTAGAGTCCACTCGAATCCCGTTCAAAGCTTCATGCAGCACTGGGTTGGTTCCCTTGTTACCGGACCGGGCCCAGTTGAGCTCTACGGATCATTCCGTCTGGTTCTCTCCCATCTCGCAAAGTTTCGTCAACATCTTGCATGGCTTCAAGAAGAGTAAGCGCATTAACCTCGAGTCTACTCATGTTGTTTTTACCAGGGGTTTGGCAGTTCCAATAGCAGCCATTCATCAAAACAGCCACCAAACCGCTGCTCCCTTCCACTGCAAATCAGTGTTCGCTACCCTTTACCTGTAACCAAATCTGACATAAAATACCTAGGTTTGATGGGGCTAATGAAAGACTCGTGCCTACCGAAGTGATTAAGAGCGAGCCGTTGAAGGTTAGTAGAACTCTTCCCCCTGCTGCATTCAGTAAGACATGCAACAACATTGAAGCCTCCAGCGTCCCCAATAGAGACATTATTTCCAATCAGAATCATGGCATAAGCGAGGAGTCACGTGCTTTTGCTACCCGTTTTCATTGGTATAAGCAGTGCTGAACATGTTTAACGCTTGCTGACCTATGAACACTTATAGACTGCTTCTGAGCGCCTTCAAATTGGACCTGCAGTAGCGAGTGCAGAGCTGATGGTGTCTCCGGACCAAGTTGGAGAAGCGCTGACCCATTTCAGAGAGTTTTTGAACTTTGTGGAAAAATGGTTGAAGCCCCAGATTGACTTGTACACAGCAGTACGAGAAGGACAAGTCTCCAAGATCTCGTTCGAAAACTTGTGGATGCTGTTTCATCGCAGCGACACCATCTACTGCCTCAACAAGAAAGGTTACCTGGTACCGGGAGTCCGCGATACCAGCGTTGGGTTGAGTTCTTCCTTATATACGAGCCGAAGTGAGCCCACGCCCCAGGCGTACTCTGTTGTACATGCCTCAGGAGGCGTGGCCTCAAGCCAAAGGAGAGGGCCGAAGGGCATCGCCCAGTTCAGTGATTTGGTACAAGAAAACAGAGTGCGCCAAGAAGAGGTGGTTCTGGGCATTGGAGAGCGGTTTACCCCGCTGGTGGTGCACTGCTTCTGTATAAAATCTGATGCAGACAGATACACCGCCGTCGATGACTGTTTCATGTTCAAGCCTTTCGAAGGGGAATCAGAGATCACCAACCTTGAAGCCTTCCCCCTTCGCTTCCATCGACAGAAAGATCGAGTGGTGGAGGACGTTCTGTAACGAGGCCGCAAGTTCGTCGATATGACCGCCATCTCGCATCTGAACTATGAAGGCCTGACTGTTGGCGAGGACAACGAAGAGGTATGTTGATTTAGTCTGTCATATACCAGACACAACCGCAAGACCATTTTCTCTTCACTCCTCGTGCAAAAGGCTAAGCGGCATTTAATTTTATCTGTCCCATAATTCAGAGCCAGGAGCCCAGAGAGCCTCATGGCGGGCAAGGTGCGGTTTAGGGATGAACCACTGTATTGTCGCTTCTCCTGCATCACACCATTATGGTTTCAACTCAATAACCTACCTGTCAAACAGCGTGTATTATGATGATTCTGATTTGAGTGTTGTGTTTCTGTGTTGTGTGTCTGTGAAAATCCTTCTGTGGGCTAGGTGGCCTAAAAATGCCCTATTGGCCTTATTGGTGCACTGCCACCTCCCTGAACGCCACGGTGGCTTGTGCGCCATCCAACACTACCTTCTGGGCACAAACTATGAAGAATGACTTGATGTAGCTTGTAAGCCCTGTTATCGTCGATATGAAGCTTGCCTTTCAAGAAAAACCAGATGCCCTTCCAACTTTTGGTCCGCTCCGGCTTGAGACACCGAGTGATGTGATTGTGATTGTAGTCCTCGGAACAAACCCTCCAAGTTACTAGTGCAAGGGCCAATTGCATCCACGGTCTTCATTGCCAGCGATAGATTTGCAAGTGCGACGTCTACGCATATGGGGGCCCCCGGAAACCTTGCCAACGTCAACAGAATGTTGAAGAGAAATCTTCTTGACTATCAAACAGAGGCGAATGATCCAAAGCTAGTCCGTGAAGAGATCAACGGCATTTGGAAGTGTCACGGCACTAGACGACAGCCCTACAGTTCCAGGGGTCTCACCCCTATATATACCAGATCCTGTCACCTAGCTAGCTTCATAGTTTTCTTCCCTCCTCACGTACATCAACAGAGTCATTTCTACAGTCTCTTGCAGTCGGACCGTGACAGGAAGCCACAAATCTCTTACACCTTCTTCCCGGCACTGTTCCTGGCTATGCGTTGCGAAGCCGCAAATGGAGTGAGTGATTCCTTCAATACTTCTTCTCTGCGGCCGCGAAGGCGTGATGTTAATAACAGTCTACGCAGTGACTCTGGACATCAATCTGCTCCAGCCCGTGCTCCATGAGACAGGGTGGAAAGACCGTAAGTAATTTTCTTAGAGCCGCTACATTCAACCCTCATAAGTCTGGTCCGCACCTTAATAGGTGGAGTTTCGACTTCGAGATACAGTACTTAATGGTAGTACTGGAATAAGCACACTGGAATAAGCACTCTTGATATAACCATGATTTTGTTTCTACTTTCTAGGCTGATATTATCCTGCGTAGTGGTTTTACCGACGGGACACAAAGAGATCGTTCAGGCGATGGTCGAAAATCATGCCGCAGGCACTGGTACCCTTCCGAATGGCATCAACAAACCGGCCGAAGTTGACCTTGTTCGACGAAAAGGCGAGTGTGATGATTCGTTTATATTTCACCCAACCTAGTATTCTGACCCTATGACTCTAGGGAAGGGATGTATCATCCTTATACACGGGGCTCCTGGTGTCGGGAAGACCTCTATTGCCGGTAAGTACTATGGAGACTATGGTACTGAACTGAGCGAGCCACCCTCTAATCACTCTCGCAGAATGTGTCGCCGCGTACACCAGTCGGCCTTTGTTCCCTATCACCTGTGGTGATATTGGGTACCAACCAGACCAGGTGGAAAGGAGTCTCGATAAGCTATTCCGCCTGGCACATAGATGGGGGTGCGTCTTATTGTTAGACGAGGCTGACGTCTTCTTGGCCAAGCGTAATAAGGAGGACATCAAACGCAACGGTTTAGTGTCAAGCAAGTATCACTTGCTCTTGTGCAAGCAATCATTTCGTGGTTGCTTTCCATTGAAAAGTGTGGTCTAACGAGTTCAGTCTTCTTGAGGATCTCGAGTGGGCGCCCTCGACGATGTCTTCCGATCCCGTCTCCATCTGACGCTGTATTATCCGCAGCTCGACAAAGACCAGAGTCGAAAAATCTGGAAAATGAACATCAAGCGCTTCGAGAAAATCAACGCAGAGCGAGAGAGAGCCGGATGGCCACCTATACACTTCAACAAGAGGAAGATCCTCCAGTACGCGGATCGCAATTTCGATAACATTCGCTGGAACGGCCGACAGATCCGCAACGCGTTCCAGACCGCTCTCGCGTTGGCCGACTACAAGGTGCGTGATACACCAACGAAGTCACCTAGTTTATCTACCAAAGAGTTTCGCACAATCGCCGGAGCATCAAGGCAGTTCGACGAGTACTTGCACGCCACGCACGGCGCTGATGAGGAGAAGATCGCACAGACAGACAAGGTGCGTGGAGTGGTCAGACAGAGAGTGGCTAAGAAGCTTCATTCTTTGCCCGGTTCCGAAGAGTCCGGTAGCTCGTCTGATTCCGATGATGATCGATCGTCCTCATCTAATAGTGCTTCTGACGACTCTTCATTCCACGCAAGCCACTCAGGTCGCAAGAAGAAGACGAGTACGTCCAAGAAACACGCTTCAAAGAAGAAGAAGGACAAGAGGAAGGGGGAGTCCAAGCTCGAGAAGGAGAGGAAGAAGAAGAAGAAGAAAAAGGGGCAAGCGAAGAAGGAAGCTGAAGACAGCGGGAGTAACAGCGACACGAACTCGGACTCGGACGACTGAATTTGAAGAGGGACTTGGCGGCCAAGGGTTTTCACTACACTACTCACCAAATCAGCTGGCTTAAAATGGGTTTCCTAGATGCACGCTCGCTATAGTTATCAACCCGAAAATACCATATTGTTGGCATTTGAACGCGATCGATGGTTGAAGGTCAGCACACGCGACCGATGGCCTTCTAGCGTGAGTAACCCGTCGTATCCACTTGCGTGAACATTTCGTGTCTCGACGCGGGTTCCGTCTTCTCCACATAGCTAGCAGATACACAACACGGATCATAGCTGACAGTCATAACACTTCCCATGGTGAAAGCGAGGCCGTATCAGTAGATATATCTAAGAGATTGTCGCAATGTCCGGGTCAAACCTCACGGCAAGAGTGCCACTCCCTTCCCGGAGAAGCAAGCATACGTGGGCTCATAAAATTGGCAGAATCCACAAGTCGCACTGCGCGATGCTACCAATCGCGTCAACCAGCCGCCTGTGCGATCGGCGCCGGCCTCGGCGTCGAAACCGAGAAGGAGCATGCCAGACTTCGTCGACGACGAGATCAGAGACGCGTGGCTGGCCCAGAAGTCCGTAGACGACATCTACGACGACATCGCTTTCGACGACCTGCGCGACGCCAGGCAGGAGAAGAACCGCACGACCATGATTTGGGGAGCCCTGATGGACTCGGGCCCTACCAGCCAGTCGCGCCACATGCACGCCATCAAGGCCGCCAATCGTCCGCACGTCGAAGAAGCCAGACAGGCTATCCGCGCCCGCAGACACGCTGCAAGCAGCTCATCTAGCCGGAAGCGAGGGGGAGGGAGAAGACGCCGTGGCTGCGTACAAGCGGAACCTCGACTACGTCGACACGTCCCAGATGCACATCGACCTAACGTGCGACCAGGTGCGCGCGCGGATCAACAGGGTCGTCGAGAGCGGCGTCATGAAGAAGGGCGAGTTCTGCAAGGCTATTGGGCTTAGCAATGCGGCGGTCGACGCCTTTCTGGCTAAGAGACACGTTATGGAGGGGGATAAGAGTGAGGTTTATGTTAGTGCTTGGGACTGGTTCAAGAAGCGGGAGTTGGCGGGGTTGAAGATGCCGGATGCTAAAGCCAAGGGGAAGCCTGATGCGGCTAATAAGAGGCGGAAGACTTAGGCGTCGGGTAGGCTGGTGCGTCAAGGGCCGGCGGAGCTTGAGTGGTCCCAGGAGCGCAGGCGTGCCGGCACTGCCTGTACTAGAGGAGCCCTCTTTCCCGGGGATCCTCTAGTACATTCAGCATCGTTCTTTTATACAGCCACCACCGTTCTGTAGCAGCGCCGTCTGTACGTGTACTTCGAGAACAAGAGGCTGAAGGAAGCCAGGCCAAAGTCGGAGCAGCGGCTCGAGATTGAACGCCAGTGGCCGGGCGGGTTCGAACACCTTGCCGACGGGAGGAGAGGGTGAGTCTGCCGTCTTCCGGTCTTGATTCTTGCACTCGTACCCTGGTTGGTGAAAGGAAAACGGCTGGGGCTGTTGCTGATGTCGAATACCTATTACCTAAGTAAGTACTGGCTGGGCGCAGGCTCATCGGTCTACACCACTCCGTATGGCCAAATCTGAGTGCAACGATTTATTAGCAATCTAACTTTATTGGCGATATCGAACTTTCACTGGCTTCAATGTCACAGTGTCATTCTGGCAGATGGATGGGCACCATTATTGAGTGCCAACCGTCGTATCATTCATTACCTTATACTTTGGTGTCCCAGGTTATATACGTGAAACCTCCCTAATCGCGTTACTATGCTAAGGTACACTCAGCAACGAGCGAGATGTTGCCTGTTGTCGCGTCGCCATTTATCCATCTCGCTTAGGTAGGCAATTAGATCTCGCTTAAAACCTCTGAAGAAATGGTCGGTACGAAGGTTTCGCTGGTGCCATATTGCATATTGGCGTTGAGGTTGAGGGAGAAAACGAACAGAGTTCAGCCATGAGCCACCAAAAATAAACATAGTTTATTTGCTCAAGGTTGCGGCAGAGCCTAAATTGATTCCACATCATCGATACCATCTCAATCTGCTGGATTGGGAACACGAAGCCTCTGGAGAAATGGTAGCGTGAAGCCATTTAGAAAGCAGCGGAGATTAGCGGCGTTTAATGATCCCTGAGATGGCTAGGGCTGGAATGGATCCGGGGTAGTCCATGCGCTATTTATTTTAAGCCGGTGGGGTGATTTCTCATCCCGCTTCCAACCGGGAAATGGAAATGGATGATGACAAAACACCAAGCACCCCTTCGTCTCTGTTCCATACGCGCATCCCACGTGTTACAGAGCATTTGCCACTTCCTGCTGTCCTATATAAACTGACGGAAAACCGCATCCCTAATCAGGAACTGACCCACAAGCGTTCCTCCCATCCTGACAAGCCATACATTAGGGCCGACCACTGACCAGTGGAAACTTGACAGCGCCTTTCGTAAACAACAACGAGTCCAACAGCAACCCCCAGGTTAACCTTTCAGCTTACCGATCGATCTCGACACCTAGCTACTCCATACTCGGTGAATCAAGCAGCCATGACTGTTCCCGTCGATCACTTCATCGAGACCCCTCCGCGGGTACCATCCCCAGTCCATGGCTTCGGTACTCTTGCAGTCCACGCTGGCTCACCCCACGACCCCACGACAGGCGCCGTCATTGAACCCATCTCTCTGTCCACGACATTTGAGCAGACCTCAGTCGGCCAGCCGGTCGGCTCGTACGAGTACTCACGCAGCTCGAACCCCAACCGAGACAACTTCGAGAAGGCAGTTGCCGCCCTAGAGCATGCAAAGTATGCGCTCGCATTTGCTAGTGGCAGTGCGGCCACGGCCACCATCCTGCAGAGCTTGGCTTCCGGGTCGCATGTCATCAGTGTCAGCGACGTCTACGGAGGGACACATCGGTACTTCACGCGCGTCGCAAAGGCCCACGGCGTCACTGTTACGTTTACGCCCCAGATCGAGGTTGACATTGCAGAGCACATAAGGGACAACACCAAGTTGATTTGGATTGAGTCCCCTAGCAATCCCACCCTGAGACTTGTCGACATCCCAGCCGTCGTGTCTGCGGCCCATGCTCGAGGTGTGGCAGTTGTCGTGGACAACACATTTCTTAGCCCGTACATCCAGAACCCGCTGGATCACGGCGCCGATATCGTCGTCCACAGTGTGACCAAGTACATCAATGGACACAGCGATGTTGTCATGGGACTTGCGGCGTTCAACTCGGACGAGATGCGGGAACGGTTGGCATTCCTGCAAAACGCAGGCGGTGCTGTCCCCTCGGCGTTCGACTGCTGGCTTGCACACAGGGGTGTCAAGACTCTTCATCTCCGTGTTCGACAGTCCAGCCTGAACGCCACCGCTGTCGCAAAGGCTCTGGAGGCGAGTCCCCATGTCCTTGCCGTAAACTACCCCGGACTAGACTCACATCCGCACCGGGAAATTGCTATTCGACAGCACCGGGATGGAATGGGTGGTGGCATGCTCTCGTTCCGCATCAAGGGTGGTCGAGCTGCCGCTGAGCGGTTCTGCCAACTGACCAAGATTTACACCCTGGCCGAGAGTCTTGGGGGTATCGAGAGTTTGGTCGAGCTGCCCAGTGCAATGACCCACGCTGGCATACCGAAAGATCAACGAGAGGACGTTGGTGTATATGACGACCTCGTACGTCTAAGTAGCGGTATCGAGGAATCCGATGATTTGGTTCGTGATGTGCAAAAAGCGCTGGACGAGGCTGTTTGGGAGACGGCCGGGGCCAATGGAACTGACGGGGTAAATGGTCACGCATGAAAATAGACTTAGACGGCTGGGAGCATTCACAACGGCGACGGCTTCTGCGCGTTCATCTCATGACTCGGAGAATAGGTATAGACTAGGTTACAATTCGCGCGAGCTTGCGGATCATTATGAAGAGTCCATATGGTTAGATGGCAGCAACCACAGCTGCATACACAGATCAGTCTATTAGATAGACGTGGCCCTTTGGAATCAGGTTTTCATTAAGACGAGAAGTGTCCCTGAAGCACGTCTGCCCTCGTGCATGACATTGCATAGCCTTCGCACGACCTTGAAGCCATGTATACGTCAGACCCCCTTGTGCAGTCAATGGGGCTGGCCTTGCAGACCTAGATGCATTCATCGCCCAGTAGACCAGTAGGAAATGTTGCTTGGAACACGGAGTCTTCGATATGAAGCCTCTGAGTAAAGGACCTCGGTGATCGGACAATACCGATATTGGCCTCCACCCGGTGTGTCCCAGTCCCAGTCCGCGCCGTCCGGGTCCAAAGTGGGGATCGCTTCGGTGTCTGTCTTGATTCGGTCGTCCCAGTTCACCGAGGACCGGGGCGGCTACGGCGTACGGACATACGACGGGGATAAGCGGTGCTATTGTTAGCTTGTGCACCGGCTGCCGCGGGAAACAACCTAATGATAGAAGCTTAGGTTGATAAGTATCATATGATGTAGGAGTACTGGTAGGGACTTGACGACGTAAGGGGCTTCGCTCCGAGACGGAGATAAGCCCGTTGAAACCGGTCTTAGAGCATATATGTGTGATGCGTATGGTTTCACTTCGACTGCTAGGCAAACTATTATATATGGATTTGATATCCTCCATAGCTTATAGGACATAGATACTGGAAGAAGACCAAATGATACATATATTCTCTGCATAAGAATTAATACGAAGTTGATTCTTCGCGGCCACCACCAATCAAGCTACAACAATGGCGACTTCAAACTACATCACCAAAGTGACCATCGTCGGCGTGAGTAACCCCTTTACTCCCAGTTCCAGGGCAACACCCCAAGCCATCACTCAAGCTAACCCGCACCCCAGGCCGGCGGCAACAGCGGCCGCTTCATGACCGCCGCTCTCCTCAAGACCGGCAAGCACACCGTCACAGCCCTCACGCGCCCCGACAGCCAGAGCGAGCTGCCCGAGTGCGTCATCGTCAAACGGGTCGACTACGGCAACCCCGAGACCCTCGTCGATGCGCTGAGGGGCCAAGACGCACTGGTCATCACCCTGAGTGGCTACACGCCGGCTGAGACGCAGATGCAGCTGATCAGCGCCGCCGGCGAGGCGGGCGTTGGCTGGATCTTGCCGAATGAGTGGTCGCCTGATACGGCGAATGAGGCGCTTGTTCGGGATGTTTCTGTGTTCAAGCCTAAGGGTCAGTTCGAGAAGAGCTCGCCCCGTCGACTGACTAATATTGTGTTGATATACTCAACGTCTGGGAAACCCCTCGCTGATTGTTAACGGGTCGCCGTTCTTGTAGGGGAGACGCGCAGAGCCATTACCGATCTGGGCAAGAGTTCCTACATCGGAATATCGACGGGCTTCTGGTACGAGTGGAGCCTGGCCATACCCGCGGCCTTTGGGATCGACTTTGCGAAGCGCACTGCTACGTTCTTTGATGAGGGCGAGACTCGGATCTCGATCTCGACTTGGCCGCAGGTATGTTTCAAGTCCCAGCCTGACCATGACTTGATTTTCGAGACCACTGGTCTGACAAGTGAAAATTAGGTCGGCCGCGCCGTAGCCGCCCTCCTCAGCCTCCCCATTGCACCTCCGGGCGATTCGGAGGGTACTAGCAGCAGCAACGCAGCCTGCCTGGAGAACTTCCGCAACCAGCTCGTGTACGTGAAGTCCTTCACCGTCACCCAGCGGGAGATGCTCGCGTCGGCCATGCGCGTGACGGGCACTAAAGAGAGCGACTGGACCATCACGAAGGAGCCGGCGCAGGAGCGGTACACGACCAGTCTGAGCGAGATAAAGGAAGGGAAACGGGTCGGGTTCGCCAAGATGATGTACACGCGCGTCTTCTTCGCTGACGGGGTTGGCGATTTCGAGGATGGAAGGGACACGATGAATGGGGTGCTGGGCTTGCCGGAGGAGGATCTCGATGAGGCGACGGAGAGGGCGTTCGAGAGATCGAAGGGTCCGAGTTGGGTGTAGGATAGGCGTTTTTGGGCAGTGAGCGTCTGCTTAGTAGGTGTCGAATTAGTGAGTATGTGTAGACTTTCAAGTAAAATGAAAGAGTCCCGCTATTTGCACTATGTTAGAATTTCCTTATTTCTACTTTGTCCCCACACCCTAACTGCCAGCCAGCTGCAATACAGCCCCCTAATCTCAGCACAACTGCATCAACAACAACGCGGACAACTACACCGGCAACCTCGATCTTATAGTAAGCCGTGAGCTTGGTGGTTAGCCCACTGCCAGCTGCCTGGGGAGATAGGGGTAGAGACAAGATGCACATAAGGAGTGCTGACAATGTGCAAATAGCAGCACTGCAATGAAGGGGCAGAGCTTGCAAACAACGAGTTCGGAAAACCCGGACATGAGAAGTACAGGAATCTCTGCTGCTATCGAAGCTGGTACTGTTTCAGAGTGATGACGAGTTATGGGGCTACTTATTATGACTCTGTCGAAGGTCTGAGCATGATCAGGCGACGGTAGTGCGTCGGGCAGTCCTGCGGCTGGAAAACCGAGAATGCATGGCCGGAGCGACTGGAAATGTCGAGGCTTGTGCCTGTTTGCTTTGGGTAGAAGCACAATATTCCAGTAGAAGGTGAAGCCGCTGGATTGATGCAGCCTACACCCCAAAAGCGAGGCGGTGGTGGTGGTGGTGAGGGTCGTCTAGGTGAGGGTCCGTCTGGGTGATCGAGGGCCGAAGTAGATTGCTCGGGATTCGAACAACGAGACCTGAAGAGATTCCATATTGAAGTCAGCGATCCGTAGACTGAGGGAAAATCCAAGCAATGCCTTGTGAAGTAAAAGTGAGACTGCTCTAGATGCTTCTGATATGCACTATTTCATGCCTACCCACATATGTACTGGCACCGGCTGTCCGTTAATTATGTGCTGAGAGGAGATACCTGCACAGCTTTCTAACTTGCGGCAAGTAAGTGGAAATCTAATGGATGGTCACATCAGCCGTGAGGGAGTGGCTTTTGTTAGATGCATAGCAAGTGATGGAAATGATGAGGGCAGGGTGCTGCGGTGCATGTGCAGTCAGGGAAACACAGGCAGTGATGCTTAGGAAACCCCGTTGCTACAGACCAGCTGCCAATTCAATGATGTGCAATGGGCTGCAAGGGATATATGTGTTGTCATAAGGGCCTGGTGTTCCATAGTAAGCAGATCCCTCCCTCCTGTTGTCCAACTAACCACAGCAAAAAACTCAATGCCTCAATGGAATATGCAACGAGACTGTTCGAATGCCCCTAAGGGCGCATGATTAAGTGCTATTCGCAGTGGGATTCATTCGAATCCCACACAATGCTTTTTTTAGGTTCCGGGTTCAAGTCACCCACTTCCACCCTTTTTTCATATGCATCTTTTTTTTTCTTTACTATGTTCTGGCTTCATTTCACATTGTTATTATATATATCTGCTGAATTTTATAATCTGCCCATTTACATCTGCTTGTTAATGGCGATTGGTTCGTGCTGAAGTACGAAGTAGCCAGCCTACCTAGGCGGTAAATTGAATAGCTTGTACACAAACACCTGGCATAAGAGGCCACTCCATGCGTCACTCGGATCATAGATAGACCATTGCTCATATCAGCTGATTCAATCGATAACAGTTCACTGCTTGTTCCACTACAAATGATCTCGCCGTGCGCCTCTCACTCTCCAACTCTGCCACCCTCCCACCCTCCCACTCTTCCATCCAATCTTCTCTTCTCATCCCGGCATTGCATTCACACTCGCCTCCTCATAATCGCACTGCATCATCACATGGGACGCTCAAGCAGAAACCGAGCGAAGAAGATCGCCGAAGGCACCATCGCGGACCGCCGACGCAGCCAATCTCGCAATGCGGCGAACGACCCCTTCGGCCCCGGTCCCGCCCGGCCCAAGCGCACCCTCTCCTTCGCCGAGCTTTCCGATTTCAGTTACGAATTCCCTGGCTCTTCTTCGACCTCAACCCGTGCGGTCATCTGGTACGTACATCGTTTGCTCCCGAGGTTCCTTCTGTTGCCCTATACTAACGTCTTGACAGTAAGTAACCATATATCATTGCGTCCTACCCGTCTGGAAATATAGGCCAGGACACTAACCAAAAGCTTCTTGTGCATTAGGCCCCAAGAGCAACTCGAAGCCCTTATGAAGACCCTGGGCGTCAGCCGCACGTACGATATGAAGCCGCGCCTCCGACACCTCCTCATCTCCTCCTTCGAGCATGCGCATGAGCAGCGCCGCCACTACGATGCCAAGGAAGAGACAGTCGACATGCAGGATGCCTTCTTCGCCCGCGTCGTTTCCGGCGTCGCCGCCGATGCCGCCAAGTCCATCGACCTCCGAGACATCGAGGCTGGCACCCTCCGGTCCCTCGTGGAGCTCTACGTCGCCACCCGCAAGGAGTTCCGCATGAGACAGGAACCGCAGGAGAAGCTGGTACACCGAAAGGCCAAGGCCGAGAAGGCCGACGACGATGACGAGGACATGGGAGGAACAGGCTCCAAGGAGCCGGTGGTTGAGGAGGGCTATCCGGACGACGAGGACGACCTGTTCTTGTACCAGACCACGGAGTACATGTACGACCCCGCCAGAGAGGACAACAAGAACAACCGTCTCGTGAAGCTCGTGGATCGATGGATTCAGTGGCTGGAGGTAGAGAAGGGCCAGGCCGTCGACCCGGGCGTCTTCGAGGCCCTTGCGGCTTTCTAGATAGCTCATATGCGCGGCTGTCATTGGCACTCGACCCGAAGATAACAGACTGAGATAATCGAGTGGATCAAGGAAAAGGGTGGTACACCACGGCTGCTTGTGACTTTCTGCTCTGCCATAGATGACCGTGTGGTATTCTCGCTTCTGACCAGTAATTCGTTTGTGTCGTTTAAGTCCGTTCTTTAATAGACATGAGAGAGCAAGGTACCTAATGGGATGGCCTGACGAATGCTTGGACGACGGAATTAATGTCGGTAGACTGGGAATTTGGGATGCTTCATCCTCTTTGGGTGCTGATCACCCGTTGTTCATGCTTATAGTCTATAGCGGAGAGAGAGTTGTGGCTTCATAAGTCGCTTGGTGGATTTCTCTCTGTGTAGCTGGCAAATAGTTGAAGTGCACTTTTTGGCGGTAAATGTGAGTAAAACAAGAAGGGGTAAAAAGAAACTGTTAGATGGCGCGCAAGCCACCGTGGCGTTCAGGGAGGTGGCAGTGCACCAAGCAAGGCTAATAGGGCATTTTCGAGCCACTTAGCCCGCAGCAGGATTGTCTCCAGCTACACACACGTACAAGCAATACACCAGAATACACGTTTTCACCCGTTTGACAGAGAACAGAGTGCGATTCCTTATCTGGAGTCATACCGATCAGCAGTACAGGCCATCAGAAGGCATACATCTAGCAAACATCAGGCGGTAACAAATGCCATTTTTCACAAAATCACGAATAATCATGATAGTCATCCAAGGGAAAGTGACACATACCCCAAGAAGTAATTATATATACCAATACAACATGCAAGCACCCCCGAGATGGAACTCCAGCTACCTTTGAATTTATCCTTGCTTTCTGTCCTAGATAATACGGTGATGGTAACGCAGAGGGCTGGGAAGAGGGACGGGGCGCGTTGCTTGGGAGATCGGCTCCCTATTGCCATACACAAATATATGCCTTGCAGAGCCCACCAGACAGACATCCCTACACGCGTGCACTCTTGGTACCCTGTTCGTGCACAATTCGCTTGATCTTCCTTCATGCGTTCCTCGCGCGACCACCACTGCCCCCCATCACACCGACACAAGCAGCTCGCCCTCGTCTGTAAGAGTCGTCTCCCTCGCCACCACACCTCACGCAAGCTGACACATCCGGCGCGACACGAAATTAAGTCCCAATACCAACGAGATACCATCACAATGGGTCGATCAAGCAAGTCGCTAAAGGCCAAGAAGCGCGCGCAAGCCGCCGCCGCAGACAGCGAAGGCATCTCCGGCCCCCGTCCACGAGCCACACTTTCTAGCCATCTCCGACCTGTCTAAGTTCGACTACAAGTACCCGGGCTTCCATTTCGGTACCGCTCCGGACGGTCATCTGGTACGTATGAAAACAGGCCCTTCTCGGGCCCCGCAGTGTTCACTGCTCCAGCTACTCACCTGCTTTCGTCTTGTACTGTACTAATGCTTCAATAGTAAGTAAACAATCCGTCCCGTTATCTGCACGAAACGCAAATGACGGAAACTAACCGAAACGTTTGCGACGATAGGCCGCAAGAGAAACTCAGAGCCCTTCTCGGCACCATATGTGTCCGATTTATGTACCAAGCCAGCCCGCACCTGCAGCAGCTTCTCACCTGGATCTTTCGCTTCGCTTTTGACGAACGCGACCATTACGACGTTGTCAACGAGACGCCGGCCATGAAGACGGCCTTCTACACGCGCGTCGTTGCCGCCGGAGGCGACGTGGCCACTCACTCGACGCATGGGAAGGTGCCCAATATGGGGCCCCTCGAGCCGTCCACTGTCCGGGCCCTCGCGGACATCTATATTTCCAAGAGAAAGGAGTACAAGGACAACCGGAAGGGCGTGACCGAACAGGGCCAGGGCCAAGACACCGACGAGGTCGAGAACAAGGACAAGGACGGCGCCAACCATACCAAGAAGGAAGGCCTCCTGTTAAAGTCCGTGGACCAGTGGATCGAGTGGGTAGAGGTCCAGAAGGACCTCCTCCAGTTCCTCGACTCGATGGGCTAGAGACTGTGTGAGGTCCTTCTGTACCTCTGCCCACCTGATACACTGCCCCGGCAAACACGGCACATTTCATCAGGTTTCCAAGACCTCTCGCAGGAGGCAATCCTTTCTCGGACTATCGCAAGACATCGAGGACATCGTTCAACGCATTCGGGAGTAGAGGCGGTGCCAATCCGGCGTGCTGTGGCTTAACTAGAGCGCAGGACCTCGGTCCTGAGAGTAAGGGTTTAAATCCCTTCAGCACATTGTCGTCTTGCGTTCTTCTGGCCCGGTGGGCCTGCCTCTTTCTTCCGTCCCGTGGGTGGTTCTGTTCTTTGGTTGGCTGTTGGTTTTGGTCTGGGCGCGGCTGCCCTGCACCGCTTCTCCCTCGCCTCGGTCTCGTAGCAAGGAAAACTTGGCGGATCACTAACGGGTGCTTTGTACTAATGAAAAGAAGTTCTTGATTTCCTCAGTCCATATCCATGGCCTGTTTTGACCGTGTTGCGTGTGACCAGGCTATTGTCCTCGCCCCTTAATGCCTTGTACGGGGGGATCTCCGTCGAGACTCGAAGACCACACATGGACAGTATGCAGTGAAATGCAATGCAATGTGATGTGGAAAGATCTCTAGGTACCACCCGCATAAGACCGCAAAACAACACCCGTCAGACAAAAGAAACTCTCAATTGCAATCTAAGTGTAGGGTATCAGTGTAACAAGACGGACCGCCATCCCCATTCATACTTGTACAACGGCAGAGGGACCAGCCGACCATGCGCCACTTGCAGGAAACCCTTCGAGTCCTTTCTTTACACGACATTCTCAAAATTCCACTCTCTAAACCGTACACCGACACTGAATTTCCCATCTAGACACTTTCATCGCAAACACCTGACTTTATCAGACCTCGGTCACGAGTTGTTCCCCCTCATCCAAGAGCTCCGTGACCTTCTTCAGGTTCTGCACCAGGCTCCGGCCGAGGCCTACCAGCAGTAGCTTCTCCGCGTTGGCAGGCAGACCGAGGTAGGTCGGCGGCTCACGCTCCGGCAGCTTCTGGATCCAGCCCATAAACTCCTGCAGCGAAGTTCCAGGCGGCACCACCAGGCTCGTCTCCTGCCCATCCTTCTCCGAACCTTCGACAAGCTTGTGTCCGATTTCGTAGGCCGACGGCGTCAGGAATTGGTTCACCAGCTGTGTGAGCTGGTTGTAGTCGCCTTCGTCATCAATCTTGCCACCGTACGTCTCGCGGACAAGGTAGCGGATAATGTCCCAAGGAATGTTCTGGGGCGCGATGTTTGACCGGTTCTGCGCGACCGATTCAACCCAAGTGTCAATAATGAAGGCTGAGCATTCATACTGTGCATATGTTAGTACCTTGGTGAGATTGAAACAGAAAGCAAGTCAACTTACATCGCTATCATTGAACTCCCAGAAACCCTTCCAGCCCAGATTGGGCGCGTATCGCAGACGCTCTTGGACCACAGCGTGCAGGAATGAGAGAAGCAGGTACAATCGAGTACGCTCGACAGGGCTCTTGGTGGCCCGGGTCGAAAGAGACGTCATCGAATCCTTCATGTTGGCTCGTACACCGGCCGGCTGCTCGTACATGAGTACGCGGGATGCGCGAAGCAGGTTAACAGGAATCTTCGGGCTGGACTCCATCGACAAGAATAGTCTGAAGTCCGAATGAGGGTTGAGGGATTCCATGCGCTTCTCGAGAGACTGCAGCCAGGTCGGCGCAAGATGGACATTCTTGACCAGGACCCAGTTTCCGACTTGTGCGGCATTGCTAATAGCTTTGTCGGCACTAGCCAGAGACTCGTTCGATCCCATGGCGATATTGGTGCACCTGACACGCATCCTCTCCACCAGGTTGTCAACCTTGTAACTGGCATCGAAGCCAGGACTCGATACAAGTGAGATCGGCCTGATCGACGAGACCTGTTCGACTGTCCCCTGAAGGTCCTCCACGATATCGAATAGCTCAGAGCCGAATACCGATGTCACGAAACGCTCAGCCGTCGGCACAAAGCGATCGAGACGGAATAGCTTTATGAGGAGTAGAGACAAGAGCCCCTGGTCTAACGGTTCGCTGCCCGCCTCCCAAATCTGAGGGATGAAGTTCTCCGCGAGCTCTTCCGACAAGAACTTCTCCCAGGCATCAGACGGTACCTGGTCGAGTTTGTCTTTCAAGACACTGAATCTCTTGGCTCTAGTGAAAGCCTCTTCCTTCGCACCTCTGTCGGTGGACAGATCCTGACCCTCGATGCGATCATCAAGAACAAGATCAATCAGGCCCTTGTCCATCTTGTAAGGAGAAGCTTGGGCAAGCAGCATAGCAAGTGTGATGCGATCTTTCTGGAGGAGACCTAGCGCAGTTCTCTTAAAAGAGGTGACGAACAGGTCTTTGATAATAACGTCTCGTCGAATGTTGTGGTTTGTCTCATTAGCCAGATTCTTATTACCATGGAGGACAGAGTGGAAGATGTCCAGGAAGTACTGTAGTGAGAACTGATAGAAGTGGTTAAGGTAGTGCAGTTGCTCGAGGACGGCAAACACAGCACTGCAAGATCGCGCAATGATGTCGTACTGCAGTGTGATCTCGTCGACTTCCGCCATCACGCCTTCCGTGTTGCTCATCTTAGCCGTGATCTCCCTAGCTTCGGTCTTGAGGGTCTCGAGTGTTTCAATGACGTTGTCATCATCAAGGATATTGCCGCGAGACTCGTTGAGCGCTTGGAGGAGACGTTTCTCAAGCTGTCGAAGATGCACTTTGAATTCGCCTTGAATTTTGATAAGGTTCGATCTTCTTTCGTCAACATCTGGTCGCTCCGACTTCAAAACCTCGTTAAGGGACTGAGTTTGCAGACTGCTCTGGGTGACTGTGAAGTTGACGAAGGTGGTTCGACTACATATATCCGGCGGGAATGTAGCAGACGGATCTCGGGTAGACAAGTAGATCTTGAATGCAGGTGAGAAGTCAATTTCTTGCTTGCCAAGTTGGATGAGAACACGACCTCCTGTCTTCTGATATTCCTTGTTGAGGACGTGATTCAAGATTGGGTCCAGGTGCTCAGCATCCTGGATGAGGATCGGGTTGCCGAATCGGAGAGAACTCTCCAATTGCTTGGTGAAGGAGTCATCCAGGAAACTGGTCACAGTGAGGCGGCGATCCTTGCATTCACGTTGCAGGAACTCGGTCACTCTGCCAGATGGATCGATGATGAGCGGGTACCGGTTGAAGCGCTTGAGGATGATGGCATTCTCGGTGCAAAGGTCGTCGACCGGCAGGGTATTCTCTTGCCAAGAGAGTCGCTCATCAGCAGTGGACAAGTACTCGGTCATCGGGTTGTGGGGTTTGAAGGTGACACCAGACAGATGAAGTTGGTGTAGCCAATCTTCCATCATCGACTTTCGGAAGGTTTGGTCATAAAGACCGCTGTAGGCCAAGAAAGCCGCAGCGACTAGTACGTCGCCTACCAATGTGCTGATCTGGGTTTCGAAAGACTTGCTGCCGTCTTCCCATCGCGTTCGCTCGGATGAGAGGCTGTCTAAAAGCCGGACGCTGCGGTCAACCTTGAACTTCACACGAGACATCTCGGCCTTGATAGCCTGAGTCTCGCTAATGAGGGCTGCATATTCTGTCTTGTAAGTTGCAATGCTATCCTCAAGGCTGGTAATGGTGTTCTCGACAGCCTTTGCTTCGGCCTTCGTCTGGAGAGCTTGCTCCTCAAGTTGGTCGACCTCGTCCCTCAAGGGTCCAACACGATCAAGGATCTCGGAATAGTTGACTTGTGCTTCAGCCCACTGGACCAAAGGACCGCAGGCCTTACTGGCACGGTTGACTTTTTCGTAGGTGTACTCCGGGTTGTTCAAGAAGTCCTTCCGCATCTTCGTTCTCATAGCCTTGGTCATCTGCTTCTCATTGTCAAAGTTGACAATGCTTGCGATGAAGTCGTCCCGGCGCACGACTGCTTGCACCATCTTCCAGTCGTTGATCTTGTGGCCAAGCAAGGTGCAAACAGATTCCATGGCGAGGCGGACACCCTGGGGTGGATTACCCATGGATCGCACTTCGGTCAAATGTTGGCGCTTAATGTTACTAACACTAGCCTTTGCCTCTTCGACAGCGGGTTCTGCCTTTGCAAGATCGTTCAGGACAACCTTCTTCCGAGATGCGACTTCTGCTTCTTGCTTTTCGAGAGCTGCCTGGATCTCAAGAGACGTGCTTTTGCGTTGTTCAGCTTCGCGTTGATCTGCAATCATGCGCTGTAGTTTCTCGTTGGCCTCGGCATCTTTGGCCTCCAGTTGCGTCTTCTTCTCGGCAAGGCTGACCCTTAGATCTTTAACCTTCTCGACTGTGTCTCTTAGCTTGTCCAGACCAACATTAAGATGGCGCTGCTGCTCCTCAAGATCTTCGCGCTTCTCGTTATACAACTTGACATATTGCGCAACAAAGTCGAGGAAGTGACGCGGTGTAAGGAAAGTCACTTTGCCTTGTTGCTTCTGCAGCTTGGTGTTGAAGCGTTGCAGCGAGTAGTGGATGTAGACCATGGAATTGACAATAGTCTCTCTGTGAGAAGGAGGTAAGGTAAGACCACGATAGGCGACCGGAATACTGTCAGGGGCCACGAAGTTGGGTTTGTCGAGATCGACCGAGTGGGTCAGTTCGTTGGCCACTTGGAAGAGTGCTTGGTCAGACCAGTCACCGAACCAGTTGAGCACGCATCGGTTGAAGAGGGCAGGACTGGTGGCAGCCTTAGACGACAGTCCGCCTTCGGGAGGGTTCATGGTGAAGACAACGTGAAGATTCTTGACGATCTGTTGCGTGAACCACTTGTAGAGCTCTTCTTGCGAATCGAGTAGTAGCCCTTGTCGCTGGGCGCCTTCCTTGCATGCCGTCATTAGCGCAGCAAAGTCGTCTCCCTCGAACAGACCAGGAACCTCGGCATTGGCAAGTAAGGTGTTCATCCTTTCGAGGAAACCCGAGTCCAGCACGTTGGACTCGTCCATGATGAAGCATATTTTCTCTCCCTTGCAGCCACACCGACGTAGTACATCTCGGAGGTCGTCATCGAAGTCTTCGGCAGAGTATTTTCCATGGACCTTGATCTGGAAGACTTTCAGTCCGTTCATCCAGGCAACAAATCTCGAGAGTGTGGTTTTTCCACCTCCACTGACTCCAATCAAGATGAGATGACCCTGCGGTTGCCTGAAGACTCTGTCGATGCGGAGTACGTGCTCAAGGACGTCGTTGAATAGAATGAGAGGCACGTCAACTTCCTCTTCGCAGAATGTCTTCAGGCGAGCCTTGACAAAGTCTCGAAGCTGTTCTCGGTCCACCGGAACGTAGTTCTTGGAAAGCCAGTTAGAGAACAGAATGGGGCCACCCAGCGCCTTCGTCTCGTCGATGGTGGGGAAGAACTCCAGTGCAATTTTGTGAACAGCTTCATCAGTCCACTGCCGCTCATCTTCAGCGACAAGTCGATCTTGGAAAAGCCGCAGGGCTTCGTGTGCCCAAATACGGATCAGCCCTTCAACTGTAAGGGTCTCCAATGGGCGAATTGCTTCGTACACACCACGCACCCATCGTGTCAATTCACGAGGACTGTAGACATAGTGGGGCTGGATCTTCGGAGTAAAGCGTTGCTGGGACTCAAGATAGAAGCGAACCATGGCTTGTGTGAGTGCTTCGGAGTACCCACGCAAGGCTGGGACGATCTTGAGCACTGCGGAGTTGAACGTGCCATAGATCTGAAGCAGTGACAACTCGCCTGGGTAATCAACCATGATGAGGGGAGCATGTCGGAGGAATCTGGCACCCATGGGCGTACGGCCAGCATCGGTCGGAGGGTTACATGCTCCAACAAATTGGATTCGGTCGAGGGTAACCCAAACTTTGTCAGAAGTGCGCCAGAAGCCATTGTGTTCAACCAGCTGTCGGAGAAACGAAATAGCGCGCTGTGTACCATATTTGTCTGGCGCAGGCAAGTTGATCTCATCACAGAAGATAACCAGCCAGCGTCCGATCTGTGTTGGTGATAGCATGACACCGTTGAGAGTTTTCTTGTACTCGCAGTACTGCTCGAAAGTCTTGATGAGAAGGTCAGGCGTCGTTGCGCTCGAAAAGTTTAGACCCACAACTTCCATGTTTGGCAGTTTTCGGAGTGCACTGAACAGAGTCATCGTTTTACCGGAACCTGGAGGGCCGCAGAGCAGCAAGGGCTTGTGCTCGGCGAGCCAAGAGTAGAGCACGTCTTCATGGCGCACAGTGTCCAGCGTCGGAATGACGACGTCGGTCTGGGTGATCGAGTGTGTGTTAACCTCGATGGTGGGGACCTGGTTTTGCCATGGAGTCCATTCAGCTCTGGGGAGGGTGACATCGAAGTCGATGAGTGAGCTCGTACCATCTAGTGGTGGCGATCCGAAACTTGCAAGGGCTCCAACATTATCACCGAACGTCTTGCGGTCATTGAGTGGACAATCACCGGTCAAGGCCCAAACCAGGGCAAGCAGCAGCTTCTTGGCCACATATGCTTCGATCTGTTCGGGATCGAGCGGGAAGTCAATGTGTGACGCGTTGTACTCGATCATATCCCGAACAGCCTTGTTCAGCAATGAGAACAAAGTGCCCAGAACGCGGGCATCGGTAAACTCCATGATGTGGTTGAAAGACTCGGCTTCTTTGAGAGCATCGATGATGAAGTTGTCGGTGGTCAAGTACGCGTTCAACAAATCAGCAACTTGGCTCTGGATTTGGAGGGTTTTGGTAGGACTCTGGCCCGCAGCAGCAGTATCTTCATCCAAGTCCTCGAAAGCTACAGCTCTCAGGGTTTCGAGGTAGTTGGTCACCATCATGCTTGGGGTAACTGTATCTTCACTGAACCATACCATACCACATCGACTGACGGTGGCAAGTGTGGCGTACTTCAAAGTCTCGACCTCGAACATGATACGGACGTTGGATGGCAGGTTGAGACGCTCGCCGTTGGGGAGGGTGAGTAACTTGTTGTCGTCCAAGACACTGTTCAAGTTTTCAACCCATTCAGGGTCAACATCACCATCAAATACAATCCAATGTCGTTTCGAATCTTCCCCACGAAGGTTGTCGACGATCTTGCGCAATATGCTGGTGAACAGACCATCGGTCCACTCTCGAGTGGTTGAGTCGAGGTTTCCGTACAAGGCTTCCTTTGACATGACCTTCGAGTCAATAACATGGGAAACGCCTTCGACTGACTCGACCTGCTGAAGTGCGTCCAACAGAAGTCTCCAGGCAGCAGATTTTCCGGACCCGGAGTTGCCCACCATCATGACACCGTGGTGAATCTTTTGGATTTGATAAAGCTGGAGGATCTTCGTCATCCACGTGTCATTGACCACGAGGTGTCTCTCTGCTGCAAGACGACGGATTGCATCCTCCAGCTGCACCAGATTAGCAGGCACGTACTCGACGCCAGGGAAACAATCTGCTTCAATGTCTATCATGACTTCGACATCAGGTCTGATCAATTTCGGAGCGATCGTTTCTCGGACACTTTGGACAATAATCTCTGGCTCCACGACCTCTTCGGCCCCAAGCCCGCCGTTGGTGCTTGTGAGACGGGCACGCTTTAGACCACCTGAGCTGACGAGAACGCTTTTCAAAGCACGAAGACCAAAATCGTAATGAGCTTGCTTGGAAAGTCTCGCAGCACATTGGTCGAAGAAAGGCACGGTCTGTTTGGAAAGCTGCTTGGCCTGATTGAAACCCTGAGAGTAGAGCATGACTTCTGCGATGAGCTCTTTGTCCGGCTTTGACATGGCCACGCTGCGGAACAATTTCTTCAAGTTGTCTGGCAAGTTGGAACGGCCTGCATAGCCAGGGTTCATAGTGATAAAGATACCCGTATTGGCGTTGACGTGAACTTGGCGTCCAATCAACTCGATCTGGGCTTTGTCGTCCTTGGCACCTTGCTTGAGACCTAGCTGGATGTTCTGGATTTGCTGTGAGACGGCAGAGAGGATTCTTTCCTCTAAACGGTTGAACTCGTCGAAACAACCCCAAGCACCAACCTGACAAATTCCCAGGAAGATCCGACCCATGGCCTGGAAGTCGAACGTGTCGTCACAACAGAAAACAAGCGTGAATCGACCAAGTTGGACACCGAGAGCCTTGACTGATTCCGTCTTTCCAGTACCAGCAGGACCGTATGGAGAGCCGCCAAGTCTCTGACAGAGACCTTGGGTCAGAGTACCGAAGCAACGGTCAGTAAGAGGCGTCCTGACCAGCCGGTCGGGGACACCCAAGTACTCGAAACCGTAGTTGAGCTTGGCGTTAGCCATTCGAACATCCAGACGCTGCAGGTAGTCTCCCTCCGGCGCATAGACGTATCTCATCTGCAGCAGCCACATGTAATGCGTCGGTGTGGTGGCGTTAAGGTCGATGAGCTTCTCGATTACATCACGTTGGTGGACGCATTCGGTGATCAGAGCCTCACACTTCTTCCTCAGGATGACCTCCAAATCCCCAAGCACAGTTTCTGCCAAGAGACGGAGAACCTGAACTTCACGATCAAAGAGAGACTGCAGTGTCTGGCCACCATCATTCAGAGCCTGCTCAACCGCTGTGGTCCACACCACCTGAGTCGCAAGGACCACGATCTGGCTTGGGAAATTGGCTATGAAGTCATTCATAGCTGTCGTGTCAATCTGTTCTGACTCAAAGATGGGCGTGTATGCTTCGACAGCTTCAGCCAGTAGTTCCGCAAGAGTGGTTTTCATACCGTTCTCAAGCAGGGCTAGCCAATCATTGATCTTGGGGACTTTGGCGAGGGAGATTTCTTTCTTGAGGCGGACAACCTCATCCTCCTTGGAGGTGAAACCCGATATGACTGATTCGTCGTCCATGACCAGACCATTGAGACCGGCAAACATTTTCTTGAAGTGCTTGGCGATACGCAGAGTGTCGTTGCTGTTGCCAATCATCTCGAGAAGGTCTTCGTCACCAACGAAGTAGAATCGTGGGAATGACACTCTCTCCTTTTCGAGATATTCACCAAGCGCCTTTTGGATCTTGTTTAGTAGCTCGGCAAGGCGCTCGAGTGATTTCTGGACGCCAGTGATGCTCAATACATCCAGTACCATTGGCTGCTTGTAGACCTTCTTCATCACAGCCATGAACTCGCTGTTGATGTTCTGGAACCTCGAGGACTCGATGGGCAGAAGGTGCTTGATATCAGCGTTGCCAGTGAAGACGCCTTCCAGGTACACCCATTGGCGTTGGACATCAATCCACACATCGAAAAGGACGTGGACTCGATTCAACTTGTCTTCCCAAGACGAGGCTTCTTCTTCAAACTCCTTGTAGTACGGGGAATGTTTCATTGCCTGTAAGGAGTTCAGGTTCTCACTGCATTTGGCAAACAGATCGTCCCAGCCACGAATAAGACGACACTTGTTCTGATAGGCGATGAGATCGAGCTGGTAATTGTTCCAGATCTCCTTCACCTGCTTCAGGAACTCTTCGAGGGCCATTTCGCCCTGGGCTTGCGTAATGATATCCCTGACAATGACTTCAGTAGCGACGAGGTTCAGGTCCCATACATCGCCCAGTGTCATGGAGACCGGTGAGTATCGGCGGCCGGGCCTGAGGTCCTTCCATATCTTGGTCCAATGTCGGTCTCGGATAGCTTCGGACTTCAAATCGCTCAAGATGCTGTTCACTTTTAATTGCTGGCGGAGAATGTTCTGAATGTGTTCAAAAGCAGCATACTGTCGCATTCTGCTCGGCATCTCCTTTGTCATCTTGATGAGACTGTCAATGGAACTCCGTATTTTCCTGGGCTGAACACTGCTCCAGAGCGTCTCACGAAGCTCGTTCAGACTCCTCCAGATTGTGGACAGGCCAGCCCACACCGATTTGAAGTCGTGGACCTCCTCTAGAATCAGTGACAAAGACGATTCGGCGCTCGGGGGGAGATCAAGTGCTTCTTTGGCTTTGGACACCATTTCGAATTCTTCTTGGAGCTTCGTGATGCGAGATTCGAACGACATTAGGGTAGCAGAGGCGGCTTCCGGTGCAATAGTGCCAGACACGGGCTTTTCCTCGTTCCACTTTGTGGCAATCTCGGCGATCTTCTCCATCACCACCTGATCCTCTGCAACAATCTTGGCCTTCAGCGCGTCTGTCTGATCCTGTACGATCTTGGCTTTCCTGTTCAGGATTTCGTTGAGAGCGTCCCATTGTGAGTCGACCTGTTGCACATCCACCCAATCGTTTGGGAGGTTGTACCTGCTCCTGACAAGTGTTGACTGACCCTGACGGAACGTCTCTACTTCGGGAGCCCAAGCCTTGACCCTGCGCTTGCAACTTTGGACGATGGTGATAAACTGGACTGCCTGGGCCGTCGAGGTAGCCTCTAGGCTCTGGGCTTCCAAGTCCCGGCGAGCCTTCTCAATCTCGGCATGCACTTCTCTCATGCGGGTGCCAAGTCGCCCGGCGAATTTCATGAGGATCTCATGTTGCCATTGGTCATACTTTGCATTCACCTTGTCCTGTACTTGGCCATAGTCAATATTGATGTGGCCAAAGGAGCGACTGACTTCAGAGGTGTCAAACGTTGCACGGGATTTGCGGATCTCCTGCAGTAACTGCAACCATCTGGGAAGCTCATCGCCGAGCAGCTCGTATACTTGTTCGGATTGCAGATCCCAAAGGGACTGGAACTGCAACCACTTATCAACATATTCACTGATGCCCTGCAATTTCTTCTCGACTGAAGTGTAGACTCTGCCGAGTATGTCGGTGCAATCGCTGGGCAATTCATTGAACCGAGCTTCGTCGTGAAGGACGGTACTCAATGTCAAGCTCATCTGGTATCTGGAGGCTTTGATCTTCGGAAGGTTGCAGACGATGCCTATCCAGTCGTGCAGTTGTAAGAACCAGCTGGCTCTAGCATACTCGAGAGGGGGGTTCAGGTAGATGACTTGATTTCGCATGGTTACTTCGTGAATCAGCTCTTTCATGGTCGGCGCGTCAGACTTGAGAGGTTCACCCGACGGGGCAAGCTGCTTCCGCCGACTGGCCTCTAGCTGTTTGATGGGGGTGTCGTCTTGGAAGGCCTCGATCCATGCCGAGACAGCGCGTTGTAGCCGGATGAGCAGAATCAGCTTGATCCGCTCGTTCATCCTATCTACCCAGAAGCCCAAGTTCACGTATTGCTCCAGATTTAGTTGGTCGACGGCAGCTTGGATCGTTTGCAGTCGTGTGGCAAACTCGGATGCTTCGTATGGGCAGGTGGCAAGCTCGGTCAAAGCCTTCTGAACATTGATATGGATATTTGCCAGGGTCACAGTCTTCGCCTGGAGAAGTGAAGCAGCCGCCGCGAACTCCCGAACAAAGAGGACATGCTTACTCTCACCTCCACGGCTGATAGCATGCTCAATGCCACCGTTGGGGAGCATTGGCTTCTGATACGACTCCCAAGTGTTCACAAAGGTTTCCCATCTCAGGGGTATACCTTTGGCAACTAAAAGGTGCACATCATTCTGATAACCACTCAACAGTATGGAGACTTCAGACATCTCTGATATCTGCCGCGTAGTCTGCGCGAATGTCCTCACACTTTCCATCAAACTGACGGCATAGGGGTACACCCGCTTGGCCTCCTTCGCGACGTTATTTACGGCATGAGGAACGTTGAAATTTTGCCAGCCAAGGTTCCGCGTTTCCTTGAAGAGGGCGATGATTTGAGCGTCGAAATTTACTGACAGCTCCAAGGCGTTGTTGGCAGCTCTGATTTTGTTGATGTTGAACAGCCGGCCAGAAATAGACAATTGCTTTCGTTGTACATCCTCAATCCAAGCCTTGTATATCGTCTGGGTGTTCAGCTTTTTCCTGAATAGCTCGCTCTCCGTCTGGAGCTTTTGACCTTCGCTGTGGAGTGCCCAGTCGGAACCCAGGATGTCTTCGACTTTCTTCATGTAACCGTCGAGTTGTCGCTCGATCTGACGGGCCCATATGATAGCGCCGGAGACTGGGGGTAGGTCATGGAGCTGAGCCATGGCATGAGCTTCGGAGTGACCATATTGTTGCTTGAATCGCTCATGCAGTCCCGCAATTGCCTGCTTGACGTTGTCGATAAGCTGGTTCTGGTACTCAGCAATAGCACCTCGGATCTTGGGTCGGACGAAGAGTGCATTGAATTGGGAGAAGACACGGAACATTTCATTCGCATTTTTTGCTGTCGCAAGTCGGTCGCGTAGTCTTGCAATAATCGAATTCTCGACTCTTGAGGTACGCTCGTTGTAAGTATTCTCCGCCTTGACCCACCTCTGTGTGCCTTCGGGAGACACATCAAGGAGATCGACATGCTTCAGAGCTTCCCAGGCTTGCTGTACCTCCTCAACAGCATCAACGTCGCCCATTTCTTCAACGAGGGCGACGCCGTTGGTGGTCGGCTCCTCGCTCAGCCCATCAACAGTCGTCTTGGGACCAAGAACATTAACAATGGTCCTCTGTAGCTGTTCATGGTTGTCTCGAAAGTTGTCAATGTACTGGAGTCGTGACTGGAGCTCGTTGTGCTTCGGCGTGATTTTGATGGGAATGAATTTTTCCTGCCGGCGGCGGGTCGTCTCTCTGGCTATGTTCGTAAATTCTTTGATCTGAGCGTCCCAGGACTTGAAGATTTCATTTGCGGTAGCCATCAGGTTCTTGAAGTCTCTGTAGTCAAGGTCCACCAACTCCGAGCCCGGAAGTAGGCGGTGCATGACCTCCTCCAAATCTGCTGAGATAGCTTCGACGAGATGCAAAGTCCGGGCTATGGGGTAGTTGCTAAACCGCATCTTCTTGTGCATGTGGCTAAAGATCAGCGAGACGGCGTCCTGGATCTTGGGCAACGAGGTTGCGGACAAGAGCTCGTCAAGGGGGAAGTCCCGCATCAGCTGGTTGTACTTCTGCACCATCTCCATAGCTTCCTTCAACCCTGTATCAGCTGTGAAACTGACGGTAGCCTGGAAGCGTTTCGCATGCTTCAAAATCTCCAACGTCAAGGTGACGCCTTCGCTTCGCAATTGACCTTCGATGCCCTCGAGGGCCGACTCCATCGACAACCAGAAGTTTATCTCCTGGGTTGCTGTCCTAGTCACAGGATCGCGGGTAAGCTTTGTGATGGCCTGTATCGACTTGATCCAGCTATTGACGGTCGACTGCAAGTTGTTCATGAATGTACTATCCCCAAGGAGGTGGGTGGGTATCAAGTCGGTAGATGGTCTCGTGCTGCGAGCCGCCGCATCTTCCAGCGCCGACTGAACGACCGGGTGGAAAGACAGGGACAGCTCTGGGATCTCGACATTCTGTTGGAGATGAAGCAAGCTCAACTCGAGCTCTGTCATGCGCTTCTTGGTGACCGGTATACCTGTCTTCGCATCCACGTCTGCCCGGCTCCTAGTGCCGTTCACAACCTGCGAGGTCTTGGTGTTGGCATCGAAGTAGGGTGCCAGCGCATTATGAACGATGGAATGGAGGATCTCGAACGGTGAAGCGGAGGGCCCTTGTTCGGCCACAAGGTTGGCGAGGGAAGCAGTACCGGGGAGCGTTTGGATCTGGACTTGGGAGGTCAAGGGGATCGAGGGGTCGATCGCTTGAGGACGTTTGAGCAGGGCAAGATATGCTATCGTGGTCGGCGTGGCAGAGATCTCGGAGGTGATTGTGTATGTGTAGGAATCGGGTACTAGGGGTCAACAGTTAGCTCTGTTCCTCGGGATATATCGATGCTTCGTCGGCCTCCTACCATTATCTGTCGGGCCATCTGCAACATGGTCTGATGGCACGATATCTTTCTGTATGTACAGGGCTACCTGGGTGTCCGTAGCAAACCGGCTGCATCGTTGGACGGTATCGGCGTAGTTTGCGTCGGAAAGCAGACTGCTGGGGCTCTCAAGCTCTGCGCGAGTAGCTCCGAGAGCAATGGTGACGACCGAGGCCAGATAGTCTACCACCAGGTTCGGGTCGACTGCAATAAAGGCGGCAGGCGACACTCCATTCGCGCCGGGGCTTTGCACGCCCAGAGTTGAAGCCACGGCCTCCATCATCATGGCGTTGGATATCGAAGGCGTGGTGGTTTCACAGGTTGGATGGCATCACTCGGTATATTAGGGGGGGTACGACGCAGAACACAGGAGGCGACGCAAATTAGTAGGCAGGAAACGGTAAACTACAGGAACAAAGGTTAAGGAGCGTGGGGTCGCAGTGTCGTCGTTGCGCTGGTGCTGGAACAGTCGGCGGGCGATCGGTTTTATCGGGATTTCAATGTTCGCAATGCAAAAAGAAGGGATGGTGTTTCTGATCGCGATACTACAAGTCATCCGTCACAAATGTTTCCTAACTACCGTAAGGTGCCTAAAACGCGCCACTGCCAGTTGTCGCGACGGCTTTGATTGGCGGCCAGGGGTAGCTGTCAGGGGTAACGGCGGCCGATAACGATAAGAGCAATAATGGGGACGAACATGGTCCTAGCCACATACATGTGACATGGATGTCTGCATAACTTCCGTGCTATTACTTGTTCGAGACACCACTGGGGGTTACACGATCAATATGTGAGTGCCGGGTGAGCCACTGTACGGACAGCCCATACATCTGCCCTTCTTTACACGTATGAAGTAGTAAAGGAGATGCTAAATGTGCCATCTACGGCAGAGGTTTTTGGCTCAGAAAAAAGGTTCGCCCATGCCAAGTTGTGCGGAACTGAAAGATGGATGTAATTTGAGATCTCACTGAAGGACCTCAGATTATATTTTCCCCATAGCCATTGTAGAGCGAAGGCCTGCCGTGCTAAGCTCATCTAGCCATCGTCAGACTGTTGTGTATTCCGTCAACCAGCTACCGTTAAGCAGTAATTTCAACACTTTCCATTCCCCGCCAAACGCCCACTCCATGCCGCCCATGATGTTCCGTGAGTCAACCTCGAGACGCCTTTGCTTTCTTTGACCAACCAATCCAGTCCTGCGTATCCCGATTTTCAAATCTCGTTCAAGATGCCTTCCTCGCAGCAGCTGTCCTTCAGGTGCTTGCGCTGCCGGCTGGAACACTGGCCTCGCCATCGTTTAACAATGTTCTCTGCACCATCACCCGCTGATTGCAGATGTCAATGAACATCTCGAACTTTGCGATCATCTGGTCTTTCTCGCGCAGTTTCTCCTCAAGTGCCTCGATTTCTTTTTTGCTGTCTTCTTTGAGTTTTTCCAACTCTTCTCTAGTCCGAGCAAGCTCCTTTCGGAGATCGGACCGGATGCGTTCCTCAGCCGTGGGGGCAGGCTTGCTATATATTGCAGGCCGCTGCTCCGCGATCCCAGCTTCGACCTTCTGAGGGTTGCGGTTAATTGCCGCCCGAGCATTGTAAATGTCTCTTGGGAGCAGGGGAACATGAGGATTCTGCTGTTGCAGAATTTCCAACGTTGCGGTGACACCGATACCTGGCACGGTCAATACGAAGGCTCAAAGAATTCAGAGGGCATTCTTACCGGATTCCTTGAGGCTCTTCACCGCAGCCACCATCGTGCTGTCCAGCTTCCTCGCAGCCGGGTGCAAAAGGGGGCTCTCACTGGGTCCGTGATTGTGGGTGAGGTGAGCCTGGTCGGGACGGTAACGAATTGTCCACTGAGTCCTCTGCTCTATGGCGAAGAAGCCAAACTGGCAATTGCATTTGCGGGATGACGTCTTTCTCTTCCTCTGCTCCGGGCTCACGCGACTGGGAGGCTTTCCTGCCCGGTCACATACGAACAAGACCTTCTTCAGGCCCGGTACCGTCTTTTTGGACCGTCCTATAACCACAGCGTATCCCACCGAGGTGCAATACTCTAGGACGTATCTGTGTACGGCTTCCAAGCTCGGGAAGCTGCCCCCTTCTGGCGGGGCAGACATCATGCCGCCCATTGGCGTCCGAGGCACAAAAGGAGTGCCATCGATGAGTTTGGGTTGTAGATGGCTATCTCCTTCACCATCCTCCGCCTGACTGTCGATATCCATATCGTCATCGTGAAGGGGGGTATGTGAGGGAAGGGTCGGCTCGGTTTGGGGAGTTGGCGGGGGTTGGCTCTGTTGCTGGGGCTTCGATTGGGGCTGTAGAGGTTGCTGCTGAGACTTTTGGTGCACTTGAGCATGAGGTTGAGAATGGGACTGCTGGTGAGATTGAGATTGTGCTTGTGGATGAGTTTGGAGATGCGGTGGCGTGCGGGACATCAAGTTGCTGTCGTTCGGTTGCACTTGCTGCGTGTGTTGGACCTGTTGGACCTGTTGGACCTGTTGCTGCACTTGCTGAGCAGGCTGCGGTTGAATAGGTTGGACTTGCTGTTGAATTTGATGTTGTACTGACTGAGCACGCGGGAGCTGAATCGGTTGTGGAACTTGTGGCGGGACTTGCTGAACTTGCTGAATGGGTTGATTCATGGCCTGTTGGAGATATGCCATGGAACTGGAGGGGCCCGATTGTGGTGGCATCTGCCGTTGCTGGTTACTCCTTTGATGTTGCGCATGCTGCTGCTGCTGCTGCTGTTGCTGTTGTTGCTGTTGTTGCTGTTGTTGTTGTTGCTGCTGCTGCTGCTGCTGCTGCTGCTGCTGCTGCTGCTGCTGCTGCTGCTGCCGAGCATGTTGGGCAACTTGTACTGCTGCCTGGGCATGTTGATGTTGAGCCTGAGCTGGAACATGTCTGGAGGTGCCATTTTGCAGGTTCGGAATGCTCGCGATGTTGGGCACGGGAGAAGAGGTCGTACTCGAGAAGAGGTGATGAGGATACGGAGCGTGTGGGGGCTGCTGAGGTGTGTATTGCTGAGGCTGGTAGGGAGACTGGTGTTGCTGAGGTGTCGGGGAAGGTTTCGGCGGCGTGGACGAATGCGAAGATGCATATTGGCGTCTGATCCCAGTGACCTGGGGGAAGGTTAGGCCTGGGTGTGTATGGGAGCTGGACCCGGTCGGGCCCAAGGCCGACATGACGAGGTCAGTCGCGATGGGGGAGGACGAGGGAAAGAATCGTCAAAAAAAGGAAAACAGATAACAATGAGGCCTAGCAGCACTGGGATGGGACACGATGTGATGTCAATGTCGACCCTGGCCGTTTGGCCGTTTGGCAGGATGGTAGGAGGTGCAGGTGGCGGGTGTGGAAATATCACCCACGATCAACATCACGGGGGTGTTGCGGGTGTGGGTCGAAGAAGAGAAGGGTGGGAATGGACAGAGTGGACAGAGATCGGATCTACCAGCGGCGGCCCAGCCCAGCCCAGCCAGGCGCCAGCGCTAGGTACTAGGCGGGTGCCCCATACCATCAGCAACCTGATGCACCATACCTGTCCTGTCGTTGTGGGCCCGGGCTTGCCACTGCTGGACTTAACCGTATTTAAGCACAACGCGGGGGCTCATCGGCCTCGAACCAACTCACTTACACCAACACCAACACCATCCTGACCCGAAAACTACCTCCTACAGAGTCCCCATGTGTTGATGATGCAGCCAAGCCCAAGTTGGTACACCCGTGCAGCTTGTAGGATTGCCCGCTAAACCTGTATATTCCATCCAGAGCCAACTGATTTCGGCTGGGCGCAAGGGAGGCACTCTTCAGTCTTGTTGGGTGGAGCTGAAGAACCCAAAATTGAGAAAAGTTGCAGATATTCATGTTCAACTCCATAATATGTATCTGTGGGGACAGAAACAATCCGAGCTATGGGCATGTCGTTGAGTTTGGGTAGGACCACCAAACCTCCAATTTCTGTGCCTTGAAAGCGTCACAACCTTCGTCTAGTGCTGCATGGCAAGATCACGTCTATGAATTAGCATGCCTTTCTGATATGAGGCATGTTATAAGTAGGCCCAGTAGTCGTCCGATGCAGGAATGCAAGCCGGGCCAGGAGAACCAATCACGAATACCAACCACCGAGTTGTGCTGCCCGAAACAGGCCATGTGGTAGACCCCCTCCATATCCGCAGGGGGCTTGTGCCATCCATTCGTCCAATGCGCCACCCGTGGACGCTCCCAGGCATTATACTAGAGCTGCAGAAAGCCACAGGCAGCCTCTATGTCGCCGCTCAGTGTGTGTGCCCGGAGAGGGGAGATGTGATCAGTCATGTCCGATGTGGCAACAGGTGCCGGTTCTGGGTATGACAGGTTGTGATCTGTCTCTTCTCGGATGACTGACCACGCAGCAGCCCTCCAGAGACGGGAAGACTGGGCCTTTTATTGGCGGTCTTGTCATTGGGAGGTGTGACGGGATGCGATTCAGTGGAAGGGTTCAAAGGGTAGATGCATGTTATCTCATTACTCATCATGTATGTATGTCTGTATGTCGTCGGAGTCGTCGACGTCGACCTGCACCTACATGCATACACGCAATATGTCCGACCACCTACCTACATTACCAAACCTATTCAAGGTAGCACATACCTATATGTTAGGTACTTACTTATAATGAGTACGAGGCAACGGCGTGGTGGCCTGCACCTGCAGTTTCCATCTGCCGCCCGAAAGTTGAAACCTTCTTTCAGCCTCCTCAGAATGCCGGCTGACACGAGCCAGCAGCTTCAATGTTCATCCATCGTCGCCAAAGGGCAAACATCATTCGCATGCCTCTAGGCCGTTCCCCGTGACTCAATGCTGACGGACTGTTGTCTGCTTCTGCCTCGACCGCCTGCCATTCACGAGCTATAAGAGCTGCTCGTGCTCGACTCCCGCTATCCCCTCATCCCCTCATCCCCTCATCCCTCCACCGCCTCTTGGGTCCCACTAGTTCGTGGTACCGTATCAAACGCCAAGGGCCAATCCATCCGACGAAGGACGAACCTTGAAAACGTCGCTCGAGTTGCCATTCTTCTCAGCTCCCATCTGCCACCCCACCAAGCCTCTCACCTCACAGCAGACTTCGTGCGACACTTCTCCCTTCCTCATTATCTGTCGCCGCAACCTGGACAGCAAGCCGAGATAGGACGGTGATAGGACGGTGATGGGCGAGGAGGAGAACAGCTGGGCAATTTGGAGGCTGGATAGACCATTAGCATTCTGAAATGAGCTGTACTGGCACATTCACACCCACCGTCTCTAGCTCACGTCTCTGCTCCCTCAACACTGCCAATCTATAGCCGGGGTCTCTCCGCTACTGCGCCCACGATGGATTCTGACAGCGAGTACGAAAGACTATACGAAAGCTTCCAGCAGCTCCGGGACTGGCAACTCATCCTGAAGCGCGGTCGCTCAAGGGTCCTCAGATCGAAAAAGGACCCCGACGCTCGCGCCAAGTTCCTCGCCGACAACCCGCCGCCGAAGCAGGCTGTGGTCCGCCGTCCAGAAGATGATGTTCGATGGGCCCTGCGCTTGCTGCCCGCCTACTGCACGCCGTCCGCAACACCATGCTCCTCGCCGCGGGACTCTCATCATTCATTCCTCACGAGCTTCCCCGCCGAGATCCGCAACATGATCTACCAGTATGCCGTCAACTATCCCAGCTGCCGCAGTATGTACGACGCGTACTATAGCCAAGCGAAGCGGGCCAAGTGCAGACCAGTTTCTCGCGTCTGCCATGAAGATTGCAGCTGTGCTAAGAATCCTGTCGGCATCTTAGAACACCGCGCCCCTACCATCCTGCTGCTCAGCAAACAGATCACCAGGGAAGCCTTGACCGTCCTGTATCTGCGCACATTCACCATCGACCGCATCCCCCCCTGGATCATGGGCGAGATGCATCCGCGCCCCATAACCGACTTCATCAGCGAGGGCACACTGCAGAGCATCCGATTTGTGGAAATCAAGGTCTCTTTAGGTGACAGCCACCATGCTAAAAGCGGCCAGGTTTGGCTCCGGATTCTGAAGGACGTCCTGGTAGCCTGGTCGAAGAAGAATTCGTTAGTACGGATCAAGGTCATGTTCAAGGTCTCCAACGTCAATCATCGTGCGGTCTGGTACAGTGAGCTCAAAGACTACGACACGCTCAAGAAACAGGTCAGTGCCCCTACCTCCTGTCCGATACCAGACTCCCAGTGCAAAACGACGTTGGCTCACCACGGTTCGCAGATCTACAACTTCGTGTTCAAACATGGGCACAGGCTGAGCATGCTTGACTATGAGCACTGGGTGCTCGACCACGGCTACGCTTATAGAACAGGCTTCAGGAGTGAGTGTCGGGTCAGCCTCTCTCCTAGGCATTTGTACTGAGAACTGACAACGCTAGATCCGCTGATCCGCAAGCATCCCGACCCCAACATTTGGCAAGGCAGTGTCCTGGAGTGGATCTGAATCCCGAAAGCATGTGAATGATAGCCCAGACCTGTGCCGAAACGAAATGAAACGACACGGAATGACGGCTGGCGGAATCCCAAAATGCACACTGCAGCAGGGGCAGGTGGCAGAGAGACAAACGGTGGCTTTTCAGGGGCGTTTTGCACTCTTTATGGAGGCGTATGGCGCATGGATGGTGTATACCCAGGCATGATGTTCATTTTGGTCGACTCGGCCTCGTTTGTACTTTGAGATTAGTACACTTCCGCGCTTGTTCTTCAGAAGATATATCGAATTGATATTAATGCAGCTTTGCCAACCATACTCTCACACGCATGAACCTCCCTATGGTCTGTTGCTGTGCAAGCCCCCACGCTTACACCAGGACCCCTTTTCATCACACCTGCTGACCGGAACTTGGTGACCGGCAGACGATCAAATGTACAGGTTAGATCGTAAGGCACAGCCCTCGTCTTCTTCGCAGGGCAAGGCATATTCGTGATCTTAAACAAGCACATGCATGTCATGATTCCAACCCTTGCCAACGTAGTAACGGATAGCCAGCCAGCCAGCCAGCCAGCCCGAAAAGTCCCATGCATGAAACGCAACAACGCGGAAACATCCCCGATCGACCCCGGTCCCGAGAGTCCAGCAAGCACCTTCAATGTTACTGTACGCCATCGATTTCTCAGCCACAGCCAGCGGAATCCTTCCCACGTTTCTGTATTCTACTATTAGGCACCTGCAGCAGCCAGCGCCTCAATCCTGGATTCCTGCCCGCCTGTCGTGTTACGCGCCGTACAGGGCAGGCAGGAATCCCGCGCGTCACAAGGAGGATTGAGATTGCTTACTTCGCCGGCATGAAGAATCATATGGGGGCGAAAGGCGAAAGGCAAAAGAGAATTACAATAGGAGCGAAGGCGGAAAATAGTTAGAAAAGGATGAGTGGAGAGTGTTTGCTCTTGCCTCTCTTGCCTCTCTTGCCTCTCCCCCGTTTCCCCTTTTCGCTTTTCTAATAGCTTTCCGAACCCACCACAGCTGAAACGAATATCAAGCCAGCCAACCAGCCAGCAGATCCCGCGTCAGCGAGTGACAGGAAACAAAGCCGAACTTGCGTGACCCCTACGACAATCTACTTTACCGTATCGACTAAGCCCTACGAATCCCTACCAAGCCCTACCTTAATACGCATAAGTAAGCACCAGACCCCCATTCCCCAGCGCTGATTGGCCATCATCCTGAGATTAGTGCCTCTTGTACCGGTACTTGTGCCCCGGGCGGGCGGTGGAGTGATCCTGGAGGAGCGGCATCCCGGCCGGCTCAGCCTTATGGTGATCTGATTGAAGGATTGATTCCCGCGGTAATCAACCGCGGGCTGATGGGCTGTAACTTAGCCTGTAGGGAGGGGACAGGGGAGGTGGGGGTCGGGCAGTCGGGGAGTCAGCTGGACTCTGGATGTGTCCCTACCCTATTAGGGACAGAGAGAGGAGAAGACAGGGTGCTGACTGAATCCTGAGTCAGTGGCGAATATTCGGGGAAGGGACACCTTACCAGTGTGTTGTGTTGCTGTGTGTAGGTACGGGGGCTAGGTCCAGTGCGCCCATTCTTTGTCAAGTAGAGGAAGCACCAGGCGACAGGAAAAACGAGAAAATGCCTTCAGTATCTGTAGACGTGCATATTTCAATACCTCGATGGGCTCTTGCTTCGGATCCATATATTCGTGCTGTTGGCGACCGTCTCCATCTATATGCAAAATGGTGTATCTCTGAAACTTGTATCTAGCCCTATATTTCCAGAACTCCCATTTACCCTTCGTACCTGCGTACGATACGTGAAATCCATCTCCCAGTATATATCCGAGACGTCCAAAAAGCCCTCCGATGCACGTGTCCGCTGAAAACCAAACCTGAAGTAGAAACGCGCGCCCTATCTCTGTTTTACTGGTCCTGTGACACCTTCTTCCGCTTGCTAGGCCTCCTCGTAGCTTCGTCGCCGACGAAATGGTTCTTCTCGATCTGATGCTGCCGTAGGTTGTCTTGCCGGTTCTTGTATTGACTGTTGCAACCGGGGTACGGGCACCTATAGATGACAGGCGGATTTGTTGAATGCTGCATCTTCTTGTGCTTCGCCATGCTGCCTTTGAACCACTGCGGGTCACCTTTTGGGCGATAGCCGCATAGCTCGCAGCAGTCGTTCGCCTCTATCTTCGATCCCGAGGCAGAAGACGACGACGGTCCGGCGTCATCGCCTCTTGCTCCTTCGGCCCATGCTGAAGTCGTTGATATGGAAGGGCTGGGCGCGGTGGTTGCCCGCTGTCGATCTGGCGAGGACACTATCGAGCCCGCGAAGGGCTCGGTTGAGGTCTCTGGACGAGAGGCCCTGATTGTCAGGGGCTTCGAAGTATCCGTAGACGTGAGTCGTTGGAGGGCTGTGGGGTCTACTGTTGGATCGAAGTCGGACTGGTTGCCTGGGTTCATGGGCTCGTGGACGGAAGCGCCTGTGTCCATAGGCATGAGAAACTCATCATCTGGATCGAATGTCTTGTCTAGACCCCGTAGAAACTCGTCGAAGGGGTCTGGGAGGTTCATCTGGGAAGCGGATGTCTGTTCCGGCGTTGGATAGGACTCGCGTGTGATGCTTCGGAGCAATGTTTCCACTAAAGATATCCCCAATGCGTGGTACTTCTTCCGTGGACTGAACCCTTGTTGAGAGTAAATGGGGTCGCATAGACCCCTCACTTGTGGGATAAATTCGTCAAAAAGGTCAGAAGACGCCAGAGAGTCCTGTTAGATTCTGTTGTTAGCATGGTTCTGTAGGGCTGGAAGTATTTCTTATGCAAATTATATATCAACTGCTTGCCAGGCTATGTGCGCGGTAAGGATTCGGGATGTGTCACCCGCTGTGGCTCAGGATCACCAAATATAGGCATCCTTCACAGCCTAGGCAGAAATTGAAGTGGCAAACGGCCCTCGCAGCAGGAACAGGGTAATACCATACCTTGCCAGCTTGTAGTACTTCGAGCTCCAGCTTGCGGACCGTAGCGATATATCCTGCATGAACCCTTTGGCCAATGACCCTCAATCTCGGCAAGAGGCTCTGTGAGTCATGGAAGTTCTGGCTCAGGACTTGAATGATGTAGTTCGACGTTATTGCGAATGGGTTGTTTCGTGATGTGTCGGGTTGCATCTCCGTCACATGCGCTGACCACAGTTCTGAGGTAAGGACTTCCATGGATCTCTGCGTGTCACTTGCGATAACCGAGTTTTCGATATCTGTGTCCTGTCAATCAGACGGCTCTTTCAACTAACGGTGTTAGGGTCAATCGACAGATGCTGTAACGTACCATCCAGAAAGTTCTGCCCCGTTACTACCAGGGGGTCGGAGCCCACTGCCGTCCTTGGATCTTTACGACATTCGGGCTCCTTGCCTTTCAAGCTCGAGGACCTGCTCAGCGGAACGCCCGCAGGCTGTCGAGGTTGCTGCTCAGCACTGGGCTGCCAAAGAGTTATTGCAATCTGCGTATACATGTCGACATAGGCTGGGCTAAAGAAGCCTTTGTACGCGAGAGCCTGATCGTAAAACTTGTTGTATCGAGTAATCAGGTGATCTTCGTGGATGACCAGAGAAAACGCATACATGAGATGGACAAAGTTGAGGTAGTCCAGCGGGTCCGTCGGATCATTGCCGTTCAGTATCCTCTTCAAGCTTGAGAGGCCACCCAGGGCCACTGTCTGTGGAAGCTGTGTTTGAAGCCTATCGGCAAGCGGGTTACCTTGTAGTTGGGTCAATTTGGACATTGAACTCGAGATATGTTCCTGCACGGCTTCCCAGGCTGACCCAACTAGAGTTTTGGTATCGGAGGCAGAGACCGGAGATACGAGGAATTCTGAGGGCAAGTCGACCGGCCTGGCGTCGTCATTGGTGAACATCATATTGACAGAGGTCCCTAATGATATTTCCGTATCGACGGAGGACATCCAGGAGTAGTTGTCCTTCGGATCAAATGAGAAGAAGAGCGGATCAGATAGCCCTCGCGGCACAGCCAAGGATAATGGGTCGTCGCCTGGCAGTTCAGAAACGTTTCCAAGTGTGTAATGACATGAATCCTCGGGACACGCGCTCATGTCTTTGGCGTTGGCATAAGATAGTTCTGACTGTTGTTCCATGGGGTATCCGCCTGCACTGAAAGGTGTTGCTGGCGATGTCATCCCAGTGTCAATACTGGAGTTCATGGTCCATTCCCCCGTTGATACCGAATTCGCGCTCCAAGGGGTAATGGGAGAGACACCGTGAGAGCTTCTCATCGAACGAAGTGAAGAGCGTGGTGACAAGTATTTTGGACGTGGGACGCTCCTAAAATGGTCCATAGAAGTAATCAAAGCGAGCGAGGGCCGGCTGCCTCCAGAGTTCGAGGGGCCCGGTTTAGGGGGAGGCATCGCATCGTGTATGTGAGAAGGCGTTTGCTTCCCCGTAAACACCTCGGTCGACTGAACTAGCAGCGGCGGCGGAGGTACTTGAGACGCGTTTGAAGAGTTCCCATGCGGCGTATCGTAGTTGATAGCATCGAGTTGAGCCGGTGGTGACAGTGGTGTAGAGTCCAGCTCTAGTAATTCTGTACCGTTCAGCTCTAGTTGAGGTTGTTGATGCTCTTGCTCTTCCCATTGCTGGTCCCATTGTCTCCGCTGTTGCTGACTCCGCCATAGCTCTTGTTGTTCGTATTGGTGATGAGTGTCAACCACGAGAGAGTCATAGCTCGGAGGAGGTAGCCTATGATCGGTCTGAGACGCAACAGACGAACCGTGTCGTCGTGATTTACTGCCAATATTAGAAAAGAAGTTCTTCGCTATGTTGACGATTCGCCTTCTCTTGGTCGGGTGGCCCAGACAACAGCTGCATTTCGAATCGTTGAATCGCTCAACCTTCATGCACTCGTAGCATACATATTCTCCTGTCGTGAGATGTTGGCACTTGGCCAGGTGCCTCAACATCTTCTCGTGGTCATGAAAGCGTTCTCCACATCGCAAGAGGGGACAGCTCAGTCGCTCGCTTGCCGCCATACGAAGAGATCGGTTCCGCTTCACAGCAGCCCACACGATGAACCTCTGGTGTGCGCAATCTCCACCCGAGGCATCTCGAGACCTGGAAACGTAAGCATCCCAGACTGAAAGGGAGTTTCCCGCATGTGCTTACACGCATGATGTCGAGGCACGCGGTTGAGATTGTGATCGCAGGCTCGAGTGAGACCGTCCTCCTATACTATGTGACCCGGCCGGAGAGGCGGTTGTGCGCCGTCCGGGCTGTTGTGGGTCCATATCGAAGAAGGCAGCAACCACGGAGGTCGACTCGGCGGTGGCAAAGGTCTTTTTGGACTCCATGTTTGAACCAGACATGTTTACCTATAGGGATAGACTAATGCTTGAATGGGAGGAGAGTTCTCGGGGCCATATCGATCGCCACCGATCCACGTCTTTATTTTTGAAAGATCCAGAAGGGCAAAACCGTCCACTCCCCGGGTGACGATGTAGGACTTTGTTGCATGGGTGAATAGGCACAAGTACCTGTACCGTAGGACCACTGGTCCAGCGGCGGCAATGACCGCGGTCTGGAAAGTAATGCAGCCATTGGTGAGCAGGCTGCCTCCGCCGATGGCCCTGCACAAGTGTCGGCAGTGCGTCTGCCAGACACGGCCGCGCACCAAGATGCAGATGTGAGCAGGCAAAGGCTGGTGGAGTTGGGGTCCGAGATGCGACTCGGTGAAGTACGCAGGCAACAAGGCAGATTGGCACCCCCAATTACGCCCTGTGCGCAAGCTGAGGAGGACTGCGCTGCTGACTGCAGGACTCGGGCTTGGGCCAATCAGCGGCCCAGGGTCCAGGACTCGGAAAGAGGACACTGGCGAAGAACAAGAACGAAACCCGAAGCTCGACGGCGACTCGCGAGTCCTGAGATAGAACTCTCGGCTTGCGACGTATTGCATGCGGGCAGGACTCGGTCATTCTCGTTCCATTGCTCTGTAAACGGAGGCGGGAACAATGATGCAGGAGTGATGCTGAGAGATACGAGATCTCTCACAACGTCTCACCTACTGCAACGACTTGGGAGGATTCCCAGTCGCGCGAACCGACTTCTTCGTCCCATGCTGCAACTGTCTACCACGCTGACAGCAGGGTTGAGGGAGATTGGGCGACCGGACGCTTCTTAAGTAGATCAGTCTACCTACCGTAGGTAAACTGTCGACTTGTTGTCCAGGCTTCGGCTCTGCACGACATGTCGGCAAGTGAAGGTGATAAAAATAGCAGTCCAATCTCTGTCGTCCAGCAAGTGCGGGCATTCGACGATCTCAATAGGTCACAATAGTAGGTCTCACTCAGTTGGTTCGCGATACCAGCAGGCCGGCATTGCGAAGTGCAACACAGACGAGGCTCTGTACTGTAAGGGTCTTTGCTAGAGTGTGGAAGGTCGAAAAGCAGCACTCGCTGCAAGGCGTAGTTGCACGCAGAACAAGCGCATTGGCATAAGGCAACCATGTACGGTCGCTTAAGACCCAGTACATAGTATAATAGGACTTTAAGGCTGCATGATGTAGGACTTGTCCTTCCACATTCGACTGTAGCGGTATGTGTCGCAGAAGTGTAGATACTGCCTTTGACATTTAAGGTGTCCAGCCCTACATCACTTTTACACACACCACAACACAATTCTAAGCTAGTGCTAGACAATTAAAAGTACGTTTTCCGACGATAACGCTCCTTAACCAACAATATATATATATTATTTCGTATGTTTTTAAATGCTCGTAACCTAAAGCTATTAAAAAATATATGTGAGATTCCAGAAGGGTCACAAGCCTTGAGGGTGTGAGCGGTCGCTGCAAATGTTGTTGTCATTCTCAAGTATGCTTGGTAGGGCTAATCTACAACTAAATACCATACTGCACCATGCCAGGGTGTATCCACTGTTCCCTTGACAGCCCCATATTGGGTACTGCACCAAAGGGCACCATATCTGGGATCCAACATCTGACAATATAATAATATATATGATATTAGTTTAAAGCGCTATTATATAATTCTATAGTTCGTAATAACGATAAAAATACAGCATTTAAAGTTATTATTACAGTTAAAACGTCGTATATACCGATATATATATAATAGCGGAATAAAATAAATAAATAAATAAATAAATAAATAAATAAATAAATAAATAAATAAATAAATAAATAAATAAATAAATAAATAAATAAATAAATAAATAAATAAATAAATAAATAAATAAATAAATAAATAAATAAATAAATAAATAAATAAATAAATAAATAAATAAATAAATAAATAAATAAATAAATAAATAAATAAATAAATAAATAAATAAATAAATAAATAAATAAATAAATAAATAAATAAATAAACAAATAAATAAATAAATAAACAAATAAATAAATAAATAAACAAATAAACAAATAAATAAATAAACAAATAAATAAATAAACAAATAAACAAATAAATAAATAAACAAATAAACAAATAAACAAATAAACAAACAAGCAAATAAACAAATAAACAAACAAACAAATAAGCAAATAAGCAAATAAACAAATAAATAAACAAACAAATAAACAAATAAGCAAATAAACAAATAAATAAATAAACAAATAAATAAATAAGCAAATAAACAAATAAACAAATAAACAAATAAATAAATAAACAAATAAGCAAATAAACAAATAAACAAATAAACAAATAAATAAATAAGCAAATAAACAAATAAACAAATAAATAAATAAACAAATAAATAAACAAACAAATAAACAAATAAGCAAATAAACAAATAAATAAATAAACAAATAAACAAATAAGCAAATAAACAAATAAATAAATAAACAAATAAATAAATAAGCAAATAAACAAATAAGCAAATAAACAAATAAACAAATAAGCAAATAAACAAATAAATAAATAAACAAATAAACAAATAAATAAGCAAATAAGCAAATAAGCAAATAAACAAATAAACAAATAAACAAATAAATAAATAAATAAATAAGCAAATAAGCAAATAAACAAATAAGCAAATAAGCAAATAAATAAATAAACAAATAAGCAAATAAATAAATAAACAAATAAACAAATAAGCAAATAAATAAATAAACAAATAAACAAATAAATAAACAAATAAACAAATAAATAAATAAATAAATAAATAAATTTTAATTACCTATATATACCGTTAAATTCTTTATAAAAATATATTTAAAAGCTTTATTTATCGCTTTACTTAATATGAAATATTTTAAAACGTAAATAAACGTATAAAATCACCCTAAATATATTCGTAGTGTGGGATACAGGGTGCCGTACGGGTGTGTTAGCAGCTGTTCAGGCAGCTGTATCTGACCAGAATAGGTGGTCAAAGCTTGAAAGGGGTGAAAGCACCAAATGTAGTAGCTTTAAGAGTGACAGACAAGGCTCCATTGATTGTCAGATCAATAGATGGGCGAATCTTTATGCTTTGGTGTGTATTTAGTACTAGATTTGGTCCCCAGATCCGATAAACGATTACGCAAGCAATTTACTCCAATATTAGACCCTGAATTGTGATACGTAGTTTATAATAATCGTTATTAACGGCGCGGAAAAAATACGAGATAATAGATAGTTTAAAAAATTATTAAAGTCGTGTTATATCGAAAACTTATAAACTTTAAAGCTATTATAAAACTTATCAAAGCTAGGTTGTAAGAAAATTAAACTTTAAGCTTGATTAATGGTAATAAAAGCGTCGTTTGACGCGTATAAAACAGCCGTTTTTTATTTATTTATAAATATCATTTAAACTGGTGTAATAATTGTATCTTTTATTATTGAATTTTATAAAACGATTGAACGATAATCTAATAAAATCTTAATATAAGTTTATTAATTCGTACCGCATTAAGCCTTACGTCGTATACGTTTTAATATTGAATATATCGAATATTTTTTACCTGTTAATCCGATTAATGAATCAAAAAAAGTTAATATACGTGATTTTAATTAAACGAAATATAAAGGGTTTAAACTTAAAATACCGGCAATAAAACGCGAATATATCAACCGTATAATATAAAGATACAAAAAGATTGAAATTAATAAATTATATAATAACATCGAGTAATAAATTATTAAGCTACGTAGATTATAAAAAATACCGAATATTAAAGTTATAATAATAAGTATAACGAGTTTGTAAATCCATTTATAAACCTAAAAAATAATAAAATTGATTTATAGTTTAAATTTATAGCGACGATTTAATTTTAAAATTTTAAAAATCTCGTTATCGGTATAAAGCGGTATATTAAATAAATCAAACGATTGTTATGGGCGTTAACGTCGGCGCCGGCGCTCCGATTGACGAGAAGATATTTAACTTTAAAATAAATTAATTGATAATCGATTAACAACCGTTATAAACCTCGTAATATACCTTTTAAAAATATAAAATTAACGTATCATAAAGTAGTTTTAAGTTATATCTAAAGTATATATTTATATTTATAACGTAATTAACGAAAAATACTAAGGTTTATTACCATTTATATGGTTAAAAAAATTAACTTAATAATAACGACGATAAAAAACTTATTACGCTTTTAAATTTACGGTCGTATATATTAAATATATAGTCTTAAATAAGTATAAATTAAAGCTATTTAAAACTATACGTTTAATATATCTAACCGTTAATTTAAAAGCGTGGTTATTAAAACCCGTACTTTTATCACTATCATACACCGGCTGAAAATCATATTATGTGTGTGTATAAAAGTAATATAGGGCTAGACACCTCGAATATTAAAGGCAGTATTCCACTTCATTGACCTGAGCATAAATACTTATGCCACATGCCTATGTAAGGTAAAATGTCAATCGCTTGCCAACTGCTTGCTAGCTGCGTGACAGGGCCAATGGCAGCCGCCCATCACTCGGAGACCTGTAGCAGGCCAGTCCTCCCACTTGATTGGGTGCGTCATGAAACTTCACTTGGCCATTCCCCTCGCCGTTCCATCCTCTCCAAGTGACTCGTCAACATTGAACATCCCAATCTTGGCCGTTGGTTGAAAGGCCGCACAATCTGGGCAACAGCCTGGGGAGGTTCAACCCCCATTCTGCCAACCTTCCAGTCCCAGAGGCCAGGAAAGTTGAAACCGTCGCGTATTGTTGCATCTCTCGCAGGCTGACCCGGTTCTGCCAGTGTCATGACAATGCGGGGTTGTTGGTCTCGAAGTTAAGACGACGGCTAACGGATAAAACGACAAGATCGAGTGCGACTAGTAGCAAGTCTGACCGACTGGCTCTTCGCGACATTCAACATTCTGCTGCGTTTATAGCGCATACGTCAGAAAAGATGTTCACCGCCAGCAGTGCCCTGGCAGAGAGAGAGAGCTCCGAGCCGTGAAACATCCATATTCTATTCGCTCGAGTCATACGTGCTCACCCGGCAGTTCATCCTTACGTAGTCGACGTTTCAGAGCAACGCACTCTGAGCTCACCATGCGTCGGGGTTGCTCGTTTCAAGTAGACAGGAGACGACCTCAATTGGCCTTTACGGCATGCACGATGGAGTTCCCGACAGTGGACACAGAGTGACAGTCTACACGGGACCCTTAGAGTGGGTTCTGCAACGGCGTTCTGCCACTCCATTGTCCAGTCAACATGGAGGCCAAGCCGGCTTGTTACCAACCAATGTCCCTAGTTGGCTGCTTGTGACCTTGTCAGACCTCTAGGAGGGGGTGTCTGTCGAGTAAGCCCCCATGAATCAATGCTGGATCACCGAGATCTACAAAGCTGTTGATTCTCGAGACATGATGGGCCCCATCACCCGGCAAAGGTGCGAGGGCGTGGCATGTCCACCCTCTTGAAAGTTAAAACGAAGGGTGATCCAGTCCATCGGACCATCGTGGGATTCTTTTCTTCGTCTCAAGATTAACTCAACAGCCAACTCGATAGCCCGTTGGAGATTCCTGGGAATTCCTTTCGATCCATATAGGCCAGACCCGGACAATCGGACTAAACCACGCAGGCTTGCAACCTATTTTCAGACTACAGATCCTAGCCCCACGAGGAGCCCCGCAAGGAATCATGAGCCGACGATAGAGGGATCGAGAGGATTTGAAGGTTCCTGGCACAATCTGGCACAGCACAAGCGCAATAGTGGCGCTTCTGGTCTGGTTGTTGGTTGTTGGTGGTGAGATTCTATTCGCCTGCGCGGCTCTTATCAGATAACGTCGAGGTTATCGACTGGAACGAAGCATCCCTTCGTGGGACGATGTCATCTGTGTGTTCTGGGAGCCGTCGGTCACCTCGTTGGGTCTATATTTCCTGGTGAGCGTCGTCTCGGAACCTGAGGCCATATAACCACTCGAAGGAACCCCCGTCGATCAATCCTTCGGTGATTGATTGAGTTCTTTCTCCCTCTACTGTCGCCGATTCCGTCGATTTCATCCTGGAAAACAGTCGTCATTTTCAGCGGTTGCTTAGGAGAATCCACAATCCTCCATCCACGACAGGCAACAAAATAATCTTCTTTCGGGGCTGGCCTCTTCCTCCTCGCGAGCGAGATTCATTATTAGTATTCGCTCTTCCCGCGCGGAGCTCGGGACTTGCGAGCTCTAACGGGTTTTCGGTTTTTCTTTTATAAGGGTGCAAAGAGAAGCAATCCTTGGCGTGTGTTTGACAGCTTGTCGTCAGAGTCCCAACGAGTCGGTAACAAAATACGACGCCTCTTGATTAATTACCCTACACGCAGCCGTCGCGCTACCACCCACCACAGACGGGCAACCACACGGAATGCCAGCATGGCCCACGTGGTACGCGAGTTGGACCTCAACGCCTACTACGGCAGCCATACCATGATGGACAAGATGAACGTGGTGCCGGGTTTAAAGACGAGCACCGGTGAGTTACATACCTTAGCTTTTCATATCTTCATCATTCATTCAACCATTTCATTGGCATGCTCGCGTACCTCCTTGCCATTCTTATCGCAATTCGCATTCACTTGCATACCTCTGGGTTGTGTCTATCCCAAGTAGAGAGACAGCGTAAAGGTTACAGTGTACCTAAGTTATCAAACTTGCTCTCAGAACCTAAACGGCCTGCAAACCAAAGTTCGACGCAGCCACGATTCTCCAGATCATCACTGTTGCACACTTCGCCGGTACCGACCCAAAACTGACCAAAGTCCCGTCCCAGCATTCTTCACTTTCCTACGGGCCAACCTCGTCGTCAACCCCTCCGCCGTATCGACGCCCACCATGGAGCCCACATCCTCACCACTGCTCCCGCTGCCCTCGGCGTCACCTCTGGTGACAGTTGACGGCCCGCCCCAAAACGGACATGGGCTGCACGCCGTGCCGGACGACCTACCTCCGCTCGCGGTCGGCCCGCTGACATCCGAGCCCGACAAGGTCGCTGCCCTGCAGCTCATCGCCGACTCGATTGCGCAACAGCGCCAGTCGGCGTCGCGGAACCTCATCTTCCACCCGTACCTGCTGGGCCTCTTCGCCGCCGGCCTCGGGCTCGCCTACCAGTACTCGTGGCGGCTGAAGCGCGATCTCGGCACCGCGCTGCTGCTGCACTCGGGCGTCATCATGATCTACCTACTCACCATCCGCTACTTCACGGGCGAGTATGTGCAGGTGGCCGAGAATCTAAAATGGAGCTGGCTGGTGCACGACCGCTACCCCGACGCCGGCAACAGCAGTCATAGCAACACCCACAGTCGCACCAACAGTCGCACCCACTCTCGCAACAACAGCAACAGCAGCAACATCAGCAACCACGGCCCCGACGAAGACACGATAATCGGCGTGCACTTCGGCAGCGCCCTCATCGGCGCCCTAGTCCTGCGCCTCGAGCCGAGCCCGTCCGTGGCGGGCGGCGGCGGCGGCGGCAGCAACCGCAAGCGCGCGCGCAGCTCGGTGCTGCGCGGCGGGCGCGGCGTGATTCGTGCCTGGACGGTTAAGCTCAAGTACCGCGGCAAGGGCGTCGGTGCCGACCTGCTGCACGAGGCGGTGCGCGCGACGCGCGAGCGGTGCGGCCGTGACGCTGGAGTGGGGTTTGCCAAGGAGCATGCTAACAGCACCATGGTGCTGCCCGAGGTGTTCAACGGACCCTTCCGCAGGAGCGAGCAGAGGGCCGCGAGGGCGCTAGAGGACGTGCTGGGCGAGTGGGAGGGCGGCAAGAGGAGGCGGAGGAACTGAACTGGTTTGATGTAGACCTAGACGGGTATGGATCTAGAGGGGTGGCCCAGGTAGAATTGGGTAGAGGCGAGGAGAGGAGTGGGAAGTTCTGGCTGGCAGTGGCGTTCATTGGGCGGGCTTTTCCTTAGAGCGATCAAAATACCCCCTTCGTTTATGTTACAGAATAGTCCATGGCAGAAGCATTTGATTCGGCATTTGATTCTTTGGTTTCATTCATGTGCCATCAATGCCATGCAGGCAATGTGTGACTGCAATATCGGGGTATCATCATTCATACATGCATGCAGTGGCCCCTTCCTCGTATATGCTCTGCGTCGAGTCTCTGCCAACAGTCGTACCAAGCAAGTTTCGAGCGTTTGGACCAACCTTCCAAGTGTCCATTTGAGCTGACATCAGTCGCAAAGTAGGAGTCCTCCAAAGTCATTCCAACGGCCAATATGCGCCAAACCAGAGAGCTTTCTGCCCACACAATCCCTCAAGACATGCTCTGCTCTGTTCCGGCATGTGTACATAGTGCCATCCGTCGTCTAGGTCTTCGCGGCAGGGGCTTTTTGGACGGTCTTGATATCATCGAAACCGTAAATGGGCCGCCCGATTCGGCGGAGCGCGTGCAGTACCTGCAGGTAGGTGTCTCCTTGTCAGTACGCAGTCCGAGACCAATGAGACGATAGGCGCGGAATGCGGATGGGAACGTACATCTCCGACAGTGACGGTCTTGCGTTGTCGGTACTCGGTGAAGGTTACGACATCGCGGATGATCTGGCGGTACGTCAGTGACCTCGACTCGACTTCGGCCTCGACCTCGACCTCGCATGCGTGCGGGCGGGCCATAGTGCATGTACGTACCCTCGTCATTCGTTCTTTCATCGCCTCGCGGACCGCCTCGTAGATCTGGCCTGAGATACGCTTCACGCCTTCACGACGGGCCAGCCGTCTGAATACATGTATGTGTTAAATCGTCATCATCTCGAGGGCTCGAATGAAGCGCGGAGGTGAGGGCGGCGGGGATGTACCTGATGGCGGGCTTGGCTGTGAATTGCGCGTGAGCAGGTGCGTCATGAAGGAGCGGTTTTCTGGGGAGGAACTGACTGATACCCTGGATATTGTCTCGGAGGATCTTACTGTGGATAGTCAATATCGCAATTTCGTAATTGGAACAGGTGCGCTGCGCCGTACCGGTGTCTCTTGGTGCCCTGTGCACGCCGGTGGTTTAGTCGCCGGTGCTCGAAATTCACGGTCGGGATGGGGTCGCGAGGCACTTACGCCTTTGCCGCCCAGGCCTTTGCCTCCTAGGCCCTTGCCACCCTTGCCGCGAGGGTCGATTTTGCCCGGCATTGTGTCGGTTGCCGTAGCGCGCAAGGTCCAAGACACAGATAGCGGTGCGAGGGTCGAGTCGGCGCGGAGAGGATGGTGGTGCGTGCGTTGTTGTACAATGGGTATTGACTTTCTTCGAGTCCGGGTGGGGAGCAACCGTCGCGCGGGAGGTTGAATGAGTGTGGACACGCATGTGAGTGGTGGCGAGCTCTGAGGCAGCCCATGCTCCCGTTGCCGAAGTGGGGCGCCGATAAGATAGTGGGAGACGCTAGCCCTTGAGCTTGTATCAATGTACAGAAGCAGTTGAATCCAGATGTCTGCAAGCAGCCTCTGCCGTGCGAATGGCGGGCAGTAGGTATGCTGTCAGTCTGTAGCAGAACCATACTGTATATTGCAAGCCTCTCAGGTTTATGCGATCAACAAGGCTCAGCTGTACTGGTCAAATTCCATCAAGGAATAGCTGCTGCCGTCCTAACTGAATCGTCGACTCCAGGACAACTCCTTCAATGTTACCGGCGGCATTCATGGGTTAGGGGGCAGTGACCAACGGTGTCGCAGAGCGTTGACGACAGACGAGGCGAGACCACGAGTTGCCAATTAGACACTGTTTCCGGTACCTCTGCGTACGCTGATTTCTTCCTTGAATGATAGTTCACCTCCTGTCGTTACTGTGATAGGCACCAAGATGCTGTTGAGTTAGAGGACAGCTGATCCCCATAATATCTGGCAATGTGAAGAGTGGTCGTGATATGCGCGTAGGGGGGCATCAGAGCGACAAGTTGACAACTCTAGCCTGGAAGTGGCGAAGATTGATGCTGAGTTATCATGGTCATCATGTCATCATGTCATGTCCGTGGCCTAGATTTGGGTAGGACCTCCTTGGTGTCTGTTATCGTCTGTATATCGGCGATGAAGACTCTATGAAGCGGAAGGAACCAGGGGTCTCCAAAGAGATGAGAGACACCTGCATTATAGAGGTGTACAGTGACCTAGGTGTAGCCGGTCTCTGTCAGTGTGACCTCAGATCACGACCTGTCAGCGAGGTTAACTAATAAGTGTATATCGAGTGATAGTAGGACTCGAGCAGAGTAGCAGCATCAGCATCAGCATCAGCTGGGCGGGTTGGCGTTGGTTTGACTGCTTCGCGCTATCACCCATGGATCTCTTGGACACTCCAGCTGTTGACGGTAGGCCCTGTAACAAACAAGCACTTACATGCTATCGAAGTGACCAGGGTACGGGGAAAATATGGCAAAGTCTCCAGAGTACATGCCGCGGATGGTCTCTGAGACTACGCGGATGGAAGAGAGCCCTGGGCTTCCTCTAGAGGATCGTGTTGTATCAAGTTCCAGGCCCGTTATTCATGGATGTGTCGGTTTCCCGTCGTTTCGGCGGTTATCACGGGCGGTCTCTATGCTATTCTAGACAGTTAAGATACGCTTACAGATTTAATTGCTGTGGACTGAGCTTCCAAAGGGTGTCGAGGCCGTTCATTGTCTTCCTGTTGATTGCTGTCCGCACAGATGGAATAGGGATACCTAGTCTCTCTCGCTGCCGAACGAAGTAAGAGTAGGGGGGTAGCACGTTACTCTGCCAAGTTTTGCTATATCCCTTGGTTGCTGTTCATCTCCTGAGTTATTCTGTCATAGCTCCAATGATCCTGGTACCTTTGTGATGCGTCCACTGCTTTAAGAGAAGTCATCGCCATGGAAGTTGACTTGTTCTTGAAGAGGCGGATTGCTATGGGTTTCTTGTAGCTTGACATTCCGCTTCACTGTGGGACTCGATATACAATCTGTGCTTTAGCAATCCAAGAGCACATATAACTGTTACCATCTTAGTATATTCACCCATTACATAGTAGTGGCAACCATAGAATACCAACACCAGACCGTACGATTCTCTCCTTATGCCAGAAGAGACCACGACCTACATCATCAGCCCAAGCCCAGCCCCTGATTCGTATAGACTGCTGTCTCGGGGCTCTCCTCTGGAAGCCACGGGTTGCCCGTATCAAACGACGAGAAAGTCTGGCTAGAGCCGAAGCGCCCTCGTCAGGATCTAGGCGATCGACATCGCGGGGGCGATATACGAGCCCTCTGCCAGAGCTTAGTTTGTGGGTAGTCGTATACCGAATGCCAATGACACCACCAGCTGTGACAGCGACACTCCCAAATACCCCCAAGGTTCATGACCAAACTCATCACAAAGGACCATGAGTGGTCCACCTCCGGCGACCCGGGGTGTTAGCTGCGCCGATTGGTCGTTTCAATTGAGTCCCAATACGCTGGCTGGCATATATATGCCGTTGTGCGCGAGTGGGTGAGATCGTTTCGACTGTCAGTCCTCGAGTGGCCAGCTTACGCCTTGGGTGATGGGCTGCGGCATATTATTGGCTGGGTTTTACGACGATACATCGTAAACATGATGGTCGTTGAGGGCGCGTATAGCTAGTCACATACATGTCAAAAGGTGATTCAGCGTGGCTGGAGCCAGTCATATGCCATTGCTTTGGCAGTGCCGTCTTTCAAGACTTAATCTATACTGGCAGTAAATCGACTCCATTGATAGCGCAATACCGCATTGTCCCGTAGCGAGTGTCTATGGCCCTGTGTGCCTTCAGTGACACGAACACCGCTGCCCCATTATGCTACCTACTGAGAGATGCGCAATCCAGACTAATCTCAGTTGACGAGTCCTTCCGGGTTGAGGCGAGAGGCAAGACAGAAAATTGTCTTCATCTATTTCCAACGAAGCAACGATACCATGAACCCCGTATGAGACTGGTCGGGAGCTTATCCACCTCGAACTAAATAGGGTGTTGTGCTTTGATGCCTGCCGATCACTTACTTTTCTCTCATGCGTGACTTGGAGCGTCAGTAGAGGAGATGAAAGTGGCTTCGGAGAATAGTCGTCCCTCTTCTGTAATCTCTTGATCTCCAATCTTGAGCCTAAGAGTGACGGGCTTCGAGCGAGGAGAGAACTACATTTTATGTTAACAGCTGACAACGCGAAAGCCAATGGTGCTTGTGGAGTGCTTACCTGGTATATGTACGGCTTGGTCCCGGCCGCGCCAGCGACAATCTTCTTGACAAATCCCGGAACTTCTTCCATGACGTCGATACGGTCGAGTCTTTCATCTAGAGGTCCTTCCATGAGCGCTTCCACTGCCTTGCCATCCTTCGTGGTTCCGGTCCAGGTGAACTTGACATCCGTTGGTTCGGGCCACTCATTCTCATCGTCTTGCTTCGTCTTGGTATGTTCGGCCTTGCATGTGGTGCCAGCAGTGATGATCTCACCGTCCTTTACTAAACCACCAACACTAACAACCGACGTGCCGTATGAGGGGGGAGTCGTAAACTCCATCAAGACTGCGGAACAGGTCGGGCTCTGGAAGTCGGCAAAAGTCCAGCGCGCTGCCGCATGATGAGGCTTCATGCCCTGGAGGGCATGTACGAAGAGAGCCTTCCCCTTGAAATCGACAGGGCCGTCCTGCGTCGTGATGCTTCCCTCAGCTTCACATCTGGGCCAGAATGCATGTCTCATAGTTCCCCATGGATTCGATAGGTCCGTGCCAAACAAGGTCTTGCCATCTTTGCCCGCTACGAAGCCAGGGGCTGTCCTGGTCACCTTAAGGTTGACGATGGCCCTCGCGTCGGTCATCGACTTGATCGTATACGAGTTTCCATCTTCCGAGAGTTCGAGCGCACAGTCGTTCGCGTAGAAGCCGGTCTTGTCCTCGCTGAACTCGATGTCGCTCAACGGGGTGGAACACCAGAGATGGGGCTTCGAGCCGTCGGTGTAGAAGATCTTGGAGTTGAACTGGCAGGTAGTCCGGATGCCACTTCACGACTTGTCAGCTGGTTGGGATGCAGTTGAGCAGACAGCCGTAGATCATACGCCACGTTACTATAGATGACCTGCGCAAGAGCCAGATGGCCACTGTCGGCGGTGAAGTAGAAACTCTGCGTCTCGACGCAGGTCGAGTCCATGGCCTCCCATTCCATATCGTTCCGGGTCAACTCGGTGTAGGGCGTGGACTTGGCATCTTCGGCGACTGACTTCATGGCCGACGGACCATATATGGGCTCTTCCGTGCCGACGACATTGGCCAGGCTGGACGAAGAAACATTAGCACAGATGATATATAGGGGAACGGGTGTGATCTCCTGACTAACGTTTGCTTTGCCCAGTTGAACATGGTTGCTACTGCGGTACTGAGACTGAGACAGACTATCAAGTGTAGGTAGAATATGGAAGAAATATGTGACAGAACGTAGGGAGTTCAGGTTTATCAAAGATAAAAAGGGGAGAAGCGGTCATGCAGCCTGTACGAGGTAGCAAGCGGTCCTGCCCATCCACAATGTGTAGGTCAGTCCCTGAAGGCGGGCTTCGAGTTGGCGGGCTGGCGGGCTGGCGGGGCAGCTAATCAAATGTCATAAATGTGGCGCAGTTAGCTTATCCGGATTCCGTCCAGCATGTCTCGAGGTCGCGTGGCTCCAGCTTCAATGTGGGTCGGGTGTGGCTTGTACGATTTTCTTGAGCTTTGCATCGGATTGGATTTGGATGGGCAAGCCAATTGCGCAAAGAAACCCGACCTGGCGCATTCACCAACCCCAACCCCAGTGAATCGCCTCCAAGATGTCAAAGGCACGCGGCTCTGGTGCCGTCGACCAGATTGTCAAGCTCATCGTGGGAGCCGGCCAGGCCAGTCCCAGCCCTCCAGTTGGCCCTGCGTTGGGGAGTAAAGGAGTTAAGTCCATGGACTTCTGCAAGGTAAATCAGGATCACAACCGCCGATAGAGCATCGCAACAGTATAGCTTACCTCGTTCTATAGGAGTTCAATGCACGCACAGCACACATTAACCCGGGCATACCGATGCCGACGCGAGTTACCGTACGCGCAGACCGATCGTTCCACTTCGACATCCGAACACCGCAGACCTCCTGGCTTTTGAGGAACGCGGCGGAGATACCTGTTGGCAAGAAAGGAAAACGGAAAGGAGCGAGCAAACCTGGGCACGAAATAGTGGGCACCGTCACCTTGAAGCACGTCTACGAAATCGCAAAGATCAAGCAGTCGGAGCTCCGCTTGTCAGGGCTGTCTTTGGAAGGGCTTTGCAGGTCTATCATCTACCAAGCGAAGTCGATAGGGATCGCGGTAGTCGCCTGAGTACATGTCAGAACGACTGTAATGCTGGAGAGTTGGGGACGGTGGATGTAGGGGACTGGCCGCTTCGGTGCAGAAAACAGCTTGAAGCTGACGTATGTATAAACTGTATCTTGAAAGGCTGTACGATATGGGATGTAAACAAAGGGTCTTTGGACTGATCTAATACCAAATCAATGCGACAAATGCACGCAAGACACTGCCGACCGCAGCCACGATCTCTATTCATATAGACTTTCCTCACGGCAGAGAAGAGCTCGTATCTTCTCAAAGGACCACACCAGGGCACAGTAGTCACACAGCCATACGATTCGAACAAACTCTACAGCAGCAGTAATTCGCTTCTGATGCATCTTCGCCAATGTCGAAAATGGTCATACTTCGGTTCAGTGGTTTCGGCCCTTCTTGGAGATGACATAGACATCATGACATCAAAAGATGGCAGAAACCTTAACACCCAGGTCTGAGTGCATCGCCAAGAACCAACTTCAACATACGAATGCCATCTGAGCTGTTTGGATGTATATCATCTGAACTGTGAGTTAGAACAAAGGTAACTTGATAAATCAGAGCGATCATCGGCTTCTACACGTACAGGTCGACCCCTGAAATCATGTACCGTGGGGCCAGTTTCGACAGGGAGCCCTGTGAAGTGACAGTATATAAGGACTAACACTCCCCAAACCGAGAAAATACTTCAGATCTCTTCTTGTTAAAATAGAACGTCAAACTATCGAGTCTTGCTACAAGCTTATCAGCTCGCTCTGGGCAGTGCTGCGCACTGCCTAGATAGTAGGGGCTAACGCATCCTTTTAAAACACGACTACTTGGAAGGTACTTAGAAACAGCTGGCATTACCACCTAAAAACAGGTACCATTCATTAAACGCTGCTTTACGTATACGGGAAGGGCCCGACCACCTGGTATTACCACTACCACCACCTAGTATCACTATTACTACCTGGTATCATTATTACTACTCAAAATTATTAATACTACTACTTAATGCTAATATTACATACTATTTGTTGGATCCATGCGATTCCAGACTGCAAACCATCTATACCAAGACCCACATGTATGATTAGATAAGATAAGATAGTGGATTGAGAGGGCACTTGGCCAGACCTTCGAGTCCAGCTAGATTCCTCTCAATCCAACCATCAGCAACATCATGACCTTGACCCCATACTCGAGTATTATGATTGATCGTTCAAGCCTGTTCCAACACTATTACTACTTAAAAACATTACGACTTAAATAATATTTAAAAACAAGTAGTATTATTACTTAATAACAAGTACTAACGTAGGTCACAAGCGAGCGGCAATTACAAGCGAGCGGCAACTTTTCACCAGCCACCCAACCTTTCAATCAAGGCTCCTAATTGATCAACCAATAATAATGGCATTGCGTTATAACGAATCAGACTTACAGCTTGCTGTCCAAGCTAAGCGACGCGACCCTCATATTACCATTGGCAAGCTTTCTAAGACTTTCCATGTCCCATACAATACCTTGAAGGCTAGAATCGCCGGCCGACCATCACGACGCGATAGCATGCCTAATTCTTTGAAACTTACGGTTTCTGAAGAGAATGCCATTTGTTCCTTCATAATCGACCTGGATGCGCGAGCATTTCCGCCCCGGTACACTTATGTTGAAGATATGGCAAATCAATTGTTGGCGGCGCGCGGGGCTGGACGCGTTGGAAAGAACTGGACGGCGAACTTCATCAAACGTACACCAGGCCTCCGGATGCGTTTTCATCGGAGGATGGACTACGAGAGGGTCTTGAACGAAGATCCGGACGCGTATTGCGCGTGGTTTTGCCAAGTTGTGGCGGCAATCGCGAAACATGGTATCCAAGACGCAGATATTTACAACTTCGACGAGACTGGGTTTATGATGGGCATTATTGGGTCCGGCATGGTCATTACAAGCGCCGAAAGACGTGGTAGGCCTAGACAAGCCCAGCAAGGCAACAGGGAATGGTCTACAGCAATTTCTGCTGTCAATGCTGATGGTTGGGTGGTCCCGCCGTTCATCATTCTACAGGGCAAAACCCACCTCACGTCATGGTATCGCGACACGACATTACCACGCGATTAGAAGGTGGCCGTGTCCGATAATGGGTGGACTACGAACGAGATTGGGTTGGAATGGATTCGGCATTTCGACAAGTATACCAGACCACGTATGACTGCCGGTAAACGCCTCCTCATCCTAGATGGTCACGAAAGCCACCATTCCCAGATCTTTGAGAGATATTGCCAGAACAATAGCATTATTACCCTTTGTATGCCTGCCCACTCGTCACACAGGCTCCAGCCTTTAGATGTCAGTTGTTTTAGCCCGCTCAAACGAGCGTACGGTCGCATGATTGAGGATCTCATGCGGCGTCATATAACCCATGTTTCGAAAGAGGACTTCCTTGCAGCGTTTTGTGAAGCACACAACGCTGCTATGACGCCAGGGAACATTTGAGCAGGTTTCAGTACCACTGGGCTTGTTCCTTTTGACCCAGAAAGTGTCATTTCGAAACTGGATGCTGTCGCTGTCGTACGAACACCGTCGCCAGACCCCAATCTGCCACCCACTACTTGGACTTTGAAGACGCCTACCACCATCAACGAAGCGGTCAACCAATCGGTTCATATCCGAAATCGAGTCAGAAACCACCAGGGAAGCTCACCTACATCAATAATTGATGCGTTGAGCTCGTTTTCAAAGGCTACATACGGTCTTATGCACAAGGTCGCTTTGGTTGATTCCCGGGTCCGCGAGCTAGAGGAGGCCAATCACCTATTAAGTAAACGCCGGAGGACAAAAAACAAACGTCTAGTGAAAGGAGGAATACTTTCCGTTGAAGATACAGTAGGTCTCCAGGCTGTAAAGGATGGTGATGAGCTGGCAAGACAGGAAATGGGTGAAGGTAGTCGTCGTCCGAGGAGGGCGGCAGCGCGTGAGCGACGTTGTGGCGTTTGCGGCAACACTGGCCATAATGCGCGAACTTGTACAATAGAGATAGAAACGTCTGAAGAAGAAGAATCCGATTGATTAGATTGAATTAAATGCGTTGTGGTCGAGTTATTTGACATGTTGGTTAGAAGATTGGTGAAAAGTTGCCGTTTGCTTGTAATTGCCGCTCGCTTGTGACCTACGTTATTTATTAAACGTTATTTTATAACGAGTTAAAAGCTTTACTACTTATTAATTAGCCGGAAAAAAGTTATATAATGCACTATATACGTTATACGCTAACATAACGTTGTATATATTTAAAGGTTTTTATGTAAAGTTAATTTTTACTCTTTACAATAAAAAAAAAAGTTTAATAATTTAATAGTTGAACAAATCGCGTTTTATATAACTTTTTTACATAAATTTAAATTGAATGTAGCGGTTTAAAGCCAGTAGTTATAAGTATATATTAGTATATATATACGGGTTAAAGATCTTAAATTAAAAAAGCTGCTGTAATATATACTTAAAGTATACACAGCGCTTATTTAATTGTATTAGCCTTTATCAACGCTATTTCCTTAAATATAATAATAATTTTATTTATACTTTTCAATAACTTATATTAAAATACCGGCTGTAAAAAAAGCTTATATTATTTGTAACATGTTTATTAGAACTTCTCTACTGGTTAACATATATAAGTGCTTTTTTTCATATTAATTATCAAGATAAAAACGAATATAATATTCTTACAAAATCTACCGTAAAATCGCTTAATAAAAGCGTTATTTATAACGAAAATATCAAACTTAATATTAATATTAAGAAAGTTTTGACTAACATTTAAAACAAGCTTATTTATTATTTAAATAGCTTTTTAAACGGTAATTTATGCAACGTTTCGTATATGTAAATAAGACATAGAAGCCCTTGTTTACTATGTACATATAACTATCTCTGGCTGAAAAGGAAAAAGAAGATCGAGCGGCACAGCCAAACCTGGTGGGCAACTAGATAAGTGTGTCCGCCTTATAATTCAGAGCCGTAGTAGGTCTGTGACAACCAGTCGTTCAGGAGGTCACGTGCTGTCACGTGATCCCAGGACCATCACCGATAATAGCGACTTAGTATTAGATTTGAGCCAATTGTCAGAGCGAAGTGCGTGTCTGTATATTCCGTCTGTCTAGAGTGTACTTGTGCGACCATGGCAGTTTTGTGCCAGAGAAGGCTGGATTGGGATAGAACAACTAGGTTATGTTCTATCTGTCAAGGTGCCTTTTAGACGTACCTTTAATCTAACACACCCCCTCAGCCAGGCAGGCAACGGCTCTTGCTGAACTAGTCTACAGAGTAAATTACTTCAGGGTCTTGACTTAGAATCTCTTTTCTCTTCTCAATGGCTCCCTCTTATGACCTCAAATCAACCTGTCTCGCCTGAGTGTGCAACAATCTTAACTGATCCAAAAATCCTGCCCACCGTTGAGCCGGCAAGGCTTTGGTCAACCCATCCGCTTTTATCTGTGCTGATGGTGTGTAATTGATGCTGACAGTTCCTTGTTCCATTTCTTGTCGAAGCCAATGGTTGTGTATATCCACATGCCACAACTTGGTTTTTAAAAGAGCGATTTTAGCGGTTACTAGCTTGATTATCTGTGTATTGTCGCATTCCATTTTGTTCTTCTCCCTTTAAGTTGAACATTAAGTTCCGTAGCCAGCTTGCTGATATACAGAGTCTCTTTGATTGCTTGAGCCAGTGCGAGTAGTTCCGCTTCTGTAGTAGATGTAATGACTATGTCTTGCTTGTTAACCCTCTGGCCGATCAATCCTCCAAAGAGAGTCGTGGCAAAGGCCTGAGAGCTCTTTCTATCAAGAGAATTATTGGCAAAAGAAGCATTACTAGCCACCACTAAATTGTCTCCTTCTCCAAACTAGAGAGAGTAGTGTCTTCTTCTGTATAGGCATTGGATGACTCGGTCAGCCACATTCTGATGGATCTGACTTGGGTTTATGAAGAATCTTGCAAGGCGTGATGTTAT